AGACGGATGCGACGGAAGAAAGATAAAGTCGAGGCGTCAAAGATCTCACGACTGGAGAAGAATAATACTACAGAGTAGCACTTCGGGATCGACGGGCGGTGCAGAGGTGAACCGACGAGCGGGGCGGTGATCCCTTAATATACAAGGAGAGAAAAACGGAGGCAGCGACGTCTTCTTCGTCTTCTCCTTTGGCGACCAGCAGCTGTTGCTGGTGACGTCGACGGTCTCGGTTAGATTTCCCAATGCGGTCTGGTGTGATCTCCTAGACAACGACGAGAGAGCAGAGAGGCTGTTTTTCACCAGTATGATTCAACACAGACTGGACAATATCTTGAATCATATCGTGAATAGTATCTAGAACAGACCAATGCTCATCTGTCAATATGGTATATTATCCGGTCATTGAGTCCAGAGCAGTGTCGAGAGCTGCTGGTGTTGCACCGTCACTCTCTTCCATTGCAATCGCTGACGTCATCGAATCGTCCTCCGCGCCCGTGACCCGTTGCTGGCTGCGTCATACAGAGGTGAAGCTGCAACTTTATTCCAAAGCATCATGATGGACACGATCGCCAGGGATTCGATCAGAGATTTGCTTTACAGGTTGCATTTATTATTGTCATCGCTATAATGGATCAACTAGTTACTGACCTTCGCCCTGCGACGTCGAATTCTTAATCTTATCCTTAACTACGGAGTAGTACTATCCGTTCGATTTTTCCGTCGAGTCTTGCGTTTCGAAGTACTCGACTCGTCGTCTGCATCCCGTTTTGTGCCTGTGGAGGGCCCGTCCGAGCTTCTCTGGGTTTCCGCTTCCTGTCGGAGCCGACCGAATGCCTTCTCCATCCTCGACTGCCCGTTGGCGCGGACCCGCGGTGCAAAGGCGCCAGCTCCCTGAGGCCCGCTGAAGAATCCCGTAATGTTAGACTGCGTGCCTTCCTGCTCGCGCCGGTTCATATCCCGGATTACCGGCAGAAGGATCTCGTCCGTCCGCTCTTGGCTCCACCCGATTGTCGCCATCAGGTAGTTCCGCAACCCGTTCAGATCGGGCACCCCCCATTGGAACGGGGACGGGTCGGCATCGACTTCGGGCTCGAGATACGCGACGTCCACGTGTGGGTTGGGGAACGACGGCGGGAGGAAGATCTTGGAGGCGTTCTTGCGGAACTTTCGGTAGAAGGCGGCGTGGTGAGTATTGTCGTCGCTGGACAGGTCGGCGCCCATCTGGACGCGGCTCCACCAGTCGCGGAATTCATCCAAGCTCGCAAACTCGGTTAGGATCTCCAGCGCCGTGACGGGGCCGATCCCCGGGATCCCCTCTGTGTAGTCGCTGCCCAGCAGGTGCGCGAAGCTGATGAGTTTCCGGCGGTGCAGGGCATACTCCTTCTCCATGTCCGAGGTCAGGTAGCACTCCACGTATTTGCTCTGGTTGAACATGTTTTTGTAGACGCGGGTGCCGCCAAAGAGGAATATGTCGCTGTCATCCGTGACAATCCCATCCACAAGCCCCAGGGTAACCAGCTCGGCACATTGAGCCTCGGCCTCCATCGGTGCGGTGATGTACGGCAACCCAAACAGAGTCAAAAGCTGCTGGCATTCGGTGATCATCACCTGTGTCACCTCGTCCGCGTCTCGCCGATCTTTCTTCTGCTGTAGTCGTAGCTGCTTTAGTTCTTGCTCATAATCAAACGCGGTCTGCGTCTGCGCAGCAGAATTCAGTTTTGCTGCAAACCGGGCATGTTCCTCTGCTTCCTCTGCAAGCTGACGCATCAGATCTACATCTTCGGGGTCGCTCATATCCCCTTCGTCAGCGCTATCCTCGATCATAACAGTGTTTTGATGGTCACCCTGAACGGTAATCCCAGGCCCAAGATCAGCCGTAGACGAACCAGTCGTTTCAACCGGCGGTTCTAGGATGATAGCTTTAGTGGGGATCTCAACATCCTCAAATTCAACTTCAGGCGATGGGGAGAGAGAGAGGCGTGGCTTGTCCATCTGTTCAGAAGGCTGCTCATCGTCCGTAGCTTCCCACTCATAGACTTCCTCCTCTTTTCCTTCTGCCGTAGGCCGATCGCTAGGTAATACAGACGTTTCGTCGGGCTCGGTACTGATTACATCCTTCGTAGAGCCAGGATTCACTTCTTCAGGCTTATGATTCTCCGACGAAGAGCCGGATGCTTTTTCGTTGTTTAGGCGTGACTCCGAGGTGGGAATGGCTTCTAGATCAATAACCTCACCTGGTTCAGTGAGCTTATCAACATCAATCACCTCTGGAGATCGATAGTTTCTCAGAAATTGGTGATCTGGAGTCATGACTTCGTCCCTGTATTTCTCCAATGAAGAATCATCCGTCTTGTCTGGGATGAAATCCCCGTCCAGTCGCTCGCCACGAAACCACGGTGGTAACGGTCCGGCCTTTGGATTCCGCTTGGGTGGTTCTTTGATGAATCCTCCAGCATTCTCATCGATCTCCTCCTCTTGAGACGGCCGAGAAGGTGCCGTTTCCCCAATTTTAATGGATTCAAAGGGAAGAGGTCCATCAAAAGGATGGCTTGTAGTAGACTCTTTGCTACTAGGGTTTGGTTGGAATTTATTTCTGACGGGCTTCTTCGCTTGTGCTAAAGCAGTTGCAAAGTCCATCTCGTCGTCGTCATCATCACCATCGTCTTCGTTCTCAGCCACAAAGGCTGCTGCTATCTCCTGTTCAGAGAGGGCGGCGCCCGCATTGACAGGGCTATCCTCAAAATAATCATCATGGGCTGCATCTTCCATTGACATTGCAATCGCCTTGCGAAGATTTTCATCTTCAGAGTCCCCATCACCGTCTATAAGATCACCTATTTCGCGATTGAAAAAGTCGGTGGGAAAGTCCTTTTCCACAAAAAGAGCGTCGTCCTCATCAGTGGTTAGAGACGGGCCTGGCCCATGCAATTGACGAGGAATCCCTCCTGAGAATTCCGTCATTGTTTGTCGGATTGACTCGTCGAAGACACCTTTCTTGAGAAAAGAAAGTTTGGGGAGCCTATTTAAACCTTCAACAGGCACATCCTCGAAAGCATCATCCTCATCCGAGAGTTCCTCCTTGCTCATGAGAACATCTTGCTGGCCATAGCGATCGACGTCAATGGGTCTGTCTTCATAGCCATCGTGTTTGCTACTAACGACCCCGAGTGCCCAGCCGCCTTCGACCGCACTATCTTGGACCAAGACGTACTCTCGACCCCGTTCCCCCGCAATTCGTTGACCTTGGGTGAGACCAAGAGTAGCGTCTGCGCCGTTCATGCCATTCAAATTCATCAGCCGCTGCGTCAGCTCGTTGCGTTCCTTCACACGCTCGATCTGAAATTTCGAGAACGACATGCGGTCCGGGAACATGTTATCCAGCTGCTCCTTGGAATAACCCATTCTCAACCGGCTTCTTATCCTTGCCGCGTTCAAGATGTTGTAGCGATCCGTGGCCGGCAAGCTCGTGAAGAAGGAACTGTCAAAGTCGATCTTCGAGAAATCGTAGAGATTGATATCTTCTCCCTGATGAAACTGTCGCGCGTACGCCTCCAGCTCCTCGCGAGACATGATCCGGGGGTCGTCAGGTGCTCCCATTTCCTCCAGGGAAACCTCCATACTTGGGAGATGATACGCATCTTTCCTTCTAAAATGGCGTGCTTGGTTCTTCTCCTTTTCTGTCAGAAATATCTCCTCGACATACACCGGCTTGTCTGGCACTGGCTCTTCATCGCGCCTGTGACGCTGGTTGCTACTCCTCACTGCCGCTGCTTCTTCTTCGGCGGCCCTTTGGATCTGAACCGCCAACAGTTTCCCTGCCGTCCGGACAGCATCCTCTCTGCGGCCTTCCCGCCTCTTCTTTCGGCCCGCGATTGTCTGACGCTTGAGTACAGGAGCCCCGCCATCGAAAACAAACACCGGCTTGATGCCGAAGTAGAGCAATTTGCATATTCGGCGAAAGAATCCGACCACATGCGAGTTCCGCAGAGCGTTTCCTTCTTTATCGCGCACGGCCTTCAGGAACTGGTAGATCCAGATCGAAGCATCGACTGCCAACCGCTTCTTGTTGAGCGTCTCAAGCTTGACAGGGCGCGCGCACGGCTGCACTACCGTCCAGAGCCCAGTGACACCCATGACAGGTAGCAGTCGTTCTGGTTAGGTCCCTGACAGATGGTGTGGCATGTCAGAGACGGACTGCTCAGCAAAGGGTCGGTCGGCTTGAGAGGCGTCCTTGTTGCCTGCGCGTCGCCACCAGTCGACACGAGGTCTATCACGGTGTCACATGACCTATTAATACCCTTTGAGGACAAGCGCACAAAACAGAAAGCTGACGTAAGCATGACTGCTGTTTTGGGATGTTATCGCGATAAAAATCTCCCAGTGCGGGGAGGAGGGGAAAAGGGTTGATTTGCAGGACAACGTGTCCATGTGTGCTGCGCGTCGCATCAATGTCTCTATCACTTGAGGTGAGTAGGATATTTGAGAAATGGAGTTGCCTAGACCAATTGTGCTGACGGAGAATGCTACCAGTACATTGATGCTTGTCTTCCAATCACGGCGACTAAAGCCTTCGTCTTGGGAGATGCGAGGCTTATATTGCACGGACAGGGTCCTTATACCCGCTTAATTGATGAGACGAGTGGGCAACTGCTTGCAGAAATCAAAACCTTTAAGAGAAGTAATGTCCATGGCTTTCTCCTTCCGGAAGAGGAGCTGCAGAAAACTGGAAGCCAGCCGATTCGGATTATTACATGGGGAGGACCATCCGTGCGAATTATTGAGTTGAGTGCTCGCCAAAGTGAATCTACAGTCTTGGGTGCCTTCTTTAGTGTTGTTAGTGCCGAATTTTTGGCACCGGACTGGATCTTGAGCGGATGTTCTGTCTGTGTTGATGGAGAGGGCAGAGCCTGCTTCCTGACAGCGCACAATGCGCTCCTTGGGCTCCGCTTGGTTGATTCGGGCTCGCCGAAGTATCGGAAAAACATTCAGATACAACAATTAGCCACAGGCGTCAAGTCTATCCTTTATTCCGCCGATATCGTTTCCCTCTCCTCCACTCATGTCTTGATTGCTGCTGGAACGGTCTTTGGGGAGATCATTGTTTGGTCTTGCTTTCTGAACGAGATTGGAGACGCCTTTTCCAATACAATCAGCTCTATCCACCATTTCTTCACTGGACATGAGGGGTCTATCTTCGGCGTCAGGATTTCCTCTGTAGTTCCTTCTCTGCAGGGAAGCAATTCCGGGCGGTTGCTGGCAAGCTGCAGCGACGATAGAACTGTAAGGGTATGGGACATCTCGGATTGTGATCAGGTCTCTCGCCACGATCCCCCTTCCTACTCTACAGATGGCTTCGAGCTTCGCAGCACGGGTTTTGGTGACGTGGCTACAATTCGCAGCTCAGAGTCTTACGTTGCAAAGGCCTTTGGTCACTCTGCTCGAATTTGGGGAGTTTACTTCCTGCCCCGAACGAAAGCTGATCAGCCGCAGCTGAATTTTGTCTCTCATGGCGAGGATTCGACGTGTGTTTTCTGGGAACTCACCTGGGAGCCGCGCCTGACAGGAGGAAGGCCTGATTTCCGACTACGCGAGACAAATTCTATCCACCATCACTCGGGGAAACACATATGGTCACTCGATGTGGGTGGGCGTAATGAAGCCCCGGTAATCTATACCGGTGGTGCGGATGGTGCTCTTAAAAATATTGGAATTGAGTCTTATTGGAAGGAAAGACCTGACTACATGTCCAATAGAAAAGTGGCCCCTTCTAGCGTCAAGACTCGAAAGCACTCGCATCAATTACAAGGTGCCCTCAAAGCATTCGATCTTGTCTCTCAGGACTGTTTCCTTGGTGTGACCTTTCAAGGCGAAGTCAAGCTTGGATGGGTTGGAACAAACAACGATAACGTTTGTCAAGATGAGGATGGCTCTGTTCGATGGGAAACAATCGCGACCGAGGAAGACTTCCGTTCTTTTGCCGTCACGTCTAGCTGTTCGCAGAGAGGCCTGGCTCTGTTAGGCAATGAAAGGGGTCTGATCCGATTATACGAACACGAGTCCAAGACATTGTCTACTCTCATACAAGTGTCAGAAAGACCAGTTGGTCTGTGGCTACTTGATTCTTCAGAGAGTAATAGAGGCGATATCTATTTCATATCGTCTGATCCAGCAACCCAGAAGACGAGTTTGGTCATGATCAATGGAAGAAATACCGGACAGCCGACGATAAAGAATTTCGATGTTGCTCTACCAATCGATTTCGAGGTGACATGTGCTTCCTTTGCCTGCGAAAGCCAGTACCTTGTGCTTGGTTCAAAGATCGGTGCCCTTGCCGTTTACAAAGTCTCAGCGCTTACGCAGATACTGGAACCGCTTGAGGTATTGAGACGCGTACACGGTAAAGTAGGTGTCAGTCAGGTCATGCCCATTCCTTCAAAAGAACGCAGTTTAACTACATTTTCCTCCTTCTTCCTCACGTGTGGTCGGGATGGTAACTATTGCATATACGAAATCAGCCGAGAAACGGACGAACAGACGGCATTCGTGCAATTGGTCCACCGGTCTCTTGCACACTTTGGCCAAAATGTGGAAGGGGCCTACTTTGACCGAGAAACCGAGGACCTCATATTATATGGCTTCGGGGGCACCCAGTTTATCGTATGGAACGAATCCCGACAGACAGAGCTGATGCGCGTCGAGTGCGGTGGAGGTCGTCGCCGCTGGGCGTTTGGCGTGAACGAGGCCTGTCGCAATTATCTTTTGCTATGGAACCATGCCGCCAAGTTCAATAGTACCCGACAGAGTTATACGCCGGCCTACCGCACTCTTCGCGCCGGCGGGCATGGACGGGAAATCAAATCTATGGCCGTCTGCAACGATGTTCGAGACATTGGCACGCTGATTGCTACGGGTGCCGAGGATACCGCCGTCCGCATCTTTTCACCTGCCGAGTCGTCAAAACGAGAGGGTCCCTGGGGTACGTTCAAGTGCCTGCGCGTCATGAACCAGCATGGCACGGGTCTTCAGCAGGTGAAATGGTCGAAGGCAGGGGACTACCTGTTTAGCAGCTCTGGTCTCGAAGAGTTCTTTGTCTGGCGGGTTACGTCTGTCCCAGTCTTTGGCGTGGCTTCTGTTCTGATCGCGTCGGCCCCGAAAGAGGACCTCAAGTCGGATCTCCGAGTAACGAGTTTCGATATGCTTCAGCTTGAAGGGTCCGATCAATTTATTTTCTGCCTAACCTACTCGAATTCTACTCTGAAGGTTGGTTTGCTTGATGTCGCGTCGTGTGTTTTATATTGTACTGACAAGGATAGATTTTCCATTTTGCCCCATGCCGGGACCGCGGCGATTTCATCTTGCTGGCCAGGGGCAGATACATGACGAACTGTCTCACGCAGGCGCAGTTCGTGGTCAAAGAATCGTCGATTAGTCTGATCACCGCCGCGACAGATGGATACATCACGGTTTGGAACCTGACGCCGGTTCTGCAGCCGTTTTACACGGTCTCGTCAGGATCCGTAGGACTAAAGAGACCTCTGGTCACTGATGAAATAACACCTCAGGCGATGACCTGTGAGAACCGCTACCAAATCCATTCCAACAGCATCAAAGCACTGGAGCTTGTGCACCTATCTGAATCGCAGTCTCTAGTCGTCACTGGCGGAGACGACAACTCCGTGTCTGTCTCGCTGTGGGATATATTTGAGCTGAGTGTAGCGACTGTGACTATAGCAGACGCTCATGCGGCATCTGTGACGGCCATCAAGGTCTTGAACCACACCCAGGAAGCAGATGGAATGACACACAGGCTCGTGATCGCATCTTCAGGAAACGACCACCGCGTCAAAGTCTGGTCTGTGAGCGTGGGTCCCCTACAGAACGGGCCACAGAGGATTGGGATCAAGAGCCTCTTGGACGAGTACAGCTCTGTGGCGGATATATCATCTTTGGATGTATTACGGGACAACCAGCTTCTCGTGTGTGGAGTTGGAATGGAGTTGTTTAGATACTGTTGATCTTTGGCATCTGGAATTAAAACAATCAGGAATCTCCGTGTCAAAACAGGTTAGACATAGAGCCTATAAATACTCACTCCTAGTTGAGAGGTGACTTCTGCCTAGAAACAATCACCTCTACATTATTTTATTTCTTCAAACACCATGGAACAGACCACATACCTCTTCACCTTGTAAGACCATCAAACTTATGAGGGACTAGCATACTGACCCGAGCAGCGGCGACTCATACACGCAGACGGATTTCGATCCATCAGGGACGAAACCCTCTCTCTCGAACCCAATGGGGAATCCAAAGCTGGGTATACTCGTAATAAAAGCTGTAACTATTATTGAATATGATGGCTGAAAGTACTTAGGAACCTGTACATCCTCCGGAGGAATAAACTGGGTAGGATACCTAGTCACCTCGAACCCGGGCATCCTCTCCTTCAACCTCGCCGCTGGAGGGGCCACAATCGACAAGGCCATGATACACAGCGATGCAAGGGATCTAGTATCGCAGATTAATCTGTTCGGGGAGCATTACTGTCCTCGTGACGGAGGAAAGGCAGTTCCCTGGACGTCTGAAAATGCGGTGTTTGGCATCTGGATTGGGATTAACGAGTACGAACCTACCGGTGGGCTATTGACTATATTCAGATTGAGTATATTCCAATGATTTATATTTTAATGATAGTGTCGGCCTCTCATTCGAAGGAAAAACCCCACCAATCCAATCTTTGATGAATCGCTACGCGGCGCAAATGGAAAGATTATACGACGAAGGCGCCCGTCGCTTTCTTTTCCTCAACGTCCCGCCTACGAGTCGTAGCCCTTTGATCGGATTACAAGGGAGTCAGGTTGAGAACAGACATGCAGAGTGGGTGAAAGCATTCAACGATGCTCTCGGCCAAATGGTGAGACGGTTTCAAGAACACAGTAATGTATTTCTTCCCCCCCCCCCCCATATAATTTATCGATTAGGTATGGTTGTACTTATTATTGACTCTACCCTAGGTACGTGCTGTTCTCTATGATACGTGGAGTTTTATGACTGCTATCCTGGACGATCCGGAGAAGTACGGCTTCGAGAACAGTGAAGATGGGGCAGAGCAGATCTGGTGGAACGATTATCATCCCTCGTCGAGGTACCATCGGTTACAGGTGGAAGATATGGGGGACGTTATAAACATGATTTAGGTACTAGTTGGTTCTAGTTATAGATAGTTATACTACATAGACTTGACTCTTTTGAGCTCCCTTCCCGTCCATTCCCATAACTGGCGTGCTAGCTCGGCGTCATTGAACGTCCGCTGCATCGTGGGCAGCAGCAGGTTGATGAGGAGCGCATGGCTTAGATAGTTGGTTCCGAAATGGACCTTGTAGCCGTCTCCTGTTGTGGCCTTAGCCATAGCTTAGCCATAGCTTACGAGTAACCATCAACCCCTCTCTTCCACTCCCCCAAGTCCTTATATCACGAATCCAGCCATATTTGCCGAAAATACGAGTCACAGTGACTCCGTTCTCCGATTCTGCAAGGATTTGAACCAGCGATGAAACGCGGTTCCCGAGGGCTGACTCAACCCATTGTGAGTACCACCACCAGTCAGGATAGCTGGGACGGGAATTGGATCAAGCTCGAGTAAGCTGACAGTGCAATTAGCCATGGAAGCTCAATCCGAGCGGTCTGCGAATTCTTACCTGAGATTGCAGCCACTGTCTTACGGGCCAAAACAACAGACTGAATTGACTCCAGGACCAAATTGGTTACTAATATCCCAAGATCTGATACCACGTGACTGGGCTAACCACACCCGTCCTAGCGCCAGGCCCAAGCCCTCCACGTACGCCGTAGTCGTCAGCACTAAGTTTAGCAAGTTACATACTAATTTGAGGGTCTGAGGTTTGAAGTGGACCATGTAAGAGAATCTCCGTATACGAGGGTAATAGTAGTATTCTGTCTTTGCGTGCCTAAGGAGTACTACTGAAAGTATCAAGCGCATTTTTTCATGAAAAAAAAAAAAGGTATTGCGAGTAGTTGCTATCACTATTCAGTGTAATGTTCTGCTCTAGAACAATTTTTCTGCCTATCCCAGCCACATCCAACATGACGTGGCTTGTAGGGCTGGGCAAAACATTCTTGATCCCCCGCCACGAGGAAAAGATCAAAAATACGTAGTCGGTCATAAACATAGAACCAGGCGGTGCGAGACACTATGTTTGATTGGCCCGACAATCCCCGCCGGGACTGAGCGACAAATGGATTTTGCTCCTGCGCCCCTTCAGGTGCGAGGCTGAGCCGGGATCAGCAGCTCGGGCAGGACATATAATAACAAGTCTCTGCCTTGCATCCTCCATCAATTTACATCCTCATCCTCCCCTATCACTGTCACCATCACCATCACTATCACTATTATCTATCTTCCAAGTCGTCTCATCGACCTATCGCTATCAACATGGGCAAGATCGGTCGCGTTGCGTGCATCTTCACGCCATACTTGTTGACGATTGCCTCGTTAATATGTCTCCTCCTGGTCGGGCTGGGCTGTACCAAGAAGAGTGACAACAACCTCAACAACCTCTATTTCTTCCGAGTAAGTAGTAAATACGTCACCTTGCTACCATTGAAAAAAAAAAAGGAACTACCCCTGACTGAGAATCGATAATTAGGCCAATCTGCAGAATTTCACCACCTCCTCGTCGACCACCTCGGAGATCTCACAGTTGCTCAGCGAGGCTGGAGTCAGCACCACGAACCTGACTGCCCTCTTGGAAGAGGCGGAAGAGGATACGGATCTGAAGGATTTCTACTCGATCGGTCTCTGGGGCTACTGTGACGGCAGCATCAGCAACGGCACCTACAACACCACCGCCTGCACTTCGCCCAAGGCCGAGTTCTACTTCAACCCCATCACCGTCTGGGGGCTCAACTCCTCTTCCAGCACCGAGGATGTCCTGCCTTCCAGCCTCACCAAGGCCATCAAGGTCTACCGTGACGTCTCCAAGTGGATGTTCGTCGCCTACATCATCGCCTTCTGCGCCACCCTGGCCGAGATCGTCCTCGGTGTATTTGCCATCTGCAGTCGCTGGGGAAGCTGTGTCGTGACTCTTGTTTCTTCGGTAATTCACCCTCACCCTTTCTCCTTTTCAGGAGAGTCTTGAAGAATCAAGACTAATCTCATTTTTCAGGTGTCACTTCTGTTCACGACTGCCGCCTCGGTGACCGCGACCGCTCTCTTCGCCACGTTGACCGGTACCTTTAATTCTGCGCTCAAGGACTACGGCATCACAGGCTCCATGGGGAAACACATCTACATCGCAACCTGGCTCGCCGTTGCCTTCTCCCTCGCCGCCAGCCTCTTCTGGTCCTTCAGCACCTGCTGCTGCTCCGGCCGCTCTCCCTACAGCCACCGCGACGGCCGCAACACCCGCGGTGGCATCACGGCCGAAAAGGCCCCCTACACCTACGAGCCCATCGACCACCAGGCTCACCCGGCCGCCGTGAACCCAAACACCGCTTACCCCCCCGCTGCCACCACCAGCTACGGGAGAAGCGCACCCGTGAACAACACGCGGTCCAATGCCTATGAACCGTTCCGTCACGTCGAAGCCTAACTAAATCGAGAAATCACCCCAAAATAACACCAAAACAAAAGGAAAAGAAAAGAAAAAAGAAAAAAAAAACATAAAGAGATCATATATGTATTTGAGGGATATTTCCTTTGCTCTGGTTCTGGCGGTGGACTTATGATTGTGTCTTTTTTGATGATTTCGTTTACTCTCCTTTTCGTCTTGTATACTCCCTTCAAACATCGTTCCTCTGTCTTATGACTTTGACAGAGCTAGATACCCATGAATATGAATTGTCTTATCATAGATCCAAGGAAGTCGTAATACTTAAATTTCAACATTCATTATGAATTAAATGATGACTATGGGTATCTTATTGATTAACTTTATTCTCTCCTTTTGAGCCCCCACTTCGAAGCAATAATCACCCCCTTCTCATCTGTAGGCAGAGCAACCCCGCCGCGTGCTCGCCGGTCCATCAATACGTTGAGGTCGGCCCGCGCCCACATCTTGAACGGCGTATTGGCGCTGTCGGACCAGGCCGGGGCAGGTTGATCCGGGTAGAGCCGTGAGAAGGAGGCAAACCACCCGTGACGAGGCAGTTGCGGGTTATACAGCCGTTCATTGTCCATTGCGTTATCAACGGGAACAGATCGATGTTCGTTTTCATCGCCGAGCTCGATGCTGGCTGTCTCATGGGCTTCTTCCATCAGCTCATCTTCATCTTCATCTCCTTCATCTTTGTCTTCGTCTTCGTCTTCATCCTGATAGCGCATGGGTTGTGAGGAAGTAGATTGTCGGATAGGCGACTGCGATTGGCGGAAATGACTTGGCTGCGCGGATCGGGGTGCCTCAATCATCTCTTCGTCATCTTCGTCCTCGTGGCGGACGGGTAATTGGGATAAGGAAGCCGGGCATGGATAGCTTGACTCAATTACTACATCCGATGACCGTTGATCTTCCGGTTCTGCTTCCTTTCGACCTCGTGAACTTTCTAGTTGTTGTTCGTCTAGACTCGATAGCTGTTGGTCAAGACTGGATGGCTGTTGGTCAAGGCTCGACGGCTGTTGATCTCTTGAGCTTTGTAGCTGCTCGCCTAGACTTGATGGCTGTTGGTCGAGACTCGATGGCTGTTCTGTGCCCAGTGCTGAAGACGTTGGCTTCTGTTCCGGAACAGAGATATCTCTAATGGGCGAGACAATTTGGGAAACATGATCGACGACCAAGGCATCAAAGGCAGCAGCACCTTGGTCGGGATTCAACAAAGACGAGGCATCCAGATTGGAGAGACTCTCTGCCACTTCGGCCGTAAAGGGTGAACTAGTGCGAGACGGGGGCCGACCAGCGATTAAACTGTACCTCTCTTTCGCGGTCTGTCGAGCTGCGCAGGTTTCAATCCCATGGATGGTAAGACTGCGCCGTTTATACAGCGGCCGAGAGATCTTTTCGAGGAAGTAGTTCTCGTATGATAATGTTTTGGTCTCAGACGCGAGACACTGCTGGAGGTAATCCGGGTATTGTCGCAAATGGACCATTATGAAATCGTCCCAGAGAAAAGAGCGCTGCAGCTTTCCTTCCTGCCGCAGCGTGTGAAGTTTGAAGCAGAGCTTGGTGAAATGATCGAATTCGATTGAACAGCCTGGATAGTCGCCCCGGAACTTTTCGTATACCCCGTGGGCTTCAGCGTCTCCAGGTATAGCGACGACGTAGCTGTGCCGACGGGAGGGCGCTTCGCTTCTCAGGCTCTCATCGCGGACAAGCCAGGAAACCCGCTGTCGTTTCGATGGCGAGGATGCACCAAGTACATCGGGCGATGCGACCCGCTTGACGCCAGCTATTTGAGATACCTCCATCTTCTCAACTGGCAAGTTTTCTATTGGCGAGTCTCTTCCAGAATAATCCATGGCCCCGTCAACCTGGCATGAAGTTGGTTCATCACGCAGTAGGGGAGACTGGAATGCACCTTCCACCCTCGCAGCAGATATTGGCAAGGCAGTTTCGTTTGAGGACTTGGCGTTGGCATAGGGCAGTGTAACATTAAATGGAAAATCAGTCCATTCAGCAGCAGATCCGTTTGCATTAGAGACCTGGGTCTCGAAGATACTCAGGTCTTGAGAATTATTTTGTAGATCGGTCAGGTGGGTTGGCCTTCGTTGAGAGGGTGTTGTGGCCAATTGGCTTTCATGGCTACCGTAAGTATTCTCAACACGCGACTGGGAGGACTTATTGGGATCTTGTGATGAGAACTGCTGAGACGAACCTGCCTCCCAGCCAACAGGGCCTTTGTCATCTATCTTAGGGCGTAAGCGATTACTTGTCGTATCAGGTGTCTCCACAACGTGAACGTGGACTCTTTCTTCGACATGGCTTGCTGAAAACTGTCCGGAGCTGGCGATGTCTTCATCGATCTGACTGCCGAACAGATCTTGGTGTGAGCTGTTCCGAAGTGGGCGAGGAACAGATGTATCCATGACTGACTCATCACTTTCTGCGTCCGATTCATGGTTAATGGGTTGCTCAGCTATTCCAACAAATGCATCTTCAATGCCTTGCTGTAACTCGTTCGTTTTGAACATCATAACCCCAAGAGCAGGGCCCGGAGCTAGAACATTATCAGCTCGAGTATGTGGGCGTTCATTGCTTTGGACATCTGGCCCAGGATCTGAAGGCTGTGTAAACAATCCATCTTGTACTGAGATATCTTCCACGGGTATTGCAGCCACCGCTCTGGCGACGCTTCGTTCTCGAGGAGGGCTACTATCTGCCGGCAATCTGGTTCTTCGACCATTCTCTGGGGTTTCCTCCCATGAGTAGTCAGTATCTGATTCTCCGGATGCAGGAGTGTGAGGTTCAACCAGTTGTGAAAATTCAACATTTGATGGAGGTTCTATTTCTTCCTCGGCGGCAGGGTGGTTTCGGCGGAAAACCATCTTGTTCCATTGCGCGAGGAGCCGTGGCGGCACATTGGCCTGAGGCATGCTGGCCCCTGGATCTGGAGGTATCCAGTACCAGGTCATGGCGTCTTGGTCCTCTGGAATATTAACATCTCGCTTGCGAATTCTTTCAAGTCCGTACCAGGGATTCTCCATGACTTGAGTAGAGGTTGTCGAACGTTGTTCACCCTCTGCTAGTATGTTAACTGGAGTGGACTTGCGATTAGTTTCCGTATGAACAATAACTCCAGTTCCCATAGCTAGACGGCCATGGCCCACATTGTTATTGTTCTTAGCAAGCGTGGTCGATGACTCGGTCGTCCAGCCGCTCTGCTCTTTTCTTTTCTCTGACGAGGAAGCCGATGGAGGGCTTTTTGATGGCTTCTGGGGTTCTCCTTTACTTCGCGGTTTTGCAACGTCACCAACAGCTTTATTTTGAGGTTTAAGATGCTGCAACAGGAGAGAAGTTGTAGATGTCGAATACCGTTGGTCAAAGTCCTGGTCTACTGTATGGGAATGGCCCGGTTGTTGTGAGACAAAGCCCTCTTGAGATGCTGTCGCATGAAGGACGGTGCCACTCTGGACATTGATCCTACCTCTTGCAGGGGTGCTTTTAAATTGTAAGGGATTTTGGAGTTTCAAAGACCGGTCAGACCCCGTGGAGCTGTCAGATTCGTACGCATCACCTTCAGCAACCCTGTCGATTTCTCTGGCTTTTTCGGCTTCCTTGATGTGGAGATAAAGCTCCGACATACGCCTGAAGAGAGGTTTGTTATTCTTCACAAGTTTTCCCGGCGCAAGTGTCTTCGATTTCCCCTTTTCTTTGTCAATCTGGAAACGCTCAACGTAGAGATACACTCTTGGCTCAGACACTGAATATTCAAAGACAATCTCAAATTCAATCAGTCGAATCAGACTGCCTTTGTAATCGTCGAGGTTAAACAGAGGAGAGTTCGATTCTCGGCTGTACTGTTCTATTGAGTTTCTGGTAAGGATAGCATTGATCTGGGCAATCGAGTCGGTCAAGGTAACCTGCTTCTTCCAAGTTTCATGTTGCTTTCCTCCTTGTTAGCCAGAGACAAGCAGTAGGTAAAGAAGATGCGAGATCATTTACCTGAACGATACGAGCTGCCCTCTGTGTAGACTCGGCCAAGCGATAGTTACTCCCATCATCCTCCACTTCTAGGCTCCTGGGCTTTTTCAATCCCAAGTCTATCAGTCGCTCAACCAAGGGAATAACCCAACCACCAGATGAAGACATCTCGAAGCATCACTACCTGGGATCGATTTGGGATGATAGCATTGATAGAGTACTGTGCATACTGTGGCACTTTTTGCCGTCACAAAGGACTGGTTGGGGAGAAGACCCTGCCAAAGACAGCTGACAATGCCGGAGCTTATCTGATATTTTCATATCTAACAGACACGAGGTTCTTCATAGCAGAAGCGACATCCTGCTTCCTAGCTTGAAGAATAGAAAAGTCACCAGTCGTGGACTTCTCAATATTTTCTTTATTGGATTTCTTTCGTGAAGCAACTTGACGCGGGCACGCGTCTCACCGCCCCGGCTCTTTATCGAGGTCACATGGCACTCATGTGAAAGCTCCAGCCACAATACTACGCCACATAACACGCGCCACACCCACGTCATTGGGCGGTGGGCAGTTGTCGTGAGGCACCAGACCGACCCAGACGCGAAGAAGCGGTGCCCTCAACCTCTGCCCCCAACAACAAAGCTGCTCGCCCATATGTTGCTGCTACCATGCCTGGAAACTACTGTCTGGGACCCTTAGAATGCAAATCATTCTCGTTGCTGAACGCTCTCTGCGTGGAAACTTATTATCTCCACCCCTCTTCCCAACCCAAGCACTGACAGGCTCTCCGCGGCACACTGTGACTCCGGATGCTGGCTACTGATCTCATCTAGCCTGGGGGTGTAATCCCCTCGAAACTTGTGCTTTGCAGCTTTTCAGTAGTCTGCCTTTGCTGTCGAGAAGCCTCGGATGGGTTCTCACAGATCTGGAGGGGCCGAGAGCCCCTCCGCCTCTTCTATCTTCCTCCCGCTAGGACGACGAGCTTCCCGCGCTTCCATATCGACCCAAGCTGAACGCGAGAGCTTGAATGCTGCTCTCGATCAGATTCACTCAACAGCGTATCAGTCTGATTCCCTCACCGTTTTTAACGATTTCACGAACCCTCCCATTTCAACGTCTGTGACAGATGACAAAACTTTGTCTGGAGAATTACAGGGTGGCTTGAGTGGGCTGTATAATCGCTTTAGAACTTCGGTTGGGGGTGTCAAGGATATTGTGAGCGGTAGTGGCAAGGCATCTGACCGGACAACTACGGAAGATCTTGCTGCAACCAAAAGCCCTGCCGCAGAGTTCTTTATGCGGTCAACTCCTGATCCTGCGCCCGTAGGAGCTGATCCTCAGACTTCACACCAAAGTTCAGTGCAAGGGTCGCGGATAAATTCACCCGTCTCCGGAAATTTTCATCCCGGACAGGATGCGTTGACCCAGTCTGGAGTTGGGAAGGGCTCGAAATTCTCTTCGAAGACCGCAAGTATTTCATCAAAAGCTTCGGTGTCACCATCTCCTGCACTCAAATCCCCGACTGCGCCGCTACCAAAGAACGCAAATAGCTCTATTGCGGTTGGCCCGACAGTGACGGAACTCAATGTAAATGCTATCAAGGACGGCGCTCTCCACTCCAGAAAGAACTCTACCAATGTTTCTTCACATGGAATGCTGACGTCGGACTCAGCAAGTGTTGACAGGGAAGAAAGTCCTGTGCCTGCTTCAATGAGCTCGTCAGGTTTCAGCCAGCTGTTGACCCATTCTCCAAAATTGACTAGCAAAACTTATAGTCATCTGCATGATGGGCCAAATGCAGCAGATGTTACCTGGCCACCAACTTCTACAAACCAGTTACCCAACAAATCTGGGCAGTCTACATCGATAGACCAACAGATGCCTTCAGAAATCGACAATATCTCTTCGAGCTCGCTACGAAAGACGAAACAGACGGATAGTTATCTAATGCCACAAGAAACTATCGCATCCACCAACCAGACTTCTTTCAGTCCTGTCGAGTCAGTAGCATCAAATTCCGCGACAAATAGCGTTGCTCGGACTTCCATGGAGGATGCCTCTTTTCGGGAAGGACAAGCGCCAGTAACGTTGGCTACTTCAATGTCTATGACAGATCATGAATCAAGATCTAGGGCTTCGTCGAGATTATCTGTTCAAAGTCGGCCAAAAGAAGGTCTACAACTTCGTGTCAATCAAACCCGCTTGCCAGGGTTTACAATATCTCGAGTCCCTTCCACAGAGACAGCCGTGTTTTCCTCCGCCGTGACAGCTTCAAATGCCACCCTTGATCGAGGAACTGGCATTGATCAACGGAGCAGGAAAGTAGATGGCGTCGTGTCGCAACTGAGAAGCAAACTGCTGAGCAAAGATTTTTGGATGCGCGATGAGAACGCCAAAGACTGTTTTCATTGTGGAGAGCCTTTTTCGACCTTCAGGCGGAAGCATCATTGTCGCACATGTGGCCAAATATTTGACTCGAAATGCACTCTCTTGATCCCTGGGGCTCGCTTTGGCCAACCAGGCTCTATCCGTGTTTGCAAGCCTTGTGAAGCAATGATCAATGCTCACGAAGATGACTCGTCAGACTACACCGACAGTGAACAAAGTCCCATTGTGGTCAATCCTCGCGTCTCGGATCTCGGCTTGAGTAATATTAATAATAATCGCCCGTCAATTGATGACGATGATACGGCATCTGTAATCTCACAATCAGTCGAACGTGTCATGAAGACCCCCACAATGGCCATACCGGCTACGAGACGAGCGGGTGAAGGCCACAATCGTCGCTCAGCAGTTCTTGAGATACCAGATCGGCCTCTAGCGAGACCTACATCTTCCAGATCTTTGAAATCGTCAATGAGTGGAAGGCCTCATTCAATGGGTCACAAGCGCCATCACTCCCGCCAACAATACATCCGCAATTTCAAGTCTTACCATGACGATCGAGCTCCGTTTCAACGTCGATTTGGAGAGGACATGGGTTCTGAGTCTCGACTCCCTGCCTTTCACAAAGACAGTATTATTGACCCGGATCTTGCGCAGTACCTTTCAGACGATGCATCCAGCGGTGATGAACAGCCAAGCCTGCTATCTGCGGTGTCCGAGTCTTCTTTTTCAAAGAGCGGAGATCACGAAAAGGCGACGCTTAGCGGGCTTTTTGCAGCTGTGAAAAAAGGTCGGTCTGCACTTGGTGATCGGTCATCATTCGCTATGCTCCATGCTGCCCGAGATGGAGACGAGGGGAGTGTAAGCTCGCGAGCAGTGAATCTCCCCCGCACCTCCCGTCGTCGCAATCTCAGCGTTGCTAGCAGCATCCACAGGCAGTCGCCCCGGGCGTCAAAGGACAATGTTTTCAATATCCATGATATTCCCACTCCAGGATATGGCTTCCCAACTGGGGTCACCTCTAGTGGGTTCAAAATGACCCGAAGTTCGTCCATGAGAGGCGCCGGTGCCCCGCCAGTTGAAATGAACCTAGCTAGCCTGCAACATGTTCGAAGGCTTCTACGCCAGCTTTTGAAGGATTCCTCCATCTCTCACGCCCAGAGTTGGGAGAATGCACTCATGCCCATCTTGTTAAAGGCAGCTGACGAGGTAGATCCGGATGTTCAACGAGGTGACGATATGGATATTCGTCATTATATCAAGCTCAAGAAGATTCCTGGGGGTCGGCCCGGAGACACATCATATGTGTCCGGTCTGGTTTTCACTAAGAACTTGGCTCTCAAAAGTATGCCGAGAAGCGTGCCAAATCCCAACATACTTATCATTTCTTTTCCACTTGAATACGCTCGCCAGCAACAGCAGTTTATGAGTCTCGAGCCAGTCATTCGACAGGAACGTGAATTCCTCGCAAATCTTGTTAGTCGCATCGCTGCCTTGCACCCAAGTCTTCTCCTCGTTGAGAAAAACGTCTCCGGCCTGGCGCTAGAGTTATTAGAAAAGGCCAATATTGCCACTGCCTACAACGTCAAGCCTTCGGTTCTTGAAGCAGTATCCAGATTTACACAAACCAGGATTATCACCTCGATGGACAAGCTCGTGACTACTCCAATGCAAAGCCAATGCAGTAGCTTTGATGTGAAGACCTATGTCTACAATGGCCGCAGGAAGACCTATATGTACATATCCGGCTGCCCTAAGTCCCTTGGTTGTACAATTGTCCTTCGTGGCGACGGCGACAGTGTTCTTATGAAGGTCAAAAAAATCACTGAGTTCATGGTGTATGTGGTTTACAACCTCAGACTGGAAACCTGCTTGATGAGGGACGAATTTGCGCAAATCCCAACGGCTCCAGATAGCATGCCGAAGAAATGGACAGCCGATGCAGAGAAGCAAAGTAATCAAGCTTCCCCGACAAGCCCGGGTGATTCAAAAGCTGTGTCTCCCGGGCTTCTGAAATCGAGTCCAAACGAGAAATCCAGCGATGCCCCATCACCTGACGCGCCAGTCGCTCCGGTAGCCGACGCAATTGAAGTTCCCGAGGATGCTCCCATGCCAACATTTTACGAAGATATTGTCCAGAGACACGAGACTATAGTGCTGTCCGCCTCGCCCTGTGTCAAATTTGAACCGCCCTACCTCCTTATGAGAGCCAGGGAAATGGAACGCAGATTAGCCCACCTGAAACAGCTGCGTGACCAAGGGTTGAAGTCAGAACTTCCGGCTGAGGAGGAAACAAAGCCTCAGAAATTCATCCTGGTCACACCTGAGATGGTGCATAAATCGCTTCACAATGCACCGCCTAAGGTGAAGGAAGTTCTGAATGCTGCACATGAGGCTGAGCACGATAGAGCACTTGATCATTACCAGGCCCAGAAACGGCAATGGGAAGCTTACATCTCTGGTAATTCGGACCTCTTCGATCCTTACGCACACCAGAACATAGTAGTACTCTTCAGTCTGGTCTGCACCACGACCTCCATTCCGTGCTCTGGTCCCGATGTGTTTGCCTTGGAGTATTATAATGAACATGGAGGCGATAGGATGTTTGAGCCAGACTGCACTATCGGCCAATACGTGGAGGATCTGTGCCATAATGCCAATTCCATTTGCACTGTCAACGGATGTGAAAAACGGATGTTCGAGCACCATCGTCAATACGTCCATGGTGAGGCTCAGATAAGCATTTTCATCCAGCCCTATCCAAGCAAGCTGCGAGGTTTGCAAGATACAATTTTGATGTGGAGTTGCTGCAAGATTTGCGGCAATGAAACGCAGGTCATCCCCATGTCCGACAATACATGGAAGTATTCCTTTGGGAAATATCTAGAGATTTCTTTCTGGAGCAAGAACTTGCATGCCCGCGCAGGCGTCTGTCCCCATGATTTGCAGCGGGACCATCTTCGTTACTTTGGCTTCAAGGACGTTGCTCTTAGGATTCACTATGACGCAATCAACTTACTTGAAGTTATCGTCCCGGGGACTCGAGTCACTTGGAAAGTGGACAATGACTTGAAGCTAAGGAACGAAGTCTACCTCAAGACTGAACGAAGGTTGAACATGTTTATGGCTTCTGTCAATGCTCGATTGAAAGGCATCAACGTTGAAAGCGTAATTCCAGAATTGGCTGAAGACTGCAAAAAGGAAATCGACAGTCTGGTCAAAAAGGCGAGCGAAGACCAGGCTATTTTAATCAAACAGCTTCAGGACAAGTACACAAATTCTCGTTATTGGGAAGTGACCCCTCTCAATGAAGCGATGCGGTCAGTTCAGGAGAAGGTGGTCGAGTGGGACACTGCTTTTGCAGAATTCGAGAAGAATTTCTTTCCATCTGAAAAGGATATCAAACGACTTGCTACGTTGCAGTTGAGAAAGATTTTCCTAGATAAAGATGCTTCAGTGACCTCTGTCACGTCCGCTGAAGAGGCCCCGACCACACCTACAGAACCCGGTGAGGAAAAGGAGAGTGAAACCTCAGCGAAGCCCCGTGCTTTGCGTCGAATGACACTGTCGCCGGAAAAGGCTCAAGATGTTTTTGTGTCTGTGGTAGAGGAGCATTCCGGGAAAAAGAACAGAGACAAACACGATGCAGTCATTGAATCGCCTGAATTGTCTCCCTCCTTGGATGAGGTACCAAAATCTCCAGCCCTTAACAACCACGAAACAGAACAGGGGGTCTCTTCTCCCCAACTTGAGGCCATGGTGCAAGATGAAGTACAGCACCTGGATCTAGCGCTACCATCTAATCAGCCAATTCAAATTCCTCTAGGCTTGGCACCCTCATCGTCTGAACCAACCCTGCCACCACCAGATACTACTCCTTCGGGTACCGGCGAGATGTCGACTGATGCCCCTGCTGCCCATCCGGTGGAAAATCAGGGTCCAATTCAAAATAATAGCAAGGATGGTAGCGCAGCGGGAACCCCGCCAAGTCCCCAAGGCCAGCTACCTTCGGCCATTCCTCGACTTGCGGAAGGCGCCTTTCGCAGGACTTCCAAGACGAGGCCATCTCCCATATTCCGAACTCAGTCTCAGCCTAGCCCTCCCTATAAGGATAGGAGCCTCAATGGTTCTACTTTGGGTGCTCTTAAAGCAGGCTTCGGAAATCTCAATGGAAATGACGGTGCCCTCAGCCCTCCATTTGAGGGGAAGCTCAAGTTTCACGATCGAAAGCTATCGGATCGCCTGGGTCTGAGTGCTCTCAAGTCTGGAAGATTACCTTCAGGACATTCTCTCATTCCTCGCTCTATTCCTAAGAAAAACGCCACGCGGGTGTCCAGTCTGGCCAAGCATTTTGAGCAACTGAGCCGCGAGTTTGAGAAAGAGCGTCAACGGGAAAGACAGCAGCGAGCTGCTCGTGGTATACATTCTCGTGCTTATCCCATGGCGTCTTCAAAGCCAGTCGTGGAAGTCTACAGGAACGTACGGGAGGCTGTCGAAGAGCGCGAGCCTTCGGGAGAGGGAGAGGATCTTCTATCATTAGTACCGCGGGTCTCGTTGGAAGAAACTAACAAGAATAACGAAGAACCCGTGAAACAGGTCGCCGAGGAGCAGAAAGAAGAGATTGTCCCGGATCTCCCCGTCGAACCAGATGATAACAAAGAGATCGATCAAGCCGACAACCAAAACGCCTCCGAGGCTGAGGCAGAAGCAGATGAAGAGCATAGCGACGAAGATAAAGCGTTCACAGATGAGCTTCACCTCACTGAGTCTCATGAAGAGCTTGGGAAGATGTCCCCAGAAGACGAGTCTATGGACATCAAAGACCTACCCAAGCACGAGAGAAATACCCTTCTGCAGCTACTCACTAATTTCTGGTCCGAACGCTCTGCAAGCGGTTGGGATCCCCTCGAATATCCGCTCAAGATGTCCGAACACATGTTCACGGATTGCGATATCATTGTCCGGGAGGATGAACCCAGCTCCCTTATAGCTTTTGCTCTGGACTCGCCGCATTACAAGGAAAAGCTCGCCAGCTTCCAAGCACAGTATGAGGAGCAAGAAGAGCCCCGGTCAGACTCGAGCGGAAGTACAGATTCTGCAAGCGAGTCCAGACTTGAGCATGCGCTTCTTCGAGCCACTGGAACCCACCTCAAATATCAGTTCCAAGAGGGTCAGGCGAAGATGCTTTGCAAGATCTTTTACGCAGAGCAGTTCGATGCACTACGAACTAAATGTGGAGTCGCTGAGCGTATTGTTGAATCGCTCTCCCGGTGCGCGAAATGGGATTCGAAGGGGGGTAAGACCAAGTCACTTTTCTTGAAGACACTTGACGATCGATTCATCTTGAAGTCTCTCTCCACGATTGAAACACAGGCTTTTCTCAAGTTTGCCCCGGCCTACTTTCAAATCATGTCGGAGGCGCTCTTCCACGAACTGCCATCGGCTATTGCAAAGATGTTCGGATTCTACCAAGTAATTATCAAAAACCCAGCGACAGGCACTGAGTTCAACTGGTTTCTGCTGCTCATGGAGAATCTCTTCTATGACCGCGTGCCCACTCGCATTTTCGACCTCAAGGGCTCCATGAGGAACCGCAAGGTTCAAAGCACCGGCGAACGCAACGAAGTGCTTCTGGATGAAAACATGGTCGATTTCATCTATGAGACGCCACTGTTTGCTAGAGAGCACTCGAAGAAATTGCTGGGCCAGAGCGTATGGAACGACACGCTTTTCCTTGGCCGCCAGAATGTGATGGATTACTCGCTCATGATCGCTATCGACGAAAACCGGCGTGAGCTTGTTGTCGGGATCATCGACTGTATCCGCACCTACACGTGGGATAAGAAACTCGAGTCCTGGATCAAGGATCGTGGCTTTGCTGGAGGCGGCAAGAACAGACCTACCGTCACCAGTCCCAAAGAGTACAAGAGCCGATTCCGAGAGGCCATGGCTCGATACGTCCTCCAAGCACCAAGGTAAGCAAGTTATGCATGCAAATGTCTATTGGAATTGCACTGACTGGAGTTCTCCTGCCTAGTTGCTGGCACCAATTCCAACCAAGCCATATGTACCGGTATCCTCGAATTGAGAGCCAGCTTGATCAAATTCCAAACACGACAGATGTCGACAGCGTCGATGGGAGTGCCGACTTGAATGCTGCCTTCTGATAAATTTCCGTTGCACGAGTTTTACGAGTTTGCAGTTGATAGACAATGAACGACTCACGACTTGACGACTCTCTATTACATATACTCACTCCATCCCAGCTATGATTTTTTCTTTCTCGGATATGAAGTTGATGAGCTGTATATACATTCATTACACTGAGCGTTCCGTTCCACATAATTTCAAATGAAACAAGCATATACTACCTATAATCCGCATTACTTACCATGGTATCAAAAAGAAGACATCACTACCTAAGCATCATAGCCTGCCTTCAGCCACCAGAGCCCGGACCATCGGCTGGATCCGGGTGGATGAGCGGAAGTTCCTGGCGCAAGTCGGGAATATCATTTGCCCTCGGCATGAGTCCCTGCTATTTAAGGACAAGGATGTCTGTGAAGTGATGGAAGAGAAATTATTCGATGTTATGGGCGTCGGTTCTTGGCTGATAACTAATGCAGGATATTGAGATACTGGCCACTCACAACGGCATCAAACCAACTATAACCACTACCTAGTTCTAGATAAGACAGTCTTCTTGGCTGTCCCTTCTTGCTTCAATGTCTCCAATCACGGCTTTTTTTTAAAGGAAATCTTGATTCAAAATCCGTTTTGATCTAGACCTAGTCCAATATTGGGCATTTGACTCATTCATTTACATGAGAAAAAGAGGGGCGACTCATTAATTTTGGCTTGGAAAACAAAAGGCAAAAATGAAAAACAAACAGATCCCAGCTCTGAATGGCAAGACAAGCCATCTTGCAAGGAAAGGTAGGTAGAATCGTGCCCCGGTCGATACCTAACCTTCGGACAACCGTTATTATTCGAAGAAGGGGGGAGGGAGGAAATAGGCCAAGGGACCAGGCCACAGGCCGGCGGATATTAAAGGTTCTGTGGCCCAATGTTCAGGTCTTGCCTACTCCTGAAAAAGGGAAAAAAAAAGTTGACAACGCAAGGCTTGTTAACCAACTGCCGTTGCACTGACCCAGCGACACTCTCAGGTTCGCGTTTTTATGTCTTGCCCAAGGAAGATATTTACTCGTCGACAAGACCAAGGTTCTCCTCAGCGGGGACCACACGGATGGTGTTGGTGTGGCCCATGCCGCCGCGCCAGCCCTGGACACAGACAATGGGGTCACCCTTGTTGATGATTCCGAGGGCCAGACCGTGCGAGATACCCCACTTGAGACGGCGGTCAACATCCTCCTGCCAGATCTGAACGCTGAAGTCGGGCTTCTTCTCCGGGAAGTAGAACGGCCAGACACCACGGTAAAGGTGGGAGTACTGTTAATTCCATGTCAGCAACGATACTTTTTTTTTCAGATTCATAATGCTGGGTGAAGCTTACGCGAGAAGCAACGGGGTTGCGAGTGATCATGATGATAGGGCAGACAGGGCGGTACTTGGACAGGAAACGAGCGGTTTTGCCACTTGAAAATTGTCAGCAAAGATGGTTCGTTCTAATACGCCAAAAAAGAAGTGGACAAACCTTGTGGTCAGAACGACGATGGCACCGGCATTGAGCTCGAGACTGGCGCTCACAGCGGCCATGGAAATAGACTCGACGGTGTCGGTGGGACGAGGGGCAAGGTTGCGGAGCTCGTCAAATACGTTGAAGTGAGGGATGGCGACCTCAGCGAGCAGGCAAGTCTCGTGCATCATGCGAACAGCCTCGCAAGGATAGTTACCCTTGGCAGTCTCTCCGGACAACATGACACAGTCAGCACCGTCGAGAACAGCATTGGCGACATCGGAGACCTCGGCACGGGTAGGGCGAGGGTTGTACGTCATGGACTCAAGCATCTGGGTGGCACAGATGACGGGCTTGCCCTTGATGTTGCACTTGGCGATCATCATCTTCTGGGCGATGAACACCTTGGCGGCAGGGATTTCGATACCGAGGTCACCGCGGGCAACCATGACACCGTCAGTCTCTTCCAGGATCTCGTCGAAGTTGTTCACACCCTGCTGGTTCTCGATCTTGGCAATGATCTGAATCTCCTTACCATCGTCACCGAGAACCTCGCGGATGTCGCGGATGTCCTGACCGCGACGAATAAACGAAGCAAAGATCATGTCAACTCTGTTCTTAACACCGAATCGCAGATCGGCCTTGTCCTTCTCGGAAAGAGCGGGAAGATCGACATCGGTACCCGGCAGGTTGACACCCTTACGGGAGGAGATGTTGCCGTTGTTCAAGCACTTAACACGGACAGTCTTGTCGTCAACAACCTCGATCACCTCGAATGACAGAATACCATCATCAACATAGATGAGCTTGCCCGGCTGGATCACCTTGGTGATGTTCTTGTAGTCGAGATACCTATGACGCAGATATATTATCAGAAAGAGCCCGGCATAGACCGTTGAATGCCAACTGGGTTCGGGTTTGACTTACATGTTCTCATCGTCGCAAGCGGTGGCATATTGGTCATCAGTGGTGATGTTCATCACGTGGCCCTCCTTGATGGGAATATCCTTGTCATCGGTGGTGTTGCCAGTACGGATCTCGGGTCCTTTCTAATGGGGAATCAGACATGTCTGCTCAATGAAGAAGATATCGACAATCCTCCTTCAGTACTTACGGTGTCAAGAGCAATCGCCAGAGGGCGACCGGGCTGAAGCTTCTCGGCCTCGCGGGAGTGGTCGATGACAGACTGGTGGTACTGCTCGAATGTCAGCGATTGCATTGAACTTGGCTTCTCTCCTGTCTCTCTTGGGGCTGACAAACCTCATATGAGCCGTGGGAGAAGTTCATACGAACGACGTTGAGACCGGCTATTCATCATCACCATCATGTCAGCGTGCCGCCTTTTGATGACACAATTTCTGTAGGTTTTTGGATTGCATACCCTTGCGGAGCAGGTTGATACTCTCAACGGAGTTGGTCTTGGGGCCTGGAGATCGAGATTACCGTTAGCAATGACACACTTGAGAACTCAAACAGGGCTCTCTTTCTGCAATAGAAAGGTCTGTCCAGCTCCTCCGACCGCTAAAAAGATACATACCGATGGTGCAAATGATGGAGGTTCTGCGGAAGTTTTTGGCGGGCACCATCTCGGTGTTGAGCTTGGAGTGCCATTCCAGCTTCATGCGGTTGCTCAGGTGGTCGAGGGAAGTAGTAGCCGCCATTTTTGTGGTGTTCTGTAGTCTTCCGACGGTTTAGAAGAATGGGAGAATGAAGGTGAAGGGGAGAAATCTGGAGATTCAGGGAGATGTGGAAAAGGCAAGCCAGATCAGAAGGTTACTAGAAGGTAGTATGTTGAGAGAGGGGCTTTCTCGTGCACGGGAGGGAAAACGCTGTTGGCCACCAAAAGCGGTACGCCGTAACAGGGAAGGTTATCTCCAGCCCCTCGTGCACGGATGCTGGAGACATTGAGTAACTGGTCAACTACGTAGTTATTTACAGATTATTAGTTAGCTGCCGGTAGCTATTATTATTTACTATCTAGAAAAAAATCATTTAAAGCTTTAAAGCATCGAGTAATCAACATGCCACCCATTATTGTCTGCTAACAGGCCATTTCTTCATTGCTGAAGGCCGACCCTGCTGGTTCCCAGCTCGCAAATGCAACCATGCCTTACCTTGGGTTTTACACCGCGAATCGAATGCAGTATAGATTGGAACTGAACGCCGGCGGGATTCCAGCCTGATTCAAACAAACACGAGCATTCGAGACGAATGAGCAGTGCGTCTGCAATGGCCATGACAAAAAGCGATGCCTCCACAGGCCCATTTCCCGGTGAGCTTTTTCGCTTGGTTGTACGGCAGTACTCCGTATGTTTCTTGGTTCAGTCGTCAGCCCACTATTAGCTCCGACGCGAGCCGGGCCTTTCCTCTTATCGATAAGCAGCCCGCCGGCATCACCGTTGATCCGGAGAGTAGCGCGCTAGACCTGACCCGGCTAGATGTCCTACCAGCCACCGCGGCCTAGACAGCTCTCACGTGACTCTATACACCAGCCGCCGGCGACGAGCCCGAGGGAAGCTGACCGCTCCCGTTAGGCAGTAGTTACTCCATAGCCTTCTTCCACAAAGAGAGTCTGACCTACATAACCGTTTCTTGATTATCAATATACAGCTCGACTGTCAGCTGTCCTTGCAACCTCTGCGCGAATACCCTCACACCACTGCCACCACCATGGTAAGTTGCGCGAGAACCGTCCGCTCCTTCCGATAACAACTCGGATACTAATGGAACCACCAGTTGGGCCGTCTTACACATTACGCCTTCGATGCGGTGCTCAGTAAGTTACACGAAGACGGTTTCTCCGCTGTTGAGAGATTTTAATGAGTACCTGCTAACTGGTTTTCTCGTACAGTCTCCGCCTTCCTCGCAGGCGTCAAACGCTCCACTGGCCTCACGTAAATACCCCCCCCTCCCCCTCATGCCCGGTTTACCGTCAAATGATCAAGGATTTCAAATCTTGCTCTGCATCTACATAAGGTTCAGTAGTAGCTGACTTGCTTGCCCGCCGCCCCCTTCTGGGTGGGCCGCGCGTGGGCGTCTTCACAGCCCCAGCCTCAACTCGGACAAGATCACAGAGAACAAGGACTTCAAGAAGTGGATCGATAACTACCTCGGTGTCGGCGAGTGGGTGATGGACCAGTCTGTGGCGGTGTTGGGGTCGACCAGCTGGTTTGAGCGGAGACGGTGATCTATCGATTATAACTATACCCCTTCCCGCGCCTCCCGGGCATCGGTGTTGGGAAATGACTCGCTTTGTACGAATTACTGAAGCTGTTTTCACGGAAGTGAGGGGCATCCATGCTTTTTTCTTTTATTCCTTTCTGGTTTCTAAAGTGGTCCTGGTGACTTGAACCCGAGAAGGTTGTCTTTCCTTTTTCTTAACCCTTTTTTTCCCTTTTTTCCGTCCCACAGACATGTAGCATTGCGCTATACATATGTGTTTTCTGTATATTTGCTCTTTTATCGATGACCTTGTTGAAACCAACAGACTAGGAGACTTTTTCTTCCCCTTCACGATGATTTGGCTGTGGAGAAGGGTCTGGAGTTAGGAGCTGAATTACATTTGTGGAATATCTATACATTTCATATATGGCTGACACTGAGGAAGAAAAAACCGATCAAAACTCATGGTTAGGCCATTCGCTGAATTGCTTGTCTTAGACTAAGTCATCAAAGCCAACCAACTCCGATATGTGTAAGATTCAAATGTCCCGGCAATACTCCATACTATGCTAGATTCAGGCAGATCAAGTGTTTAGGAGGGCGTCGATATCCACGCGACGGAAATAGGTGACATGGCCCATTGATTCCCAGTAATGGGCGATGCAGTTCGTAGAGATCAAGATCAATTGCGACGAGATAAAGACATCTATAGTACCAATGCAACGGGGTCGTTAGCAGAGAGAACAGTTCCCACATTTCAAAGAATCATGTATTCAGGCGCATTTCGTACCATCTTGAAAGCCAAGCCCGGCGACATGGCCTCGACTACGCACAATCCGGGAGCCTTGGAAGGGAGCCTCGTCTGCGCCAGCGATGCGCACGAGACCGTCATCGCCGATATCGTCTGCGATGAAGGACACCTCGCCACGGGGCACGTTCGGGTCACCGGTGAGTTTGATTCCTTCTAGACTCCCCCGGTTCATAGATGGACTGTCATTGTTGTTGTGAGCATTATTGCCGTCCCGCTGCAGGAAGAGAATAAATTCGCATCCATGAGCTAGGTAGTCCCCCACCCAGATCCCCTGGTACGGCTTCTGCTTGGTGGGCGTGTAAAGACTCGAGTCGAGTGTTGCGTAGGTCGAGAGCGCCTCGCTGGTCCCCGCCGTGAACAAGTACATCCCCACGCCGAAATGGGCCCAGCGGCGAATCCGGAACGCCGCCTCGGAGACCTGCGCGATGCTTCGTGGACGCTCGTTCCATTCCGACCAGTGCCTTTCTACCTCCCGGTAGACGCGTGTGGAGCTGGGGATGGCTGGTGGTGGCCATTGTTTGTCTGGGCGGGCATGTTCCAGATCGGACGGGTACTCGCGCGGACACAGCGAGATGGCGTTGTAAACATGTTGCGACTCGATCTCCATCGGCATCCGGATTTCTCCATGCAGATAGTACCGCGTGGGTTTCCCATTGAGCTTGTTGTTCTTGAGCAGGATCACGGGGTCGTCCAGCCAGAGCCTCACCTTCGGGTCGAAGGTGAGCACAACCACCTCGGGATTCCAGTCCCAGACCTCGGACTGCGGTACGGGTCGCTCAGCGATGACCCGGTAAGCCTCGATCACGCCCCGGCGGTAATCGTAGCGCGCCAGGATCAAATTTCCCGTGTGCTCCGTGTCGGAGATCCAGACTTTGTGCCGCGGGATGAACCAGTATGGGTGGTGGGCGATGAAGAGCTCCCGGAACGAGCCGAAGGGGCCCGGATCCGCGAGGGGTATCGACAGCTGCGCATTGACAAGCGAAGCCCATAGCATGTCGTTCGAGGCGTGTGCCGCCAGCGTGCGGCAGGTGGTTGATACGTGGGCGAGGTCTCGTGCCGTCAGATAGGAGAGAATCTCGTTCAGCAGCTCGGAGGGGAGCCATGCAAGATGTGGTGATTCTGACGGATCATCAAAAGGTATTCTGCTCCCATCGATAGCATTGCCGTCGTGAGAACCATTTTGACTCTCGGTCTGTTGTGGTGGTGACGGTTGTGGGAATGCCTGATCGTAGTCCTGGGAGACTGTTTGGGCCGCCGCACTCTGTCTCTCAGCGTCAGAGCGAAGATACTGATAGTCTGTCGCCGGGTCCGTACCAGCCCCTGTATCCGAATAGACGTCCATCGAAGCGACGAGAATTATTCTGCGGCACCCAAAACAAGCTGTTTTCGCGCGACAGATTGGGGGAGACCAAATGCTCAGCCCGCTGCCGTTTCGTTGCGGCGAGGGGTTGGACAGCTGTATCAGGCCGGCGGGCAGAATGACATCACGAAACACAGGCCTGGGGGAGGTTTAACAGGTATTAGGCACGAGAAGCCATGGTAGAAATGGCCTTTAGCTGGTCGCGATAAGAAAGCAAGGAGCGAACCTGGTGAGGTCTTTCTGTGGGTTCTACATTCATTCTGGTCATAACCGACACCGCTGGAACTTTGTGTTGTGGTTCTGAAGCTAGTTATTAGTCGGTAAACCTTCCTGGTATCTATAGTTACAGAGGTTATTCAAAATAATATAAGAATTTTTAAATTGATAATAATAATTTAAATGGTGGTAATAAGTGAACAGAGAAAGAAGGATTAGAAAAATGGTTGGAAATACTGGAGTGGTGTATTCATGCTCATGAGCGTCATCTGAGGCCCAACTAGTAGTTACTACTATATGCTGGTGGTATATACTTGGGATGCTTCGAACTGATCCATCTATTCCTTTCTCACCTCCCCGTCACTATCGCTCGCCCGAGTTCTTTGCCTCACACGCCCCGCTGCGTCATGTTCTTCATCCCAGCGATCAATTTCTTCGTTCGGGATCTTGACCAGCCGATGCGCCGTACTACCATCATCCCCGTGGATGATTGTCTGTCGGTACTGGTACTTGCCCCATTTGGGAATAACCAATATCCAAACGTAATAGTACACGACACATACGCCAAGGCTAGAGCTCGTATTAGCATAGGCATTCATATAAGTGAGGGTAAAGAAGGTATAACTCACATGCAGAGCCCGGTCACACAGTACGTGGCATACCAGAATGTGACATCGCCTCCATCGGCTCCGGTAGTGGGCGGCCACCATGGTAAAATGAGCATATATGTGCAGGTAACGAGGGAAATCCCCACAGCTAGATCCCAGCAACGATACTCTGCTTTTCCCAAGTTGAGGCGCTTGCGCTGACGACGGGTTATGAGCAAACCGACAGTCAGAATGAAACTGAAAATGTTGCCGGGATAGATGCTTAGATCCACGACTAGTAGAGTCGGTCAGATAACCCTGAGCTATTGGAGAAATGGGGAAAGGGAGGTATCGTACTGAAGTCGAATGCGTCACCTGCAGGAGGAGCAAGAATCATCACAATCGTCAAGGCCCATTTCACAAGATACGGGCCGAGAGGAGTTCCAAAGGGCCGTGTGGAGGTCCAAAAGGTGGTCCAAGGGAGAACACCTTGTCTATCAGAGGTCAGTACAGCATAACCTACGCCTGGGGAGTTTGAATTTGGTGTTCAATTACCTTCCACATTCTCGAAGAACTCGAGACTGGCCGATCAGGACAGCAACCAAGTTGCCAAAGGCACTGAGACAGATGAGGAAATTCAGTGCTTTCGCTGCCCCTCCTGACCCAAAAACCTTTTCAAAGAAGACAGCGGCGGCGATCTGCTCAGACTCTATGATCTCCTCTTTGGAGGCGACCGAAAAGTATGCAATATTGGCCAATATATAGAGAACTGCGGTAAGAGTAAGGGACAAGGGGGCGCTCCAACGAAGAGTTTTGATCGGATTCTATCGTTTTCCAACGTTCAGATTAGCATGGGTTGATCCAATGGGCGAGCTGGAAAAGGGTGTGGTAAGATGTAGACCAACCTTGACTTCGTTGACCACGTTAAATGCATTGGTAAACCCCTGATAGGAGAAGACCACGTCGATCAACGCGTTGGTTGCTCCATACACTGTGGCGTCTGAGGTGCCGGAAAATGCATTCTTGAAATTTGCTGTAGGATTCTTGACAGATGTGTGTCCTCCAAGCACAACAAGACCGGTGATTCCAATGCTGTCGTCAATGAACTTGTCAGCCGCAGTGTACTGGGAGGCCATGTATGGTCACTGATAAACGTTACTAGTAGTACTCACAAGATCAAGGTCAGAAGCTTCACGACTCCAATGAGGTTGGAAAGCAAGAGCGAGCCTCGAGTGTTGAAAATGACAACTAGCAACCCATCAGTCAGTTCTGATCATGAGGAAGCTATGGGGGAAGTGAGTGAGAACGAACATAACACGGCCACGGTATATGCCGCCACTGCGACGCCCTTCTCCTGCCACGCGGTAGGTGTTGTTCCAGCAAGAGCGAACAAATATTCCGCGAGAACTAGTAGATGCCTCCAGTTAGATAGGAAAAATGGATATAAACACCGGAATCCGATGCGTTGCTCTTGAGCTAGTACCTACCAATGGCATTGCTACTGCTGAAGGAAAACAGAACGGTTTGAATGGCGAAGATGGTCGGAAAGAGATATCGAGGTCGAGGAAATGACTGTTCGAGGTAGACCACCTCGGAGCCAGAGCGGCTGGGGAAATAGGCAGCGAATTCAAGATACACCGACAGTGTACTGTAAGACATGATGTACCCGATGACCCAGTAGAACAGACTGAGTCCGATCGAGCCCGTTCCTTCCACAATGGCAGAAGCTGAAACCGGTTAGACAGACCAAAGCCGGTGAGAGCAAGAAAAAGAACATGAACATGAACATACGGGTGGAAAAAACACCGGTCCCGACCATCATGCTAAGGTTCAGGAAGATCACCGTCACCCATCCCACCGAGTATCCCAGAGGACTGTGATGCTCAACCGGAGCACCACTGGCCTCCTGAATTGTGAGCTTGTTGGAATTATCTCCCCCTTCGACCGTATAATGCAGACTGCCTTGGTCGATATCGCTCACGACGGGGTCAGAGACCACGCTCTGTTCGACCTTGGCCTCCTTGGAGTGGAGGAATCCAGAAGCCATTTTGATCTGCCGTGAGTTCTGAAGCAAGGAATTGAACTCTCGATAAAAAGACTGAAGAACAGAGCAATATATAGTTATTGCTTTTCGCTGCTCACTCAATACCTGGGCACATAAAACACACCATCAATGCTCATTGCTGGTGGCGATGGCGAAATTGAAAAATGAAAGCACGACAGAGCACGCGTCAAAGCTGTCCACCTACTTAGAGTTGGCTGGTCTCTTGAGTGGATCGGAGGTGACACTCGACAGATGGAAAAGAAAAATGATGTCTAACAATGGTTGTGCTCTTGGGGGTTTGAAGGGCGGGTGTTATACTCTGAGAAACCCAACCCCGGTCCTATACAGACCATTCAAAGCTACAGTTTCTATCGTCTTCAACCTCTCTTATCTGACTATTGATAGCATGATTCATGATAAGGAGGGACATATTCTTGATGTTATGGCGCCATCTAGAGTTCAAGAGAGGCAAGATTGTCTGCTTGCAGGGATTAATGTGAGCATGGATATCAAGAAGACATCCACTCGGTAGAGGTTTCATCATCTACACTAGATATTGCATCAAGGAAGGAAAAGTACTGATATAAAGCTGTTTTCTCTGCAAGATTCCTGTCTAATATGTCTGTCAAGTCTTTCGTTCTTTCTCTTCTTCTTATACATAACCCTCTACCGCAGTATCATCATCAGTATAGTCAAACAAGTACCACGACGGCACCTATCTACGGAGCTATTTAGGTAGTATTCACTAACTGCCGAACCCACTTATTTTATCTTCTCCATTATTGCGGGCACAAGTCATCTCTTACGGACTATCATTTCTCGGCCATTGCCGATCTTCTGGACAATCCCCGGCAGAGGTGTCGTTGATATGAGCCGTGTCTGTCCAGAAAGATATGCTGTAGTTATCAATTATGCTCAGATAAGGCAGTGTCCGGTGCGGGGATATTCTAGGCTATGCCAACATCCCTGGCTTGAAGACGATAACGTCGATATTGATCTACTGATCTACTGGTAGGTTTCTGTATTGATTATCGGGTGGACACTATGGGAAAACAAGAATCTAGTTCTGGGCTAAAATGGCAGGTTTCATGTTTATTCTCAAAAGGTAGACAGTATGGAAAACAGCTCCGAGTCTATTAGCATCTTCATAATGTCTTGTATAAGCCTTAGTCTATCATTTGGTATTACGGCGTCAAGCAATACTTATAGAACAGGCTCAAAGATTGTGAGATACCCCCACAGGGATACCCCCCAGTGAGCGTCACCCAACTCCTCAAGAGACAGCTTCCGTCAGGATTTATCGTCAGTTCAATCTTGAAGGCTTCGTCATTGTGGTATTTATCTCCCCGCATTGAACCCAATATCTAGTTGAACTGGGTGAAGTTCACGACTCTCTCCTCAGCGGTCGACTATGTGATCGGTGGCACTGGCACTGGCCGTCTGGTGGTGGCCAACCGACTCTCTGAAGACCCAAACACCATAGTCTTCATGCTGATGATCGGTCCAGATGGGACCAGCGATGCCCGGATATCCTAGGAGTCACTTCAGGAACCAAGACGCCAGCTTCTATCCACTTGAATGGACAAGGAGAAAAAGGTCTGGCGACCGGACTGCTTGCAAGATGAACAAGGTCATGCGTGGTTTTTTCGGGAATCCTCTATGTGGCATCTGCCTGCATCTTGCTGCCCGCGAGGTCTCCCAACGGTGGTACCTTGAATATGCCTCCGGTAGACCACAGCACCCACGTCTCCTCTGCCGCCGACCTTGACGCACCAGATGTCGAGCTTCTGAATAGACATTTTCAAACACTCTATCGGTTGCCCTTGGCCCCCGCCTTGCAGCCCTTTTGCCAGCAAGAAGCGCCGGTTGCGAGACAGCTCCCCTTACAACCTATCACACAGGTGGCACGGCAGTAATGCTCCCGTGCGAAGCAGGTGGAGTGGTAGATCGGTATTTAAAGGTATACACCGGACGTAGGACCTGCAGCTGGTTGATGCGAGAGCCCTTAGGCAACCTCCTCGTGTTGCTCGATCCATCTCAACTGTTAATCACTGGAAATACTGGGGCTCTGAGTGGGTTACTTATTGTTACTACTACATATGTCTCTCCAGAGCGGTTAGTCTCCTTTCTAGTTATAACGATCAGGGATAATCAATAGATACCATACCTACTTACAAGCTAACCACGGTGTTCAAATCGCCTACTTTTTCCTATATCATAGCGTGTCGTGACTCGCCTTGTGCGTCACATGATGGGTAGCTCGGGTTTGTTTACGTTTAACCCGATCGGGTAATATGGAGCCGCCACGCACCTCGTCCTGCCAGGGATTCAGGAAAGACGCGCCTCAATGCATCCTCCAGAGGGAAGCTGCTGCCTGTCAATAGTGCGAGGACCTCCTTCCTTGTCGATCCCACAATTGGCCGGCGGGGTTGTTTGTTTGTGTTGTTGCCTTTCTGTTCCCTTCAGCAGCACAACAATCCTCTTGTGTATTGTTGTTATTTCCTCATGATAAAAGACTGCCGCTACGCGCTTGTTGGAATTTAGTATATTTATCTTTCCGTGCCTTTTCTGGTGGCTACTAGTTGCCTGTTGTCGGTCATATCCGCCTGAGCTTGTCTCTTAAAGATATCTTGAGTCAAAAGCCAGTGCATTAGTTCGCCAATTTATCTATGCGCCCGCATCTGAGGCGAGGCCAGTCGAATTGAAGAGATCAACAACAAGTGGGAAAAGGCTATTTTATTACACGTTAGTGATGCTCCTGCTGTCAATTTTCTGAAAGTACGGGGTGTAACTATTCTAACATCGTAGTTAGTTACATCAGATAGAAGAACCATGTCATCCCCTGTGCATTCAGATGGCTCGGTGTTGAGGCGGTCGTCCAGGAAGAGACGAAACTCATCGATATCCTGTTCAGACAGTCATACTTCGAATTCGGCGGAATTACCCAGTAACATGTCAATTCAAGAGAAAAGAAAGTCGGGAGTGTATACGCAGCGGGTGGAAAAGCCAATAACCCCACGCAAATCATCCAAGAGGGTTCGCTTCTCGGACTTAGGACCTTGTCACCACGGACTGGGCGATGCCTCCACGGGTCTTACTCCAGCAATTCTTCGCACCTCGTTTGAAGAGTCGAGTCCCAAGTCCAATTCTCGCACTAGACGGCGCTCGACTCCCATGGTACGCTCTCGTCGCTCGCTAGATTCTGCATTTCCTCTTTTGACACCGCAGCCGGGAAACATATTCCAGTGGACACCCCTACGTCAAGTCCTGGACTCACGAACTCAGCGTCGTATTCGGCGCGTCGGCTTGAGTGACGAGATCAACCAGTACGAACGAGAGAAACGTGACGCGGTGAAGTTTGAGAAGGCTCTGGAAATTCTCCGCCAAGAAAGAAATGTACAAGATGCAGAGATTGCGCGGCTCAAAGAGGAGCTACATATGAAGGAAACTCCCAGCTCGGGGTCAAGCGACAAGACATCCATGTTCGAAACAGATTTCACGTCAGATAGGTCTAGAGCATCTTGCTCCGCACCTTCAACACCTATCTCAAGCAGTCCAACCCGCCATTTGAACAATATGGACGATATAGACGACACGATTATGTTTAATGATAGTGGATTCGAAAACGATACACTTCTCGCGTCGAATTCCCCCGAAATGAGGCCTCGATATGATGCCCGGCCTCTTCTACCGTCTGGCCTATCGCTTCTAATGAGCACATCCTCGGGTGTTGACGCTTCTGCACAAGCATCTATGACTGATCCCAAACAAGAAGCTGACATATTCAATCTTTCGCGTGACCTGGAAGCCGCTAAGCGGGAGAAAAGAGCGATTTTTCATCAGTGGAAAACGAGCATGCTTCCGCTTCATGGAAAGTCAACTGATGAGTTGTCCCGTCTATCATCTCCTCCACCAGACTTCTGGGATCAGATTATCCCAACCCTGACAGATGCACTCACGCGTGCATCTGATGCTGCTCAGGCTTTGGAGTCGATGGAACAGGAGATCTCGGGCCTAGGGTTTTCTGGGGACAATACAAAGGATATCATCGCTGATATACGCTGCCACTTTCGTTCCGCTCGACTTGAATTGGAACGAGCTGTACCTGGAGAGACTGCCAATGTCAGTCTGGAGAATGGAAGTGCGACGCTAGATGCTTTAGTGAAAAGACTCAAACTGGTGGTCAAGAGCCTTGAGACCGAGCGCCATAGGCACAATGGCTCTATTAGTCGAGAAAAGGCCTTGCGAGGCCAGTTTGATGCATTGCTCGCAAGATATGAGGCTGCATCGAAGAAACTCGGTGACCTTGAAAATACAATCTCCTCTTCAGCCAGTGATATGCTGCACACGAGGATGAAAATGCAAGACCTCGAACGTGAGGGGAAAGAGCAGGCACTTGGAATTGACAGGTTGAACGCAGCACTGATCAAGTACCGTGAAGAGATAAAGGGCCTCGAGGCCCTCGTCACAAGTCTCGAGAAAGAGAATTCAGCCTGCCAGGATAGCTATACTTCAGAGCTATCGGAACTCAAAGCTAAGCTGACGAACGAAGAAAAAATGCGACATGCTTCCCAGGCAGATCTTAGCCGTTATGAGGGGCGAATCAAAGAGCTGGAAAGAATGCTTCAGCAGAACGTCATTCGCGTCTGTGACTTGACTGCAAGGATTGAGTCCTTGGAGAAGGAGCGAGAGGAAGTCGTAGCACAGCTAGAGCAGAAGATCGTCGATCACCTGCAGTTTCACGAAACTGAGACGGGAGCTCTCAACGTGCGGATCTCGGAACTTACCACTTCCCTCGATAGTACAAACTCGGAAGTTGAGCAACTGCGTCGCATCAAAACTGGTTTGGAGGAACAACTGGATCTTGAAATAAACGCAAAAGACGCTCTTCTAGACCGATGGCAAGCAGACCAAGCTCGTTCTTTTGCATTCATGAAAGAGTCTATCAACGCAGAGAGACGAAAGACCAAAGTACGCACCGCAAACCGGCACCTCCAATCCGATGACCTCCAGTCCGACATTACGAATATTGGAAGTGAGCCCATTACCCCTGTCAGCATGACAAGGTTTGTCGACGTCGAAGTTGGCCGAGGGAAGCACCGACGGCGGCTCGATAGTGGGATTGGAATCTTGTCTGAGGATCTTTTGGAAGATATGGAAAATGAACCAGAACTTCCACCATGTCTGCCATCTGATATTGATCTACCAAGCTCAGATGCAGTCTTTTGAACCCCGTTTTCTTTCTTCTTCGGTTTCAATTGCTCTCCTTTCTATTTCTTCTTTTCTTTGGCGTCCATTACGATATGGAAATCTTATATACATTCCCTATATTTCCTTTCTTATCTATATTTGTTTAATCATCTCAGTCCCTGGCTCATATACTCGAGGGGTTTTCTTATAATTATATTTGACCTTTAGCCTGTTCATTGGAGTAGTATCAAGATCTGTCGGTGATTGAGACCGGTATAGGAAAGCTAGCTATGATAATGGAAACATGGAATATTTCCTGATATGAATGATCCCATCTGGTCACTCCAACAAAAACGCGTAACAGTCCTACAGTAGCTTCTATGGATATCCTCTACGAATGGCTATATACTATCTATAATCCCAGTACTCCGGACGGATACCGCTGAGTCAAGAGCCCCCCTCTTCCCCCTCTTCCTCTTCTTCCTCTTGTTCCGCCTCTTCTTCCATGACGGCCTGCGATAGAGCGGCAACCTCTTGCTGTAGCTCCTTAATCAACTCGGCCTGAGCCAGGCTCTCTTTGAGCAGCCTCTCTAAGCTTGTCTGGAAACGATACGAGCCCCGCCCAAGTTCTTTAAGCTTCTCTTTATAGACGTCGAAGCGGTCTGTGGGTCGCTGCTCATCCTTTCGCGAGGACTTCTGCTCCTTGCCACGATCTCTGAGATGACGGTACTCCGGGTGCCGTTGGAGAAACCTACTCAGCCAATGTTCGCCGATTGTAGGCGGGCTCGTGGTTGGATCACCATGGTCCTCCTCCAGGAGGTAGTTGGCGTGGTCACGGAGCAGTTTGCTCACGATGGGGGTCTCCCCATCGTCTAGCTCCTCAATATATCCACACAGGGCCAGTTCCTGCGCGTCCGACAGCTTTCGCTTGACCTGGCGTGTGGACCGGCTCTTCCTACCCTTCCTGCGGGCGTTGAGACGCGCATACGGCTCGTTGAATGTTCGAGGCGACGGTCTTACATTCTTTCTGACGCAACGCGTCCATCGCCTGCTCAATCCGAGCCTCAACTGCATGATATGGATCAGGCATTGTGTCCTAAGCTGGCTGGTACCCATGGAAGGTGGTGTTGTGTTGAGGGGGGCTGGGGATTTCTTGTCTTGAAGAGAGGGGGGGGGGGATTAAGCTAACAGATACTACTAATTAATTAGACACAGTCAAGGCCTGGTTAGTTAACTACCTCTTAACTAGAAACTGAGAATACCAATTCAATTCTAAAAACACAAAGAAACATTGTAACGAAGTACATCTTTAGAAAACATAGATCAATATATTCTGTAGTATAATAAGAATCATCCCAGGTTGACTAGTGCCACATTGCACTTTGCACTTGCGTCACGGACGGCGCCGGGACCCAGCAGTGCAACTCGGGAGAGCTCCATCTTGATTTCATCTCGTGGGAGGATCGTCGAGGGGTTGATCCGTTTATCTCGACTGCCTTGTCTCGTCTCGCCGGTCAATTCCTCTGCTCTACACCTGATTATTCTTCTCTGCCACAGCCTGTATCTGCTGCTGGTTAGCCCCCCTCTTCCTCTCCTTTCCTAAGCTTTCTTTGGTGCCTTATCCTCGGGATGGCCCAATAAACGGTTACACGACTTCATTCGGCGATGAGACAGACATAACACGGGCTTTCTATCCATCGTTATTACTTCGATTCTAAACAGCTAGCATTTAATTCCCTCCTTCCTCCGGTCGTTCCTGTTGTGGCGGAATCACGACGCCCGGTCCGCGTCGCCGCCATGTCGCAGAATTTCGAGAAGTCAGTGAAAGGGGCCACGAAGATCAAAGTTAGTTGAGAATGGCAGGCTTGGGGGCAAACAATAGAATCGACCGCTGACGGACTGCGTGTGTGTGATAGCTTGCGGCCCCGAAATCCAAGTACATCGAACATATCCTTGTCGCGACGCATACGGGGGAGGCGGGTGTGGCGGAGATCTTTCGAACACTGCAGCACCGGCTCCGCGACTCGACATGGACAATCGTCTTCAAGGCGTTGATTGTGATGCATCTTATGGTTCGCGAGGGCGAGCTGAACGCTACGCTACAGCACATGGCGGAGAACCCGAAGAAGCTGGCTATCAGCGGGTTCTCAGAAGGTACGCGAGACCACCGCTTGAGAGGGAGGGGAGGATATTACAGGAGCAGTATGCTGATGCCTAACTTACAGTGCAGTCGCAAGGTCATAATATTCGCCGGTATTCGGACTACTTGATTTCGCGCTCCCGGGCATTCGCCGAGACCCAGACGGACTACGTGCGGAGCGGACAGGGCCGCCTCAAGAGGCTGACGGTGGACAAGGGCCTGCTGAGAGAGACGGAGATCGTGCAAAAGCAGATTAAGGCGTTGCTCCGTTGCGATGTATGTGCTTTTCTCGCGTGAGCCTCTCGGGCTTTCGATGATAACTAACCTCTCCGCTTCACTGTAGCTTCTGACGGACGAGGTGGAAAATGAAATCACTTTGACGGCATTCCGGCTACTGACGCTCGATCTTTTGACTCTTTACTCGGTCATGAACGAGGGGACGATCAATGTGTTGGGTAGGTTGTCTATATACACAAACACCAGTCAGTTCTGATAGGTCTTTTTTTTGGCAGAGCATTACTTTGAGATGTCTCGGCCCGACAGCGAACGGGCCCTGGCGATATATAAAACTTTTACGACGCAGACGGAAGAGGTAGTCAAGTTTCTTGGGGTTGCGAGACACTTTGAAGCGGCGACGAGATTGGAGATTCCCAAGCTCAAGCATGCGTCGACGGATTTAACACGGCTGTTGGAGGACGACCTTAATGATCCGGACTTTGACCTCCGTCGACGTGAGTATCAGGTCCAGAAGGGGGCCAGGAAGGCTGGTCATGTTCCGGCTGCCACATCTTCCAGTAGTTCCGCAGCGAATGCTACCGCTTCGAAAGCAGCGTCTAATTCCTCACAAGCGGTCCCGAAGTCTGAGCCCAAGGCCGACTTGATCGATTTCTTTGAATCCATCGAGCAGAGTCAGCAGCCGATACCTCAGCAGAGTCCATTCCAACAGGCTCCCGGGATGCCGTTCCCTGCCGGCGGGTTCCAGCAACCACAGCAGCCAGGCTTTTATCCGCAACCACAGCAGCCCCAGCCTACAGGCTTCGACCAGGCAGGATTTCCCGGGTCATTTGCACCGCAGAGCGCGACCAATCCCTTTGGTCAACCATCGGCCCAGGCTGCCATGCCTCTTCAACCGCAGTCCACGGGGGCCGGCTTTGGCGGCTACGGCCCACAGCCGCATTCGTATCAGTTCCAGTCCAGCCTGGCACCCATTCCGCAAAATGGCGTTGCCTCTTTCCCTCAGCAACCGCAGTTGCAGTCGTCGCCGCCGCAGCTACAACCTCCGCAGCAACAGCAGACGACAAATCCTTTCCGACAGTCGATGTTGATGAGCACGCCGACGGGCGGTGCGGCCCCCGCAGCTCCCTTGACGCGTCAGAATACTAACCCCTTTGCCCGTCGCCTGTCAAATGCCACCCCATCGTTCAATCCCGGTCCCTCATTGTCATCTCCGTCTGAGGCCTTCTCATCACCGGGCCAGCAGCCCGCGGTAGCAGCCCCTCCTCCTGCTCCCCTGCAGGCCCAACGGACCGGTACTAATCCATTTTCTCGGGGCCCGCAACCAGGGTTGCAACCCCCTCCAGCAGCACCTCTGCAACCGAATGTGACAGGCACCACCAATCCGTTTCGCCAGAGTGCGTTTATCAACCAGCAGACGGGCCAGGGGTGGCACCTGGGCGGCCAGCAAGGCACCATGGGCGGGTTGGAGCAGCTGGACACAGTGCCTGTTTTCCCTCGCCCAGGCATGGCATAGCATTTTCTGATCTTAAGCGCTCTTTTCTGAACCGTGTTTGGTCCTCTTCTCTCTCTCTCTCTCTCTCTCTCTCTTTCCAAAGCTCTTCCGGGTTGTTTCTGACATCCTTACCTTGTTACGTATTCTTCTTTTCTTTCTTTTTCTTCGTTTGCCCCCTCCTTGCAGTAGTCTTTCGATATCACCGAGTGACCGCTCCCCATCCTATTATCGAGGCACCGATGTACATATTGATAGAACGCATGCTATTCTCGAGGGTCCTCATCCTGTCAGCGCAAAACCACCCAGCCTGTCAATACGACGAAATTACAAGTTAGCAGTATTTATGAGTAGTGAACGGATAATACACGCACAATACCACTATGCGGCTTAGTCATCCGGGACGGAAGACAGTATCCGTGGCTGCATTATTATTATTGCAGCGAATCCTCGCACCGTAAGCGGCGCTGCTGTTGGGGGCCCACGATGGGCTTTCCCTGAAAAGGGCAGTGTGCTGGCCATTCAGCTCTTCTCCTCTCCCTTCTCCTCTCCTCAGCATCATGCGATGAGAGGAATTACTCTCCCCCAAGAAGATCGATCGCCCATTGACTGCCAGAAGAATCCTGTGTGATGGATCCCCGGGAGCTCCCGGTGCTGCTTCAGCAGCAGCAGCAGCAGCAGCCTCAGCAACAAGTGGTGCTGCCCCTCCTGGGCAACAACTCAGCCCCCTGGGCCGTCCCCAACCAGACCTGGCTTAATAATCACCACCACAACCACCACATCCACAGTCACAACCACCATTATGAAATAGTACCACCACCGCCTCCTCCCCCGGAAGTACACGCACCACCCCCAGAAGTACCCCAGGTACCCCGGGCACCTCAGGTGTCGCCACGTCAGGATGCAGGTAGCAAGCAGCAGGAGGCCACCACATCCGCCTCGGCCAAGATGCGCAAGCCCCGGAAGGCTGCCAATGCCGGCGGCCGCTCCACGCTCTTCTGGGTGCATACCGACCCCCAGTCGGTGTCCGAGGGGACGCGTGAGGAGACTCTCAAGCGGATCCGCTCCCATGTCATGTCGGAGCACAACCGCAAGAAGCGCCTCGAGAATACCAAACGCTACAAGAGCAAGACTTTCAAGCACCTGGCCTTCCAGCCTGTCGAGACCATCGCCCGTCCGCCGGACGGTCATGTGACCGCCTCCTCTTCCTCCTCTGCCTCTGAGAGGCGTGTTTCCAAGGCCAGCAGCAGCAGGAGCAATAGCAGCACCAGCAGTACCAGCAGGAGCGGCAAGCTGGCCCGAAGGGAAGAGTTCCTTTTGAATGCTGCTGCTGCCGCTGCCGACGCCGCCATTACCACTGCTGTGGTAACGGATTCGGATTCCTCGCCCGCCTCCTCAACGTCGGTAACAAGGAAGATTCCATGGAGTCCCTTTCTTGAGGGAGGTATCGACCCGTTCGATACAACCCATACGCCGCTTTCGGATCGCATGTCACGGCATCTCCAACTTTGTAGGTTTTTTTTTTTTTTTTTTTTTTTTTGGCTGCTCTGTTTGCCTTGAAAAATTGCTTCCGAGGGTCTAACGACGGTTTTATATAGTCCTGGGTGATCTGACGCTGTTGGCCTATCCGTTCCAAAACCGCATCGGGCCTCGGATCCAACAACATTGTACCTCACTAGTACAAAAAGATCCCGCCTCGCTTCATGCATGCATCTGCGTTGCGGCCTCAACCACCGCGTTGCGAACCGGGCTGTTTCCCCTTGTGGATCCTGCCAAACGCTACACTAACCCGCTGATTCTGGATACCTTTCACCATCGGGGGGAGACCATCCGGTTGGTCAACGAGGGGCTCTCTGATCCGGTTAAAGCGGCCAGCAATGAGCTCATCTTTGCTGTATCGGTGTTGCTCACCATCGAGGTACTTCTTTCATCCTTCCATGATCTTCTTCTTCCTACGAGCGGGCTTGTACTGACTTGAGTAGATTGCCTCGGGCAATGCTGATTACCTCAAGATCCATCTGGCGGGACTTCGGCAGATGGTCTCGCTCCGAAAAAACCTGGCAGATGTGCCTTTACACATCCGCTTCCAGATTGCATGGTAAATTTTTTTTTTCATCATCTTCTTCTTCCTCTTTACTTGCAAAGATGAGCTTTCTAATATAGTTTAGGACGGATATTCGGGTTGCATGCATGTCATTCACGCGACCTATTTTCCCATTTATTCGCTCCGATAGCCCCCCACAATACCCCCTGATACCCCCTGACGAAGATCTTGTACCTATTGCTTCACGCTTAATGTCGCTTGTTCAGATACCCGGCATCTTTGGCGATGCCATGTCCAAGATTATATATGACCTTTCGCAGCTCACCCTGTACGCCGAGTGGCTCCGGCGCGATGCGTCGGGCTACCTGGCGTTCGACGAGGTGACCGAGGACTACTTCAACACCGAGGTGCTGTACCTGGAGTACGCGCTGCATAGCGACCGGTATACGGAGCAGGGCGAAGTCAAGGGCGACGCGACCATCGAGGGCTGCGTGCGGCTAGCCTGTCTACTCTTCCACAACACGGCCATCTGGAACTTCTACCCTCAGATGGCGCCGCTGTTCGCCAAGCCTGTCAGCGGCCTGCGACAGGCCATCGAGGCAACCATCGCCACGGGCCAGTTCGAGCTATGCCCCGACCTGCTCGTTTGGGTCCTCTTCGTCGGCGCCTGCTGCTCTCCCTCGCACCTGCCCATCGACCGGTCCTTCTTCGTCGCCGAACTGGCCGCCGCCGTCCGGTTGCATGGCTTCCGCTCCTGGGGGGAGCTGCGCACCCTGCTACTCGGCTTTCTGTACGTGGACCGCTCGTACCTGGCCCCGCTCAAGGGACTGTGGGACGAGCTCAAGGCCGGTACCATAGATGATATATAACGACAGTAGATGGATATATATGATGTTAATACTTTTAATACAGGGTATATAATGACAAAACTCAACTTTCTCAATGTCTCGGTCAAATAGTCACTACAGATTGTCCGGTCTCTAGGTAGTATACGTAGATAGTATTTATTTATACCATGCTTTTGCATTATTAACATGGCTTATGGCTTGTATCTGTCTTCGTGTAGGTAGTATTTAGTAGGTAGTATCTGTACTTCCCTTCGTCCAGATGTAAAGCCGAAGATTACCGAGATAAGACCATCTATATGCCCCAGCCAGTCGCCACACCTTAAATCCATTTGAATGACATCAGACTTGTTGACCCTACTACTATTTCTCCCCGGCTCTCTCTCTCTCTCTCTATAAATCGATGAATCAATTAACATATAAATTTATTAGAAATAACTTAAATACAGCTATCATACGGCAGCCTGCCGGCAAGAGCAATATCTTCCCTCAGCGATTCTCCAGTATTAACACAACGGAAAAAAAAACACATTCATACCCATCCGTATCATTCCCATCAATGGTGAAATCCAACTATCATATGTGAACTATGCCATCTCGCGCTCGGATTTACGGCGTGAGATGCCCGTCGGCGACCAGGGGAAGTGCGCGACAGGGATGATGAAGAAGCTGTTGCTAGTATCGGCGATACCAGCGAGGGCATTGTACCATGCTAGGAAGGCGGCAAGGAGGCCGAAAAACCCGCCGGCCTTGATCACGGGTGGGTTCGGGGAACCCGCGGAGTTGGGGTTCAGATATCCGATTCCGAGCAGGAGGAAGGCCAGATCCAGGGTGAAGAAGAGGGTGAAGAATGCTACCGTCGACTTGAGGGTGCAGAAGAGGAGGATCGTGGTGAAGATGAACCAGCCCTGGAGAGAGAAGGTAGGTTAGTCTTTATGATCCCCTGATCAGTTCTTGTTTTAGGGGGGCGGGCGAAATACCATCAGCATAAGACCAAACGAGTGGACGAACATGTTCCCGCCGGCGTCTTCGAGGGTCGACACGATCTCGAAACCACCGGGAGTGAGGACGATGCCGACTGCCAGCCAGAAGCCTCCATAGGAGGAAAGCGCAGTGGCACCAAATGTGTTTCCGATAGCCATCTCCCTACTACCGTTAGGAGGAGGGGTAAAAAAAAAAAAAAAAAAAAAAAAAAAAAAACGCTGAATCAGAAGAACAGAACATACCACATGCCGGCAAGTAGCTGGACGAGACCACCATACCCAAAAGCCAGAGCGACAACAATGTTAGGCTCCGAGATGTTGCGGGCGCCCATGTTGATGCAGCTCAGCACAAAGGTGGTGAGGGCGAAAGCCGACAGCCCCAGGGGTGCCGGGTTGGCGAACTTGCGGTTCTCAACCGACTTATACAGACCGGGCTGGAATTCACCACCAAAGGGCCGCAGCGGAGCGTCAGAGGTTTTGACTTGCGCCAACGGGCCGTACCCAAAGCGCGCTGCGGCACGAGCAACCTCGTGCTCCTCCGTGGTCATCGGAGAGGCGGTCCCGTTATTGGTATTGTTGGTGGGAGAGATGCCAATGCCGTTGGCCGTCGACTCGGACGCGACGCCGACATCCTTCTCCAACGCCGTGTGGCTATCTGACATGATGAATCACTGCGATGTCAGGAATATGTCCGAGGAACAGCTTGAGAACAGTTTAAAGGATTATGAAGAAAGAGAGTGAGAGAGAGAGGATCGGGAAGAAATAGAAGAAAGAATGAACAGAAAGTGGTTGTTGTGCAAAAGGTTACGCAAGGTACTACCAAGTTACAAAACACGACACTATACGGAGTACACGATTCGCAACACCAAGGAGAGAGGAGACAGGTTACCCTAGTGACACGGGGGCAAGGGGACGAGATATATATGAGACAACCACGTCCGAGTGATAGACAAACGTTGGTTGGGCTGCAGCAGCTTACCTTCCTTGTTGTTGTGGGAAAAAAAAAAAAAAAAAAAAAAAGTGGAAATGCGGAGCAACGAACAAAAGCAGGGTGTGCTTTTACCTCCTTGGCCTTTTCAGAGAAGTGGACACTAGGAGATTAACGACTCAACGACATGGATCACCGGGGGAGAGGGGGGGGGCCCTGCATGGCTAGATATATAGCACTGCAACTGACACGGGCGAACGGCAAGGCATGGATGTGTGTCCATGGCTGTCAGCAGCTCGATCACCCCGGTTCCCACATTTCTGTGCCCCGAATTTCTTGCCGGGAGAGCCGTGGCCTGGCCATGGATGTTGAAACCGCATGCAGGGCGAAAGGAAGCGATCCAGGGTACTCCGTACTCCGTATCCGAGGAGGATGAATGGCGAAAGAGATGGAGATGGGAGTGGACACTTCGGTGGAGAGCTGGCAGATCACTTTTGGCTGGGAAAAAGGAAAGCAGGTCAATCTTCCGGCTCCAGCTACTCCACACGGGGGAAGGAAGCACAAGCTCACCACTCGTATCAATCAACCTGCAGGCTGGTCGACCTCTTAAGGGGTGGCAATACGGAAGTACAGCCCGAATGGATGGACCTTTCTGGGCCTCTGCCTGTTTCGGCCGGGGGGGGGGAGGACCCCTCACATGATGATGACGTTCCTCGGTGGATAAAAACCAGGATCGACGAGGGGAGAAGAGCAAGCGTTTGCCAATGGCATGACCGAGGAATAGTTAATAATCAGTTCCATGCGGAGGAGACAGACTTCTCAAAAAGTTGGGTAAGTTCAAGCAAGTCTATGATTTGGATCCAGATTCGATCATGGTTCGGAAAGACGACTTCCGATCGGTATTCCGTAAAACGTGACCTATTATTAATCAACAGCACCTGGTAAGTTGTAACTACCTAGGTAACTAGTAGTTAGTCCTACTACGACTAGTTAGTACTAGTATGTCTGTCTATCGGATCGGAAGTACATCGGAAGGTATTTATGGCCTGATCTCTCACGTGGAAGGGTCTCATGAATAATGCACACTACCACGACGGAGTACATTGAGTACACGGGGTACTTCCTAGGATACCTTACATATATTGCTTCATATATCATTCCCTCGAGTTATTGGATTGTACTGGCAATCCTGGTTCGGGGCACCGGAACTCAAAAAATGAACTAGTGAAGCCATCATCTCCAACGATCAACGTTGCCCCAACTGTGGGGGATCTATTTCTGAGTCAACTACGGAGTACCACTTGACTAATCAGTAATTACTACGGAGTAGTTAGTTAGTTGACTAGTTGAATACTCCTGGTTGATTATTACTTGGCTAGTGGTCTTGGAATACGAAGTTTTTGGGAGCACCACACTACCACGCATTCGATTGGTGATACCTTCTGCGGGGCAGGATGAATAGACTTGATGATCTACAGAACACGTAGATTCAACATTGTCGACCTTTTTAGTCTCAAATAGTTTTAACTACCTAGGTAGGCATATGCTCCTCCGTATTCTACATGATGATATATATGGCAAAGGGTATCATTCTTGGGTATCAATCGTATCAATGATCAGTCAAGTCAAGCCTGGTCAACTGTTCAATGTAGCCTCCAATTGTGCATTGAACGCCTTGATCTGGTTCAACAGCCCGCCATGCGCCCCCGGCGCCGTTGAGCTGACCCGCTCGGCGATCGTCCGTAGGAGAAACTCGGGGTTGCTGGCTTCGGGCTCGTGTTGCCCCTGCTGGCCGTGGTGACTGCGGTCGACTGCCAGTTCGAGGTTATGTAGTGCGTTGTTGATCGATGCGCGGGTCTAGATTATTGAATCAGCTAAAAAATAAAAAGAGAGAGAGAGAGAGAGAGAGAGAAAATACCGATCTAGACCGCTCCTCCTCGGCATGCCGCCGCCTCACAGCATCCATCTGTAAAGCCACGGCCTCACGCTCCCGGCGCAGGTGCATCAGACGCCCGCGCAATTCGTTCGCCTCGCGCTTCGCCCGCCGCAGCTGCACCGCGAGTCCGAAGTTGCTATCCAACAGCTCGCTGAGCTCAAACAGGCGACCCTCCAGTTCCGCGCCAAACGCCTCCACTGCCTTCCGCTTGCGCGTATACTCGGCCCGGCGCGTCGGGTTCGTCTCGTTCTCGATCCCGCCCTGTAGCGCCGCCGTCGCCTTCTCCAGCGTCTCCCGGCAGATCTGGTTCAGCACATCGACCGCGTTGACCCCGCCACGGCGCGGCAGCTTGGTTTTTTGTGCCAAGAGCTCGTCTGCGGACTCCTCGTCACCCTCCTCTTCGTTCTCGTCGCCTGCGGCTGCCTCCCCCAGTGCACCCGTGTTTGCCAACCGGTGCACCGTGATCGGAATCATCTCGCCGCGCGGTTTGGGCTGTTTCCGCCTGGGCTGGGGTTCGCCCTCTGTGTCGCCGGCTACTTGCAGCGATGGCCTGCCACGACCGCGTTTCCGCGTGGCTGGCTGCTCTTCTGTAGGCTCTCGAGGTTCTGTTTCCGGGGGTTCTGTCTCTGCGAGTTCGGTCTCTGGCGGCTCCTCGGCTGGAGCAGATGGCTGCCGACGGCGACGTTTCCGCGATTTTGACTGCCCCTCTGGCGGTTCTGCTGGCTCTGCATGTTCTATTGGTCTTGTGAAATCTGTCTCTGGCGGTTCTGTCTCTGCATGTTCTACTGGCCTTGCCAGTTCTGTATGAGGTTCCTGGGCTGGAGCCAGTGGCTGCCGACTGCGAGCTTTTCGCGATTTTGACTGCCCCTCTTGCTGTTCTTCTGACGGTTCCGGCTGTGCGACTGACTTTCTTCGACGCCCACGCTTTGGGGCTGGAGATGTCTTTTGCTCTCCTCCTGACAGCAGCTTCTCCGTTTCCGGGGGCTCCCTCGGCAATGATGGCTGGCCACGACGACTCTTTCTCGTGACAGGCTGGTCGGCATTGAGCTCGGGTTCATGTTCGGGTTCAGGCTCAGGTTCGGGCTCCGGCTCTGGTGCAGCTTCCTTCTCTACTGGAGCTGCATGAGCTGCATGTCGGCCTCGTCGCCGTTTGGGTACAGGTGATTTCTCCGGTTCTTGATGCGTAGCGGGTGCTGCATCCTCTGTCTGGTCGGCCTTTTTCTCCCGTTTCTGTCGCCCGCGCTTCTTTATCTCATTCTTTGCTGTAGAAGCTACAGACTCAGCTGTTTCGTTTCTCGATTCCTCTGCTTGACCATTTGGTTGTGGAGGACTCTCGATTTCCGTAGGACCCTTGCTCTGCGAGAGTCTTTTATTCGCGCGCGCGGAACGTCGCGTGCTCGGAGATATCTCGTCATTCTGGGTGTTCTGGTTCGCATTGCCCCCTTCACCAATCACCGGCGGTCGACTTCGAGCGCGTCTCTTTGGTGGAGAGCTTGTTTTCCGCAGGTCTGTTGACTCTTCCTGTGGAGCCTCGCCCTTCCGCGCGGCCTGCTCTGCTCCTATATCCGTAACATCCACCTCCGCGCCGCCATTTGGTAACTGGTCAACTTCTGTAGATGATTTCTCTGTCTCATTTCGAGCAGCATCTTCTTCAATCACCGGGTGAACGGCAGATTCTGTGTCTTCTGTCGATTGCACGGTCAAGTGTTCATGGGGTACAGATTGAATCGGGCTTTTCAAGCCATTCGACGCGTTTTCGGACTGCGCGACCATCAGAGTGTTGTCGCCATTCTGTGTAGGTGTAGGTGCAGAATCAGCGTGTTCGATCGACTTTTCGCCGGAAGTTGGAGGCACTGGTTGCTGGATAGCATTTTCTATAACCAGTTAGAATGATAAATCCATCATAAGAGAAGTCTCTATGGGACTCAACAAACCAATCCTCCTCCTTTTGCTCGGATGTTCTTCCTCCTGATTGCCCTTGGCGACGCTATCCAACGCCAGCAGCCCTGCTGACAATCCATTACCCACCTTCGCACCGTCTGGCGTCCCGTTCCGAGATACAGACGCAGGTCTGGGTGGTGAGAGCGGCTGAGGTTGACCAGAGACCGACGCGGCTTGCGGCGGCAGCGCGGCAGGCTGGGAAGGGAGCGTATCATCCCCCAAGGGGGCCGAATCCAAGCCAAACGAGAAACCAAAGTTGACCTCCCTTGTCTTGTGCGTTCTATATAGAAAAAAAATTAAAAAAAAAAACTCGCGTGTTAGCTGCGTTCGATCCCGCGGGGTATAGGTGAGGGCGCGTCCTTACCCAGCTCCGCGCTGGCGCATCTGGCGCCGCTCCTCTCGTGCTATAGACAAAACTGTTAGATCGACTGCCCTTGAAATGGTGCCGAGCCAGACTTACTAGACGCCATCACACACAGACGACACGGCCCTTCGCAGATCGCGACGCAGGCAGAAACACCGTGGGTTTTGGGCGAGTGTTGCTGTTGAAGGTGCCTGGCCTTGAAGCTCCCAGACGCGGGCGAATCATTCGGCTTGGCGCTCCGCATGCCATTCTGCCCCGACCAGGCGTCAGATAAGGTATTTTTTTTATGAAGATTTATTCTACGACCTACAAGAATATCTGGAGATTTATCCATCTCGTTGATTTTTATTGTGACAGGAAACCATTATACTCTATTCTGTTAATTAATAGTTCAACATGGGCTGGTTCTGGGGCGACAACAAAGACGACCCTGTCAAGAAGCTCGATCCCAATTTGCGAGACTATCTTGAGCACCAAGGCCCGTCGAAATATGTGCCTACCACGCCGATAGAGCCGTCCAAGCCGGGAGAGCCGACGAGGCTCCCGAATAAACCGATCGCAGCCTCCTCTGGCGAAGGCGAGGAGGCAGATACCCCGCAGGTTCCGTCTGCCTCGCTCTTCCCCGATGGCCGCTACGCTCACCTGTGGAAGACGTACAAGCCGCCGAGAGAGGAGGAGCAGACGGGGATGAACGGTGCCTCCCGCGTGGTCGAGAAGTACAAGGAGCACAAGGATTCGGTGCAGCGGGCGGCGATGGAGAACTGTGCGTTGGAGCAAGAGGCCCTGACCTTCTGTTTCCAGACGGGCAACTGGCAACAACGCCTCAAGGCACGAGCGACGATGTGCTCGGAGGAGAACGGAAAGTTTTCCCGTTGCTTTACAACACAGGCGGTAAGAAATATATATACATAAACATATTTATTTTTGCATCATCTGACGAAAGGTAGAAATTCCTACAGGCATTAGGCTACGCTGCCTCGTTCGACTACGACCCGGAGCGCGAGGAACGGATCCAGATGCACGCCGACAAGCTCTACCACGAGATGCTCGACTATGAGAAGCAAGTCAAGGACGCTCAGGCGGCGGGGATGGAGCCGCCGCCACTCACCTCGCTGTTCAACCCAGGAAACACCGCGCCGCAGGAGGTCCAGGCTCCGAAGGCAGAGAAGCTACCGGCCGGATTCAAACCCTCGAAGCCCTGGGAACAGCTGTCGCCGCACGAGCGCGAGCTGGAGCTCCGCGCACACAATGCCCAGCTGGCGCAGCAACAATTATACGTGCAGGAGGCGTCGCCCTTTATGAAGTCGCAGGAAGACCAGAGGGCCAAACGCCAGCAGCGGGCCACCAGCTGGTTCGGCGAGACGATTGGGAGATGGGTTTCCTAACCTTGAGGATATGTTGTTGCATCTTCATTTGTGTATATTATTATCATGGCGGGTTTTTTTTTTAGCATACCGGGTTCAGGCGTCGAAATATTCTACATACTGTGCTCCAAAGTCGTAATAAAAAAAGTTATCCTAACTGTGTAATTATTATAACATCAAAGAGGTTTCTTAGATAATAATTCTCAGTAGAAACATCCAACAATAGTCGCCAGAAATTCGCAAGCTTCGTGGGACCGTCGCGTCCAGCCTGCGAAACACGAGACGAACACGGAAACGACATCACGACTCTCATTTGTCCTGAGGTCCGCTCGCTGCGCTCTACCCGGTTACAGGGTGAGGATTGACTTTGCGAACGTAATCGTCGATCGGCGACTGTCTGGTATCTTCCGCCGTTGAAAGTTTCCACGCCGACGCTTCTCCTGCCTGCTCCTTCATTGATTGTTCTTCTGTTCTCCTTCGACCCTTGGCTGCTACTGCTCGCAACCCGCCGAAAGTCCCCCCTCAAAACAGTGAGACTCCCGTCCAACACAGAAAAACAAACAACACACTTCGGGTCTCTCCTACGACCGGATCGCTCACAGCTATTAAGAAACGGCCATCTACCTGCTTCTGTGGCCTCCGAGAACGGCTGCTTCCCTTTGTTGGCTTCTCCGGGGGGCATTGAGCTGCTGTGGTGCTGACAATGAAGGCGACTCCGCTGCTCATCTCGTGGCACAACGACAATGCCCCGATATACTCGGTCCATTTCGATCCTAATGGCAAGGGCCGATTAGCTACGGCCGGCAAGTAAGTTTCTCTATTTGTCCTGGGTTTTGGTGGGTTGCCGCCGCCCTCGTCGCCGTCGTCGTCGTCGTGCTGGTGGTAGCAGTGCAAGCTTCATGATCAATGCTGACCTTTGGTCTCTCTCTCTTTACAGCGACAACAATGTCAGGGTACGCCTGCCCTCCCTCCATACCTCTTCCTCTACACAACCCCCCCCCCCCCCCCAGTTCCCTGTCCCCGAGTGTGCATGTTGAGGCCAGGCGATATGTCTGATGGTTGATCTGATCAATAGCTGTGGCGCGTGGAATCATCGGGTGACGAACGGAAAGTCACCTACTTGAGCACACTGGTGAAGCATACCCAGGCAGTCAATGTGGTGCGGTTTAGTCCGAAAGGTAGGATCGGTTTACCTTGGTCATCTGGTGAAGGGCTAGGGCTTGGTGCTGACCCCGATGGCAGGCGAAATGCTGGCATCCGCGGGCGACGATGGCAACGTGCTTCTTTGGGTCCCTTCGGAATTGCAGACGCAGACCGGGCTAGGGGAAGACAGGTCGGACGACAAGGAGACCTGGCGTGTCAAGCACATGTGTCGGTCATCGGGCGCGGAGATTTACGACCTAGCCTGGTCTCCGGACGGCGTCTTCTTTATCACCGGCAGCATGGACAATATTGCTCGGATCTATAATGCCCAGACAGGTGAGCATCCCTCTCTATATCTATCTTCGGTTTGGGAGGCCCTACGGTGGCTCACACAAAAGCTCTCTACAGGTCAAATGGTCAGGCAGATCGCGGAACATTCGCACTACGTCCAGGGTGTGGCGTGGGACCCTCTCAACGAGTTTGTAGCCACACAGTCGTCCGATCGCTCGGTCCATATCTACAGCCTCAAGACAAAAGATGGCCAGTTCACCCTCACCTCGCACGGCAAGTTCCTGAAAATGGACTTGCCTGCGCGGCGCATCTCGTCGAGTAGCCCTGCGCCGCCTGAGCTCGGCAGCCGCCTCCCACCCACGAGCAACAACACCATGGCCATCGTCTCACCAGCACCCTCGGCCCCAGGAACGCCAATGGCATCGAATCTACCGATGGACCCTCCCCCGGTGTCACACAGCCGGCGGTCATCGTTTGGTTCGTCTCCCTCCATCCGGCGCTCCGCTTCGCCGGCCCCGTCGTTACCTTTGCCGGCCGTCAAACCCTTGGAAGTATCCTCTCCCGCGGGCGTTTTGAGTGGATTAGGCGTCAAGAATGCCAATATCTACGCCAACGAGACTTTCACCTCGTTTTTTCGACGTCTGACCTTTGCTCCCGATGGGAGTCTACTGTTTACGCCCGCAGGGCAGTACAAAACATTGCACGTATCGAATACGGATCCGACCAAAACCACTGACGAGATCATCAACACGGTCTACGTGTACACTCGTGCGGGCTTCAACAAGCCGCCCATCTCTCACCTTCCAGGTCATAAGAAGCCGTCTGTTGCAGTCAAGTGCTCCCCAGTTTTCTACACCTTGAGACAACAAACCCCCAAGCCTGCCAACCATATCGTCCTCGATACCTCGTCGAGCGAAGAGGCATTCTCGTCCCTTCCGGACCCGGTGGTTTCGACCAGCAGCTCGATGGATCCTCCTTCGTCCTCGACTGCGATGACAGGTGACGCATCAAAGCCACATCTGACGCCCTCTACCAAGGACGGGGACCATGAAGCCACCGCGCCATCGACTCAAGGGCCGACGCCGGCCTTTGCCCTACCTTATCGCATTGTATATGCGGTAGCAACGCAAGATGCTGTTCTGGTCTACGATACCCAACAGCAAACGCCGCTCTGCGTTGTGAGCAACCTCCATTTTGCGACTTTTACAGATCTTGCTTGGTGATTAATTAAACCCCCCCCCCCCACTCTCTCTCCCTTTTCAGTGCTAACGACAACGCTAGGTCAAATGATGGGCTCACGTTGATGATGAGCTCGTCCGACGGCTTCTGCTCGACCCTTACATTTGCCCCGGGAGAGTTGGGTCAAGTGTATACCGGTGCGACGTCGGTCCCCCAGCCGCACACTGCCTCCGCAGCCTCCTCGGCCAACAACACCCCTTTGCCTACGCCAACGGTTGCTTCCTCTCCTGTGAAGTTGAACTCTACCACCGCACAGGGGGCCACGATGCCTTTAGTTCAACCACCTGCGAGTCCGGCGCGGTCCAATTCGGTATGTTCAGTCGCCACCCAGTCGTCCCAACAACAGCAATCATCCTCTGCCACGGTGGTCAACAACCCCACGCCCACCATGAGCACCGTTCCCCTGGTAACAGCTGTTCACTCGTCGCAACCACCGGTCCTCCCGCTCACAACCCCCCCACAAACGCCATCATCGATGGTCTCGCAGCAGAGCGCTCCCAGCAGCACAGTTCTAGGCAAGCGAGATTCCACAGCAGCGGCCAACGACGCCGATGACAAGCATCATGGCAAAGACCATGACCCGCCGGCAGTCGCACAGCAGCAGCCTAAAAGGAGACGAATAGCGCCTACTTTAATCTCAACTGAGACGCAATCTAAGGATAGGAATCATCCATGATTCCTCTCATCTTGTTAATCCCTTTTTTCTTTTCTTCTATTTCTTCCGCCCTTTTCTTTTCTTTTCCTGATATTCTAGGTTATACTTTGATCAAACTAACGGCCGGCGCTGGAGAGGTGACCATAAACCTTTCCACGATATCTTTCTGACGACTCATGTTCTTATTCTATTTTAATTGGCTTGTGTTATCACTCGGTACCTCCTCTCTCTCTCTCTCTCTGTTTTTTTTTCCTTTTTTCCCTTTTATTTTGTCTTTTCTCGTCTAGCATGATAAGATAAATGTATAGGTAGGTGTAGCTTAGTATTTTTTGAATAATCGTTCTTCTTCTATTCTTGTCAAACTAGAATATTAATCACCCCTTAAGATTCATGGCACTGCGGTATATATGTAGTAAGAATGGCATTAAGCATTTCTAAAAGGTATATAAAGATAATTCGATACGTTTGCTGACTAGGAAACAGAGCACGAAACTAGGTAGGGAAACCCCCCATCGTCCACTACTTGCCTGATCCTGCCACGCACAGATCACCCAGCACGTCGGAAATGTTCAAGTCGTCCGGCAGGACGGCTTTCGCCTCTGTGGCGTGATGACCCACCGTCAAGGTGGTCACGTTCGGGGCTCGGCCATCGATGACCAGCTGGTTGGCCCAGCGGAACAGAGCTTCGTCACCGCGAGCACCTCCGGCGACGAAGACAAAGTCTGGAGTTTTAGGCAGTCGTTGAAACGCAATTTCGGCTGCAGTCGCCTTGGTGACGTCCAATGGTTCGAAACTAACAGTCCCCTGGGTGAGCACGACGCGGATGGCTTCGTTGCCTCGCGAGCCGTTGATCTGATCTGCCAGGTCGGACGCCTGTCGGCTCGCAATTTCAGGATCTTGTGCTTGATCGTACCGGAAGGTCAGAGAGGACCCTCTTTCCTCAACCCAGCTTCCCTCGGTGCGTTCTTGGAAGTACTCGACCACGCGGCGGATCCCGTCTCGCCAGTCTTTTGTCTTGGTGGCGTCAAACAGTTCTTCCCATGTCGCTGCACCGTTCCCCCGGAGGAAGCACCCATTTTCAGTAATCAGGCCTACTGTCGGTGGCAAGTCCGGGAGGAGTGATCTGAGCTGTTCGGAGCTTTTGCTGCTGGTGATGTAGACCACGTTCTTCGGGTCTTGGAGCAACACTTCCAGTTGGGCAATTGCCTTCTCCGAAGGGACAGAGTTCGCAGGGGCAGTCGTGCTTTCATCCTCAAGGAGGAAGAGCCTCAGGCTAGATGTCCCATAGGACTGTTGCAAGGCATCCAGGGACAATGCAGAGAGATGGCTTGGCTCGCGAGACAACTGAGCGCTATGCGCAGCATCAAGAGCCTTGCCGAACGATTCACACCATCCGGTAGCTGTAAATGGGGCCTTCTTATCCATGAGAAATTCCCAATTTTTCCATTTCTCCTCCGGCGACATATCCAGGGCTTTATTGATCGCATCAGCACATTGTTGGTAATCCCACGGATTGACAAGCAGGTCGTGTCCGCTAAAAATCGAGGCGCTTCCAGTGAATTCACTTAGAATCAAGGAACCATGGCACTGGTTGCTGATCCTACCATCCTGGCAGTTGATATAATCGTGGCTGGTGAGGTTCATACCCTCTCGCAGACTAGTTACCATGAAGATCTCGGCCACGCTCATGAGTGCCAGGAACTGCGAGTAACTGATGTCTTGTCTCAGAAGAACCAGCGGTTGGTGTGTCAGCGTCGAGTAGACCGAATTTACCCTCATGGCTATCTTGGAGACCTGAGCTTCAAGCTCGGGGATTTCCGAATTTGAGGATGAAACCTGGATCAGAACGACCTATCATAAATACTGTCAGCGCAAAGTATCATCGGCATGATTAAATGTTGGTCGCCTCACATTCTCTCGCCATTTGGGATACCTCTTCAGGAACAGCTCGTAGCCCAGCAGCTTCTGCTTGATGCCTCCTGGTCCATCAAGCCTGTCTCGAGCAACTATCAAGTGTTTGCCCTCATACCTGGAGCGAATGTTGGCTATCCAGTTCTTGACTTCAGTAGATTGTCGGAGCTCATCAAGAGAATTAGGGTCTACACCAAACGGTAAGGTTTGGACCCGAACAAAACGATCTCTGAGCTGGACACCGTCGACAGACACTTCCAAGCCGAGGAGGCGACTGCATGTGTGAAGGAAATGATGGCAGTACTCGTCGGTCTGAAATCCGATGAGATCGGACCCAAGGAGGCCATTGATCATGGAATTACGCGCGGTGAGACATCGGAACACCTCAGAGGATGGGAATGCAGCATGCATGAAAAAGCCAATTTTCACATGGGGCAGCTTCTCTCGAAGGAGGGTCGGAAGGAGCAGAAGGTGGTAGTCGTTGATCCATATACTATCACCAGGTCTCCAGTGTGCCAAGATGGTGTTCGCGAATGCCTCGTTAACCTTTACATATTGCTTCCAGGAGTAGTCATCATATTCCGTATGGCGGGGGGACTCTTGCATCTGATAATGAAAGGCAGGCCACAAGACCGTCCGGCAGAAGTGAGAGTAATGACCTTGGAATTCGTGATCGTCGACAAACACTGTCAGGGAGTTGAATTCATCCTCCAAAGTCTCGGAGATACTGGCACGCGTCTCGTCCTTGAGTAAGTCAGTTGGCATGCCGAGTGTCCCAACCCACATCTGGTCTGTCAGCAGGCCGGCGTCGACGGCAGCGTGGACAGCGTTCCGCAGGCCCCCATTGCCCTGTTCTGCGGCTTTGACGACCCAGTCCATATCCGAGAGCGCCGCGCGCGGGCTATGCCCCTCTTCAGGTTCTGGGTTGGTCAGCGAACCATCAGCCGCAAACTGGCCGTCAATCTGGTCGCCCCCGGAGCGGCTGAGAATGGACGGGGCGGGATGGATCAGAGCCTTGGGTGGCGGTTGATTAAACTTGCGGCTCTGACCCCAGGACACGGAACGAGGTTCGCTTGGTCTGGGTCCATTGGGGTCGTCTGCGATGGGGATTTCCCCGGCAGATCGGGAGACGTACGATTTGAAGATTCTCTCATCGTCGGTTGTCGCGCCTGGGGTCATTGAAAAACTAAGGGTCTTGCGTCTTTGCCGGCGTGCATCTGCTAGCCTCCCCACCACGCTGCTGTCAATAGAGCCATGGCCATTTGAAGAGGTCCGACGAGCATGCCGAGACTCCGTGGCTTGGAAGTCGATTGTATATGGAAGAAAGCTGTTTCAAGAATTAATCAAACGACTTGCCACGTCGTTGAGCCAGAGGGGGAGGGGGCACTAACACTGAAGCAACAAAGACCGTCATGATGTTGCTTTATAAAACCATGGCTTTCAAGGTCTTCTGTGTATATAGTTGAGGAGCAGACTGAACCGGTCTGTTTCGGTGCTTGTTATGTCTAAAGGCGTATAGTTTCCGGACCAAGGGATAATGGAACGCCCGGTGTTATAAATCTCCTCGGCAAAACAGGGAGAAAGAACACCCTTGGATTGTTAGCCAGCAGTCCAATATCCAGAAAAAACCGCATCATGAGGATTGCAAGGGGTAGTGATTGGACAGGGGATCAGACAGGGCAGCCACAGGAGGGGCAAAACGAAAGAACAATATATACCTCACAATTTTAATGCCCTCCGAAACCCAACCATGGACTATTATTATGTGCCGCCTGGTGGTGGTCTCCCAATATATTATTTGTACGGAGTCTGTCTCCCAACCTGGCTGGTCAAGTCACGGAGCCCGTTGGCTGACGCCCAGTGTCGCCGTGAGTCGAGATTAGGCCGCACTTCAAGGCAAAGGGCATCTGTCTGACATTTGATTTAGCTCAGTATCGCCGACAACAATCCTTAGCCTCTTGTTCGCAGCCCGTGCCGCTGCCTAGTTGGAAATCTCTTGACGGGTTGGCCAGTCTGGGCCAGTCCATGGCAACACCCCGCTATGACGAGGTCTACCCCTCCTTCCTACAGTCGTTGGGCAGTATCCGGAGATTATCTCCCGGCTCGGACCGGATCGAAGAGGGAGAAAATAAGACGGAGTGCAGGGGACGGACGGGGGCCTCCAGGGAACCGAATTCGTGCGCAGTTGGCAGATACTGTAGATAGAGTCGTAGGGGTCAAAGAGGGGTGACGACGGTCAGAGCTACGCTAGGCGCGTGCCTGCCAAATCCGGATATGGCAAATTACTGCCACCCACCGGGTAGGCACCTCACTCGAGTAGAATGAGATTTCTCTATATTAATATTACTACTTATTCTCTTTCGAAGAGTCTTCGTCGCGGCAGCTATTCAGTGATCTTTGATAAGATTGATGATAAGTGGTAGCTTATCGCCATATTACTACTGTTGTTATTATCGTTGCTGTGCCCCTCCAGTTGCACCACCGTGTTCACCGCTTTGCAGAGGGGCATCTTTCTGCAGTACTAAATAGTACGGAGTGAAGATCAACAGCATAACTCGCAGTGTCCACGGTCCAATGTCTCCTGCACTGACTGCTGATCCGTCACTGGGGGGTGACTCCCGGCTGCTGCTGGTTTCGAACCGTCTGCCTATCACGATCAGACGGTCCGAAGGTGGGAAATATGAGTTCTCCATGTCCTCGGGGGGGCTGGTCACCGGTCTCAGCGGGCTGTCCAAGACCACCACTTTCCAGTGGTACGGATGGCCAGGCCTCGAGGTGCCCGAGGACGAGGTTGAGATCGTGCAGCAGCGACTGAACGACGAGTTCAACGCGACGGCCGTGTTTATTGACGACAAGCTGGCTGACCGTCACTACAATGGTTTCTCGAGTGCGTTAGATTGATTGCCATCTTGTTCCACTGTTTTCCTATGGCTAGAGTTGCTGCTGACATGGGGCTCTAGACTCGATTCTTTGGCCCCTGCTTCATTATCACCCCGGTGAGATCGTGTTCGATGAGGGTGTGTGGGATGCGTACCGCGAGGCCAACCAGCTCTTCGCCAAAACCATCGCAGAGGAAGCTAGAGACGGTGACCTGATCTGGGTTCATGACTACCACCTGATGCTGCTGCCACAGTTGCTCCGCGAAGAGCTTCAATCAGCGGGCAAGAAGAACATCCGCATTGGTTTCTTCCTGCATACTCCGTTCCCCAGCAGCGAGATCTACAGGATCCTGCCTGTACGAGGTCAACTGCTGCGCGGTGTCCTGCATTGCGACCTGATTGGCTTTCATACCTATGACTACGCACGGCATTTTCTAAGCAGCTGCGCACATATCCTGTGAGACTTGAGTATTTGCCGCAAGACTTATGGTTTTTCTTTGCTCGCTAATTTTCTCGTCTCTCTCAGAGGTCTTGTGACAACACCAAGTAGTGTCAAATTTGAGGGCCGGTCGGTAACCGTTGGGGCCTTTCCGATAGGTATTGACCCCGACAAGTTCACCGAGGGATTGAAGAACCCCAAGGTTCAGAACCGCATCGCCAGCCTGGAGAGCAAATTCCAGGGAATGAAGCTTATGGTGAGTGTCGATCGGCTGGACTACATTAAGGGGATCCCCCAGAAACTGCATGCCCTCGAGGTCTTCCTTGCCAATCATCCAGAATGGGTGGGGAAAGTGGTTTTGGTGCAAGTTGCAGTTCCCAGTCGGCAAGATGTCGAGGAGTATCAGAACCTTAGAGCTGTGGTCAACGAACTGGTTGGCAGAATCAACGGCAAATTCGGTATGGTGAATCCTTGGCTTGAAAAAAAGAGAAACCATGAAGGCAAAGCTAGACAGAGAAGACAATCTGACTGTCGGTCTTTTAGGAACCGTGGATTACATGCCGATTCACTTTATGCACAAGTCTGTGAGCTTTGACGAGCTCATTGCTCTCTATGCCGTGTCCGATGCCTGTGTGGTGTCGTCCACTCGGGACGGGATGAACCTGGTGTCCTTTGAATACATCGCTACGCAGCAGAACCGCAACGGGGTCCTGATCATGTCCGAGTTCGCGGGCGCGGCGCAGAGTCTTAATGGCAGCATTGTTGTCAACCCCTGGAACACCGAGGAACTTGCCGACGCCTACCATGAAGCGGTTTCAATGAGTGATGAGCAGCGGGCCATCAAGTTTGAGAAGCTCTACAAGTATATTTCCAAGTATACCAGGTATGATAAGAACAAGCACCTTATATATATATATATATATATATATATATATATATACAAGAGTCATACTTACGTTTCTAGTGCCTTTTGGGGAAAATCGTTCGTGACTGAGATGTCTCGGTGTTCGTAAGAACGGCCGGGGAATTCTTCTATTTGTCCAGACATTGATAGCGTTCAGTTGTAGATCTCATAGACCAATGATGAGTCATTGGAATCAAGCGAGGGCGAACTATATCAGCACTCCCGTGCTTTGTATCAATAGTAGCATTGAGTATTGAATGATGATCCCTCTATACCCGGTGATCTACCTAGGAAGTGACCCCTTGCTCTGTATTGTATCAACGGTGGGGACCTTCAATCAAGTAAATGGGCTGCAATAGAGCTATGACTTTCTGTATGATCAGCCGTGGTTACTGCTGCAATCCTCAATAAATACTGCTGGCCGCAGGTGTTTGTGCTTGTAGATCAATCTTTAAACCCCTTTGACAAGGGTCTCAAATGAGGCAGTACGGTCTGCGGATCGGAGAGGTTCTTCTTTCAAAGAGACACTGGGCGATCTCTCGCTTTGTTTAATGGGGTTGATAGAGCTTGGCTCATGCAGAGTGAGATGCCTAGTTGAAACGAGATAAGAGGACCTACTCTTAGGTAGTCAGTCAACTACTCCATACCCAGGTGCTTTGTAGTAAACGTAGCACGTGCTGGTAAACGACACTCTTCAACCTCAACAGAATGACTTGATATGGTCTCGAGAGCAGTGACCGCCACGAAATTTTTCGATGGCAAAAGAGTATACGTATGTAGGTAGTACGTACTCAGGCACGTACGTACTGACTTCGGAGTACTCCATACTATGATTGAATCAATGCATACCGTTGGATCTGAAAGAAAAAAGCTAGTTGACTCGTGACAGATGTGTAGGCGGTAAGTAACGAATAATCTACCTAGGTACTCTGTACTCTGTAGCCAAGGTCTGGGAGAGATCCCTCCAAGATATGGAGTACGTAATATGCACACATCACTGCATACACTATTGATGATGACGAAGATGGTAGTACGTACTATTACTACAACTCCAAGTACGTACGTCCACTTGGAAGTATGATTTTATATCTAATTTTTATATAGTTATAGTTAAAATTATAGTTAACTACTACATAAATAAATATTATTAATGCAAGCATATTGTAAGAACTCGTACTCGGACTAAAATCTCTAGCCGTTAATGCCGATACAATATGCCGATCAAGGCACGGGTCCCACCAGGGTCTACGGAGTATGGAATACGGAGTATTTGTTAGTTGGCATTATGGAGCCCAAGCTAGAGTACGTTGTCAATATTATTAAAATTTTAGAGTTATTGCGTATTGTGTTTGTTGATTATGATAATACTTGATTGAAATTGTTGCCGGTAGTTGATTGTAGATTCCGAGTCCTCTCGACTACTTGAATTTTCTTCAATTAAGGACTGACGTAACTCCCTAGGTACCTAAGAACCTAGTTGACTAGAAAGTGAAACATCCTCCGTATTATCAATTTAGTATGCAGTACTCCGTACCTAGATGTGTACTGTAGGTCTCTAGTACACCACCGAGACCACATAGTAGGTTCTACTCACTAGTTGACTATATACTATGTATGTACTCCGTAGTAGAACCTTACTACAAGGACTAATCAATTATTGCATGTACCTGACACTTGTTCCTAACAGTCTAACACTAACAGATATGAGGCTTCGGTACTGCGGACCATCGCCTCGGTTAGATTATTAGTATCCCTCACTAATTATTGGCGGGAATACTAGATCCAGCCCGCACAGACCAGGCACCGTCACAGACTGAGACCGCCCAAAGCTCAGACTGACGGACAGCCCCTGGGGAAGGATCTTGGCCTTTGAAATGGACTCCAGGCCACGTAAGATGCGCTAACTACATCAGGCAATTTTACCAAGACAGAGGTCCTCCGTACAGGCACCAGCCTTGGCATAGAATAATAGAAACCATCAATTGGAATGGGGTATATGTTCCGTGAGAGACAAAAAAAAAAAAAACAGTAAGAAATAGTATAAAATATGGAGTAGTTAGGTAGTTAGTCTTCTGTACTCCGTAGTTAAAGTAGGCGAGTAGGTGTTTTTATTACAGAATTCTAGTGTAACAATACAGTGTCAGACATGCACTGCCGCGCGTACGGAGTATTGATGGCTTGATAGAGAAGGCAGATGACTCGAATAGTAAATTAACTGGTAGGTAGTAGGACCAGTCCCTAGGTATCTACCTAGGTACTATACGGAGTAGGTACCTAAGGTATGGAGTACGGAGTAAGCCATGGCATCCTAATACCACTCCTGATCGGCGAGGCAGCAGCATTATCAGGACTACAGGTTTATTGTACAGAGTAATCAATCAGTAGAGTGAACTTCCCAAGTCAAGTAAATAACAACTAGCTCATATCAATACTACCTACATATTCTATCGCTATTCTCCACGTGGAAAGGGTCTCAGGCAGGCAAGTTGGGACGAAGAGGGCCATCTCGTGCGACCGTTGGCGGTCAGAAAGACCTACGGACCCGTCCGCCAAGCAATTTCCATTTATGGCGACCAGCCCTGGGGCCTTTTGGGCCTTTTTCGTTGATCTGTCCAAGGATCTTCCGCGTCATGATTCGTCATGTTGCTAATTACAGTACTCAAATAGAGTTGCTGACTAACATATTCGGTCTTCTGGAATAGGGGTTATTGGTTAGGTAGTAATATACTAACTGCATACAGGTACAGAGTATTGGGTACCTTACTTAGAGGCAGTAGTGAATTTTACATGGCTCCGTACAACCTTGATAATATTTCTGATGAACGCTCTTTAATATCCCAGATCTCAAGATAGCTTTCTGTCAGCATCTAGATGTCGATCGGGTGTTGCTGATCGGACATAGGTTAGTGTGAGCCGCGTAATGCTCATTTGGTGACGTTCGGCCGGCCGCCAAGCCGCGTATGTCTTTATAGCATGCAATTATAGTACAGCTGGATAGTACCTAGTAGACACTGGAATATACAACTATAACCAATACCATGACTCTTCACTACCTAGACCCAGTATACCAGATATCTATATCGTTTTATCTATCCTACTCCCTAACTTAGTAGGTATACACACTGTATGGTATAGTACAGACCGTACTGCCAAGACGTGACTAAGCCAGACGCGTCAGGAAGGAAAATAAGGGTCTTGGCCTAAACTCTTTCTGGACTCTGGTCGGGCGGGACACACGCGGCGTCAGCGCTCGCCGCGGGGCCATGATTGGGGCGACGCACCCAGGGCTGACGACGCTCTTGCTGGCGTGGACGTCCCCCGAACAGCAACGCTGCGAAAACTCCTCCAGAGCCTCTAATTACTGTCCACCACCCCCCCTGGGACTCGTTTTCCTCTTGACTCTCCTTCCTTTCCTTTCCCATCGTCGCCGTCTCCCTTGTCGCCCATCTCGCCCTGGAGTTTGAGACGCTCCTCGCCGTGACTCCCCGTCGTCGACCGTCCCTGAGGTTTCGAAACCAGCGCCAAGAGTGGCGACGGCTTGGCTGGGCTGTGCAGCGATTCCCCCATTTCCAACCACCATTTCACCATCACACCTCCGACCGTCAGACACATCTCGCTCGTTTTTTCCTGTCGTGTTGAGAGAAGGAGAATCATAATATTGAGGGAAAAGAGAGAGAGAGAGAGGAAGGAAAATAAGGACAAAAGTTACAGAAAAAGATTCAACCTGGAGCACCACATTCCACTGCCTGTCATCATGGCGGACAGCAGGCACCACTCCCGCCGGGCACCTGCCCCAAACGCCTACGATGCCACCGAACTGTCGAAAGAGTTTGAGCAGTTGATGCGCACGAAACGCTTCAACAGACTACAGGAGAATACTGGTCCTCGGTCTCGCACTCGCTCCCCGACTCCCTCCTCTCACATGTCGCCTCCCAGAGTCTCCTATCCGCCGCACCCTTCGCGCACACCGCCGCCGCCCCCGACCGCGGCCTTCCACCACCACCCGCCCTCTCCTCTCCCATCCCAGCCTCCGATGCCTTCCTGCTCAAGCAATCCGGCGTTGAAGGGTCTCCCGATCATGCCCTCGCCGCCCCAGGATCCCGCCTCGCTCAAGTTCCGCAATCTACTCCAGGTCCTGTCCGTCACACCCACCAAGTACGAGAATCCGGGTCTGCTCGACGAGGCGCTCGCTCTGATCCCTCTCGACCGTCTCTATTCCGAGGCAGAGGAGGAGAGCCAGATCATGCAGGCGCAGGCCGCAAGTGTCGGCGGGAAACCAGAATGGGGATACCAAGATTGTGTCATCAAGGCATTGCTACGGTTAGTCTTTGCAATAGTTCTTATTTTCCCGGAGTATTAAAATCCAACTAACGATTTTTTATAAGATGGTTCAAACGATCATTCTTCCAGTGGGTTAACAATCCACCCTGCTCGCGCTGCTTCATGCCTACGATCGGCCAGGGCAGAACGCCTCCGATGCCGGATGAGACTGCCCGCGGTGCGACCCAGGTCGAGCTGTATCGATGCTCCGAGCCCACGTGTGGCGCCTACGAGAGGTTCCCGAGATATTCGGATGTCTGGCAGCTCCTGCAGACGCGCCGTGGTCGGGTTGGCGAATGGGCCAACTGTTTCAGTATGTTCTGCAGAGCTGTCGGAGGCCGCGTCCGATGGGTGTGGAACTCGGAAGATCACGTCTGGACGGAGGTCTATTCGGAACACCAACGCCGTTGGGTTCATGTCGATGCCTGTGAGGAGGCATGGGATCAACCCCGTCTATACACCGAAGGTTCGTTTTTTTTTTTTTTCGTCTTCTATCCAATTAATCAACTAACCTGACTTGCATTAGGATGGAACAAGAAAATCTCTTACTGCATCGCGTTTTCGATCGACGGTGCGACCGACGTAACGAGAAGATACGTGCGCTCCCCCGCCAGGCACGGCGCGCCTAGGACCCGTGTCTCGGAAGAAGTTCTGCTTTGGGTCATCCACGAGATCCGGCGGATGCGTCGCGAAACTATCAGCCCCTCCGATCGCAAGCGCCTCATCAAGGAAGACGAGCGTGAAGAGCGGGAGCTTCGTGCCTACACCGTGGCGGGCCTGGCGGCCGAGATCAACGGTCTTTTGCCATCCGGCTCGACCAACCGCCGACCAGAAGATCAGAAAGTGCCTGCGTCCATTCAGGACGGGGCGATGGAGTGGCTCAATGCGCGGCAGCGAGGTTCGGGCCATTCGGGCTCTGATCGCTCGCGAGACGGACGATAATCAACAAGCTGGCTCTTTCTTCAACAGAGCTGCTTCTTTTACTTCTTCCTCCTCCTCTTCCATCTTCTTCTCCGTTGTGGATCCTTCTCCATGTCGACTTGTTTTTTTTGGCCAGAAGACACGATTAAGACGACACATGCCGGCTATGCCGCGTGAGCCACGATCTGCCTCGGTCACTTGCGCAATTCCCCTGGCGGGTATTTTACGCCTTGACCTCTGGCCATCGCCCCCCTCAAGTGCCGCGTCTGCATCAATTAGCCTGCGGTGGTGAAAGGCATTGTCTCGATCCTCTACATTATTGCCAATGATAGACCTCAAGGCCTATTTTCAAAAGTCTTGGACTGGCAAGAGCGACAGCAAAAGCACCGCCGAACACCACCCAACCTGCCAAGGGTTTGAAAACAACCACCACCTTGCAAACACAAACACAACCACATGCTCTCGCATATTTTCTTATTATACGAAGACCTTTCTCCTGGATTTCCCAGAGAACATGCATATCGCAATCTCTTCCTTTTCTTTTTTCTCTACCTCAATACATAATCATGACCCGGCGTCTGGCGGACGGATCTTTTCATATTTGGATACCATTTAGGGGTCATACTGGGTTGACATGGGAAAATCTCTGGCATGGACCTAAGCGTGACGATACTTTATTCTCTCGATACCTTTCTTTTTCTTCTTTCTTTCCCTTCCTCTTCCTACCTCGACCTACCTCTCTTATTTTCTTTATTCTCTTCTTTCTTCTATGCAATCGAAGACTTGCTCAGATACTACCTTTATTCAATCAACTCAACGCTTTGCGTTTGACCCTTTCTCTGTAGTCATGTACGGAACGAAGTATTGGTAGCCGTCTGTTTGAGGAGAATAAAATAAGAGTAGGGCACTCCATATGTATCATGCTAGTTAGGGATCTGCAGTAGTCGAGACGGATCTGAAACACTGGTCACTGATAAGTTACTTACAGTCTTGTTCTTATGTTCCGGCCATGTTCCGTATAATCGGTACCTCAGATTAAGCTAGCTATGCTAATGCTAATAATAGAACTACAGCAGAACACAGTCGATCCCCCTACTCCGTAACACGGAGCCAATACTCGCCATCTCATGGAGATAGTACGGCTGTTCAGGCAGATGAACAGCCCACCCCTTTTTCAGATTGAGATCCCGCAACGGCTCCAAGAAGACGGGAATCTTCTCGACCGGCTCGCAGAACCAGTTCACGCTCAGCGAAAGAGTGAAGGCCTGTAACCCTTTCATACGGGTGAGGGCCTGGCAGGTCTCGACCCACTGCGCTCTCCCCGCGGAGAAATACACGCTCTTGACGGGATCCTTGCTCGGAAGCCAGTGGCCGGGAAACGCCCAGCTGAGTTCCACGGCGCGAATGCTTTCCCATCTTTCCGCGGGGATCGTGGGGCGTAGATAGGTGAGCGACCAGGTGTTGTTGAACTCGAACCGGTTCAGGGCATAGATCATATGGATGCATTCGGTGTATCTTGATTTATTAGCACTTAACCCACTCAAGTAGAAGTATAATAATAGAGGGGAATTACATCTGTCTGCACGTCATAGGGAGGGAAAGCAATTGATCCCCATGGCTTGCCTTCTTTACCACCCCGAGACAGACGTCACAGCTCCCATCCTCCGAGCAAATGATATACCCGAGCCGTCTGTGTGGTCGCTGCACGATATGCAGTCGTCGTCCGCCGAGCACGTACTCCCAGATTATCAGGCGTAACTCGGGCGACAGCCGGGCGAGCAGTCGGCATTCCTCTTGCGTGGAAGAATCAGGTTGCTCCTGCTGCTCCTGCTGCTCCTGCTGGTGGCCTGTCAGGGTTCTTCGGCGGGGTCGGAGAGCATTCGGTTTGTTGCCTAGTTATCAGTACGCTACTTTATAAGGTTCTTAGTAGGTAGTAAAGTGATGCTCACTCTGGTATCTCTGAGTCAACACGTCCTCCCATGAAAACACCCCCTGCTTTAACCGCGCCATCTCGAATACACACACACACACACACACACGGGAAATGCAGATAATCAAAACACAAAGTAATATTGATGCATCAGGTTAACAGCCATGGTCACTTGAAGCTCGGTCAACTGGAGAAAACATTCGCGAGGATCGGACAGGCGGCGCAGGTAAGTAAACAGTAGTTAAATATGTAACTACTCCGGAATAAGTACTTCGTAATACTTGCTAGTCAGGGGGCCGATGCTAAGCGGTAAAAGGATTACTCGTCCATCTTGCGCGTGACTTGAGTGAGTTTTCTGAGTGAAAAAAGGAAGAAACTAAAAGTCGGTGAGGTATTTATTTAGAAAGCAGGCTGAAGATGAAGGGAACTACTGCTTCTAATAATACTATCGATCTAAAAAAAAAAGGGGTGGATCAGATAGTAGTAGGAGATAGTCTTATCAAGAATATCCACCGAGATAAGCGGAGGTTCCGGAGGGGAGGGTGGATAAGTCGGTTATCTATAATCTGACAGGTTAGAAGGGTTGTTGTACGGAGTACGGAGTATCTTGTTTGACTAGTTGAGATAACTAGTATTGCCAAGGAACTTGCAAACAGCGTGTTCGTTAGACAACGGACCTCAGGCTGTAGCTGTACACCGTAATAGCAGTAGTTCTACTCCGTAGTTAGTACTAGACTACTGGCCATCTGTAAATCCGGGTACGCGCATCGACGATCTCCTTCAGACTGTCCCGTCGGACGGCGAGACTGCTGCCCAACGCCCATGGGGACGACGGCGAACGCTGCCACACCCGCGGGGGCGCCAAAGGCCCGCACTATGTTGTCTCTGAATGTAACGGGACTGGAGCAGGGAGACCTCGAGGCCGTCATCTGTATGCGGAGACGACAAGGGTCTGATGTAGTCGTTCTAGGTGACAAATCCCCACGAAGGGAGTGTACCTAGATTCAAGATCTCCTGTCGCCGATCATACCAGAGGAAATCTAGTGAAATACCTCGGTACTTACCTAGGTACTGTAGAGACCTCGGCGCCAAAGTGGGTAGAAAACCAAATCGAGACAACCATCACTGTTGGTTCCTCTACCTGAAAGTTATAACATAGTTATATGCAAGGTATCCATGTAGATTGGTCCACATCTACCATGCTCACAATGTGGTCCGAGATCGGCGCGTTGGTGTTCGCCATTCGTTAACCCACGCTGTTCCAGTTCAGCGCGTTGTCAACGACGCTGAAGTCTCCCCCCCCCCCATGGCCGGGTGAAAGTTGGAGCTGACCGCAGCGGGGATACGTCGAGGTTCATCGCCTGCAATCGACGAGACGAGAGCTTTTCTCGTCCACTTGGAGCCGAGCCGTGAGACACGCACATTCCTTAAATCTTGGCGCTTGTTGTGCTGGCCTGGCCTGGCCGGTGTTATACTAGTTGAACTTGAACGATAGAAAAGACCGTCATCTCGTTTCTCGCTGCGTATCGGTATGAAACTGGCCGTCCCATGCGACTGGTGATTGGTATTCCTATCGATTTGTTAGCTTAACTGTTTGCTTGGGACTCAAGCACTCGCCAGTAACGAGGATATCCTTGACAGCTAGACTCTACCTCTAGTTGGAGCTACTAGCTCATGGTCTGCTATTATCTGATAAGACAGTTATCGACAACAGCAAGAAAGTTTTCTGCGATTAGCGTTATGTAGGTACTGTGCTGGAAGAGAGAAATCAGTCTGTCATGCAGCTGGCGACGGGTGGTGGTTCAGATCAGCGGCAGAAAGGAGAGAACGTGACTTGAAGATCTCAAGGCTCGAGTACGCCCACCATGGGCAGAGTATATATACCTTTTTCTTCTTTACACCATCAAGAGTGGTTACACTGCCTAGATGTTATATAACTTTTAAATCCTACTATTTGTACTACGACATAGTAAATACTAACCAGTGGTATGTATGACATCGTTATCAATCAAGTCTGTAGTAATCTACAAGACATGGCTAGAAGAAGAGGCTACAGTACCGCAAAGGCAGAGACATAACTCACCGAGCTGTCTGTCACGTCCACGACGTCAGAGCTGCGTTCGTAGCGCACGAAGTGGAATTTCCCCTTCTTGCCCTCGTCTTCGCTCGTGATCTCTTCCAGAGCCGCCATCACCACGCCGATCGGATGGCGCCCGCAGACGGTGTTCCCCGTCCGCTGGATGGTGCTGAGAAAGGTCTCGGTGCTGCCGGTAGTGATGGCCGCCATTGTGGCCATGTCAAAGGCGGAGATGCTTTCGTGGATCGCTGGGGCATGGGTATGCACGCGGTCTCGGCGTTGGAGGGAATGGCCTGCCGAAACCAGCTCGATGTCATCCTCTACGTCCTCCATCTCCCCTCCCGGTTGAGGTAGGGCACTACTGGAGAGGGGAAGCCTTGGTCCAGGCTTCGGAGCCTCGGGGACATAGTATGTGTAGTGGAACCGCAGACCCCAATGGCAGAAGTCGGAGCTGATGACAAACGCATTCGACGGGTCGGCCAGGTAAGGGGCCAGCAGGCTTCCAAAGGCCCGCTCCGTCGCTGCGGACGTGCTGCCCACCATAATGGGGACGAGTGGAGGGTACGAAGAGGTGGGTTTGTTGGGGTATTGCAGCTGGAGCAGACGGTGGATATAAGGGAGGTGCAGTTCGATGCTGTGTTCGTCCTCGTCGATCGACCGAGTCATGGTCGTGAAACTGATATCGGTCCCGTTGGACCTGGTCACCTTAGTGGAAAGCAGCGACGCAATCAGTTCCGTATCCAGCGGTAGAGGGTCGTTTGCCAGCGGCGTGTAGTAGGCAGTCAGCTGTGGGAGGGCCAGCGTTGACAGCGGATAGTGGTGCGAGGGACCTAATACAAAGATACGCTTCCTAGGGAGTACCATGTGAGCCTAGAGTGTTCTATTCGGACGGTAAGTAAGGTGGGTGGGTATGTGGTGACTGCTTACGCCTTCGACAAATCCCAGGCCTTGTAAGCATGGGCGGCACAGGGCCCAGAGTAAGCATAGCCAGCATGGCTACAGGCATATCGGTCAGAGAAGAATAGAAGAAGACCAAAAAATCCCTTCTGCAGCCCGTCTGTCTGCCCACCGATACCGCCAGGTACTTACGGAGCGATGATCACTCGGGCTCCAGGCACAGGGAGCTGTCCTATCCCCTCAACCTCGCTGGGGACCTGGGCCAGCCAGGCGTCGAGCTGTCGGCTGAGAGTCCGCGGACTGTCAGAGTACCAGGAACCCGCATGGGAGGCTTCTCTAGGCGGAGACATTGAATTAATTAAATAGTATGTTTCCTTCTCTCTGGATTAGCAGCAATAATATCAGGAAAGAGGCGTTTGGGTGTATCAGTGAAGTGAGGTGAGGGGGAAGCGGGACAAACAGTGGGGAGAGAAACAAGAGGAGCACCTCGTCATAGTGGAGAGACGCAGGAGCTGCCCATAACTATCGAACGCTCTGGCCAGCGGCATGCCGAGGGATCTCATATTACAAATAGAGCGTGCATATCAGAAGAAGTAAAGAACTCTAGGTAAATGAACATGATACTCCATATATTCCAGAACCTGGCAATAAAGCTGATAGCTAGTGAGCCCATGCCTATGAACAGATAACTGTTCCCCACCGGTCAGTCAATACACCTCCATATACGCAGTCCAAGAAGGCAACTTTTTTTGATCTCTGTCGGCTAGTGGTGTATCTTCAGAACAGTGTCGGAGATTCGATGGGAGGAAGGCACGGGGATGCTGCTGGGTACATCGCTACCGTACATAACAACAGGTCTTCATAGATAAATTCTAGTAAGAAGAATCAGCACGTCTTATTACCATCACGTTTGGGAAATCTCTCATTTTTGAAATCACTCGCTTGGAGGAGGGTACCGATTGCAACTCTCGAGTTCTGATGGAGGTCTGATATTGGCTGTAGCTTCAGCCTCTCGCCAGTGACATTGGCTTGGTTTGTCAGCTTCTAACATTGTGGACTTCTTGGTAGAGAAAGAAAACTAGATTTGACTGTGTTGAACTAGATGTCTATTAAAGAGGTACAGTCGGAGAAAGGGGTTGAGACAAGCGTTGACTAAGTAGATACATCAAGGTCAGTACTGAGGAATTTATATATCTACATAGATCAGGTAGCTGACCACCTAGGTATATACCAATAGCCACACTACTCTGTTATTACCTTTTTATAATAATACAGGTACTTAGGTAAGTACTCTCTAGTTCCTTTTTAATACTGTTGAAGTATATATAGTCACCTGCTCTACCTTAGCAATACCATTATTATGCTTTGACTTGAAAATGCTAGTTGTGACTGTAATTAAGCCTGGCTCTTCATGCAACAGTACAAGAAAAGAGAATAAGATATCAACTACCCTGATATATCGAGAACAGTCTTTACATTAGTCCAATGATTTTACATAAATATAATATTCCCTTGGAGCCATTCATATTCAAGCATGAATTACTTCCTTCAGATACCAATTAGTCCTAGTTTGGTTTAGCGCATGGCACGCGACGCGCTCCCTTGCCTACACAATCTCCGGCCCGCCAAACACATCAAGGGCTCCTGCGAGGGACACAGTACAACGTAGGGGCAGAGACTGGATGGCAGATGCTTTCTATCGAAGCTCTCACCGATCGAATCAGAATCATCTTTCTCTGTCAACAAAGCCAATTGCGGAGCAAGAGCTCTCCTTTCCAGAAAAACAACCGAGCAAATTCACCACTGGAACGATGTCATTGAAACGCAAAGCGTCGTTCCCAGCACTAATGTCGCCTGAGCCGATGGCTATTGATTCTTATGATTCTACAGTCGACGGTACTCCTAAGCATCTCCATAGTCGAACACGCAAACGCTTCAGAGACGACCGTCCGAGTGACGAGACAATATATGGTAAGCAATGTTTCTCGAGAGGACTACATCAAGGCTGTTCATGTTGCAACGAAAACTGACAAGAAAAGAAAAAACTTTGCGCTGGCTCTTTTCTGCTCAGAAGCAGCAGCAACAGCAGCAGCAGACTACCGTCGACGAAGACATGGATCTCGAGCCCCTTCCCTCGCCTGAACCAGTTGATCCGCGCCAGCAGACGCTACTCAAATTCTTCCGACCCTCTCGACCGACTTCCCATCATTCTATACTCGCTCCCGACTCGTCGGCAACGTGTTCGAACACCACAAGCGGCTCGAACAGCCCGATTTCACAAGACACAGACATGGACCGCAATGCCCGGACTGACGGAGGCTCCGGCGGTTCTAAAGCGTGGGCGGGAGGGCTCCAGTGGACGTGAATTTCCCTCTTTTCTTTAAAACTTACTTCAAGTGCCTCTTATTAATTATGGCGTTGAGTCGGATATATATATATATATATACTCGGAAACCTGCTGGGATCTGGTCATTCCTCATGGCGTTCTTGTGTGTTCTGCTCTGTATTTTCAGACAGCGATATGTTGACGTTTGCATGGAGCGTTTGAAGGTGCTTTACCTCGAGGATAAATTGTCCTCGGATGCTGATTAACTATCAGTTATGTGATCTTCTATGAAACCTACTAGTTAATAATGAATCAAATATGGTCAAATCCGGTAACGACTGTTGCGAAGCCATCATATCGGTCGAAGAAAAAGGTCGGAACCTACTCAAGGCTGACTCAAAATGAATATTATATCCACCTAGGTAGTTATATTATTCCGCAACTATGTATGAATAGGTAGGTTACTAGGTCACGGTGGGACATGTCAAGAAGTCTATTTATGCCTTAGGTGTCGAGTGCGGATATAGTTGTTCCGCGTTTTGGCCTGGTCCCTCCCAACCACTCCAGCTCCGGACGTTCAGTTCCAAACACTCGAGCTGTCAGCCCTCCTACGCTCTGAAAACTCGACATCCGAGTCAGTTGTCATCATGGATGCGAGCAAGGCCACGCGGTATCTGGAGTCTTTGCTCGGTCAGACGCTGCGAGTGCACACGACTGACACTCGTATGTTTGTTGGCATCTTCAAGTGCACAGACGCGGTAAGCAAGCGTCTATTGGATTCGTGGACAGGGCGAAAAAAAAAACAAAACAAAACAAAACAAAACAAAAACATAGAAAACACCGGCCGGAGGTCACTGTGGTTAATTGCTAATTGGTATCTGGGTTAGGATCGAAACATCATCCTCGCAAGCACCTACGAGTATCGTTTCCCTCCTCCCTCTGCTGTCCAGGAAGCCGCTTCAGCTGCGGACAACCAATCCTCATCTTTCAAGATGAACATGACAAGCCGTCTCATTGGTCTTGTGGTAGTACCGGGCCAACACATCACACGGATTGAGGTGGAAGAGACTGCTGAACAGGCCCGTTTCCGACAGAAGCTTGAGAAATAGCACCCATCATCTTCTCAAGTGGTACCGAATGGGATCGGTCTTGGTACTCTTATTGCGTCCATCTCTGCCCTTAGCTCCGACATGAGGGGGGTTAAGCATTCGCCTATTATTCGAACTACGGATTACAGCTTGCATTCAATGGTGTGGGGGGTGGTACAAGCTCTGTTCGTCTTCCTCTCGCTCAACTCATCATCGCGTAAATGTTCTTCCCACAGCATGGACGGTTGTTTTGGGATTATCCACTGCAATTCATCATATCAGATGACTTCATTTCCCATATGAAACTTGGGAAATTGGCAATCATGTTGTCGACAAACGTGGCATGCACGAGGCTGTTGTGGCTGCGCACAGCGTTCAAACGGGGAATACTTGGTCTAGTTCTAGGTCTAGATCTAGTCGAGCTGAAGTCGGATAGAAACGGGACCAGAAAACGCGAGGCAATGCCGGTATTGTCCAATTTGGGTAGATCAGTGCCAAGTGATTTGCAATCTGCATGGCCCGAGTTTACTTGTTTGGCACAAGACCAATCATTGGAAACACACTCGCTACAAGAAAATTTTCCCGCATTCTGACCACCCTGAATATCTCACTGGTGAAGTGTTTGGATGAACGAAGATGAAAGGCCCGGCGATGCGCGGGTCAATCCCTCTTCATGAAATACCTATCCAGCCATATTATGGATAATTGGCCTAGCCGAACGGAGGGGGGGAGGGGCAACAGAGACGCCAAGACAGCGGGGATGAGATACTGCAGTCCGTGCCGATTAACTATGCTCTGCGCATACTACGGTTACGAGAGATGCTGAGAGCCTCTACCTAGGTAGTTAGGAGTTGATGTATCTCCACTATTTCAAGCACCGCATCCTTGGTTGGGGCGGCTGCCCGTTAACTCAATCTGCTGCCCCAGGCTTCGATACTTTTACTCTGTTTCCACTCGCCTGGTCAGATTCAGATACCAATTGGTAGTATGGGAATATAGGAATGACAAATATAGTGATTGTACACCCACGTCGAAGGAAACGTAGATCCTCTAGCCTCGATCCGAATTGACTTCTCCAAGGTCGGTCCCGCATAAGAGCTCTGGCCGCCTGATTATTTCCGTACGGAGTATTATATCCCCTATCTCATCTGAAATGATAGCCAGCACTGCCTCCGAGGGCTCGACCGCGGTGTTGAGCGTTGAGTTATCTTGTGACTTGTTTTCCTGTATCAAAAGTCGAGTGAGAGTCTCCATCAGATCCATCCGACACTCATCGTGTGGCTGGGCGGATACCATTGCATGCTTGGCACTAGACGGTCTGCCGTAATAACTCCCTACCGGTCCGTTTGTGTCACAGACCATCCATTAAACAGACTTTCCCGGAGGGTGCCTTGATGCCTAGACCAAGATGCCTAGGCAACTTGATAGTACGGAGTAGCTACGGCGCCCTCCGTTCGGAGTATCACTATCAACTTAGGCGTCTGGCGGTGAGGGGCCTGTCATCACCGAACTAACCTGATACGGGATAGCCTAGATGAGTCAGCCATGTGATAGTGGCAGCGCAGATCCGAGTGCAGTCTACCTATAATAATCCAACAGGGAAAAAAAACCAACCCCCAGCTTGATAATCGCTCGGAGTTACCCAGCATGAGCTGTAGATGAAATAACTTGCAGCTTCTAAGAGGTACAAAAGAAAGAAAACCAGACTCCCCACCGTGGGTGTACCCGACCTATCTCCCCAATCGACGTGTCGACATCATCACATCGAACGCCCCGGACACAGCCCGGCCCGACTCAAAACTCCGTGGCTGCCACAGGATCGAGACCAAAAGCGTCTAATCGGGCGCGGAGGCGACACCTGCTGCTTGCTGCTGCTTGCTGCTGCTACTCCTGCTCCTGCTCTGTTCTCCTCCCCTCCCCTCCCCGCGATACATACAAGTCCTGGCCGTCATCTGCCTCCTTTTCTTTTCTCCAACTGTTGCCTCCCTATACCGCGATAAAATATAGATCCCCTGGTAAGTTGTTGGCTCCTACTCCCGCCATCCCCAATGATGACGCACTCTATCACACTGTTGTCGCTCTGCCACTCTCCACGCACAGACAGACCTTTTCCAGGCCACACACTACCACCTACAGCTCCATATCCACTTTGTGTCAGCTGGCTAGCTACTTGTGTGGCAAACATATCCTCCTGCTATGCCGTTGAAATTTGAGTAACGGATGCTGATATCGGCTACAGTTTCGTGCAGAGAAAGAAAGACAGAAGAGTCGTTACACCGTAATCCTATCCCTTCCACCTTCCAGATTTTATCGGTCGTTACCATTGTGTGGATACTCTGTGACCACGCTACTCCTATTGATTTTTTTCTCCTCTCTCTCCCTCTCTCTCTCTCCCTCTCTCTGTCTTCTTATCTCCTACTTCTCACGTCCCATCGATATTTTATTCTGAGAGCGAATCATCGTCCCGCGGATCTTTGAAAGCCAAGACCGACCGTCTGCGAGCATTCCGACACACCACGTGGGAGGGCTTCGATATTCGAATCATTGTGCAATTCATCGGAGATCTAGGCTCGGCATACGTCTAGTCCTGCAAGGATGGGCCAGTCGCATTCAAAGGCTAAAGATGGCCCTGGTGATTCGCTGCAGTCGTATCCTTCGTTCACCCGCTCCGACACCAAGGAGTCTATCCGATCTCTGCGAGGATCAATCCGGTCCAAGATCCCCGGCGCGTCGCGGACGGACAGCCCCCGGGGATCCACCGCGGGCCTGTCTCAGGTTGACAGTCAAACCGACCGGTCGGATGCTGCGTCGGTCAAATCCAACGGCAGCCATTTACAACCGTCTCAGTCGGCAGAAGATGGCACTGCGCCACAGCCCGACGCCCTCAACCCGCCCCCATCTCCCTCCCTCTCCTCCAGCCTGAAGCGTGGCCACAAGGATGTAGACGCCATGCAGCAAAGTGGCGAGGTCGATCATGTCTCCGATGCTCCGCCAACTGGCGCAGCACCGTCCGGTACGCCTCAGAAGGCGGGCGAGTCAATTTTGATCAAGCGAGCAAACCAGCTGAATCCTATCCTCGACTTCATCTTGAATGCGCCGCTGGAGCAACACGGGTCGCCCGGGATGGGCATGGGTGCCCTCAAGTCGATCGATCTGGATGACATGATCTCACGCTTGCTGGATGCAGGCTATTCAACCAAGGTCACCAAGACTGTCTGTCTGAAGAATGCAGAGATCACGGCCATCTGCTCGGCCGCCCGTGAGCTGTTCCTGTCTCAGCCCGCTCTCCTAGAACTGGCCGCGCCGGTCAAGATCGTGGGTGATGTCCACGGCCAGTACACCGATCTCATCCGACTGTTCGAGATGTGTGGCTTCCCGCCAGCCTCCAACTACCTCTTCTTGGGCGACTACGTCGACCGCGGAAAGCAAAGTTTGGAGACCATTCTACTGCTACTGTGCTACAAGCTGAAGTATCCTGAGAACTTCTTTCTGCTCCGGGGTAATCACGAGTGTGCCAACGTTACCCGTGTGTACGGCTTCTATGATGAATGCAAACGGCGGTGTAACATCAAGATCTGGAAGACCTTTGTCGATACCTTCAACTGTCTTCCCATCGCCTCCATTGTCGCCGGCAAGATCTTTTGCGTTCATGGCGGGTTGTCGCCCAGCCTGTCGCACATGGATGATATCCGTGGCATCGCGCGTCCAACCGATGTTCCGGATTATGGGTTGCTTAATGATCTCCTCTGGAGTGATCCGGCTGACATGGAGGAAGACTGGGAACCGAATGAGCGCGGTGTCAGCTACTGTTTTGGAAAGAAAGTCATCATGAACTTCTTGCAGCGCCATGATTTCGACCTGGTGTGCCGGGCACACATGGTTGTCGAAGATGGCTACGAGTTTTATCAAGATCGCATTCTCGTCACTGTTTTCTCTGCTCCGAATGTGAGTTTTTTCTTTCTTTTTTTTTGCCACAAAGTTACCTTGCTAAAACTGGTTTCTATAGTACTGTGGTGAATTCGACAACTGGGGTGCAATAATGTCTGTTTCGGGCGAGTTGCTCTGCAGCTTCGAGTTGCTCAAACCTCTAGACTCTACAGCTTTGAAGAATCATATCAAGAAAGGTCGCAACAAGCGAAATAGCATTCTCAGCAGTCCTGTAAGTCCACCAGTCCCTTGCTTTCTTTTCTTCTTCTTCTTCTTCTTTTTGCCTTTTGCCAAGATCCAACATGTTACTCTTGTGTAACGGTGGCCGAAATATTACCCCTGCTGTAGTCAAATTGCTAACAAGCTGCGATAGCCTGCCGCGGTATCTGCGCAAAGTTATTAGACGCATCATTGCCAAGAATCACCTTTGCATCATCTTTCATCATGTCGGGTGCTCTGCACCACCGTGTTAACCTATCATTTGCATTACTGCGACCGTTTCCTTATCCGGATAAGACTTCCCAATATCTGTGCGATCTCTGCGCTCCAACCCCTCCTGTCCCAGGATATCATCCCGGGAGGAGCTCACGCGCTCTTCAATAAATGGAGAAAAGCCGACCCTCGGGCCAAGGTTCTGCCTAGAGGACTCGAAAAACAAATGGCTGTGGCCAGATTGAATACCGCCCGCATGGGACGAGTGGTGGAAGAAATCTTCTCTTCGCGAAGCGCCATAACTGCGCAAGAGAGAGTTTCTGCTTGAAAGTCCAAAAGGCAAATACAGGCCATGGAATCTTTTACTATAACGAGACGAGAATATAGAGAGAGAGGCCAGGCAGGCGAACGTGCACCGCCTCAGAGTTTTCTTTTCCCAGGGGAGTTTATTGGATTTTTTTATATGCCATGATATATGTACGCCGGGTTTGATTGCCATGACGATGCTGTTTTATTTTCTTGTCCTTTCCTTTTTACGTCTTTCTTCTTTCTTCTACTGGAGGTTCGGTCAGATACTTGGGAGTTGTGGCTACTGGCAAAACATCTATCACATCCATGAAATTCCAAATGATTAAGAATTCGCATCAGTATCCTTCTTGTAGGAAAATAGAAGCAGATAGCTTCCAGATTTCCTCTTCAATGCTGGGCGCTACCACCTGTCTATTCAAGTCTTCTGAGATTGGACCCAAGCCGAGCATGCCGAATCGGGGATCCTAAAACTATGTAAGAAAAAAAAAAGTGAATGGTTGGAAAGGGGGGGGGGAGTTTCTTTCAGGAACCATACATGCATGAAATATACTCCCGTCAGCGTCTCACCTGTAGGAATAGACGCCTTCTTCAGCCTTTGAGGGATAAAGGGATCGGTGGGTAGTTTGAGGATAGGCACCGCGCTCGGCTGGAAGGTGAAGGAGCGGTTATAGGTGGTGGAGACCTGTATACGTAAATATTGAAGAAGAAGAAGAAGAAGAAGAAGAAGAAGAAAAAAATAGGAAATATGAAACTGATACTTTCCTACCTTCAAGGAAGTGACCCCCCTATCAACGGAGGAATCGCAATGTAAACCGGTCAGACGCTCGCCGCCTGGCCCATCGATGGAGAAAGGGATCTTGTTTGATTCGTCCTGACTGGCGGTCGAGAGACAGGCTTGTAGACAGGGCAAGCCCGAGGATTGGGTATAGAAAAAATCGACGCCGACGATGGCCGCCTTGGAGACCGTCACGGAGAGGCGGTCTAGGTGAGGGAGGAGGGAGCCCTGGACGCCGCCGAAGGCGACGAGCACGAGGGGGCGGTACTCTGATGAGGATCTCGGGGCGCACCCTGCGAAGCAGTCGTCGTGGAGATTGAGATGGGTAGGCGGCGGGGTTGGGTACCAGAGGCCCATGGAGCGGAGGGAATAAGTCGTAGCCGTAGATGATGGGAAGAGAGGCTGCATGCTGGCCGGGACGGAGAGGGAGACCATTTTGAAGCCCTAGAAAGTACTGGTAATTAGGTTATTGTTCTTCTTTTTTTTTTTTAAAAAAAAAAATAAATAAATAAATAATTCTAGATTTGCTTACATCGAAACACCCTTTCAAGGTGTGGATAGCATCTTTCATGCACAGGCGGACAGTCTGGGGCAGTCCATCTGGCGAGCCGGCCCAGGCGGACATGGCCCCATGGCTGGTTACGGCACGGAGGGCCTTGATGCCTCGCGGGCCAACAGCGACGATCAGACCGGTCAGATCACTGCCGTCGGCATCGAAACAAAGCCAGGCTTCGCTGGAGGGAACGACGTAGCCCATGGGAAGATCCTGGGCGTCATCATCGAGCACGAACCGCAGGCCGGAGATGTACCGTGTGTTCGCAAACGTGCGAAACGAGACCGCGATGCTCTTCACCTTGGATGGGACAGAGACAATCTGTTCGTAGATGACCCGGCACGGCATGCCGGCGGGCGCTGCTGCTCCTGTTGTCGTCCTCGGCGCAAAGTCGCCGCCCACTGTTCTCCAATTGGGATCTGGGATTCCAATCTCATGCGGGGGCTGGAGGGCTCGTCGCATCCCCGGTTCTGTGAGGGGACATTCAAGCAGTAGGCTTGCCAGGTCTCGGAGGCACCGCCAGACTCGCATCCGGTTATGCTGCTGTCCGCTGGGCAGTCCGGCCAGGGCAGTTCTCTCGTAGAGGTCTTTCCAATCCCGCCTCCGCTGCTCAGAAGCCGGGCTAAAGGACGGGTGTCTCGCCTCGATGCAGAAGCCGCGTTCCTGCTCCCAGTCGAATCGCGACGCCCAGAAGGTCTGCGTGAGCGGGAGGGTGGCGAAGGACCGTGCCGCGAGCCGTGCGTTGGCAACGCTCTGCGACGGTAAAAGCATCTGGATGGCCTCCAGAATCTCTTGGGGCAGATTTTGGAAGCAGTCGGGTGCCTGCCGAAAGGCCACGGAGATGCTGCAGATCCCCTCCAGCTTGCCCGGTTCGCCGGATACTCTGCACTCGGCGAGAGCCCTCCTGATTTCGGGTGCATCTAGGGGTGTCGACTTCGAGAACTTGAGGGGAGAGACTTTGTTCGAGAGAAGGTACCGTCTCACAAAACCCGTGATGTAGACGTCTTCCCAGGGATACCCGCCGACAGGATGTCGCTCCATCAGTTCGCCATAGGTATGGCCCCAGTCCAGCCAACCTTTATGGTTCGCCGGACAAGAAAGACAGAGATCATACAGACATTCCACGTCCACCGAGTGCGGATGAAGTATCCTCTGCAGCAACTGCCAGCACGCATCATGAAATACGAAGCCAGGCTGCGGTTGCCCACGGATCCCGATCAGGGTGGGGAAAACATCCTCCTTCGACCAGACGAACCCTTCATCGCTCCATTGCGACGTGGGATCAGAAGGCGCCGCAATCGAGGAGAAATGACGCGGCACACGGGCGCCGACACCGGTTAAGAAGGGTCGTCCATCCAACGCTGAGTTGCTGTCGCATCTGACTGTTAGCACAAGTTAGTCTGGGTCGACATTATCGAAACGAGAGAGAGAGAGAGAGGGGGGGGTTTCAACGGACTTGCGCGGAACTCTGTCTGCCACGATCCAGTCGAATCCATATAAAGCACATTATTACCACAAAGGACGCAACAAACACGAGAGACCTGCATTGAGGGCAAGTAGATAGATAGAGCTCCAGTTGATAGGTGTGATAAGATAGACTAGATCGTACGGCTAGTCGACGAAACCGCTGCGTAGACTAATATCAGGGAGGTATCCAGAGGACTTTCGATGAGAAGAGAGAGAGAGAGGGAGGCAGGGAGGGAGGGAGGGAGGGAGAGGAACCAGTATCATCGAGCCTCGGACGAAAGACAACGCTGATGCCTAAGTTGGACGCGTTGAGTTTTGCAGGAAATCAACAGGCGGCGATGCTCTGACAACGCCAAGAGCATCAGTGCTCCTCCAATGATGAAGCATCTATGCAATAGGAGATCTAGGCTGTAGAAAGGATTAGGAGGAAAAGGAGGCAAAAGATTCAAAAGGAAAATCCCACTTTTTGTTTTGCTAAGCTTCGATATATAGGGAAAAAAATTCGCCTGGTAGAAATGCCAAAAAATCATTTGGTGACAAAATTAGGGAGACAAGGACAAGGGGATTTGTACAACATGCCCACGCAGGCTCCTGGGAAATAAATGCTCATGCTCTTTTTTGTATGGTAGTCGTCGCAATGGTGGCAGACAGCTCATCCAAGTCTGATATTGTAAATGCTCCGTTCATTCATAGTCCCTGACGTATCGCCCAGGCAGTTCTACGTCCCACATGGGCCGCTCCACGACTGCCACTTCCAGGTGAGTCGAGTTGACGCTATCATCGCTGAGATGACCAGCGTTATCTAGTTGAGGGAGAAGGCTGAGGGGGACGATTCCAAGGATGTCACGGTATTTGTAGGTATGCCACCACTGCCGGTTGGCTTGGGCGGCGGCATTCTCGAGATCAATGAGTGGCTGCGGAGCGGGCGAGGCGAAGACGTCAAGCTCGTCGAGCTTTCGACTTGGGGTGCCCTCAACCTTGTCGATGAGTGCCAGAAGTCTGTTGTGGCGAGCAGGCGTTTGCTTCTGCGGAGTGCCGGTCGCCTCAACGTCAGGGTTCTCCCGCCGGAGACGGGCCATGTCTGCCTCGTTGGCGGTCGCAAAGGCCTCGTCGTGTTCAAGGGCATCCTCCTCTTCTTCTTCATCAGCAGCAGCAGCAGCAGCACGGGGTCGCTCCCTTTCCAGTGAGACCCAGACTCCCTGCGAATCATCGTTGCCCGTGATCTTGCGGATTTTGGTCCCGATCGAGATATCTGCCTGGGTGTGGGGGATCCGGTCACCAGCGCCGCTGTTCGGCTTCTTCCTCTCGCGCTCCTCCTCCTCCAAAAGTTCACGCTTGCGTTTCTGGGAGGCAGACGCCTTGACAAGTTGGTCATTTGTGTTCCCCGCTTCCGATTCGAGCTCCTCAGGGGAAGGGAAATCCTTGGAAAGGTCGAACATCCACAGCCAGGAAGTACCGTACAGCCAGAGGCGTTCACGATTCCCAAACAAATCCCACACCCAGCCCATGGCTCGGTCCTTGACGCCCCGGAATTCTGCAGGGAGATAGGCCTTGGGGTTTCTTCGGGACCAATCGGACAGTTTGCCGTCGAGAGCTTCGAACTCAATCAGCTGATGTTCGCTTGTCAGGACCATGAGCCGGTCTTCGTTTTCGCGACGACCCTGAGGTCGGAATGACATTAGCACCACGCCTGACTTGAGACGAGGAATTGGTGACTCGGTCGCTGATTGACACCAACGCTCGCCATCGATTGCAGTCTGTTCATCGTCATCGTCATCAGACTCGTCGTCGGAGTCCCCGGCCATGCCACGCTTTGCGGGAGCTGCTGGGTTCGACCCGGTTACCGTCTTCAAGACCCAAGTATCCACGCAACCAGACAAATCGCCGGATGCCAGAATCTTGCTATCATCCGAGAACACCACGCATCGTATTGTACGCTCGTAATGGCCCAAGGTCCCGTGGGAGGCCTTTTCATGGCGAGTGTGCCGAGAAACCCGATTCACTTTGACGAGCTGGGGCAGAATTTGGGGCTTTTCCGTCGAGACAGCAGGGATCTCAAACCGAGCGAGGTAGACATCACTGTTGGGGCGAACAACGCACAGCCAACGAGAGTCGGGAGAAATGTTTAGCACACGCGCCCCCTCCTCAGCGAGCTCGGGCGGGATGTCGAGCTTCTGGATGCGTAAAACACCGCGTTCATCGCCCTTGCGACGACGAACGGCGAACACCTTGACGTTTGATATCGTTGCGACCGCCAGGATCTTGCCGTCTGACGAAAGAACGGCGGATGTGATGTTCTCCTCTCCCTGTTTTTGTATATTGTCAGCGTATTCTAATATTTACGTGACAAAGAAAAAGACGTTCTCCATACCTGGATCAGAACTTTCCCGACCAGACGATGCCTTTTCCCTTCTGTAGCCTCATTGGCCGAAGTAGGGCCTCTCAACATGCGCCAGATGCTGATCTCTCGATCCCAGAAACTCATAACAAGGCGAGAGGAAGGAGATGAAGATAATTGGGGAATCTGAGGCAAACTGGATAACTTTCTATGATGTTCTTTTCCAAATTCACGCAGAGGTAACACGACCGGGGCAGCATCGGGGCCTATGTATCATACGTTAGAATGAGGGGAGAAGGACAAGGAGGGAGAGGGTTCAAAACTTACCACCAGAGACAGCAATGCTGATATCCCTTGTCTCGTAGACTGCAAAGGCTTTGACATCATGAGAGTGGTAGCGACGATGCATGACCTCCGCCCATCTGGCTTTCTTGTCACCTTTCTCCGAGTCCTTTTTCCGGTAGACGACAGTCCGCTGGTCGGCACCGCCACTGATGACGGTCTCGCCATCGGCACTGACGGCGACATCGAGGACATCAGCCAGATGGCCCGATAGCCGCTGGATGAGAGCGTAATTCTTGCCATCCCAGAATCTGATCTCCCCGGCCGAGTCACCCGAGACGATGGTGCCATCGGGCAGACACTTGACCGACCATACCAACAGCTCCTTGGCTCCACCGTTGGGGCCCTTGCCCAGCGAGATCGTCCTCAGCAGCTGGCCGCTGCGGATGTCGAAGAGTCTGATCGAGCTATCGGCGTACCCGGCGACAATCGTATGGCGGTTCTGAAAGGTGACGCTGAGCACACGCGCTCTCTTGGTCGACGGGCGCATCAGTCGGAGGAAGGACAGTTCCTCGTTGGCGGTAGAGAAGATGACGATCGAGCCGTCCGCACAGCCCGCAGCGAGGTTCTGGCCCGTGAACTCACCCTCGGCGGGGGGTAACCACTTCCCATCCTTGCCGCGCTGGGTCGGCTGCCACCGCGGCTGCGCAGCCAGACACCAGATCTCGCCGTGGTTCCCGCTCGAATGACGCAGCGGCCGCCCCTGCTCCAGATCCCACTCGGTCACGGTCGTCGAGTATCCGATGCTGAAAAGACGCAACCGACCGGGCAGCTTGCTGCTGCTGCCACTGCCACCATCCGGACCATCTTCAGGCGGGTCGAGCGTCCACGCCAGCCCTTCAATGCTGCGGTCTTTTCCTCCCCGGAGAACAGTCTCTTGCACCCAGGCGCCACGCAGCGGGTTCCAGATCTCGATATCACCGTTCGCTCGGCCAACCGCGAGTCGGAGGGTCGGAACGCCGCGTCCAGCAAGGCCAGCGGACGGCGGGTGCGAAAAGGCAAGCGCGTTGATCGCCTGGGGGTTGTAGGGCATGAAGCGACAGCGGTGAATATCCATGATCGCGACTGTCTGTATAAAATCGGCACTAGACACAACAATAAATTGATTAATAGGGAAAAAAAAAAAGAGGAATAGCGAGACGAATATCCAGCTGCTAGTCGAAGCCAGCTGTTACACAGTCATCTCGCAGAAGACGGATTGCTGGTCAAATGAAAAAGGTGGTGCCGTGCCGCAACGTCGGTCTTTCTCTTGCGGCGTTGGAGATAATAATTTTTAGATCTTCCCTGCAGGGGAGTTTTTCCCGAACCCGCAGCGGGCACGTGATCGGCTACACCTGCTGTGGACGAATGCACCGCCTGCCCTATATGCTGACCGCCTGGCAGAACCTTGTTGACCTGCGACTGCAGTTGTGGACACCGTTTGGGCTATTAAGCATCTACAACTGTACAATTCCTCGATACCGAGACAATGCCATCGGAAAACTTTATGGATGAATCTGTATTATATGTGCGAGATGAATATATATTGATGAAAACGTTAGATGGACTTAAGCCATGCACCAAACAACCAGTGCCTTCTCCAGCGTTTTGCCGGCATTATATCGAGGCGGTCAGCCATAGAAGAAGAAAAAAACATCATCGTCTTGCCTCCATCCAGCCACCAGAATGAGGGCAGCTTTCCTCTCCTCCTTGGATAGTTTTATCTCTACGTGAATGAACCGGCCTGCTCCATGTAATGCACTCCGGTTACTTCTATTCTGAGGGGTGCATGGTTTCAGATCGGTACCCTTGCCGCTGACGCCCCAAGTGATGTCTCACTGATACACCCGACGTTTCTGCAGAGTCCAGCCAAGTAAGCAAGTACCGATGCAGTTCCTTGCTTTAAACCGTAGTACAGGTAAACATACTAACGGAGGATTCCTGCGGATAGCCATGACCAGTCTCTTTGACAATAGCAGCAGCTTACTCGGCGCCAACCCAATTCCTAGAGAAAGCTGCAGGCTGTCAAAAACCTTCAATACGAATCCACAGCGGAGCATAAAAAGACAGACCGGTACGTAGTTACCTAGTAACTGGAACGTACGGAGTATAGTTAGGTAAAGCTTCGAAAGCGAAAAAAAAAAAGAGGCGTGGAATTCACTCCACCGAATGTTTTCGAGCAATGAGAAAAAGCGGTATATAATGTCTCGCTCCACATAGGCAGGAAAACTCTGGTTACCAGATAGGGCCGTGCCGCAGACGAGTGGACATTTACTTGAATTCAAACGAGTCGACAATTCGCGTAGGTACATAGGTATTCGGTCTGACAGAAGTATTCCGTTAGAAGAGACCCGACGCGACTGAAGCGTCACTCGACTGTTTCGGCCGGTGGTTCGATGGACGGTGGACCGGTAGGAAGTCACGGGTCTGCGCGGAGTGGATTCGGAGAGAAATTCGACAGCCACCTTCTAGAAACTGCGAGATTGTCAAGATGAAGACAGTAGTTAGTAGTTACTAGTACTGAATAGTTGAGTAGTTAGTAGTTGTTCCGGAGTACGACGGGGTACGGAGTACTTACCTACTAAGATAGTTAGGTACTCTTCCACGTACTCCATACTCCGTATCGACGGCTGCCTAGTGTACCTAGGTTAGGTAGATCATAGCTAGGAGTAGTATCCTGGGTAGATTCTATACTGATAGACGGTTTTACCTACTGACTAGGTACAGAATAAAGAATGTATGCATCATGATTGTGATAGTGTGAGGCTAGAGCATTAGTCAATTAGTGTCTTTTTGGGATGACTCGTAAGAACCATCGCAGTTACCGTACCAATACCAGGAGAGAAACCCATCCGTACCGTACCGTACATACAAGACCACGTCCTGTACCGAACCCGAGACTCCCTCCTCTCCTCTCCTCTCCACCGCAGGCTGAGCCAGGCTGAGCCAGCCCAAAGGGGTTAAATTGGGAGGTTACGGTTACTCCGTACGGTATCTATTCCTGGCGTTGATTACCTTCCAGGTTAGTATCTGAGCTGAGATGCCGTCATCGATTCAACACTTCCTCCTATTCAATAGGGGTGGCTTGGCGCGAACCGGTCATGCCGGCTTTGTTGTACGGAGTACCTAGTTATCTACTAATTAATTAGATCCTAGGTACTCTGTAGATACTCCGTACCTAGGTACGGAGTACGGAGTACTATCAGGCTTTGTTCACAGCTCGAACCAAGTTTGTTGTTCCGACTTCAATTCATTCCGTGTTATCCCCGACGCGTCTAGGTACCTAGGTATCTAAACTACAGGAGCATAACAATTACCACTTCATCTACAATTTTAATATTATTAAATATTCTATCATTATTCTATTATCTACCTCTGTCGATAATTGGTTCTGGGCTGAGATGCTACCCCGCAGTCTAGATCGCCCCTCACTCGTGTCAGGCAGACAGGACAGAATAACCGATTCTGTGGCTCAGCGAACTTGGCTAGATAGTAGATACCACTCCAGAAACATCATCCAGTGGCTAGGGAACTCTTTCGCTTATGTCCATTCCATCTTCAGCTCGCCTCTTATCATGTCAATGGTTCTTTTCTGCAGATCGATTGGCCGGGAACCGATGACAAGCGCCTCAGGCCCGCCACAGTGAACCAGGGTGATTCTGACGTGGCATGAGCAATTCATCCAGGTGGAGGGAAAGAGTAGTTGCTGTATTATTATTATTCTTCTTCTTCTTCCTCTTCTTCTTCCTCTTCTTCCTGCTGCGGCCCGTGGTGGATTGAAGGGTTAATCTACGGGGATACGAGTTCAGCCGCAGTCTGAGAGCAGATTGCCGATCGAGTCGGCCTATTGGAGAGGACAAGATACTTTTTCTTTTGCCTTATGAACCATGGTATGTCTGTAGTAATAATAAAGAATGATTCTGACTATCTAACTGGTATGTGGAAGTATTGTCCACCTCGGCCGACTTAGACGGTAGACTGCTATGATGTCATGTGATTATCACTTTATATAATTATACTCTGTATACTCTGTAGTTACTAACTAGTTACTATGGTACTATTTATAATAGTTGTAAAGGGGAATAGTGAAGCAATTGTACTGTCTTTCAGTGCATTATTGCTGGGTATCTATATATCCCTTGCTCATGGACCCAGTATTCCAGACACCTCCTATCTACTCCGTAGACAGCCTCGGAAGAAAGTCAATAATGGATGACTAGTCATGGAACCACGTCAATAACCATCAGAAACAAGATCTAAAAGGATTAGACACGACCCAACACTGCCTTTAACTTTAAGCCGTGCCGTGTCGGTCGCAGGCACCTAGTAACACCAGGTAGGTACAGGTCCTATATCTATTTATGTAGAGTAAATCATCAGATCAATTAATAAGTAAATAGAACCAGTGATTATACTGGAGTAGTTCAAATCATAATTCAATTCTGCCATTATAGTAATTATTATTGTACTACTCCATGTAATTTGGTCGGAGATTTGTGCCTCAGCCTGGGCCACTTCCCCCCACAACGATCCAGGAGAGAACCTTGACCAGGATTGCTGGTCGGAATGCAGTAAGCAGTGGATAGAACATTATCATCTTGTAGTACTTGTATGGAGTATACGTACCTAGTAGTATACTATATACGGAGTATTACTTATACTACAGTGGTTACAATGTACACAGATACCTTAGGTACTCCGTACGGACAGGACAGTCTCATTCACTGACGCGATGAAGCCGTCCCATGTCAGGGCCAGAGCCAGTCAGCAAGCGACGCCCGTCCCAGACCCTGGAACGCGATCGTGTGCGAACCGCGAGTCGCCGACTCCGCAGTGGATAGTAGGTAAGAGTAAGTAAAAGTAAGAGAAAGCACTCTCTATGGTGGTCATCAGCTAGCTATTAGTGATTATTATTCGAATCCTCTTGTACTAGCTAGTATGTGGAACATCACCCACGCGTCGCGATGTTTTGCAGCTGCAGACAATACTACTACGAATAACTGGGTTAGGTAGGTACTTTTACGTCAATTAGTCGACTTATATATGAGGTAGTACTCTGTAGAGTCTGTACCTCTTAAAGCCTTAGTACTCCGTACCTTTTGTAAGGTACCTAGTTACTTAGTATTTAACTAAAGGTAGGTAATTAGTACCTTACACTGTCACGGCAATGACATAAGCCGGAGATCAGTCCCCCACTCACTGGAGCTGGCACGCGGTCGGCGGAGCTTACAGTACTACTGGTACTAGGTAGTAGTTTGTACGTTGGTACCGGCTAATTTGGTAATTTGGTAGGCAGTGAATAGAATGATTTCTAGACTAGAGTAAGAAGTACATAGAAGAGTTAATAGGTAGTTAATTAGTTGACAAGGTATGTAGTATGTAACTACCTGTAGTCTGTAGTATGTCCCTCTAATCTTGTTTCGAGTCCCTTCCTTTAGGAGTCTCCAAGTCGAGTGATTGGCTGGATATGAGGTTGGCTCTGGACTGAGACAGGCAGGCCAGCCATGACTAGCAGCAGCCCATACGGAGATGGTGCAGTGGTACGCTGCGTTTCGCCTCCTTGTATTCAGCCTCGTCAGTGCATAGTAGAATATTCAATACAGTACCATCCAGCTACCTACCTACTAGGTAGGTAGAGACTTATACTATAGTAGAAGAATTACATTAATCATTAATATTACTTCATATATAAATGTATCATTCAAATAACATACGCAAGCTACACTGTCTGCTAGTATTGAATACTGTATAATACTGGATACAACACCGTTTCTATACATACGTTACCATACCGTACACCTGCAAGCTAGCTGCTGCACCTCGACCGACCTCCATCTCCGGGCTCCTCTCGTCCTCTTATTTTCCTCCTCCCTCTTCTTCTTACTACACCCGCCTGGAGAGAGAGAGAGAATCACCTCCTCACCTTTCCCTCCTCCCTCCCTCCTCCTCCTTCCTCACCTCTTCCCTCCCACCCCCTTTATCTCTCTTCCCACCCCCCTCCCCCCCCCAATTTCTCGGAGAGAGAGAGAGAGATACGCGAGACTGGTTTTAAAGAAGGGGAAAGAGAAAAAAAAAAGCACGACTGCCCTCTTGGTTGACTGATCGGAAATTCCTTCCCCTCAGTTGACTCATTGTGCTGTCTGTCTGTATTTTTTTTGAACCTCGACACTCCAGTTCTCCAGTCGAGCCGTGTCCGTCAGCTCCTGCTTCGACGTTACCTCCTCACACACCCCCTCACCCCTTCTCTGTGGTCGTTGTTCGTTAAGTCAAACGACGAACCCTTCTCCTATTTGTCCTCCGGTGCCCTTTTTTTCTTCTTTTTTTAAAGATCTGTGATATCCAAACACCCTTCCCTAATCCAGCTCCTGCTGGTTAGAAGAGCGTTTAGAGAGGGGAGAAATCTTTTTGTCGGGGATCCATTCGCCTTCCGTGCCTTCGTGTCCAGTGTGTTCATGGTCAGCTTGATTGTGTTCCTTTGAGAGGTGAGAACAAGTCTTCTACCCCTTCCCTCCCTTTCCTCCTGCCTGCCTTTATTCTATCTTTCCATATCTCTGGATGTTCTTCTGGATACTGTCTCTCCGAAACCGAGTTCGTGTCGCCCTTCCCCCCCCCCTTTTGCAATACCTGGACGGTCGACTCGACATCACTCGGCGCATTGGCAGTCAAGTCTTGGGTCGATGCCCAAACTCGATTCAATCGCTTGATACCTCGCATAATGGGCTGTGTTTCTGGGTGGTCAATGGTCGTCAATGGGCTGAGCGGACTCCTCGTGGCCTGATGGGGGGTTGGGTGTCGGATATACTCAGGGGGGACAGGTTCTATCAAGGGTTAGCCAGCCTGGTTACTGGGTCCCTCGGACGCAACCTGCAAGTTGTCAAGTAAAACAATACTTGGAGGCTTGTCATGGAAATGGATTCCCGATCCAATAACGAGGTCAATGGTCAATGCCCCATAGATCGTGGCTCTCGAGCAGGTCCCATGCCTACCTTATCTATTGCCAGACCAGCCAGGATTTACTCCGGAATGATCAACCGCTCACTGCATACCACACTTCTGCTCTGCCTGGTTTTCTCCATTTCTTTCTCGACGATCATCTTCTGCGGGAAGCCAAAAAATTAATCTTGCCTTTGCTGACGTGTTCTCGATACACAGTATTAGGAGAAACAAAAAGGAAAGAAAGTGTTTTCTGGTCCTGGTCCCTGTTCACTCCTTTAATGTGGATTGGGTCGTCCATTGAATACTCCTCTCGTCGTCTGATATCCCTCCGGTCCTTCTCCCTCGAATAACGTCCCCTTTTTCAACGGACGCTACCTGGAAGAGTATGTCCTGTCATTCTTAATGCACGTTCAATTCCCCTGACGATCACCCACCCCTACCTAGGGTTTGTGCCTGCTTTCTCTCCACATTCCGCAGAACACAAGACTTGTTCGCTCCAACCCGACGTTCCTAGGGGTGAAGACGTTGACTCGTCCTTCATCTCTTCGAACTGGTGAACTCCAGTCCTTCACGGATCATTCTTTGCATCCTCCTTCCCAGCCTAGATGCCAGAATCGCCGTCACGGTAAGGGTTGCATTGTGCCCTCTGCCCGAAGGCCGTTACTCTGGGTTAGTATCTTCCTCTTCAAGGCTCGCCTGGTTCGAATCACCCTGATCTACCTACCTGCCTGCCTGCCATACCTGTCATACCTGCCATTGCTCTCATTTGTTGTCCTGCACTTCACTCACTTTACACTACCCTTCCTATCCTTTCCTTCACTTGCTACTATTACGTGCCCCCCTGTCGGGCCTATCAGAACTAATCACTAATATCTCTTCTCACATTCCAGCTTTGGCCTCGAAGACTTAAACCCGGTTGTCCCGACCGCGACTTTTCTTGTTCACACGCCATCAACACATTGTCTATTTCGACTTTGATCCACTCATTTTTTTTTTAAACAAAATTAATATTTTCCAACTAATTCCACTCATTAATCACCCCACACCATATCGACGACTGTCATTCACTTAATTCCGTCGTTGCCTGAATAGACATACAGCTCTTCCTCAGGTTTACTTTGGTCACCGCGCACCCACGATTTTAATTCGGATTGAGTTTGTTTTTTTAAAACTTCCTACGCCGTTTCTCTCTCGTCTGTCGTTTGTCCACCATGGCCTATCACCAGCGCCCAACCTCCAGCTATCAACCTTGCGATAGCTTCTTCGTCGAGTCCTATGACAACTTCCCGGCTCCTCGTATGGACGCCAAGGAGCATGCGCGACTGATTGCTCGCGAGCGTCAGTACGCCATCGCCGAGGAGCTATCCAAGGTTGCAAGCGATGAGTTCCGGGATGACATCCTGTCTCATATGCTGGATATGGATGTGAGTTCCCTCCTGTCTTGGTCTCGGCCATGTTGTCCCCCCAGGTCCCGGCTAACCACTCTCCTATCTCAGTTCGCGACCGTTCCTGACGTGGAGTCCATCGATATTCAAACCGAGATCCAATGGTTTATGCGGCCATACCTTCTTGACTTCTTGATTGAAGCTCACACCGCGTTCCAACTCCTTCCCGCCACGCTGTTCCTGACGATCAACCTTCTGGACCGGTACTGTGCCCGACGTGTGGTCTACAAGCGACACTATCAGCTGGTTGGATGTGCGGCCCTTCTGATTGCCGCCAAATACGGTGACAAGAAGGACCGTGTGCCGACCATCAAAGAGCTCAAGTCCATGTGCTGTTCACTCTACGATGACGATATGTTCATCCAGATGGAATGGCACGTTCTGCAGACCATTGGCTGGACTGTCGGCCACCCAACCCCGGACACGTTCTTGCAGATGGCCGTGATGGACACCCCGTATGACCCTGAGGTGGAACATCTAGCCCTCTATATCCTAGAGATCTCCCTGTTCCACCGTGAGTTCGTCTCCAAGCGTTCGGCCGACCTGGCTCGTGCTGCCTTGGCCCTGTCACGGTGTATCCTGAACCGGCCTCTACCCAGGCAGACGGACTGGGCCTCACAGTACGACTCCTTGACGCTTGTGAGCCTGTCCCAGTATCTGCACCAACCGTCCCAGGTGTTGTCGAGAAAGTACTCCTCGGCGCACTACTCGAGGGTGTCCAAGCTGCTGGAACAGTTCCTCGCCCGCCAGGCCTCCATTGCCAGCTACAGCCCACCCTCGCCTCCCTCGGAGGTGCCGGTGGAGTCCAAGCCGTATAACGGTGAGATGGGCCTCGCCACCCCGCAGAAGAACCATCATGCCTCCGCTATGCCCAACGGGTACCTTACCCCGCCCATCACTCCGGAGAACGAGGAATACGTCAAGGTCGGTGCGAACGCGTGCCCACCATCCCCGACTCCTCCTCCCAGTGCGCAGTTTGTCGGATCCCATGGGTATCAGCAAGGACCGACAAGCTACGGACAGCCACAGCAGTTCCAGCAGCAACAGCCCCAGATTGGCTTCCATGCAGGATACCAATAACAAGCCTGCTGGCTGGTCTTGCTTGCCTACGGGGTCATCCAACATCCTTGGCCCATACTCTGTTATTCTCTTTCTAATATCCGAGACGCCGTGCGTGCGATTTGTGTGCTATAGCTTACAGGCCTGAAAGGTTGTTGGTCAACTGACAACAACTTTATATCTGTCAGGGTGGCTCTTAAGGAACCATCCCTGGCATAGGTCTCTTTTTTTTTTTTTTTTCCCTTTTCTCCTCTCTTCTCTCTTCACCTTCTATTTCTCTAAAATTGCATACTCATTTTGTTGCGCTCATACCATACACATATCTTGGGTGTTACCAACTGCATTTTGTCATCGACATTCAATACCTAGCATTGCAAGCGCCGGCCGTTCTGGTCAGGAATGAACTGTTTTTAATCCTTTTTTTTTCAACTTTGTTTTTTCTTTTTTTCCCCATTGCTTGAAGAAATTCATCCGTCTCTGTTGTCTGTTCTGAAGCGTTCCGCAACATCATCTGCCCGACTAGCATTATAGTCAACATTTTGCTACCCCCTTCGATATAGCAGAACTTTCCCACCCCCCCAACCCATCTACACATCATCACGCATTACACATCACCCCTACACACATATCTCTCGAGGATTAATGTTGTTCCTCCCTGACACCAGAGCCACCGCCAGAAAGGGATGGAACGGCCCAAAAAAAGGAAAAAAGAACAAAACGGCAAAACCGAAAAAAGACATGCCCCGATGGAGAGGCGCAGAAGCGACATTATTGAACAAGGCTAGCCTTGAATACATTTCCTATGTTATTGAGTCCAGAGTATTACCATACTACCATAGGCTGTTGATGTAATCAGTACCAGTGACTACATAGTAATAGTAGATGTGATATAATTTCATATCATTTATGTAGAGTGAACTAATCTGAGACATCAATACCTAATAGTAATAGTAATAGTAATTGTAATTGTAATTGTAATAGTACACAATGTGGCCAACTTGGACAACTAGAAAATTAGATCAGACAGACAACTCCCATATTCCAAACCATTACCGTCCGAACCGCTATGCAAATTGAGTAATACATGAGTGAAAGAAAAAGAAATTATGATCAATATGAAGGGGGAAAAAAAAAATTTAAAAAAAAGCAACAGACTCATCGGCACTGTGCGGAATGCAGTTGCCAGGCATCGTACAAGGTAAGGGTAGGGAGGGTACTCCGTAACCGAGTTACCCTTTGGTGGTGGTGGTACAATTAATGGGATGTTCAGGGGGGAAACCCCCTAACCAGTAGGGGGGGGGGAAAGTAAGTAAACCTTAGGTGGGCGGTGGGTATGGAGCACCTAAAGCTAGGGTACGGAGGGACCTAAAGCTAAGGAGCTCCGTACTCCGTACCTCCTCCGTAAAGGTAACCCGTCGGATCCCTCCAGGGGGGGGGGCGGACATGGACAATCCGGGCGGTGAGCGTCGATCCGTCCGCCTCACTTTACCTTTCCAGAAAGGGACAGTGAGATTGTAACTGTTAGTCGTACCTGGTACTCCGTACTCTGTAGGACTGTCGTAGTACTCCGTACTCTAGCTTGCCAGCAAGCTACCTCCCTCAATAATCAGCTCATACACCAGCTGACTCTTGACTCTTGACTAGCCGACCCAGCCGGCCAGCCCCCATCATTTACTGAACACTTATCTTGTACGATAAGTGTCCGGTAAGTGATGAAGCTACTTCCACCGTTGTTTGTCCCAGTCGCTCGGTCTTGTTTCGTCGAACGTGCGGCCGCCCTGGTTGTGGACCACGACGGGCTTTTGGGTCTTGCGAGGGGGTGCTAAGTCATTAGTGTTCTGTATGATGAGATGAGTAGGAACTGGTATCGACGTACATCGTATATCCTGGACGACGACACGGCCGCTGCTCTGGCTGGATAGGGTGGAATTTGAGTCGTTGAGTTTGTGAGGCATGTTGAAGTAGAGTATGTAGGTGGTAGAGTATGTAGGTGGTAGAGTAGGTAGAGTAGGTAGAGTAGGTAGAGTAGGTAGAGTAGGTAGAGTAGGTAGAGTAGGTAGAGTAGAGTAGGTAGATAGTAGTAGAGTCTAGAGTAGTGATAGAATTAAGTAGTAGAGTTATGAGTAGATGATAGAGGAATAAATAGTTGACTACGCCTAGACAGACGGCAGCCATCCCAAAGAGGCAGCGAATACAGTTGCGCCTCTCCTGTACTCCGAACTGCAGTGCAGAATGGGAGCTCCAGAGCTGCTGCTACTGCTACTACAGCTGCTGCTGCTTCTCCACGCCCAGTCTTTAGACGTCAGTCTGCCTTAGACTAGCCTGTACTATACGATACCTCTATAGTAGGTTTAGGATGGTTAAATTACACTCTGTTTACACTCCACTGCCCCGGGGCCTATTGGCTCTCGGACCTCCAGGAGACGAGGCAGCAAACCAGGAGGTATCCCAAAATAGAGACACTGTAATTTATCAATACAGGTACGGAGGCATTAGTTGACTATGCTAATAATATTAATGAATATCATAAACGTCTTCATTCCTCGTGGTTGTCACGACGCGCGTAGTACTTGGCTGCTACGTAGACAGTGCAGCAACAGTACAGGTATGCTCTTCACTCCGTACTCCGTACAGACTATACTACTAGTACTCCGTCTAGTCCCTGCATAGCGGGTCGATCGATCGCCTAGATATCTAATAGATATGTAGTATATCCATGTTCATTAAACTAGGGGCTATGTACTTGCTATCATTCTTACTCTACTTGTAGTAACATATATGCTCTGTATCTAATTTCTTATTACTCCGTACCGACCGTAATGTCGCCTAACTTAAGGATCAGCAGGTCACCTGATGGTATCCCACTAGCCACATGCACACTAGCCTGCTTATCTAATACTCTAACCACTTCCAGTTAGCGGACAACTCATCATTAGTCTACACCACTAACTTGATTTAGCCTAGCCTATATTTACTTCACCGCTTCTTGCATAACCTGTACACATAAACATACTACATACAGGTACATACTACATACACTACTTAGTTATCTCTACTGTAACTACCATCATCATTAACTATAAGGAAACTTCTATCTTGTAACGATAGTAAAAAGACTCGACTCTGTACTAAGTGGATCAGGTACAGCTCTATCGCAGATCATCCATAGCCCGCCACGTCTCGCGTCCAATAACCTTTCCAACCACGGGGTACCAGACGCTCCACGTAGCCACGTCTTGCTCTGTTAGACCTTTACTAGTTACTAGTAAAGTAAACTATTCATGTACTACATAGTATAAGACTCAAGACTGTATGCCGTACTTGTGGACGAGACACGTTCTTCATGGCAAAAAGCATCATTCGTGCGGAGGGCCCGGACAGAGGTCTACGTGTTCACTCGGGTACGGAGGGAACAAAAACACAAAAAAAAAAAAAAAAAAACTATCCTGCGACGGGGTCATTCAATCATGAGACTCGGAGTAGACAGGTCATCTTGAGATCTCGGAGAATGGGAGGAAGAGGGGGGGTTCTTGTAGCTGTACGATTGCCAAGTATAGGCCTATTTTCCTCTCACGCAACTCTGCCTGAAACAAGGCGCAGCACTGCAGTAGTTCTAATTAGTATGTTAACTAGTCTATGTAGTAACTAATGTATAACTACTACATACTAATCTTACAAGTGCCATCACCGCTTCATCCGGTCCGCCCACGTAGTCGTCGGCCGCCCGCAGCCCAGCGTCTTCCGCCCCGTCCCAACTCCCGACTGGCCCAGGGTCGACATGCTGGTCGAATGATACGTAGCCACCGGCCGGAGTCGAGGCCGGCCATTCTCTGGGATCTCTTTATTATTGCCACTGTCCCCAGCCACGGAACTCGCACTTGCCCTTGCACCGACATTGACATTGACATTGACACTTGCACTTGCACTGGTACTGGTACTGGTACTGGTACTTGTACTGACACTTCCATCTATCCCTCCGCTGGCTGCTCCCGGTTGACTGCGCCGCACCAGCGGTGCAGAGGGATTCATCCACGTGTACGCGCTGGCATCCGAGGCTTGCTCCAGCGTCGGGCGTGAAAGATGAAAGGCCTGCGAATGAAGGCGATGGCCCGAGAACTGCCGCGGAACCATCACCCCAGTAGTAGGCCGTTTCAGCGATGACGTCGCCGATCGTTCGCCTGGCTCAAGATGAGGCGGAGGCGGCTGTGCCTGCGCCTGCGCCTGCGCCTGCAGGAGGCGGGGGAGAGGCGATGACGGATCTTTGGTGGTTTTGAATGTGCCTTGGCAGAGATAATTGGACAGACTGCCCTGTGATAAGCCATTGGCTGATTTGCGGCCCACTGGCTTCGCCTTCTTCGTCTCGTCACACAGGCCGTTCGAGCCTCGCGCCTCCATCTTCGGCGGATTATTGGCAATATGTTCTCGGGCAGTCGAAAATCCAATCCTCACAGTCGAGGCGTCAGTGCTGGTTGCCTCATAGCGACGGCGTTTGGCCAGCGGGCCCTCTGCATCATCATCATCATTCCTTTGGCCGTCGGCTGTCCACAGGTCATCTTGCATGGAAGGGAGTGAGTCGAGGCCCTGGACCATGTCTTCCTGCGACGGCCTGTCTCGGCGTAAGATGTCCGCGATCCCGTAAATCACTGATTCCCGCAACACAGGGCCCGTCGGGCGGAACCGCGCCTCGACGATCTGGTCCGGCAGAAAGGAGGTCTGGCTGGTCTCTTCCTGGTTGCGCGACGAGATGAGAGGCAGGCTGAGGTACAGCAGCGCCTGCGCCCGCGTCATGGCGACATACAGCAGCCGTCTTTCCTCATCGGTGTTTTCGGCTCGCGAGTGCGGGATGATGCCCTCGTACACGGCCGGGACAAACACGACGGGCCACTCGAGCCCTTTCGCCGCGTGGATGGTCGAGATGGTGACCTTGCCCTGCTGAACCTGCTCGCCGTCGCCGTCGCCCTCCTCTGATGCGGTGATTTCCGTCGACAGGGCAACGTTCGCCAGAAAGTGAGCCAGGGCTTCTTCTCCGCGGTGCGCCTGCTCCTGTGTCAGGCCCTCAATGGCAGGTAGACTGTCGTCGTCTTCATTTTCCATAGCAGCAGAGGCAGAAAGGGGATCCCCGGCCTGGGACAACAGCTCCTCGACATTGGCCCACCGATTGTCTTCGTCGTTGGGGTATGTCGTCTTGAGATGTTCTTTGAAATTGAGCTTGCGGATGATCAGCTCAAGGAGCATTCTTGGGGCGGTGGCACCGTCCTCGCACTCAAGTAACTTCTGCCTGCAGGTTTCGATCATGCCAACCAGCGTGCAGAGACCCTGGTCGGCCAGTCTCGAGATGCCCTTCCCGGCTGACCGGCGGCCTTGGGCGATATCCCTGATGAGCGTCCAGAGGGTGACGTTTGCCTCCTCGGCGCGTGCGGTGAGCACTTTTACCGTCTCGTCGCCGATCCGCCGCGCAGGCACATTGATGATACGCAGGAGCGCATCGCTGTTTCCCGTGTGACTGACGACCCGCAAGTAATCCAGCAGCAGCTTGATCTCGACGCGATCGAAGAACCGCGAGCCGCCCACCATCCGATACGGAACCCCAGCCTTGCCCATGGCCGCCTCGATTTCTCGAGACAGCGACGCCGAGCGCAGCAACACCGCGCAGTCCGAAAACGTGAGCAGCTTGCCCGTCATGGCGACGCACCGTTTGATCTCACACACAATCCACGCCGCCTCGTCCTTTGCAGACGGCAGCCTCCGCAGCACGGGAAACGTCCCGACCCCATGCGTAGGCTGTAAACTCTTCGCCGGGCGGGCGGTGTCCTGCTCAATGACATCCTGGGCCGAGTTCAAGATCGCAGCCGAGGAGCGATAGTTGTCTTCTAGCAAAGCCACAGAGGTCTCCGGGTACAGCTTATGCATGCGTGCCAGGTTCTTGATCTCCGCCGAGCGGAACCCATAGATGCTCTGGTCCGGGTCGCCGACGACAGTGATGCGTTTCTGCTTTGCCGCAAACAGGTTCATAAGCTCGTACTGGATCAGGTTCGTGTCCTGGAACTCGTCGACCAGCACGGCCTGTACGTTCGACACGCACTGCGGGTGTTGGCGCAGCAGGTCGGCACACCGTAGCAGTAGATCGTCGTAGTCGAGTAGGTTCGAGGCGGCCAGCACCCGTTCGTACTCGCTGTACACCTGCACAAACTCCTGCTGCTCCAGGACTTTTGTCTGGGCGTTCTTTGCCGCCACCTCTTCCGGGCCCACCGCTTGGGCTTTCTGATGCGAGATGCGTGCTCGAGCCGTGTTGGGCTGAATATTGAGATTCAACCGCTTCACTATCCTCTATCATCCGATCAGTATCATGATCAGAATTGGAAAGAATTTCAAAAAGAGATAGGGAAAAGCTACTCTGATGATTCCCAAACTATCACTCGAATCCGCAATCCCAAACCCCCTCTTCAACCCAATCAGATACCCGTAAGCAACCAAGTACCGCCGACAGATAGAATGGAATGTGCCCAGGACGAGCTTCGACTCGACCTGACTCCCCGCCAGCTTGGCGATCCGCTCCCTCATCTCCCGACTCGCCTTGATCGTAAACGTGCAGCAGATGATATCCTGCGGTAGGAAGCCATGGTGCGAAAGAAGATACGCGACGCGTGCGGTCAGCGTCTTGGTCTTGCCTGAGCCCGGGGGAGCAAGCACCTGCAAGATGGACGCGGGCGAGCTGACTGCCGCCCGTTGTGCTGCGTTCAGTCCATCGAGCGCGACGTCCATTGGGTTGGGGAAGGAGGGGGGGGGGTTTCAAGTGTGCTGTTTTGCTGTTTTGCTGCTTTGCTGTCCTGAGGTTCGTCGTCGACTCGAGAGACACGCGTTGGTATCGCGCTGTCACGTGATATATCAAATCACTCTACACTCTACAACTCTCGTCTATACAAAAGGAATATACGGACTATATTGTGATTGTCGAATAATACACTATTCTCTGAATACAGGCTTAAGTCTTGGTGTGATATGTTATTTGGTATTTTCGTGGCAATACCTAGTCATAATCGCTTAATAACTATACAAAACTGTTTCATCTATCATCACAGGGTATCATAAATTGCTAGTAGTCAACTGAATCGACTTTTCTGGTGATTTGTAGCCGTAGGGAACGTCTGAAGTGCATTGTCAGAGCGAAAACACCCCAAGAGGCAAGCTCATTGCGACCTCAAAGTTCGGCATATTCACGGCCTGGACAATCTGAAGATCGCCGGCTACGCTAGCTAGCATGTATGCTTCGTTGCGAGTGAGACCCTTGGCAACGACTAGCCACTGGATGGTATTACGGACCGCCTTCCTGGCGGCCTCGAGAAGATCGGGGTCGATCCCCGTGGCAGCGTAGCGGCCGCGGTCTGGGAGAATAGTCACCCCCAGCTGGCTCGCTGGTGGGATCTGAAAGTGCGGGGAAGTCACCCACGGCTGATCTTTGCACAGTTCGAAGCGAAGGGTCGCCTTGACCGACGTCTCGATGGCCGTGCCACACACTTCTCCGTGGCCCTGTGCGGCATGGCCATCGCCACAGCTGAATAGGGCGCCGTGGGTCTGGACGGGCAGGAAGACGGTGGAACCGACACTGAGCTCGCAGCAGTCCAGGTTGCCTCCGGCATTTGTTGGGGGGATGGTGGACAGGTCTTCTTCCGTGGCCGGGGCCAACCCCATGCACCCGAGGAACGGTCGTAGCGGGACTCGCACGGCGCCATTCAGCCGAGCGTACCCGTTGCCCTTGTCGAGTTGCCAGATCTTCAGGTCTGGATCGGGAAACTCATCTGCCAGTAATCCGAAGCCCGGGATGATGGCGGTCCATCCCCAGTCGGCGACCTCCAAATCCAGAACCTCGACCTTGAGCACGTCACCTGGGCAGGCATCCCGAACAAAGACAGGCCCAAAGACCGGGTTGGCAAGACCTAGGTCTAGCGACCTGATAGTCGACGCATCTGAATCAAGGGTGATCTGATCATTGCTGCTATCGACCGTATCAAACGTGACGACGTCGCCAGAGGAAACCGTCAGGACTGGGGCAAGTTTCTTGGACCACTTCAAATGATCATGATCCCGCCCAACATGAATTGATCTGCACTGCGAAAGAACACCCATACTGATGGTTTGTGAGGAAAGGGAGAGACACCTTCCTTTGGCGACTCGTAAATACTAGCGACCGCCAAGAAGAGCGGGAGGGAAGAAGGAGAGAATTCTAAGATTCTTTCCGTAGGTGAATGTGTTAGACAGAATTCCAGCAAGTCACACACGCCCTATCGACACCACGAGATATAAAAAGGGAAGCGGTGCAGAGAGAGTACTCCGAAGTCGTACTCATGGCGTTGCAAGTCTTGTCCCCACCACATTATTCTTTAATTTTTTTCGAATGAACTGCCTAAAACAGATGGCAGGAGACCTAAGAGAGAAATTTCAAATCAGTCATCCTCCTCCGAAGCTCTCTTCCAATTAGAGATCGTACCCGATAGTACTCCGTCCCTGTTTAGGGGTGGTATCCGGACACTGGAAGAAGGATAAGCGAATGAGCCAATCACCGATGCAGACTATCTGCTAGACCAGTAGACCTTGCCAGTATCCAGTGTCAAGTATCCAGTGTCCACTTGTCTGAGCTTGTCGAGATCAAAATGCAACTCCGAACGCAAGTCAAACAGTCGGAGCATCTGCAGAATCTGGATGTGGTGGGAAGGTAAGCGCTGCCAAGACGCCGGGGGCACCTGCCTTTTTGGGTTGTTGGTGCGACTAACTTTACTTGGTTAGCTCGCTTAACCATGCGTGGAAATACTACGTACGTACGTTGTAGTACGGTATGTACTATGTAGTACAGTTATTTAGTACTGCCACTAAGATAGAATACTATATGAACAATATAATAATATATCAGCTCTTACCTTAATATAAGGTTTGGTTATGAACTATGGGGATAATCGACTATATAGTTTGTTACTAAGTATACGAGGCTGTGGATATAAAATCGTATGTGCGCATAACCCCCCGCTTGACCTGATCAGGAAGCTACTTATTGAACCTGGTTCGACAGTGGCAACACTTATATTCTATGCAGTAACTAGGTATGTAGTTTGTAGTAGGAAGAAATCCAGGAGATAATAATATATAACTGATCCATTGTATTTTTGGCATTTTTTTTGAAAAAAAAAAAATAAAAAATCATGACTCCTGACCATCAAACAATGCAACAATACAAGACCCATTATCACTATTAGCACTATTACAAGTCGTAGTAGCAATCTCCTGGGCAATATCTCCGGCTCTTAACCCACGCATCGACAGTTTCATGACATGTTGGACCAGCGAGACGTCATCGACCCTGTCGCTGACCCCGTCGGAAACGGCGACGATCACGTATCGGTGGTCCGGCAAAAGAACCAGTCTCGTGAGATACGGCTCATTCGACAAGAAGTCGCCGCGAGATTCGGGGGAAACAGACGTGGCGTGACGGAGTCCCTGCGACGAGTCTTCGTGGTTGACGGGATTCTTGTACCGTAGATCTCCGATTGCTCGAGACATGTTGAGGGTGCCTTTTCATTTAGAGGGGAAAAGGGAGAGAGAGAGAGAGAGACAGACCTACACGGGCAGTTCCACTCCGTGAACTGACATTGCCGCCGGCGTCTTCGATCCGGGCCTGTTCGGACGGAACATCTGGCTTGTGAGATTTTGTCAAGCGTCGCTAAGAACCATATCAGTGATTTAACTCCTATCGTATAAGGCATATATATATCACTCACAATACGGTACGGTTGTTCTGTCTTCGGATCGCGCTCGGCCAAAATGATATGCGAATCGCCCAAGTTGCCCACGACCAAGTCTCCCTTGGTCAGGTTGACCAGACAGATGGCTACCGTAGAGCCTGACACGGCCGGCTCCGGGTTCTTATTTTTGAAGTAACTTAGCAAGATCCCATCCTCGTCGGCCAGTGCCCCTTTGATAGCACCTTCATAGTCGCCGGTCTGGAACTCGGGGCGTTTGGCGACGAGGAAATGCAGGTCCTGTTGTGCGTGGTTGGACACCAAGTCCGTACCACTTACCAAGTCAGTGGAAACCGTAATCTCCTCTCCTTTTCCTTTTTACTCCTTCAAGGGGATGCCTTACTGTCCGTCATAGACCGCAAAGAAGGCGAGCTTGTCATCGGTGTTGGCGGGGAACTGGTCTGGTAACACTACCGCACAGCGATCTTCCTGGAACTTTCTACCTCCTTGAGCCTGTGGTAGTCAGATAATGATTTCTTTGGAGATGAGTTCTCTTGAAGATGAGTGAGAGAAGTGGCATTGTCCTGCGAATTGATATCTTCGCACGTACCTGGCCATATCCTGCGTCAAACAAGAGGACGGCATCAGAGGTTGACATGAGAACGTTACGGAACATTTGGTGGTTCAGTATCCCCGGAACTCCAGGGCCATCTTATATACTATGTGACTGAAAGAGGCATGTTCCAAGCAAGAAGCCCCCCTCTCATCCCTCAGCTCGGCCTCATATCAACGGCAATTCTGCCAGCCATGATGGTCAAATGACATCATGAGCCCCTTCAGACAGCGTAGATGGAATCGAATTCCAGGGCTTCCACGGTATGACAGATTATCAGGCGGATTAATTCCCTTGCTGACTATAAAGCGTAGTCAGTAGACACTCTATAACTACTTGGTAGTGAGTGATCGGTGGAGAATATACATAAAGACAGGCAGCTATGACGTATAGATTATGAGATCTTCAAGGCTGTTTTGGAACCTTCCACCAGTTTAGACGATGGCAGTTCACGAAGGTAGAGGTCGAGAGGTAGATTGCAGCCTAGACCGCTGTTGTCTTCAGATGCACGTGCCACTATATAAATTTACATGGGTCTTTTTACAAGTAGAGATTGACACTGAGAACACCACTTTTGATCCAGAGCAGCTCCTCTTTGATTCTTATCGAACCAACAGGATATCATCGGCTTTCGATTGAACGAAGCTCTCATCCGATCTGGTCGTGTCGACAAGAGAATGTGAATTTCAGCTTGCCAATGGGGATGTAACCACGCAGCCCTATCGCTTGTCAGACCTTAGAATAGGAGTTCTCTCAGCTGTCTATTTGTGTAATTCTGCTTGTAACCACTCATCCATTTCTAATTGCTTAGCAGAGCTCCGCTTTCCCGGCTCCCACTGCAGCATTTTTCGAACGAGACGGAGAAACTGCTCCCTTTCTTCTCCCTGGAGAGTAGTCTCCCTCTCTTCGAGCGGAGTGTGTTCTTGTACTGGGATTCCAGCGCAGAAGGTACCTAGAAGGCCATGAGTAAATATACTCTTGCCGCATAGATAGTGATGAGGCGACCCACCTTCCTCCGAAAAGAACTTTGAGGTCAGATTCCCTCGTGCAAGAAGACTGGGCGGCGGCGGACCAAGAAGGCGTATCATTTCGGCGAGGTGTGCTCGACTCCGATAAGTCTGAAATTCTGGATCCTGGCCGGTGAATAAGGATCCTCCTTCGAAAATGTTCCAAATCTGCAAGGTGAGTTTTTTTGAAGAGCTTTGGCACGGGGATTGTTGGACTATTGTCTTACCATGCATCCCACATTCCATATATCAACGCTGTATGTCCATGGAACCTCCAAGATTACCTCCGGTGCTCGATAGATATCTGGCTGGATGTCTTCTGAATGTTTTTCGTCGCCGAGAACAGCAGAGCCAAAGTCACATAGCACCGGGGGACCTAATTGCTTGGGCATTCTAAGTTCCCGGGAGATATAAATGATCCTTCCATCTTCCAGCTCTTTCCTAGGGCAGGGATCCTGAAGTTCATTCTCTTCAAAATCACTAAAAACCGAATCATCGTTGATACTGAACATAATATTGTCGGCCTTGATGTCTGGCGGCATTCACAGGTAAATAATAGAAACAGAAGGCCCCAGATAGGCGCACATACCGGTGTGTATAATGTTGCATTCTGTATGTAGATAATCCAGAGCCAAAAATAGACGGTGAAGCACCACCGCCACAACAGGTGTAGGCAGTCTTTGTACTGGATTGCGGAAAAGAAAAGCCAACACGCTCTCCCATAATGGAGGATGCACGAGGCACCGGTGTTTGTCGTCGGGTCCATCAACATCAAACGAGTCAAGTAATGATCGGACATATTTATGACCTGGGTGTTTCTGTGAGGCCCCATCTATGCGTTTATATATATTGAGCTCATCATTCAGCTGCTGTCCCAATGATGCAGACTTGATGTAGATCTTGAGGGTAACATAACGACAGCCGCTGTACTTTCAGTTAGCAGGTAGACGAGTAGAGGCAAAATAATCATAAAAATGGATTCCATTGGCATCTCACTCCATGTCCCGTGCAAGCCACACAGTTGAGCTGGCTCCAAACCCGAGCTTTCCCACGACTTGGTATCGGTTCTTCAGTGTCTCCCCTATCCGAACAGGGTAGTACCGGGCTGCAGCATACCCTGGGATAGTCTCCTCTTCGATTGCCTGGCTTGCAGGGATCCGGACGACGTTCGGATTCGAGAAGTTAAGTGGCGTCCATCTTCGTCTGAGAAGGGGTATGGAACGTAGAAAAGACGCCAGCATCTCCTGAAATGGGAGCAGGCTAGTAGGAGCTGGGAATGTCGAGACGAGAGTAGGAGATGGTGTAGACTGTAGACTTAGAAGTTAGAGATCAGCGGGTCAGGTGATTAGTATAATATGCCAGTCAATACCTTCAGTAATGCTTCAATAATGCTTAATATAGTCGTCGGTAGATATTGAATCTGATCATCAATATATTTCAATATATTACCAAACACTCGGTATAATGTACGAAGAGCTGATTCTAAGCAATAGTAATTATAGGCCGGCAATTCCTGCTGCGTATTCAATTATTCCTCAATAATTCTTTATATTCTTATATTCTTTATATTATTTATTCTACTGTCCAGAAACTAAAATGCCTACTTTACAACATATTATTCTCATTTTAAACTTATTATTAGAAACGCCCTGATAAGTGATATGTATTTATGTGTATTTATGTATTAGTGATGTAATTTTCAACCCGCGACCAGATGCTCCTTTTACAAAGCCAACGCTGCTCATTGCTCACTCCTTGACGGTCGTCTCGGCACTTCCAACCACGATAGCCACTCTGTGGGCATAGACAGCCTGGCATGGGCTGGGTCGGAGTCGGGGCTTTGATTGCAACTGCCTGTTTTCTGCTCTACCAGTTTCCTCCCAAGTGGACAGTGTCGTCGAAACCCACGCCTACCTGCGAAGATGGCGACGTGAAGGTGCAAGAACCTGCTGAAACACCTTCTAAAGAGATCACTTCCATCGATACACACGATGAGAGTACAAATGAGTCGCCAACTACGCCCAAAGCCGCGGCTACCACACCAGACCCCTCCCTGACGATACCGGCGTTCCAGTTGAACGACGAGACTACAACGAGCAGCAATCCTACTCCTATAACTCGTTCACCAGCGCCGACAAATGACTCGAGACCGACATCCACCGCAACTGGGGTCATCTCCAGCATGCCTCCTCCTCCTCCTCCTCCACAACCACCGCTGCCGTCGTCACGTCCAGACACCGCGTCACTGATGCCGCCTCCTAGCGTCCCCCGCCTCCGACCTCCGACACAGCCGACACAGCCGACACGGTCTCCAAGCGTTGTAGCGCCAGGAACAGAAGGACGATACCCTCCACGGCTCTCTCCCGGTAGCAGCTCTCTACGCCCACCACCGTCTGCGGCCTCCTCCCTCCGCGTGCCACCGAGCAACAGCCTAGCGCCGACGAAGGTGACGTTGAAACCGTCCAAACCAAAGCGGAACAACAAGGTGAACCTGCAGCCCGGGTTCTCGCCGCTGGACTGGGCGGCGCTGACCGCGAACCCGAACAACAAGCTGCGGGGCGCGAACCTGCCGCCGGGCCTGATCAAAGTGACACCCTCGATGCTCAAGGCGCAGAACGGGCGCAAGGGCACCGACGTGTGGACCTCGTACCAGGGCAAAGTGTACAACATCACGCCGTACGTGCCCTTCCACCCGGGGGGGACTGGCGAGCTGCTCCGCGGCGCAGGCAAGGACTCGGGCAAGCTGTTCATGGAGATCCATCCGTGGGTCAACTGGGATGCTATATTAGGGGAATGCCTGGTTGGCATTCTAGTTTCGGAGAACGAAACCAATGTCCTAGATGAGATGGACTAGTCGTATCACTGTACATATCCAATATAAACATAAGTAACTAAATAACGAAGTAACTATTATCAAAGTTCATCCTTCTTCACGCCATCAATGCCCACCAACTCGGTCTCAAAAATCAAGGTCGACCCGGCGGGAATCGGGCCCATGCTTCGCTCCCCGTATCCAAGTTCAGGCGGGATAGTCAAGGTGCGCTTTTCGCCAATGCACATGTCGAGAAGACCTTGGTCCCATCTAAACAACGTTAATACCATTCAAACGAAAAGTAATAGCAATCGCTGAGCTGTTCGACTCACCCCTTGATCACTCTGCCCGTTCCAAGCTTGAACTTCAAAGGCGCGTTCCGCTTGAAGCTCGAATCAAACTCGCTGCCGTCAGACGCCAATGTGCCCCGGTAGTGCATGTGGACGGTATCGCCGTTGGTGGTCTTGCGCGTGCACTCGACTGCGTGGGTGGTTTCGATCTGCAGCTCGGCGGTGACGCTCGCTGTCAGCGAGAGCAGGGAGAGGAGAGTCACGGATAGGAAACGCATTGTCGATAGATTATCAATAAGGTAGCTTATGGATGACAGATGTACAGCGGTTGGTGTTGCTGGTTATAACAGTTGTACTCCGTAGCTGCTTGTAAGTTAACTAACTCGTGTCCTGATATCTCACCGCCTGATAAGAATTCTGCCTGAGGCATAACTATATATCAACCTACTCTATATGGTTAAATACAAGATTTCACTAACCGTAGGCTTATCTATTATATGTATGGATAGATGAAGCAAGTGGAAATATGACATCTCTCATAGTCCGTATACTTCGTATACTGTACATCAATTATATAGTAACTAGTGTCTACTTGTCTAGGTCTAGAGCTTGTGCTCCGCCTCTTCAAGAGTAGCAGGGGGAATGCCCTGATCCGCAATTGCCCGCAGATCATCCTCGCCCATCTCGCCATCCCAGCCGTTAGCGACCAGGTAAGCCCGGAACTGTTCGTCACGGATGCGCAGGTCCTCGCCGCTGATCTCGGGGACGAAAAAGTAGGTGACGAGGATACCCACCACACCGCAGATGGCAGCGATGATGAAGGTCCAGCGTTTGCCCAGGTTGTCTTCGATCGGGGTGAAGGCTTGCGTGCCGACGGCGGCGCCGGTCTTACCCAGCGCCGCGGAGATACCGTAGCAGGTGCCCCGGACACCAGTGGCGTACGATTCGGACGAGAGCAGGCCCAACATATTTCCCGGGCCGAGGTTGCCGGAGCTCTGCATCAGGCCGTAGAAGATCACGAACAGGGGCAGGATCTTGGTGATCTTGTCATAGGAGCAGCCGATGATCAGGCCGAAGACGAGGTAGCCGCTGAAGCCGAGCATCATGACGTTCTTACGACCGAGTCTGTTGCAGAGCATTGCGCCGATGAAGACACCGGGAAGAGAGATGATACCCAAGAGGAGTTGCCATTCACCCGTCTTCATGATGCTGCTGTCCTTGACGATCGAGCTGATGATTGTGCCGGAGAAAACGCTGTTGGGGAAAGTAACAAAGTCTGATTATTTAGCATGCTATCAGGTGAAGCTAGCAGGTGAAGACATTATTATTTTAGGAGGACCTACCATAGAGAAACCATGCGCCACAGGTTCCAATAAGAGACTTCCAGTAATAGCGAATGACCAGCAGGTAAGGCACGCGTTTCTTGATCGCTCCGCGACGGTAGAGGGTCGAGTTGAGCATGCGGATACGGAAGTAGAAGACGGTGAGGGGCCAGATGCAGCCGATGCCAAAGCAGACACGCCAGACGGTGCTGTAGTGCGACTGGTGGCAGGCTGAAAGCACAATCAAGAAGACGATGATGGCAAAGGGTCCTCCGAACGATAAGGGGAGGTTGGTGACCATGATGAACATCGGACCACGCTGTTTCGGCGTCAATTCGTTGGCCGCTTCGGAAGCCGACGTCGACGAAGCAGGATACTCGCCACCAGTGCCTGAAAATTAGCAAGGATTACAACAACAACTGCGAGATATCTAAGCTAACTCACCAAAACCAACAATACCACGCGCAACAGTCATCATCCAGAACATATCCTTGATGGTAGCTCCGTTCGACGCAGTAGCCAAGATACCTCCGATGACGATCATCAGCGTTGTGAAGACGATGGCAGCCTTACGGCCCATATAATCGCACGTCAACCTGACTAGTATCAGCATTGAGTCAAGAGAGGGGGGGGGGGAGAGAGAGGGTCCTACCCGATGGTGATCTGGCCGATGATCTCGCCGATCAACAGGGCATTGGATACACGAGTGGAATTGTATTCCGTGGGGTATTCTTTGTCGAGAAGCACGTTGACCATAGTCCTAGAAAGTAGAAAGCAAAAGGTTAGAACCATGACTACCACTCTGTAGTTGATTTGACTACTCACATCAGGTTGTTCTGATATCCATCACTGATCAATGCAAAACCACTGCAGAACTAGAACAATCAGTTGATTGCAAACACTCAAAACCCCAAGGCTATCAACTTACAATGGTAAACAGATTCGACATGCTCTGTTTCTTCTGCGACACCTCTGGCGAGGGATCAGCCTCGACGGAGCTCACGATCTGAGCCTCCGACGGCTGGAGACCGCTCTCCTTCTCATTAAGCTGTGTTTCCATCTCTGCACTATAGTATACCTTATACCTTATACAGTCTGTATAAACTGTATAAACTGTATACACTGTATACACTGTATGTACTATGTAGCACGGTAAGACGGTAAAACCTGATGAGCACACATTCCAAGGAAACAGGGGACTGTCTGGAATAAATACTACAGGGGGAGGGGGAGGGTGAAAAATAAAAGAGAATTTCACATGCAAACTGCAAGCCTGCACTCCTCCTACCTAACCACCTAAACTACTCCTGCTAATTCGGTCTTTACCCCATTAAGGCAAAGAGTCACGGTCAGAGGACGAACCTCTCGACACCGTAAACGGTTTAGCGCTGTCAAGGGGTACAAGCTACCTAAGGTTCAGGTCGAGACGCGGGTAGTCCGTCCGAACCAATTGCAGGCAAGCATGGAGGGCACGTTCCGCTGGTGGCAGAGCACAGTGGCTGGAGACGATCAGATCAGATAAAGAGATTTGCAAAGCTGACTGGACAGGATCCAATCCTTCTGGCAGGGGAGGATGAAGCTTGAAACAGTCATGCAATGGTTCAAGGTTTAAGGTACCTACCTAGTAGCTAACTACCTAGTAACTAGATTGTACTTAGGTACCTAGGTAGGTACTTACTTACCTAGGGAGACTAGTTAAGGTTAGGTACTAGATACTAGGTAGTTACCTACTAACTACTAGGTAGGTATGTACCTACCTATTTACCTAGGTAAGTACCTGTTTCAAGCTCTAAACCAATGTCGATCAGTAGACTGCCCACGTGAAGGTCGTAATATTCATATGATAAAAAATTAGTGGAGGTTTCATGATATCTGTCTACCTGTCGGCTCACTCTTACACGTAGGTTTCTCTGTAGAGTCCTCGTGTACCATGTAGAAGGAATAGAATACCGTTGGCAAAGGGAGTAGGCACGTGGGCGGCTGTTGATCGCTGCTGGAGAAGGCGCTCGCATATAATTCCTTGAAATAGTGGTCAGTCTACTCTACTACTACTAGTAGTATAATAAATTGTCTCTAGGTCCATGCACATGAGTCGTAACTGTATGGAATTTGTCTAATATAAAGAAGAAAAAAAAATCAAGCCCATTTTCCGAGTAACGCCATCAATGCTGCCCCCAGGCAAAGCAAGAAAAATGCACCCAGCACCGTGCGGATTGGGGCCTGGCGCATGGAGGTGCTGAACATGAATTCGTGCGCCATCAGCTCGACGAGCGCGGTGTAGATGAGGATTCCCGCCGAGATCGAGTCGAACACGCCGTTCACAATGAGCGTGGTCCGCCCGTCTGGAGGGTACGTCTTGCGCACCCCGAGGCCGATGGCAATGGCGATGGGAGTCGACACGCCGAACGCCATGCCGAGAAAGTACGGCGTCCACCGTTTCGAGTGGGGCCACGGGATGGTCGCCAGACGGGACCCGAGACCTAATCCTTCAAAGGTCTGGTGGAAGATCAAGACAATGTAGAGGGTGGTGAATTCGGAGCCGGAGACGGCAAGCGTTAACCCGATGAAGACGGAGTGGAAGATGATTCCAAACTCCAGGATGAAGATGGACGTCAGCTGCGCCATGTACTCTTCCGTGGCAGTTGGGCCTTGTTTCGTCATCTCGGCATCGTGGTGTTCGCGCGAATGACCCAGGTGATCTTGTCCGGGTATATGACTCTTTGACATCTCACTAGGACTGGACTGACCAGACATTTCGAGGTCATGATTGTGATGATGATGATGATTTTCTTCTTCTTCTCCTTCTTCTTCGCCGTGGTGATGACTGGCGCCAAACCGGGAATACCGCATGACCATGAGTTCGACGAAAAATAACACCACAATGGTCATCAGAATGATCCCCTCGCACCAGCTATAGGCAGTGATCGGCCCCGTCAGGCACGGATCCGTCAGAGCCTCTTCCGCGGGGGCTAACAGGTGGATAAACGCCGTGGCGATGATCACCCCGGAGCCAAAGTACTTGGCGATAAAGAACGCCCACGAGGGGATCCCCGCACCGCCCAACCGACGAGCCAGCACGGGGAAGACGGCGCCGAACATCGAGCCCACCATGATCACGAAGATGGACGAGATCCGTAGGCCCATCTTCCCGTCAAAGTCATTGCCGGTCGAGCAGGCATCCGTGTCTCGGGGTAGGAACCTGTCCATCTTGACTGACTCGAGGGCTCTCTCTCGTTGGTTCCTTTCTACTGCGCTCGTCTAGCTTGTCTAGCTTGTCTAGACCAATCTGCAGTCCGGAGAGAGCCTATTCGACTCTTCAGCGAGTACCCGAACAAAACCCAGTCTGGGAATCCTCTCAGCAAGCGACCCGTTTCTCTCCAGCACCGAGTCGATCACCGCAGGTAGGTTTCCCCTGGAAACGATTTGTGAAGATGAATAGAGACAGCAGCCATGGCCGACCATCAAGAGAGTTCGTCTGGGAGAAAGAGAAGGGAAAGAGGGGGAGGGGAGGCACCCATCCTGGGGACCTTGGAGGAAAGCGCCCGCCGGATCCATCGTCCACTTTTCGATTCTTCTGCGACGTCAACCACCGGCAGAAGGGGAAAAGTCTGTGACTTGGTGAGGACCTTGTGCGCCGGTCCCGCTAGGCGCAAGACGGCAATTGTGTGTCATGTGATTGGCTGGGGGTCACGTGTGGCTCCCGGGACTCCGCAGCGGCCCTCGGCTCAGAGAGTGTCGGAGAGCGGGTGAGGAGTCCGCTTTGGGATGGGCACCGTGGAACGGGGGAAAGAAAGTATAACTATGTTGCAGTCACGGTGTCATCGTTGGTTTATAGTAGATGCTAGATACAGGTGGCTACTGTGAATGATACTATTAACTTTTATTGCTGCTTTCTCCGTGTACGTTCAACGATCGGAACACAAAAGAGCGACGGCCAGACCAGCTCTACCTCGTCCTGTTTGCCGTTGAGACAATAGCGAAGCCAAATGCTCCAGGTGAGGTTGAAGTAAGCTGCAATACCGGTCATAATGTGCCTAGAATGAGTTAGACACACACACGGGGAGGGAGAGATGTACCACCAGCCGTGGCCTTCAGCAAGAATACCCCAAGGAAGGCCCACGTCGCGACGCCAACGACGGAGCGACGGGCAAAAGATGTTGTCCAGGTTCCAGATCAAAAACCCCGCAGCAATCGAGGTCAATCCGCAGGCAATCATCTGCCACATGTTGCGCAGGATGGCGGTGTCGCGGCAGTCGATGCGCGCCTGTTCGGCCGCGGGTCTGCTCGAGCTGTCTCCGGCTGCGCGTCGTCGGGATGGCCGGAGGGTTTTCTCCATGCTGTACATGCTCTGGAGTACCACGACGGCGGTCAACAACGCGAACGCGTTCTGGTGGAACACCGGGTTCTGCAGGTAGTGGTAGTATCCGGTGATGAAGGCCGCGAGGGCCGTGATCGAGACACCAATCACCACAGCGCTCAGCGTGGAGCGGCCACGCGAGAAAACGGCATAGAACAAGACACACGCCGTGTAGATCATAGACAGCTCATCGAGCAGTTGCATTGGGTCTAATGAAGGGGTTAGTCTGTTAGTCTACTGTATCTCTCCCTCTCTCTCTCTCAACCTGTCCGAGACCAACATTTCAAAGTCGAGTGGAAACAGAAGCTGCCTAGACCAATGACAAGATAGCTTAGAAAGGCGACCAGGAAGACCCGATCATGTCCGTTACGGAGGCAGCTCGAGATCCCCTTAGCCGCCAGGTACACAAAGATGAGGTTGGTCAGCGAGTTGACGATCTCGGCCGAGTACTGTGTGGCATAGTAATCCTACAGATCGATCAGCATGATGGACGGGACCCGGATAGGAAAGAAGAATAGATAATTAGTTAATGAGTCACCTACCTCCTCGCACCAATTGAGAGTCGAAGTCACTGAGCCCCAGTACCCGTCGCCGGCAGGCGGGTACGGAAGCGACGGAAGGTCGGAGAACATTTCAGGCTGTGACGGGCGGATTTGTGTGAACTGTGACACGGTGACGACTTGGGGGGAGGATTTAAAAAGGACACTGCTGCCAGCAAATAATACGCGCAAGCTCACGTTCGTCCTCGCAAGCGGATCCGCGCTACTCCGGAGTCTGTCTGTACTGCGTCAGTGCAGCGTGTATCGATAGACAAGCGTGGATCCCGAAGGTTCCAAGACGGTCAAAAATATCGCGTAAAGGGGGGTTACCGGGGGTTACCAGGTGGCAGGGGGGTCCTGTCTGTTGCCTTGAGCTTCTGGAAGTTGGATGCTTCACAGACAGCCAATTAGTAATGTGCCCTGCACCAGCAGCGAGCGTGTTCACTGTTTATTTCACGTCTCCTCGCAGTGGACGAGGATGACGAGTGGAGCCGTCGTCGGTTTGGTAAGCAGGTCCTTTTCCAACAACTCCTGAGTGCTTCAGTGCTATTCAAGACAATTGTCTTACTAAAATATATGTAAGCTTTAGATCCTTGCAGGGATAATTATGAAAATTGATATCTAGGGGTTTGATTACTATCAGTATAGGTTAGAAGCTGTAGGTGTAGCTATTTCACTGAATACCCAAGTATATCAGCTCAATAGCGATACTTATGAAATAGTGGAATATCAAATTTACCACGAAGACAATAGATTTATTCTTTCTGTGATCCTTTCTTTCTCTTTGTAAATAGATAATTTCATGTTATTGCAGATCATGTGAATCAGGCTTGGCATTGATGAGCTCATCGAGTCCTCAGACTTCAGTGGTTCACCTCTTCGCCTGTTTATTGCAGCTTGAATTCAGTTAATCCCACTCTTCAGCTACGATATAACGTCTACGATGGCTCCGATACGCCGGTACCTTAGAATCAGCAAGTTCTCGGTGCTCGAGTGTCGCATTTACCTCGACAATCCCTCCGACACCAGATGGCTGCTCGACCCGCGAGACCCGGTTCTTCCCCGGGTTTTTGCCTGTATCCGGCCTTTGGTGCTACCCAAGTTGCGGGAAGAAAACGAACGGGCGATGGCTAGAAAGAAGAGCAAGCCAGTGAAGGACGTCATTGCCGGGGGTTAGCATTCCTACATGCTTCTACAAGGTTAATTAGTAACTACGCCAGGCTAACGTGAAGGCTTAGATGATTTCCAGGTCTCCCTTTTCCTCCGCGAGTCCCGTACACGACACTCCCTCTTGACTCGACACAAGACATTCGGCAAGCACTCGGCCCCAGCCGGACACGAGAAGATCATCGATAATCCTGCAGCCGACACTGCCGGGATTATGGTTGAGAGCGATAGCGAGTCCAACGACATTAGCCTGCGGGACGTTCCCGAAGTGGAGGCGGACGAGGAGACCACTCTCGAGAAGAAGAAGAAGAATAATAATAATAATGCATCCGGGGCGACGGATGACAAGAAGGAAGCGGTCAGAACAGAATATGAGAGCTTTAATATCCATGGGTGGGTGCTGTGTCTGCTCGTCACGCGCAAAGGAGAAAGGGCGAAAACGTCGGCCATTCCGGCATCACAATCTGCCCGTCAGGTGTTGATGGAGGAATGGATTTCCACGCAAGCCCAAGCGGACCTTGACGATGAGTAGAGCCGAGCCTACTGAACTGCGCTGACTGACGGGTTTTGACATTGAACTGTCAAGCGCACGAACCACCAACCTCGCCCCAAGAATGGCTAGGCGATATTCGACACATTAGTATTGCGACGGATTCTACTCGTCTATTGGCGACGTGTCCCCGACGTGTCCCCGACGTATCCCCCGTTCTCTGCTACTCGGTACTTCGATAACCGGCTACGGAGTATGAATATTTCGGGATCACCCAAGCTAGCCATTTCCTTGATTCTAGAACGTTCATACGACGTTCTCTGCTCCGCCAGGATTTAGGAGATCACCGGAGTTACGGAGTAATTAACTATCAACGCGAAACAGCCGGGGATGAGAGCCAAGAACGATTCTCCTGCAGGGACATGCTGCGAACCCCTTTCGGATCGCAGCTCGTGATATTTCGGGGGGGGGGGATCAGTTGATCTGCGACGCATGAAGCACGGAGTATTTCTGATTTGTGACACGGCTTCTTTGCAGATGCAGTCTGCGCAACATGCATGTTGCAGTACTATTCTTAGCAGGGAGTATTATGATACTTGGAGTACGGAGTATTTTGATACTTTAGAGTACTACAGACCTTGCAGTCTGTAATGGACATTGAACGTCAAGGATATTTATCCGGTTCTCCGGTAGGATCCTCCTGACGATCTGCTCATGATCAAGTGACACTCTTACTCCGTACACAGTCTGACGCACGGTTCTACGGAGTACGGAGGATGCTCTACCGACGTGTTTCAGATTCGAAGATCCATCAGTGGAGAGTAGGAGTAGGAGTACGGAGTACACCATACGTGGTACAGTGTACGGAGTCAGTAGACTCCTTGGTATTCTGTAGCTAGAGATAATTTCTGTATACAGTGTTGCTGCAGTAGTTACTACTACTACTGCTGCTGCTGCTGCTGCTGCTGCTGCTGCTGCTGCTGCTGCTGCTGAATAATGACACTGACTAAAGCTGTATCGCCAACCGTCCAATCCATTCCCAACGGCGCGGCATCGCCCCAAGTGGAAACCTTCATTTTAACGAGAGCTCCTTTTTTCGAGGCTTTGCCATGTGGCCTGACCCACTCTAGAGAGCAGGGAGGGTGCGTCTAGGAAGGATGTAGTTAGTCCTTCTCCATTAAGTGGATGTCGGCCGTAACTAAATACGCAGGTAGCTACATCGGGTAGTCAGGTACGGTACCTGTACCTGTACCTGTACTATGTAGGTTAGTTATATGAATTATGTAGCTGGTTCTTATCTCCTACTAGTGAGCCTTGTGAATGAATGGCAGGATTAACTGTTGATCGAGTTTGCCACGCGGGGGTCATCTCATTTCTTTTTCTTCAATTCTTAGCTCCGGAGTCGTACAATTAATTCATAGAGTACTCCAGACATATACAGTGGCTCAATGATTCTACTAAGAATCTGACCTGTATAGTCTATAGTTAGCTACTTCTACATAACTACATAGTTAGTTAGTTGCTATGTAGTACATACTTAGTTATAACTAAATTTGAACAAAGAAGTCACTACTACTAGAATGTACTCCGTACTCGCTAGCAGGGGTACTCCTAGTGCTACCCCACAGCGCTTTCAGTGAGGCTGAGCTGCCCACTCAACGGAGGATTATTCTATGGACTAGAGGGAAAATTCGACAAGTACTTATTAGTCTGTCCTACAACCCTGTCTTCAGCTATGTACGGCGTAGTACATAGCCTACGGAGTAGTTACTACTAGGGTACTCCGTCCTCAGCTTGTAGTACGTACACTACTGGTAACGGTACACCGTACGATCTGATCTCGTATTTTGGGTTTCCGGTCAGGGCAAACCAAGATCTCCTGCAGTGGCAGCCTGGAGTACCAAGGTAACCGACCTATGGTACGCAGTATGATAGGTGCTTGCTGCGGGAGTAGGCGTACTCCGTAGTGCTCACTGCGCAGTCATGAATCATCATTATGTACCTAATAGTACTCCGTACCTGGTACCTAGGTACAGGTAGTACCTTGTACCTGTACAGTAATCTACACACCAGGTATAACACCTACCTACCTAGGTAGGTACTACAGTACTACCTTACAAGGTACCTACCTAGTAGTAACTGCTAGACCTCCTAATACTTGATCTACAATTAAAGAGAAGGGAAAAAACCTCGTAATGTATTCCGTAATATATTCATAATACGGGTAAGAAGCCGAGCGGCAGGCCAATAAGACCCCGTGATCAGACCTCTTGTCACGAACGATTCCGACATTCTGGCTGAGGCTAGCAGGAATCCCGTCACTGTGTCGTCTTTGACTCGCCCCTGCTGAGGATCTGCGAACTAGTTGCACGTGTCGGCATTTGCTGTGGTCCTGTGGATATACGGAGTACTCAATAGTTACCAGGTATGTATACAGGTACAGGTACAGACAGGTACAGGTACGGAGTACGGAGTTAAGGGGAATACGATGATGACCTCACCACTTGGAGGCCCGAGTACTCTATGCAGTTACTAGATACTAAATAATACTACCTATGTAGTATGTAGGTGGTTACTACATACCTGTTACCTAGTAGTTAATACTAATACTACTACAGTAGGTAGGTACTACTACATAATACTGTACTATGTACTAATACAATACTGGATAGGGGCGGTGTGTCTCATTAATCAAACTGGGTGGGACAGACTTTTCTTTTTTTTTTCTAGAAAGATTCCCATGGTCACAAGGCCCGTAACGTTAGATCATACCGCCGTCAATCGAGTGGAGCTTTTCTATTGTTTTTATTGAGAAATCAAGAATAATTAACCCAGGCTATAAGTATCAGCCCTGCCTCTGAACCAGACTAAGTTACTCGAGTCTACTCTACTCTACTCTACTCTACTCTACTCTACATAGTACTCTACCTAGTACATACTCTACATACTCTACATACTCTACTCTACACACCACACCTACTTACATCTACACCTACCTACAATGCCTTCTATCGGTGGCTCGAACTCTCAGTTCCCTCCCTGCCCGGGCCCGCCGCCCAAGGGCCCTCTGCCTCCCCTGCCGAAGTAACACGGTCAACCTCTTCCACTCACGATAATGATTTCGGCCTCTGCTCTATCGATGATACCGAGTGAAGCCATCTCCACCTACTACTATCTACCATCATCTACCATCGACCATCGACCATCGACCATCTACCAACCTATTTAATACCTTTTTCCATCCGAAACACGACGCTGGCTCTCGTCGTTTCGCCTTTGCAGCGGCGCTATTCTCCTTCTTTGTTTTTAATTCCACCATCGTTTTATTTCTTTTCAAATCAACCTCGATCGGTTCTGGCGGCTAAAGGGACCCACGTCCTACAGAGGGGGGACTCAATGACGCAAGTCAGACAGTCTCACAGTGGACTGGAGCTGCCATTATTATCTACTTTTATTATCTACTTTTTCTCATTGTCATGTACTATAGACTAATATACCCACCACGCATTGCGAGCAGAATTCACTGCATTATCATATTAATTCTGTCCTCTTCATCTTCCCTAGTTACCACCAACTAACCAGGTAATTAGTTATGTACACCATAGTACTCCATACTACTTGTTTCACCTGGTCAAGTTTCCGCCAATAACATGCCACCCCATGCTCATCATGCATAACATTACCTCGGAGTATTTCCTTGATCTTAAGGTATATCTAGGAGGCTTGCGCAAGCATGCAGAACTAGTTGGTAGACAGCATTACTAAGGTACCTATTTATCACTCATAATTGTTGTAATTAACTACTACTACTACTACTACTACAACCAAGTATTTGTAGTATATTATCGACTCCGTGGGGTACAAATTAAATGAGGTCAGACAGAGAGTACGGAGTACAGAATAGAACAAACCCAGCCATAGAATAGAGCATGTGCTCTATTGTTTAGTATGACTCATTGGTAAGCCAGATAACACTTTTATTAAGTACCTCCACAAGCTGCCTAATCATTAATTCATGTCAACCATGTCATGTGCGAGTGGGGTAGTAGCACATCATACTTGAAACGACCTCTATATAGCGTCATAATGAATACCCGGAAACTATCTTCACCACTGGATAGAATTTCCCGATGCCAAGGCACGGCAACAGAAGGTCATGGCGTATCTGTACACATGGCAATGGATAGCGACCCGAGATACCGGGATATTGCAGGTAATAGAATGATTCTGCATGTGGGGAGCCTCCCTGTATTACTGCCTTACCTCCTAGGTATACTTCCAGTTCTGTACAGCTGTACAGAATGCATGCAATGAGGGGTAGCTTGGGTGCCTAGTAGGCAACTAGTCATGTCTCATAAACTGAAACAATGATAAGCTGACTGGCTAGCAATTATCAGAGGTCATGAAATGCCTCATAGAGTAGTACAGACAGACAGAGTAACTACTCTGTACCTGCTACCTGAGGTAGGATACCAACTCTACTCTGTAGATGCATAAGGTAGTTATGTACATATATAATCCAACATTAAAAGCATAATATTATATCACGTGACCCCATCTAGCTCGCTGCTCACCTGACCAACACTCACTACCCTGTACGGTAGTCTGTCTGTGGTCAAGAGTGCCCTCATCATGCTCCTGGAACTGCATGTCTGGGGTCCGGCGTTCTCGCTGCCCTCCATCGACGCGCAATGTCTCGCGACCATGACCTATTTCTCTCTCGTCCTCCCCAAGGATGCCTGGGTGTTGGTTGCCAGCAGCGATCCCTCCGTTTCGCCAACAAGTACGTCCCTGCCCACCCTGGCACACTCTACCCCCTCTAACATGTCTAGATGAACTGCCTGCCCTGCGAAGTGGCGCCACCTGGGTGAGCCGGTTCCGGAATATTGTCGACTACCTCCGTCAATACTCGGGCGGCGAATGGGATCTTGACAGGGATTTGACCGGCGGCGAGAGAGCGGACAACATTGCGTGAGTCGGCGAGCTCTGAAGTTCTTTATTTTTTCTTTTCCTAGAAGGGTAGAAAGATCTACTAGCAAATTGCTAATAACCATATGCGCAGATTCTCCTCCTTTGTCGAATCTCGCGGACAATCCCTCGTCGATCTCTCGCTGTACGTCTCGAGCCAGAACTACTGGGACAAAACCTCGCCAGCATACGGCGCGATCCTACAATGGCCGAACCAATGGATCCTTCCGCCCAAGATCCATGCGCAGGCCAAGCTGCGTACCGAGCACCTCGGCCTCTCGTCGCTCGACCTCGAAGCCATCCGCGAACAAAAGGACCGCGAGCACTCGGCCGCCGTGGCGGCGGGCAAGATCCCCAAGACCCTCATCCGCAACCCGCGCGAGACCGTCTCCACCCTGCTGAGCAAGACCTCCCAGCAGAACCAGTTCCGCCTGGAAGCCCTGACGGCCGAGTTCTTCGAACCCCTCGAATCCCTCCTCGGCCACCAGCCGTATTTTCTCTCTCCCGACCGCCCTACCACCCTCGACTGTCTCGCCCTGGCCTATCTCTCCCTCGCCGATATCCCGGACCTGCCCTTTTCCTGGCTGCGCGATGCCATGCGCTCCAAAGCACCAGGCTTGACAGCGTACACTGACCGAATGCGCCGTCACCACCTAGGTCTCGAGGTCAAAGTGATAGATGCTTTATCTGCGACTTCTACTTCTTCTACTTCTTCTCCTTCTCTCCCCTGGCAAGCGCCAGAGCGCGCCTCCTTCGCAACCCTAGGCAAAACCCTCTACGACACCCTTGCCGACTCGACCCCCATCCTAAAACACATCCGTCTGAACAACCGTCTTCGCGAGGCCGCCCTAGCCCCGCACTCGGGCCTTTCAGGCAAAGAAAGCAAAGCGGTATCAGCGTACGCCCTCGCCCGCAAACACGACCTGTACCTTTCCATCGGCTCTGTCGTGGTCTCCCTAGCCGCCTTGGTAGGGTATATGGCGCACATCGGCCTGGTGGGCTTCTCTCTCGCCGAGCAGGAAGTACCCTCGGGCACAGATCCGGATCCTGATGCTGACATCGACGCCGTGGTTGATGCGGGGCAGGTCGGCGATTTCCTTTCCATGCTCTAGCATATAACTCTATAGTGTGGTATCTTGGTATACTTCACTCATACTTGGTATACACTCAAGTTCATCCAAGTCTACCTGTTATTTAGCGGTTAGTGTATTATTATCATCTTTGGTATTAATTATAAATTAGCATTGTTTATCCTTGAAGAATTCTCCATCCATGTATTTAATCATTCATCGTATGCCTATAGACTTTCCATGGGTATATGTCGTATAGGATGTCCAGTCTCTATACTTAGCAGGTATATATCTAGAAGCTTAAGCTTGGCAGTCAGATATAAACTGAAGCATGCTTGATCCATAGGCTATACAACGGTAAATGGTTACTCTGCACTGCTCTGCACTTTATTGCCTAGTACTGACTACGCGTACGGAGTACAGACTAAGTAAATGTCATATATTACTAGAAGTTGGTTATGTACAGGGACCACTTATGTCAAGATGTAAAGTCAGGGGTCTGAACCCTTGCAGTCCCCTTGTCGCCCTAACGTCAAAGTGTCCCCAGGACCGACCCATTTTGAAGAAAGAACATAAATGGAAGAGGTAGAAGAAAGAGTAAAAAGTCTGGAACGAAGGAGAAACAAAGAACAGACAAACGGGTATATCGGTTTAGTTGTAGTCAATGTGCACCTCCAGACGGACGGCCTCGGCGTTGGAGTTGCCGCCGAGTCCGTCAACTTCGCGAAGAGCGTATGTGTAAGCGTTGACGACGGCGGACGCAGAGGAGGTGATGTAGGAGCACGAGCTGCTGCTGCTGGTGGCTTCGCAGATGCGCATGCCCTGGACTTCCTGGCTGGCAGCCTGGGCCTGGATGGCCGAGACGTCCCAGCCGGACCAGCCGTCGTTGCTGGTGTTTCCAAAGTCGAATTCACCCCAGGTGCACGAGTAGCCACCATCTTGGTCGGTCGGGAGGGTGCTTCCCTTGGCGGCACCCCAACCACCCTGGGAGTTGGCAGCAAACGCCACGTATTTGACCTCGCCCGCGGCCAATGTAAGGGTCAAGGCCGAGTGTCCATACCAGCCATCCATCTTCCCATCAGGGCCGATCTTGTTCCAGAGGGTAAAAGTCCACTCGTCGGTGCTGCTGCCCACGATCCGCAAAACATACTGGTACTGAGAAGCAGCGGCCTCGGCGACTTCGATGATGTTGCTGCCCCATGGGTTGCCGACGTTGCCAGCATACTCAATACCACTGCTAGAGGAGGTCGTGGAGCCGCCAAATCCAGTGGTCGAGTACTGTCCATTCGATGGGATGGAGGTCCAGCTAGAGCTGTCACTAGAAGAGGAAGAAGAAGAAGAAGAAGAAGAAGAAGAAGAAGAAGAAGAAGAAGAAGCGGACGACGACGACGAGGGGGCTGCAAGCAGAGCAGCGATGGCAGTCGGCTCAGCCATCACAGAGGTGACTGCCGCCTCCACAGCTGCGGCAACCGGAGTAGCCTGACCAGACCACTCGTTGATCCAAGAGACGAGCTTGCCGTCAATAGTGGCATAGACAAGGTCGCCCACACCTCGCTTATCCTGGTGAGCGTGACGGCGTTCATGGCCATGCATACGGGCCACGGCAGAGCCAGCGGTCAGGGCCGTCAGCAGCAACAACGAGTTCTTGATTTGCATATTGTAGGTGTGAAGTAGACTGTATTGGTTTTTGTTCGGTATGAATCGATCGATCGTCTCGTAGGTCAGGTCACGGCAGTGATTGGTTAATTTGGCAGTCTGTTGTGGGAGAAAGACCGATGGAGTACTGATTCAAGGAGTGTAGCGAAGAAGACCCAAAATAAAGGAGTGTGAGATGTAACTCCCAGGGCCAAGGGAGAACAAGAACAGGAGACGAAGGAGCAAGACGCAAAACACACCAAACGAATGAATAGGAAGGCCCAACAATAGGGAGGAGGGGGGAGTAGGGAGATTTATCCCAGGTGAATAGCAGGTAAATACTAAACAATACCCAGGTCCTCCTCAGCGTGGACCCTGGAGGACCCTTTCCACGGGTGGCCAGGGCCGGTGCTGGAAGTCTGGGCGCTGATTGGCCATGTCCCGTGCAAGGGCCCAGGAACAGGTCGAGGCTTCCGTTTTTGGCCTCTATCGACAGGGGCTCCTGCAGAAAGCGGTAAGCCCGAAAGACAAAACAATCAAACCTGGCAAGTCGGGAACCCACACCACGTTCGGCGACTGGCTGGGATGCGTTTAGCTGCTGATCCTCACGGGCGCCTTCAGGTTTGGCTGCACTGCCATGAACCCACTGCTTGAGGGCTCAATTTCCCAGCTCCACAAAGACGTGAGACGGAGACGTGAGACGTGAGACTTTCAATTTGGCCAGGCTGTGTCGGATGAAACGGATCAGTCTGGAAATACGATTACGTAGTATCCTACAGGTACGGATACGAAGGGGAGGAGGAGGAGGAGGAGGAGGAGGAGGAGGAGGAGGAGATTTGAGTAAGTACAGCGATTTGGGGAAAAGAAGAAACAATGAAAAGTATTCGAGTATTGTCTTATGAGCTAATTAGTTATCTAGCAAGTATACGGAGTAGAGAACATTTGTTCGACCCCCTCAACGTTGCTGAAGCGATTCCCGTTACAATCCATGTTGACTCAGACTACCTACCTAGGTACTACCTAGGTACCATACTCCCTACGGCGTACTCCGTATAGTATCCTAGGTGATATCAAGCGATCATTCATCTCCTATTGTTGATCTTGATATAAAAACGATTAAAGAAAAATAATTCGGCTCAAACCTTGCTAGAATACAAAAAGTAAACGAGTGGTTACGGAACTGATCGTCTCTCTCCAATGCCCTATTTTTGTTCTGACCGCTAGACCATTTGACAAGCCGTGTCTACCTAACTGATTATAGCAGGATGAATGCTCCAATCCTGGACTTAAGATATAATAGTTCCATTAAAGGTCAAGCATCCCTGTTGCCTTTGACTGTGTCGTCGACTACGGAGTATCCAGGGTATATCATCTTCCCCCCCCCCCCCTTTCCTTCGAGGACCTGGGATACCTGGCGCCTAGAAAATGAATTTCGAGGGATTGAAAAAAATACACAGAAACTATTCCTTAGGCATATCATACCCTGTTCGAATCCGAATCACTCTTCTGGGGAAATCTGCCGGAGAAGTCTAGCCTCGTGCAGCCTTTGCGGCGTGGCCCATCGAGTATATTTTGTGCCTATCTGCTTTTCAGCGATGAGCTACTTTAGCATTTGCAATTTTTGACACCATATATAAACGTCGCCTGTCTTGCAAGACCTAAAATGCAAGTCATTTGAATACCGAAGTAGCATCATCGAACCATTCATATAGATCAGACTTTCAAATGAGGCACCGCAGCCCACGGCCCGAATGCTTGAAATATCGAGAAAGGAGGTTAGAAACTGCGTTGTAGGTTCAGATGCTCAAGTCAACGTTGAAATGCTCTAATAATGATGTCGTTTCGTTGATGGCAGTGGATGAATGCCTTGAATTTCTGGCTTTGGTCCGTAATGGGAATAGCCAATCATCTAGTCCAAAAGTAGATAAGCGCAGCCTCCACCCCGTGATTTCTAGGCCTCAGGTTCGAGCTAACCGCTTTGGGTACAGGCCGTCATTGCCGTCCATCTTCCACCTTCCCGAGTCTTCTCACTTCTCTGAGTGTCGAGCCTTCCCACGAGACGACATGAGCGATCATTGAGCATGCACCTGACATAGACTTCCTGAATTGCTAACTTAAGACACCTTCGATTTCCCCCGTTCCTCTTGCGCGGTCATGGCACGCTCTGCCATCGTTCAGGAATACGCCCCCCCGCCGCCCGCGAATCAAACTCTGAGTCTCGACCAGAAGGTCAGCCTCGAGCGCCAGCAGAATGGCATACCTCGTCCCCAAGGATACCGTGTTTCGTGGCACGCCAATCCAGCCGTCGAACCCCATCATTTCGGACAGTCACACCCCATGAAGCCCTGGCGGCTAACCTTGACAAAACAACTGGTGATGGCGTACGGGATGCACCACGCCATGGATCTGTACCTGTCGCGCGAGGCGACTTTCGAGGAGATGGCTGAGTTCCACAAGGAAGACTACCTTGAATTTTTGCGACAGGTGATGCCTGGGGATATGGAGAATCCGGACCAAAGCGAGAACGTCATCAAGTTTAACTTTGGCGACGACTGCCCCATCTTCGATGGCCTCTTCAACTACTGCTCCCTCTACGCTGGCGCTTCCATCGATGCCGCGCGCAAGCTGTGCAACAACCAGGCTGAGATTGCCATCAATTGGTCCGGCGGCCTTCATCACGCGAAGAAAGGCGAAGCCAGTGGATTCTGTTACGTCAACGACATCGTTCTCAGCATCCTGCAGCTGCTGCGCCAGCACCCGCGTGTCATGTACATCGATATCGACGTCCACCACGGCGACGGTGTCGAACAGGCGTTCTGGTCGACCGACCGCGTCCTGACTGTCTCCTTTCATAAATACGACAAAGATAATTTTTTCCCCGGTACAGGCGCCCTCGATAGCACCGGTCCGTCTCATCCGTTGAACCCCGGCGCACACCACTCGCTGAATGTCCCACTACACGACGGCATCGACGATGAATCGTACATCCAACTGTTCAAAGATGTTATCGGCCCCTGCATCGAGACGTACCAACCGGGCGCTATCGTTCTACAGTGTGGCGCAGACAGCCTAGGCTGCGATCGGCTGGGCTGCTTCAATCTCAACGTCCGTGCTCACGGCGCCTGCGTCGCTTACACCAAGACCTTCAACCTCCCCCTCCTCGTCGTCGGCGGCGGCGGGTACACGCCGCGCAACGTCTCGCGCGCCTGGGCGCACGAAACCTCGATTCTCATCGACGCCGAAGATCTGATCGACCCGAACATCCCCGACAACGTCGCCTTTCGCAACCATTTCGGCCCGGACTTCTCTCTCTTCCCTCCTTTATCTGAGATCCGAAAACTCGAGAACAAGAACACCAAGACATACCTGGCAAATATAGTTCAATCTGTGAGGGAGCAGTTACGGTATCTTCAGGGTGCCCCCAGCGTGCAGATGAGCTTTATTCCACCGGACATCCTTGGTCTGCGCGAGGAGACCGAGAATGAGATCAAGGAAGAGGCCATGATGATGGAGGAGGACAACGAAGAACCAGGCGTGTTTCATTCGGGCGGTGCAGCAGGCCGAGGCGGTCGACGGCGTGATCTGGAGCATGGTGCAGGAGCTCGAGGCGAGCTGTACGCTGCGTAAACTCTTCTTTTTCCTTTTCGTCTGGAGTTATTGCTTGCATTTTCAGGAGGCTCGGAGTATGGGGTAGAACGATGGCGTTGGTTGGCTGTCTGATCTCTCGATCTTGACTTCTTCTTTTTTCTTTTCTTTTTTTCGCCTTTTCTCTGCCATGATCGCTACGAAAGAGATATCCCTTTTGTCAATGGTCAACCTTTCCATATACAGGTCTATACATCAGAGTACATTAGATATTTGTCTTATGGATCTATTTCAATTGGAGTACCCTTTATGACCTAGATATTCATTAAAGCCTCTGCATCCAATGTATGATTACTACCACCTAGGTGTAACGTGGATATAAAGCGACCAGAGCATTTTCGGCGCTCCACCCAAAAAAGTCATCTAAGACAATGATCTGCGCTATGCACAAAACCAATCTATTACTTCACCCCCTTGGTGACATTCCCTTCCCTTTTTTATTTCTATTTTTATGCCTTTTATCCCCTCTTTGATATCTTTTACATGGCTCAACATAAATAGATTACGCCATCCGGCCAGGCTGATGCCCCCCCAACTGACACAGGTCCCCCTCCCCCATACCCGTGCCCGCGATGCTAGCCCCTCCCTCACTCGTCAGCGCCCCGGAGACGACATCCATCGACCAGGAGAAGGAAAAGGATAACTTGCCCACTGGCGCGGACGTCCTCACTCTGCCCTTCTGGCTTGTGAATGTACCTCGAAGCGAATGGCCGGAGGAGTGTCCGGGTTTCCTGCGCGATTTGCCTCTCAAGTCGATCCGGTGCTTATCAACGCCGGACGAGCTGTATCAGAGGCAGGGGTGGGAGACAGTTACGGAAATCGTTCGTATGTATTATACGTATAGCTTTGATTTAACTCGCCATTGAGACGCAAAGACGTGTGCTTATTTATTTGCGATAGGAACAAATCGAATCGATCGGTTCCAGCGCGTCCCTAGCGATCTGAGAAAATACCTCCAGTATACGGCGCAGATTAAGGCAAAGTACGGGTCCGTGATGAAGTTTGTTGTCAGGGAAAGACTGCGGTTTGGCGAGGGGGAGCCCGAAGACCTGCGGCCGAGAGGGAAACCGTTTGAATACGATGGTAGGGGTGATTGAACTGATTTGATTGGAGTTTTCTTTTTCTTTTTCTTATCTTTTTTTGAGATTCGACTTGGATTGCTTGTTAACTGGATGTTTCAGAGGATATCAAGATCCTATACAATGATTGGCCGTATGGGGTTGAGAAGGATATCGTCCATCTGGTCGTGTGGACGAAATTCGAATTGGAAGATGATCCGGCCACGGACGATTTGACGCCCAAGGCGAGAAGAGAGATTGAAGAGTATGTGCAGAAGACATTCTGCTCGCGAGTGCCTCCTGAACAGGTAAGACATACACCTTACCCACACATACGCATGCATGCACACTTTTTCATGGCTATGAGTAACCGAACTGTTAGGTCGTCTGGTTCAAGAACTGGAAGTCTCTCAAGTCCATCCACGCCGTCGAACACTTTCACGTCATGCTCAAGGATCCGGATCTGGATTTCATCAAAGAGATCACTGGCGGAGACGTTCCTTTGGTAGCCACGATATAATATAGATCTACGACTAGATATTACTTTCTCGGCTGGCCTACAGACGGTGAGCTTGCTTATAGGAGGCCAGCTATTCCAGGGCGCTCTCAACCAGAGAGCAGGCATGTCATTGCAGGAACTCAGAGCAGCCTATTTACATCTCAAGTCAACCCCCTCCGAAGGTTACATTCTCAGTATAGGCTCATGCTAACGAACAAGGGAGACTATTTCCTGCAGCAGGAGACAAGGGTGGAGCTTCAAAATCAAGGTATTTATAGAGATTTAAATATGATTGGTACCAGTTCGTTCTACGTCATTTGGGGTTCTCTCTGGACTGGCATAGCTGCTTAGACAGTATGTACTACACACTACATACTTTTATTACCATCTCCATGAACAGGGGATTCTAGATAGGCAACCTGACATCATTTCCTTCGATAGTAATAGCTCGAGAGCCTCAAAGCAGAATGAATACTCGTACAATTTGGTAGCCTTGCACTGCGAACTGTTAGCAGTCGCTGACTAAGTCGGGTCAAAATCCAGGGTAGCTGAGAGACGAGCCTTAGTTAGGCTACGACATGGTCGAGTCAGAACGTCAGCCAAGGAACAATCCATAATAAATAGTACTACTATCTGGCAGCCCACCATTCCGATTTCTAGAAATTTAACTCAAGCTCATCGAAACCCGTCTCTCGTCATCGAGTGAACAATAATGCCTGTCCCGCACATCCGCCATTCCTCCCTAACTAGTAAGTTTTTGTAGAAGAAAGAGGGGGGGGGGAAACCTGAGCTCCAGGCCCCGCCCTGGACCCAAAGGCTTCAGCTTCTTTTTCGCTGCCTCGCCATCCCACCTGTCCAACACCTTCTCGATCGGCAAGCTCGTCATGGCGGCTAACTGGGGCGCTTCTTTCTTCAATGCTACAGGCAACCGATCGTCGGTCGATGAGGTCCGGAATGAGTCTGGGGCCAGTGGTGAAGATGAGGTCGTGGAACCCGACCAGGGCAATGGTGAGTAAACTATACCCATGAGCATTTGATTGGCTTCACTGATTTAATAATGGCCTACAGTACTCTCTCATATCATTTCTCAACTGCGACCGGGCGCAGACCTAAGCCGAGTGGTCCTCCCCACCTTCATCCTCGAACCGAGATCCATGCTCGAACGCATCACCAAGTGAGTGCTTCCTCGCGGTCAAACTATGTGTACGCTAGAAAAGACAATGGGGATTTCTCATATATTCCGTTCTCGAACAGCTTCATGGCCCACCCAGAGACTCTTCTCGCGATGTCCACGATCGACGACCCCCTAGAACGATTCGTCTCAGTTGTCAAGTTCTATCTGAGCGGCTGGCACATCAAACCTCCGTACGCCCCTCCCCCGGCATTTCGATTTAGTTGGATGGTTCTGATACTTTCTTTCGTTGTAGGGGCGTGAAGAAGCCGTTGAATCCGATTCTCGGAGAAACTTTTACCTCCTACTGGGATTATCCAGATGGCACGCGCGGATACTACATCTCCGAACAGACCTCCCACCATCCCCCGAAGTCGAGTTATTTCTTCATGGCACCCGAGCACAACATCCGGATAGACGGGACCCTGAAGCCCCGGAGCAGATTCCTGGGCAATTCTGCCGCAAGTATCATGGAGGGAATCGCCATCTTGCGCCTCTTGAATCGAGGTCACGACAAAGAAAAGGGCGAGAGATAGTACGCGGATTATTTGGAAATGAAAAGTTAATGGAAGCTCTCCGGCTAACATGCATTAGCATCGTGACTCAACCCAATATGTATGCGCGGGGCATTCTCTTCGGCAAGATGAAATATGAGCTCGGTGACCACAGCTACGTCAAGTGCCCGGAGAACAATCTCGTGGCAGATATCGAATTCAAGACGAAAGGATACTTTTCTGGCACTTACAATGCCATTGGAGGAACGATTAAGAACGAAAAGACTGGCGAAGTCTACTACGAACTCTCCGGCTTGTGGAACGAGGAAATGTATATCAAAGATGTCCACGTACAGTCAACCCCCCCCTTTCCTTTCCGCTTCATCTCGATAAACCAGGTCTTTCTAATCTTCTTCTAGACCCACAAAAAAGAGCTTTTGTTCGATGCATCTCACGCCAAGCACAGTCCTCCCTTGACGAGACCTATTGAGGAGCAGAGCGATCGGGAATCCCAGAAACTGTGGCTCAAGACTGTCAAAGCGATCATCGCGAGAAACCACGAGCTTGCCACGGATGAGAAGACCAAGATCGAGGATCGTCAACGAGAGGAAGCGGCAAAGCGTGCAGACCAGGGGGCCGAGTGGCATCCCCGACTGTTCCGTCCGGTCCACGGCGGCCCTGGCGGCCCGGATGAGGGCGAAGAAGATCTCGACTGGATCATCAATGCGCAAATGTAAGCATTTAGTTCCTGGAAGCCATTTTATCTACCTCTCTGCTAACTTGATTCCCAGCGATTCACACAACCCAGAGCTTGCTATCAAGCAAATTCTGGCTACCGCTCCCATCCTGAAGGGTCAAAGAGAGACATCCCAATTCGAGATTCCACCGCGCACTTCCCATGCTGTCCCCAAGGGCTCCGAAAATGAACAGCCCGGCCATCCCGTTCTACGACAAGACTCGACCACTTCCCGAGTTGATAAATTCGTGGACGCGGTGGAGAACTGAGCTCTTTTCCATGTGGCATCAACTGAAGTCAAAAAAGAATTCAAGCCACAATATGGTTCTGCTCCCACCATCTAAAATTATTTGAAAGACGCCTCTGGCAGTTGGTCTCGACCATCATCTGAATTGACATTATAGGCTGTTTTATAAGGACATCTTCCCCCTCCCTGTTTCCCTCCTTCTCATACTCCCTCTCAACGACTGTCTTCTACTACTAAATACTGGATACCCGATTTGAAATGCAATTGTTTTACTCACACACAAACACACAAACACACCTTTTTTCTTTTTTTCAACAAAACAAGAAAAGGAGATCAACGTGCCCACGGTGGAAGAGGAGTCTGGAAGAAGATAGTGAGACACTTGTTTCCTCTTTTTTTTCTTCCCCCTTATTTTGTCATCTACTTGTTACTCTTTTCTCTTTCGGAGCGAATTACGGGAAATAAAAAAACTCAAGAAATAGAAGAAATATATTAACATGAAATAACTTATTATTTGTTGGAGCCAGAGGTCTGGACATGAAACTTAACCAACAGACCTCGTAAGAAATATATTGGTAGACAGAATGTAAATCACTTCCCCAGACTCTGCAACTGCACCAACTCCCAATACTTGCCGCGTCGCTTCAGCAGATCCTCGTGCGAGCCGCTCTCAACGACCTGCCCGTTGGCAAAGACGTAGATCCGACGTGCATGCGCGATGGAGCTCAGCCGGTGAGCCACGGCGATCGTCGTGCGGCCTTTGGCTGCGGCGTCGAGGGCGCGTTGCACGAGTTTCTCAGATTCTGCATCTAGGGCTGATGTTGCTTCATCGAGGAGTCTATTTGATTGGTTAGTGCATTCGCTCTCTTTTATCAATGTCTTCGAGGGTCCTAAAGGACATACAAAATCTTGGGCTTGCGAAGAAGTGCCTTCGCGATGGCGAGTCTCTGCTTCTGTCCGCCAGAGACTCGGTTCCCTCGTGCTCCAATCGACGTATTCAGTCCGTCCGAGAGAGATACCTTTCAATGAAATGTTAGTTGATTGAAAAAAAAAAGGTCTTTAGAAGGCTTCGATCACGCACCACAAAATCATGTATGCTCGCTTCTCGACATGCATGCATAATGTCCTCATCACTGACATCCTCCGTGTCGCCTAGTATAGCCTCTCGAATGCTGCTGCCACACAGCGCCGAGTCCTGCTCGACCAGGGCAATCTGTCTTCGTAACTCACGGAGTTGGTACCGGCGGATATTCTTCTGGTCAACCACAATCGACCCGCCAGTTACATCGTAGAACCGTTCGATGAGGTTCAGAACAGTACTCTTGCCGCTCCCGCTTGCTCCCACGAGAGCAACGAAAGTGCCAGGATGGGCAGCCAGATTGATGTCCTGGAGAACCTGGCGTTCGGGCCTTGCAGCAAACGAAAAGTCCACATGGTCAACTTCCAGGTGTCCAAGTACAGAGCTGGCAGGTTCCCCGTCGGCCGAAGAGATGTCGATATCGGGCTCGTGTGTGATCAGGGAATGCAGTCGAGCGGCGGCTTCCTGGGCTCCAACGATATCCGGGGCATATGAAAAGATAGACCCGGCAGCCTGGGCGCCCCAAATAACCGCAGTGAAGCAAATAAAGAACTGCTGGACATTGTAGTCACCTGAACCGATCAGTCGCGTACCACCGTACCAAAAGAGAAAAGCGGAGATGAACAGATGAAGGGATTGGATCAGTGCATGGCCCAGGCTTGAGGCAAACTCGAATTGGATGCTTTTCCAGCGGTCCCTAGAGAGCTTTTGCTCGTAATCCTTGAGAATAAGCTCCTCGATAGCCAGGGCAGCAACGGTTCGAATCCCAGAGACCGCCTCGCATGCAGAGGCAGCAGCGTCGGTGTCTCGTTTAATATGGCGCTCGATCTGACTGACGAACCAGAATCTGAAGAATCCTCCGGCAAGTATGAGTGGCACAAGAGACATGGATACAAGAGTGAGCTTCCACCCAAACGGACAGGCTACAACAATGGCAGAAACGAGTGTCAAGACACTGTTGAGGATCGCCCCGAGAGTAGCACCGCTGATACCGGTAAGTTTGCTCGCTTCCACCGCCAGAAAGGCCGTGAGAGCTCCAGAACTGTTTTCTCTGGCGTCGAAGAAGGCCATGTCTTGCCGAAGAATGGAAGAAAACGCCTGGGTCCTGGCTCTCGAGCCCAGGCGGGATCCGACTATAGCAAAGCAGAAGCCTTGCAGTATATAGACGGCAAACAGGAAAATCCCAAGTAAGAACAACATCAGCGCCCAGAAGTTGAGAGTGTGAGACCCGGTGCTCAGTGCCGGATCGACCAAAGAGACAATCGCATTGCCGAAAAATATGGCTTGGACGGGGTAGGCTGGCCCTGCCAGCGTGCTGCAAAGAATACCGAGGATCAAATACATCTTCTCCGGGGCATTTATGGACCAAATGAGTTTCGTCAGTCTCCAGAGTGACGATTCGGTTGACCGAGATTGAAGTGGCAGCTCTAGATTATGGGGGGATGTCTGTGCCATCTCCGGATTGTTACCCATCTCCTCTGGGCTCATGATCCCGATATCTCCTGCGTGTTCCGTTGCCTCGTTGCCATTTTGGAGCTGCTGTGCTCGGACGAAATGCGCATATGTTGTTTCCTTAGCTAGCAGCTCTTCGTGAGACCCTTGGTCGGTAACCTTTCCGTGCTCGACAACAACAATAGAATCGGCCCTTTTGATTGTTGAAAGACGATGCGCAATAATAATAGTGGTCCGTCCCTTGGCTGCTGCATAAAGCGCCTCTTGGACTACGCTTTCACTTTTGGTGTCTAGCGCAGCAGTGGCTTCATCGAGCAGGAGGATTCGAGGATTCGAAATAATGGCTCTCGCGATGGCGATTCGCTGCCGCTGGCCACCCGAAAGAGTAGATCCTCTCTCCCCGATTTTGGTGAAATAACCGTTTGGCAACGCCGAAACAAACTCATGAGCATTTGCGATCTTAGCAGCCTCCTCCACTAGGGCCATTGCCTTCTTGTCGTCAAGCTAGTAGATCCTATGTGAGCATCTTCAGCCTTTTGGATGCTGGTTCAAAAAGGTGACTTACCTCTAAAACAGTGGTACCTAACCCACGGATGATATTGTCGTAGACAGTTGTATTGAACAAAAAATTATCTTGGGATACGAGTCCAATCTGGGAGCGTAGCCAATGGACATCGAGGTCTTGGATGGAGGCACCGTCCAAAAACACTTGTCCGTGTACTGGATCATACAGACGCTCGATCAAAGAGAATAAAGTCGTCTTACCGGAACCCGACGGTCCTACAATTGCTGTTGTCTTTCCAGCCTTGACACGAAGGCTAAAGTCATCCAGGATGACATGATTCATTCTGGCGGGATAGACGAATCTGACTTTGCGAAACTCAATGTCGCCTCGCACAGTGTCAAGCCTTGTTCCATTCCGAGAAAATGGATCGATTGGAGATACTCGCTCGATGGTAGCAAAGATCCGGTTGGCTGCGCCTCCAGCCTGAGTAATGGCGGCAATGAACGGAGCAGCATGGCCAAGCATAGTTCCTGCAAGGAAACTTGCAAATAGAACGGTGATGATCTGTGAGATGCTGGAGTTGCCCTGTTGAAGGAATCGATTTCCTTGCCAAAACTAAAAGAAAATAAAGGATGAGTGATACAGGTCATTGCCATCAATTTCACAGGACTAGAATGCAGGTGTAACATACTGCAAGACTGTATCCCCAGAACATGCACATGAACATCATAGCCATCATTGTGCCCATAGCCATCTTAGCTTTGAAGTCAAGAGCGGTTGCCAGCTCTAGGCTCTTCTCATACTTCTTCTGAAACCGTTCCTGGGAACCGTAGGCAGTGATAGTCCGAATGCAGGATATGACTTCCTCGGCCAGGGTTCCGCTTTCTGCATATTCGTTGTTGCTGGACTCATTATATGCCTTCGCTCTGGAGCCTAAGCCGCCCATGATCAAAATAACAGCAACAGGAAGACAGAGCATGACCAAGCCCATTTTCCAGTCACGGACCAAAGCAACAATCAGGGCAGCGAAAAACCCCGAAACGCCAGTTAGTAGAAGACCGACTTTCTGAGAGATACCATCTTGGATCAGATTCATATCATTGGTGATCCGAGTCGTCACCTCACCGGGGCCCGTGTAATCAAAATACGCAATGTTCTGGCGAAGAACGGCGGACAGGTATGCATTCCGTAGACGTTTTGTGATCGACTCGCCGACCAGCGTGAACCCAAAGGAGCTGAGGGTAGTAGTCAGAAGACAGGCGATTCCTATATGGTCTCAGCAGAGTATGAAGGTCACTCAATTTGTAACTTACCCAAGTACACGAAATCGAGGATCAGGTGTGTAGTTGAATGAAGGAAATCAGAAGACGAAGCACCCGTAAGGCTATCACTGAATTGCCCGGTGAGAGATCCCATAACCACCTGCCAGAGGAATTAGCCGCTTGATCCCATCTCCCGGTTAAGGATTCGTATCACAGTCATCAAAGGCATGGTGGCGCCGGCTGCAACTGACGCTACTGCTGCGATAATCAACAGCGCCGTGTCGAATCTTGTTCGATACCGAAAGATGGTTTTATACCCGGCGGAGCATGGTGGAATATGCACTTGAGCTTCCAGGAAGTGGAATTCTTCACTTGCCAGAGCCGAGGTGTTTTGCTCTGTTAATGGGATGTTCTCCATGGACGAGGCCGAAAGCAACTTGGCGAATTTATCCATAGTAGGAGTAAGGCATGAACCTTCTAGCAGAAAAAGAGGAATACCTAAAGACGATGGCACACACAATCTCAAAATTTGGATGAGCAGGGCATATTTCATCCGCTGTATATATATATATATATATATATATCCTAAGAAAATGCTGCAGATGCTTCCAAAATCAGGGTGCAACCCCTGGTGGACATTTCACATTTGTGTCCTACGAGGGAGGGCATAGCCATCCTCAAACCTCGTTTCTCCATCCAGACAAACGAAGGGGAGTAGAATTGAGGAGCACAGGCCTACACTCCAGTACTGGTTGGCATAAAACTACCCCCCTAGACTGACCATAAATGGATATCTCTTGCTCGATCGTCCTGTGTGCGAATGCGACCACGATGTGCGCGTACTCGGCGTAGTTCTGTCCGGTTAATGCTAATAATACCATTAGTATGTGGAGTCGGTGATCTCAAAGCCCACGAGTCTGGCCATTCATCCTCTAATCAGCGTAGAAGGCTCTGGGGGCCAATTCCAGCCCAAGAACGAAAGACATGAGGCTGGAGGTTGAGGAAGGATGAAGAAGGGGCCAAAGGAGGTTTAGCCTGTCCTATTTGGTCTAGACGGACAACGTGACCTCGCATTTCTCTTTTGGGAATGCGAGACTGCCTCCGCGATCACCTTGTTTCGTCTCGTTTTCAGCTCGTTCTTACATCTTTGCATTAGATATCTATCTATCTTGTTTTATTACAGAAAATTTGAATCTTGCTGCCTGTGGCTTCGACTAGTTTTAATCTAGATCGTGGGCTTGAACGCAGTGGCGTGCGAATGGGCTTCTTTACGAAGGTCTCTCTCTTTCTCGGTCAGTAGGAATGGCCTTCAATCGACTGGGTTTGAACTAATGGGTTTATCCTAGATCACCGGTAATATTCCATTTGATCCCTTCCCTGGCTCAGAGGACCCTGGTTGTCTCGTTCTTGTACTGTGCTCTGGTTGTACAGTTGAAGTCAGCTCCTTTTAGCTTGAGAGCCAGCCACAGTCGATGATTATATCATTAAACGGCAATTATGCCCACTAGGCCACCTAGCAACGCGAATCGCAGCACACCTGTGCTCTCTACGCCATTCGGCTTCTCAAATCTTATCTTCGCAGCCGAGGATGACTCGGTTCTACGTGAGATCACTGAACAGGAGTTGCTGTTGTCGAGGCGAAAACGACCGCATCAGAAATCGAGGAACGGTTGCCTATGCTGCAAACACCGTCGAGTCAAGGTCTATTCTGGTCAACTCTCAGAATAGAATATGAGACTAATTTATTGGCAGTGTGATGAAACCTTTCCCTCATGCTCGAACTGTGTCAAGCGAGGCGACAAGTGCAAATGGCCAAGTCACCCCCAGCAACGTGTTCGGGTGCGCTCTAAATCCCCGCCTGGAGTGGCTTCAATAGGAAGAAATCTTCCTGGATGCGCTTTTCCGAGTGTCAATTTACTACATATGAAGCTATTCCATCATTTCGGATCTACGACTTGTAAGACGCTTGTTTTCAAGGAGGTGTGGGAGGGGGGCCTCAGACTGTCATTTGAAAATGAGCATTTGATGCACTCGATTCTTTTCGTTGCGGCTAGACATCTCTCTTTGTTGTCGCCTAATGAGACAGCCTATTCCACTGCAGCACTGTCACATTTATCCCAGGCCTCCCGCCTGTATCGAGAAGCTCTTTCCAAACCGTTCACCGAGTCAAACGTCGATGCTATCCTCTGCACTGCAGTCCTTCTTTACTACGACGCATGGACGAACATGGACTTCATGCCTGCCGATGCCGATGCCGATTCTCCCGCTCCATTCCCTGACCTTTCCAAAGACCACCTCTTTACTTTCAGTGGGGGTATGCTGCAGATATTCATGAAGGCTGTTCCCCTCTTGACATACAACCAGTCTCCTTTCATAAAAGGGATTATTCATTCCCCTAGCAGATCCATCCAAGAAGTGCTATCAACGTCGCATGTTAATTTGACGAAATACCAAACTTTTCTGGCGGAATGGTATGACCGTCCTGTGGAACGCAGAGCTTTAGAACTTCCGAAGCTTTCCTTATCTGAAATATCAGACGATGGTGCCTGGGTGTCTCCCCCTCAGGACTATCAGAATACAGATGATCCGCAACAAGCCCATATGTGGGTCATTTGTCGACTCTCTGTGCTACTCGTTCTCCTAGAACATGTCTGTGGAGACTCGGGTTTCTCTTTAATAGACCATCCTGATCTCCTCGAAAATCTTTCCAGACTAATCTTCACATTTCCAATTTTCTGCCATGCACCTTACATTCGAAGACTTGGTGAGATTAATTCTGGGTCGTTGCTTCTCATGTACCACTTCTACCGCGCGGCTAGGATGCTATTGGCACCCTATAAGCAATGTTGGTGGGCTACTAATAGAGCAACTGTACTGGAGAAGGTCTTGGAGAAAGCATTACTTGGTTAAAAAAATACTTTAGAATGGGCATGTATAAAACTGTGTAATTTGGCTTGAAATACCTTAAAGTTCCCTGTAACTCACATATCACTAAATATAGTGACTGATTACTTGATTGGTATGTATACAGTATATTAAATGGCCTATTGTTGTTCGCTTAAGGATATAAGAGGATATTCTAAGGGTCAATACTCTATCAATGCCTTTAAATATGGGGACGTGGATTTCGAGCGCCGGCTGCTAACGGGCATGAATATAATCCCTTCTACAGGCTTAGAAAACATGTCAAGCCTATGTTCATTTGACTCGTTGAAGTTCCGGACCGTCAATGTGAATCACGCCAACGCCTGAATCATTAAGCTCATGCTTGGCCTTTTCCCAGCCTTCCCCTGGCACCACACACTTAGTGGCCTCTTCGATGACCCAGCTCTTGAACCCTGCCTTTGCAGCATCGATCGCGGTATATTTCACACAGTAGTCGCCTGCAAGCCCGACGACAAAAACATCCGTGACACCCTTCTCCACCAAATGGCTTGCGAGGTCCACATCCACCGACTTGGCGTTAACGGTCGGGTCGAGGTTGCCAAAGTTGTCAGCAAAAGCCGAGTACATCTCCACTCCCGAATGCATGCCCTTCTTGACATAGAGGTCGATCTTGCTGGTATCAAGCTCCGGGATGACCGACGCCCCAGAGGTCCCAGCTATGCAATGCGCTGGCCAGAGTTGCTGCAGCCTGGTCTCGGCACCCTTGCCGGGTGCTGGGTTTTTCATCTCGATGACCGACACAAACGGTTGGTTGTTCGGCACGGGATGATTGCTCGCAAAGGAGATATGGTCGACTGGATGATAGTCCTGAGTTGCTACTCGAGCCACGAACCCAGGTAGGGAAAGCAGAGAGTTGATACAGGGCGTGATTGAGCGACCATCCTTGACCGCGAGAGATCCATTCTATATGACAGGAGTCAATAGTATACTACAATGAACTTTTCTAGCAAAGCTTACCGGCGGACAAAAGTCTTCTTGCATGTCAACTACCACCAGGGCAGGCACGAAATCGGAATCAGACGCCATTACTGCAGGTACAAAGCAGTTCGTCGCATATTCAGCATATCTGGTCGGCGGCACGCTCTTCCCCTCATCTGGCAATCTATTATGATAAGGGAAACGCCGTGATAGGGAACACGTGATACAAACCGGCCCGAGTCCACGTGATTCGATTGTTATTAGGTGACTAAGCAATCAAGCACGGACCACCCAACAATATCCACCAAAGCGCGAGGAGCGAAAAACACATCCAAGCTTTTCTTCACCTCCTCGCCAGGGCTGCGGCCCTTTTCTAGCACACAACAGTCCTCTCAGAACAACTGACAGATGATGCAAGGCTTTCTCAAGGTATGTATATATTTCACAGTTTTCCCTATATTATTCCCATCTACTTTCCTGCAATCACTATGATGAACCTTTTTTATTGGAGCTGTCCTAGCTCTACGCAGTGAGGACAATCTTTTAATATTACGCAACTTTATACCTGAAATGAATTGCCTTGAGAGTCATTACATCTTGCAAAGAATTTGATTAGTTTGGACTTTGCTGACTGATACAACGCAGCCATTTCAAGGAGATATTGAAGTCGTATTCCATCCTCCCTGACTTTCGACTTGCCGTTAGTTGGAGAAGGAGCAGTAGAGATCCTTGACCATACGAAAAAAAAAAGTCAATCAATCATTGTATTCTGAGCTCGACCTCAGTGCTACAGGGTAGCAAAAAGTCGAACAAGAAGAGAGAAAAAAAATGGCTTATGATCCACGAGTCGCGGGGTCGTCGACTCCTGACGTTCTGACTTCGGCCCCTTCAGAAAGTATCAGCACCGACTCTAGTCTAGCAATGGCTACCGAGTCCGAGAAGCAGCAGTCCGTTGACGGACCGGCATCGGAATCATTTAAACTTAAGTTTTGCACTGTGTGTGCATCGAACAATAACCGGTCGATGGAAGGCCATTTGAAGTTGTCTACCGTGTCGTTCCCTGTCATCTCGTTCGGAACCGGATCTCTAGTCCGGCTCCCCGGTCCGACCATCACCCAGCCGAACGTCTACTCCTTTAACACAACCTCGTACAATCAAATGTACGAGGAGCTGCAGAGCAAGGATGAGAGGCTCTACCGTAACAATGGCATCCTCAACATGCTTGGCCGAAACAGGCAGCTCAAGTGGGGCCCCGAACGGTTTCAGGACTGGGTGCCCGGCTTGCCGCGGCTCGATCATGTTGCCAAAGGCGACAAGGGTGCCCTGGGCACGGAAGGCGGTGTTGTCGATGTCATCATTACCTGCGAGGAGCGCTGTTGGGATGCCGTGGTCGACGATCTCATGAATAAAGGTAGCCCGTTGAATCGGCCCGTTCATGTCTTCAACGTCGATATCAAGGATAACCACGAGGAGGCCTCGATAGGAGGGCGAGCCATTCTTGATCTCGCCATGAGATTGAATGAGGCGGCTACGCAAGAGCGTAAGGCGAACGGCTCCGAAGGCTGGGAGAACGGCGCCGGCGAAGCCCGTAGGAGCTTCGATGAAAAGGTCCCTGAGATCCTGGCTGCCTGGCAGGAGAAATGGCCTCACCTACCTGCTTTATGGACATTAGCATGGCTATAATAACCTCGCCCATGATACTAATAGATCCGAATGTGGAGGCAATATTAAGATTTTTTTTAGCTCTAAAGCAAGGGTATATATTAGAATCCTATCCCACCGTAACTCCTATATAGTAGTATACGCCAAGTCTTATTAAGTATATCAAGCGCTTTCCAGAAGCTGCTCGCGCCGCCACCGATACCACCGTTCAAGACAGGACCGGCGCTGTGCCTGCGTCATGTGCTCGACAACCAGGGCAAATTCCACTGCGTTCGGGAACCCGAGCCAGCGCGCCATGCTGCAGAACTGGCGGCGCATCACGGCTTCGGGCGGGTGGTATTCGAACCGAACGGGCCGGCCAGATTTTTTGTCCACGGCGTACCCGAACTGTTCGCTGCTTTGCGACGAGTAAGGACCGCCGAAGATCCGAACGTCGGCTGCGTTCTCGTCGGCCAGCTCGGCGCGTCGGCTGAGACGCTCTTCCACCTTGGAGGACCCAATCACTTCGTTGTTCAAATGGGTATACTCGACCCCTGCACCAGCTAGGATGGCTTGGATCGGGTCGTGCTTGGAGGCCGATGGCGTCGTAGACGAAGACGATGGTTGCTTTTGTTCTTGTTGTTGCTGCCGTTGTCGCGTTGGGGTTGCATTCTCAGCTCCCGCCTCGCCGCAGATCATGGCAGCGAGTTGGCTCATGGTACTGTCTTCTTCTTTCTTGATAGTACCTGATGTCACGATTGCTGTATCCTCGCCAACATGGTGGTCCTCCTCGTCGACCTCTATTCCCATCACTTGGACCCCGGCCTTGCTCTCGGCTACATTGGTCTTGTTGACAATATCCCGGAGCACAACGTTATTGTTCTGGTATTCAAACAGATTGGTCATGCCAAAAATTTCGCCCTTCTGGTCCTTCTTTTCCTGGACGCCTTTGAAATATCGTCGCTCTGAGCTAGCGTTATAGCCAATATTGGCTTGCTGTTGCTTATAGATCTGGCGCGCATAGACAATCTCCTCAATCGTCCCTGCAGAGATCAGTCGGAACACCTCGACATCCCGGCACTGTCCGATCCGGTACGCGCGGTCCTGCGCCTGGAGGTCGTGCGATGGGTTCCAGTTGGGGTCAACGACCACGACCTTGTTGGCCGATGTGATGTTCAAGCCAACTCCGCCAGACCTGGTGGATATCAAGAAGACAAACTGTTGCGGGTCTGAGTTGAAGTCGTCGACGGCCTGGGCTCGCTCTTCATAGCTCATTGAGCCATCCAAGTAACTAACATTGTAGCTGGTATGATGGAAAAGCATCTGGAGCATCTTCAAGAGCCGCACACTATGCGAGAACACCAGGACCTTGTCTCCGTTGGCGTGCCACCATTTCAGTAGTTTTCGGAGAACCTTCCATTTCCCGCAGAATTCAGGATTGGCGTAATTCATGATAGAATCCCTCGTGCTGTACAATTGCTGCCACTGCTCCGGGACTGCGATCTCAAGCATCTCAAGATCTTTATCCTGCTTCTCTTTGGGGTCGACACCTTGCGGTATAAGGATTGCAAGATGGTTGCTCAACTTTTGCAGATTGGCTATCGCTGGAAAGACGTAACTTTGCCATCTACCTCGCCCAGGAACGAATTGATGACAGCACCAGCCGGCCTTTTTGCGGGAACCGCAAGTGCAGGGCTCGGATGCAGTCTTGATACATTCCACAATGTCACTATTAAGGAAATTTTCATATGCATCCGCCTGGGTTTGGGTGAGAGGACAAAAGACCACACGATCGCTCTTCTTCGGAAGCTGGTCGGCGATCAGGGTCTTCATACGCCGGAGAAAGAACTGGGGGAGAAGGTTTTCCACCAGTTTTTTCGCCGTTCTGCGGGCCTTGCTCAGCTGTTGCAGGGTTGCATCATGAGACTGGCCAATCTTGAGCGGGTCAGAGATTGTCTTCTTCCATACGGATACGGGACCTAGTTTCCCAGGATTCGTCCAGTTCAGAAGTGTCCAAAGTTCTTCATATTTGTTCTGGATGGCAGTCCCCGTGAGGCCAATGCGACACAAAGCGTTGATTTCATTCATTGCCTTTGTCGTTTCCGATGAGCGTTCCTTGATGATATGGCACTCGTCCGCGACAACACAGTCCCATTCAACCAGATTGATAGAGCCCTTATGATGTCGATATGTCGTGTACGTTGTGATCAACACCTCAACCCGACCCGACTTGGCTGCGTACAGAGCCCCATCTTTATTTTCGCCATGGTAGACTTCGACGTGCCACCACCCCCACCGTTCGAACTCGTTCCTCCAATTTTGGATCAAGGTTCCCGGACAAACAATCAGGGTTCGAGGGTACCACTTGTTGTCCCCTGTCCGACGCATCTTGCGCATCCGCTTGGCATCACGTTCGTCTCCGGTCTTGCCATATGCTGCGGTTAGAAACGCGATGACCTGCACCGTTTTCCCCAAACCCATATCATCTCCCAGGATCCCGCCCTTCTGGTAAACGAAAAGTTCGTGCAAGAACGCAGCCCCATCTACCTGGTATTGACGTAGCCACTGCGATATCGGAGCGGGTATCAGCCCAAGGGAGTATGGAAGCGTGATATCTTCATATTTCCTGCACGGTTTCATAGTATTGAACACTGGCTTCTCATGTAATGATTCCAGTCGTTCATTATCAGAGAAGTCGACCTCGTCATAGTCCGGCGGCAACTTTAACCCGGCCTGCTGCAGATGCTCCATCCGTCTTTTGAACTGGGCACGGCGTTTCTGTAGATGATCGGGTAAGGTATGCTCCATGAGATCATCGTCTGATGATACCTCTCCATAGTCCCTCATCTTCCGTTTCCCCTTATTCTCTCTTTTGGGCTGTAGCCCGACGATTGCATCTGTTCTCGCCGCCTTTTTCGTTTTCTGCACGGCACCCACGCTATTGTGCTTGCGCTTAAGCTTCTTCCTGTTCTTGAAATCATTATATGCCGCTTCTCCGTCATTGAAATCGGCGTCGTCGCTGGTTCCATCTGCTTGTTCCGGCTGTTTTGAAAGAGGGTCAGGGATATCATGTATAGAGGCAGGCGGCGGAGTCGAAATCTTCAGCCGATTCGGAGGGCTCTTGTCTGTGAATAGTAGCTCGGGTCAGTTGGAAGTCTTGATATTGATTCCCTAGTGGGCTGTACTCCGTGGCGTGGCACGAGATTTACTCGAGACCCATGATATTTCAAGATCATCATCATCATCCGAGTCAATAGTAATGGCATCCGATGCCGGGATCTCCACATTTGATCCCATTCCACTCCGTGTCAATGGATGGCCAGCCTTGACGATAAGCAAGGCGCGTGTAACGCGTATGAGGAGAGCGCGAGGGGTACAGACAGGCCCATATATAGAACGGTGAACTAGAGTACGCGCTAACCTATTACAGCCTGACGTAATTTGCTTTTGCCCAAAATATTGCTGCGATTAGATAAGCCACACTCTTAGTGGCTCGAGTAATAATGAACCTATCAGTTTCCGAAGTGGGAAAAGAGCTTCTTCAAGTTTGCGCTCGACACCGCCAGAAGAACATCTCTGGCAACACCAATTCCACGGCCTTGACAGAGAAATAGCCGATCTGTACACCAAAACTCCGGTTGCCTTTTGAACCCTCTCTACGTGGATTTCAATTTTCGCCGATATTTCCTGTCGAACGCCGCCCCCCTCCTTCTACCAACCCACCGTCGACGAACGAGAATTGTTGGATAACGACCTAAAAAACACTCCTTTCGATTCACACTGGGGAGCACAGAAAAATGCCTCTCGATACATCTACAACGTACCCTTTAACCCGGTTACGGCTTGACGGTCGCCGGTGGAACGAGCTCCGGCTGCTGCAAGCGCAGATTTCCACAAACCCTGCCAGCTCCGGGTCGTCCTATCTGGCCATGGGGAACACGTCGATCATGTGCACTGTGCATGGGCCGGCCGAGGGGCGTCGAGGCGAGGCTGGAGGAGGTGCCGGAAACGCAGCAGGTGCCGTTGTGGAGGTGGATGTGAACATTGCAGGGTTTGCGAGCGTGGACCGCAAGAGGAGAGGCGGTGGAAGTGATAAGTACGAGATTCATTCTACCAAAAAAAAAAGAAAAGAAAAAAAAAGGCTGACGATATTCCTCTCAATAGACAATCCTCCCGGATAGCCACGACATTAAAAGCGGCGTTTCAGTCGCACCTACACACATATCTCTACCCGCACAGCACGATCAGCATCCACGTGTCTGTCCTCTCGGCGGACGGGTCCCTGCTCGCAGCGGCGATTAATGCCTGCACGCTAGCCCTGGTAGACGCGGGCATCCCGATGCCGGGTCTGCTCTGCGGATGCACCGCAGGGATGAGTGGTAGCGCGTCGACGGCGCGGGACCCCAAAAACGACGAGCTGGATCCGTTGCTGGACCTCTCCCTGCCGGAGGAGCAGGAGCTCCCTTCCCTGACTGTGGGCACGACGACAGCCATCCCTGTCGGCGAAGACGCCATGGATGACGACGAAGACGAGACGATGAAGGTCTCCCTGCTCAACATGGATGCCAAGGTGCACTATACCTACCTTGAGACGATGCTCGCCGTCGGCATCGACGGATGTACGCAGATCAGAGAGATCTTAGAGGGAGTCATCAAGGGATCAAACAAGATCGTGGTACCGAGAAGTGATATTCTATAGCATAACCATTTATTGGAACAAAAATACCCATTTTTTTAAAACATTCCCCCCAAGAACTATCTTAGAATGCATTACGATCTAGCTGTTCACGAAGATATCTATTAAAACATGAAGTATTATCATACAATACCCCACTCTACTATAATTTTAGAATACCACCTTGATATCTCAGACTAGAATTGCATCGGCGATGGTATCCTGGATGCTTTCTACCGAGGAAGCGAGGGCTGCCAGTTCCAGGTCTGTAGTAGAAACGCGGTGGCTAATTGGGGATAACTGGGCCCTTCCCTTCATCTTTGGCTCTTTGGCTCTTGAAAGCACCTCGGAACTGATATCATTTGAATCATACTACTGCTCCTGTTGAAAGACGTCATTGAGTCTCGAAAGTTTATCAGAGAAGTGAACCCCTCTATGCAGTCTGAATATTCAATCGATAGCTCACATGGTGCCAAGGCTGGAGAATAGTGTCTACAGCTACTGACGATTCGTCTACACTTGAGCAAGGAGCGAGAGCACACTTAGTATTGTACGTGGACAGCAGTAAAGCTGCCATCTATCTTGAAGTGGCTAACTAATTTACAGCTCACCGCAGTTGACGATCTTGGGCTTGACAGGGCTGCGGACAGTGCCGGAGGAGCTGCCGACGGCCTCGATCTCGGAGACGATGGCCTTGGAGGCCTCATCAGCAACCTCGCCGAAGACGACGTGCTTGCCATCGAGCCAGGAGGTCACGACGGTGGTGATGAAGAACTGGGAGCCGTTGCTGCGAGAGATCAGTCAGTATACAAGGATCTACCAATAGAAATGCCAGGCCAGGGGGGGGGTTGTATGTGTGAGACTCACGTGTTGGGACCAGCGTTGGCCATGGACAGAAGGAAGGGACGGCTGTGCTTGAACTTGAAGTTCTCGTCGGCGAACTTCTCGCCGTAGATGGAGCGACCACCGGTGCCCTGTAGAGAGAAGACAAAAAAAAAAAAAACGTCAGTTGTGCGGCTCCGGAATGATGGATAATAAATAGCGTGAATCAGGGACATACGTTGTGGCGGGTGAAGTCACCACCCTGGAGCATGAACTGAGGGATGATGCGGTGGAAGATAGAGCCCTTGTAACCCTGGCCCTCGGGGAGCTTGCAAAGCTGACGGAAGTTCTCGGCAGTCTTGGGGACGTCATCCTGGTAGAGGTTGAAGACGATGCGGCCCGTCTTAGCTACGAATTGTTAGCATCAATTGAAGATGATCAAAAGAAAGGGCAAGGCAGGGAGAGAGCCATTTAATCTCTATCTATCTAGAAGAAATGGGAAAAAGAAAATAGTGACGATGGAGAGGGGCAGGAAAGGCCTTCAGCAGGATGGAGGGGTAACAAGTGAGTGGCAAGGGAATTTTTCCCCCTCCTCCTCTTGTTCATTCAAAGAGATCCGTTCGACTTACCGGTGCTGGAGCCCGCAGGGGCGTATGAAACGTCGAAGTAGACCTGCTTGTTTCCGGACATCCTGACGGCGGTTTGATGGAAGGTACGGAAGGATTGAAGATGAGGTTGGTTGCAATTAAAGACGGAAGAGAGGGGACGAAAAGAGGAGGAAGAGCAAGGTGGGGTTATTGTTGACCTGAGGCTTCGGGAGAACATTGTTGCTGGTGCGGGAGGGGCAGTTTCCACAGAGGGGACTAAACCTGTTTAAGAGCCTTCACGTCAGTCTGAGGCGTCTGCAATATATGGTGAATAAGCACTAAGGCATTAAGGCACTAAGGCAGCAAAAACACGGCTGGGCAGGTTTCGACCACCTAAGCTTAATGCTAGGGAGGTAGCAGCGGTAAGAGAACCCTCCTGCACAACCAGGATGGCCGTCCAAGAGGACAGTCATAGCCTGGAGGAAAGATTCAGAAGGCTGTCTCAATGACTGACTTACTTGATAGTAATTATACAATTGATGAAGAGTGCTCACGCTGGTTTCAAGGGAGCTTCGGACCTCCTGGAGAGAAGAAAAAAAAAACAAGGGAAAAGCAGGGAGCTTGGATTACATAAGACACCCCCCAAGCCAAACCGGGAAAGGAGCTGAAAGGAGCTGCCCCTTTGCTTTTTTACTTATGCTACGGAGTACTCTCCTACATAGAAGGCTATGCACGGAGTATTATGGAGTACAAGGTACCTGTAGGAGATTTTTAATGCTGCCTGCATCATCACATGACTAAATGCAGATGCATCATGCACAGATTACAAGCTAGGTACCTAGGTACGGAGTACGCAGGTACGGATTGGAGGTGAAGGCTGCAACTGCACTCATGGAACATATCATAATTTACATGACCCGCCTCGTAGACAGGGGGAATAGAAAGGAAGCTGCATAGTGTCGGTTTGTCCGTCCCAAAAACCGAAAGTTAGAAAATACTGGAAGTGTATCCGATGCAGGAAGCCGTTAGAAGAGTGTCGAATATGCCGTTGCATATCAAGTAGAGAACAGAAGGTGATTCAGATAGAGAATCAGAAGAGAGGAAGATAGGGAGGGTGGAGAGAAAGAAAAAGGAAGAAGCAGAAGAAGAAGAAGAAGAAGAAGAAGAAGAAGAAGAAGAAGATATAAACAATATGGTCAGAGAAGGTTGAAGATGGATATAAAATCTCAAAATGGGGCTCCAAAAAGACAAGAAAAATGTCATGAATCCCGAATTCACCGTGAACATCTCACGTCAACTGTTCGTTTGACTCCCCCCCAAAACAGAAATGTGAAATAGAAAGGAAAAAGGAAAAAGGAAAAAGGAAAAGGAAAATCGGGTCCGAAAGATAAAAATATTATACTATCGACAGGTTGAAGCGAAGTTTGGATGGGCTTGAGACAAAATCGTTATGGGCATGAAGGTTTCTAGCGGAAGTCTTCGTCCTCTTCGTCATCGTAGTCGATGGGTTCGAGGAGCTGAACGACGTCCTTGGTGCCCCGGGCAAGTTCAAAGGCAATGGGTGGCAGTTTGCTGACGATCTCGCGGAATTCATCAGAATCGGGGACCTCTTGCGCTTCGGCGGAGGTTTCAACGAGGCGACCCCGGTGGTGGTCAAGCGCCTGCAGGAAGGACTCGGTGCGCTCTTGAAGAATAAGATCGGCGCCCGGCCGGGTCATGGTGTGTTCGGTGGAGGTGATGACATTGGTGACAATGGCAGAGATGGCGGAAACATCGTTCCGGATCGTGATGGGATCGCTCTCGGAACGAATGCTGGCAACTAGAGCCTGAATGGTTTGGAGGAGCACGTCGGTTTGGTCTTCCAGATAAAGCTTGAGCTCGCGGGTCTCCTCGTCCTCCGGTTCTCGGTTATAGCCCATCTTCATCCCCGTGGGCAATCCAGCGATGGCGACAGAATCCTGAAGCTTGGTGGACTCGAGTTGCGCCCGGGACTCGACGGAGGGGGTGCTGATGGCACTGTAGATCGACTCGTTGTTGCTGTATCGGTCTTGACTAGGCGCCATACTGAAGTAGTCGGGTGATTGCATCTGCGCCAGATTGGGATCATACACTTCTTCTTCGTCTTCTTCTTCCAACTCATCCTCGGGGGTTAGGCGGATCTTAGCTAGGCGGATGAGCTCCACAACAGCGGTTGACACATGGGACGCCGCGGCATCAAGAAGAGACACGGGAGAGAGGCCGTTGGAGAGGGCAAAATTCTTCGAGGCGGTGATCAGATTGTTCGCCGTGACGGACACCTGACCCTTGGCCTTCACCCGCAGCTGGACCATCTCGTCTGCGGGACTCTGAGGGATGTCAACGTCCTGGATGATGTGACGAATAGCGAAGATCACGGCTTTGATCTGATTGAGGACGAGATGTGGTTCGTCCGATCGGGCGACCCGCAGGAGTTCGTCGATCGAGATCTGGAACCTCGTCACGTAGACATCCTTGATGAGGCCGTCGGGGCGGAGGAATTCATTGCCTTTGGCATGAGCACCCGCATCGGGCAACGGGCCAGGCAGGCCCATGGAGGGCGTTTTCAGCTGGCGGAGCTGGGTCCTCGTCTTCGCGTAGCGGTCCTTCCATTCCTGCACTTCCTCCTCGAGTCGTCGCACGTCGGTGGAGAGCTGGTCCTCGCGTTCCCAGTTCGACTGACTTTGCTCCGAGAGCATCTTCATCTCCTGTAAGAAGTTGGAGGCTTCCCTTCGAACCTCTTCCGTTATTTTCTGTTGCTCGAGGAGCTCATTCTGCAAGCTGTGGTGTTGGCTCTCAAGCTCGCCGAACCGGGTTTGCCACTCATCGTCTCCTGCGCCGCGCTGGGAGGACTCCTCGATCTGCGCCCGAAGATCTTCTTCCATGGTTTTGTGCTCTGCTCGGACTCTGTCCAACTCCAGTTGAAGCGAGCTATTCAGATCTTCTGCCTGGAGGATTTTGTGCTCTAAATCCTGTTTCGTATCTTCCCAGTCCTGACGTTCGGAGAGGCTGACCTATAGCGTGTTGTTAGTGGGAAGGAGGAACGCTCTCGAATTGTGGAGAGAAAAATATATTAAAAAAAAGGTCAAGTTTGCATACCTGAGACTTGTCCTGTTCGTCCTGCATCCTGGCCAGCTCCTCATCTTTCGACTTGACTAATTCCTCGAGCCTTTCAACCTTGTCCTGCAAGACCGAAACCTGTGATTGAGTCTCTGCCAATAAACTCCGTCCGCCATCGCCGAGGGTGGTGGTGGTGCCGCGTCTGCTCTGCAGCACGCCATCCAGAGCGAAGGCATCGCTTCGTGCATCATACTCATCCTCTGTCACCGCTCCATCGTCATCGTCTTCGACCAATGTACTCTTATTAGGGACAATCATATTGCTCTGGAAAGTCTTGGGCAAGGGTCCGGTGTCACCATTCATCCCCGGGGGCGGACCGCCCAGGGAGCCCTGTCGAGGCGGGAAGGGACTGCCCATGGGGCTTTGAGGAGAGTTTCCGGACGGATAACCTCTGCCCATTGGGCTTGGGGGTGGACCGCGAGATTGGGAGCGGCGGGCGCTAGGAGGGCCATTAGGTCCATAGCCATGGGAGCCCGGGCGCGGACCATAGCCATTGGGAGGGCCGCCACGGGAGGCGGTGCTGCGGGCGCTGGGCGCTGGACTGGGCCTGCGCGGCATATCGCGCGCGGCGAAATGAGGGAACCGGCGTTCCAGCTCACAAAAGACATCAGTAGCCAGATCCCGGAAACGTTGATGCTGGAGTGAGGCGAGCTTCTGCCGGGCCTGATTGCGCTTCTCGTGAAACTCCTTGCGCGGCGGGAGGAAGGAGGGGACCTCTGGTCGCGGAGGCCCCGGGCGGCCAGGTGACGGCGGGATGGACTGCTGCCGTCGCAGGAGCTCGTCGTACACGTCGGTACTCAGCTCGTGGAACTGGGTAGGCGATAGGCGCAGCAGCTTGTCCCTTGCCTTGTTTGGCTTCGACCTGTCCTCCCGGTATGGATTCTGGAGAAAGCGTTTCAGAACACGATAGTGTTGCGAGAGAATCTCCTCGATCTGCCGATTCACTCTCCCATTCTGCGGCGGCTGCTGCTTTCCCCCCAAGGTTCCATCGCTCGAGCGACCCCTGATCGAATTCGGAGGCGATGGGTTGTCCGCATCCGCGGGAGGCCGGGGAGACACCGCGGGCTCGGAGGGTACGGTCGTGGGCGTCGGGGGCACCGGTGACTCGCCTGACACTGGGGGAGTGGCCAGATTACCGACAGTCGAGAAGGTAGGCGAGAAGGGCGGCTCTGCTTTGGCTCCAGCAGTGACTACTGCCTGGTACTGGTTGATTCCCGACCAGTCGCTGCCGTCGACGGAGACCGGCGACATGGTCCCCGACCGGCCATTCATGGGCAGTTATTATTTTTTTTTTTTTCGTGAGGTATAAGATCAACGAGTCGCGATGGTGCCAATGGTCGTCGACATGCGTTTTAATCGTAACCGAGCGTACGGTAGGCAGGCAGATAGGCAGCAAGGTCAGGTACCGGGGACAATCACAGGCGTGAGGGCAATCAGTAAGCGGCAGCGGGCGAGGACTATAGGCAGCCAAGGCACAGAGACAGTCAAACCAAGGATCGAAAAAGGAGAGGCAGTTAAAGGAAACGATCCATAAAAAAATAAATCAGGTCGGCAGAGAAAGGTAAAAGGGAAAAAAAACGATAGACAAAAGCACAGACAGGCGCGGTTGAAGCGTGGTCTGGACTAAGGTTAGGTTAGGCTTGGTCGGCCGTGTAAGAAGTGAGGCCGCGTTGTGTGGAGGGAGGGAAAGACAGAGAGGAGAAGAAAAGGAGGAAAAGAAAAGTAGGGATAGAGAGAGGATTTCTCTGTCGAGAATGGATGATAAAAGAAAGAGAGGAAGCGTGTGTAGAGAGCGAGTTGCGATGATTATTTTCCTTCGAACCCACCAGCGTCTAAAAAGAAGCAACCGCCAACGGATCCGCAGCATTTCGTTTCGCCCCTGATTGATCTTGTCCAGCCCTTCCGAAGTTCCGGCCCCTTTCAGTTTTCCAAACAGCCTACGAAGCAGATAGAATGGCAGAGGATTGGATTGATGATGATTTGATGCTATTTACTATAGAGCTATGCGGACAATAATACAGTGGACTGTGTAACGAATGAATGCCCAGACTACAGACGTGGTGGATATGCGATCTGATTACGCAACACAGGAGATCATTTCCAATAAGATCGGAGAGCAGATATGGGATGGATGGTGCCATATGGAGTGAGTATATAGACTGCATAGTTATAATGAATCCGATGGAAGCAGGCGGTGGTTTCTAAAGAGAGCAAGTCATAGTTACTCCATAGTAAGAATAATAATAACAGAAGCTTGGAAAAACCCAAGAGCCCAGGTCATGTGGGGGCTATTCCTAGAATGGTAGGCGCATCAACCGACCTCACGTTGACCTCAACCCTCTCGACTCTGACGGACGGTGGACTGCTCTCATCTCAGACACTCCCTCATTCCAGGGAGAATGAGCGTCAGTCAGATGCTAATGAATACCTCAAGGACCAAGACATCAGCCAGTGGTGTATGGGTGGTTTTCTCTGTGGCTTCCAAGAGTGATTCAGATTCAAAGCCCGGTTCAAAGCCTGTCTGATCTTTCAGTCGAAAAAAAAAAGGACAGTAAGTACATACACTCCAACACATGTTCCACCTTTGCTCCCATCTAGGAAAATCTCATCGGTTATCTAGGGTGTACAACCCGGAATCCACCGCCCTCGTCATACCCCAGGACCGGATATGGACATAACTGGGGAAGATCCCACATCCCCAGAAGAAGAAAAACCCCCCCCCGTTGAAAGAAGATGGTGGAGCTTATTCTGCCGGTCAAGGTTGTCGATGCTTAGATGCTAGATGCCGGTGGTGGAGATGTCTCACTTGGTATCCATCCCCGCCAACATGTCTTGCGGTTTGCAGATCTGTGGGGTCAACACCATAGCAGACTTCTGGTGTTGTGCACTTCGAACCTCGATGTATGATCCTTGCTGACCATTCAGCTTCCCGCCAAGAGCGCAGTGGTCGATGCCTCAGACAACAGGGGCTCCCGAACCCCTCGCATTCAACCCTGGATACAGCTCTAGTTTTCTGGCTACAGCGATGGTCTTGGACTGGACATGAAAAGGATGCTTGATCATGCTCTGATCATGCTAGAGACTACATTTTCTAGTAAGTCTAGCGGAGCAGCGGTACAATTCTCTTATACCGACAGTCTCCTATGTCTGTCAAGCTCTATGACATTACTTTCTATCAGGCCCCTGAGAACTAGCGTTGTCATCGCGTTGTCTTTGGTCTTTGGAGATGGTACGCCCTCACAGAAGCCTGTAGACAGTCTGTAGACATTCTGTAGACAGCATCAAATACTACTACACCAACACGATTACTAGTACACGCGCGGGCGGAGTGTAACATAACTTTTGAACCAGGCTGTGGCATGGATATAGAGCATGAGTATTATCCTGTCTTTCTTTATAATATCTCTTCCTACTTTTTGCCCTCTTCTACTATATAAACACCTCAAGTTGAAACAGGAAGTAGACCATAGGCTGTTAGTTGATTTCTTCAGATCTGTATCTATCTATATACGGCCCTCATGGCGTCTACTCTTAATATCAACATAACCAAGGGACTAGCATATGCAATAAATATTTCTATCATAGATACTGCAGATATATTAGAATAGGATAGGATCTTATATAGATCAGCAGATAACACTACCAATGATAAATATATATTAAATAATAAACATCTATTCTATCTACTAGCCTACAACTACAGTATACAACTACAGTATGCTTCAAACCATAGACCATGCAATTCATCATGATTAAACATATAATATCAACCACCACTCATGCAGTGATGTGTAAGCAGTTACAACTCTAGTAATGCAGAGAGGCCATAAGCCATGCGTAGGGGAATATATACACTCAACTCCATATCCACAGCGGGACTTGATTCGTTTCGCTTTTTTTTTCTTCTTCCAGCCACTTCGTTTCCTTTCCCACCCTTTTTTCTTTTTACTTTCTTCTTCTTCTTCTTCTTTCATATCCTTGTTCAAAATGAAGACACCCTTTATTTCGAAGAAGTCATGCTCAACCCCTTGGTAGCCGCGACGGCAGCAGAGACCGGAGTCGCCGACCGTGTCGGGGCCTGGCTGCGGTTATGTGCCATGTGTGCCTTGACGAGGTGGCCGGCAGCAAGGGCAGCGCATAGGCTCAGTTCACCCGCGAGCACCGCCGCCGCGACAATGCGCGCCAGCTGACGGGCGTTGTCGCCGGGGTTGGTCGGGTGCGAGCCCCGGACCCCGAGAAGGTCCAGCATCGCCGATTGCCCTTCAAGGATTGTGCCACCGCCAATGGTACCGACCTCAATTGAAGGCATCGAGACAGCAATCTGGAGGTCACCGTTGAGACTAGATAGGTCAGTATATAGTAACTTGAAGAAAAACAGGGGAGAAAGAAAGAGAGAGAGAGAGAGAGAGAGAGGGCATACTTCTTCATCGTGGTGATGCAGTTGCTACTTTCGACGTTCTGAGCCGGGTCCTGACCAGTGGCAATGAAGATGGCCGTCACGATGTTGGAGGCGTGCGCATTGAAGCCACCCATGCTTCCTGCCATGGCACTGCCAATCAGGTTCTTGGCGGTATTCAGCTCGACCAGGGCGGGAACGTCGCTCTTGAGGACGCTCTTGACAACCTCGGCGGGAATGACAGCCTCGGCGACCACGGACTTGCCACGGCCATCGACCCAGTTGATGGCAGTCGCCTTCTTGTCGGCGCAGTAATTACCGGAGAGAGAGATGATGTTCATGTCGTCGAAGCCACATTCCGTAGACATGACGTGCAGGGCCTTCTCTGCGCCCTTGGAGATCATGTTCATGCCCATGGCGTCGCCGGTGGTGGTCTTGAAGCGGATATACAGGTAGGTGCCCGCCAGGGCGGTCTTCAGGAACTGTAGACGGGCGAACCGACTGGTGGAGTTGAAGGCGGCCTTCATGATGTTCTGGCCTTCCTCGGAATCAACCCACACCTTGGCAGCCGCCGCCCGGGACAGGGTCGGGAAGCTGACACATGGGCCACGGGTCATGCCGTCGCCGGTCAGGACAGTTACAGCACCGCCACCGGCGTTAATCGCCTTGGCGCCTCGACTGGCGCTGGCCACTAGGACACCCTCCGTGGTGGCCATGGGGATGAAATAGTTCCGACCATCGATGACCATGGGACCGGCGACTCCCAGAGGCAGGGGCAGATATCCAATGACGTTTTCACAGCAAGCGCCGTGAACCAGACCGTAGTTGTAGTCCTTGTACGGAAGCTTCGATGTCTCCAGAGAACAGGTGATGGGGTAGGTGGAAGGGGTTCTGGACACCACGGCGCGGCGAATCTTGACCGCTCGGGTGAAGGCTTCGACCCGGGTCATGGACTCAACCTCCATAGTCTTCTCCAGGGCATATCCGGGGATCTTGCCGCGCAGCGACAGGTCGATCAATTCTTCATCGGTCAAGGTGGGAGCACGCTTCTCCTTCAAGATCGCCTCGCACTCCTCGAGAGTTCTAGTCGAGGGTCCATCGGGGTCCAATGCCATCTTGGGAACGGTGGGCTTTGTAGGCGCAGGGGTGACTTCCTGGGGAGCGGCGGCGGCGGTTTCGGGTTCCTTGATACTCCAGCGCGCGGCGTTGAAGAGGTAACCGTTCAAGATGATGCTGAGAGTGAGCGCGGCGATGATCCACTTGCTGATGATCGGGTCCTCGACGCTCTTGAGCAGGCTCTCGAGAACCCTGCCGCCCACGGCGTCCAGAAGCTGATCGGTATACTCGATCTCGTAGGAACCACCGGCCTCGAGTCCCGAGTAATGAACAGAGGGGTACTCCAGTTTGTAGTTGATCGGCGGGATGACGGTGACGAGGGTTTCCTGCTTTTGACTCTTGGCCATCACGTAGATGGAATCAAGGCCATTCTCGGCGACCTTGAAGGGATCGATCGGCGCAGGCGCGAGGATGTTGGAGATGCGAGACACCAGAGGAAGGCCAGCGCTGGTGGTGGTTGACTCTCGGAAGGGGATCGCACTCAGGTTGACCAGGTTCACCAGGACAAATCCGCTGACCATGAGGATCTTGAAACTACGCACGCTGCTAGATTTGATCTTGCGTCCGAAGATGCTGGGGTCGCTATCCGCGTTGGAACCCAGTCGAGGCCAGTCATTGCTGGACGCGACATCCTCCGCAACGCGTTGGGTGATGCCGTCTTCCTCCAGCGCCTTACGGAGGGCGACGTGGCGGCGGATACGGGTGATCTCAAGCTTGATGCAAAGGATGGTGGTGTAGAAGGTGAAGAGCATGAGGCAGTCGAAGAACAAGATCCACGCGGCAAGGAAGCAGAATTGCCGCAGCCCACCTTGCACACCCGAAGCGGCACCTGCGACCAGGATGGCAATCTCAATACAGTAGTCCCTGGCGATCTGGAAGCCCTGCTCTTTGATGGCATATTGGATGGAGTCTTGGATGGACCGGGGCGAAGCCAGGGCGGCGGCGGCGGCAGCGGGGGAGCTATTGGGACCGCGGACACCTTGTCTTTGGGTCTCGGTGAACGCGTTCAGAACGGCCTTGGTGAGAATGATGGACTTTTCGAAGCCAACGGTCACAACCAGGAACGGGAGACCTTCCGAAAGGAGGAGTAGGTTGATCGGAACGCCGAGTTTGGTGGTGACTAGCAAGGCGAACAAAAAGGCAAAGATACCGGAGAACAAGACGGTGGTAGCCAGCCAAAAGTTGGAACCCAGGCGCTTCATGGAGAAGAACAGGGAGATGAAAGTCAGGTACATGGAGAGATATCCCAGAGTCATGATGACAATGTCGATGGTTTCGGCGTGCTAACATCGGTTTAACTCAGGACACGAAGATACAGACGGAGGAGGGGGGGGGGGGAATAGAAAATACCTTGATTAAATCCACAAAGGAGCTCCAGGCGTCAGTGATCCAGAGCTTCACAGCCCGGCGAGAACCATATGTTGATCCGCGAGCGGCCTTCATGATCCATTTCTTTTGCTCAACGGCGTCCTCGTCCGCGGAGGGATCGGGGATCTCCTGAACGCCCTTCAGCAAGTCGACCACCTGTTCGAACGGGACAACGAAAGCGAGCGAGGAGTCGTGCGAGAAGGGAGACAAGAGATTCGGGGTGTGAGGAACCGCTTGAATGGAGGCATTGGAAAGACCGGGGATCTCTTCACCCAGTGGAGCGGTAGAGCCAGAGTTGGAGGTTGAGTCGGGGAAAACAAAGGTTGTCAGAGCGAATCTTTGGGCGGTCTAAATCATAAGATATCCGGATTAGTTTTTTTTCTTCTCCATCTCGAATGAGAACAGGGACAAAACTCACCTCGGTCTCTTGCATAACTGGAATATCCTCCACCTGCCATTTCCAGGCTGTCTGTTCTCCAAGGCGGAGGTTTCTGCCGCGCTGGAGAAGAGCGTCGATATCCACCCTGCCCTGTCCATTGCGCGGGCTTTTCGTCGCATCAAACAGGCTTCCCTCCAACAATCCGACATAAGTGGTACTGGCGAGAAGCGCAATGACGACGATGGTGTGAATGGGGTGTAGACACGCGCGTCGGGAAATCGACTGCAGGGCACCGGTAACATAACGCTTTAACCAGCCGGGCTCAGCATCCTTCTCCGAGTCAGCAGGCTGCGACTGCCTGTTTATCAGCCGGGTCGCCATCTTGAGGCTCGGGGAGGCGGTGTAGGACGCGTCAAGCAGGTTTTAGAAAAGAAGAAAAAAAAAAAAAGGGGGGGGGGGGAGATAAAGGAATTGAACAGATCGAGAAGGAGCGCAAACAGCCCGAAGGCTCGAGGTTTATAGCAGATCACGTCCCGGAGAAGAGGGACACCGCGAACAACGAGTGTCTCTGTGGTGCAGCGGGTGAGGGAGGAGGAGGAGGAGGAGGAGGAGGAGGTTATGGTGGTGGTGGCTCCCGAACGAACGGAGAGAGAGCAAAAGATCCCGACGCTGGGAAAGAAATGGGCGCAGACAGTGGGTCTAGAATCGATATGCAACAATGCAACTCCGGTTAGTCTTGGCTCTTTTTTCCCGAGTTTCCCCCCTTGCACGCGGCGATCACGACCAGTGAAGAAGAGATTCGGTGAGCAGCCAGCGGCGTAGTACATACCTTAGTAGACCAGTGGCTTTGATATTGTCTGATATCCAGCTCACCGTCTTCAGAGTCCCGGGCAGGCGAGCCAATTCCAAGGCGACGCCTCGCAATCGCAAAAATAGACCGCTGGGGGGATTTCCTCCTCTCGAGGGTGGAATCAATTAGGTAAGCGACGGTTTCGCTGGAAACAAGCCACGGGGTCGTAAGTAGTACAGAGTAGTAGACAAGTCGAGATACCCGGCTACTTTGGCACCAGGAACACACGAGGTTGAGCTCGAGTGTCGAAGAGGTTGACAGAGATCAAAAGGGGGCAAAAGGCAAACAGAACGGAGGAGATCTTCTCCGTTCTTAAAGGAGGGTAAAAAGGATTTTGAATCTGCCAAAAGTTGGCGGCGAGTCTAAACCTTAAGTGGAATTACCGTATGGTACAGTACAATACAGCATGGTACAGGTACTTCACTAGTTACCTAGGTACCTACAGGTAGGAGATAACTACCTAGTAGATTCCTACCTAAGAACAGGTAACATCACCTACAGTATCTACCAGTAGTTACTGTTCAAGTGGCATGGATGTTCTCTTATCTAATGATATACCTTATCATCTGATCTGGCATCCTATAAGAGGTCTCATTCTCCAGGCCCTTGCTGCATTGTACTACTGGCGACAGTAGTTATAGATCTACTAGTTAACTTAGTAGTTATGTAGTAACTAGTTAACTAGTTTCTATGTAGCACAGGACTTTACCCAGTAACACTAATTACCTCATACTGTTACGCAGCGGGTACTTCTAGTATGGAGAGGTCCTCTCTACTCGTACTAAGTGCCAACGTTGGATCTGCAACTAACGAGTAAATAATTTGCATTATTGTTATTCTGCTGCCTACATCATAGACGCCTCATTATAATATTATTATAATATTAAGATGGCATATGTTCTGCAGCATATTTAAACAACCTACTAGGTAGTAGGTACTTATAGTACTTATTATCTCTGTTTACTACCTCTACTACCTAAGTCGTAGGACAGACCTCACCGACCGTTTCAAAACCTCATCAAGATCTGTCCTAGAGAGTGGGGTAGATTACGCTATCCCATCTCTGCCGAAGAATAAGAAGACTGGATATGTTTCGTAAACAGAAAAAAGAGAGGACGGAAGAAAAAAAAAATAATTCGAGCTCTGTATCTGATTATCTCCATTTCATAGTCTCTCAAATATAACACATACCTAGGTACTACATTACTGCTGATGATGAACAATAATAATAGGTCCTCTTCATATTGTCTAGGGACTCCGTACGTGAACAATAGCAAGCTCAATAGTCGAAGAACCCACTGTGGGTTTGCGGCGAATAAACGAGCACTCGCAGTGGGCCGCCCTCTTATCAATCAGAAAAAATACCCATCGGTACCGGTGGCAGAGACAGGACGGACAAAGTAAGGAGGGAACACCCACGGTATTATTAAGTAATAAGTCGTCACTAGTACGGAGGCATGGTTACTACCAGGTAACCCCTCTGTGGATAGAGATTTAATCAGATCCGGCATCGGAGGAACCCTGAAGATTGATCTTGGCAGATTAGGAATGGAATTTATGTAGTAGAGGAGTGGATAGTACTTACATAGTACTTATGTACTTCATACTTACTAGTTAGTTAGTTAGTTAACTAACTACTAGGTAAGTACATGTAGTAGTAGAGTAGTAGTAGTAGTAGGAGAGTAGTAGTAGTGATATCAGAGGTAACTGACTAGATTGTACTCCGTAGATAAAGCTTGTCTAGAGCCATGTGGCAAGCTATATTTATTATCTCGACGCGCCCAGGACTCAAGAAAATCCATCACACGGCCAATCGGTCGCTTTCCTCGCCCGTTTCCAGACGACTCTGCAACATTGTATGATGAGTCGCCTTTAAGCGCTGACTCGGTCGAGGAATAAACGCCAGAGCCATTCCGAGACTCGGCAATTGGGCAGTCGCTGTAGTGCGAATCATCCGCCTCATCATATCTGTGTTTGAAGCGCCCTGCAGGATCTCAAGTCGATAGGCCGTGATCGAATCTCATTGTCGGTGTTTGTGGCTTGATCCTATTGTTGCTATATTTTGGCTGGCTGGCTGGCCTGCTTGTTTCGTCTAAAAAAACCCTCGAGTGCCCTGCTTTGTGAAGCAATGTCGGCAATTCAATCAAAGGACCCTTTGTGGCTCCTCTCTTATTGTTGTATTGTTCGACCCGCCGGCTGGTCTTTATTCAATAACCACTGAATGGGAGAATTCCATTATGGCAGACTGAATCCTTTCATTCATTCAGGGTCTGTGGGGGCAACATCGTCAATAGCGCCCTGTCAATCGTGAATATAATGCCTGGATCTCTCTGTCTGTGAATTTCTCCTCCTTTCCGAGGCCCTGTTCAGTTCATCTTCTAGGATTTTTTTTTCAACATATCAATATTCGCATACGACCCGCTGGCCGTGTCTTGGAAAAGTTTTACCATAAAAAAAAATCATATACTCGGAAAAGAACGCGCTCTTCGCCATGAACTTACCGGTCATCATCTTGACCTTTCTGACGGCCGCCTACGCCCACTCGTGGATCGAACAGATTCACGTCATTGCGCCAAACGGTACGTTTGTCGGCGCGCCCGGATACGCCCGTGGCAATGTGCTCCGAACGGCACCTGGATTCAGCGACCCGGAGATGACCTTTCTCATTCCACCTGATACACAGGCCAACAACACCATGATCGTGGCGACACAGCAGATGTGCATGAGCACGCAGCGCACCCACAACCAGACGGCAGGCAGTCCCCGGCTGCAGGCGAGCGTTGGCGCGGCGATCGCCCTGCGGTACCAGGAGAACGGACATGTCACCCTGCCATGGAACCAGCCCGGCAAGCCTCCCAACCGGGGGACGGGTTATGTGTACGGCACCCAGGAGCCGCGCGTGAACGAGACCTTCCTCTCGATCCATAAAGTGTGGAACCAGAACGGCACGGGCGGCGACGGCCGCGGGGTGCTCCTGTCTGTGCAGAACTTCGACGATGGGCGCTGCTACCAGATCAACACGGGCAACATCTCCGAACACCGCCAGGTCGAATACCCGCACGTCGCCAACACGCTGATGGGGGCCGACCTGTGGTGCCAGCAGGACCTGAAGCTTCCCTCGGACGCAGAGACAGACAAACCTTACACGTTGTACTGGGTCTGGGACTGGCCCACCGCGCCAGGCGTTGACCCTGACCTGCCGGACGGGAAAATCGAAATCTACACGACCTGCATGGACATCGACCTGGTCGACAGCAATTCGACGGCATCGGAATCAACAACTGAAGGGCACACCGCCGCGGACTATGTTGCGGACCAGTCGCTGGACTCGGCTGCCATTCCGTCCGAATTCGCCGAACTGTCCGAGGATGCTTCTGAAGCAGATATCTCGACGCCATCTGCAACCTCCGCTCCCAGTCAGACCGCCACCACCGCCTCGTCGACAAAGCTCACTACTTTTGTGACACTCACCAAGACTGTGGAGGGCACAGGTTGTCAACCAGCACCTACTTCGTAACTCTCTCTCTTTCTATGTATTTCTCTCTCTTTTGTGACTTAGAATATGTCGAGTGAGCTGGCTCCCGATCGAACAAACAATGGCGTTCTCTGTATTTCCGTTCATTGATTAGACGTAGCTGCAGACCATGCCTTGTCTCGCAATATCAGCTAGCGAATTCACCTCCTTGCTGTAGCACCTACTACTGCGTTGTCCCTTACTGAGAATCTCACCGTAGTAGCCATCTCACCATCTCAGTTGCACTCCAGCATACCAAGTCGAAACACAGAGCCCCCCCCCGTAGATCGATCAAGCTGCCAGCGCGTCGTACGGCGTCTCTGTGCAACCTGGCTTGCTCTGAGATGCTGTGCAGTTGCTCTTGCAGTTGCTCTTGCAGCCAATCGCGCCTTGAAACCACCTGAAACGCGCTAAACCTCAGGCGGCTACTCACGTGACCCCCTCCCTCTCCCAAGCGCCGACCGTCAAAAGAAGCTCGAGGCTGACCGGCGGCAGGGAAAAAAGACAGCCCCCCGTTCATTTCCCCCCCCCTCCTCCTCCTCCTCCTCCTCCTACTCGTCTTCTCCCCTGGCGACAGCGCGTGATTGTTCAATCTGTTGTCCAGGCCGACACGAGTGTTTGTTTGTTGTTTTATTACTGTTGCTGCTGCTGAAGAAGAAGACTGCTGGAGCAGGCACTCGGGCGTCCCCCACACTGACTTTACTGTACTGTACGCTGCGCCTCGCTGATCCTTAACAACTTCAGCCAGAACCCTCCAGGTAAGCTAATCTCCGACTGCTGCGAACTGGCCTTCCTTCTGCTGCTGGATCCAGCAAGCGTGTGCCCGCCTGTTCCCTCCTCCATATTCCTGCTGCTGCTGCTGCTGCTGCTGCCGCTGCCCCCCCATTGATTCTTTCTCTGTGGTTCTTCGTGACAGCGTCTAAGCGCTCACCGTGTACTGATTCGATCGTTTGGCTTTTTTCAGCTGCTATAATTAGAACGTCGCATTTTGCCCTCGACTCGAAGAACAAACGCTGGTTGAACGTCTCCGGAGCGACACTTTTTATTATTATTATTATTATTTTAACACTCGGACTCATTTACTTTCTTCCTTTTTATTTTTATTCTTTTTTATTTCTTCTTTGGAAAGAGAATTTGAGATTCTTGGTCTGGTTCTGTCGGAGAGGGTCGAACAACTCCCTGCAGTATAATTCGACGGTCAACGCTTCAGGTCGGGCGGAGATTACTGTGACGGTCGCTAGACAGGATCATTGTACGAGGGTTAGCGGATTGTCTCCTACGTTCGTCGAAGCGGTGTCACGACTCAAGTGTGAGTGATGTATGTTATGGCACCTGGTGTTTTCCCCCAAGTTCTACCGAATAACCAGCCTCCCCACGCTCCAGAACGAGACGTCGACACGAAAACGAGACACCACTTGCGCGTTTCGAGGTTGAAGAGTGCGATGCAATTCTAGAAAACCATCATTGTGATTGATCAGAGTCTTTTCTTTTTGTTTCTTGGTATCGAGAGTCAGCTATCTCTTTCGTGGGATAAGAATCGATCATGCCGTCAACATCGTCTTCTCCGCTACAGCACGGTGCGTCTGCGAGTGTCGCAGCGCTGCCTCCGATCGTAACAGATGGGATCGGCAAACGGACCACATCCCAGCTGGCGTCGACGCTGGCAAGAGATCGCCTGTCTACCTACTCGAATACCTCCTTTGCCTCTCAGAACCGGTCCCGTCCCGGATCGCATGTCTTCCCGATCTTCCATTCTAGCCTGCCGTATACGCTGGTTCGAGATTTCGCATACCCAGTCACTCACCCCCTCCACTATGGCCCCCCTCCGAATCGCGCCTCGACCCTTTCGTCGCCAGCGAGCGAACAGCAGCGCCGTCTGTCTGATCCGCCCGGCACATGGGACGGCTGGCGGGGCCACTGGTCGGCCGGACCGTGGGCTGCTGAAAGCGGCCAGGGCCACCAGCATTTACCGGCCATGTCCTTTGGCGATGGTCCGCCCTACAGCGAGGATGAAGACCTGCACAGCCCCGTGGTAACCATGTCTCGGCACCGGAAATACAAATCCACGGGAATCGATATGATGCTGAACGGCCAGGGTGCCGCCCGAAGCTCGAACCAGGGCTACCAATACCGCAGCTCGGTCTATTTCACCCAGGATGCGGATCGCGGCACTTTGGTCAGCACGAATGCCGACGGCAGCGAGACCTATTACGTGGACGATGACGATGCGGCAGACGATGGGCCCGGCGGAGAGTATGTGACGTATCCCGCCAGTGAGAGCCGATATTCGCAGATCGACCAAGACCCCTCCTACTCTGCCTACGACGGCCCGCCCAGCCATGGACATGAGGCCGGCTTCGAGTCCGAGGAGGAGGAAGAGGAGGAGGAGGAGGAAGCGCGGGGGGAGGCGGGGGGTGGTCGATATTCGCGCGACTACCAGTTTGCCGTGGGCTGTCCCGACGAGGAGATGCATGGCAAGGCGGTTGCCCTCTTCGACTTCACGCGGGAGCACGAGAACGAGCTGCCGTTGACGGAGGGACAAGTCATCCTCGTCTCCTACCGCCACGGGCAAGGCTGGCTGGTCGCGGAAGATCCCAAGACCGGGGAGAGCGGGCTGGTCCCCGAGGAGTTTGTGCGGCTGCTGCGCGACATCGAGGGCGGTCTGACCTCGCTCAACGATGACACCTCGTCGGACATGCTGGGAACAAACACATACCTCAGCCCAGACTCGACGGATTCCGACCAAGCGCTCACCCCGACGCAGAGCGACCGGCTCCCCATGATGGACAGCTACTCGGTTCCTGCTGGCCAGGAGCACGCCGAGCACGATCGGCCCGTGGTGATCGCCTCCCTCAACGGGGACTCGGATGCCGCTGCGTCGGCGTTCCTGCATGCCGACGAGACCGGCGCGCACCCCCAGAACCATCCAAAGAATCCAAATTGAGGCAGAACCCAAACGTATCAAGTGTCCTCCCAATAGCTGGATATCAACTCCACATCAAGAGGGCCCTTAATCGCGGTTTTTTTTCCCCTCCCTCTGTCAAGTGGATGGAAGAGATGACAGACCACATCCATCGGAAGAATGTGGTCATGATGTCCCGCCACGATGCCCCATGATCTGGTTGTCTTTCCCAGAATGACCCCCAGGTATGCGACACTTCTTACTTTCCGTTGGACAATTTTCTCTCTCCTGCTAACACGCGCGGCAAGGAATAGCCCCGAGTATGAATCTCCTTGTTGTAAATATATGTGATTTATGTCTTGCCTGTATCCTTTTTTGCCCTGCTTTCTCACATCCATTGGCCATTTTGTCATTCTTGGGCTTCAGCGCGGCGCGATGCTGAAAAAGATATATGATTATTTTTTGATCCATCTATTTTATTTCCCTCATCTGTTTCTTCTCTTCTTCTTCTTCTTCTTCTGTTCAGAATCATCTGTCAGTGTTGGACTCTCTATCTGCATGGGTTGGCTTGGTTAGATGTCTTTTAGAGCATAACTAACTGATTGGGATACAACTTCACAAGACATCACTACTACTACCACTACTTCTACTACTACTACTACTACTACTACTACTACTACTACTACTACTACTATTACTACTCTGTGGTATGTAACTAACCCTATGCACTAGAGCAGTAATCGAAGGATCGGGGGAACCGATTATGTGCTCGATGCTAAAATGACACAAGGTCTTCATGCTCTGGCTATCTTGACGATGCAAGCGAGAGCCGACTTGGGGGGCTGATATATGATCAGCTCATCCAACCAGGGTCTTTACTCGGCTATGACAATTTGGCAGGTAAAGAGCTCTAGCACCCTATCTCGTCAAAGCTTGGAAGAATTGCTACAATGCTTTCCTCTGTCTTGTATGTAGTACTTCTTTTTTGCCCCTTGTCATCCTCTTCGCTTCTCCGTGATTGGCCCCCCATCGCGCAAAATCACGACAACCGCCTCGATAAGCACGCGAAACACAACCTGACGGTAAGTGAGCAGGTCTGGTTCTGTTACTTGGGCCTTGCTTACAGTTATGTCTCCAGTAGCCACGCGTTTAGAGCACACCATGTGGCTTACTCGTGGATCTCAGTGAGGGTCTCCTTGGACGGCATCTTTCCCCTAGCGTTGACTTGGTCTCTGGGGATGTCACTCCGTATTGCCGGGGAGGGATCTAATGGTCGAGGATTGATGGGGCATAAATCTATAAAGTCTTCTGTCAGGCTGGCAGGATACCTGGTTCATTTTTGGTACTGCAGGTCGGGTCGATCAAGTTTGCTGCTCCTCTAATCTCTCTGTCAATCTGTCAAAGGTAAAATGGTTGCAGCAGAGTCTTATGAGGGCCCTGAGAAGCTCAGAGGCAATGAGGAGTCGGTAGCTGTCTCTATCGATGAAGCGACTGTGGCGGACTGGACGGAGGAGGAGGAGAACCGAGTCAGACGGAAGTGAGTCGAGTCATTCTTCCTAGAGCAACCCAGGAAAACCAACCCAGGGAAACCAACAACTGACTTGTTTCTAGGATCGATTTCATCCTCCTCCCAATCCTCGGCCTTGCTTTCTTCGCCCTGCAAATGGACCGGGGCAATATCTCGAATGCCCTGACCTCGACCATCACCGAAGACCTGGGCGTTACCACGGATCAGATCAACAATGGCAACAGCTTGCTTTCGATGGGCATCGTGCTCTTGGAGATTCCTTCCAATCTTTTGCTTCAGAAGGTTGTATTCCATGATTCATATTCTTTCGTGATATAGAGGGACTGACGGGTACAGATCGGTGCTCGGAATTGGCTTACCTTCCAAATCATCGCTTGGGGCCTGGTCGCTACGCTGCAGAACTTCATCACCAACTACGCCAGTTACATTGTCACACGTCTGCTCCTTGGCTTTCTCGAAGCCGGCTTCATCCCGGGTATGGCGCTTCCCTCGTTGTCGAGTCTCATACATGTACACCATCACTGACTGGTAGAAGGCGCCCTCTATACCATGTCGACCTGGTACAAAAAGTCGGAGACGAGTCTGCGCGTGTCCATCTTCTTCCTTGGAAACCTCCTGGCCTCTGCGACTGTCTCGCTCATCGGCGCTGGGATTCTCTCCATGTCGGGCCGATACGGGGTTTCTGGCTGGCGCTGGCTATTTATCAGTGAGCCACCTTTCTTTCTTTTTCATTTATTCTTCTTTTTTACTTATAAACGACATGAACAGTTGAGGGCATCATCACCGTCGGTGTCGGCCTCATCTTCATGCTATTCCTCCCCCAGAGCGTCTCAAACAGCTCGCCTCTAATCAGTGGCGGCAAATGGAGCTATTTCTCCTCGCGCGAACATTACATCCTTGTCCGACGCACGCTGCTCGACGACCCGGCCAAATCCAAAGGTCAAGTCCGGATCTCGCGGCGCGACATCACGAGCACGCTAAGCAATCCGCGCATCCTCCTCCATGTCTTCATCACACTCGCATGCACTATCTCTGTCAGCGCCGTGCAGACTTACGCGCCGTCCATCGTCAAGAGCATAGGCTTTGGCGCTGTGCAGGCGAACGCCTTGGTCTCCGTCGGCAGCTACATCGCCGCCATCGTTGTGCTTGTCCTGGGTTGGATTTGGTACGCTCCAACAACCCGCATCCCTCAGTAGTTTTATAACTGGTATCTGACAAAAGCTTTTAACAGTGATAAAACTGGCCGCCGGGGCCCATCCGCCACTTTTGCAGCCCTGTGGTGTGTTATTGCCTATGTGTGCCTCCTTGAATCCGTCCATTTCTCCAAATGGAAACGGTATGCTGCTATTGTCGCCGCGACCGCCACCAATTCTACTGTCCAGTAAGTTCTTTTTCCATTACAGAGCTACGCCTTTCACAGGACATATATCATGACAGTACTGATGAATGCAGCATCATCAATGTCGGCTGGCTATCTGTCAACTGCCAGAGTCCCCAGGAACGCAGCATCAGCATGTGGTAAGTTCCATTCTACTTCCATTCCCTTGACTCTAAAGAAGCCTTTTGCTCATTTTTCCTCAGTATGGTCATCATGGCTGCCAATGCCGGTGGTATCGCAGGTGGACAGGTCTTCCGCACCAGCGATGCACCCCTGTACATCCACGCCTTCACGGCCATGCTTGCGCTCGCCTCCGCAGGTCTGGTGGCGGTCCTCGGCCAGATGGCCTGGTACTTCTCCAGCAATCGCCGGCTGGCTAAGAGTGGCAAGACCCATACAGTTACCACGCACTCCAACGGGGCTGAGATCACGGCCACATGGTGGTGGACATGGTGATCTAGAAGCTTTAATGACCCCTTAAGAAATAGATATCTAATACCACTCTTATGATATGCTTCAATTATACCTAAACTAGGGACTGTATTGTCTATCATTAACTACCTTGATGACTACTGATCCACATATTCAGCGAGTGAGAGACCCAAGTGACTCCAAGTGACTCCAAGTGAGAGTTATAGTTAATGATGATTGAGAGTTCTCTCTATTTAATCTCCTCTTTCTTTTTCTTTTCATCTTCCTCTCTCTCTCTTATCATCTTCCTCATCGATCCTCATAATACTCATATCAGTGCTTAGGAAGATCACATCAAGATGCTGTTCCTCACACAGATTCTCCTTGTCCTCCTGGCTATCACTGTCACTGCAACCAGCCAGAGCTACGACTACATAGTGGTCGGCGGGGGCACCAGCGGCCTTGTGCTGGCCAACAGGCTGTCCGAGGACCCTGGCGTCTCCGTGCTGGTAGTCGAGGCTGGCTCGTCGGTGCTCAACAATGTCAACGTGACGGATCCAAACCGCTACTCGATGGCATTCGACACGAAGCTGGACTGGGCGTATGAGTCGGTCAACCAGTCGTTCGGGGGGGGTCCGCAGGTTCTTCGTGCTGGACGGGCTCTAGGAGGCTCAAGTGCTATCAATGGTAAGATCCACCACAAAAGGAGCAGGGAACAAGTTGGAAATTGATACTGAGTGCTCAGGAATGGCGTATGTTCGCGCTCAAGACGTCCAGGTCGACGCGTGGGAGGCCATCGGCAACGACGGCTGGACCTGGGAGACGCTCTTCCCCTACTATCTCAAGAGCGAGAACTTCACCATCCCCGCCCAGACCCAAGTGGACGCCGGTGCAACCTTTGAGTCGGCCGAGCATGGGTTCCAGGGTCCCCTGCGAACTGCCTTCCCGCCGATGAACGCGACGGGCGAGCTCACCCCGCTGATCAACGAGACGCTGCACGCGCTGGGGATCCCCTGGAATCGAGACATCAACGGCGGCCGCATGCGTGGCTTCAGCATCTATCCCTGGACGCTCGATGGGGAGATCCGTCACGATGCCGCCCGGGCGTACTACTGGCCCTTTGCGAACCGAGCGAACCTGCACGTTCTGCTGGACACGCGAGTCAACAGGATTCTGTGGGCTCAACCATCGAACACCACCACCGATGAGCTCACGGCTTCAGGGGTTGAGATCAGTCTGGCAAACACCACCTCGCACATTGTGGCGAAGAAAGAGGTCATTCTGTCTGCGGGGGTTCTTCGGTCTCCGGCCCTCCTAGAGCTCTCTGGAGTGGGAAATCCAAGGTACTACTAATGCTCTTCTAAAAGAAGTGGGAAAAGATAACCAAGCAAACTAACTAACTGCCTACTTACTATAGGATTCTCGAGGCCTACGGTATCCCCGTCATGATCGACCTCCCCACCGTGGGCGAGAACCTCCAAGACCAGATGAACACCCTGATGACCGCGTCGGGCGAGAATATCGTCACCGGCGGCCGGACAGTGACCTTCGCCACAGCCCAAGACATCTTCGGCACGACCACTGCCTCCGTCGCTGCAGCCCTGTACGCCCAGCTGCCCGCATACGCCCACCAGATGGCCACCGCCAGCCACGACGCCATGCCCGCCGAAGCCCTCCTACGTCTCTTCCACGTACAGCATGACCTCATCTTCAAGCAGAACGTGCCCGTCGCCGAGATCATCTTCAAGCCGGCAGGCAGCGACACCACCACCATCAACGCAGGCTACTGGGGGCTTCTCCCCTACGCGCGTGGCAGCGTACACATTGCCTCGGCCTCGCCCGCGGCCAACCCATCCATCAACCCCAATTACGGCCTTCTCCCCTGGGACGTCCAGCTGCAGAATGCCATTGCGCGGTTCATCCGCTCCGTCTTCAACACGGATCCCTTACGCTCCTTCATAAAAGAAGAGACCCTTCCAGGCCTGGCCGCCGTGCCTGGGAACGCTTCCGACTCGGTCTGGACGGATTGGCTCAAACATAACTGTATGTCCCCTGATCCCAAGAAAAAAAGGAAAAAAAAAAAAGAGAAAGAACCTCTACTGACAGCTTTTAGATGCCTCTAACTTCCACCCCGTCGGTACGACCGCCATGCTCCCTCGCTCGATGGGCGGCGTGGTCAACCCGCACATGAAGGTGTACGGGACCGCAAACGTGCGTGTCGTGGACAACTCGATCCATCCCTTCCAGCTTTGCGGCCATCCAGTGAGTAATCTGTATGCCATCGCGGAGCGGGCGGCGGATCTCATCAAGGGTGATATGAAGGGTTGAATCTGGGGGTGGGGAGGATGTAGTAATCCTGGAACTCCTTAACAGATGATTTATTTTGACTAGGTAGTCGCTGGTTCATTATCTAGCTACTTTCTAATACCAGTCACTCGTGAATTCTTAAAGCTATCCTGTGTAGATAGGGTCTACCTTACGGTATGCATCGTACTGACTATAACGATAGTCTGAAAACCAAGTATATTCATCACCCGCTAAATTCAAGGCGCTCCCCTATGACCATATACCATCTGAACCAGGAAGTACATTTTTTTTTCTATAGAAAAGAAATCGGCTGGTCCATAAATCATAACAGAGAGGGGCTATCGCGGGAAACATCCAAAGCATCCACCGAACGGGGAAGAGAACGAAAAGAGAACAAAAACAAACACAAATGGGGGGAGGGGGGGGGTTCACTTCCGGCTCAACCCAACAAGTCATCCAGGCCTGAGCTGCCCGAGGTTGTTCCCTGGCTGGGCCGAGTGGAAGATGCGGATGAATAGCTGGGCTGCGCGGGGGCGCCCCAGATGCCCGCGCTGGCCTTCTCCTTGGCCATGCTGGCCAGATTGGGGCCCTTCGGGGCAGATTGCTTCTGGATGCCGGCGCCAGCGCTCGCACTCGACCACAGGGAGCCAAAGGCATCACCAGAGGAGGACTTGTTGGACGCGGCCGGCTTGCTGGCTAGAGTGGAGTTGGTGGTGATCGAGGCAGCGGAAGCAGTGGAGGGAATGCCAGGCCTCGAGGCCATGGTGGTGCCAGAGAAAGGCTGAGCGGTAGTGGCGGTAGACACCGAGGTGAAATAATTCGGGGTGGCTGCCTGAAAGCCGGTCGGCTTGGGAGCCATGGGCTTCTGCTGGGCCTGCATGGAAGCAGCTTGGGAAAAGCCTGGGGGTGGTGAGACGGGAGATGTGACGTTGCTCAAGGTCGGCGTTGGCGTGGCGGATGTAAAACCGACAAGGCCATTCAGGTTGTTCCCCTGGGAAGCCGACACGGGCTGAGGGGCCACAAATTGCGTTGTTGAGGTCGGAGTCGCAGTCGATACCGGGGCGGGGGCAGGAGTTGCAGACTGGAAATCGTCAAAATCATCGTCATCGCCGGCGTCGAAGATATTCCCGGCGCTGGTCGCCGCCGCCACAGGCTGCTTCCCAGCAGCGACCGAGGCCGTGGTCGCAGCATCATCATCACCACCGAATCCCAGAAGATCCTGTTCGGGCGCCTTCGGGGCGGCTGCGGGTTGTTTGGGCTCCCGCCGAGTCGCGCGGGGTGGACTGGGAGCAGCAGCACGACGCCGTGGGGGAGCACCACCTTCGTCCTCGTCGTATTCATCATACTCCTCGAAGCGGTTCGCTCCTCGCCGGCCGGAATCTTGGAATTCACTCGTCGCGCCACCAAAGCCACCGCCGTCTCCAAACACACCGCCGCTGTACCCTCCGAATCCCGCGCTCTCGCTGCCGAAGCCTCCATAGCGGCTGCTGGCTCCCGAGAATCCCCCGCCGACATTCATGCCTCCCTCGATGCCACTGAACTTGTTGCGATTTGCCCTGGCCTTCTTCCGCTCGGAGCGGATGGTGTCCACATCGCCCAGCAACTTCGCCAGCTCCGAAGCTCGGTTCCGCACGTTGATTCCTTGGTCCTTGCCGTTCTGGTCGATGAAGTGAAATTGGCGGAGCATACGGAGGAGGGAGAGGTGGGACCGGGCGTCATCGACGACTCGTTCGGATCCGTTCTTGATCAGGAATTCCAATAACGTGAGCGCCTTTTTAACCAGGTTAGTACTCTTATGTTTCTTTCAATCGATATGCGTACCTTGTAAATCTGGCGCCATTCCTCGGCGCTCTTATCTGTGAAGCGCTTGTAGATCATCGGCATGATCTCGTTCAGCAATTGACTATAGACAAAAACGCAAATCATTTGCCACGTCAGCCCATCTTTCGTGTTGGTAGACCCTCGGCGCGCAAGTTGAACCACCACCGGCGCCAACCCCCCCCCCCCGAGAATGATGTTTTTTTGTTTCACAACTGACTAGTTATGGGTCCCGTTCGCGATCTCCTGCATCAATGTGCTCGACGCACCCCAGGGCTCATTGTTCGTCGCTTCTCGAACCTAAGTTGATCCTCAGTTTCAGTGTTTGGGGGTTTCGAGCGCGGGGGGAGGGCCCAGAATAGACCGGTTAACCACCAACCTTCGACTCCATCTCCGTGTAATTCATCACCGCTTCACATGGTTAGAAGGCAGCTCAGTACAATGCGATCGCATCAAGCATGCCAAAGAAAAGCCTACCATTCTGAACCTTGCGGACTCCCGCCTTGAGATCATATAAAGTCAGGTTGCTGACCTGGTCCCGAAGACTCGAGAAATCCATCGCGGCAACAAGTCACAGGGATTCCTCAGGACACAATCAAATTGAAAGACCGATGAGGACGCGGGGAGGGTGTGGGAAGATGCAGAAGCGCACGAGGCACGATGAGATGGAGGGTTGAACTTGTGGTGGAGTGGAAGCAGGCGGAGTTTAGGGGAAGGTGGAATCGAATCGGGCATGACGGATCGTCACGTGGCAGGCTCCTGTCCAGTGTTTTGGGTAGGAAGTAATACAACTACAATAGACATACTTGGAGTAGGAAATGGACAACGATCGTCTATCTCGTTGAATTCATTGAGAAAGCGCTAGCTAATTACAGACATAGAAAACTCGTACCGAATCATTAAAGGAATTGATCATCAATAAACACATGGACAAGAGAGGTAATCGTATGGGCAAAAAGAATTCGCGTAAACAACCTGACCCGAGTCATCAGGGAAGAAAAGAAAGAAAAAAAAAAAAAAAGGGGGGGGGGGGGAGAGGGGAGGAAGCCTTCGCCTATCAATAGTCGTTGAGAAGAGAGTCATCGAAACTCCTCCTTATTCATTGTAGAATTTCCTCATGATGAGATGTAAGAAGATGTTGACGTTCACTCGGAGTTGGCCCTCAAAGAAGTCCAAGAACTGAGTATTGTTAAATTGGGCCTGTAGCAGATCGTCCAGAGGGACCTGTGCATTCGCTCCGGGGATCATCATGTTGCCGCTGCTGCCATCGATGGTGAAGACGCCGACCTCATTGCTGGAAATCGTCAGGTCGACTCGGTCCCACTGGCGTTCTGTGTAGCCCTTCCACTGGACCAGGACTCCCTTGTCGGCAAGGTTGCGAGCAGAGTACTTGTAGGACCCAAACTTGAAGACCTTGCCCGACTTGTGTAGCTCGCGCTGATGGTCCCATTGCTTGGTGAAGGGCAACAAAAACCGCTTCTTGCCCTTCTTGTTCTGCAACGTGATCATCGCTTGCTCAATGTAGTCGTTGTATGTCTTGAGTTGCTGGTCTAGGTATAGAGCTTGGTCGTTCAACCGGGCCAACGTCAACCGGGAGCCTTCGAGCTCTCGTGCTCGCTGGATTCGACGGCGATGTTTGGTGCGAATATCAATTGCGATAGCATTGAGCAGGTCCTGGTAATGGTTCTCTCGACTGATCTTGTGGGCTTGCTCCAACTGGAGAATGTTCTCAAGAGCCATTCGTTTCAGCTCCGCGTAACTCAGAGAGGCAATATCAACCAGGGTATTGGTTTCCGAGTAGGCCCGGCGTCGGGGGTTACTTGTGATCAACTCGTCACGGACCAACGTTCTCCATCTTTCCTCGTCCTCTGGAGTGAGTGGCTTGACCATAATCTCCCACAGATTGTCCCCAGTCTGAACTCGGATGATGAAAAGAACACAGCGTTTCGTTTCCATGAACAGGGCTTTGATGTCGGCTTCCGGATCTGGTGGGGATCTAAGTTAGCAGCGTGCATGCACAAAAAACATTGTTTTTTTTTAAAGAAAAAAAAATTAAGCTTACCTTCTGACTGTGCCAGCTTGGGATTCAAGGTTAGGTTGATTTCGGCGGAATTCACGCTCATCAGCTCGTTCTCATTCGTCTTGACATTGCCCAGGTCCCGAAGGACCTCTTTCAGAATGTCGTCAGTATTGGCGCAGATATACTGTATCTGGGAGTTGACAAGCTGGTGAATGGAGAAAATATCCGACATCTTGATGTATAAAGTAGGTTTCGTTTTTGCGTAAAGGTCATTGAATTCATCAATATCAAAGTAGGACTCGGCGTCTTGGACAGAGATCACTATCGGCGAGTCAGGTTTACAGCCTAGCATAGGTGCAAGATAGAAAAGGACAATAAAACTTACGGTTACCCCAGATTTGGCCGAGACGCTGGATGGATTCTCCAACATAGGTGTTAAGAGGTTGAAGATAGACGTTCTCGGCTCCGAAGAGCCTTCCAGAGGCTACTTGGGAAATCAGCTTGGAAATCTCTGCCAGGTTTCTCTTCTGCTCCTGGGTTAAACCCCGGTCGACCACTCCGTATTTCTCGGGCTCAAGCATCGCAGGGTGGAAGTAATTCTTCCAGACCCAGTGGCCCACCGTCTGCAGGACCAGCCCTGGATCTTCGTTGGAGAATCGGGAGAGGAGGGATTCATAAATCTGCTGCGCGATGTAGCGAACTCCAAAGGGTAAACGGTGCAAGGATTCTTCCAAAGCTGAGAAACACTGGTCGGCTATATCACGGAGGTCCTGTAGGTGCTGGATAAACATGGCCCGCGTTTCGGGGTCGCGGATGGCCTCTTCGTGAGGGATATCCGGTCGTCGGCGGCTGCGCTGGCCAGTGGAAAGCTCTTCGTTGCTGATCGCGGAGCGATAAATCTGCAGTGGATCGCTCTCGAGGTCCAATGCCGAGTTTTCAAGAACACACTCGCGCACCACCGTGCCCAGAACGTCACGCATAAACTTCCGGTCCCGAGGAGACTTGACGTAGGAGCCAAACAGTTTGGTCCAGAAGGAGTTGCAGCGCAGGTATTCTTGGATGGAGCTGAAGCAATCAATGTCCTCTCGGGCAGAGCGCACAAGAAGCTTGATCAGATAGTATTCCTCGCGTCTCTTCTGAGAATACCCAAAGAGGCCCATCATCAAGTGCCGAATTCGCTCGTACTCCTTCTCTGCCGTGTTCAACTCACGTAGCCTTCGGAAGAGACGTGCCAGGTACTGGGATTGTGTCTGCAAGAGGAAAAAGAACACCTGGTACTGTTCCAGCTTCCTCCTCGAGTTTTTGTTCAGTGCTTTGAGATCAAACGGATCCTTGGACGAGATGTCCTTGTTGGATAGCAAACTGCCGATGTGACCGCCAAAGTGTTTTTGATGTTTAACCACCTCGTCGAGTGTGATCTTGTTCTTAACCAGCAAGGCGATCTTGATGTCGAGTTGGCTGATATACTGTTCGGCCATTTCATTCTGTCGAACCTGCTGGACTACCAGCTTTCTCAGCCGCTCGGATTCGATTTCTTCATCGAAATCGAAATCACTGTCGTTGAGAAGATGGACAAAGCCTTTCACGGTTCCGACTGGCGGATTCTTGCCGGTCGTGAGACTCTTGTACGCCTGGCCTTGAATCCTACCACGAACGAAGCTCTGAACCTTGATGACTTTTTCCATGTTGGCCCTGTAGTACTGGCGTTTTTCCTCAAAACGGGAGCGAACGAGCATTCCTCGGATGCAGGTTTGAAGATCTAAAATCGTTTCCTCCTCTGCATCGAGGTCGCTCAGGACCTGTCCAACTTCCACCCGCACTAGCATAGCCCTTGCCAAAGCTTGGAGTTGAATGACCTCCTCCTCGCAGTCGTCCAGCTGGTGTAGAATGTCACCCGTTTCGATTCGAAGCACTGCAGCGCGGGCAAGGGACTGGAGCTCAACGATGATATGGTCTTGCTCTTGCAAGGCGGCAAGGTCGGCTCTAACTCGGTTTCGCAACATAAAGCCTCTGACCATCGACTGCAGATCCAGGATTGATGGCTCCTCTTTCGACAGCGCTTGTTGTTGAAGTTTGATCGACTCACGCACGGAATTGGCTCTTGAGATACTCTGGAGTAAAATGAATGATTCAGTGTGTTCAGAGAGATTCTTCCTGAGAGCAGAGACGGCCTCTCTGAGATAGGCTGCACGGGCAGCAGACTGTAAAGCTATCCAATCTTCATTTCTATCTTCAAGGGCTTTGAGCAGACGCGACTGGCGCTCGCGTACTCTGATGGCCCTAATCTGTGCCTGAAGGCAAGTGACCACGGCGTGTTCGCTCTCGAGAAGGTGTTGCATCTCCGAGACTGAATGTCGGGTAAGCATGCCTCGAACCAAGGCTTGAAGACGGGTGATCACAGTTTTTTCACTCGCGAGATGGTATTGCGTCTCTGAAACCGAATGCCGTGTAAGCATACCTCGAACATGGGCCTGAAGGAACTGCATGAGATTGCCAGTCTTTTCCATGTTACCCTGCTGGGCACGTAGTTGTTTTCGTTTCATAGCACCTCGGATCAAGGCTTGCATCTTCTCGACCTCTTTCTCGGCATCCCTGGTCTCCTCCACTTGGTCGAACACCATCTTTCGTAAGAGAGCGCCCCTAATGGCGGCTTGCAAGAGTCTGAGTTGAGGCTCCGAGTTGGCAGTCTCGTGACGCTGGTTCGAAAGACGTTGGCGTTGCAAGGCGCCTCTTAGAGCTGCCTGGATGGACTTGACACCGGCCACCTCTCTTTGCATGTGATGTTGAATTGTCTTCGTCTCAGATCTGGCTTTGGCGCCACGAATAAGACTCTGGAGGAGCAAGATGTCGGATTCTTGTGCCGTTCGCCAGCTTCGGTCGGCGGACTGGCGAGAGCGAACGACAAAACCTCTGCATATTGCCTGGAGATCAATAGCGAAGTGGCGCATATTCAATCGATACCGGACAATCTGTCGGGCCCAATCTCCACGCAGTCGCGCCTGCAGCTCGACCAACATGGGTTCGAACTCCCACAGCTCGTTCATCACATTGCCGAGTTTGAGCCTGAGGATGGCACCTCGGATTTGCGACTGGAAGTCCGTGATCGATACCTCATTCTCATGCAGTTCTCTCTCGATGCGATCCTCTTCTGACTCAACCGGCTCTGGTTCCGGTTCCGGTTCCGGTTCTGGTTCTGGTTCTGCTCCAAAGTTGGCGGCCATTCCTGCAAAGCTGGGCATGCTAACACCCGCCTTGTCCAGACCTTTCTGAGTCTCTTCGAGTTCGTGGTGTTCGAAAACAAGCTGGCCAACAAGATTGCCCATTCTGAAATCGACGATCCCTTTCTTATAAAGCAGCCATGACAGGGCATGGATGCAGTGGATGACCTTTGGTATGTTTTTCTTTTCATACAGATCGATGAGCTCAAAGCGGAAGAGCTCCGGCAGTTCGACCTCGTCTAGGAATCGAAAGAACAAAGCAATGTTGTCGGAGTGCCGATACGTCAATTTGGGGCTCCTGAAGATCCGAAACGTCCGGTTTGGGTACATGGCCTGGACGACCTCCGCTAGTGTGACGCCGTCGCGGAGAGCCTCTTCGAGCTGGACAATAGGCGGGATGGTCTGGTGAATCACTTCTTCAATCCACTCCTTTGCTTCACCTATATGACACAGATACTCATATGCCTGTAAAAACTGCCGTTGCTTGTCCATCCAAATCCCAGCGGACCAGGACGAAACACTGGGTCGCTGTGCTATGTGCTTTCCATAAGGCACCGCAACAGAGTCGGCGCGCTTCAGTCGGCGTCTGCCTTGAAGGCCGATCACAGACGTCGTTGCGCCCCCCAGTGCCAGTTCTTCGCCCTCTCCCGACTGCGCAAACCTCGACAGGGTGCGGAGATGGCCGGTCGATGATTTCTGGAAGGTTTCGAGTTCCGGTGTGGACCAGGTGGCGGTCAGCGGCGGAGGCTGAGGATTCGACAAACTATGCGAGTGCTGCGGTCGGACCCGTGGCGATTGAGCACGAGGGGAGACGGCGTGAGGGGATTTCGGCAGCGGCGAACCATGACGCGGAGGGGTCTGCGGTGCACTCGGATTACCGGGGGATGCGATATTTTCCTGGCGATCGGCCCCCCGGTATTCTGGAGTCTGCGGACGCTTGTCCTTCCAGTGATGAGTATCATCGACGGTATGGCTCCTTGAATGACGGAAACTCGCGGGTTGTTGTTTCGTGACCGGTGGAGATGAGACATTCGGGGCCTGTGACAACGGCCGTAAAGACCGCCGGATATTCTCATATGTTGCCGCTGCGTTCGCAGCGGGGGGTCCAGAGACCATGGCGCCTAGTTCACTCTTGCCTCGCTTATGGCTCAGATTGTGCTGTAATGGCCCGACCGATGACGCATTCGAGGAGACAGTGCTTGTGCGGCTCGGGACTTGCGAAGTGGACGACAGGGAGTAGATTGAGGAGGTAGTTGACGCGTTCGAGCCATGGCGAAGCGGACTCGGTGCTGAAGCTGGAAGATCTGTCTGCGTTTTTCGGAGCGAGGGAAATTGGGTCGACATTATTGAAGTTATCTCGTACTCAGGAATGCACGATTAGGTGGAATTATAAAGCTGTCGGGATCAATTGGCCGCATACCTGCTTCTGAGCGAAGCAGCGTCTAGACAAGAAAAAAAAAAAAATAAGGTAAAGGAAAGAGAAAGATCAAGTGTTGTTGCGGAGGTCAGACTGTGGCGGAATGCTGAATCAAGGGAGTCTCTGCATTGCCTGGTGGGCAGGGAATGGAGTCACTCTGCCTCCCTCGTGCTGGGGGAAAGGAGGGGTTCAAGAAATAACGAACACGACGCAGGCCTGCTGTGTGAGCTATCTCTCTCTCTCTCTCTCTCTCTCTCTGCTTGCTTGTTGTCCTAGACAGCGCTACTGCAGACCATGCTCCAGCAAAAGATGATGACTATCGGCTGTTGATGGTGGGGAGGGATCGACCGCTCAGGTTGGCCCCTTCGGGAAGGAAAACAAATCTCCAGAAAGGGCAGCGTTGCTTAGGTAACCAGGGCGGCCTGGCTCAGCTGGCGTCGATCGTGTGGCGCTGAAGTCGCACGTGATCGGGCTGGGCATGCCGCATATGATAGTGAGGAGATCTGGCAATAGAAGTAAGTGTTTCTAGATTTGATTTCTGTAGTACTATTTAATAACATGGTTATAAATCACTAGTAACTAACTACATGTCACCGCTAGTTAACTAGGTAGTAGCTACCTAGAGGTTATCTACAGCTGAAGTTCTGTACACTACCAGTATATATATATACCCATGACTCCTAATTATCCTAAACTTATCCTATTCGCAATGTTATTTGACTATTCTCTACTCTATTCCTGACTTGAGTGGTCCTAGTCTGCGTATCTATGCAGGACAGCATCCACGAAGCTGTCGACCGAATCGCGTTAGTGTGGGGTGGGGGTGATGCACAACATTCGGTACAGAGTAGACTTGGGACTTAGGACTACTAGACTGAATAATAAATAGAGACAAGCAACCAGTGGGACTCTTCGAGAAGGCCCCTTTCTGCAAGGTACAATGGCGGAAACAGCGGACCCTCGCTACGTTTACAAACTCGTCCCCTCCACCGCGCCAGTGGCCGACCCAGTACCGGACCAACTGCCCGTCAGCGAGCTCGACCAGACATCGGGATTTTTCCATCTCTCCACCGCGAAACAGGTCCCCAACACGCTCAAGATCTTCTTCAAGAACGAGCCGCGTGTGTATGTCCTGCGCATCGAATACGAGCCGATAAAGGGCCAGATCCGGTGGGAGTCTCCCGACGGGGAAGTCTGTGGTCCGCGGCCTGGCGAGGGGTTGTTTCCGGTGAGTACACTTGCTGTTCCTATCATGTATCCATTAGCTGCGATGGGATGGTCGACTGATTGCATGGCGCAGCACCTCTATAATGGATTCAGACTCGGGAGAAAGGAAGTGGAAAGCGTGGCGGTGTGGGATAACCAAGGTGGATGGGATAAAGCACTAGCAGGAGCAGAGGACTGGTTGCTCTACTGAGCTGTCCTATATTTATTTCAAGTCGCAGATACATGACGGTTCTGAGTAGTATATCTCTATATATATATATGAAGTTCTAGAGGCTACTTAATGATTCATTGTCATCAATCATATTATTCACTAGAGTAGTGAAAAACCAGTTCTCTATACACAGACTTGGCTGTATTTCTTGCTTGATCTGAAACTTCTAATTCCCTAGCCAACTTGTAGAGGCACTTGAAGGAAAGTAAAGAATGCAAGACAGAGATAGAGGTCATGGCAGCGTAGAGAATTGCTACCTCTATGCGTTGGTTGCCATGAGATCAAAGAGGAAGAGTCGCGAGCAACTTCTTGATCTCAGCCGGAAGGTTGTCCCGGGATACCAATGAACCCTCCTTGTCAGGGTGGCCTTCGGGCAAACCGAGAATCTTCAGCTTGACATTCCCTGCGGCCAACTCGTCCTCTCCGAGAATCACGGCTAGTGGGACGCCACCAGCTTCAGCCAGCTTGAACTGCTGGGGAAGTCTCGGCTTGACCGAGGGGGCAAATTCGGCCTTGATGCCCGCTTCCCAGAGCTGATTTGCCACAGCCATTCGCTCGGGAAGGAGACCAGTGAATCCCTTTCCACCAAAAGCCATGATGAAGACGTCCACCTCGCTGGACCGCACAACAGCAGTACCCTCCTTCTGCTGCTTCTCCAATCGCTGCTTCATAATAGTGAAGATACGGTCAACGCCAAACGAGATGCCGACGCAGGGAATCTGGCGTTTCTTGCTGAACATGTTGACCAGGTTGTCATACCGTCCACCGGCAGCAATGCTTCCCACTCCCAGCGTGGGGTCATCCGACCGGTCCTCATCGTTGTCACCGGACTTTTTAGGTTTGTAAGATGACTTCTTCGAAGGGGCAAAGTCGTCGGGGGGCGAGAGAGCGGTGACAATCTCAAAGATGACGCCGGTGTAGTAATCTAAACCTCGGGCCAGGGAAAGATCGAACGAAATCTTATCTGTCACGTTGAAGGCATCCGTATAACGGAATAGGAGTTCCATCTGCTCGAGACCTTTGCTAACATCTTCGTTGGCACAGATATGAGCATCCGCCTTGAGAGTTTCCAAGAGATCCTTGCCGCCGTTGAGCTTGACATATTCACCGATCTTATCGGCAACTTCTGGTGCGAGTCCCTTTTCTTCCATCTCGGCCTTAACTTCAGCCCATGGCAGCTATTACGCAGATCAGACTTTGATTGGCAAGCAGTAGATGTCTTTTGACGACGTACCTTGTCAAGCTTATCAACAGCCGAGCTGATAGAGCGTGTCTTGTCTTCAGGCACTCCAGCAACGGCGAACAGACCATCCAAAATCTTTCTGTGGTTGAGCTTGATGGTGATATCGTCACGAAGACCCAGCGCCTCAAACACCTCCACAATTATACGAAGAATCTCGGCGTCGGGAATCATCGGATCGTAGGTACCGGCAATATCGAAATCACACTGGTAAAACTCGCGCATGCGGCCTTTTGCCACCGCCTGTTATTTGTTGGTTAGCCGACAGACAGGAAGCTTCAAGGGACAGAGAAAAGAGAAAATAAAAGGACTTGCCGGCTGATCTCTCCGATAGACCTTGGCAATGTGATACCGCTTGAGGTGTTGTACTGACGAGTTCATAGCCAGCCAACGGGCAAGCGGCACAGTCAAGTCGTATCGTAAGGCGCAATCCTCTCCACCTTGGTCTGCGAGATCGTAAATGAGACGCGAATCTTCTCCGTATTTGCCAGCGAGGATCTCTTTCAGTTCGAACACGGGGGTGTCGAGTTGTGTTCCACCATGGCGTTTGAATACCTCAGTGATCTCCTTGAAGATCTTGTCACTGTCAACACCGATGAGTATGCCAATGCGTATTTATTTTGCTTTTCCGAGATCGAGAGTTACCGTAGGATCATGTCAACGCCCATCCCTTTGCGATTGTTAGCTCTGCACACGACCATCTGGCCTCCAGGAACTCACAATCTCTGGTCCCCTTGGGAGTCTTGAGCTGAATGCTCAGCTTGCTCGCCTTCCCCTCCTTCCCCTCCTTTCCTTCCTTCCCTTCCTTTCCCACCATCTCTGATTTAGCTGGTCGGAGTGGTAAAGTCGACATGGAAAGATATTGCCCAGGGGTGCAGCTTCTGGTTTGTGGTGTCCAACGAGGGCGGGGCGCACTTCGACAGGTGCAGATGCTGAGGTCACGGAGCACCTTATAAGGAGGGGCCCCAAAAAGACGCATGAATGGCAAAATCACCAAATGGGGGGTAATCGAGCAGGCGGGAAAAAGTTTTCACATGGCAATGAGTCAATCAGGTTCAGGCACGAGCCACAGCGGGGAACAGCCACAATACTCGTAGTTGCCTGAGGCATACAGCGAGGGGCAAAAAAGCTCTACATCCTTCATGTCTCAGGCAACAATCAGCACCCCATTGCACCAACACCTAACCAATCAGGTGTACTAATGTAGCATTATCCTGAGCCAAGCCTCGTTTACCAACCAATCAGTGGGCATAGTGCACCGCCAGTGGAGCTAAACTCTTTCTAGAAAGGTATCTGCCGTGGGTACAAAAGTAGCAATTTTCTCGCGCTCCCAAATTTTTTTCTTCTTCTTTTCTTTGGGAAAGGAGGCCTTTCCCCATCAGCAGTCTGTTCAACTGTTGATTAATCTTTTTTTATCTACGACTCACTCTACTCTTTGAGATACATCAGTGGAGTTTATTTCTTCTCTCACGTTACGATGAAGGCCGAAATCCAAGACCACACCAAGGCCCTGGAGGTTTTGAAGGAGTACAAGACCCAAGATGGTCTTGATGTTGATACTCTCCTGGACTCCGATAAGCACGGAGCCCTGACCTACAATGATTTCCTCATCCTTCCGGGCTATATCGGTATGATAGGTTTCCGTGTGAAGAAGTTTCCAGGAGACCTAGTACTGACATGGAGGACCTAGGCTTTGCCGCCTCTGAGATCGCTCTTGATAGTCCCATTACCAAGCGTATCACCTTGAAGGCGCCCCTTGTGTCGTCTCCTATGGACACTGTCACTGAGCACAACATGGCCATCCACATGGCTCTGCTTGGTGGTCTGGGTGTCATCCACCACAACTGCTCCCCGGAGGACCAGGCCGAGATGGTCCGGAAGGTGAAGAGATATGAGAACGGGTTCATCTCTGACCCTGTTGTTCTCTCTCCTACCGCCACTGTTGCCGACGCCAAGGAGCTGAAGGCCAAGTGGGGATTCGGTGGTTTCCCTGTGACTGGTAAGACTCTTCTTCTTTTCCATTGCATATTTCCAAAATCTCGTGATGATTACCCTCTTTCTTCATATAACTTTCGTTCCACTGGAGCGACGAGAGTCGCGTTGTAGAGAACCAGATTTTATCTGATGAGATTTTTCGCCATGCTTGCTCAATGGTCGATTCTTTTACACATTCAAAATCAAAAAACGTTTTCTAACATTGATTTCTGATTATAGAGAATGGCACTCTTCGTTCCAAGCTCATCGGAATCATCACCACCAGAGACATCCAGTTCCATCCTAACCCCGAGGACCCCGTCACTGCCGTCATGGCAACCGACCTTGTCACCGCCCCCGCTGGCACCACCCTCGCCGAGGCTAACGATGTTCTTCGTAGCTCCAAGAAGGGCAAACTCCCCATTGTTGACGAGAACGGCAACCTGATCTCTCTTCTGTCTCGCTCCGACTTGATGAAGAACCTTCACTACCCTCTGGCCTCGAAGCTCCCCGACTCCAAGCAGCTTATCTGTGCTGCTTCTATCGGAACTCGTGACGAGGACAAGCACAGACTCCAGCTGCTCGTCAACGCTGGTCTTGATATTGTGATCCTGGATAGCAGCCAGGGCAACAGCATCTACCAGATCGAGATGCTGAAGTGGGTCAAGGAGACCTTCCCTAAGCTTGACGTCATTGCTGGCAATGTTGTGACCCGTGAACAGGCTGCTTCCCTGATTGCTGCTGGTGCCGATGGCCTGAGAATTGGCATGGGTAGCGGTAGCGCTTGCATCACTCAGGAAGTCATGGCTGTGGGTCGTCCCCAGGCTCTTGCCGTGCGCCGCGTCGCGCAGTTCGCTTCTCGCTTCGGTGTCCCCTGTATTGCCGATGGCGGTATCCAAAACATTGGCCACATCGTCAAGGGTCTGGCTATGGGTGCCTCCACTATCATGATGGGTGGTCTCCTCGCCGGTACCAGCGAGTCTCCTGGCGAGTACTTCGTGAGCAGCGAGGGTCAGCTCGTCAAGGCTTACCGCGGCATGGGTTCCATCGCCGCTATGGAGGATAAGAAGGCCGGCAAGGGAGGCAAGGACAGCAAGGCCAGCAACGCTGGTACTGCCCGTTACTTCTCGGAGAAGGACCGCGTCCTTGTCGCCCAGGGTGTTGCGGGCTCTGTTCTGGATCGTGGCTCCATCACCAAGTTCGTTCCTTACCTCATCACGGGTGTCCAGCACTCGCTGCAGGATATTGGTGTGCGCAGCATTGATGCGCTCCACGAGGGCGTTGACAACGGCACTGTCCGCTTCGAGGTCCGCAGCGCCAGCGCTATGGCTGAGGGTAATGTCCATGGCCTGCACAGCTATGACAAGAAGCTCTACGTTTAAGCGCGCTTCCTTCGTCCTTTTCTTTTCTTTTCTTTTCACGTATAAATTTCCGATTCATATGATGTTACGGACCATATCTAAAAATGAAAATGGGGGCCTGTGACTAGGCAAGGAGTTTTATAGTACAGAGTTTGAATTCAATGAAGTGGATAGTTCTATTACTACAGAATTTAGTCGTCCCCATTAGAATATGTATAAGATGAAGCTTCACGTCTTCAAAAACTCCATCGCGTCCTTTGACCAGGAACTATGACGTGATTGAATGTATTTGAAGACAGCTGAAGTTCCATATTCAAAAAGGTATGGATAGCTTTACATACTGCCATTCTAATAGTATGGGTATTGTTTCCTGAGAGAACCTTGCCCAACTGTGCTTGCCAGCTGCATTGCTTGCCAGCTGCATTCTTCACTTGAGCACGGGCTCTTCCCGTCGATCTGCGTTCTTCGGCTGGGGGTTGGACCTAGGTTCGACGTCTGTTAACTACCCCGCAGACTGGTTTATAAATCATCCTTGGGCGCTCCGACTATTGCATTATCATTCTGAAAGTGATGAGCTCAGCGTTCTTTGTTCCGATACGCTCTGCCTGGTCGTTAAGATACCACACAGCCGGACCGCCGTTGCGACGACACGGCACGCCGCAAGGAGTTATTCAAGCACCGTGTCGACAGTTCCTGCTGCAGAGGACATATTATTATTCGACAGGTTCTGGGCTCGAAAATTCCCCAACAGCCAGTATGCCGAACAATACAAGCTCGAAGTCGAAGAAGCCAGCGATTCCCAGGCCCAGCGCCAGGTTAGCGACCGAGCCATCTTGAACCCTGCAGATGAAAAATATCGGAAGTAGGACTCTAATAATTATCATATGGCGACAGCGTGATACTGGTCTCGCCTAGGAACGAGATTCTCCTGCTCCACCGTGTGCAGACGTCTTCGTCCTTCCCCTCAGCCCATGTCTTCCCTGGAGGCAACCTGTCGTCGCAAGACGGCGATCTACCCAGCATAGACGATCCTAAAAGACACGATGATGCACCGTGCTACCGACGTGGTGCACTCAGAGAGCTGTTCGAAGAGAGCGGGATCCTCCTGGCAAAGGAGGGCTCTTCGTCACGAATGCTAGCCGTCAGTGAGACTGCCAGACAACACGGACGACGGGCAATCCATCAGCAGGAGGTGACATTCGAACAATGGCTTAAATCACAACATGCAGCTGCTGAGCCAGATACAGGTGAGCTTCGTTTTTTTTCTCTTTTTCTCACTGTCTTGAACGTAACGCTGTACAGCAGTTTTAACAAAATAATTGTCAAGAGTCGTTGATACCATTTACGCACTGGATCACTCCGATCAATAGCCCGAAAAGGTACACTACGCAAATGTATCTCTATATGTTACCTTTTCCGCAGGAACTGGACCGGCAGCTGCTGGGCGATGTCTTGGTCGAGGGCCAACAGGAAGCCGTTCAAACCCCTACTGATGACGGTGGCATCGAGGTTACAGAAGCCCGATTCTTACCTGCATCCGAATGGCTTCGGATGGCGCGCAGCGAGGAGGCCATTCTATTTCCTCCACAGTTTCTGCTGCTTCACCTAATATCGCAGTTCCTCGACCGAGACCCAAGACCCGTCGAGTCAGTGGAGGAGCTGAAGAAGCGGAGAACAGAGCTGGTCGAGTTTGTCCACTCGGGGAATCCACCATGGACACACAAATTCATCTCGCCGAAGATGCTCAAGATGTCCCAAGACGGACGCAGCGTGCTGGCGCTGGATGACCCGGGGCCAGAGCTGAAGGGGAGCGACAAGAAGGGGGATGCAGACCTCGTTATCGTTGTTCGATTCCAACGGGAAGGAATGCAAAAGGGAGGGAGTCCACGAGAGGTGGACGTAGTTTCCAGGAGTGATGTATTTCGAGAGACTAAGATATAACCAAGCAATTACTCTCTGTGTACTTGTAACTTGAGTCTATTGAGTCTGTTAAAATGCCAGTTAATGCCACGCCCTTTACATAAGCAAAATTGCTCTGTGCACGGATTAGGCGACTCGGCCACGCACCGCGACAAGCCCTCGATAAAAGGTCACATGACCCACACAAACCCGCCGAACTTTGGTCCTCAGGTCACGCTTTTCACGACTGTCCGCCCCGATCTCCCGCCTCAGCGCATCCTCGTCTCTTCCACCGTCGTCAACCCCCCCCCCCAAACCTCTAACTACCGTCATCATGGAGAACGAAAAGGGAGAGATCGTTGATCTGTACGTGATCCTAATTCAGTGAAATCGAAGATTGACTTGGGAGACTTTTGATTGAAGAAGAAGAAGAAGAGAAGAAAATGTGCTAATTCTCGCAGCTACGTCCCCCGCAAGTGCAGCGCCACCAACCGCATCATCAAGGCCAACGACCACGCCTCCGTGCAGATCTCCATCGCCAAGGTTGACGAGAACGGTCGTTACACCGGCGAGAACCAGACCTATGCCATGTGCGGCTTCATCCGTGCCCGTGGCGAGAGCGACGACTCCCTGAACCGCCTCACCCAGCGTGATGGTTACCTCAAGAGCGTCTGGAGCGCCAGCCGCCAGCGATAAACGGCGAATTAAAATGAATCGAAACATATGTATGTTGACCAGAAGAAAAAAAAAAAAAGGAAACGCTGTTTGATCGCTACAGTTTCTGATGGTTATAGACCACCACGACCGTTGACGGATCGCATCGCGGAAGGGGGATTTAGAAAAATAAAAAATTAACCGTTGCCTTACTTATCGGAGTTCCGAGATGTCTCTCTCTGTTTTATTGAAATGAGAATGGAATCGACCTTGGGGTCCGACGTTGGGTCCTAAAAAACCCGTCCCGCACGACTTATTCTCACGAATAAACCTGCTGGTCTCTTGGCCCAGGTAGATATATTTATTTCTTTTTCCCTCGTACGGTGTATACTCGCTATCTCTTGAAAGAGACCGGCGCATCAAGGCTTCCTCGTTCTGGCATATGGACCGAGTCGTCAGATATCGGGACGATGCCTTCTTCTATGAGCGGGGAGGTAGAAAAAAGTATTATCCAGCCGAATATTAAGACGTAACTTATTCGTGCCCGCCTTCTGAAGAGCCACTGCCGCAAAGAGATGCGCTGGGGCACAGATACGGGTGGGACATTTGGTAGTTAGGTATACTATAGTTCAACTATTAAGACCAAGGTTCCTGTTCTGTACTCATTTTTCTGCTCATATCTATCATCTCCATGACTCGTAATGCTATGGCTAGTGATTTTTTTTTTTCGAACAGTAGGCTCCCGTGAAACCAAGCTCAACAGGCAAGGAAGTCCAGTCCCCCCCCCTCTAGTCCTTCTCCAGACGAACGGCGGGATTGGTCTCCACGAAGTTGAGATCGACCTTGTGGCCGAGGAGTTCTCGGATATTGCTTACGCCGTACCTTTTAAGTAGTTAGTGAAACTTGCCTGCTAAAATATGAGGGAACAGAGGGGAAAAAAAGAAAGAGAAAACCTACTTGATCATGGTTGGTCGTTCAAGACTCAATCCCCAGCCGTAGACTCTCATGTCCTTCGGGAGACCCATGGGCTCCAACATCTCCGGTCTGAACATGCCACTGTTACCAATCTCCACCCACTTACCGAGGCCTTCATGGTAGCCGAAGATTTCCATGCTGGGCTCAGTATAAGGGTTGTAGGCGGGCTTGAAGCGGAGCTGGTGGATGCCCATCTTGGCGAAGAAGACTTCCATGAAGCCGATGAGACCGCCGAGGGTGAGGCCGAAATCAGCGATCACGCCCTCGACCTGGTGGAACTCGGCCAGATGGGTTGCGTCGACGGCCTCGTTACGGAAGACGCGGTCGATGCTGAAGTAGCGGGCCGGTCGCGGGTTGGCCGCCAGCTTGTGCAGCACGTACGTCGACACGGACGTGGTGTGGGTACGGAGGACGAGGCGCAGCGACTCATCTGCGCTCCAGGGGTAGCGGTAACCTATGGAGCCGTACTTGCCGGACTCGTGGACCTGTCGGACGTTGTCCCAGTAGCCCTTGTAGTCGAGGGCTTTCTCTGTGGTCGCCTTGGACGACGCCGGCTGCGCAGACTTGAGCCGGTGCGGATCGTCGAGCGGATCTTCACGCGGCGGGTCAGCCTTGGCCGGGTCGGAGATGTAGAAGGTGTCTTGGAGATCACGGGCCGGGTGCTGTTGCGGCACGAACAGGGCGTCGAAGTTCCAGAAGCCCGTCTCGACGAAGCGGTTCGTCGGCATCTCCTCGAAACCCATCTCGAAGAAAATGTTGCGGAACTCCTGTCGCACCTTGTTGAGGGGATGTAAGGCACCAGACGGGGTCAAGGCCCCCTTGGCCTTGAAGTTGTATGGCTTGAGCTGGGCCGTCTTCCACGACCCGTTGGCCAGCATCTCTGCCGTCAGATCCGTCTCCTCCTTGACGAACTCACGAGCGAATTTGGGGCCCTTGGAGATCTTGAAGGAGATGACCTTCTGCAGGGCAATGAGCTTTCGCCGCTTCAGGTCGGTGACAGCCTTCTGGTCGTCCAGCGCCTGGGTGCGCTTGACCGTGAGCAGGAGCTCCCGGGTCTCGTCCACGATCGAGTGCGTCGTTGCCCGGAGAACATCCTTGTCCTTTTTAATCCATCCCCGCTTGAACGCATTTCCCTGGCCGATTTTGGCGTTGTCCTTGCCGACAATGCCGGGCAGGTCCCCGATCTTCAAGCCGTCCAGAGCAGCGACGACGGCCTCGAAAACCTTGGCCTCGTGGCTTCCATTGGTGGCAATCTCCTCGCCCTCGTCTGTCAGGACAACCACCTCTTTGTCGATCGTCTCGTATTCCACCATCGATCGTGAGGCTAGGCGGTCAAGCGCACTTTTGATAGACAATGAGGGGGTGGAGGGGAAGGCTTCGCTTGAGAGAATCGCCGCCTCGGACGCAGACAGAGCGTCCAGAATCGGAGTGGTCATATCGGAGGCCATAGTTGCAGTCGTGGGCCACAAACTTGAAGCCACTGAGAACGCAGAATCGAAGCGAGACTGGTGACCGGGTTTGCGGTTTCTCCTTCAGATTTCGAATTATGACTCCGTTTGGACTTTCGATACGGCGCGGCGGAGAGACCAGCCCCGCGGTCCCGTGACCTGGGCGTTACCCCTCGTTTATCGACCCGATAAGAGCTTCATTACAAGAAGTTACGAACTGCTTCATACCATTCAGCAGGTTTTGTGGCTTATATTATTGGAAAAGATATCGAAACCAGCTGGAATATGAACAGCCGGTGTCACCGCATTGTGCCAGTCTATCTGTAGTCCCCATCTCCTCATTATTATCCTCGTCAAGTCTCTCTAACCTCCGTGCGAAATCTCCTAGGGGTGATCTCTCTACCACTGGTTTCGAAATGATTGAAAGATCAATTTTGTCTTGGGCCGGAGGAGACCCCTACACCTATTGATGCACCGGCCTTGACCATGACGTTGACGTACATTTGCTAGATCGACAGAGATTATCACTGCCAGGGATGATAGGAGGGAAGCAGGGGCCATCTTCATTTATATAAAGCTGTGATTGTTGCACAAAAAAGAAAGCAAAAACCATGAACACCCTTGACTGCCGATGGGGTTGGTTTTCACTACATATACTGACAGCGTTGGGCCTGCTGTTCTACCTGTTACAACAATGGGACAGCATGTCAGGTACATGCCGAAGAGAGAAAAAAAAAATACAGTGAGATAAGGCATCGACAGACTCTAGTTACGTACAACTACATCATTTGAGATTCAAGCCGGACGGCAGGGCCTTGACGCTTGAGCACGCAGCGAATAGGAGTAAACAACCTGCAAAACGACAGCAAAACCTGCCTTTTCCTTCTTATCATCTGACTCTCCGACAGTCGTACAGAAAGGCGGGGAAACCCAGTCATGGCGATGATCTTACGCACTACGCACTACGCAGTACATTTGGGACGGAATGAATACTACATACGGACTTGGAGTTGAGACAAGCGGCTCAGCGTCAAGTCGAAGCGTTTGGGACGGAGTACTCTGGAGTCTTATAAAACCTTATTCTCCAGAATACTGACTAACTAATTGCTATTAACTATTACCTATTGACCGAATGAGTCTAAAGTCAGAAGTACCCATGGTTTTACCTTTTACAGGCTTTGTTCTTGCAAAAAGGGGGATTATTTTCCGCCATGTGTTGGACCCCCCACATCCACCACACAATAATAATACTCTGATTCTTGAGGATCAGCGAAAGCACCGGTGGATGTGATGGACACGACAGGATATGGCGAGTGTGATAGCCACGGTGAGTGGACTCCCGACTGAACACTGAACGCCGAACAATACCAATACTAAAAGAATAATCCTAATCCCGGTGGACACTGGACACCGGCACAGAGCAAAGAGTGATAGGACGGGGAATACCCAATAATTACCCATCCGTGTTCTAGTGTGGTGGGCCATTGGCAGTGGTACAGAAGTACTCTCCGTACGGAGTACCTTAGCACACACCGTTAGACGGGCGCCAGACACCGAACAAAGAGATCAGATGAATAATTCTTCCACGAGGAAGCCTGATAATCCAGTGGGATTCTGTCTAGAAGCGCTGTCGAGGATCCAGGGTAACCTTACTACCTATAGTAAGTGGTCTATCGTCCCAACGAAGGAACAATTAACTTGTACCTACCAAGGTCCTAATGTACTCCAAGATCAGTCAGTAGTTAACTAGTTAACTAGTAGACTCAGTACTCCGACTCCGTATGCATGTACGAAGATGTGTGTGTATCCCCAGAAATACCGGATAGCCTCACCGCAGACAGAGTTATATACGAGTCCTATGTAGTTAGTATACGTACTAGATACGAGATGAGTTCAAATAACCAGAATCTCTTAAAGCATCTAGTCTATCGATTAATTGGCCATACTAAGAATATTATTACTGTGGAAAAGTTCGGTTTTTTTTCTCTCTTCCTAATCAACCTCCACTGTTCTCCGATCGCCACCGCTCAAGTGGGCATTGGACAAACTCCCAGACTCGGACCCAGGGAAACCCCTACGCAGGACGAACCACCGGGAGCTGGGACTCTCTGCTAAGAAATACCTTTGTCCGAGCTAAGGATCTGAGCTGCTGTTGCTGCTGCTGCTGCTGCCACGGCCACGGCCACGCTGCTCAGTGTTAGGAGGAGAGGAGCTCTTCCTGAGCGAACTAGTTGGTTGTTACTAAGAGACCGACTGGGTTTCTCCGTTTTCCCTCCCAGCGTCGACTCTCCTCCTCCTCTCTTCCTCTCATTCTTATCTTCCTTTTTTCTCGCTTCCCTCCCAGATCCTTTTTCTTTTCTTTGCCTTTTTTTTTTTTTTTGAACACCCCCTACCGTCGGGTTTACCCCGTGCTGTTCTTTTCGCCATTTCCTTCCCTCCCCCCCTTGTCTATTGACGTTTTTGGCTTCCCCTCCTCTGTCTGTGCTGTCCGACCAGCCTGGTCGTCCCCCCTCCCCCCCCTCCCTCTCTCGACGGTTTCGAAGACGTCGACAAGTTAAACCCGGTTGTCCATCGTATATTCATTCTTCGCCTTCGTTCTAGACGCTCCATGTCGTCGTAACAGCATCGCTCAGTAACACGACGTCCACAACCCTCCCCCCCGTCAGGTCAGTTACGTCCTCGAGATGCGCCATCCGATACCCCTACCTCGCTTGGAGTGATCGCCGCACAATCCATTTTTCCATCTATTCATCCATCTATATATCTGTTTGCAAACCTGACTGAGTTGCTGCAGGGCACAATGGCCGCCGCGGACGAAACGTTGGTGGCCGCCACGGCCATCCTCAAAGGTCTTGCCCGTGAAGTCCCCGGGGCCGGTTCCTCGTCTCCTCCCTTCGACTTTGTCCCGTCGATCAACGGCTACGGCCCCAAGACGATCCGCTTGCCGGGTCTTGCCTCGCCGGCCAAGGCTGCCTTTGAAAACGAACTCGAGGCCTTGATCCGCCGTGTCCACCATTTGGAGTTCCAAACTGTCAGTCTCCAACCTTTCCCCGACCACCCCCCACACCACCATCCATCTGCCGCCCGTCTGGAGGCCAGGGAGGCGGACTTCCTGTACTCCTTTGGTCTTGCTCGCTTGTCGTCAGGTCAAGTTTCTGACTCTTCTTCTTCCACCAAGCAGCAGCAAAGAATCCGCCCCAATCGCCGCCCGCGGAAGCCGCGCACCGCCACCACCTCCACCAAAGGGTCCACCGATCGCGACCCGCAAGAGGAGGACGAGCCGGAGGAAGTGGAGGACGAGGAGGAGGAGGAGGAGGAGGAGGATGATGATGAGGAGGACGATGATGACGACGAGGCGGCCGGCTCGGGCACCCGCCTAGTGCGTGAAGAAGATATCAGCTACCTGCGCAATCATGTGCAGAAGCAGGCCGAAGAGATCAGCTTCCAGAAGGACATCATCGCCCAGGTCCGTGATGAGCTACTGCAGCAGGAGGAACACACCCGTCGCGCATTGACCAAGGTCGAAAACGAGGACGTCGTCCTGCTCGAACGCGAGCTCCGCAAGCACCAACAGGCCAACGAGGCCTTCCAGAAGGCCCTGCGCGAAATCGGCGGCATCATCACCCAGGTCGCCAACGGTGATCTCTCCATGAAGGTCCAGATCCACCCGCTGGAGATGGACCCCGAAATCGCCACCTTCAAGCGCACCATCAACACCATGATGGACCAGCTCCAGGTCTTTGGAAGCGAGGTCTCCCGTGTCGCCCGAGAGGTCGGTACCGAAGGTATCCTCGGCGGCCAGGCCCAGATCACCGGCGTGCATGGCATCTGGAAGGAGTTGACGGAAAACGTCAACATCATGGCCAAGAACCTGACGGATCAGGTGCGCGAGATCGCCGCCGTCACCACCGCCGTCGCCCACGGCGACCTGAGCCAGAAGATTGAGAGTCGCGCCCAGGGTGAGATCCTTGAACTCCAGCAGACCATCAATACCATGGTGGACCAACTGCGCACCTTTGCTACCGAGGTCACGCGTGTCGCCCGCGATGTCGGCACCGAAGGTGTTCTGGGCGGGCAGGCACAGATCGATGGGGTGCAGGGCATGTGGAACGAGCTGACGGTCAACGTGAACGCCATGGCCAACAATCTAACGACCCAAGTGCGAGACATTGCCACCGTCACCAAGGGTGTGGCCAAGGGTGACCTGACCCAAAAGGTCCAGGCCACCTGCAAGGGCGAAATCCTGGAGCTGAAGAACATCATCAATTCCATGGTGGACCAACTGCGCCAATTCGCCCAGGAGGTGACCAAGATCGCCAAGGAGGTCGGCACTGACGGTGTCCTGGGCGGCCAGGCGACCGTCAACGACGTGGAGGGCACGTGGAAGGATCTGACCGAGAACGTGAACCGCATGGCCAACAATCTGACCACGCAGGTGCGAGAGATCGCCGATGTCACCACCGCCGTCGCGAAAGGTGACCTGACAAAGAAGGTCACGGCCAATGTCCAGGGTGAGATCCTGGACCTCAAGAACACCATCAATGGCATGGTGGACCGACTCAACACCTTCGCCTTTGAAGTGAGCAAGGTCGCCCGTGAAGTCGGCACGGACGGGACATTGGGTGGACAAGCTAAAGTGGACAATGTGGAGGGCAAATGGAAGGACCTCACCGACAACGTCAACACCATGGCCCAGAATCTGACGTCTCAGGTCCGAGGGATCTCCGATGTCACACAGGCCATCGCCAGGGGTGATCTGAGTAAGAAGATCAACGTGCATGCCCAGGGGGAGATCTTGACCTTGAAAGTCACCATCAACCACATGGTGGACCGTCTCGCCAAGTTCGCGACGGAGCTCAAGAAGGTCGCCCGTGATGTCGGGGTCGACGGGAAGATGGGTGGCCAGGCCAATGTGGAAGGGATCGCTGGTACCTGGAAGGAGATCACCGAGGACGTCAATACCATGGCCGAGAACCTGACCTCGCAGGTGCGCGCATTCGGCGAGATCACGGACGCTGCCACGGACGGCAACTTCACCAAGCTCATCACCGTCAACGCCTCGGGCGAGATGGACGAGCTCAAGCGGAAGATCAATAAGATGGTGTCCAACCTGCGCGACAGTATCCAACGAAACACCGCCGCCAGGGAAGCGGCCGAACTGGCGAACCGCACCAAATCCGAGTTCCTCGCCAATATGAGTCACGAAATCAGAACGCCCATGAACGGTATCATCGGAATGACCCAGCTCACCTTGGACACCGACGACCTGAAGCCGTACACTCGGGAGATGTTGAATGTGGTGCACAATCTCGCCAACAGTTTGCTCACGATCATCGACGACATCCTGGATATCTCCAAGATCGAAGCAAACCGAATGGTGATCGAGAGCATCCCATTCACCGTGCGGGGCACGATCTTCAACGCCCTCAAGACGTTAGCCGTCAAGGCCAACGAGAAGTTCCTCAGTTTGACCTACCAGGTCGATAACACGGTGCCCGACTACGTGATCGGCGATCCCTTCCGCCTGCGTCAGATCATCCTGAATCTCGTCGGCAACGCCATCAAGTTCACGGAACATGGTGAGGTCAAGCTGACCATCCGCAAATCCGAGAGGGAACAATGCGCCGCTGACGAATACGCCTTTGAATTCTCCGTGTCGGACACCGGCATCGGCATCAAGGAGGAAAAACTCGACCTGATCTTCGATACCTTCCAGCAAGCCGACGGCTCCACCACCCGCCGCTTCGGTGGCACCGGTCTCGGTCTGTCCATCTCCAAGCGGCTGGTGAACCTCATGGGTGGCGATGTATGGGTCAACTCCGTGTACGGCCATGGTAGTCAGTTCCATTTCACATGTGTCGTCAAGCTGGCGGATCAGTCGTTGAGCGTCATCAGCTCGCAGCTTCTGCCGTACAAGAACCACCGCGTGCTCTTCATCGACAAGGGCCAGAACGGGGTCGAGACGGAGGAGATCACCAACATGCTCCAGCAGCTGGAGCTGGAACCCCTGGTCGTTCATAATGAAGATCAGGTCCCCCCGCCAGAGATTCAAGACCCGTCCGGAAAGGAGTCGGGCCATGCCTACGATGTCATCATCGTAGACAGCGTGGAGACGGCCCGCATCCTGCGCACGTACGATGAATTCAAATACATCCCGATCGTCCTGCTCTGCCCCGTCGTCTCGGTGAGCCTCAAATCGGCTCTGGACCTGGGTATCAGCTCCTACATGACCACCCCCTGTCAGCCGATCGACCTCGGCAACGGCATGCTGCCCGCCCTGGAAGGTCGCTCGACGCCCATCACGACGGACCAGTCCCGCTCGTTTGACATCCTGCTGGCCGAGGACAACGACGTGAATCAGAAACTGGCCGTCAAGATCCTCGAGAAGCACAACCACAACGTCTCCGTCGTCAACAATGGCTTGGAAGCCTTCGAGGCCGTCAAGCAGCGTCGGTACGACGTCATCTTGATGGACGTCCAGATGCCCGTCATGGGCGGGTTCGAGGCCACAGGCAAGATCCGCGAGTACGAGAAGGAGAACAATCTCACCCGCACGCCCATCATCGCCCTGACGGCCCACGCCATGTTGGGCGACCGCGAAAAGTGCATCCAGGCGCAGATGGACGAGTACCTGTCAAAGCCCCTCAAGCAGAACCAGATGATGCAGACGATTCTCAAATGCGCCACGCTCGGCGGATCGCTGCTGGAAAAGAGTAAGGAATCCCGTCTGGGTAGCAGCGGCGAGATGCACTCGATGCATCTGTCTCCGGAAAGCAAAAGCCAACGGCCCGGCCTGGAGCCGCGCTCTGTCACAGCGTCGGGCTCCGTCTACCGCGGCAGTGTTGCCAGCCCGACAACAGGGGAGGATGAGGACCTTATCATGGAACGAGTATGAACCAAACACCAAGCGAGAGAGACACGCCTTTATGAAAAGAAAGAAGAACATAGAAGCTAATGAATAAAACCAATCATTAGCAGGCCTTCCTACGCTCAAACAGCACATGAAAACGGACGAGGCCGGGTTTCAAGTCTTCTCACTTTTATCATCCTTTATCCCTCCCTCCCTCTCTCTCTCTTTCCATGCCATTTTTGCCCACAACACAAAAATGGCCCGCCGAAAACCTCTGAGCGACCCCCTCCGTTCTTGACGAAAATCATCCCGCCGTGTATTTGATATTCAAATCGAACGCCATTATACCCTCGTCACATTCCCGTTTTTTTTTTTTTTTTTTTTTTTTTTTGCGTCGTCGACATTTATTCTACAACATATCGATCTCCTTTTCACCGTCTTTCAAACTGGACGAATGCCACCTGCCAGGGCCCATTATTATTATTAACATTTTTTCCCCCTTCATTTTTGCTCGTCTTTGTCTGCGATCGATCACCTATGGGTCCGATAGGTGTCTGGAGTTTGGAACCGGGGAAATACAAGGCCAGAAAGGGGATATTTCGCAAAAGGAGAGAAACAGAAAGAAGAAGAAAAACACCTGCATTCGAGAGACCGGGGTCGAGGCAAGCCATGTGCGTTATTATCCGAGGGGAGCAAGAAAGAAAGTTCTTACTTTGAACCCGTCTTCCCCTATACGTTATGTTTTCCCAACCATGTTACTCTGTACTGTATCTAATTTTCCATTATATTTTGTCACCTTGCAAGGGGGGGATTCGACCTGTTTGCTTTCTTTCCTATCTTGTCTTTTTTCATCTCTCTCTCTCTCTCCCATGGCCTAGCCAGCGATTTCGGTCGTTAAGTAAAGAAGATCTCAATATAAATGCAGTGATTGTTCATTGATATAAACCAAGTAAACCAAGGAAGTAAATACTATAGATCTAACTATATATTGCTTCTAGCAATGAAATCAAACAGCAAACACACGCCGGAGAACCTCTCCATCCGGAGCTCTAGTATCAATCATCCCAGGGGTTTCATTGCGTTTAGCTAGAATGTTGTCCCGAGGAACAACAGGTCCAGGTCCAGGTCCAGGTCCAGGTCCAGCGGTAGGCAGCACAGGCGACGGACTACCGGCCGGCACGGTTGGGACAGCGGTGGTGCCTGGGGTCAGTGTCGGAACTGAGTGGCTTACGCTGGGACTGACGCCCGGACTGAAGCTGACGCTGGCGGTGGCGTTGCGGCTTGGAAATGGGAAGGGAGGCGCCGGGGACGGGGACGATGTCGGTGAGATATGTGGCGAGGAGATGACGGGAGGAGGTGGAGGTGAAGGGGCAGGAGGTGCTGCTGCTGGGGGTGCCGGTGGCGGTGCAGGACAGAAGGTCTCGGTGACGGTGATGGCCGGGGGCACGATTGACTGAACAACACTGTGCGTCACTGTGGTGGTGGATATCGACGTCGCTACCGAGGTGACGGTGAGGGTGGGCACGCAGATGGCAGGTATGCAGGCTGCTGGAGGCGCAGCTACAGCTGCGCAGGTCGCGATTTCAGTCGTCGTCACCACCACGGGGTTAAAGGTGAAGGTGAAAGATGTCGTGGGGACAACAGTGGTGGAGGGTGGAGGCGAAGGAGTCACAATGGGGTGACTGGTGGGAGAAGCGGTTGGTATGACGGGCGAAGAAGGTGAAGGAAATGGAGACGGAGGTGGAGGAGCAATGACTGAGTCGAGCAGGGTGAACCATGCCCCTAGGAAGATTAAAAGCATGTTGGTACTAGCAGGATGCATTTGTTTCCCTTGATGAACTTTTCTAGCTTTTCCTGGTTTTTTGGGCTGCTCTTATTTTTTTTAACAAGAGGAAGACAAGGCCTCGCGCTCAACCGCCCAGGCCGGTTATATGTATCTAGTCAGCGGTAGGCAGATCATGATGAACTGGTAATGTCATCGTGTGGCTACAATCGTGTCCCTCCTCCTCCTCTTGGAACACATCGGAGCTCTTCGACCACGGAATGGTAGAATAAGCGACGGTACACGCCATCACAGTGATGAGCAGTTCCCTCGACTTTCGGAAGTGAACGGAGGTTGCCTCAAAAATGCCCTCGTAAGATCGTATTTCAACTGTGAATTATATAGTATGTCAAGTAGTATACATAGCCAGCGGTGGTGATACAGGTATCCAAGCCAGGTTTGCCCACACGGGACTGATGCTGCATTGCTGCGTTAATCGGTTTATCCCAAAAAAGAAAAAGAAAAGAAAAGAAAAATGTCGTTCTATTCCCCCAAAAGGCCAAAGCGCCGAATCCATGATTTTTGATCGTAAGAGAATTAATTTCCGAAAGGATTATATTATTTCAACGGGGAGTTAGGTCATCACGACGTTGCCTTTGCGGCTTGGATGCCTTAGTATATTGCCAAGGGTTGACGCCAGCCGACGTGTAGAATCTTCACGGCAATAACACAGGCGAGGCCGACGGCATAGCAGCATGTGGTGAATGTAATGAGGCCCCAGTATTCTCCATTGCAGCGTGAGAGGATTTCCCCTGCAATAGGCATACCGGTCAAAGTACTGAAACCATATGGACTTGTCAGCTTTCACGACTCCTTGGAAGATTGAATGAGAGATCCTACTTACCCCAAGCTAACAATTGTGTACCCGGTAGCGTAATATCGGCCATAATGTTCAGTCTTGCAAAGTTGCCCAATACATACCGGCGTAAGACTGATGTTGCTGCCACTTGCGAAGCCAAATACAACACAATAAACGACCAGAAGAGGCAAGTTGTTCCCCGCGAGGAGCCATAAGCAGGCGTTGCACACGAGACACAGGGCGACGGTGACGATCAGGGCATTGAATCGACCGAAAACGTCGGCGAAGTAGCCCGGAAGGGCTCGTCCAAAAATCGAGCCAGCATTCAGGACGGCGAGTATCTGATAAGAGAGTTGGGTGGAGACCCCATGTGCCAATGCATATGATGAGATATAACTGATGGGGATAAACAATCCCCATTCGATGAAGTACATGCCAATGGCGGTGAGGGCGAACTTGGGGTCTCTCAGGATGCGAAAATCGGGCAACATATTCTCTCTCGATATAGGTTTCTTGGGCAGACGAGATCTAATCAGCAGGCAGGCGATTGCTAGGGACAATAGGCACATCAGAGCTATAACCCGAGTGGCCCAAGCCCATCCCACTCGCGGAAAGAGGCTCTGCAAAGTCAAGGGAAACACAACACCGCCGAACGAGCCTCCAGTAGCAGCGATTCCCGTTGCGATGCCACGCTTCTCGTAGAACCAGTGACCAACCGCTGATATGGCCGGGGTGAAAATCAGAGAGATGCCTATTCCTCCCACCACGCCAATCGCGACCATAAAGTGCCAGTATTGAGTGCTGAACCCCATCGCAATCATTGCGACCACCATGAGAACCGAGCCGGCCAAAATCAGCATCCGAGGACCTCTCGCGTCGAAAACCGGACCGACCTGCAGTCCGCAGAAGAATGACAGGCAGGCGAACACGCCAAAGATCCAGCCCGTGCTCCCCGAGCTGTAGTCCTTTAGCTGGTGGTTCTCCAGGTACGCTTGGAACGTACCGATGGTGTTGATCAGCCCCAGCGACCCAAACAGTCCCATGAAGCTCCCAAAGACCACCAGCCATGCTTGTAGACCGCCCTCCGGGTAGGTGTTGCCATCAGCATCGGTCGTCACCCGGCTGACTATTGAGTTGGCGTTCACCGCTTGGTCTGCATGGGCAGTCGTGTGAGACGAGGAGTGGCGCAGGGTCTCTTCTGAAGAGATCATCAGGTCCTGATGGGCGGCAGTATTGCAAACAGAGGTCTCTGAAGCCGCAGTCAATCGTTTTTCCACATCAACGCTATTGATGCCTTGATCATTCGTCGAACAGACCTCTTGCTGCCTATCGATATGATCTGACGGCGCCATCGAGACCTCCCCCGCAACCTGTGGGACGCTATTCATTTCTACCCTCTAGAATCAGTAGCAACGACCGACTAAATTCCACAGCAGGAGGGAGAGCGAGAGCGAGAGAGAGCTGGAGACTGAGAGAATGAGAGGGAAAGAAGAGATCCAGCGGCGAGGAAGCAGCGTCTGACCTGCCTTCCTTCCCTTTTTTTTTCCCCGTCGGCTTATCCATCGCCGCTTCCGCTTTTTGGTGCAATTTTCTTTTTCTTGGACAGCGCTAGCAAGTATCGGGAAGGCGAACTCGAAGGATAAGTCATATCCGACAGCTTCGCTCTTTATTTTGTTGACACTTGTTGTACCGTACTCCGTACACAGTCGATGTGAGGCTGCGATCTAATAGTTATAGAAACTTCGATCCCAAACCCCGGTCATTTTCTTATCAGCGCACCCACAGCACCCACCACCCCCCCGGTCGAAAGTTACATCTGGGTGGAGAGAGCATTGAGTAATGGCCATCACTCCATAATAGGGTATCCCGGACATGAGCATACAGAGGAGACGTCAGCAAGGCAGGAATCAGCAACAAAGCCCTTGTGAGCGACGCAGTTGGGGCCTCGTGGTGCAATCATAGGAATTCTGATATTGGCAGAAAAAAGCGTCACTCTTGTTGATATCCAAACATGGTAGGCGGTATGCATTTCTCTGCATTGGATTTCGGGCCAGAGGGAAGAGAACTAATGATGATTGTGCATTAGAGCCTTACCAGAGGAATTACCGGCTTAGAGCGGAGTAGATTTTAGATATTGGATAATGGTTATGGCTATAGATGCCTAATGAATCAATGAGATCCATGTTTGCAACCCAAATGACGGCATAGTCTTACTACCCTAGTTATATAGTTATTTATGTAGTACACGCGAGGTGGCTGTCGATCTCTCAGGCAAGGGACTGTACTCCGTACTACATAGAGAATAGGACGCCTACACGTTCTTGTGACACTCACAGACCAATAGATATAGAAACACTGTTAACTATTTAATTCTCCGAGGTTGTAGCAGCACAGAGAACTCCGTACGGGCTGAGGAATGTTAAATTTAATGATGTTGCCTACCTAGTGATAAGCTTGCCCGAGAACCCTTGCCCGACCCAAGGACGCTCCATCCCACCCTTGCACTATCCACCATTATCCACTGGCTCAACCTTCGGACTCCATAGGCCTCCGGTGATCGTCGGATGTTCTCCGTGTCGATAAACGATTGATGTCTGGTGATAATTTGCTAGTGCTCTCTCTGCACATGCTTCCTAGCCGGGACAGACGGTAGCGGAGACTGGGTTGCCCGATAATTGGCCTTGTTCTAAGCGATTCAATCATGACGATGGAGTGTCTGGCCTGGAGACAGGTACAGTCCAGGCTGTGATAGGCACCTGGGTAAGTAGCTACCACCCCACTGCATACCAGATGCGACGGAGCTCCGGGGGAAGTGGAAGGAGACCTCGGCACTATTAATTGAAGCTGCATTCCCTCCCTAGCAGCGACAAGCTTTCCTCGCCTCGAACTCTGCTTCTCACCCCCTCTCCGGTACTCCCTGCTTGATTGGAAAGGATTACACGGCTACGATGCAGCTTCGATCGCTTCTGCCAACGGCCGTCTTGGCCTCGTCCCTGCTGGTGGACGGGGTAGCTGGTCGAAAGTTTAACGAAAGACACCTCGAATTGATGGAGACCAGGGCAAATAGGATGATGACCTCCTTTGAGCGTCGCACAAGCAATGACAGTGACACTGTCTTTCGCTTCATGACCGATGAGACTGAGCGTGAGTTCCATAATATGTACCCATCAACGACTATCCGGGACTGGAGTCGCTGACGGAGAGTTTTAATCTGCAGCGTATCTCGTCGAGAGCTTACCCGATGTACATTTCGATCTGGGAGAGATGTACTCGGGCTCTATTCCGATCGACAAGGGCAACGACTCGAGGAGTCTGTTCTTCGTCTTCCAGACAAAACTTGGTGAACCGGTCGACGAGGTTACCATCTGGCTTAACGGTGGCCCGGGTTGCAGTTCCCTCGAAGGCTTCTTCCAAGAGAACGGTAGATTCCTCTGGCAGCCTGGAACGTTTTTACCCGTTGAGAATCCTTATTCTTGGGTGAATCTCACCAATGTGCTTTGGTAAGTTGTATATTCCCTTTCTCCACCCGTCCCCCAAAACAATGAAAAAAGAAGAAAAGAAAAGCATCACTCATTCGCTACAAATAGGGTCGATCAGCCTGTCGGAACCGGCTTTGCCCTTGGTACTCCTACTGCCGACTCTGAGGAGGAAATCGCGGAAGACTTTGTCAAGTTTTTCAAGAACTTTGAAGAACTCTTCGGAATCAAGAATTTCAAGATTTACGTGACCGGCGAGAGCTATGCGGGGAGATACGTGCCGTACATTTCGGCCGCGTTTTTGGATCAAAATGACACGGAGTATTTTGACTTGACTGGTAACTCTCTTGCCGTATCAGAAACCCCCATTCGAAGCCCAACGCTGACTCGTGGAACACAGGAGCCTTGACGTACGACCCCTGTATTGGTCAATGGGACTGGGTCCAAGAGGAGGCGCCTGCCGTGCCATTTGTCTTGGAGAACACCAACATGTTCAACTTCAACGAGACCTTCCTGGCAGAGCTGGAGGCGCTGCACGAATCCTGCGGCTACAAGGAGTTCATTGATGAATACCTTGTCTTCCCAGCCTCTGGTGTCCAGCCCCCCAAATTCATGAACTGGACCGCTGACGCCGACTGCGACGTCTACGACACGATTCTCGATGAGGCCTTGGAAATCAACCCATGCTTTGACTTGTACTCGGCGAATGTCGCGTGCCCTCTTCTGTGGGATGTGCTCGGATTCCCTGGCTCGCTACTATACTCACCTGCCGGCGCCAGCATCTACTTCGACCGGGACGACGTCAAGAAGGCCATGCACGCCCCGAACGTTACGTGGGCGGAATGCACCGGGGAAGACGTCTTCACCGGCGGCGATGCCGGCCCAGAGCAAGTGGGCGACATCTCGGCGAATCCGATCGAACACGTTCTCCCGCAGGTGATTGAACGGACCAACCGCGTCCTGATCGCCAACGGAGACTACGACTTCTCCGTCCTCACCCTTGGCACCCTGCTGTCTATCCAGAACATGACCTGGAACGGCAAGCTGGGTTTCCAGCAGCAGCCGAACAAGTCCATCGTTATTGATCTCCCGGATCTACAGTACGCAGAGGTCCTGGCAGAGAACGGCCTTTCCAGTTTGGCTGGCGGCCAGGGCGGCATGGGCATCCAACACTACGAGCGCGGCCTGATGTGGGCGGAAACCTTCCAGAGCGGCCACATGGAGCCTCAGTACCAACCGCGAGTGTCCTACCGCCACCTGGAGTGGCTCCTGGGCCGCATCGACGAACTATGAAGGGTGGGGGGTCCTCGTGATGTTGAAGTATAGCGAGAAACGCTCATTATGGATGGAGACATGCTCAATACTCATTTTAAATAGAGGCATGAGAACACTCATTATGGATAGAGGCATGACTGGAATGACTTGATGTACATATCTACATAGCCACAGGCACAGCAAGTATCACCGAGATTTGAATGCTTGACGATCACCAAGTAATTTATGTCTATGGAGATATGCAGAATTAAATTGCTGAATGACGTTGGACGTTGAAGATGCTTTTTGTGCTTGACCCAATTAGGGATAGTATGTAACCATGAGCCTGTAATATTCGTAAATTACAGAGCCATGTGGATTTTTTCATTGGTCAAAGCATGTATTACTTTGTCACAGCCTGATGATCTCCCGCTATGCCTAAACCAGCCCTTGGCAGGGAATATCGTTCCTTCCTGAGGTATCCCTCACAGATGCGGCTGCAACCTCAAGTTACGCTGTAAGTGTACAGTCTTCGAGTTTGTCTATTAGGTAGGTTGGATGCCCTTCGGAGGTACTATATACCCAACTGCTCTATTCGGCTAACGGTTGTTCTGCAAGCAGGTAAAGTGTGGCTACACAGGACTCGCCCATGGAATCCCCTCGCTGACGATGGTGGAGCGCCGCCGAACTTTCTGTCTTCACATACAGTCTGGGGCAAAAAAAAAGAAGAAAGGAAAGGGGAAAGGAAGGACAAGCCCCGCACTTTCTCTCTGTACGACCGTCGACTCGCCACCAGGAATGTCGACAATTGGACAAATGGATGGCGGGTTGGCCAGTAAGAATGCTCTCTTCTAGCAGAGGGGGAGGAAACAGGAATAAAGACACTCTGCTCTCCCTGAAGAAAGCATAGAGAAGACATCCACTATGTGCTTACTCTTGTCTCTTGATATAATCTTTGGATCACTACAAACTATTTTTTGTCCTTCCTGGGTTGAGAGACTGCCTACATCAGGGACCTATATTTCTGTGTACTGACCATTGATACTACTGAAGAAGTATTATTTTCTGCTAGTTTTCATGATAACCTTGCTTTTCTCTCCCTCTGCCTGTCTCTTGTTGAAATACCTCTTTTATACACTCATCTCAGCTCTCCCGGAAGCATCTGCATAGTAGTCGGCAGCACTGTACTTGACTCAACAACTCGACACGGTACGACAGTAGGCCACCCGATAGCGACTGATTCCCATGCACCATGCCGTTCAATCCATTCAAGAGTCACGATCGCAGTGATTTCCCCGGCGTCGTGGTGCCCATCACCAGCTTCCCTGCGCACCGACCTCACTCCCCGGCTCATGCCCACACAGGCTCTGACAGTGAGAAAAAGAGTACCGACGACGCCAGGAGCGAGGCAGCTGCCTCGCTGCCAGAGTGCGGCCAGATGCTCTCCGTAAAGGCTCTGCGTGCCGAGGTCGAGTCGGACATTGCTACCTCGGGGCATGACTCTGCCTATGATCGTACGTTCGTTCGGGTCATCCATCCATGGGTGTCTAATTGATCTTTCAATCAAGTCATATAGCCAGCTAACTTAAATCGTTGTAGGTAAAGCAAAGGTGATCAACCGGGCGATCCAGGACATCGGAATGGGTCGGTATCAGTGGGAGCTGTTTGTCCTCTGTGGATTTGGATGGCTGGCAGATAAGTAAGCCCGATCAAGAATTTCAGTTTTCATAGAATCAAAGAGAGCGAGGGATCCATGACTGTATCTGATATAAAACCCAGTCTATGGCTGCAGGGAGTCGCCTTGACCCTCCCCCAGCTCGAACTCGAGTTCGGCGTGTCGGAGTCGCGCGTCCGATTCACCACCTGCGCCCTCTTCCTCGGTCTGTGCTTGGGGGCTTCGTTTTGGGGCACTGCTTCGGACATTATCGGTCGTCGCTTGGCCTTCAACATGACCCTGTTCATCTGTGGAACATTTGGTCTGGCGGCGGGGGGCAGTCCAACATGGATCGGGTGCGTTTTTTCTCTTCTTTTCTCCTTTGCTTTTCCCTAGAGAAAATGGTGAAAGTTGATCCTGCTATACCAAGGAAGCTAACCGTTACAGAGTCTGCGCCCTGTTCTCCTGTATGGGTCTTGGAGTCGGTGGGAATCTTCCAGTGGATGGAGCGCTTTTCCTGGAATTTCTCCCCTTTGCTTCGGGCAATCTTCTGACTATGCTGAGTGTGTGGTGGCCTGTTGGCCAGCTCATAGCAAGGTCAGTATACCAGCGGAGCAACCTCACTCTGTGTTGAGCATTGATCTAATGGAATTCTCTCTAGTCTTCTCGCCTGGGCCTATATCCCCAACTACACATGTGCCAGCAACCTTCCCTCCTGCCACAAGGTGGCTGCGGGAGTCGCCTGCTGTAGCAAGCAGGACAACATGGGCTGGCGGTACCTGGTCTTGACGCTCGGCGCGCTGACCTTCACCATGTTTCTATGCCGCTTCGTCCTCTTCCACCTGTACGAGTCGCCCAAGTTCCTGCTCTCTCGCGGCCGGCAGGATGAGGCTGTTGCGGCCGTGCACGGCATTGCGTACAAGAACAAAGCCACTACGTGGTTGACGGTCAACATCCTCAACGAGATCGGTGGATATCCCGAGGAGACGCCGAACCAGACGCTGTCCACCATGCAGATCGTCCGGCGGTCGGTGTCCAAGTTCTCCTTTGAGCGTGTCGGACCTCTCTTTGCCACGAAACGACTCGGGTTTACCAGTACGTATAGCCACGAACTGACAGGTAACATACATTGGAGCCGTATAGTTGGTACTGACAGAAATAGCCATCCTTCTCTGGTTCTGCTGGGCGACCATCGGAATGGGCTACCCGCTCTTCAATGCCTTCCTGCCCCAATATTTGAGCAAATCCGGCAACGGAGGCACGACGTCGACCTACATTGTCTACCGCAACTACGCCATCACCTCGGTCGTGGGCCTCCCCGGATCCATCCTGGCCTGTTTTCTCGTCGACATGCGCTACCTCGGCCGGAAGGGGACCATGGCCATCGCCACGCTGATCACGGGAATCATACTCTTCTGTTTCACGGCCTCCACCAACTCCAACACCCAGCTCGTCTGTTCCTCGCTCGAGGCCTTCTTCCAGAATATCATGTACGGCGTCCTCTACGCATACACCCCCGAGGTCTTCCCCGCCCCCAACAGGGGCACCGGCACAGGCATCGCCAGCTGTCTCAATCGCATCACTGGCCTGTGTGCGCCCCTCGTCGCCATCTACGGCGCCAATGCAAATCCCAATGCGCCCATCTATGCTTCGGGGGGTTTGATTCTTGCGGCCTTTGTCGCCATGTGTCTTCTCCCGATTGAGACCAGGGGCAAGCAAACTTTGTGATAGCCCTTGACTATATACTGGGTTGAGCTAGTCAATACTATAACTTTCTTATATTGTAGTTGGTCGTTTACCTAGTTCTTAACAGTTTACCATCATTTTCAACTAGCTTGGTCCTCATAATCAAGTACAAGTGTATGCGTTATTCATATATCTAATCATAAGCATATACATCACGCCATGCTAGCCAAGAGAAGAAGGGGAAAAAAAAAGAACAAGAGGAAATAATGGGGGGACTAAAAAAGACAAGGTTTCAAGCAATCTGCCGCCGCCCCCGCCGCCCCAGCAACGTGGCATTGTCCAGACTCAGCTCGAAGGGTTGTCGCGAATTCCGAGCGATGCTCTCCCGTGCTGCCTGGGCGACAGTGGCGCTGTGCTGACCGTATCCCTGCTGTGGCTGCTGGTGACCCTGCCGCACGGGCTGCCGGCCACGTTCGGCGGCGCGGGCCTGCGCCGCGTGGCTGGCGGTCGTGCCGAGGTTTGTCGAGCGCAGTTTGGCTTCCATGGCGGCCACGTCGGAGGCCTGCTGTGAGGACTTGGGGATTTTGGACGGCGGGTTGGTGCCGTTCTCCGAGGTGACAGTGCCAGTGCCGGTGCCGGTGCCGGTGTTGGCGGCAGGCACATCCTCGTAGCCGTACGCCAGATCTTCGTCGTCATCGTAGTCTTCGTTGAGCGGGTTAAGCCCAGACCGGAATCCAGTCGTTGGGTTCCCGCCCCGGTATCCCTGGCGGAAGTTTTTGCGTCGCTTGCCTTCCTCTTCCTGGCGGTGAACGGCATATCCGACGTCGAAAACCTCGCGCAGGTTGATCGCGCCCGGCGAGCGGAAGTCCATACGGCGCTCCGCAGCTGAGGTCTGGTCGATTAGTCGCGCGCTGGCCGGTTGATACTGCACCTGGTTGGCCGTCGCGGCGTTGAACATAGATCCGCCTGCCGCCGCGGCGACTTGCTCTTGGTGTGCGGCCGTGGCCAAAGAGCCTGTTGGTGGGGCGTCAGCGGCCGGTTCGGTCTCTTCGGCCGATTCCCGGATCCACGGGTGATTTAAAAACTCCTTGATGGTGTATCGTTTGTCTGGGTTGACGGTGAGCAGGTGCGATATGAGATCCTGGGCCGACTTGGAGATGTCGTCCCACCAAGGAGACAGGAACGTGTACTGGCCGCGGGCGACCTTCTCGGTCAGGATCTGGATGCTTTCGTCGTAGAAGGGCGGGAAACCGCAAAGGAGCGTGTAGAGGACGCATCCAAGCGCCCACATGTCGACGCTCTTCGAGTATCGCTCGTCCTTGACGATCTCCGGTGCGGTGTATCCGACGGTGCCACACGGCGTCATTGTCTGGCTATCCCAGATCACCTTGGACAGGCCAAAATCGGCAATCTTGATGGTGCCGATCCCACCGGCACCAACGCCTGGAACAAACTCGCCTTCGTCCACTTTGTCCTCGTCACCCGGTTGGTGAGTTTGAGGACCCTTGCTGGGGATGAAGGGGGCGGGATAGAAGAGAAGATTCTCAGGTTTGATATCTCTGCATATAAAATCAGAAAATAGCCATATAATAACAGCAAGTAAGGCCATACCGATGCACAACTCCAGATGTCTCATGCAGATACTCAATTGCCTTCGCCACCTGGATGATGACGTGACGGCTGAGATCTTCGCTGAAGTAGGTCAACCGCACAATCTGGTGGAAGAGCTCGCCACCGGGGCACAGCTCGAGAATAATGTAGTAGTATTGGCGGGACTCGGAGAAATCGATGAGTTTGACGATATTGGGGTGGTCCAATTGACGCATGATCTGCACCTCCTTGAGGATATTGGCTCGCTGCAACACACACGTTAGTCCTCTGTCTTTTTTTTTTTCTGCAATAGTCAAAACAAATAAGAATCTTTCGCTATGAAGGCTCAGATCATGGATGGATTGGAGAGGTTCTGCCCACCTCGGTGGCCTTTGGCGCATTCCGAAACTCTGGGTGAACACGGACATCGGACTAGAGAAATCCCCATAGGGAGTACGTCGGCAAACATCACAAGAGAGGAGAGAAGAAGAGAGAAATCGCGCAAAATAGATCGGCAACACATATCAAAGCGGGCACGCATGGGCAGGATGTGAAAGCATCTCGGAGAGAAGGCATGTTCAAGACGAGAGAGAAAGGTACCCTACCTGATTGCTGTTCATCTCAAACTTGCGAACGACTTTGATGGCGACTTCTTCGTACTGGCCAGTACTATCACGGGCCCGATAGACGTTGCTGAAGGCACCATCGCCCATCTTCTCGACCAGAATCCAACGTTCCAACCCAGGATATTTGGGCATCTTGGACGCCCGTTTCCTCTCCTCAGCGACGATCTCGGCGATCTCGGCCTCGCGAGCCTTACGGGTCTGAGCATCGGCGCTCTTCTGGACTACCGGCGACTGACCATTGCCATGGCGGCCCTCGATGGCATCGAGATTGCCCACCGCGGCGGGGTATTGCCCCTGCGGCTGCGGCTGCGGCTGGGCATGGATGGCGGACACGTTGGTTGTCGGTTCGGCATGCGGCGTCACCAGGCGCGCCTGCTTCCCATGACGGATGAAATTCTTGAGATTCTGAATCGTGCTCATTATGTAAAGTCGGGGAAAATTAAATTATAAATGCGAGTGTGAGAACAAACCCCCCCGTCTCAGGAGGAAAAAGAGGTCAAATCGGTCTACCCCGCCAAAAGGCAGAGGGACAGCGGAACGGCCGGAAACACAACAGAGACAGGGCGAGAAGGAGGCAGGGGTGCTGGCAGACGAAAGCCGATGGACGGTCGCTTCGAATCTTTTCTATCGAGAAACGGAAAACGGAGGAGTTTTGAGTGGTGGACAAGGGAGAAAGGGCAAAGACGAAGGGAATGAGGTCAGGGCGGGAGGGAGCCAAGTGGGCGCCTATGACAGCATGCGATCTTCGACCCGCGATGTCATCAAGTCTCTCCGCAGAGGCTGCTGCTGTTCAAGCTGCGAAGGTGAGTTCTATGTCTATTGTTTTTTATTTATCTGATTGAGAATGCTGTCTATTTCCAACCTTCCTGATACTGACTCAACATACCAGGAAGGGCATTTTGTGCTCCCTCGATCCCCCCCCCGTCGGTCCGCTTGCCTCTCATCCACGGTCGAAAAAGCTCTGTCGTCACTCCGCCACCGACGATCCACAGAGCTCGTTTGTTATCATTGAACTTATTAATTAGTCGAAGTTGGTGACATAATCGAGTTCTCGTATCCTGTTACCGGGGAGGCAGAACAGGTGTTCAACCAGAGGTACACCCTTCTGTGGGGATGATACCAAGCAGAGATAATAACATAGCTACACATGGGATAATATAATCGGCTTGACGTGTGGGAAGGAGGAGTATGGTGAGGGCCGAACCGGGGCCAGGGTAATGCACTCTCGATACCTTCCTACCAAAAGGCTTGTGTGCCGATCTGACTGGAATGCTAATAATGGCTGACCAAGACAAACAGCAATCAGTCGTCCGCAATTCGAGTGCCAGTTGAAAAGACTAGGTGTATTGGATAGCTACGGAGGATGAAATTCCTTGGATATCAATATGGTTTATAATAGGGCTGGTGTTGTGCTAAGCATTGCTTCGTTGCAGTGCTGATCGACATCCCTTCTCCGCTCACAAAAGACATTCCTGTACGGAGCAGATCCGGACAGTCTACTACTCCGTGCACACAACCGACTCCTCTCTGGCCATGAGTACAGAGTATAGGGCTACTGAGTGTATGCTTGCCGAGCTCGCCTCATCCCAAGATCAATTGCTGTCTGATCTGACGTCGTCTTTCGTCATCCTCCGTCATCTCCACCATGGTGATATCCTTTTCTAATAATCACTCGTACGGAGTGATACCATAGCAGTCCCTGTATGGAGTACTCTATACTGACGTTCTAGGCGAATTGCATTGATAAAGTGTCTGATTTATTTTGATTGATCCCCCTAGCTTGCATGATGCGTCAGAGATGCGTGGGCCTCAAGAGCACCAGTTGTCGCAGTAAAAGATTAGTATACTGGACTCCATCAGAACCACGCTATTTTATTCTATTAATACCATCGTAAATTCTAAAATGAGGAACCTCTAGACCTCTAAACCGACGGTTGTACTGGATGATTCTATCCTCGTAGGAATGCAGAGGTCTTCGTAGCTCTGGGAAAAAGTACGCCGCTCTCCCACTCACAGTGAAAATCCCCCTCTGCAGGCGCCTCTGAACCTGCATCCGAACTCCTCCTGCGTAAGGGGCACCGCATCGTCTGATTCATCAATCGGATTCATTCTAATCTCCCGCTCTGCCTCACTCGACTGCTCGATTTCCGAGTCCCTACCTACTTTTGCGCTGTATTATTTTATCGCCTCGACTCGGCCTTTATCGCCCTTCGTCACTCCTCATCTCCTCCCCACTCTACTCACTCCACTGGCCACCACGACGAAAACGATTCCTCGTCTTAGCCAACTAGGCGTGGCGTGGACACTGGATGCCCCTCTAGACAAAAGGCGTCTGCGTCGTTTCATCTGTCAGAACAAACACGTCTGCTTTCCTTGTTGCATTGCCTCATCGATCCGGCTGTCATTCCACGTTGCAAGTCGACACGCGCGCTGCCATACGTTACACCTTCGACTCCTTACGTTTCAGTGAAATTTCTGATTTAACCTCTTCCATTCTTCTCTCATTCATTCATTCATTCTCTATCTATCTATCTATCTCTCTTTTGCAACTCCACGCTGCACCCATACTCAAGTACCAGATATTTCCAGCCATTCTTTCAGCATGCCGGGCTTTCGGACCTCTTTCGACGATCGCATTTGAAATCGCCCCAGTGTGATGCCTCGACTTTGCAGCCTCACGTCGATTTTTCCATTACGACCTCCTGCCATTCATTTGACCGTTCATCATGTCCGCTGACGAGGCCGAACGGCCGCTCTTCAAATCACACAAACCGCTGCCCCGCAAGCGAGATATGGAAAATGTCGAGACGATTCAAATCTACACCACAGAGGTGCTGGTTACGGCTCCAACTCTCCCTCTGACTCCACCAGGAGCGGCGACAGTCACAGACAAGGAACAAAATGGTGTGGAACGGGAACCCCGGGCCTTGGGCCAGCATGCCCAGCCTGTGGGGATGCTCACACCCATTCTTTCGCAGAGCCCGCCCACTCCGGATAGCACTCCTCCTCGAGCGGGATCGGGAAAGAGACCTATGCTGGCCCATGTCATGTACCCCTCTGCCTCCTCGAAGGCCGAGTCGTTTCGCACAGCCAAGGAGATGCTTTCCGACGAAGAAACGGATCATACCGCGACTCCCGGCCGTACCGTAACCCCGACACGACGGTCTCGACAGAACAAAGACAATTTGGAAGAGACACCCAAGCCGGAAAAACGCGTGGACTGCAAGACAGCCCAGATGAGCCTGCATTCTCCTGTCCATTCACAGCAGTCGTTGGACAATGGCAGTCCAGAGTACACTGAATCGCACAGACAAAGGACCCTACGTGATCGGGTCCAGGACGGACAGGTAGCCCCGGCGACCCCTTTCGTCAAACAATTTGGCGAACAGATTGGCTGGCCCTCGGAGAGCGCTGGTGCGGGGGTAGATCCGGAAGAGAGTTTGGCGGCGCGCCGATTGTCCAACGTCTCCACGTCGTCGACTGTTGAGGTCATGATTATCGATTCGCCGCCGGCAGCCGTCCGAACACTGAGACATTCAGAGAAGCGGTCGTCCCTGCGGTCTGCCAGCTCTCCAATTACACGATCCGAACGCACGTCGGCGGTGTCTTCGATGCGCCGTCGCGAATCCCCTCCCCGCCTGGCGCACAAGGCTCGTCGCATTTCAAACGAAGATCGCAAGAGTGTCATCTCAGGGACTTCCAGCTCCGTGAAACACCCCTCCATCGCATCCAATCCCCAGGTGGATGTCATTCCAGTGGTCGTCATTCCAGAACGCAACTCGTCCCTGAATTGGTCGTCCGATGGTAGCAGAGAGCAATCCGGCGTGACGCTCCGACTGACGCCGCCCCAGTCAAAGAAAAAGCGAACCATGTCCGATTCAGGCACCACCACCACCACCACCGCCGCCGCCGCCGCCACGGACAGCAGCAGAGGCCGCGGGAGGACGCGCCCTGTGATCCCGCCACGGGGCTCCTCCCTGTCCGCCCCAACGAGCCGCAACAACTCACGAACGACCTCCCTTACTTCGGAGAGTCTCCGCAGTCATACGCTTGCCATGGACCGGATACAGACTCAGTTGCACAATCAAATGCAGATTCAAATGCAGACCGAATTGAAGCTCCCGCCCGAGGCTACCGCAGCCGAGACCAGTGCACGAGTCCACTCTATCGTCATCGGGTTCGACGAGACGTCAACGCACCTGCGCCCGCCCTCGATGCCCTTCACGCAGGTCTCGATTCAGTCCTCGTCACCTGGTCCGGTGGAGATTAGTGAGGCCACAGCCGTCAGTCTGTTCCCTCACAACAACCGGTCGCTGCTCCTTATCGAGCAGCGGATGCCGTCTGACCCACGCGTGACCGTGTCGGTAAACGTGGCACCCTCACACCCACCTGTGACGCCCGAGATGCATTCTCAGGGCGTCCAGACGGACGCGGTCGATTCTCCGCTGCTCAACCCGCGACCACCGCCGTCTCCGCCGAGATCGACCAACGACCGACAGGGGGAAGACGCACCGTCTACGACCGAGCCTGGCAGAATGGGTAGTAATGATACTACTGTCCGCCCGTCCCGTCGGTTCGGATCCGTGCGACTGGCGCTGGGCGCGCACCGCCGGTCCAACTCGTCCGGCTCATTCCCACGCACTCTGTCGATGCGGTCGGTGAAGAACCGGACGTCCGGCAAGGAGATGGATAGCCGGCAGCATCCGTTCTGGCGACCGCGCGCGTTCTGGGAAGGGATGGCGAGTCCAGATACGCCAGAACACGCACACTCCGAGGATACCGATCGAGATCGAGATCGAGATCTTGTGATTAATAACTCGCTGGGCATGCCGCAGCGGCGAATGGTCTTCCAGGGTCCGACGATCCGCAATCTGAAACAAGGCCACGGAACCGCACAGCTTAGTAGCACCCATGTCGACATCATCCGGCGAGGCTCGCCGGCTCTACAACACGGTCAGAAACACTCGCCCTCGCATTCGCGCGGACTACACGTCTTCTCCCTGTGGAGCTTGCAGGCACGGCATCTGCGCCGCCGTCTGCGGCTCGCCCGGCAGCAGCGCGCGGAAAGGAAACGCGAGGCGCGTAGGCAGGAATTGAAGCAGCAGATTGGCGAGGTGATACCGCGCGAGATACTTCAGTGGTGATAATCATGATGTGAATTTGCGACCATAACAACAAATGATCTGATGAGATGATTTGGTGGCCTAGGGATGACGATTATGATACTATTATTCTTCATTTTTTTTTTTTTATTTTTTATTTTCGATGGTTACGACTTTTTATGATTGTTTACGAGCCATGAGATAATGACTAGATGGTGATGTCTTTTTGATTTCAAATTTCTATCCGCTCAATTTCTTCCTCTCGGCGATCGCCATTCTTCCGTACTCTGTCTTTGTAGGTGGCTTGGCTGTAGAAGCGATCTCTGCCGACTGCTTCTTTTCTTTGTATTTCTTATACGCCTCTCCGTCGAGGAAAGGCTGGTCAACCGCTGAAAAGTCCACTTCTGTCGTTGGAACTGCCCTGTCGGTGTTCTTTTCCTGCTCGGGGATGTCTAGAGCGGAGAAGGCGGGTTTGCGTAGTTGGAAGGTTGGAATGGCTGCGTTGGTGTTCGGGTTTAAAGTCTGCTGGGTGGGGGGGTTTAATCTCATTGTATGGTTTAGTATGTAAAGGAGATGGAAAAAAAGAGAAGAGAGATAGAGGAGAGCAGAGTAGGTCGCTTGAAGGTCGAGCGAGGTACGGAGTACGACTGGTGAGAAATGACGTGGTCGTCATTCGACAGGCTACAGTTGCTATCATATTCTCTACACTGCTTATGATTTTTTAGATAAGTACAGTCAACGACTAGACTAATTCCTTATGTGGAAAAAACATTTGCAGTTGTCTAACATGAGATGATCGGACATTTGTTTTTTTTTCCCTTTCCTCCCCTTGCCTTGGGTTGTACGGGTCGTGTCTCTTGTTATATCGGTCGACCTCTACTCGTTGCTGGGCTCATCCTCCTTCTTGGCCGCCGCCTTCTTCTTCTTGTTTTTGTTGCCCTTGGAGCCAGTCGAGCGGGCCAACGGACGCTCCAAGATCTTGAGGATTTCCTCGTCCTCGATCTTCTTGTCGGTCTTGAACTTGGTCAAGTCGGTCGTGGGGCCGGCCAGGCGGGTGATGCCGTTCTTAGTGATGGCTAAACATGGTTAGTATTATGGTAGATACATTATAAAGAAAGGCAAGGAAAGTCAATTACCAATAGTGGTGAACAGGCGCGAAACAGCAGAGCCGTCGGCCTCACCAGCGGGCTCGTACTGTCTCAGAACACCGCCACGGACGCACTCGACAACACCAACCTTGGCGGCCTTCTCGTCATCGAGCTGGCGCAAGCTGAAGGGGAAAGTGCCGAACTTCTTGACCACCTCGGAAAGGGTCTGGCGAGAGCTGGGACGCTTGAGGATGTAGGTGGTGGTGGTGCGGCGGTGGAGGGTAGCGCGGTGCTCCAGAGTCTTGACCTTGCCGGAGCCCAAGCTGAGACCGATCTCCACACCCCAGACCTCACCGACGGCGGGGAGACCCTCGCCCTTGACGCCGGAGCCGGGCGAGAGGATGATCTTCTTGGTGCCCTCGATCTCGTTGCGGTCAAAGAGCCAGCTGGTGGTGTTCTCGACGACAGTGCAGTCGTAAGCCTTGGCCACCTTCTCGATCAGGCCGGTGATCTGGGACTGGGAGTAGGGCTTCTCCGCCGCGGCCTTGGCCTTCTCCTCGTCGGTTCCGCTGGCCAGCAGACCGGGGGGCACCATCAGGCGGAGCAGGAGCTCGTTGGCATAGTGCGTCGCGTGGATCAAGTCTGCCTCACGGCCGCTCACCTCGCCCTCGGCGGCCACGATGACCATGTCGCAGACAATCGTGCCGAATCCATCGATCTGAGCGCCCAGCTGGACCTTTGCAACCTCACCGGCCTTGAGCGTGGTCTCGGCCTCCTTGGCATCCGACACCAGCGGCGTGTAGGGCGTCACATACGAGCTGGGAGAGACGGTAGTGGGGTGAGAGATACCTGTTCCTTATTTTAGTACAACTTCCTTCCTTTTTCTTCTCTTTCTCTCTTCTTCTTCTTCATTTTTACCCACCCTTGGCGATCTTCTTGCCCTTGTAGACCTTGGCAATCTCCTCCTCCAGCAGCTCATCACCCTTCTGGCAGATCTCGACGATCTTGGCACCCTCCACGCACAGAGCTTTATCACATCAAGTCAGTCGAGCTACTTTTCCAGGACACGGCGGGCGTCACGCAAACACACCTGAAACGGCCTCGAGGACTTTGTGCGAGATGGTCGCCGCGGTCTTGTACTTGGTCAAGGTATCGGGGTTGTTGAGGGTGTAGTCTATCGCCGTCAGCTTCTTCCAAAATCACTCCTATTCCCATCCTCTGCAGAATTCTGCAGAGCTTTTCCTTTAGAGAAAATCCCGGGAAAAAAAAAACATTCACACAACCACCACGCCGGTTACCTACCAACCTCGGGAGCCTGTGTCTCGGCCATGATGATAGACAGGTAGCTGTAGGATGGGAAAACGTAAAAAATAGAATCAAAATCAAGCGTAGAACAGCGTCCAAGGCAATTCCCTGACGCAGTCGTGTGCTCTGGCGGGGTCTTGGTCTTGGTGGGGAGCTCAGCCCAGCGTTACATAACCGCCTGGGCTTTAACGAGGGTTCGCCAGACCGCCTCACGTCATGACCGGCGAGAGAGAGGGACGAAGCTGGCCGGGCAGGCTGTTACCCCTCATTCAGCCAGTCCGCAGGAGGAGAGGTGTTTCAGCAGGGTCCAATCATGGCTGAAGGTTGACGCGGAGGTGATCTAAAGTACGGAGAGTGTCATGATCTGTTGTGACTCTAGAAAGCTGCCTAACCACTTCATCAGACTACTACCAATTACAAGACTACTATTAATCACAATGAAGGCGACTCCCGAGCTGCCTCTGCGGATCTTGACGCATAATATCCGGTATGCTACCTCGGCGCCGTTCAAGGGGGAACGGCCGTGGGCGGATCGCCGACAGCTGCTCATCAATGAGCTGGAGCACAACACCCGGCACTGTCCGGACAGCTTTGTCTGTCTACAGGAGGTGCTCCACCAACAGCTGGTAGATATCCTGAACGGACTGAACGACCACGGCGAGACACCGGTGGCAGCAGAGGCCCCGCGGTGGGCGTACATCGGTGTAGGCCGCGACGACGGCCGGCAGGCGGGCGAGTACTCGCCCATCTTCTACCAGCCCGCCGTGTGGGAGCTACGGCACTGGGAGACCACCTGGTTGTCGGAAACGCCCGACCGGCCGTCGAAGAGCTGGGATGCCGCCTCGATCCGCATCGTCACCAGCGGCGTCTTCACCCACCGCACCAGCCGCCGCACCGTGCTGGCCATGAGCACGCATCTGGATGACCAGGGGGCAAGGTCTCGCTTCGAGGCCGCGAGCATCATTCTCGCCAAGATCGATGAGTATCGCGCTCACGACACGTACGGGCCCCTGCTGGCCGGCGTCTTCCTTGCCGGCGACTTCAACAGCCGAGACTACCAGGAAGCCTACAAGGTACTGACAACCGACCTGGCCGACGCTTTCCATGCGGTCAACCCGGTGCGCCGCTACGGCAACCTCAACACCTTCACGGGCTTCAGTGCGGAGGACGAGTCCCCCAAACGCATCGACTACATCCTCTTGGGCCGGGATGATCCCTGGTCCGTCCAAGGCTACGCCGTGCTGGCGAACCGTTTCGACGATGGGGTTTTCAATTCCGACCACCAGGCGGTGATAGCCGATGTTTCTCTTCACAACCACCAGGAATAATTGCACCATACCCCCCCCCTGGGTTGTTCCATTAATGCATTTCCCCACAAGCCCCCCCCCCCCCCCTGTAACTAGTTTTCGACGCGCTGCCTGTGTGTCCCCCCCAGCATGACTAATCAATCACGTGATTTAATACAGCGCCTGAACGTAACGATACCGTTTCTTACAACCATCGACGGTCGCGCAGCATCCAAAGCAACGCCAGCAGCAGCTGGAAAACGTCAGTCGCAGGCCTTAGATAGAAGCGAAGAGAGATCTCGCACCGTCTGCCGTCTCTCCAGCGTCTGCCCGGCGTCTTTGCTGCCCTCCCCCCTCGCTCCTTGCTCCCTGCTGGACGCGAACGGCCACTTGTAAGCTGTAACCACCAGAGACTCCCAGTTCGCAACTCGCCGCCGTTTCTCCCTCGTCCGTCTCTCCCACCCAGCAAAAAACGGCCACGGCAGAGCGTCCAGTCCCACGAACAGCCCACGCGGCGTCTCAACCGTCTGAAATACTCCTGGAGAAGCGGCAGCAACCCTGAACGAGCCTGGATTGAGGCGTTTTCTCGGCCTCCCCAGCTGCTCCGCCGCGCTCAGCCGACTCTCTCTTTGCTGGACCAGACGAGACCAGACCAGACCAGACCAGCCAGACCCATCCGTTGCCTCGTCCTGGGCCTTTTCCGACCGCGAAGGCTGGTACGTATCCCGTTCTTTTCTTGTTGGCATTGGCTTCTTTCCCTCCCGGCCTTGTCTTTTGCTTTTTTTTCTTTTCCTTCCTTGAAAGACGCTGCTCTCTCTTTGTGCCTGGCTCGATGGCAAGCTGCTTCGGCTGTCTCCTCCGCGCCGTGCGCCCGTCTCGCGCCGCGGCCCATCTCGTCGCGATAAGCTCCTACTTTAATGGCTGATGGCTAATTCGGTGCTGTTCACCTTCTATCTAGGTCTCTAGATGATGCAGAGGCGCCCATAACTGCATTGTATTCCTGTTTGTTGTCCTTCGGCGAGTGATACGTCCCAACGCAACCGTTTTCGTGAAACCAGCTCGGCCAAGGCCGCTCGGTTTTTTTTCCCTCCCCCCTTCCTCTCTCGCCCGTTCGAATCGAAATCATTCAATGCCTTCTCCGGAGCTTGTATCAGGTGGCGCGGAGCCAGAGGCTTTGTCGGGCCCTGCTCAGAACAGTTCTCACCTGCCCGACGCGGACGCCAATCATGACGCTTCCTTGGAACAACAAACAGCCCAGGGCCCCGGACAGAATGCCATCTCGGAAGGCAAACAGAATGCCCGAGCGGTGCTCGCCGCGTCGGGGCTGTCGTTGCCAGCGGGTGGCGCTGAGAACGAGACAATGCCGGTGACGGCTGGCCCTTCTACCGAGACAAACGGGTCGGTGGCGAGCAGGAAACGGTCGCATGATGGCGAAGCCATCCCAGCAACCGACGGTCTACCCGTCCGTGTGCGCGAGACGCTGGCGGACAAGATCCTGCTCGATCAGTATGTGAACCGCGAGTTCCATTACTCTGCCCTGGCTGCCTGGAATCCCCCCAACCAGGCGATCCACCATCAGAAACGGGTGGAACGCGACTACTATCTCGCCTTGCGTCGCGAGGCCCAGATAGACCCGGGCTCGGTGTATGGAGTCGGCTACGAAGGGTTCGGCAACGCCCGGACGGATCTCAAGAACCAGCACCCGCAGCTGCTGTATCCCGGCCATCGACGCCGGCCGGGGAACCGCAAGACCCGCGAGCTCCGGGTCTCGCGCTCCGACCTGAAGGTGCAGAATGAGCAGATCGAGGACCTCGTTCCCATCCGGCTCGACATCGACTGGGAGAAGGTCAAGCTGCGCGACACCTTCACTTGGAACCTGCACGACCGCGTCGTCTCGCCCGATCTATTTGCCGAAAAGCTCGTCGAGGACATGGGCCTCCCTCTCGAGACGTGCACGCCGCTGATCCGCATGATCTCGCAGAGCATCCACGACCAGCTCTCGGATTATTACCCCCAGGTCTTCCTCGAGCAGGATGCCCTCGACCCACATCTCCCCTACAGTGCCTATAAGGATGACGAGATGCGCATCCTGATCAAGCTCAACATCACGATCGGCCAGCACACCCTGGTCGACCAGTTTGAATGGGACATCAATGACCCCCACAATTCGCCCGAGGATTTCGCCCTGCGCATGACCAACGACCTGTCGCTGTCTGGCGAGTTCACCACTGCTATCGCCCACTCAATCCGCGAGCAGTCTCAGCTCTTCACCCGCTCACTCTACATCGTCTCACATCCCTTTGATGGCCGCCCCGTCGATGATCCGGACCTCAAGGCCGCCTTCCTGCCGTCCCCGTTAGCCTCTTCTTTCCGTCCCTTCCAAGCCGCCAAGGAATACACCCCTTACCTTTACGAGCTGAACGAGGCCGAGCTCGAACGCACAGAGGTTTCGATCTCGCGCGAGCAGCGCCGCCAGAAGCGCTCCGTCAACCGCCGCGGCGGGCCCGCCCTGCCAGATCTCAAGGACCGCCAGCGCACCATCCGCACCATGGTGGTCTCCTCGGTGATCCCCAACTCGGCCCCCAGCATCGAGGAGAGCAATGTCTTCAAACGCACAGGCTCCAGCCGCCACCGCCGCTCGGCCGCCCAGCGTGACGGCGGTGATGACTCGGATGAATCGGATAGCGACGACTCGTCCATCGGCTCACCCGCCATCGGTCCCCATCTGGCCCAGGGCACCGCCCGGACCAGGGGTATGCGAGGCGCCGCAACCGCCGCCCATGCCGCGCTGCGGGCCAGCCTAGGCCAGTCGGCTACCCCGGAGCCCTCGTTGCAGCAGCCGCAACCAGCGCAGCACCTGCAGCACCTCGCCCACCAGCAGGAAGCAGGCAGCCGACTCGCGGCGCGACGGCAGAACTACCGTGAGGAGAGCGTCGAGGAGCCCGAAAAGTTGGTGGTCAAGCTGCGCATCTCGCGAGAGCGCTTCCGCCAGTTCCTCGCCGACCTGAAGCTCCGCAATAGTCGGCCACAATCGGTCTCCAACCTGTCGACCTCCCAAAGCAATACCCCGCTGATACAGCCTTCCTCGATCCCCCCCGCCGCGGCTCCCCTCCAGGCCCGCCCTCCTGTCCCCGCCTCGACGACCCAGCCGCCCGTCCCGGCGCAGCAGATTGGCGCCGTCGATGCTCCCCATCCCCCGCAACCGGGTGTCCCAGGTGTAAGCTCTCTCTCTCTCTCTCTCTTCACTCTTCTGTAAATGGACTCATCTGATGACTTTGCAGCCCCCCCCTCCCAGCTGGCTTGTCTCGGGCCTCGCCCAACTCAATCGTGCGTATCCGACCCATTCCTTCGAGGGCGTCATGCGCTACTCCGCCGTCGACATGGAAACCATGCTCCCTGTCGCCAACGCAACGGCCACTCAACCAGGCCAGCGCCTGCGGTACCAGTATCTCCCACGCATCCGCTGTCACGATTGTCCGGGTAAACTGTACACGCCCGGTCCGGGGATGACAGTGGACAACTTCGAGGTCCATCTACGCAATAGGCAGCATAAAGAGCGGGTAGAGGAGAGATTGGCCAAGAATGCTTGAGGGCCTGTCCTCTGCATAAGGCGAGGGAAAAACTACTTGGTGGACGTCGGTTTTTTTTTTTTTTTTTTTTTTTTTTCTGTTCCTTTTTGGATTGTAAATGTAAAACATCCCCGGCTGTCTGTCTGTCTGATTACAGTTGGATTTCTTTTCTTTTTTTTTCTCTTTTTTTTTTTTCGTGGACTCTTGGACCTGGTATAGCGAGCGTTTCTTTTCGTTTCTTTTCTTTCTACTCTTTTTTTTTTTTTCTACCAGCTGGCATCGTCAATATAATTGATGTCTTCGTAAATATCATTGATCATTCATAAGACTGGTTTGAACAGCAGTAGCAGAGTAGTAGATAAAATAAGTACTGGGATGCGATCTGATCTACTGACAATTTGATAAGAGCAGGTGGGTATACATACATCATCAAGTATGACACGAGTAGAGAGAAACGGAATGGAATAGAGTAGACGAAATTGAATTGAAATGGAATCAGATCACAAATGAGAACTTTCAGTGGCTTCTGTAGGCTATACAATCACAACAGACATGAAACAGACGGGGTGGTACAGGAAGTTGATATTTCTTTTCAAGAAGGAATATCTCCCTCTCAGCGCCGTCTCTTGCCCTTACTCGGCGGCGGGGTATCAGGGGCGTCGGAGAGTTCCTCGTCATCACTGCTCCCGAGGTCAAGGTCCTGGGATCGAGCAGGTCCGTCGTCTTGGTCGTCCTGGTCATCTTCGTCACCATTCTCCTCGCCCTCTGCTTCTTCTTGTTCTTCTTCTTCTTCGTCGTCGTCGTCGTCGTCGACATCACTGTCCCGGTCCGCATAGTTGACTGCTTTACTGCCCCGGCTACTCCGTCGACGACCAGCAGCGGGCGCCGCGTTCGCAACACCCCCGTCAGACGACCAGTCGTCCTCGGTCTTCCTTTTCTTCTTCGCTACCTTGGGCGTGCCGGCGGCAGAAGACGACTTCCGTCGTCGCGCGGAGGTTGATGCCGATGAGGCCGATGCCTTGGGCAGACTGTCTTTCCTGGCTTTCTTCGTCGCGCTCGAGGGCCCGCCGCTACCACCACTGCCCCCGTTCAGATCGTAGGGCTCGGGTTTCCTTTTTCTGACCTGGCTTTGCGATCCCGCTCGCTGCGGCCTCATTGCCGCCCGTACAATCTGCTCCAGCAGGTCCTCAACCTCGTCAGGAAGGAAGTTCTTCTCCGCAACCGCCTTTGATTCTTGATGGCTCGTCATCGAAGCAAAGATGGCGCTCGGAAGCCCCGCCCGCCCGGGGTACGTTTCGAGGATGCTGGCGCCGCCCGCGCCCCCGAATTTGTGCTGCTGCGAGTAAATATCAGCGAACTGACGGATAGTGGCCTGCGCCAGGTCCGAGAGGGTGTGAAGCCGTGTTGTGATCTCCTCGGACTTGGTGATGCCGTCGCGGGTTTGCTTCACGCGCTGTGCAATGTGGAAGATCAGCGACAGATTCTGCTCGTTTGCCACAGCGAGCAGATAGAACACGATGTAGCGCGCAAAGTCTGCCAGGTCCGTCACCTGTGTCGCCTCATCCAGCTGTGAAGGTGGGTAGTCCGGGTGGTAGGCGAGGATGGACAGCAACCGAGAGAAGATCGATTCCATAACCGTCTGCTGCTCGCCCTTCTTGGCCGTTTGGTTCTGCTGGCGGAAAAAGGTGGCTCTGGAACGGAGCCAGGTGAGGGTATCGTTCTTCAAGTTCGCGTTCGGCTCGAACGCAAGCAAGCAGGGAATCGTGTACCATCTGGCGCTCAAAAACGAATCCGTGACAAGTAACCTTTTCAGGTAGTTAATATATCCGCTCCGCACCTGTAAGATGGGATCCTGCGCCACGAGGCTGATGGAGTTAAAGTCCGTAGGGTCCAACAACTGGTCGCAAATGCGAGCGGATGAGCACAGCTTGAGAAGCAGTCGAGCAGCGACCAGGCGCAAATGAGATTTCTGCGTTGCCGGAGTATCCTTCTTCTTCGACAACTCTCCTTCGTCGGACACAAGTTTGTTCAAAGTGTCATAGACAGGCTTGGCTTGTGTGCGGAAACCATCGTGATCATCGGACGTTTTCTGGGCCCGAAGGCGGTTGACGATAATCTTCAGAGCCCATTCCTTAGCGGCTGTTTCCTCAGTCACAGTATCTGACCAGGCGTATCCAGAGTTTGCTTCAGGGGAGCGGTTCTTGAGCAAAATTTCATCCAATGCAATAGAGACGATGGCGTCGCTTTCTTCACTCGCCTCTTGTGAAGCCAAGAGACAAAGCTGCGAGAGTGCCGCCAGCCTCGTCAGAAAACCATTGGATCCGTATTTCCAGTTGTTAACACACTTGTCGATCAGGTCTTTCGCATACATAGCTTTCTTGTCAGCGATGACCATGAGGATAGAAACTGCATGTTTGGCAGCCCGGGGCGATGAGCTATAAAGCGCGTAATTCGCCAGAGCCTGCAGGAATTTGCGTTCTTTGGGAAGCTTTGCTGGGAACTTCTTCGCGAACCCTGAGCAAGCCTTGAGGATTTCTTCCGTCTGTGCGTGGTTGGTTGAAGCGGCCTTGGGCGCTTGCGATTCTAGGTCCTTGCAAATCTCCTGAACCTGCGCTTCCAACACTTCTGCATTTCGCGAGGAGATCTCCTTGAGCATCTCATGTGCCACGTTACCCAATCCCTTCTCGTCTGTCCGGGACAAACTAATGATGGCAGGGATATGACTCCGGTTAAAAATCAAGGAACTCGAGCGAAATAGCAGTGGAGTAAGAGACTCCATCAAAACACCGTTGTTTGAGCTTTGGACTCTTCTCGTGAGTTCCTTGATGGCCTTTATGACCGTGCGGTAGTCACTGACTGCGGCCATGGCAAAGCGGATGAGCTGGTAGTTCCGACGATCATGCACTTTAGCGAACTTCCATAGATCTGCACTGGCGCGAGAAGGGTCAGGTAAGGTCTTGGTCAGCCTGTCAACAGCTTGGGTAAGCTGGCTCTTGATATCACTGGCATCTTTCTTAAGGACTCCGCCCTAGTTACCTGGTCAGTACCCTCGTGAAATGGAGAGAAGGGAGGGAGGGGGGGGGAATTATATGCCAGTCTTACATTGTAGTCTTCACAGGCCTTAAGATAGAGGGTCATTGCCGTCCTCATGTGTAACTGGCGTGACTGCATAGCAAAAAAAACCTTTTTGGCCTTTTCATCTACGCCCTTCAGAAGGGTGAGGATGCGCTGGACGCGAATCTTGTCGACATCCGCCTCCGAGACATCCTCCGAGCTCTGGCTATCTTTGCTTTTCTGAGACTGACTCGAAGCCCCCTTGACAGCCTTGGACTTGATAGGAGGATAGTTTAAGGGCAGAAGAATCTCAAAGAGCACACGGTCAATCAATACATGGATATCTGGATCATTGGTGTAATAGGCATCGAAAATCCTCGACGGTGCGTCTTTGAAGAGCGCAAGCATCTGCTCGTTATTATTTTCGATCTCGCCCGCTGCGACGGCCCAGATTCGGCCAAGCGTCTTCATAGCATGCTCACGCACTGATGGCTTCAGATCCTTCGCGCGCTCTGCGAGAATGAAGAGCACCGAATCGGGACTGGAGACACCACCATTGGCACCGAGCACATGGACCACGTGAGATAAGCCAAAGGCACCGACAGCATCCACTGCTGCCAAGCGGACCTTTTCATCTGCATCACGGAGCATGTTGGCAATGCTATTGACCAGGCCTTGCTCCTCACTATCGCTAAGACCGGAACCACCAGCAGAGGTCGAGAGGATCCGGCCCACCACGGTCACCCAAGCCGATCGGACCGATGCGGACTTATCCTGCCGGCGGCTTAAGAAGCTGTTGTACGCGGAGGCATGCGCCTGCGAAAACGGCTTGGGCGAGAGCGGTGTGAGAAGGACGTTAGGCTGAGGAATGGTCTGCGCATATTCAACCAGAGTTACTGGTGGGTATGAGGCAGGGTCCATTGGAGGAGCGGGGGGAGGGCCAGCAACGCCGATGCCTGCCGCGAGGTCGCCAATTGTCTGTGTGGCCAAAAGGCGAAGCGAGACGGACTCTGCGGACAGCTCCGCCTCCAGCTGGGGCACGACATTCTGGAGCACGTCGGGACAGGCCCTCCAGAGCTCCCGGATCAAACGATGAGCTTTACTAAGCTCTTTGATGTCTTCGCTATCTTCATCGGAATCGTCCAGATTCGGCTTGCGATGAGACTGCTTGGAGCCGTTGGAGTGGGCTGAAGGGCCCGAGGCATCGATGATGACATTGTTAAAATACTGGCTGATGTGGCTCGTCATGCGTTCCGGACAGGCCTGACATATTGCTTTGGCCATATTGTAGGCCGGTGGGTAATCCTTCAGCAGCAAGGTGTCTTGTTTGGTGTCCGGCGGAGCGTCTGTCTTTTTGCCCTTCTTTGCCGGCACGTTCATGGCACGGGGATCTACCCGCAGAAACTGGGCAACAATTACATCGACGACCTCTGCCGCAAGCACAGGGGTCTCGTCGATGATGGTGACGAGCAAGCGGGTCATGTCGAATTCGACATTCTTGGCGATCTCCTCCCCAGTTGACGACTTGGACGAACCCGAGACGATGTCAAAACAAGCATAAAACAAGGGAATAATCAACGAGTCCGGATGGTCTAGGTCAGTAAGGAGCACGACGCTCTTCACCTCGGCGAGCGAGTTCAAAACGTAGATATGTTGTGCATTGTACGCATTGGACGGGTCTGCGAGAGCAGGTATGATAGACGACACCACGCACGTGAATATATCCTACAAGCAGTCAGCTAGCTCTTCCCGAGCAAAAGAAAAAGAAAAAGAAATAAGAGCAGTGATGTCTGTGATAGACTCGGTTTCCCTTTTCCATACGAGGAGAGATCACGCACCTTAAGCTGATTGCCCGTAAAGGGCGCGTCGGGGGCGCAAAGCCGCAAGACATCGACGATGCAGCATATCGCCCACGCCCTCACCCCCTTATCCTTGTGGCCCAACAGATGCGCCGTGGCGAGTTCCTGGGCGACCTTGTTCAGAGAGTCCTTCTCGACCTCCTCCTGCTCCAGTTCGCGCAGCTCCTGCGCGAGAGTCTGCAGGCGGTCGAGCAGATCAGCCACGGGGATGGCCGAGCGTCCCACACGCCATGACAACGGCTGGCTGAACTGCAGCCGGCGAAGCTCGGGGCTCAGATCCTCCGCCTCCACCACCTCGGTCGTCGAGACGCTGCCTCGGGTGCGCGCAGGCATTGTTTGGGCGGGCTGCGCGGGGAAGCAGTACCAGGCGACTTCAGCAGACCATCAGACAGTTCGGCAACGGGGAAGATTCCAGGGGCCAGTAAACCCACTCGAATAGCCAGCTCTCGCGAGACGAGACCGGCAGGAACCAGCAACACGATGACAGCAGCCGCAGGGGACGATGGCGATGGCGAGTCTCCAGCCTCTGCTCTGGGCTGATATCCTGAAGGAGAAGGAGAAGAAGCAATTCGCGCGGGCACGTTCACCGCCTTCCTGGACGGGAAGGCCCGGGACGCGTCGCCTGCGCGTCGTTTCAGCCTTTACGGAGCAACTGCTTGAGACGAGACGACGACAGATTCAAGGACGATTACTGACGGTCCTGCCGGGCATTTGAAGAGAAAGAAGCTAGGGAGATGCATTGCGGCTGCGGCTGTCGCTCATGGCTTGCTGTCTGTGGGAGAGAGAGACTGGTGGTACGGAGTACGCGAGTGAGTGACTCTTACGATTAACCTGTCGGACTGCTCAGGGGTCCAGAATAACGATGAGTAGGGATCATTGACGATGCAGTAGTATGAGCTATGCATCGGCTAACTACTCAGTAGTTTGTATACTACATAATACGAGTACTCCCTTGGGCAAGGGGCGAAGGGGTTGTGGTACCGGAGTACATACGAATACGGAGAAAATCATGGCGTTCGCTTGATAAGCTTAAAGAATCCTTCAGCGAGCTTCTCGAATACGACATTCATTCTCAATGACTAGGGGCCACATTCGGAGGAATCCGTCACCGAGTAGTACTTTGTGAGCACTGACTGGGTTCTCATCGCCACGCGCGACGGGATGCCAGATTCCGTCCACCGTCAGTGAGTGAGACACTGGCGATCAATACGACGCGATTGATAAGAGCTCGGCAGCCGACAAGAAGCGAAGTGCCGATTACTCATAATAATACTGGTACCCCTGGTCCCTTGCCCTGTTTTGACAGGTCGCTAGCTTCTTCCAGACTTCCATGGGCTCTCCGGTGCTGGAACCCACAACCTCCTTTCTGTTCTTATGGCCGGTGCCTCGGCCTTATCGCGCTTCGAAAGCCCGACAGCACAGCATCCATGGCTGGGATGCGTCTGGGATACGCGAATAATGCTTGCCGTCTGCGAGTGTAGACCAATGATGCTGTGCTTTCCCCACTGACGTGCTGACTACCAGGTGGTTCTGCTCTTACCGACGCCACACCGATGAAGGAGATGTCGATACTACTACCGCAAAAATAATAAAAATAATAATAAAAATAGATAAAAAAAAAAAAAAAACAACGTCTACGACGACCACAACCACAGCCGCACCCGCATCAAAGATGAGTATTATTCAAATCGCACGAAGGATACGATTGACATCATGGGAACCAGTGCTTATCCTAGTCTGGACCGTCAGCCCTGGGCTGTCTATTCTCTACAGCCGGACTTAAACTGGGAATATGGACATGGGCATTACTAATGCTCCGTGGATACTCCGTGCTGCCTCGTTGGGAACTATGAGCTTGGATGGGTCCTACAGGCAAATCATATTCCCCCCCCCCTCATCGTGTTGGTACCTAATAATATTTAGCAGCATATAAGACTATGATAGATCCACCTCGGTTCCCAGAGGAGGTTTGAGTCCAAGAAACAAGTTAATATTGTTACCACTTTTTGCATTATCATCCTTTTAATTCATTGAATTTTCGATTCTTAAGATCTATAACTCGTCACACCAGACATACTTTTATAGAAATCATCACCATATAGATCACCACCCATGGTATCTACACAAGAAGAAATGCAGAGGGACAGTGCCGACTCGGCCAGTACAACACCGCGTTTAAGTATGGACAACACCGACGAGGCGACTCTAGAAAAGGTGGAATCGGCTTTCCCCCAGCGGAGGCGAGAGTCCTTCGTGGGTGACATGGAAGCCGATGAGCGCGACATCGAACGAGCCGAAACCGAGAAGGAACAGGGAGGCGCCGCGGGACAAGCTGAGAAAGACCCGAACCTGGTTGAATGGGATGGCCCCGACGACCCGGGCAATCCCCAGAATTGGCCGGTGTGGAGGAAATGGGTGATCACCATGTCGCTCTCATCGATGACCATGTGGATCACCTTCGCCAGCAGTGTCTTCTCGACCGCCACGATCGTCACAGCCGAGGAGTTCCATACCTCCACTGAGGTCATGATGCTGGCAACCAGTCTGGTGGTCTTTGGTTTTGCTGTCGGTCCGCTCGTTTGGGCGCCGCTCAGCGAGCTGTATGGTCGCAAGCTGCCCCTGTTCTTTGGCTACGCGGTGTTTGCGATCTTCCAGATTCCCGTCGCCCTCGCGCACAACCTCGAGACCATCCTGATCTGCCGCTTCTTGATCGGCATCTTTGGCTGTTCTCCCCTGGCCGTGGTCGCCGGCGCCCTTGCCGACTTCTGGGACCCCGTCGATCGTGCTGTCGCCGTGGCCTTGTTCTCCAGCGCGACCTTTATCGGCCCCGTAGCCGGGCCCATTGTGTACGTCCATTCCATTGTCAGGGTTTATCTTGTTTTGTTTTGTTTTGTTTTGTTTTTTTGTTTTGTTTTTTTTTTTTGCTAACAGCTCATAAAGCGGTGGTTTCATTGTCGATTCATCTCTAGGCTGGCGCTGGACTGCCTGGATCACACTCATCACCTCGGGCTTCTTTGGGCTCATTGCCTTCGTTATCGTGCCGGAGACTTATGCTCCGCGACTTTTGCAGAAGCGTGCCGCTCAACTACGCAAGGAGACCGGGAATGAGGCCCTGCACTCCTTCATGGATGTACACAAGCCAAGCTTCCACGATATCATTACGAGATACATTCTGCGCCCGCTTCAGATGCTCGTGCTCGAGCCTATCCTGCTTCTCATCACGCTCTACCTGGCTCTCGTCTACGGTATCCTCTACCTCTTCTTCGAGGCCTACCCGATCGCCTTTGAGGAGGTCCGTGGCTGGACGAGCGAGGGTGTCGCTGCGCTGCCCTTCCTCTCCATCATGATTGGCGTGCTTCTGGGTGCAGCCCTCATCATCTACCTGACCAAGACCCGGTTCGCCGCCAAGCTGAAGAAGCATGGCCGCGTGGTCCCCGAGGAGCGCCTGGTGCCCATGATGATCGCGTCTGTCCTGCTGCCCGTGGGCCTGTTCTGGTTTGCCTGGACGTCCAAGGCCAGCACCAACTACTGGCCCCAGGTGATTGCGGGCGTGCCCATCGGGATGGGCATCCTGGTCATCTTCATGCAAGGCTTGAACTACATTGTCGACGTGTATCTGATGTTCGCCAACTCGGCCATCGCCGCCAACACGCTCATCCGAAGTGGTCTGGGTGGTGCGTTCCCCCTGTTCGCCACCCAAATGTACGACGCCCTCGGCGTCGACTGGGCGACCAGCCTGCTCGGCTTCATCACCGTTGCCATGATCCCCATCCCAATCCTGTTCTACATCTACGGCAAGAAAATCCGCGCGATGAGCAAGTTCGCCCCGAAGTTTTGAAGTCAAAAAAAAAAAAAAAAGGAAGAGAAAGAAGAAATGAAAGAAAAGAGAGAGAAGAAAGTAAAAGAAGATTTCCCCGATCTCTCGATCTCAATCGAGTATCTTACTTTATCTCTTTACTCCCCACCTAGGCATCAGCCGGGACACACCACGTCCTGGCGGTCCACGGGGGAAGACCAACCCATCAAGCCACTTTGAAGCAGGCTGAATCCATTCGACTCCCCGACTGTTTCTAGCCCACTGTCCGTGTCTTCACCGGACTAAGTACTCCGTACTATTGTGTCCACTACAACCATGTTAATGTTTATACTTACCACTGTTACTTGATAATAGTTCTACGGCCGCATATATAGACTAGACTATAGATTTCTAATTCATACACTACATATTTATCTCCTCTATTGTATTCTGTACTGTTTACTCTCCCTGCTAACCGGGACGATCGCCAATCAAGAGTATGCATATGCAGACTGATCCTCCAGTAGGTATATTATATATCTGATAAGCTTAACGTGTACCTAATACAAACTATACCCACACCAAGTAACTAATTAGTAGACAACTCTTATACTAGGTACCTACTACATGCTGTCTAGACAAAAATCACCAAGTACAAATGTAGAGCGTTGAAAAAGATCTCATATACTATAGTGTTATTACAGTGAACGCCCACATATGCTCGCTAGAACGCCACGCAATGCCAAGGTACGCTGTTCATTTAAAAGAATTCCTGTCTTACGAATCCTCCGCTTCCGCGTGCTGTTTCTCTTTCTCTTTCCCCTTGTTGTTGTTCGGCTTCAGCGCGTCGATCGCCTTGTGCACTTCGTCACTGGCAGCCCGCTCGATCTCGGCCTTGGTCTCCCCCTCTAGCGACTGCATGCCACCTACCAAGTCGTACAGCCGGCGCGAGATCATCCGGTTGATGTCCGTGTATTCGTCTTTGGTGACCGCTTTGCTGCGATAGAACGGCTTCAAAGCCGCCCCGACAAGCTTCTGGACTTCCGACTTGACTGGTAGGGAGAGATTGGGCCGGCTAGAGGAGGAGACGTCGTGGGGCCGAGCGACAGTGCGGCGCGGTTGCCCGTTCTCCTCCTTCGTGTCCCGGGTAGGTGATGATGATGGGGAAGGTGAGGACCATAGAGACGTGAGGGTGGGCGAGAAAGGTGGCGAGGAAGCTTCCAAGGGAGGCGATAGTTGGATGGGGGACACAGGCCTCGTTCGATGTGGTGGCGGGGTAACAGAGGAAAGGCGCGGGGAGGAGTGATTCGACGGGACCGGGGATAGGGAGGGTGACGAGGGGCCCGGGCTGGCCTGCTCTGCCGGCGTGTTCGACGCATGGCCAGACGGCCCGTACGAGGGTCGATGGCTCGAGTCCTCAACCTCCTTCAGCAGGGATTGGAGGAAGCTGGGCCCGCTGCTGGGATTCTCGGCGTGGATGCGACTCGACGCCTGCACACTGGCCGATCTTGAAGACTCGCCGTTTTGCATCGCTAGCGCGGCCAGTTCCTCAGGCCGACGCGTTCTCGGACGCTTCAATTTGCGTTCCGGCTCGGTCGGTTCGGGTGACGGGGATAGCGTAGGCTCTTTGCGCTTCCGCGCGGCGTTGGGATTGTTCTCAATCTCCCTTGCTCGCTCAAACGCGTTCCAGGCTCGCATCTCTTCCAGCGACTCGGGCTCCGGGGTCGGGGCGCGGGGCACCCGCGGTCGGGAGGGCCGTGGCGCCTCAATGTCGAGCAGAGCAGCCGAGTCGAGAAACCGACTGCCTCCACCCTGGCGTTCGGCCACTTCGAAGCGGCGTTGCCAGGCTCGGAATTCGCGTTGGTTCGCCGCTTCACGGCGCCGTTGCTGCACCAAGCGCTCCGCGGCCCGCTCGTCATCAAAGGGGAAATCCAGGTCCAGATTCAGATGATCCCAGACCGACTGCCACACCCGAGCCCAGTGAAGATCCTGGATCTGGTTACTACTCTGCAGCCTCCGCTGCTGGGCTCTCGTGCGGCGACCACGGAGGGACCCCAGTCGGGGCGGGCGTGTGACTGTCTCGGAGGCCCCGATGGCCCGTTGCGTCTCACACTGGTCACAGTACCAATTTCCGGGGGGGACCGCGTCCAACCCGACGCAGTAGGTATGGTAGGCCACATCGCAGCCATCACACAACAGCAGGACCTCCTCGTTGTCATCATTGCCGCAGACTGGACAGGGTTGAAAATCGGCGAGATCGTCATCAATGTAATCGATGATCATGGAAGGATCCACGTCGGCGACCTGCACCCGATCCTCCACCGCATACGAGGAAGTCACGGGACCTACAGCCATCGGTCAGCCGGAGAACCAAATAACCAGTCTATTTCTCTTCTTTCTCTGTTCATATGAGACATACCTCCCGGCCGATCACTTAGCTCGACGATATTGAAGCTGCGACGGCAGATAGGGCAGCTGTTGGCCCGCTCCACCCAGGGCTTCAAGCAGATATTATGTAGGATATGGCCGCAGGGCAACAGCTGAGCGATCTGCCCGGCATCATCCGACGCATCATCGCTTTGCTCGCCGTCCGTTCTGGAAGCCCTCCGCCCGACCAGAGCTGCCTCGACCTCAGGTCTTGGCACGGGCTCGGCGGCAAGAGGATCGCTGGCGCTTTCGCCAAGGTCTCCTAAACAAACAATACAGGTGTCTGACATTGACAGAAGGATGGGTTCCCGGAGTGACGACTGCAGAACGTTGAGAAGGCATGAAGAGCAAGTCGAACAAGGGGGAAAAAAAGGAGAGGGGGGGGGAGAAGAGAAGAGGAGGGAAGAGAGGAGGAGAGGGAGAGAGTGTAGAGAGAGTCAAGAGGCGCTGGCTGAGAGCGTGTGGGGAGGAGCAGGCCGCCTTTTGAAGTCGACCACCCGCCCGGTCTAACGCAAAGCAGACTGGAGGAGAAACGTGACCCGGGCCATGGTATTATAGAGTATTTATTAGGCGAGGGCGAAAAGGACCACTCAACACGAAAGGCAGAACAAGGAAATTCCGGGGAGGGAGGGGCTATAGGAAGGGGTCAATCGGCAGAGGGGAATTACTACGTGCTGGTATGCTGGTTTTGCCATGGCTGTTCTATAACGGAGTCGCGGCTGACCGCTCCGAGGGCTGCCGGAGAGCCTCCCTGGGAGTTCTGTGCAACACAAAAGACAGCTCATGAACAGGGCAGAAGGAATAAGAAACTCGCCGAGGAAAATAGATGTAGAGTCTTATTATTAAGCGTGGTTGGATCTTGAACCAAGCGTCGTTGCAAATGACCTGGTCAACACCGGAATGGCGTCTACAGAAGAATGGAGAGGGGAAAGTTGCCGACCGAACAAGACAGCCATTAACCACCGATCGATCACTACGGTTATTGAAGGAATTGTGTCAAGCGGGGAAGAGCAGCCGGATCCTTAGTAAGGTGTATCTTCTGTCTACTTGTGGATTTCGTTAATCAACCAGTCAGGTGAATGGAAAGGCGATAAAAGTGCTCTTGACCGAACAGGTTGCTGCGAGTCGACTGAACTGCGGTCGGATGACTGCCCGGTTCGGAGACTGAAGGTGCGAAATCCCACGTCCCATCGTGTGTCCACTGTCTATTATTTTCGAGCCGACAAGACAGGTAGGTGGCGTGATCCGATAAGAAAGGCCAAATCTTGGGTAAAAAAATTTTCTTTATTTTTTAGACGTCACAAGAAAGAGTTAAAATGAAAGCCCCCATAACGTCATATTTAGACCTCCGCGATTTCTCTCAGACGACGGATGGTGGAACGGGTGGCAGCGGCGGCGGGGGTGCTGTAGTTAAAACAGCCGGTCAGTATGTTCAAAAATGCTAGTCTTTGTCGAATATTGAACCAAGTCCAAAAGTCACCACTTACGAGACAACGTAGGCACCGCCGGCAACGGTCTTCTTGCAAGCCTTGCACTCCCAGATACCAACAGCCTGGCGCTTCACGGTGTTCTTGCCGCAGAAGGTGCAGATGTAGCGAGCGTGCTGGGTCACTTCCATCTTCTTCACCTGCTTACGCAGGGAGGCACCATATCTATAATAACGCCATCGTCAACAAAGTTCCGATTCCAAGGCGTATAATCTTTCTCTTCTTCATTCGAAGTTGTAGTCGAATTTCGTATCGAATTTCTCGGGAGGGGAGAGAGAGAGAGAGAGAGGGCGTAGAGCCTACCTGGTACCGTATTTACCGGTGATACCGACCTCTAAAAAAATATAGTCAGTAACAGAGGATCCAGACAGCTTCTTTTCTTCATCATTGACAACGTACTCTTCGTGCGCTTGGTCATCTTGTCTCGCGGCTGTTGAGGTCGAGATTGGATACAGTGCAGTAAATCGAATTGCACGCGGCTTCGACTTACTTGGGAATGGTTGTGGGTGGGCTCGCTTAGGGCTTGCGCTTGGCGGTCACGTGTATACGATTATGTAATCAGGTCACCACAAGATAACCAACTAGTTACAGAGAAAGAGGTACGGAGTATCCCAGAGTATTTAGCCATTTATTTTTGAATACTCTGGCTTGTCTAATTTAATATTAAACATCTACATACTGAATACAATTTATTACTCTGCTTTCATTATAGCATTATTGATTTCTTGTCACATTTTCAGCCAAACTCCCCCCATTCAACTCGGAGATGGTGGCACTGCCAGGTAACTCTTGTAGCATAGGTCTTGGTTGAGAAAATGCCTCGGCCTCTGATACCCCTGAGCCTGTCCAAACAGGGTCGGTCCCTGCGCCCTTCGATTCTGTGTAGGGAGGGCCAGCAGTGGCAGCGACAGATTTGTATCCCCTGCGACGAAAGAAGAAGAAGAAAGCAAACGCCAGCAATCCCAGTGCAGGAACAATCACACCAACACAGATCCCAGCTACTGCCCCGGAACTAAGCCCCGAATGAGAACTCTGGTGTGTGGATGTTTCCGAAGCAGATGTCGAGGAACTAGAGGTAGTGGAAGTGGAAGTGGCAGTGGTGGCAGTGGTGGCAGTCGCAGTCGATGTTGACGCTGTTGTCTTGGGCCAGCTGACGGGGGCGACGCCGACATCATCTTGTACGTTGAAGAAGGAGCTGAGAAAGAGCCCCGCGGCGCCGCCTTCAGCGGTATAGTTCAAGTTGAATTGACCATAGTAGGCGCCGCCGGTGACGTTGAGGTCGACACGTATCGAGCCGTTGACGGGAACTGTCTGGTTGAAGCCTGAGATGTCAGCGTTATACTGCATTAAAGTACCACTCAGTGCTCGCATCTATCACCAAGACAACAGTTGACTTACTAGGTTCCCACGGGTCTCCACTGAGGTAGTACCACAGCGTCAGATAACACTCCGTCGCGTTTGGCAGGAGAGTCTCCCACGAGACGTCGATCGTGTCGACATAGTTGTACCAAAGCGTGGTGTTGGGAGGCGGGTAGAGAAACTCGCCGGGAGAAGCTGCTGTTTCCATTTCAAAGGGCAAAATTCCAGGGAAAATCTGGTGAAACTACCAACTGCTCTGTGCATAATGTCGCGATAAAACCAGGGAAACACTTAGTTTAACTGCTGACCGTCGTAAGGGGGGGCGGAAGAGTGACAGCCAAGGATTCACTGCAATGACCGGCGTCGCTAAATTAATACTGAAGGCAGCTAGTTCTCGAATCTTGTTGTTTTCTCGAGTTAAATGCCGTGAACATCCTCCAACGATTGTCAGATTGACGTCCCACCACGCCCAATCAGGCTGTTGATAAGCGTTCAGCTCTCAGACCCTTATTCTGTTAGCACATAAGTACTAGACTGGGGGGATTCGGGCATATTCCGCCAGAGGTAGTACGGAGTAGTCATAGTAGGATAAATAATAACAATACCAGCTATAAGCTTACGGTATGTACCTTAGTAGTCAATGTTAATTTAAGAATCACCCTCAATTGGCCAAATCCACTCCATTACAGCCCAGGGGTCCAGCTGTTTGGCTGGGCGCCCCGTTGGGCTGAGCACTAACAGTGAGCAGTGAGCAGTGAGCAGTAAGCATTGGATGGCAATAATAATGCCCCCGTTTTACCTGGCGTTGCGTTGCTGAAACGATTGAAAGCGGTTGTCTTACTCCTTGGTGTGAGTATTTGGATTATCTATGCCTTGCCACAGACAATTAGACGTCTTTTGTGGCAGAGAAGAGTAATTCCAGGCTCACTTGAAGTTGGTACGTCGTAATTCGTATTGGTGCCTCACGTGATGTTAGGTCAGGTGGGGGCGGCCGGGTTTCTGATGGGGGCAAAACAGCTTGACTGACACCTCGGAGTGTTCACTGTTCAGGAGTAACTGGTGCCGGTATGTTGTCCTGCGAGGATGAGATTAGGTGCTAATAATAATAAGCGCAGTTGCATCCCGCCGGTTCTGTTTACAATCGTCGAATCATAATGGACGTCAACACCAACCCCTTGGATGTGATCCTGCTGGGGCCCACAGGCTATACGGGTCGGCTGTGCGCTGAGCACATCGTCCGCCATCTCCCTACGGATCTGAGATGGGGCATTGCAGGCCGTTCGTTGGCGAAACTGGAAGATCTGGCGAGGGAGCTTGAAGATCTGAACCAGGATCGTATCCAGCCAGGTTGGTACACTGCTATATATAACTACTGCTACTGTGTATCCTCAACTAATCAACTATAGAGATCCTGGCGGTGCAGCTCAACCTCGAGGAATTAGGTCCTCTCGTCCAAAAGACCAGACTGCTCATCAACTGCGTTGGTCCATACCATCTGTACTCGACGCCAGTGGTTGAGGCCTGTGCTCTCCATGGAACACACTACATCGATGCGTGAGTTGCCTCAAAAGTGGCTCGGTTGCATGTAGTTGCTAAATCGTTGAAGCACGGGAGAAACTCCGTGGATCCGGACCATTATTGGCAAGTACCACGAGACTGCCAAAGCAAATGGTGCGATAGTGAGTTCTATCTTTAGATCGAAAGGAAATAGGAAAGGCGGCTAATCTTCACAGATAATTCCATCCGTGGGTGTTGAGAGTGTGCCGTCAGACCTGCTCACCTGGTCGCTTGTCAAACGAATCCGCGAGGAGTTCTCCTGCCCGACCAACGAAGTAATTTCCTCAATCAACGATCTCCGGTAGGTAGTCTATAGAGTGAGAGATACAGTGAGTGCTACTACTGACCGGTTAGATCTCCCGGTTTCAGCGGCGGCACTCTCTCCACGGTCCTGACCATCATTGAAAGCCTGTCCTTCTCCGACCTGCTTCATGCCTCCAACCCCTTTGCTTTAGCCGCCCCGTCAGCTCCAAGGGAGACCAAGGCGCTCCCTCGGAAATCCGTCCTGGAGACGGTGCTGGGCGTGCGCTCCGTGCGGGACCTAGGCACCCTCACCACTTCCCCGAATGGGATCGCCGACCAAGCCATCGTCTTTCGCAGCCGGTCCCTAATGCTGGAGCTGTACGGCCCGAACTTCTCCTTCCGACAGTACCAGCGGGTGCGCAACGTGTTTGTCGGCGTCCTGGTCCACTACGCCCTGCTCATCGGCTTGATGCTCCTCGTCCTACCCCCCGTGCGCAGCCTACTCAAGCGTTACATCTATGCACCCGGGCAGGGCCCGCGTCTGAAGAAAACTAACGCTGCCGCCGCAACTACTAACTACGTCGTGGATTTCTGTGCCGTCGCGACGCCCGACCTGCCGCCCGACCAGGCCGCCAAACATGTCTTTGGCCGGATCAAGTTCCGCGGAGACGCATACACTTATACCGGCCTACTACTCGCCGAGGCCGCCATGGTCATCCTGACCAACGAGGAGAAAGTAAAGAAGGTGTCGCGCGGGGGGATCGTCACCTCAGCAACGCTGGGACAGGAATATGTAGATCGGTTGAGTGAGGCTGGCTGTCTGATTGAAAGCAAAGTCTTTGATAACTAAATTACCTTCCATTGTCCCATCGTCTCACACATATATATAATGACAGTCTCAAGTGCTGTCTACAGCTTAAGCGCTGTCTACAGCTTGACCTGCCCAAGTAACCCCTTCAACCACGAGGCCAGAATCTCGTTCACCTCCTGCGGCTTCTCCCACAGTGCCCAGTGCGAGGTATCCACCTGCTCAACGACCGCCTGGGGGATCGTCTTCGCCATTCCCCGGCCCAGATGGGGCGGGAGGGCCGAGTCCCTCTGCGCCTGGATGAACAGGACGGGACAGGTGATTCGGCGGTCGAGAATGGCGAGCTCGTCGTTATGGTTGATTTCGCGGGTGCGGTACCAGTTCACTACGTAGTAAACTGTAAGCTTTTTCCTTCTTCTTCTTCTTCTTCTCTATGAGAGAGACTTACAGGGTCCGCGGACGCCATTCCGTGAGAACTCGTTGGTATAGTATTCCAGTTCCTACATTGGTAAGTATAAAAAATGAATTGCTTTTCTCAATGTACAGACTTACCTCTTCCGACAGCAATGGAGACGGATTAACTCGACCCATCTTGTCCAGCAAGACGCCCTTCTCAACCGCAAAGGCAAGTTCTCCTTCGTCCGTCCGTCCACCGTACAGGGTTGATAGGAAGTTCTTGATATCCTCCCTTGTCTGGATGACCGATTCGAGATCCCCGTCTTTGAACTGCAGCTGGTACGCGAAGTTCGGGAGAATGGTTCTCACGGCGTCCTCGAGAGGTATGAATTTCTCCGACGGAGGCATAAACGGCACGCACACGGTGAACAGCGACATGATAATCTCCGGATGCCACAGTGCGATGCGGTATACCAGCGCAGCGCCCCTTTCCAATAATTAACCAAAGAGAAAACAGGGACATCAAGAGCGAGGGGAATATACCAATCATGGCCACCAAGGATGATCTTCGACTCTCCTAGATGATGAACCAGAGCTTTGATATCATCCGCGCTGTTCTTCTGGGAATATAACGAGAGGTCCTCGGGGGCATCCTAGTCCATCAGTATTTCTGTCCGTTCTTTCAAGGGGGGAGGTGGGGGGGCTGATATTGATTCAAACATACTGTTTGTCCGTATCCAATGCAATCGGGGGCTACGACGCGGAGTCCCATTTCAAGGAAGAGAGGAATCTGATAGCGCCATGCCATAGAGATGTCCGGAAAGCCATGGATCTATCCCAGTCAACTCGGAAAAATCACCTGTAGGCCTGGTCTCGCAAATACATACCAGCACGACCGTGGCGCTGTAGTTACCCGACTCTGGCTGGGCGAGGAGATAGCCTGTGGTTGTTAGTCGATAGAACCATATAGTTGCCATCTCAAGGCTAGAGAGACCGACCGTAAGTTTTGCCATTAATCTCGGCAGACTGACGCTGAACGCGAGGGTCGCCCGATACGTTGATCTTGTCGATAGCCATGTTAGACGGTGGGAGAAGATGGTGATAGTGATACCAGTGAGGTGAGTGTTCCAGGTGGTGCGACAGGTCCACTTTATATTTTGTGAAGGTGATCTACAAGCATGTGGAGACAGTGCATAATTCTACCTTATTGATAAATCTAGAGTATAACTAGACCAAGTATCTGAAGCAGGAATCAAGATATGACCTGTCTGGTGCCTATGGAAGTCTGTATAAGTGTTTTATTAAGCTAGGGTGGACATGGTCGCTACTTCGTTGGCATACTACGTAACTAGGAGCATCAAGGATATAATAAGAATACAATCGGACATCTATAATACCTAAGGAGTGATTTATTTCTTTATTAGTTGAACCTTTTGAACCCAGTCATTTGTTGGGCGTGTTAATTAATAGTGACACGAGCGCCGAGCCTCGGCAGGTCTTGGGAGTGGACATCTTGTTTCACATATGTTGTACACTTTAGCATACATTTCGCATGAAACTATGTCCTTTGAACAGTATTCGGTCGCCACTGCTAGTACATGACTGTGTCTTCGTTGTCTTCGACCATTTCACCCCCGTCATCCTCCCCATCTCGGTGTGCATCCTCAGTATTATGGTCGGCAAGATTGGGGTCGTGGATAGACGCAACGGTGTCCGAGTGTGTTGCTTCAGACTGGTTAGCGTCGTTGGGTTCCGGCTCAGGTGCATTTGACGTCTCAGGAACTGCATCGGCAGGCTGGTTTGCCTCTGTCTGTGTCACATCTGCCCGCTCTTTCTCTGGTGGAACGGATTCTTTGGACTGGGCCTCTTCTTCGGGAGGGTGGCGAGCTTCGAACTCCGCCGTCTCGCGGGCAATCGTCGCTTCAGCTTCGTCGATCTGTTCTTGGATGATCTCCTCTTCTTCGCGTTGTAATTGCCATGGTTTGTAGTACTGGCCATGATCAGTTAGTGAACAGATATTTTGTAAAGAAAAGCCGACCACACGACATACCAGCACAGGCTTGGTTTTGGTCTTGAGACAATGTGCCATTGCCAGCATATTCGAATGGCGGACACGCATCTAAACCAGATCCTCAATCAGCAGCCGTACAAAGCGTACCATCATCATAAAATAAAACACCCACCGATTCCCTCTCGTAGATCCTGTGCTCCTTCTGTCGCGCCCCCAGCAGCTCTGCTTTCTTTTTCTTCTTCAGCTCATCGTATTCTTCCTCCTGGAGCCGTAGCTTGTCCCGCTGTCGTTTCTCGATATCCGCGCGTCGCTTCTGCGCTGCCACAGTCGACGTCTGCGACAGCGTCCCCAGCAGTGCTCCAAACAGTCGCTGGCCGCGCCGACGCTCCTCCTCCCTCCCCGCCCGTCTACCCGCTCTGCGATCCGTCTGCCGGTCACTTTCTTGCCTCCCTTCCTTCAATTCTGCGTCTGGCGATGCCCGTCTCCGTTCCCCCGGCGAGCTCAGCCGACGACGCTTATAGTCCGGGTCTGCAACGCTTGAGTTCCGCCGCTTGAGTCTCGATTCTTCCGGCGACTGGGGACGGTCGTCTGGCTCTGGCAGAGCCACCGCCGACGCGAGAGATCTGCCATTAGAATCAGCCGATTAGTTGAAACCATCTCATGTATAGTAAAAAATAAAATAAAACAAAACATACCCGTCAGCCATACTAGCACTCCACCGATGCCGAAGAAGGTAGCTAAAGCAGCTACAGAAAGAGGATACAGCTTCTCTCTCTCTCTCTCTGTTATCAAGCGATAGGGTGATTCGACGCTGTGCACGGGCCAACATACACTACAAAACTTACCCACGACATTCTCTCCCTCTCTACCTTTTGCCTTCTACACCACATCTCCTACCCTCAGGGTCCCTACCTACTCTACATATACAACGCGGTAAACAGTCAATAACCAGACGAAATAATCTACCATCATGTCTCGCCACCACCCCGATCTCGTCATGTGCCGGAAACAGCCCGGTATCTCTATCGGACGTGTCTGCGACAAGTGCGACGGCAAATGCCCCGTGTGTGACTCGTACGTGCGGCCGACGACTCTGGTGCGTATCTGCGACGAGTGCGCGTTCGGAAACTACCAGAACAAGTGTATCGTGTGCGGTGGGGAGGGAATCAGCGACGCGTTCTACTGTTTTGAGTGTACACGGCTTGAGAAGGACCGAGACGGGTGTCCGAAGATCATCAATCTGGGTAGTTCGAGGACGGATTTATTCTACCAGAAAAAGAGTTTTCGAAATCATTGATCTTTGTTTTTTTTTTTCTCTTGTGGGACTTTGGCTTTGGACGACTGGACTTTACTATGCTATGGACAAAGAGTTTATACGACAGAATCGGGGTGATTGGAAGAACCTTCAACCCATCAATGCTACTACCTTCCCGGCCTTCTGGGTCTTGCGAAGCCCCTTCTCGCCCCCTCATCCTGTGCGGGATTGAATTCTTCGAGTAATCTCTCTCCAGAGATTTCATCCGGAGTCGAGGCTTCGATCTGGTGGGGGGGGGGGTTAACGAAGAAATACGTGAGAGACAACGAGAGAACAACGAGGGAGAGAGAGAGAGAAAGGGTACCTTCTTGGCGATCTTCAAGCCTTCCCCCTCCGCTAGCTGGAATGCGGACATGCGCGAGCTAGCGTACAACATACGCTCCTTGATCGACGAACCGGATGGGCAGGTATAGATGAAGATGACCGTCTCCGAGCCGGGGTAGTGGTAGATGGTATAACGCGGAGAGGACTCGGAGATCAAGCCGCTCACCGCATCCACCGCGACGTTATCCTGGGCCGTGGCCAGCTTGATGGTTTCAGTCGGAATGTCAATAGCCTTATGAATTAGTACAAATTACTTTTCAAAAATAAAAAAAAGAGAACTCTCCCATCCCATATGCTCAGTGAACTTACCAACTGCACGATCCCACCCGGCTGCAACTCGCGCAACGCCCGCTTGGCCTCCTCGTCGACGCGAGCCTCAATGCTCGCTCCCGAGGTGGCCCCCCCACGTCGAAAGGTGCCTCCGATGCCGATATCCCGACCAGGAGTGCCGCTACGGGCCTCCTCCTCCGCGCGGCGCACGGCGGCCAGCGCTCTCTCCTTCTCACCCATGAGGTCATCGCGAGAATATCCAGACCCCGCCGCACCGGAGTCTGGCCCGTTCTCGTTGTCCCGCTCCCGCCAGGCGGACTCGGAGTGCACCTCTTCCTCCTCTGTTGCGAAGACGGTGGTGGCGAACTTCTCCGTGCCGAGTTCACGGACAAGGGTCGACCGAGTCGAGGCGAAGAGCGTCTTGGCCCGCACGCCTGCGTTGGAGGGAATATACGTCAACGGAACGAGGGCAGAGGTAGACTCACTTCTCCGCCGTAGGAGAAGGTAAAGAGGCGTCTTGGGCTCCAGCAGGGACGCCAGCTGCGGCAGAGAGGCATAAAACGCATCCTTCCCTGCTCCGGCGGTCGAGAAGGGGATCAGAGACAGGGGAGTCAGGGCTTCCGAGGTGATGGTTACGGGCAGGCAGAAGAGCGAAGCGTCGGTGGCGAAGGTGTTGAAGGCATCGTGCAGCTCAGTCGACACTTATCTAGTCAGATGAAGGTCTCATATGTAAAGTTCCCCGAATTGACTACATGTTGTAACATACCTGATATTCCGGACTGCATCTTGGATGGTTGAAGATGAAAGCTGGCGGTGAGTGCGGGGTTGTAAACAACTTTCCTCTCCGCTAGTCAGCTTGACTATTAGTTACTTACTACCTACACTTAACAGAACTACTTTTTATGAGGGAAAAAAAAATCACAGTGGATCTTATACACACATATATACATATGTCTGTTAACTATGCTATATACAGACTGTCCAGTCCACACACAAGAGAGAGAGAAAAAAATGCAGGATAACGCCACCATGCAGGTATCAAAAAGACACAAAGAGCCGAAGAAATGATTCACTTTTTTTTTGTACTACTCCTCAAAGGTGCCACCGACAAACGCCCAGTTGGACCGCTCGAGCTTACCCTTGAGATACTCGTACACAGTGAAGGTGACGGCCTGGCCAGGGGCGACTCGCATGACACGCGGGGTGATGCCCTTGTAGAAGGCGCGGGCGCCCTCCTGCTTGAACATTTCGCTGGCGATAGCGGTGATGCGCGAGACGGCGGACTGACCCGGTTCGGCGCGGGTCTTCTGCAGACGGGTCTTGATGGTGTCGATGGGGGCGTTGGAGAAGGGGCCCATGGCACCGGAGATGAGGCCGATGCATGTCGTCTGGTACGAAGGCAGGGCCTTGTCGGCGTACTCGGGCTGCATGCGTTGCAGCAGGGCCTTGAGCTCCGTGTATGCGGTAAAGTTGGCGGCCTGGTTGGTACCCTGGCGCAGCGCAGTCAACGACACTCCGCGGTACAGCACGCTGAACCCTTCCTCGCGCACGATGGTGAACAGGGCGTGCGGCGCGCTGCGGTACTTGGGTGCGTCTAATGGATCTGCCAGACTGTGGTGCTGCGCCTGCAACCGAATCTTAACCACCTCCATCGGGTTCACGACGGCGACGGCCTCGGTGACACCGGCCGCGAGACCAGCTAAAAACAATTTCCAGTTAGTCACAGCTATTTCTTTTTCTTTTTCTTTTTCTTTTTTTTTTGGGGGGGATGGAGAATTAGGTAGGTAGATCGGAACATACCCAAGAATGTCGCTTTGCTGGTAACCCTGCCCGTCTCCTTGTCGGCAAGCATTTGCTTGTACCACTCGTACGAGGTGAATCGGATCGCCATCTTGGGGATGATGCCTCCCAGCACGGCACCCAGACCCTTGTAGAGACCCATGGCCGTCTCCTTGCGAACAATCTCCGCACCAGTCGCGACGAACCCGCGGGGTTTAACCTGTTGATCGGTATAAGTCTCTGTTTCTTTTTCATTTTCGATGGTGTATGGTAATTCCAAAAACTTACACCCGGCGCTTTGGCTCTCCGCGACAGCTGCATGCGAACCTTGATGGTATCTAAAACCCGTCAGTCAGGGGGGGGGGGCCTGCGAAAGGAAATCTTGACTGTCAACCGAGACTCACCAAGCGGGTGACACACCAGTGCCTCCATCATGCCAGCGCCACCACCAGCTAGGACTGTCAGCGCTGCTTCGACACGAATGCATAAAATCCATGCATGGGTTCTTTACCGATCAGGTTGACCGCGGGGGAGGCGGGTTTCTTGCGGCCGTCCTTCGCAGACATTATTGCGATGATGATACAATAGAAAGAAGGAAAAACAGAAGGAAACGGGGAATACAAAGGGAGAGAGGAGGTAGGAAAGAAGAAGGAAAAAGGAGAGGAGACAGGGGAGAGAGAGAGAGAACAGTGAAAGCCAGAGGCCGAGGGGAGACCGAAGTATATACGGGAGCAAGCTAGCCGAGCAAGCGATCGGGCACGGCAATAGGTACTCAAGGTAAGGCTAAGGCTATATACGGAGCCCTTAGGAGTCGCACGCGGGGATTGCCAGCACGATTCAAGCGAACAATACCCTCGGGACCGCCTGGAAGCCGTTCAGAGCAAGCCCGCGCGGAGAACAGCCGCTGGGGACGGGGTAGCGGAGAGAGCTGCTGGACGAGCGGAAGAGAGCTGTTCACTTAGCCGTCGGCTGAAACTCGGTCAGAACGTATTGGCCAGTAATAAGTATTTAATTACTGCGTGCTTGAGTACGGAGTATCTTAGAGTATCTGACTATCTATCTCTAATTATAGTGCTGGTTAATTACGGGGTAAACTGGACTTCTACTACATAAACGGGAGGTCTCTCACCAGGTATGACTGAACTACAACCACCTCGGTCATGACGAGTTTTGAGTTCTTCACATGCCATCATGAGATCAAAGTATCGGATCCCACTGCAATTCATCTGCTGGAACTGCTGGTTCGCACCGTATCTGGTCTAAAGGTTAATACCCAAGACAAGACGGAAAGGGAGTCAATCAATTCCATCCGGGAAGATCCGATCTGAGCCGAGGCTTAAATACACTATAATATAGCTATCTGCAGTATGCGTTGCCAAATACTCATGGTGTAGCTGGTATTTGTGAGGATTTCATCTGTTATTAGCATTGTTTTTCAAATGGTTTTTGTTATTTAATATTTATATTTTATCCCTTATTGAACTATTGTTATATTAATATTGTGTAATAACTTAATGGTACTCTATACTCCTTCTCCATACTCGGGCGGTTCATGATTTACCCTGCTGAAATCCACGGAAGAATTCTAATTCCAAGATCTTCATTTAGTTACTAGTTGCTAGTAACTAGTTCTTGTGGTACTAATTAATTGTACGACCTGGGTTGTCTTGATTCAAGGTCAATCACAGTCTTGTTCTGTATAGTTACGTACCAGGAAGTAGACAGACAATTCACCTCCTTTTCTTATCTGTGGCAAATCATGAATACTCAGTCTATTACCTCCATAGTTAACTAACTGCCTAGTAGATACTAGGTAAGGATATGTATCGGCGTGCAATTGACAGCTAACGATGACTACTCAGTACCTACCAAGTACCTAGGTAGTTATATATACCCAAAATAATCTACATTCATCCAAACCCCGACTCTAGATATAGCTCACTCGCACCCCCATGCCCACCGTCCCCCGCACCTTCTGCCACCCTGTCCCCGCTATTCGGCGGATGCGGTCGCGCACATCCCGCCGGCTCAGCGCCAGAAGCAGCGCCAGCGTGAACAGCACCGTCCGCAGCACTGCCAGCGGGTTCGCCGTCACCGTTTGTGTGAGGTGTCGGAGGAGGTTGCGCAGTGCGTTGACGAGGACCTGCACCCGTTGCGTCTTCGAGGGCGGCGATTTCTTCTCTGTTTTCCGTGTATTTTTCGAAGAGCTACCTCGTCCGGTCGAGGGCTTTGGCACTGATGCATCGTCGGATGTCTTCTCTGCTCGAGGTCGACCCCTCATGCTGCCGTTCGGATGTTTCTTCTCGATCCCGTAGTCAACCTCGCTACTCGCGCGCTTGTGTTTCTTTTGCTCGGCAGCAGCAGTAGCAGCTGCTGCCGCCGCCGCCGCCGCCGCCGCAGCTTCTTCTTCCACCCTCCGAAGCTCTACTTCTTGCATCTCTTGCTCGAGCTGTGCATCCCTCTGTCGCTGCAGCTCGGCAGCCCGCATTTCCCCCCTCTCCTTCTCTTCCTTGAGGCCCTCCAGCGTCTGCAGGAAGAGTTCTTTACGCTCTTCGTCCAAGACTTCACTGAATTTAATGAACACTCGTGCATATTCCCACTCCCCGTTCCACGGAAGCACGTGCAGCGTAAACAGCTCGATCAGTTTCACCCGAGCGGCGAGGTCCTTCGGCGTGTCGGTTCCCGGCTGGTAGCCATGGTTCGTGCCCGATGGCGACGGACTGTACAGCTGTTGTTCTGCAAGGTCAAGGTTCGGCTGTCCGTATGATGAGAGGTATGTCTCCAGTCGTTGCTGGTTCAAGGTCTGGGTCGGCGAATGCTTGAGAAGCATTGTTCCTCTGCGTATAGAGTTAGCGGGAAAAAAAGGGGTTTCTCAATCCGAATCACACAAAAAAATGTAAGAAAGAAAAAGAAGAAAAAGGATTATACGAACAGACTGTACACGACCTCCGCGTCCACCGAACCCTCGCGCCCCCTATACCCCGTCTGCACGACCCTTTCCCAGATCTCACCGTCGCGCACGCTTGTCGCGAGCGCCTTCCACTCCTTCTGGCCCAGCGCATTCTTGCCCTCCTCGGCCCCCAGATCGACTATCCCGCTGAGGATCGTGATGTACAAATTCCACACCTTGATTCTCATCGAGCTGGGAGCCGTCGCGATGGCCGCCAGAGCAGGCGGTGAGCTGTGGTCAGCCTCATCGCTAGATGGCTCGTCCTGCACCGCCGCCGGCGGAGGACCACTGATGACCGGATCCAAGGCAGCTAGAGCCTCCGGTAGTCGACGTGTTAGGAACAAATTCGATGCATTTTTGTATGTCTGCGAGTACAGCTTTGATGGGGGACGCGGTGAGCCGGGGGACGAGAGCAGCTGCGAGTTGGACAGTGAGAGGCGGGATCCATCGTCGGCCATTGCGACGAGAGCGTGGGTCGGCAGAGACGCACAGTATCTCTGTAGAGCTTATCCGAAATTAACTTGACGAAGAAAAAAAATAATAATAATGAGATCTCAAAATATCTGCTGTGGCATTACTGTGATGATTTGGAGTGTGGCTGGTTAACTGCCAGCTTTGAGGGGCCGGCGGCTTTTGTGCTGGCTGTTACGCCATTTTGACCTCGGCCATTTTGGAGTCTGGGGTGATTATGTAAGAGTCTGATATCTCAGATAGTTATAGTTATAATTATACAGAATAGCTTCATGAATAATAACAGGGTTAATAATTTATTAGTATTATGGAGATGCCTTTTTATCTATTGTAGTTTAATGATTTCTGTCACTCTGATCATCGATGGTCGCTGGCTTATACTAATGAAGATGAAAGAAAGTGAAATCCCCCCCCCCTGAATAGCTTCTTCTTCCCTTGAACCATCTTATGTTCTCTGTTTAAATGAAGCTGAACCATGGAGGTCACTTCCCACTCGTTCTCCTACTACCTGCCTAGGATACTGGATGACTTGGCTACCGGCTGTTTCGTCTCCCTCGACCTGGAGTTCTCTGGTATCGCTAAACCGGCCTTTCGCTCACCGTCGAGCGGACCCCAGACTCTGCAAGAGCGGTACGAAGAGGTGAAGGGGGCAGCAGAGAAGTACCAGGTCCTTCAGATCGGTCTGACGATTTGCCACGAGGACACGGCAACAGGTGATATTCCTGCCTGCTACACAAGCAGTTTCTCTAGTTACTAATCCTCTTTATAGCATCGTATACGCTGAAACCGTTCAACTTCTATCTCAACCCAGTCATCAACCAACGACTAGAAGTAGACAGAGACTTTACATTTCAGAGTGGAGGTGAGAGGAGCCCAAAGGCCCTGGGAATGAAGGAAAAAGACTCCTGACGGTGCCGTGGCGGTGCAGCCATTCAGTTTCTCGTGCAGAATAGGTTCCGTCTCGATGCGCTAGTCAGCGAGGGGATCTCGTACCTTTCTCGACGTGAGGAAGCGCTGGCATTCACTCGAGCTGAGGACCGGCGAGATCGGGTCGGCAGGAACGCAAATACAGCGATCAACGTCAAGCAGACGGACTACGAATCTTTGCAGTTCCTCTCAATGGTCCGGCGTCACATCGACGACTGGCTGGCTGTTAAACTGGTAGGAAGGTCCCCTATTCCACCTGGAAACTGAGTTCACTGATCTGGAGAAGACCGATGACAGCTATCTGAATATCCCCCCACCAACTCGTCTCGGCCAGACGCAAGCGTCCACTTCGTGGCCGCTGACCTTGAACAAATTCCAGCAACGGCTCATCCACCAGCTTCTCGAGGTTGAATACCCAGCTCTGGTGGCGGTCAACAAGGCTACCTTCATGCAGATCATTCCCCGTGATGAAGCCCGGGAAAAGGCAGTCAGAGAAGATAGAATGCAGTGGGCCGAGCGGCGGATTCGGACGGAGACTGGGTTTCGCTGGATTGTCGAAGCCCTGACGGGTGGTGATCTGACACATCTCGACAGCAGCCTCTTCATGGGGATCATGTCTAGTGCTGCGTCCGTCAAGGGCAAGTATCCGCTCAACGAGTTTGCGGACAAGCTGAAAGCTCGGCTGAAATCTCACCGGCCTGTCCTCGTGGGACACAATCTGTTCACTGACCTGGTCAACTTCTACCGATGTTTCTTTGGACCCCTGCCTGACCGTGTGGAACAGTTCCAGCAACAGATCCATGAGCTGTTCCCCGTCTTGATGGACACAAAGTACATGGCTACCCATGACTGCGGATCCATTAATCCTAGCTCCACACTTTCTGAGATTCATACCAGCTTGGCTGAGATGAAGTATCCGAAAATAGGTGAGATAACCATGGAAAATCCTTACCTTGTGATGGGGCTGTCTGTCATACTGAACGAACCCTCTTTAGAAGTACACCCAGACCACAACAAATATAGCACGAACCAGAAAGAACATGAAGCCGGTTACGACAGCTTTCTTACAGCAGAAGTTTTCATCAAACTGTCCGCCCAGCTCCGTAAACAAGAGATGTCCAGAGCTTTACCCTCGACCAGCTTAGACAACAATAGCACTCCCCAAGACCAGACGCGCATCAAACCAGCAAAGGCTAAGAAAAGGTCTCGGCGCCGCAAAAGTACACGGCCGCAACCTGGCTCTCTCAACGCCTTTGAGGCTCTCTCCGTCCAGGAGGAGGACAACGATGTCTCCACCGAGGTCACGGAGAAGATCTCTCAGGGCCACCTGATTCCTCGGCCGGCCGACGCGTTCTGGCAAGTCTACGGGAACAAACTGAGGATGTTTGGCACCCACGAGCGAGTCTGTATTATCAAATAGATAGCATCTGAAATGTACTACAAATGATCTCTCAACCAAGATGTAACTAGTAGTGCTAGGCTTTCGAACCAAGATGTGTGCAGCTGCTATCTAACAGTACGCCTTGAAACTGAAGAAGGTACCGCTAGCGAAAATTGCCGCATTGTAAAACTACTCTCTCTAAGCACCACTGAATGATCGACTGGTCATGGAGAATCTAAACGCAGTGATGATAAGGAATGGGTGCTGTAGGGAGGAAGAAGAAGAGAAAAGGGAAAACGGAAGGAGGGGGAAAATTATAAGAACGATGAAAATGGCGGGCGGTGAGTCACATGACCACTAGTCCCGTTCTGGTATTAGCGCTAAACCGGCAGGTCGCTGGACAGGCTTGGAGCGAGCGTCAACTTTTTCGAGCGATATCGACAACAGCATATCACGCGAGTCGCCTAGCACAGTCGGGGAGATGTCTACGGGATCCAATGGTGCCCGGCGCATTGCGTCATTGATTCGTATGTTTTTTTTTCCCTTGCTCCCCCTTTGTCCCATTGTTGTGTATGGTACTGACAGGTTCTTTGCTAGGCCCTTCAAGAGTCGAGTCTCCAGTCTGCAGAAGTTGCCAGGAAACACTTGGCCGCCGCAGCTACGCCACTGATGCTGTATCGACAGAGTCAAGCTCGGCCTCAGCTTCGGCATTGCCTGTCGTGAAGCCTTCGTTCCTTGTCCAGGCGGGTGTCGTCCTTTCGCGGCCGCCCCAGATCACGCGGGACCTGACCCCGTTCGAAAAGTCGTACTACTTCTATCAGCGGCGCTTGAACGAGCGCCTGGCCCAACCGTTTTCGAAATACTTCTACTTCAAGCGTGGCACGCCGGCCGACGAAGACTGGAAGCGCCAGATCCGGGAGCGCCAGACCGCCGCGCGTGACATTGGCAATTACAACGCGTACTCGCCCGAGGCATGGAATGACGAGCTGCTGGTCGGAGCTGTTGAGTCGGAGCCGCAACACCAGATCGAGAAGCTGATCCAGAATGCGGAGGCCACCGCCAACGCCACCTCCCAGGATGTCAGCAGGAAGGAGGAGATCCCCCGGCCGTTCCCACGGGTGACAGAGGCGGACCAGAAGAACGACCAGAAACGACTGGACCGGGCGCTGCAACGGACGTTGTATCTGCTGGTCAAGTCGAAAGAGGGGTTCTGGAAGTTTCCCAGTTCACCGATCGAAACGGGGGAGACTCTACGAGTGGTAATTTTACCCTTTTCCCCATGATTTATTTTTTTTTCTCTTGGCAGATATTAATGAATCGATACTTAGGCTGCTGAGCGCACCCTTGCCCAATCCGCCGGCGTTAACATGAACACCTGGATGGTCGGATACCACCCCGTCGGCCACCATGTCTACAACTTCCGCAGGCCGAAGACCGTCGACGCCACCGGCGCGGAACTCGTCGGCGAGAAGACCTTTTTCATGAAGGGTCGCATCATGGCCGGCCAGGCGGACCTGGCTGCTAACGAGCAGGAACTGGAGGACTTCAAGTGGCTGTCCAAGGACGAGATCCAGACACACGTGCTGCCTCAATACTACAGCAACATCAAGAACATGCTGGCCGAACTGTAGGATGGATGAAGAGGCTTTTTTTTCCGATTCTGCCGTGTGGTTCTATCCGTTTTAGCCATGGCGCATTGTCTAATATTGTATCTTATGTGTGGTCACATATATGTAAACTAACAAATCAATCATTTCCCATCATGATAAAATGCCAAAAAAAAACCCGTATCCCGAACGCCATATCCGTATTCCTAGCCGTCATTTCAACCCAAACTTCTGAGCCTGGACAATCGGCTGATCCTTGGCCGACTTGCCCGTGAGACTCTTCCCACACATAGGACAAGCTTTTGCAAAGGTTAGCTAGGAAAAGAGCAAAAGGCGAGATATGTAGAAGCAAAAAATAACATAAAATAAAAGGAAGACATACAGTGCTTTTGATAAGCACAGCGCTGACAAAACTTCATCCCCTGCTCTGTCTTGGTTTTGCAGCTCTCGCATGAAGACGAGTATGCCGCGTACGGATTCTTCGCCTTGGAACTGAGCAATTTATTCTAAAAAAATAGTTAGCTATCATGACAGGTACTGTCAAGATGAATTTCACTCAGAGTAATGACTTGCCTTGCTGATTCCTGTATTCCCTAGCGTAGCCTTGGACTTTGCATCGCCGCCGCCGCCCAGCGAGGTCGAGGGCGAGCCGTAGTACATCTCGCTCTTGCGTTTGACGCCCGGGGTGACGAGGTCGGTTTTCTTCAGCTTCTTTTGACATTTTGCGCAGACCATTTTGATGTACTGCTGTATTCTAGAGGTGTTGATGAGCTTGGGATGAGTTTCCTCAGTGAGGCTGATATCATACGCCACAATGCCAAGACTTAGTCATTTAGAAGTCTTTGTTTACTTGAACTACTTGAGAAATTTACTATTCATGTTCATCATGAACTATTAGAAAAAAAAAATCAAGAATCAGGGTATATAGCCGAAAAATCACCACTGACGCCGTCCAACTATCAACGGGGCTAGTCGTCCGCCGAATCATCCCGATCGTCATATTGCTGGAGGTGATAAGGGACAAGAGGCCGTGCGTACTGCTGTGATGAGGATAGATATTCGGCGCCAATCTTCTGACACTGCGTGCAGCAAGACAGGATTCCCGTGTAGGCACACACGACAGAGACGAAGGCGATGGTGCTGTTGACCACATTCATGTAGATCGGCGCCACGTATTTCTCCTCGAGATAGTATCGGATGGCGACCACCGCCGAGCTGAAATTCAGGATGAAGAAGAAGATAGCCCCGGCCGTGAGGAAGATTGCTCCGGTCTGCTCTGATGTCAGTCTCGGTGGTGGATATGCAGGTCCGTGGAGGTGTGTATTCGATGGTTCACTCACCCTTGCGCTGAAGCGGTGGGCGCCAGATTTTGCGGTCACGAAACACACCCAGATCAGAATCTCCAGGGCCATCAGCCAGCAGATAACATTCTGGGTTCCGTAAAGCTTGGTCCAGTTCCGGGCTAGCAGAGAATAGCTCTTGGAGTCGATGCTCTCGACCAAGCGGACGATGTAGGCTACACACTCTACAACCGACAGAATCCCAAGCAAGCTCACGATAGTCCAATGGACAATGGCGACAGGCACGAACGTCTTGCCCCCAGCCGCGATGCGTTCAAGGTATCTTTGGATAAGTTCGTAGAAGATGTAGAATAACAAGACCAGCCCGGTTGCATAGAAGACATGCCCGATCATGAACATAATGACGAAGCTTTGCTTTACTGTGACTCCAATGATCGTAAATAACAGGAACAGGGCGGTTAGAAATTCGTATCTGGAAGGAGACCAACAGTGTTAACTGTTCTGTTTCTTGAATCTTATAGTCCATACGAAGCCGCTTGACATACATGATAAAACTGCCGATGGAGAATTGCAATGCCATTAACGGCAGCGAGACCGAGCCTCTCCTGACTTGTCGAATAAGACAGCCCCAGACCAAAAACCCCAGGAGAGCCAACAAGGTCAGGATATTCAGAGCCACAGAAGCTATGTAGTATGCTCGGATATGATCCTCCGCGGGGAGGGAAAGTGTGGTATCTTCATTCCACGGAGAGCCGGTATCATGGAAATCGTATAAAGCGCGCCGCCGGATCATATTGGTCGGATACTGCATATTCATGATGTGCTCGCCATGCAATCGTGTGACAAGACGATATTTGGCCCCTTAACCGGAGTAAGGAAAAGAATAAATGCAAGGTCGCGATCCATCTTCAGCCTTAAAAGAACGAGCGAGGTTTGATGCTTTCTCGAACGGCTGAGACATCGCACAGCCCGACAAGGCTCAGATGACGGGGGGCTCATGAAATGTGCTGTTAAGGACACGAGACCGAGCATCTCGACTCACAGTCGCGATTGGCCGATCGGCGTGGCCGGCATAACCAAAATACGAGCTGCAGCTCTTCAGTGCTTTTGAAGGTTATTATTTCATACCCTCTCGCGTCTAACTTCGATTGGCCAGTGTCTTTGTTTATGTCGGACGCGACTAGATCAGGCCGACCAGTTTGTAAGCTCACGGGCTCTTTATTTAGCCCTAGATCAGCGCTGGCCAGCCATAAGACCCTGCAAAGAAAAATATTATATGCCTGCATAGGAACATTGTCTGCGAAAGAAGTTGAATGAACCAATCATAGTCCAGCTAGGAACTCGCTCATCGAGATCGGCTTGCGCACAGCATTGGAGAAGCCCTCGTGGAATGTAACCCACACTTTCCTATCACGTTTGGCTGATAGAATGTTACCGTTGCTCTTTGGGCTTTCGCTGGCGGTTTTGGCCTGCGGTTTGGACTCGGTGATTAGGCGGCCGAAGAAGTCGCGCTTAACAGCTGAGTCGATCTTTATGCCCGAGATGCCCTTGGAATCCGGACCGTCCAAAGGACCGCCTGAGTGCCTCTTGCCACTCTTCGACCCAGGCAGAATCGATGCTTCGGATTGCTTTCGCATTGTCTCCTTCCGGTATTCTTGGTCAAGCACCTGACGGACAGCATACCGCACCGGTGCAGAACTACCGGCATTGGCCATCTTCGAGAAGGCAACAAGTGAATCCAGAGGCCTGGCCATCCATCAGAGATCTGCGTTAAACAAATAATAAGGGGACTAAACTAAGAAAAAAATAACTTACGGTTCCATCCGGTATGCCCATCCACTATGGCCACCGCTCTCATTCTCAACCCGGACCTTTTCAAAGGTGACTCCCATTCCGACCATTACCCGTACAGCCAACTGGACGAGGGTTCGCTCACTTTCTTTTCGAACGCTGGCAATGCTCTTTTGTTCTCCACTGCCGCGGACGACCACCGGCTTGACGTCAGGGGAGAGCATTCGCATGAGACTAGGGATAAGATCGGTTGCTACACTCTCAGCAGAACGAAAGAGACGGTTCATTGGAGCGGACAATGAACTCTGGAAGCCGTTCAACACAGCACGGTTCTGCTTCTGGGCCTCGAAGGCAGCAAAATCTGCCCTAGGCCCAGAGAATGGATGATCTTCTTCCTCCTCATTGTCCTTCTCGTCAAGTTTGTCTTGTAGATTGATTTTGCCGCTCGCTGATGAGAAGAGATGGTGAAACGCGAGGACTGACTGGCTGAGATACGGAGTGAGCTCCCAGTCCTGGTTCGAGAAAACCTTTGATGACATGGTATCGTGGAAATGCAACCACTCATATGCCGCGTTCGGTTTGGAAAGGAAGGTATCGTCTTGGAAAGCCTGGATCGGATACGATGCGAAGCATTCGGATAGGCAGCGGTCGTGATCGCCGCTGGCGTCGATCATCTCTCGCAGCCTGTTGATTGCATGGCGTTTCTTCATGTCGGCAACACCGACAGGCATTCTTGAACCAGAGGCGTCGAACTTGTCACGGAAAGAGTCACTCCCAAGCGGCGCGTCCGAGAAACCGGCTCCTTCTGTGAACACGCGATCAACAATCTCACGCACGCCACCCCTACTCAACCCCTTGGAGAGGGCGTTGGAACCGTCGGACGAGCTGCATAAGATCTTCTGTTCAAGCCAACTCTTCGTTAACTTGGACGAAGACGAAGCCTCGTTCCTAATCTTGTGGGCGACCCATTCAGCGGCAACCAGCACACTCCGAATATCACCTTCGTTGGACCCGCTGTTTTTCGAGGTTCGCTGCTTTCTGCTTTCGATCCCCCAAGCAGCTTCACACAATCTTCGCACGCCGTCATTCTCGCACGGGATACCCTCTCGGGAGAAGATATTCTTGACGCGCTGCACGACATTCTCTAGCGGTGCCTGACGAACATGGATCATCTCCGCGATTGATGAAGCCCTGAGCGGCCGAAGACTCGGGTGGTAAACGTCGTTGCAGACCAAGATGAGGGGACGGAGGAAGCGGAACGTGTCCCCTTTTCTTTTCTTGCCTGTCTTTGTCGTCTGTTCGGCATTGCGGGCCGAATTCTTTTGATCGAGGAGCACGAGGTCGATAAGGGCCTTCATGAAACCTCCCTCCCCACTGCCTCCAGATCCGCTGACCACTCCGTCGACTTCGTCGACCACGACACACACCGGTCGTCCGGCCTTGCGAACCTTCTTGTCGCCAACCTCGACGTTCATGCCCTTGACGTTTTCTGTCCCAAGAGCATCCCGAATCCTACCCTTGACTACATCTCGGCTTCGCTCGTCACTTGCATTGATCTCAAGCACTTCATAGCCCGCCTGCCTGGCACAGACGTGTGCCAGAGTCGTCTTGCCTAGACCGGGAGGACCACACAAGAGCAGGACCTTTCTGTGTGCTCGTTCTTCACCGTCCTGGTCACGCTTTTTTGATGCTGATTTGGCCAGGTTGGGGAAGACGATAGGATCCCATCCTTTCAGCCAGCGCAACACGGCTCTGTGGGTTCGCTCGTCCCCAATCAGGTCAGTAAATTTCCGTGCGCGATACTTCTCAGTCCACATTGCAGACGCCAACTTTCTATTTCGATGGGTTTCAACAGCAGGCTCGATTGATCGCTGGACAGGTTCGCCCTTGGCTGCCTCCGAGCTGTTGGCTCCGTTGGTATCCTTCGCAGCCTCGTCAAGCAACTTATGAATTTCGATGCCGTAGTAGCTCTTCTGAGCGCGTCCTGGAGCAGTGGTAGACCTGCTCGCAATCAACCTTTCGTAGCTCACTGGAGGCTTGGCTGCTTTGACGCGAGTAATGTGTGTTTTTCCCGCACATGTCTTGATCTGGATGACCCTGGGCGCTTCATGTGCTGCAAAGGAATCCGCTGTCGATGAAACTGTCGGGACTGAGGCTGGAGCCATATCTGGCAACGGGTTCGATTGCTGAGAGTCTAGCCAATTCCCCGGATTGTTGTGTGATTGAGTGGGCCACGGCTCAGGGATCTGGTCTTGACCCTCGTACTGGCTTTTTATATCTTCGGCATACAGGGCCGCCACATCGTCGTCTTCCTCCTCGTCATCATCATCTGCCAGAAACCCGCCCAGCATCTTCTGCCGTTTCGGCTCTGCAGACTGTTCCGACTGCTCTTCTAGTCTTCTTTTCGCGGTATCAACCGGCGACAGGGCGCCCGCGGGGGCTACAGCCGGCGAGGACATGAACGGCATTTTATTAAAGACTGGTGGCGAGGAAGGGAATAGAAGCCCAGAGCGACGGGGTGTGCAAGGGTCAAGTGTCTGATGTGCTTTGGTCGGTGTATCTTTTTTTCGCCCACCCCGAAAATCAGTATGATCCAAAATCTAAAGGATTGGTTTACATACCAGGCCTTATATCGTCGTCACTGCGAAAAACATCAGACAGATTCCACGCCCGGTGCTGAATAACGACCTTCTTGCGTGTTTTCTCTAGGCGCTGTAAATCTAACGCTTCGAGCTCGTCTGCAAAGGGCTCGGATGGCGGCTCGCAGCACACTTCTTCCGAATGGAGATGGATGGCAGGGTCAAAAGAGGACAGAATCTGTGGAGATGATGCAGTCATTGAAAGAATCAGTCCATCTTCTTGATTCGTTAGTGGTAAGTTGGTCTGAGTCTCCGGTTGATATCAAATGAGGACGCGTTCCTCGCGTCGGACGCGCCGGCCAATCACCCTATGGTGCCTGAGGCATCAGGCATCAACTATCGCGTAATTTAACTACTACATTGCAGGCTGTATACTACAATATGAACTGGCATTTTGTTGAACTGGGTAATTGATCTTTGATACTTGTAGCTTTGGTTGTTTAGTGCATAACGCCGAATGGATAGAAACGATTGATTGAGGAATCCAAATCCAGAGCAAGAGACAGAAGAAGAGAATACACGGTATTGATTATACTATTTGCAAGACTACTGCTTCTTGAGCTTCTCCGTCAGCTCGGGCACCTTCTCGAAGAGGTCGCCGACGAGTCCCACATCCGCAATCTGGAAGATGGGCGCATCTGGGTCCTTGTTGATGGCAGCAATGACCTTGCTATCCTTCATACCCGCCAGGTGCTGGATAGCGCCCGAGATACCGGCAGCCAGGTACAGCTGCGGGGCGACATTCTTCCCCGTCTGGCCAACCTGGAGACTGTTGTCGGCAAACCCGCTGTCGACGGCGGCGCGAGACGCACCGATGGCGGCGCCCAGCGTGTCCGCCAGCGGGAGGATTAACCGGTCGAACTCCTCCTTGGATTTCAGTCCTCGCCCGCCAGAGACCACGCGCGAGGCCGTCCCCAGGTCTGGCCGCTCGGATTTTGCCAGCTCCTCCGACACCCATTCCGTCGGGCAGGGGGTGTTGGGATCTGTCCCGTCCACCACGGTGGCGGAACCACCCTCGGTCTCCACGCCCTGGAAGGCCGTGCCACGAACTGTGATCACCTTGATCGGGTCGCTGGATTGCACCGTCAGAACTGCATTTCCAGCGTAGATGGGGCGAACGAAAGCTACAGTTCCGTCAGTACATGAACAAGAACAAGCCATTTTTTTTTATTATCAAGATCGGAGCAAGAAGTACGCACTGTCTTCGCTCTCAATGGCCGTGATATCAGAAACCTGCTGGACGTCCAACAACGCCGCCACGCGCGGCAGCAGACTCTTCCCAAAAGCCGAGTGTCCCGCGATGATGTGTGTATATTCGCCCTGCTTGATATTTTCAACCAGCAGAGGCGCAAAGTTTTCCGGAAGGCCCTACCAATGGATTAAAACCAGAACATAATTCGAACCAAAAAGGAAAACAAAAAAAAAATACCTTCTCGTAAGCCTCATTCTCGACCGCAACCACCTTCTCCAGACCTTGGATCTTCGCCGCCTCCGCAGCAGATGTACTCTTCACGCCCTTGCCGGCCACAAAGGCAGTAACGGGCCCGCCCAGCTTCTGCGCCGCCACAATCGCCGCCAACGACGAGCTAGCCAGCTTGCCGTCGCGTTGTTCGAGGACCGCGAGCGTCGAGAGGAGGCGGGCAAGTGCGGCGGCCGAGGTGGGAGACAGGCTTCGGCGCTGAGAGAGCTGGGACCGGACGGCCCGCAGGGCGGAGGATCTGGCGATCGGGATCATCTCGATGTTTGTCCTGTTTAACCCAGTTCTAGCTCTTGATTTATCAAAGAACGGTCGTGAGCTGGTTAGCTAGGAGAGTGCAGTATTCACTGGCTTCGGCGGCCGATTATCGTTTGGGACTGCCAAGACATCCGACCTCGGACAACTCGGTTAACTGTCCGTTGCTAAGCGCAAGTACCAGTAGTAGTACCTACCAGATAGTTAATAATAACTAAATATTTTATCATAACGAGGTAGTAAGGTACGTAGTAAAGTACTAGACTATGTGGCAAGGTGATACTACTACATACCACGCCTATTCCTGTTGTGGTGCAATACTTTTATTGTATAGACTGTGTCTTAAGCAAGATTGACGCCGCCATAAGAGGTATGTATGTAGCCCATAAATGCAGTCAAGGACAAATATCAACCCATGGAACACCTGATGAAAACGAAAATGAAGAGTGAAAAGGAAAAAAAAAAAAAACGGGGGGATCATATTCAATTCTTTTTTGTTTAAGAGATCGACTTTCTCTTCTTCTTGCCGCCTTTCGACACCGACGCGTCCCCGTCTTCCAGGGCCTGGGCCTTCTGCTGTTGAAGCTTGGCCTTGCGCGCGGCAACGGCAGCGGCCTCGTCGGCATCCTCCTCGCTGCCCTTGGCCTTCTTGGACTTCTTGGGCGCCGCCGCTAGGAGCTTCTCCTCATCGGTGTTGCTCGACTTGCGTTTCTTGTCGTTCTTGGGGGCGCCTTGGATCGTTTTCGTCTCATCGCCCGCCGCGACCGTTACTGCCTCCACAACGTCCGCCTCTTCCAGCCACAGCTCACTGGCGAGCCAGATGGGCATGGCCATCGTATTGGCGCCCTTGATGTGCAGAGCCTTGACGTTCCTCCAGCCCTTGGCCACAAACTTGTCCGTCAGACCTTTCACCACGGCCTCGATGTTCTCCGACAGCTGCTGGGGGGTAAACTTGGCGGAGCCGACACGGATGGCAGCGGTGGTGGCCGGGGCGAGCTGGACGGCCGCGCAGTTGAGCGCCTTCTCGATCTCCTTGGCCACGATGAGCGGCGAGGCCACCGAGGCGTTATGCTCGTCGTCGGCGGCGGCGTTGGCCGATCGCTTCTTCGGATCCTTCTTCACCCGCTTCCCGTCGACCTTCTCGATCTCCGCAATGCGGATCGGAATCGGCCGCTTGCTGGACTTGTAGAAGGTCTTGCCCAGGGTTTTCACCAGTCGCATGATGATCCGGTCATCCGCCAGGAAGACGTCATGTTCGGCCAACAGCTGCCGCCGACTCTCGAAGCTGTGGTATTTGGCCTTCAGCTTCGACAACCCGATGACCCGGTTGATGCGAGAAGACAGGTGCTGCGGGAACGAAGGGTCCGCCACGACATCCTTGACCGCGCGCTGCGGGTCGGCGGTGATCAGGCAGATGCTGAGCGAGGGCGAGGCGTTAAGAGAGTGCGGCACGGGGATCTTGCCGGGCTTCAGACGGTTCTTGTCGACAACATGCTTCTTGGTCGTGAGCACAAGCCATACCGGGTCATTGTGAAGAGGGACGTCTTCGGCATCCGACTCGTCGTCGTTATCTCCAATCAGCGTCTTCTTCGTCGCAGACTCTTCCTGCTCTTGCTGCTTCGTCTTGATGTGTCGCAACAACGCAGTCGACGCTCTCGTCACCTGATAAGACTGTTAGTTTTTGGCCTTCTTTTCTCCATCCTTTTTTTTTCCACAGATAACGTACCTGTTCATTGTCAAGCTGGTAAGGCGAGCCGGAGGCCACCTTCGTGGTGAGAGCAGTTGACGACACCATTCTGGATGATTGCTGGCAGCAGATTATGGCGGACTGGATTTCCCTCAATATTCAATGCCTGTAAGTATCGAAACAAAAAAAAATTCGCGGAAGGCGGTGGGAGAATTTGTCCGAGCTTGGCTTGCGCTGCTCTCGGCCTAGACTGGCTGAGTCATCCACATCAACCATATGCATTTCCCTCCTGGTTTATACAAGTAGAATACCGGATATCTTAATGCCATTGACTTTTTAGAGTATGGATTAGCAAATAACTCACAGAAAAATGCTTTGGGGACATAAATGTGTCAGTGTGGTCTCCAGTGTAGAGATCTGACGATACTAAAAGAGCGACTCTTTAAGATAATCTCTAAGATGAATAATTCTTTTTACAGACTATTTGGCGAGAAAAAAATCGCTTGTCGAGACAAGTACGGAGTAGTCCAGCTAAACTAGTAAAACTGGCGTGTTGAGAATATCTTAAACCAAGACAGTAAAAGATTGTTCATCCCAAGAAGATTGATATTGGGGACTGCCTTTTTCGGGCCATGGGGGATTAAGCTCCGATAATGGCCTTTCCATCATGAGTTATCGATTGATAAGTCGTCAAGACATCCCGTCGGTTTTCCTGAGCCCTAATTTTAATTACTTGGGCAAATCTTTATCTCTTCGTGTCTAGTGTATGGCATAGCATTGGCCTTAGGTTGTACTCCGTATAGTTAGATATCCACGTTGCTGGTTCGGTTTCTGTGAGATTGTATGTCTCAAGGCATCGTAGTATCGTACCCGAGGTGGTTCTCCATAATTTGTAGACTCGGTAAAGTGGACGTATATCAAGTACGTAGGACGTAGCAACTAACGAGCTGGTTACCTAGTAAGCAATGGAATCAATATGAAGATCAGCAGTATCACGCAATAGCGATCCAATAAGTTGTGTTTTGAGCGGAAAAAGGGGTTCCTTCAATAATAATGATAGACAGAAACAATATTCAAGCGAGATTGCTCCGATATCTTGAGGTTGCGATCGCTCACTGCTCAGTGGTCTGCAAGAGTCACTCGAGAGGGTGCAAGACGGTTGGCATCCGACGCCGGTGTCTGGATAACATGTCTATGTGGGCTGTAGTTAGCTAACACATAAGACACCAAGACACCAAGACACGTTGATAGAGTAAGGTCTGGGGGGTTAAGGTTGACAGTGCCCGATGCTATCATTCAAGGATGCAGTTTCAGCTAACAGAGACTGACAGGAGCAAGTGGTCACTGGTCACTGGTTAGAATATCTAAATGTCACTCGACTCCCGAATGCCCCACGCTGGGATACGTAAGTCGTAAACAAACGGCCGAGCCGCCGCGTAGATGTGAGCGAGCTGCCTGAATCTCCGCGGTTTCTGATAGGAGAACTCTCTCGGATTCCGTTCGGTTCTTCTCACCCATCACGCGAGGAATTCTCGAGCATGTCCCACTGGTTTGGTCCGTTCATCAGGCCATTATTTATTCGTCATGCTTCGATTTCGAAACGCGTCAGGTCAAGGTTGGAACGGTGAGGGGTCCCGAGGGGTGCAAAAAATCCAGCAAGCCAGCTCACTGATAAGATCGATACACAACGGCGCAATGGATCCATCGAGTCACAGCAAGGCCCTGTCTGAACTGTGAAGTCATTAGAAAAAGTTGACAGCTCTGATCTAAAAAAAAATCAGTGGGGGTAATGAGCCGTGGCTGTACCTAAAACGTAGACAGATGAATCCACGACAAAGACAGTTGGTACTCCGTATACTCCAGAGTCGGTACCTCTTCATTCCATCGAATCCATTGAGATATGGATATCATGGAAGTTATCAAAGAGTATACGTACCGCAGACCCCATCAGATCATTTCCAACGCCGCTATTACTCGCGCTAGACTGGCACCAGGCCTAGTCTGATTAGCTCGAGAGGGGAGACCAACAACCTCCGTCGTCGTACTCCGTAAGAGTTCCTCAGCAGTATTTAATATTATTACCATCAAATCATTTCCTGTCTCCAATAATCGACATGGGTACTAGTTGGTTACAATTAAACCGAGTCTACTCCGTACGACCCCAAAAGAATGGGTCGAATCATATTCATACCCCATGGTTCATGTTCATCCTCATCGCGTCAGCCAGAGGATCGAAAAAAAAACTGGTTGTCGCGCCTCCTTTTCGCGCCGATCTCCTCTTTGTGCTGCTGACTCCAGGCGTCTAGCTGTCCCGTATTCGCTAATAGTCAACAGACCCAGCGGTTCGTATAGAGGCAGAACAACAAACTTGCGGATTGTATATACTGCAGAGCTGGGGGTACCTCTTTACTCCGTAATACTCCGTACTCCGTACTCCGGACCAGACTAAGAGGTTGCCTAGTCGAGGTAGTGCTGTGCTAAGGCAGGCGGACACCGCTTGGACGCGCACCTAAACTGGTTGTAATTGTAACAATAGTGATCCACGGCAGAGTTCAGAGTGTAGGCTTACCAGTAGTAGTACGTAGGACACGTTGAATCTCGATTAATCTTATCGAAAACAGAACTATACTCGCGTCTTCCCATGGGTCCATGACCATGTCATCACAGTACCTTGCCTAGGTATGTAGTAGGTGCTCCCTGGAGTCAGAGTAGGGAGTTGGAATTAGGAGGTGCAGTTCTTGGCTTCCCCGTGACTTTCGAGCTAAAGGCTTGATTTTGGGACCGCTGCTTTGCCTGTCGATAATAGCCGGGCTGTCCCCCTTTTCTTCAACTCTTGCCACCTACTAAGACGCAGGAGTTAGTAAGTTACTCCCTGGTAGGTTCAAGGGAAACTCCATACTACATAGTTACTATGTACGGAGTGGTACTATGAAGTAGAGCATGGAGCACTACTATACTACATAGACCAAGATTGCTACAAGTTACTCCGTACACTGGACTGCTACTGAGCCGTGGACTCGTTGGCAACTTGGCACAAGTAGACTCGTGCCAACAAGATCGACAGCGACCATGTCTTGCTCCAGTTTCCGAGTCTCCAGTGGGCACTGACTTTATTCTTTAATTGCTCCGTACTACACACTACTATTTAATTATATTTATTTTCAGATTCCGTCAAGTGTCAGATCTTCCCTCCATGTCGCACGGCAGAGTAGATCCGATGAATTGCTACGAAGCCAACGTGGTTCATATGTAGCAGTGTATTAATACAGAGTAGTATTTCTCCAGCCATCACTAAGGTAAGTTTGCTCTAGGTTAACACTGTATACCAGGTACTCCGTACCTGTATGTACTAAGTAGTGTACCTACCTAGTTAGTAGGTTTAGGTACCTGTAGACTCCGTACTAATACGAGCTTCGTACCATAGTAGAGGCGCCGAACCGTACCATGGGCCGCAGCCAGCATGATTGGCGTGCCTGGATAAGGGGCTGCTGAAGTACAGGCCTACCACTCCTTTCATTGGCTCCAGGCCTAGACAAAAGGAAATTTGCCAAGCCCCAGGCTGCGTCAGATTTCAGGAACAGGAAAAACACCAACGGATTTCCTAGCGAGGGAGGAGCCAGCATGAGCTGGAGCCATGAGCCCATCCTTATTGCTGGGCGAATCGCCCACTTGGCCGCCGGGCGTCTCATTAAACCGGCCCAGCCACGCACTCGGCCCCTTTGCCACCACGCACCCTCCCTGCCCAAGCCCTGCCCAAGCCTTCCCCCCAAACCCAGTGTGTCTACTGCCACCCTCCAGCCAACCTGCGCGCGTCTTAGTCTGAGTAACGGTGTGGGCCGGAGCCGTCCTTTCTGCTTCCCCCCTCCCCCCCTCTTGGTCTCTCTTGGTCTCCCCTGGACGAGGCAGACGGGCGATGCTGACTCCTCCCCCCTGGATCGCCTCAACCCTTCATTTCCCGCCGCTTTCCCTCTCTTTTCCTTCTGGTTCTTTTTCCGCTACAGCGTTTTGTCTTTCTCCAGCCTTGCCTGCTGATTTTCCTTCGAGATTTCCTGTCCGACCAGAGAGGCTCCGTTCTCTCTCGCACGCTCTTTTGGAATCCTCATTTCGCTCTCTAGGCTCTCGCGCTCTTTTTTATTCACCAAACCCCTTCTACTTGCAGCCCCCCGTCTCGACGGTCGAACTCTCCTCTGCCAATTCTTCTTTTCCTGTACAAATTGCATCAGACCTGTGGTGTTGATGTAGGTTATTGTTTAATTGATTTTTCTCCCCCCCCCCCCCCCCCCCCTCTCCCCCCAGCCCAGTGGATCAGGAAATTCATGAGATGGCTGCCTGCCCGATGGTCACATTCCAGCGACCTCCACCACGTGGGAATGGCATCGAGGCTGCCCAATTCATAGGGCCAGCCTGCTCTATTGTGTCTGCAGCCCATCGATACGGGGGGAGGAGGAGGAGGAGGAGGTTGTATATCCTGCTATCGAACCAGTCACTGACCAATCTCCCCGTTGTTATAGATAATCCCTCTCCTTCTCAGTATCCCAGCGGGAGAATATATTTGAACAACTCAAGAAAACTCGTTTTCGCAATCAGCATCAGGACAATATGCGTTTTAACACTCTTGCTCTGACCCTGGCTACGGCGGGCACCCTTGCCGCCGCTCAGCACAACCACGGCCATCGCCGCTTGCACAGACGTGCTGATGACACTGTCATCGAGTACGAACTCAATGGTGTGCTCGTTTCCGAGGCCGTCGTCTGCGAGGGTATTGCCGATGGTACCCTGGAGTGGGCCGATGGCATCGCCCCCTCGGGCGCCTGCGAGAGCTCCTCTGCCACCGCGACCGCCGCCTCGACCGCCGCCGCCACCACTGTCACCGAGATTGCTCCCGCCATCTCGGTTGGTCCCTTCTCTTACCCTGCGACCACTGCCGCGGCCACCACCACCTCCGCCCAGGCCTCCTCCGGCTCCAGCACTTCCAGCTCTGCCGCCGCCGCCAGCGGCACCTCCACCAGCTCCACCTCCACCGGCATCGACGCTGACTTCCCCGATGGAGAGATCTCCTGCTCGGACTTCCCCTCCGACTACGGTGCCGTCGCGCTTGACTACCTGGGTCTCGGCGGTTGGTCTGGTATCCAGTACGTGACCATCTCCGATGACGTGGTCACCGAGATCGTCACCGGTGTCTCGGGCGATAGCTGTACCTCTGGTGCCATGTGCTCCTACGCTTGCCCCGCCGGCTACCAGAAGTCTCAGTGGCCTTCCACCCAGGGTTCCACTGGCCAGTCAGTTGGTGGTATCAAGTGCAAGGACGGCAAGCTCTACCTCACCAACTCTGATCTCTCCAGCAAGCTGTGCATTCCCGGCGTTGGCGGTGTTTACGTCGAGAACACCCTTAGCGAGGTCGTGGCTGTGTGCCGTACTGACTACCCTGGTAAGTTCTCAAGGAAAAACTTTCCAAGCCGCCTCTTTAATTTTTTTTCTTTCTATATATACTCATTTTTGACTAGGTACCGAGTCTGAGACCATTCCTCTCAGCGTCGCTGCTGGCTCCACTGAGGACCTGACCTGCCCCAACGGCACCACCTACTACAAGTGGGAGGGTGAGGTCACCTCTGCTCAGTACTACATCAACCCCAAGGGTGTCAGCACCAAGACCGGCTGCCAGTGGGGCACCTCTGCCTCGGACGTCGGCAACTGGGCTCCCATGAACATGGGTGTTGGTGAGAGCGATGGCAAGTGGCTGTCTCTCTTCCCCAACACTCCCACTACCACTGCCACTCTCGACTTCAACGTTAAGATCAAGGGAGACGACCTCAGCGGCGAGTGCTACTACGAGGATGGTGTCTTTTACGACGCGGATGGTGAGGTCGATGACGGTTGCACCGTAAGTTCATCCCTTTTTGTTATCTTAATGTTGGTCAGTACTAACTTTTTCAATCAGGTCGAGGTTCTCTCTGGCGACGCCTACTATATTTTCTATTAGAATGGGCCACCTCCGTCTCGCAGGCGCGAAGCCAGTCTGAATCAGGGCTAAACCGGAAAGGAACCCTTTCTCTCAATGCCCTGTAGGCCGCCGACCTCACGACCTGCTGTTGCATGTGCATGCTTATCTTCGATGTATCTTAATTCTCTCCTGTGGCTTGGAATTCCCCTCCCAGCTGCAACCTTCGACGTCTTCGACACCCTTGTGAAGAGGTCGCTGTGGTTAGATTTTTTAACTTCTGCTGCAAAGTCAAGCAACTTTGATTTCCTCTTTACGTCCAAATTCTCCCTCCCCTTCCCCCCCTTTTTTTTTCCTACTTCACCATTTCGTGTTTGATATAGCGACCTCTCTTCCGACGATGATATGACGACCCTGGCCGCCAGAATCGGGCAAGACAGCACGCCGATCTCCCAACGGTGGGAAAACGCTATTTCGAGCCACTTGTTTCTTGTCACGCTGTAATCTTTTTTCCTTCCTCTTTTCTTCCTGTTTTTATACCCTCCCTCGGTGAGTGACGGTGGCTTTTCCCGATGAACGCAGCTTTGTATCCCACGATGTCTTTTGTCATTTTGATCTTATTCTTGGAAAACGTTCCCTTTCCCCTGTTTTCTACTGTGAATCTACTGTCTCTTTTTTTATTTTTGTTTCTGTCATTTCTGTCTGCCGTAATTTGTACCAATGGTGGCGTAGTCGTACTCGGTTGGAATGGGCATTCCGGCATACGGAGTAGTTACCCATGACGTATAAGCCCTGTTGGCACGACTATGTACTTCCCAGTAGGAGCCTAGGAACGGTAGGAAGAGGTACCTTAGGTAGTACCAGATTTACTAGTCTGTCAATTACAGAAAACGTCAATAGTATAATACCCAATTGATTTGAGAACCGGAGCACAGAGTACCTAGGTATAAGAATACAGCGTACTGCCATTGAGTTCAATGAAAGCATAGGTACCTAGCTATGTTTACTCAATTGACGTAGAATGTACGGAGAGTAGCATTGAAATGCAACCTCGCAACGCCTTATCTAAACAATTCGCGTCTCTCATCGACTTCATCCGCTACTACCATTGGGCAATTTTGCATTTCGTGAACCGGAAAAAAAAAACCCTTAGAAAAAAAAAAAGCGTGATCGCGATTTGTGGTGGAGCTCGGAACTTTCAACGCGTCGTGTTTGGCGGCGCGGTTGACAAGACACGCTCCCTCTGCCTCTGCCCTTTCCTCGTCTCCGGCAGGCGAGGGACCCTTTCCCATTCCTCCCCTCCCACCACTGCGAAGCAACCCTTTTGCCCTTCTCCAGGGGACGACTTGAGCCCTTGTCTGGTATTCTCTGTCTTTACTGCCTTTCTACAAAACATTTCCCCCCCCCCCCGCTCCCAGCCTCCTGCTGGCCGTGTGGGTACCCGTCATTTTTTTCTCGGTTGTTTCCTTCATTGCTTCTCGTCGTGTTTCCTTGTCTTCTGCCTGAGGGTTTATTAGAGCTTGTAGACCCCCACAGCACGACGCGACTAAGGTTAAGAAGAACAAGAACAAGAACAAGAAGAAGAAACCGAGAACGAAATCGAGAAAGGAAAAGAGAGAAAAAAGCTTATGGTTCACCATGGAGTCGTCGCCGCTGAGGAGAAGCAATAGTACGGCGTCGGTAGTAGGCGTCAAACGTCCTGCACCCTTGCTACCGGCCTTTGAACCGCTGAGCTCGTCGCCATCGCTGCCGCGGCCGCAGAAACGGCTGGCCCGCGAGTCTCATGGCCTGGTCTCGACGTATCCGACGCCCGTGCCCACCTCGTCGACGCATATCATGTCATCGTCGCCGCCGCCCCGGATGATGCCGCTGCCTCGACCGGTCTCGCGCCGCGCGATTCCCGCCGTCTCGTCGGAACGGGCACCATTGTCCGATGTGCCGACCCTGGTGCTACGGGAGGATGGGGAGCCGGTGCTGATGGGGCGGTCGAGCGCCTCGTGTCAGCATCAGTTGTCTGCCAACCGGATGATCTCCAGGGTTCATGTTCAGGCGACGTATAAGCCGGCCCCGAACCCGTTCGACCGCGAACGTGTCGAGATTCTGTGCATGGGGTGGAACGGGATCAAGATCCATTGCCAGGGAAAAACGTACGAGCTGGCCAAGGGCAAGACCTTCACGTCCGATATCAAGGGTGCGGATATCATGATCGACGTACACGATGCTCGTGTGCTTCTGCAGTGGCCGCGGACCCAGCCCAAGGAAGTTGCTGTCCCCGCTGTTCATGTCAATTCTGATCAGACCTGGGAAGAGGAGGAGGAGGAGGAGGAGGAGGATGACGACCCTACCCCGACTCGCAACGGACGTGGTCATGCTACTACACTTTCAGACAGCCCGCTTGCGGACCGACAGCAGCGGCTGGCATCGCCCATTTCGCCCTCGCCTGCAGTCCAGTCACTCATCCCGCCTTCATCACCGTTGTTTACTCCCACGCGGGCCCGCAACTCGGTGGTCGTCTACGAAGACGAGCCATCGCCGATCCGTCGGAGTAACACGGTCGACGGTTCCATATCCAAGCGCGCACAACACGTCCTCGGAGACGAGTCGTCGTTCGATAGCTCGCGCTCCGATGACTTTTCCGACCACGATGAGGAGAACGATCCCATCATCCATTCCTTTGGGCCTTTTGGGGAGAACCTTCTCCCCCGAATGGCCTCGTTCAGCGCCCACGATTCACCCATTCGCTCAGTACGGCCTCAACAGCAGCCGTCAAAGCCCATGCAATCTTCTCCTCGTCGGTTGTCCAAGGCCATTGCTTCCGTCACCTCGGTAGAAGATCAAAATGGTGGCAAGGCGTCCAAGATCAGCGAGGAGATCGAGCGGATCCAGAACCACGCGGTCAACCAGCTGGCCTTCTCGCGGCTCTCGTCCACACCCTTCTCCACCCTCCTGAACAACCTGCCCCCGGGTCTGTGGCGGAGGGATGACCGCAAACCGGGCCTGTCCACGGCGGAGATCCGCACCGTGTTCGAGTCCACCAAGTGTATTGGCAAGGTCGCGCGCGAGGGCAAAGACGCCGCGGGCAAGGCGCTTGAGGCCGAGTACTACTACGTGCCCGACTTTGACGACGATGACATGCGCCGCGAAGCGGTGGTCCACGACCTGCGCAAGCCGGGGCTCCGCAACTGCAGAAAACAGCACAAGGTAGGTTTTTTTTTTTTTTTTTTTTTTTTCTTTTCTAAATCGCTTCTACCCCGCTGCTATTGTTTGTGGTTGGCCTGCTAACTTTTCTAGCAATATTTCTGGCGCAAGCCGAAATAGAGCAACCGTTGGACGTGCTTCTAGTACATATTTCTTACTGTTTTTTTTTTCCTTTCTTTGACGCCTTTGAATGTTTCGAGGACTCGCATAGCGTGGCGTGGCATACCCTTCTTTTCTTGGAGATGTATGATGATGTTTGACGTTTGTAGGCTTTGTCTACGTTGTCTAGTTAGTTGTACTGTAATGCAATATACCATTCCTTATACCAGTATATAAGTAGGTACATACGTAGTCGACATGTACTCTAAGCTAGGTATATCAAGTAGTAAGTACCACTTCCTTGTTTGACCGACGTCAACTCGCCACTCAACCTACATCATCCCATCTCACATAGAAGATAAGTTAAAAACACCGCCCTTCAATATATCACCTACGAACTGCAATATTATCCCACAAAACTACACTACAAGTTACACTACAAACTACCCTACAAACTACCCTACAAACCACAGACATCATGAGTGATCTCCCCTCCAGACTCAAGACCCAGACCGAGACCGACCCGGTACATCCACCCTCTACCCAGCCACCGTCAGTGTGGAAACCCGCGTTAGACCGTCGACAGAGCTGGAATACACAGGATTTGAAGCATGAGATGCAGGAGAGGTTGTTGGGGGGAAGTCGTGATAGTGGGAGTGATAGTGGGGGTGGTAGTGGGAGTGGTAGTCAGGGGTTTACGGAGAAGAGGGGATAGATGTTCTGAATTAGGATGGATAGATGTTCTGAATGAGGATGATGGTATCAAATTGTATGAATGAATGGATGATCAAGAGAACCCTGTAATCGAAGTAATCAAGAGTAAAGAACTCGAACTCGTATACAGACAGGTACAGTAGTAGGAACTGATAGTGGCAGAAAGAGTACACCGCCTGTGCCGCATCCACGATCCTCAATCCGATCCCAGGACTGACAAGTTACAACTGCTGCTACATTTCTTTAATAAAGGACTCAGACTCCAGCCAGACTACTGCTTCCCTTTGTTATTGCTGTGGCCTCCCAAATGCGGCGTGCAGTTCGCTTCCGCGCTTTCCTTTTCGCACTCGCTGAAGGGCCCCACGACGACTAACTAATTCATGCTAAATGGACCGCCAAAGAAAGCGTACACTTCCCTTTCCTAGGGGTTTTATGTTTTTTTTTTCTTTGAAAAGAAGATTTCTGTGACTGACATGCTGGATTCTAGGGGAACTCCGCTCGTTGAATGAGCGAGCCTGGGCAGGCGAGACTGGTAGGCGATGCACCTACGCTGAATCAAGAAGGGGAGGGATTAGTTGGATGGGAAGAACTGACGTTTTGACTACAAACAGACTTCTTCCCCGTCAGCAAGTCACTCGACTCGGCGCTGAAGAAGAACACGGCCTTCATCAAGCGGCTTCGCACGGGCATCACCGCCTCCGCCCTGCAGACCTTCCTCGCCGACATCCGCACGCTATCGCTGCACAAATACCTGTCGGAGATCATCTCGGCGTGCTACGAGGGCCTGTGCAAGCTCAAGTCGCCCGGGGAGATTGCCGCCGGGGTGGAGATCACCAGCGCCCTGCACCAGCGGTTCGGACCCAATGAGTTCACGCGCCAGATCGGATGGCTGCTAGGCCGCGGCCTGAGTACACCGGATAAAGCGCAGCTGAAGGCGCTGGCGCAGGAGATCCGCGAACGCGAAGAGAAGGACCGCTTCTCGCGCCACAGGGTTCTCCTGCGTGTCGTTACGGAGCTGTGGCTGGTCGGCGTCCTCAAAACGCTGGATGATATCGAGCGGCCAGAGGATCTCGGCGTCAAGGCTACCGCCGGCAAGGATGGCGTGAAACCCTCCTCCTCTTCCTCATCCTCCTCTTTGTCCGCCTTTTCGGATGGGCCGGCCAAGATGAGAACCCCCTCGTCGTCAGCGGCGGAGGCTGAGCCCTTCCCACTCGAGGTGTTGAAGGATCTTCTCGGTCACGATCGCGACCATGTCAACTTACCCCTTGCGGTGCTCTTTGCCAAAAGCTTTAGCTGGGATATACTGGGGGTGAAACCGGAGGCTGAAGAAGCTAGGAAGACAGTCGAGCCCGATGGAGCTACCACGGTGGACACGTCAGAGAGTGTCGACTCGTCGTCGTCGTCATCGTCGTCGTCGCTGGAGAATGACCCTCCCCTGACCTCGGAGAAGGTGCAGTCGCGTTTCAAGAACATCCTGAATCGGTATCTGGAAGACGTCAAGCTCCACGTGGTTCGCGACCAAAAGGCGCTGGCGGCCCAGAGCCGTCGAAACGCAGAGGCCTACGTCAAGAGTGGCGAGATCTTTGAAGATCGCCAGGCAAACTTCGAGAAACAGTCCAAGTCCCTCGAGAAGCTGATTGCCAACACGCAGGTCTTGTGCGAGGTTCTGGCTGTCGAAATGCCGGACATCATCGAGCAGGAATCCGCAGATCCCACCGCCAGCAGCGGCATTGGTCTAGTCAAGACGTCCGAGTACCTCCGCGGACAGGGCGATGGCGCAGGCATCTGGGAGGATGAGGAAGAGAGACGCTTCTATGAGAACCTGGTGGATCTCAAGGGCAAGGTACCTGCCGTCCTGCTCGAGGATGGGAAGAAGAAAAAGGCAGGCGAAGGGGAAGACCAACCGCCGGCCAAGAAGAAGGCGGATGGAGAGGAGCCCAAAGCCGACAGCAAGCCCGAGCCGACCCCGGAAGACAAGCCCTCTGCCGACGCGGCTGCTGATGATCAGTCCGTGGCCATCGCAAGCCGGACGGTCGGTGCACAGGTTGACGCCCTGTTGTCCAAACTTACCGAGTTGCAGACAAAGGACCAAGTGGATCAGCTTGCGCTGGATTTCTGCTTCCTCAACTCCAAAGCGTCTCGCAACAGATTGGTCAAGGCCGTCTCCGACGTGCCCAAGGGCCGCTCGGATCTGCTCCCTCTATACTCGCGTCTGGTCGCCACCCTCGGTCAATACCTGCCTGATATCCCACAGGGGCTGACGACCTACCTGGATGATGAGTTCCGGAGTCTCCAGCGCCGCAAGTCGAAGGACTTTCTCGGCCAGGTGCGCATGAGTAACATCCGATACCTGGCGGAATTGACCAAATTTGGCGTCGTCCCGGAGCATATCATCTTCCACTGTTTCAAGGTCTCGTTGGACGAATTCTCCCGCATGAACATCGAGATCATCGGGCACTTGTTGGAGAACTGTGGCCGCTATCTTCTCCGCAACCCAGAGACGGCACCACGCATGGCCTCGTTCCTGGAGACGTTGGGCCGGAAGAAGACCGTCCAGCACCTAGGCCAACAAGAGCGCATGCTCATCGAAAATGCCATGTACTACGTCGATCCTCCGCCCCGCCCCGCCATCCAGCAAAAGGACCGTACCCCCGTCGAACTGTATATCCGGAGATTGATCTACCTGGACATGAATAAACGCAACTACACCAAGATCCTGAAATCCATTCGCAAGCTGCACTGGGAGGAGCCAGAGGTTGTCGAAATTCTAGAGCGCGTCTTCAGCAAGCCTGTCAAGGTCAAATACGGCAACATCCATCTGCTAGCCATTCTCGTGAGTGCGCTGTATAGATATCACCAGGACTTTGTGGTTGGGATTGTGGACAACGTTCTCGAACAAATCACCCTGGGGCTTGAGCAGAATGACTTCAAATTCAACCAGAAGCGTGTGGCGGAGGTCAAGTTCCTCGGCGAGCTCTACAACTACAAGATGGTCGATTCCCCGGTCGTCTTTGATACGTTGTACCGGATCGTGACATTCGGCCATGGTATTTACTGCCAATTCCCTGCGTTGTTTTCTTTTCTTTTCTTTTCTTTTCTTTTCTTTTTTTTTCTCAATTTCTCTAATGATTTGTAGAAGGAGGTACGCCTATGCCTGGTCGAATCAATGTGCTTGATCTGCCCGACGATTTCTTCCGTATCCGTCTGGTCTGCACGATTCTCGATACCTGCGGCCACTGCTTCGATCGCGGCTCTGCCAAGAAGAAGTTGGACTTCTTCCTGAACTTCTTCCAGTACTACATTTTCACCAAGGATCCACTGCCCATGGACGTTGATTTCCTGGTTCAGGACACATATTCGGCAACTCGGCCTCAGTGGAAGCTAGCCACTGATCTCCAGGAAGCCAGTCGTGTCTTCAGTGAAGCCGTTGCGCAGAACTACAAGCTCCAGGATTCTGAAAAACAGATGGATCTAGACGAGGATGACGCCGAGAGCATATCGTCTGGTTTCGAGGACGATGCCATCCCGGAGATTGATGATGAGCAGGAGTCCAGTGACGAGGCTGAGGTCAGCACCATTGTTTGCTCCTTTCTTTGACTACCTGTGCTAATTAACGTTTTATCTACAGGCGTCCGGTCCAAACGCAGAGCAGAACGGTGATAGCGAGTCCGAGGAGGACGAGGAACAGATCTTCGTCAAGCGTCAAGAAGAAGAGCGAGATCCCGAGGCCGAGGCCGAGTTTGACCGTGAATTCGAGAAGATGATGGCCGAGAGCATGGAGTCTCGGAAGTTCGAACGCAAGAATATCTTCGACGTCCCACTTCCCATGCGGCCACGTCCTGGCCGTGACGTCCCAGCCGATAATAACGCTGCACCCGAGACAACCCCTCTTCCGACTGAGAACACCATGGCCTTCTCGCTGATGACCAAGAAGGGCAACAAACAACAGACACGAACCATTGATTTGCCCTCCGACTCGAGCCTGGCAGTCGCCATGAGAAGCCAGCAGCAGGCAGACCGCGAGGAGCAGCAGCGGATCAAGAGTCTGGTGTTGAACTATGAGCTATCCAACGAAACCGCCGAGCCAGCAGAGGTCGTCGAGAAGCGGCCCCCTTCCCACCGCGACACTAGAATGGACAAGTCAAACAGCGGCCGGGGCGGGTTCCGCTCGCGCAAACTCCAACTCAGCGATGTGGACTGGTAAAATGATCCTTTGGGATAGACCAACGATTGATTACCCTCAGAGAGAACAGAGAAAAAAAAAGAAGAGAATCAACCATCCTCTCGGACGATATGGATGCACCGATACTGTCGACATCTTCGAGCAAGATCCTAAGAACAAGTACCGCGCCTGTGATGCGATGCGATATTTTAACCTCCCGCCTCTGCGCGTGGGCAGCATGGGCAGCCATGGTGCGGTCTCCAGATAGAAGGACAGTTCCGTCGGCGCAACTGCAACTGCATCGTATAGATGCATGGCTTGTTCAAGTGTCCAGTCCATGGATGGGCATAAGATATGCCGGTCTCTCTCGTTGCACCGCGGTTCCAGAGGCTATGTGCTCATCAGGGCTCCATCTCATGCCAAGTCGCTCGGGCGAACCAATAGTATGCAGTCTAGATTGCCAGAATAGAATAGCATTCTTCAATTATGTGTCTATAAGTGCCTCCAGGACACTGTCGCTAGTGTTTACCATAGCTTTCTACTTCTAGTTGTTTCTTTACTACTCCCAGCTCTGTAAGTCTTCCAGAATTCATAGTTATATTTTAGGTCTAGAGATAGAATAGCACATAATAGAAGACAATATAGATACAGTACATTTGGGGGGGGGGGGTGTTCAGAAAAGAAAGTCTTATCATTTTTTTTATTTCTCCGTCGGGCGGTTCTGGAGCTGGGCATCATCGTGGACAGCCTTGGGGACCAACGCCTCCGACTCAGCCAGTTCACTCTTCTCGACAGCCTCGGCCTTGGCCTGGGCGTGGACTTCCTTGGCGTGCGCGCGCTTCTCATCCGGAGACGAGGCGGCCTCGATCTCCGCGGCGGTGGCGGCGGGCGACGACTCTTCTTCTCCCGTCGGGGGGGCGGCCGCCGCGGCAGCTTCGTCGTCCTCTAGCTCTGCGCCATATACTTCGGGGTACTGGCGGAAACAATCTTGCATGGCCCTGCGAGAGATTAGTATGAAAAAAAGAAAAAAAGAAAAAGAAAAAAGGATTCGCACTTGAACTTCTCAATGCAGTCGATTCCCTTGGGTTCCTCCTGGGAGAAAACGAAACAGCTAAAGGCCGCCTTGAAGTCTTCTCCGCAGGGACCGTGAGCCATGCCTCCCAGACACGGGCAGTCCCAGTTGATCTCTCCTGTCTCCGGGTTGAAAGCGGCTTCCTGGCTGGCCTCTTGCTCGAGTGCCTCTGGGTTCAATCCACCTTCCAAGACGGGCTGCGTGGCATCAACATCGATGATTTCGGGAAGGGCAGGTTCGGCTGCTAGAGCAGGTTGGGCTGGTTCCGGGACGGTCTCTTGACGGATCTTGGGCTTGATGGAATCGAGAGTAGGGAGTTCTTCGGCGCTTTCTGTACTGCGCTGCTTCTGTCGTAGGACTGGACCAATTTCATTTAGCAACAGGTTCAATTGGTCATCAAGTGCGTTTTCCGGGGGGAGGGGGAGGGGGTTCTCAATCGCGAAAGGCGAAAGAGACCTTCAATCGTCTCAAAACACAAAAGTAGACAAGCATTGGGTTGGGGGGGAGGGCGCGGCATCACGACGTACATGATTCTTCGGCAAAGATGCTGCTGGTGTTGTAGTAGTAGATGGCACCACCCGCAAGACCAAACCGGAGAGCAGTGTTCTTCCAGCTTCTTGATTTCTCACTCGCACCAGAACTGCCGATAAATCGTCTGCTGACCGGGGCACGAACTGCGACGCCAGGCGCGCGGAGAACTGCTCTGACGGCGGGCCGGAACATGGTGAAAGGGGTGCGGGGGAGGGCCGCGACAGACAGAAAAAAAAAAGAGTCAGGAACCGAGTATGAAACTCGGCGAGAAGAGCTCTACCGATTGTAGAGCCTGACGAAAAGCAATGAGCCGGGCTGGACCGGTACGAGGCGGAGACGTGTGGGAAAAAGGAAGTTGATTGATAACCCGAATTCGAATCGCGCCGATGCCGTTCTGCCTGAGGCAGTGTTTAGTCAGCATCGCAAGTATGTTTACTCTTTCAGCATCACCTTTTTTTTCCCGTCTTGAATAGACTTCAATTTCTATTACGAAAACAGAGGATGCTTCAAGCACATGCTTGAAATCGAGTCAAAAGCTTGTTATACTTCATGCTATCCTCTGATCAGATGTATAAAGCTTTAAGAAGAGCTTATATATTCCAATTAGATTGTCTAGCATAAGCTGACAGGTGTATATACAGTATCTAACAACAAGGTAGGCCGACATGGAGTAACCTGTACCTGGTACTATTTCTGTTTCCATGCCATCTTGGCAGCATCTTTCATCTCCCCTCGCTCCTTCACTACAGCAGACATTTTCTGGCCAATATCCGATCCAAGGTTGCTAAACCCTTCAATAACGCCGTTGCGGTCACCGACACCCATCTCCTGGCTCATCTTGAACTTGCCGCCGATGTTCTCAATCGCTATCTCGATGCCGATAATATTCTTCTTCAAGATATCAACATACCGGTCTGGTGCATCTGCCACTTTCCAGGGTCCCGGTCTCTCGTCCTGGCCCGTGTATCCCATGATTGAGGTCTCGCACATCCGAGACAGATCATGGACCTGTTGTGATAGGTACTCGGACGTTTCAGAGGATGATGAGTCATAGTAAATCGTAGCTTTGCCGTATACCTGTGCGGCGGCGTAGTTCCAGGTGGGCACGACTTTGCCGCTGACGGGTTTAGTCTCAGTGTAAAACTTTGGCGTCACGTAGTGATGATACGAGGCCGTGAACAGGATCATAACATCCTGCTGCAACTGGGACGTTGACTGAGAGTCTGCAGCAGTCAGGGCTTCAATGATGGCCTTTGCCTGCGGATTCTGCTTGGCCATATGTCCACGTAAACGACCCTTGACGGGCGTGTCGGGATCGGTTGAGAAAACGTCCAGCACCCATGGGATATGGCTGGACTGCAGCAACGGGAAAGACGGCGATTGGATGGCGGTGGTGAGAACTCCGAGCGGATTCTCCTTGATCAGGGCAAAAAGAGCTTCGATGGAGGACTCTGCGTGGCCGGATGGAAGATACATGGTTGTAGGTGGGTGTTATCTAGAGACAGTAAACAAGCTTCTGGGGGGGGGGAAGTTAATCATATTCTTATGGCAGCGATTTCGCCGAGACTTGGTTGTCGAACCGAGCCGCAGTTGGCTCTGCTCACCGACAGAAGAGTCACGATAGAATTCCCATGGAAGTTGGGAGTCATCAATCAACAGTCAAGTCTGTAGGTGGGGTCGCCGTCCTTCCGATTTAGGAACCTGGATCCGGATATCTAATCGTTTGGAAAACTTCAGTCCGCGGAGTATGTCACGGCAAATAGTAATACTCCAGATAAGTCAGCCATTTATGTGGGTTCTTTATAATTAAGCCTGAGGATTGGGTACAGCGTCTTCTACTATGAGTACCTACTAGGTAGATAAGGTACCTCACTTATAGTCACACTACCTTAGTTGACTAGTTATATGTTAGGTACCTAGAATGAACACCAATCAGAGCTCTGTTAAATCAATCCCTGGCCGGCTCGGATTAACTTCTCGGTAAGATATTTGTCGCCTTGGAATTCAGGCATACACATAGCCCCTCCGAGGGGAATTTCATCATGATAAGTGAGTGCTGGGAAGGATATCCGCCCTGTTACACGAGCCCGCACAACGCTCAAGGGTACTCAAGGCTCTGCGATGGAATGGGATCCCACCCGGTTCTTCCGGGATGATCCGGATATGCAGAGTCCATATGCACTGCTTATTCTGAACCAGCCGATCAATGAGGAGGCATACCTCGTTCTCCAGAAGCACGGTAACTCTCAACCTTCTCTCATACCAACGTTTGAATCAAATCTTCGAGAAAAATAAAGATCGTGGTTTCAGTTCTGATATAGACAGGGTAGCATGCTTCACCATCTGCGCAGATGGCGGTGCAAACCGATTCTATGATATGATGCAGGCACGCGACAGAGAGAGTCTAGATGTACGTTCAGTTCAACCCAGACCACGACATATCTTCTACTTCAAATTAACGCAGGTAGCTCCCTAACGCTATCGTGGGCGACCTGGATTCCATCCGGCCCGCAGTCCGGCAGCACTACGAGGCCCTCGACGTCCCCGTCATCGAAAACCCAGACCAGTACTCGACGGATTTCACCAAATGCCTGCGCTATCTCGAGGGAGAAGAGCACCTCACGCGTACCCACAGAGAAAAAGGGCTCGATATCGTCGTGCTGGGTGGCCTCGGTGGCCGCGTCGACCAGGCCTTCTCGCAGATCCATCATTTGTACGCTGCTACCATGGAGATGGAGTGTACGCGGAATCATCAATCCGTCGCACGGTCCCTTTATCTCGTCTCCGAGGAGAGTGTCACTTTTATCCTGAAATCGGGTCGGAACATGATCTACACAGGTAGTCACAACGACACTACAGATCAGGCGGGGGGGAGGTATTTCGAGGAAAATATCGGCATCATCCCCCTCGCCGGCCCGACGAGAATCACCACCCACGGCTTAGAATGGGACGTTACCGACTGGCCCACCCAGATCGGCGGCCAGCTCAGCACGAGCAACCATATTCGCGCCTCAGTCGTGGAGATCGAGACCGCGGCCCCGGTCTTGTTCACGGCCGAGTTGGCGGCGAGGTTCAAGTTTGGGGGGAGAGCGAGATAGAATGTGTTCTCCTGCCTGGGAGATGTATGCGTACATCTAGGCAGTGTACAGGCACACGCTGATTTTCAATGTTCATATAATTCAAGAACGACTAATATTCACTATACTAAAAAAACAACTCCAGCCGTACCCAGAATACTAGAATATATAGCACTGTGCAAAACCAATTAAAACGTCGACCAAGAGCAGCCAGCACCTGTCTCTCAACAGAAAATTTAACAGAAAATTAAAGAACCCTTTTCTGCACCAATTTACCCGAAAAAAGAATCGAGAACCGCCTTCAAGTCTTTCTGCTATAGAAACAAGACAGAAAACCAAGCATTACCTTCGCAAGATGGCTTCATAGAGGGTACCAACGACGCCAATGGATGCGCCAATGAGCATTCCAGGCCACTGTCCGAGGACCGCCATGTTGACGCGCTCAATAGATAGGTGGCCAAATAGGCCGAACAAGGTGAAGTGTGTCCCGTATACCAGATAGGCGATCAGCGCCTTGCTGATGTTGAACATCAGCGGGTCGAAGTCCAACCGCTGCTGCACGGCATACGGACGGTCTCTGGTCTGCGCCGCGTTCAAGCTGATGTTGAAGAAATAGGCAAACGCCATGGGTAAGAAGACACTAGTCACAAGCCACAGCGAGAAGGGGGCCCAGAAGGTACTGTCCAGCATGACGAACATGTCGAAGAACTTGACGGGGTACTGAGGGATATGGAGTTGAGGCACCCCGGGGAAGGTACCCATGTAGCGAAGGGGGATAAGATCGTAAAGCAGCGTAAGCCCCTCGATGTACACGACCAGGGATTCAATCGCCTTGACACTGCTGAGCTTGGAGCGCAGGCTGTGCACATGCTCCACGACCCTAAATTCCTCCCATTTCTCAGAGATGCTCTTGCGCACAACTTGCGTTCGCTGGTCGATCGCGTCCGTCACGTCCTTGGGCGATGGGGGCAGCGCAGGCTCGTCTATTACCTGTCGAGTTGGCGGCGACTTAACCTCGACCGCCAGGGAAGCTTCAACCTCGGACTCTTCGCTGGTAGATTCGCTCCTAAACCGTTAGAAAAAAAAGCGATACATCAAACAATCATATAAATTCGGGGGGGGGGAAGGGCTCGGCCGTACTCTTCCGTCTCTGCAGTCTGCGATCGTGTGAGACGCGTCGACCGCGGCGTCTTGGAGGTCAAAGGCGACTCCGTCGATCTGGGTTCCTTTTTGACCGGCGAGCGTTTAACCGGCGAGCGCCTTCCAGGGGTCTTGGGCAACGCGCCCCCCGTCGGCCGGCTATAGATTTCTGTGAAGCGCTCGTCTCTTTTGTATGTGTTTTCATGGAGATCAAAGTGCTCGAGGAGGGCAATGGCCAGCTTTTCAATAGTGGGGTGATCTTTCTTCGACCTGCATCCGTTAGCGAAACATATTTCAGAGCATATGTTCTAATGTAGACATTAAAAACATCTGATATCGTACGTGTAAAGGTCGGCCTCACTGGCCAGCTCCTCGAGCACGCCGCGCTTGCAGCCCTTCAGATAGGCAAATCGGGTAGACATGATGCGAATCGGCCTGGTTATATCGCGAGAACCATGCGGTGAAGAAAATATATCTATATATATATATATATAGTCTATACAACAGGACTGTGTGCGTATGTGTGTGTTTATACTGGTAACAGCAAGTGTGTTGGGAGAGGAATGGCGCGGGCGGGTTTGGCGATCTTAACGTATACGCGGGGCGAACTGCGGGCGCTTTCATTGTTTACATTGCCCCATCAACGCCCTTTCTGTTTTGGGCATGTTTACCAGTACTTTACAACATCCTGATTACTAGATAGTCAGGTAGATACTCTGTACTCTACTACACCAGTGTTTAATATTACAATAGTATTATAGCTCTATTGTATACATGAATATGATACACACACATTCTATTTATACTGTACATAATTTGTGTGTGTCCACTGAAAAGAACAGAAGAAGAAAAACAAGGGGAATGATCTCCCTCGACCAGAACGCCCCGCCAACGAAACTACTCTCGCCGATGCCTATGTATAATGGTCTGATGCAATGCGGCCGTCCACGTGTGCGGTATTATAACGGACTCAGCTCCTCCATACCCCCCCAGGTCTCGAATCGTTTGAGGAGATACTGGTACATCACCAACATGGTACCGCTCTGGATGCTTGTCCAGACACCGCGGGGGAACACCCCGCGGAACCAGCCGGCGAAGCCTTCTGTGCGGTAGATCATCTTCAGTCCCGTAACTACCGAGGAGGTGTCTAGTCGGGGAGCACCAGGTGGCGGGACCGAGGTCGAAGGAGAGGAGGTGGAGATCGGGCGCGAATGCGTTCGAAGAGGATTTGACGAAGACGACGATGACAATTGTGTTGTGGGTTGAGTGTGATGTCTTAAAGAAGGAGACGTACTGCCGCTGCTGGAGTCTGGATTCTGCTGGGTCTGGATCCGGGTCTTCACCACATCCAATGGACAAGTGATGACGCCCGCCATGCCGCCGGCCGTGACAGCCGTGAGGATTTCCAATCCCAACCCGATATCCCGCTGGCCAACCCACGCCTTAGCCAGCCGCTGCTCCTGCTCGTAGAAGGCGAACTGCAAGGCAGAGAAAGGGAGATCGCGGAAGATGGTCGCCTTGTAGCCGTAAAAGAGAGCCAACAGACCCTCTTGGCGCACAATAGTGCGGAACGCATCCGCAGTCGATCGATAGTTGTAGCCAGAGTAGAAATGGGGATTATTATAGCGGCCCTGAAGCTGTAGCCGCGTCTTTAACACTTCGGAGGGAACATAGACGACGGAAGCGGCCAAATCGGCAAAGAAGCCTATACCATCAGATTTAACCATTTCACTCATTCGGACATGTTCAATCATGCTCTGTCACGTTCAATCAGATTCTCACCTCCAGAAAGATACGCCAAATTGGCATTGACCTGATGATCCAACATCAACCGCTTCGTATACTCGTAAACGCCGAAGAAGATCAACGTCCCCGGAAAAGAACCCAGGAGGGCCGGAAACGCTCCGCCGTACAGCCCACGCGCCAGGCCTTCCTGTCGGTAGATCGTGGCATAGGAGGAAGTCATCGAGGCGTATTTCGGGGGGAAGTGAGGGTCACCCTGCTGCCGGGTCTTGACCGTGTCAAGCGAATGCATCAACATATCACCGCATGTTCCGCCAATGGCACCCGCGAACATTGCCTAAAGGACGAATATTAGAAAGCAAACCATTTTAGACAACGAAGAAAACAAGAAATGTCGTACATGGATATATGCCGGCCGGGATTCTGTCTCCTCTGTCTCCTCCCGCACAGCGACGTGCGACGGGACATCCTCTTGTCCGCCTCCAACGCCCAACGCGATGGAGACAAACCCCTCGGGCGAAGAGACCGGCGTATCGGTGCCGGGACTGCCTGGTGTTGCTGCTGTTGAGAACAGACCGACCACGCGAGAGGTCAGACTCATGGCAGAATCAAGACCACCGCAGACCGGGTCCGTGGTGCGGAAGACCACAAAGGGGAGGGATAGAATGTGCTGGCAAGAAAGGAGAAGAAAGAATGAAAATGAAAAGAGACAAGAAGAAAAGAAGAAAAGAAGAATCACAGATTATGAATGGAGTAGAAGCAAAGATAAAAAAAGATAAAGTGAGAGCCGCTGATCGAATGATTATCGCGGCCTGTAATCGCTGCTCGTACCTCCAAAAATTTTGGGCGGTCGGTTCTGCCTTTCTTCCGTCCGGGCCTTGGTCCGGAAGCCAAGCCTCAGGCATCGCCACCAGGCACGCAAACCTTAGGGGGGCGTTCCATATAACTTCTTATCTCTTTTTTTTGGAAGTTTTACGCGCCAGATCAGGTACATAGTAATGATATTCGCATTTTCGCTCGCACGGGGAAACCAAACGAAAACGAATCAGATAACTAACTACACCATACATGGGAAGAGAATCATAGGCAGGAGGGTACATAGGCAAGAGAAGAAATTCTAGGGGGAAAAAAATGAAAAACCAGTAATGCATCTAGGGCATCACATATCATCGCATGGACCAACACTTATCGCTTATCACTTCCCATATCATCTGGGGCAAACAGACGAAAAAAAAGCATCATAAAAGCAAGCCTTGGGCTTGTATTGAAGAGGGGCGCCTGTCTTTCATGGCCCTCAGATCAGATCCACAGACCATACTCATACTGATATAGGCCAACAGGTCGATATCTCCATGGGATGTGGTTGAGAAAAGAAACCGTAATCTGGACCCTAGACTAGCAGCAAGGTCATTGTCGAGAGACTACTCGGGGCGTTCTTGATCCGGGACAATTGTCCAGCCGCTCTCTTTATTGGGGCTTCTTGGCGGCAGTGGAAGCGTAGCGAGAAGTGTACCGGCTCAGGTCCGTTGCCTCGTAACCCTGGCGCACAAAACGCTTGAAAGCCTCCCAGCCCTGGCGCACCGGGGGAGGAGTGCTCTGGTGGGCGATGGAGGCATCGATACGAGCGGAGAGGTAGCCCATCGCCTGCTGCACGAAAGAGCTCTGAGAGTACCTAGCCCGGAAGAAAGCCACATAGATAACCAAGAGAACCCAGCTGCCCCTGGAGAAGGTCAACGCAGACAGGACCAGGCGGAACAGCAGGGTGATCTCCAGAGCAGCAACGAGACCCATGCTGGCATCGTAGTACTGCTTGACGAACTTGCCGATGGTATCGGCCAGCGCCGACGGCTTGCCCACCGGCTTAGCAGACCCGGCGGGGGAGGTCGGGGAGGTCGGCCCGACGCCCGGTGCGGCCGGCTGCAGGGTTGGGATCAGGTAGGTCCTGGTGTAGGTCGCAACATGGAAGATTGAGTATACGCTGAAGGGAAGCAGGGCCAAGGGAAGTTGGCGGGAGTACAGCCACACGAGAGCCATTGCTAAAGGGGTAGTCTAGTCAGCAATCATCACCACCACCATCATCATCATCACGCATTGAACCTCTCCCGCACACCGTAGCAAACTCACCGAGGTACTGCACATTCTCATCCGAAGCAAGCTTCAAAGCAATAGCGGGGGGATTGCCCTGCAAACGGCTACGAGCAAAGTATTGCTTATAAACCACAATCCCATAGGTAGCCGCCGCCGAAACGAACGCAAGGCGATATGAGACCTTCGCCCAAGTAGAGTAGTAGTTGAAAGTGATGTACGACAAGCTGTAGCGGAAGACGGAGAGAAGCAGGGTCAAATGTCTGTGATGTGTGTCAGCGTGTCCGTGTCTCCCAGCGCTGGTCATTATCAGGTGCACGAGGTCCCTCGACCAGCTGTCCAATGCCCAATAAATCCTTACCCGATGAACCAGGCGAACCTACAAAACTGTCAGTTTCTAGAAGCCGAGACTACCTTCACAATTAGAAACACCTACTGTAATGTCTGGGCAAGAGCTTTGAGTCTCTCGGGAAGAGGCAAGCTGGCGGGAGGAGGAGGGGCCATGGTCGATGGTCGGTGAAGCTGAAACCACTGAGGATGTGAGAGAAGGAAGGGGGGGAGGGGGGGGGGGATGGGAAGTGGGACAGAAGTTCGACGAGACAGAGAAGCGAAAAAAATATAGGTAACGAAGAAGAAGAAAAAAAGAGTCAGACAAGAACCTGTCGAACGCTGCCTGGGCGGGAGGGGGGAACGAGGGCGTTTAGGTCGGGTTTTGATGATGCTCTCGTGTGCGGCCAGCTGGAAGGTGGTCACTGTGTCGGAGCTGAGCGGCAGCCGGGCGGTGATTGGTCGATAGGCTGCAGTGACGTCTGGGACTCCGCATGATGCAACCTGGAAGGCTGGTACTTGGCCTTCTAGATGCGTGAGTGTGGAATGTGGTCTCGACCCAAGGGAAAAAGAAAAGAAAGAACACAAAAAGACAGAAAGCAGGGTCTGGGATAAACTCAATTGCCCTTTTCTGACTGGAATTGCCTTGATCTGGGGAGTTACTGACTAATACTGTCTACCTAACCTACAGTAGGTACCTATGATCTGGACATCGATCGTCTGATAAAGGCGGTGTGGACTACCTCCGAGTCCGACCTTGTCACTACCTAACTACTGCAAACCTCATGCGACAAACAATTGATCTGGTCTGCGCAGTCTGTGATCTAAAATTTGCTGCTCTATTATTGACAGGGCTGCCCATCGACGCATATGTACGCGCCGCCTACATACAGGTCCTTTCGTACCCGGCCGAGGCCATGGAAAGAGCAAGACCTCTGGGAGAGTCAAGACGACAGGAGCAGCAGTTTCACGATAGTCTCTGTATGGGCAAGAACAAATAACACACTGGGGAATAGGAAACAAGTGGGGAACAAAAGGTATACCATAGAGAAAAGTACATGACAAGAAGCGAAAGGTGGCCATAAAAGTAAAGATTCGACTCGAGAGCGGTCCGCAGTCTTTCACCCATGTGTTGCGTATCATCTGGCAAGTGCAGACCGCTCCAGCATGTCAGCATAGAGGAGTAGCTCATCTGTCCCAACTCATCTCCGGATCAGTCCCCAATTGGTATTAATATTGCTAGAAAAAAAAAGACATTCTTTTCCTCGGTCCACCCAGTCTCAGAAAAGGAGGAGAAAAAGGATAAACAAGTCATTATTGGCAAGCAGGTACTAGAATAATAAAGACAGGGGGGAAAAAAAAGGAAATGGTGAAAGAGTGTTCAATTAGGAGGAGGAAAAGCGGGCAACCAAACACAGGAGAAAAGGGAATTTGGTAAGAAAAAAAAAAAAAAAAGAGCGCTTGGTGGATTGAGAATCGAGGAAGGAATGGGGATGGTTTCCTCCCACGAGACGGCATGTCTTCAGTGGTCCATAGGGTCAGCAGACGAAGGGGTCCTGAACATCGGCGATAGATTAACGGAGCGAGAATCCCTTTCTCTTGCCCTTCTCTTCGATTGGCCGGCCACTCTCGAGGCGGGATTTCTTCTCTTCCAGTTCCTGGCGTTGCCTTTCCAGTTGATCCTTCATCTCGCGATGCCGAGCGTATAGTTCGTCTTCGCTCTGCTTCAGCTTGCTTTCCTTCTCTGCAACCTTTTGCTGGAAGACCATCTTCATTTCCGTCTCCATCTTGGCGAGTTTCTGCTCGTGCAGGGCGCGCTCCTCCTCCTGCTTGACGGCCGGGTTGACCTCCTTGAACACACTGGGGTCCTGGGCAACACCCATCTGGGTGAGCTTGTCGGAGCGGTAGTTCTCGTACAGGAAGTTGTTGGTGTGCTCCTTGAGTTCCTCCATGTGGGTGCGGATCAGCATTTGGCGCAGCTTGACGAAATCGCAGTGCTCCTCGTTGTCCACCTCAATAGTACCCCAGGGGTAGCTACGGCCACGGACCTTGCGGCCGTCGGCAGTGGTAACCTCGGCGTTGGCTCCAACAACAGCAAAGGGGACCTTAGACATGATCTCCTGATTTTCCGCGATGGTTTCCTCGTCATCGAGCTCGTAACGGGGGCCCTCGAAGATCTGGATGGAGTGATGCTGGATATCGGCCAGAATCTAAAAAATACCGTTGTTAGTATTTACTACATAAATTAAAAAGATATGGATAGGGTGGGGGGGCCCATACTCGCTGCTTGAAGGCGGCAATCTCCTCGTCGGTCAAGGTATCGGACTTGGCGATGACTGGGATCAGGTTGACCTTGGTGTGGAGTCTGCGCATGACCTCGATATCCAAGGGCTTGAGAGAGTGTCCGGTGGGCTGGATGAAGTAGACACAGGCATGGATGCGGTTGTCGATGATGTTTGTGCGGTTGACCTTGTTTTCCGCCTCGAGGTAGGCATCGAAGCGCTGCTCGATGTTCTCGACAATGGGGCGCCACGAGTCATCGTTGTTGACAAAGTCACCGAACCCGGGGGTGTCCACGACCGTCAGACGAAGGCGCACGCCGTTCTCCTCGATATCTGCGCTAATAGACTGGATGGAAACGGTCTTGGGGATGATGTCGTGGCTAGGGCCGGTGCGTTCCTTGGGCGGATACAGGGAGGTGTTGAAGAGGGTGTTGACAAGAGTCGACTTTCCAAGTCCAGACTCACCTAACCACCATTTAGTTCAGAGGCGTAAATTACTATAGCGGGGAAAAACAGAGAAAAAAAAAACTCACCGACGACCATCACGTTGAAGTTGAAGCCCTTGCGGACACTCTTGCGGTGCCATTGGTTCGGCAGGTTGGCGAAGCCGACGTAGCCGGTGAGCTTGCGACGGACAACATTCTTCATATCACTGGCGGCCTGGGCGGCAGCTTTGGGATCCTTAGAGCTGACGGTCTGGGCACTGCCGGACCCCATCGGGTTGCTGCGCTCGACAAAGGGAGAGCTGGGCTTGCTGTCCGATGTAGGGGATTCCCGGGGGAGAGCGGGAGGGACCGCGCTGCCATTAGCGGTTGCTGTAGCTAATTCATCCAAGAAGCGGTCAGCCTCATCTTCCATATCGCGTTCATGATCTTTATCATCATCATCTCCTTCGACTTGAGTGTCGCCGGACAGCCGTCCCGACCACGCCACCGACGGCCGGCTGTCCGACCTAGTGACGCTTTTCTGCGAAGGGGAGGAACATTCCAAATGTGCAGAGTCGGAGAGGAAGTCATCCGCCGACATGACAGAGGAACAAGACATCGGATAGGGAGGTGAGTAGGTAGGTAGTCAGGGGGGAGAGAGAAATCCGGAGCGCGCAAGAGTAACAGCCAGGTCGCAGACACTGCACAAGAGCGAGCGAGCGAGCGAGAGAGAAAGATAGGAATGGTTGACCAGCAGAAAAACAAAGCCATCAGCTTACCCATTTTGACGGAAAGAAGTCTGGTCTGGAGAGAGCGAGCGTAGAAGGAAGGTGCGGCGGTTGCGGACGGCGAGCGAGGACAGGTTCCCCTGAACGGCACCTTCTGTTAGTATCACGACTTCCATTCTGCGGAAAGAACGACGGCAGAATTGATTGAACCTGTGTTCTTTTTTTTTCTCCTCTCCCCGAAGAGCTGTCACAGTTGGGGAAAGACAGGAGGGGGCAGTCCCTGCTTACTGGAGTCTTGTTCGCTGGCAGACAGGTGCAAGGTCAGTCGATCACAAGCGAGGGGATGACTGAGACCACGTCGGACGGTTAAGGCACACGGCTCCTGTTAGGCGGTGTACACAAAGGTCGAGCTCTTTGCAAAGGTGTCAAATAAAAATAAGAAGAGCAGAGCGAACGAACGAAGAGAAAAAAAAAAAAACAAGGGGGGGGGGAGAGAGATGTGTTGGTAGGTGTGGAGAGGAAACGAAGAGCAAAGAGAGAAAACGACTGGACTGCGGAGATGAGAGCAAGTTACAGGTTGGGACCAGACTAAGGCTGCTGTTGTCTTGAGAGAAAGGGGGGAGACTCCCTGAAGCATTCGGGCGGATGCTTGGCTAGTGCTTTCAGACTACTTTTATCACTACGCAGGACTTGGTAGGCCGTTAGTTTAGATAGCTATATACCAATTACTGATGAGAAGACACTATTATTGCACCACTGCTGCAGCGATAATCATTATGACTTGTTGCTGTGGACGGCCGTGCTGCAGAATGGATTTGGCAATCCCCAATACTGGCAGCCCCTGAACTTTGAAGCGTTCACTAGTGGAATGTATTACTTATGATATCACCTTAATCTTGGTAAACTAATAACTAATTGACTAGTGACTAGAAGCTTGACTATATGTAGTAGAGGAAGTAGTTGGAGGGCTGAGAGAGACACAGGAGCATCTCGAACCTGGACTACCTTAGTATACTACCTAGTACCTAACCTAGGTAGTAGGTACTGACCACCAGCGTCTGGTATCTTGAGCGTTGGACTGGAATGCAGCTAGCCAGTAACGCCCCGGTCGCTCCGTGGTTGATGAGGCCATGTTCCAGAGCATTCATACTGTCGTCATGCAGCCCATAATGTAGCTGTCACTCAGGGATACCTTTTCCATCTGTTCTCTGTCGTCTACTCGTGGTTAGGGGAACGGAGTACTGCATCTTCTCCGTCCAGGGTCTACCTGGCAATGATAACCTACAGGCTTCTCCGTACTCATATCAACTTCTTATTCAGGGATGCAGGGGGGGAGGCCTAAAAGGGTTAAGTGTAAATATATTACAATACAGTAAATATAGTACAGCCGGCTGTGCCACCCCTGCCAATAATATGCTCTAGAGACAGATCCACTATATAATTAAATACACATCAATACCAACTACCAGGTCCACTACCTAATGGTACCTGGGTAAGTTAGGTACAACTTACCTCCAGACCTGATAATGATCTTCCCTTCTCCTGACCACACACCAGGTCTGGAAACGATTGACAGGCTTGGCGAACCGGTTCGGTAGCTCGCTCTGTCGATTCACAAAGCCATTGAAAGGTGCAATTGGCCGTCCCGTACGGTGTCAAACCTCTATAATCGATCTCAGAACACTGAAATGGACAGCTGAAACGCCTGCATGAGCGTTAAGTAACACTGGCCCTGCACGGCATCGGTTGTCCCTGTACACCCCTCAGCTAGTGGGAACGGGTAGCTGCTGTCACTGTCTATTTCGAGAGATTGAATAGGAGACGATTGGTACGGAGTAACAGGTAGTTACCTTAGTTACCGAGTACGGAGTAACTTGACTCCCAGGGAGGTCTTTAATTACGAGGTTGAGATTGAAGCACATTTCCAATGGCCACATACCGGTCGGATGCGTAGTACAAAGCACGATAGTTATGGTACATTAGAAAAAATGGAAGAAACCAGCTTAAAGATGAGTCGACCAGAGCCAGACTTTTCCAAATCTCTATTTGCCGCCAACCTTGGATTTCTTCTTGGGCCGCTGGTCCTCTTCCTCGTCGGACTCGCCCCCGCCCTCTGACGCGTCGTCCATCTCAGCATCGCTGCCGCTGCCGCTGCCGCTGCTTTCATGGTCCGAGTCGAATTCCTCCGCCACGTCAGACTCGGAGTCGGCTTCGAAGTCTTCGTCGACGGATTCCTCGTCCTCGTCCGCTGATCCCCGGTCAGCGCGGCCACCCTCATCGTCACTAGATCCCATGAGCTCGTCGTTATCCAGCGCGGCGGCAATTAACGCCGATGACTGTGAGCGTTAGCTAGTTGTTTGGAAATGACAGAAAGAAAAGGAGGGTCCAAAACATACATCGTCAGCCATCTCATTCTTGAACCGAATGTTCTTTGCCTTGAAAAAGTCTTCCAGCGGTTGTTGTTCCTCGCTGTTAACGTTAGAGATATTCCGGTTAAAGAGGTGAGGGTCCCCAGCGGGGTTGGTTTATTGAGAAACGAACCGGTTAATGTTGCTGAACTGGTGTTCACCCATTCCGGCCTTGAGGGTGATGGTGATGTCAAAGGTTCTGCTGGCCGACACGGCGCCGCCGACGCGGGACATGGTAATGACAGAAATGTTCTCGATTTGAATGTAGGTAGCGGGCTTCGGAACAAAGATGAAGCTCTTATCCAAAAAGTAAAGGAGGCCCTCGTTGGCTTTAATTGAGCATTTCACTCCGCTGTGGCCATGGTGGCTGTGGTAAAAGTCAGTGTCTAAACGCATACTGCTAGAAGCAGTCACAACTTACCTGACGAAGTCTCTCGAAGGCATGATAACCTTCTTGCCAGACAGCCCACGGAAAATCTTGGTGACAACTTGGTGAATGGGCTCTTCGTAACGAGGCTCCAATTTGTCTTTGTAGCGTGATTGCAGTAGCTCTCTTCAGAAAACATGTTAGCGGGCCTTTCTCCAGGTGAGACAAATGGATGTACTTACTCGGTCATGTTCAGCTCGAGGCTAATTTCTTCATCCAGCTTCATCTGCATGACAAGGAACGGGTAGCGAGTCTGACCCTGTCGAAGAGGTGGATCCAGACCCAGGACGATCAGTGTATGCGTGTCGTCGTTCTTGGGCAGCAGAAAGAACTTTTTGATGGCAGAGTATTGGATCTTGTAGTCGTAGGTCTTTCCGCGTAAACGGAAGGAGGACTCGTACATATCAATATCAAACCGACCCCTAGAGAAAGTGAGTTTCTAGTGCTAGCAGATTCTTTCAGAGGGGAAAAAAAGAGTCCATACCTAGGAGTAAGATGAAGGACATCCAGGAAGGTAGCGAATGTATCGCCTGCGACATCTCCAATTTCAGCCTTATCCATGAGCGTCTCGTAGAAAAGGTTTGCCGCGTTCTGCTCTTCAACCTCCTCTCCCTCCTCTTCCTCATCATCCTGGCCCTCTTCGCCACCTTTCTCTTTCTTCACCGCCGTGCCGGGAATGTAAAATCTCATCTCGACAAGCTCGTCAGGCCCGGCTGCAGCCTTCCTGCCGCGGTTTTTGGTACTTCCAGCCGGCTGGTTGTCGGCGCCGTTCGCTTGTTCAGACGGTAGAGAAAATTCAACCGCGACTTCATTCCGGCCTGCTAGGTTTGTGTTTGAGATTTCCGAGTAGGGGACTTCGAACGCGGGCCGGTTCTGCACGTTGAAGGTGAGCTCCGCCTTGGTGAACTCTGCCTTTCCCCAGTTCCAGCCACGCAGTGCGTGTTCGCGACTTTCGACGTTCACGCCATACCAGACCTTGAATGCTTTGGATACACGTTCGAAAGCCTGCGATGAAGAGAGAGAGATGCATTCAGTCGCTGATTCCGAGCTTTGACATGGGACATCATGTACAGGGCGTCTTACCTCCTGGTCGAATCCATCTAACTGAATCACGCCCGACGAGCGCGACAAGATCTTGAGTTCAAACCCCTTTGCCGCCCGACTCCATTGAGCCGCACCAATGTTGCTCTTATCGATCGTGAAGGTGTCACCTGCACCTGAAGGCTTCCACCCCAACCCGCTCTCTGCAAGTTTGCATTTTCCAGGCTGTCTCGAGAGATCGAGGTATATGTTATCGAAGCTCTCCCTACAAGTGCTCGGTCAGCGAGAAGGTAATCAGCGAAACATAACAAGAAAACGCACATATTGGAGAGGCCCTGGAGGGAGAAGGTGCACAGAGAAGGGCCGAAACTAAATCAGATTAAAACCTGCCCTTAGCAGTGATCAAAATATTATGTCACCGGAAGATAACTGAGCGCTACCTCTATATGGGATAGCTGTCAGCGTCGAGCTCTGGCACAATTTCTGGCTTCGCGCTGCGCGCTGGACGCGGCGCTGTAAGGGAGCCGCCACTTCACCTAGAGATGGACTAGCGTGTATGCCTTCGATTTAAGGCGGTCACCCCAAGCGACCCAATTAGTTACCTGTTAGTACGGACGGAGCACCTCGACAGTTACCAGCATAACCAAAGATCAGGGATTTGTGCTTTATAAGCTCTCAAGTTCTATGTCTTACAAGTCATATTTCTTGTTATATAAATATCTAGTCTATATGACTTGAACTGTTATCACTTCTCTGAATTTTTAGTCGCACTGTGGCATAGGAGGCTGGCAATAATGGCCACGCGAGACAAAAGTACAATCACCGAGAATACTGAGGACTGATCCATGCAACTTATATGCAGGCTTCAAAATTCACCACTAGCTGAGCCAATAGTCTACGACGATAGCCTCGTGCCAATCTTCCATCTCGTGTGTTTCTGTCACGCGGCGGAGGGGTCGATATGGGACATACTCCATGCAATATATATCATAACAGCTAGCGAACGAAGCACATCGCTGCCGATTGATTCATCTGGCTTGAGGTTGCAACAACCCTTCACAAAATTTACCTCCGACCACGATTCTTCCCCTCCAGCACCCTGATTGGAAATCTACACACACCCTGCCGTTGAGATACAGACTTGGGAGCTCACTGACCTCGCTATTAACAGTGCAGGGAACTCCTCATACGATAGATCCTTCTTGTCCAAGGCCACCCACCACGAGAACCATAACAGTCGCCGTCACTCCTACCGTGGACAGATACGGAGTATATATTATGTACGGACTAGCGATGAAACTGAGCAAGGTTGTGACGACCTGCTGCACCACATTTGCAACCTCCACTACGGCACAAGCTCTTTTATACATCACTAGCAACTATGTAGGCCTTTTTTCGATATTAGCACCGATACCGGCATATAAGCCCTCGATCATGCATCCTAAGGCGAGGGTGGTTGGAACCAACCTCAGCCCCATCCAGCCATTTTTCGTGCCACCGAAACTCGAACTTGTTATTGATGGTGTCGAGTTTCAATGCAGTTTCAGACCCGACTGTTTCAATTGTCCCCTTGCTACTACTAATCTTGCTAGTGCCATTGCTGACCTGTCCAACCTTCTGAAACAAGCCTATCTGCACATGAAGTCCAGCGGCTGGATTGAACTATCCAAATTTACCACCCCGTGAATATCACGTCGTAGCCCAAGGTGGCGTTCAAGGACCACGGGCTCGTCAACATCAAGGAACCGGTAGACAAGTTTCCTATCCGGAAAGAGGCTGGCGGCTACCATCGAAAGATTTGCAGCGATGAGCCCTGAATCGTACATGCATTTGCTGTCAAGATTTCTTTGATAGTCTTACTACATAGACAAAGATCGTTCTTTCCTGGCTTTCGTTTTGAGGGACCTAGGCTAATATGCACATGTATGGCAGATGCTGTGTGGTCTAGAGACGAGGCCAACGGCATGAGTCCTAGTAGTCTTCATGATTTCAAGGCGCAGCTTGCAGTTTTCATCGTGTTATTATGTATTTTTTGTGTGGACTAGTATAACCTTGCTGAGATATGATCTCTCGTTAGCATTCTTGTCAGTTAGTAGTATATGATTCGGTAGCCATTCAGTATCTTGCTCTTACTATAACACCTCGCAACTTGTAACTGATAATTTGATCTGTCAGATTAGCTATGATTATTAATATTAGTGTATTCACCAGCCCCGTAGTGAGTATTAATGGTTCCAGCTAGAACAGTATTAATTAATAGCTACAGAGTAGTCATAACCGGTATGTATTGACTATGCAGTACTACATATGTAGTATGTACTAACTATGGTACTGTTTACTGTTACTATCTATAGTAAGTTGTACTCTAAACCTTACCTTAAGAACGCTAACTCAGTTGAGCCCACGCGGCCTGTCTGATGTCACTGTGGCATGACTTCAACTAGTTATAGTACTCCCATAGAGATCAAGCTAAATGGATGAGAGCAAAGTACCAACCAAGGTAGAATCAATCTGCCACCGGTTAATCATCCTTGAAGATCTATCAAATGCTTAAACAACATTTCTACTGCAGGCCGGTCGGGCCTCACCACCTTCACTGAGGCTGGGCCTCCACCGGCAGGCTCGCTCCATTCCGTCCCAGCACGGGATGAACGTCGAATCGAACGAGTGAGACGGCACGATGCACCCGGAACAATGTTCCCCCGGGCCCGTGGCTCTGCCGTTTCGCTTACAGTTACGCAGTCTGCAGTATGCAGTTAGTATGTACGACTAACCCTTTTTGGTATTCACTGGGACATCCATGCTTAGGAAACAAGCCCCCTAAGCCATGTCACTCTCTCTCCATTCCCATCCAACTTCTCCCAGTCATTCGTTCGATTCCTTCCTGTCCCTCCCTGCCCGTGCAGCTTCTTGCTGATGTCTCCCGACTTGTAGCGCGGAGTACTTCCATTCCTTTATTTTTCTCCATTTTTTGCCTTTGTTTTTCTTCGTTTCCCGGTGGTTGTTCATCCCCCCCCTTTTGTACACCCACTTTCTCTCCCTTCAAGGTCACTCGTTTCCTTCGACCCACGCGTTCCATGTGTTGATATCAACCTCCATTTCTCAGCCGATAAATCGACTTTCTTTCTTTCTTGCTTTTTTTTTAATACTTCGCCTTCGGACTGGTCATTTTTCGAGTGTGGCGGCGATTAGCGAGTCGACAAATCGATCCCCGACGACCTTCTGTTTCCCCGTCGTCGCGCCCATCAAACAATGAGGATTCCCTCACTGTTCGGGCCTGCGACGGCTGGCTTCGCGAGTCTCCTCGAAATCCTCACGTACCTTTCGATTGCCGGTTCGCCAACCGTCCATGCCTTCTCGTTTACTTCGGTTTCGCATCCGGATCTGGACCTCTCGTCGCTGGGAAGAGTGGGGCTGGTGGGAGACTTTGATGCTGTCTCGCTTTATTCGTATCAGGGGCAATCCGAGGACAACACGGCGAGCGACGACTTCCAATCTTTATTAACACCCCTGCCCAATGGAATCTTGACCTCTCTCTCGGCATCGGATGGGCACATCCTTGCCATGTGTCCGTTCACCCGGAAGGATGGGACATACTCGGGTTTGTTTGTGGGAGGAAACTTCACCAGCCTGGGAGGTGTCCATTCAGAGGGGGTCGCGCTGTTCAATACTACCTCTGGTGCTGTCAAGGCTCTATCAGGTCTGTCGGGCTCCGTGTCCGCCTTGCTCTGTGATCAAGAAACCAACAGCGTGTATGTTGGGGGGGACTTTACCTATAAGAACTCGTCGAACGCCGCTGCGTGGGTGGGTACGGATGGCTGGTCCTCTCTATCCTTCAGTGGATTCAACGGGCCGGTGACCTCGATTCTCAAGGCCGATGACGGGCATATCATTTTCGGAGGCTCGTTCGACGGCCTGGGCAACTCCACTTCAACATCGTCCCAAAACAATACCCAGATCATCAATCTCCAGAATGCAACCATCTCATCAGATGCGAATTCGACGACGACGGGATATAGCAGTCCTCGCAATATCATTTGTTCAACCGGTGAAGATGGTGAGGGAGACACATGGTTGCTTACAGACTATTCGCCGGGGTATTGGAGGGCGGAGATGGGGTTCGTCTATGAGCCAACGAAACTCCGCTTGTACAACACCCATGTGGATGGAAGAGGAACGAAATCGTTTCTCTTTAGAAGATTACCCGACGATGGTATCATGAACCTGACATATACGGATCCCGACTCGGGCGACGAAGTGTCCTGCGACGCATCGTGTCCTCTTTCTAACAGCACCACTGAGCTATACCGTGACTTTACTTTCGTTAATGTGGTGGGGATGAGCGGATTTCAGATCGAAGTCCAGGACTGGTATGGAGAGGGTGCCGGTCTCAATGGCATTGAGCTTTTCGAGAAAAGTGAGTGTACAAGCAGGAAAAAGAAAAGTGCGTGAGTGGCTGACAGTTTCATGCAGACATCGATGCTTATGCTATCGATTCCTTCAACGAGCCGACATGCGCCGGTCTCGACTATCCCTCTCGGTCCACACGTACTGGCTCCTGGTCAGTCACTCCCTCTGGCTCAAGCCAGTCTGAGTACCTGTCGGCCCAGGTCACCGACTCGAACGCAACCACCTCGTCAGTCACCTTTGAAGCTAGCATCAAAGAGTCTGGAAATTACACCGTCTTGCTTTATACTCCTGGATGTGTTGGAGATGCAACCTGCTCATCACGCGGCATTGTCAATGTGACAGGAACCTTTGCGACCAGTACCGACTCGTCCGAAGGGTCCATTCAAACGGTCGTCTATCAGACCAATGATTACGAAAAGTACGACACCATTTACTCGGGATATGTTGATGCCAGTAGCTCCTCATTCCGGTCTAGTATCACGTTGGCCCCGATCTCTGGCCAGGGTGATAATATTACGGTCGTAGCCTCGCAGGTAAGGTTCGAACTGCTTTCTTCTTCCTCCTCCAGCGGAGGGTTGAATGGGCTATATGAATATGTGCCGGGATCAAGTAACTCTACTACCGATTCTGCGATCGATGATGCAGGCAATCAATTGGACACAGGCGCCTCGATCACCAGCTTAGCATCCTACAATGGTGTCATTTATGCCGGAGGGAACTTTTCGGACTCCAGCCTGAAGAACATCATGTATTGCAATGATGGCAATGCCACCTCCATGCCCTCTGGGGGATTGAATGACGAGGTGACGACGATGCTCGTGGAAGGCGATTACTTGTATGTCGGCGGCAGCTTCACCGACACCGATGATGGAGGGAACGATGATCTCCAGCATGTCGCGGCATATTCTTTCTCCTCTCAGAGCTGGACAGTGCTTGGTGCAGGTGTCAATGGCCGTGTCAATACCATCCTCTCTCTGCCCTCGAACATCTCGGCGGACATCAATGAGACGACTATTGCGGTCAGCGGCAATTTTGACAAAATCTATGCGTTCGGGAACAACACCGCTGTTGCCGTTTCAGGGTTTGCAGTCTGGGTACCGTCTCAGAAGAACTGGCTCCAGAATCTCAATGTCAGCCAGATGGAAATCGACGGCGAATTGTCTGCCCTGGCATCAGTGACTAACACAACTATCCTTGCGGGCAATCTTGAATCCGGTGGCCTTGCGGCCTCAGACGCAGTGTCTCTCTACAGCTCCGACGACTTGGTCTTGGAATCGTTGTCTGTCCAGGTGAACACCACTGTTTCTGGATCTAGCATCTATGCCGGCAAGTTCGACACGAGTTCTGGTCGCAATCTGACGATTCTGGGTGGTCACTTTGATGCGACGGCCAGTAATGGCTCCAGCATCTCGAACATTTTGGTGCTGAACAGCACTGACCAAACCGTCATCGGTCTTGGTACAGACATCGACAGCAACTCGACGTTCTTGACCTTGGCTGTTGTGGGTGATACCCTCTACGCCGGCGGCAATGTTACTGGAACGGCGGGCACATCCACTCTGAACGGTTTCGTCACATACAACCTTGTAAACCATAAGATCAGTGACTCCCAGCCTGCGCCTCTGAACGGTGGTAACGTCTCGGTCACCTCCATTGCCCCCCGCCCCGATTCTACGGAAATCTATTTCGGGGGCAACTTCGACGCAGCCGGTTCCCTTCCCTGCCCTAGTGTCTGTTACTGGGACACATCCGAGGGCCAATGGAACCGACCTGGCACAGGCCTCACGGGCACAATCCTAGCGTTGGACTGGATTAGCAGTAAAGAGTTGATGGCCGTGGGGAATCTGAGTGTCTCCGACAACAACACTGCGGTTGCGATCTACAACACCAAGAAGCAGACCTGGAGCCCCCTGAGTGGTGCCGCCTATGCTGATGTCCCGGGGACCATCACTGCCTTTACACCGGCCAACGAGGCCGTGTCCGAGTTCTGGCTCGCCGGCCAAGCAACCAATGGCTCCAACTTCCTTCTCTACTATGGCGGATCCGCACTCCAGGCCGTCGAAAACACTTTTGAAGACGGGACAGTCATCCAAAGCCTGCAGGTCTTGGTCACGTCCACAACTCACGAAAGTAGCTCGTTGCTCGAGAAGGACGAGATTCTCCTCGTCACCGGCTCACTGGTCCTCCCCGATTTTGGCAATGCCTCTTCTGCCGTGTTCAACGGAACTGCATTCTCTCCTTTCATCCTGACCACTGCTGCAGATGGGACACCGGGCAGTGTTTCTCAGTTGTTTACTGAGAAACAGAACACGTACACCAGCAGTGGTAAGTTGGCGAACCCGCTTTTTTTTGCTTCCCCCCCTCCCCGACGGCAAAATCGAAAATGCTAACTTAATACAGGTCATCACCTCTCCAACGGAATCGTTGTTTTGATCTCATTCTGTCTGGCTCTCGCCTGTATCTTCCTCATCGTCATCAGCGGCGTCATTCTCAACAAAGTGCAGCGTCGCCGCCAGGGCTACATGGCCGCTCCCCAGGCCTCTGGTACGGATCGGCCATCCGCCATGCGCCGTGTGCCGCCGGAGTATCTCTTCAACACCCTCAGCCAGCGCAATCCTGGTGCCCCAGTGCTTTGAACTAATCCTGGTTACTTGTTTTCCTTCGCTCATGCTATTTTTCCGTCGGACGAATACCCCCTTTAATGTTTGCCTTTGCATTTTTTCTTTATTGCATTTTCCCTTTTCTCTTCTAATCTAGATCCACCCATTGGATCCGGCAGCCTCCTCCGCTGCTTTTCCAAGAGCCATTCGCTCGTGAATAACCCATCTGGCGTCATGTATCATATCTAGAGATCTGGCTGAATATCTCACCTCGGGGGGGAGTGGTCCGTTTCTATACCGTGCTACCTGGTGGGCATGTAAATAGTCCGCGCCAGTCGCGGTAATGAAAATAATGCTTCAGATATATAATTGTATGCGTAACTACCTACCTACATAATATAACTACCTAGACAACCTTAACAACCAGAGGAAGCCCGGGGTCACGTGCAAGACCCTTCCCCGACCCCCGATCTTCTCCGCCCAGTCTCCATGGCGAGTCCACCCACTCACTGCTAACAAGAAGATCGAAGATCTGATGGCATATACCTCTTCAATTTACAGGCACCTGCAGAGGAATATCCCCTCTATATGACTCCGCCATCTCCGTGACGACAGTGAGCCATGGGAAAGACCAGTTCGCTCCCGGTTGCGGCGGTGTTCGCCCCCCCCCCCCAAAGCCCCGGGGGAAGCCTTATTGAAAAGGCGGGAAATTAATAATGAGAACAATCAATTAGATTATTATTTTCACCCCCGCTTCCCATCGGCTCTGGCGTGGCTTTCCACAAACCACTTCCCCGACCCTGCGCCACTCTAAGCTTACTACTATTGTTGCTTCAATCCGAACGTTTTCAAGCATCGTCCCCCTACGTTTGCATCGGAATCGATGTGGAGGGCTGCCTGTGGTTCTTATGGTTGCTGTTCTATGGCTGTCGAATTGATCGCTTCGTGCAGGGCCCGGTATGCGATCGAGAACCGGATGGTAAGTAACGGAGTATATAGTATCATCTATTGTTTCTTTTTTTTATTATTTATTCATTAATTCTGGTTAGTTTGACGTGTCGGCAACGGAAGCTCAAATGCGACGAGCAGAAACCGCAGTGTTCGCAGTGTCGTCGGGGGGCGCGCGAGTGCCGCCCGAGTGAGGGGATTGTGTTTCGCCATCAGCAGAATGCCTCGATGAACAAAGATGGTGATCAGGCGGGGGATCGAGGCAGTCTCAATGGGTTCTATAGCTACAAGAATACCTTTGACGAGGATAGTGTCTGGCTGGAGATTCCAAAGCATGGTATGTTGCCTACTCTGCTTTCGAGGATCAACTAACGTGGTTATTCGACAGTCATCTTCGTGGACAATTCCGACCCCTATGCCGAAGACCTGGAGGCGACCATCCGGGAATCCGAGGCAGCGGTGCACCTTGCAAATTCGCACAATCAGGACTGGGAAATGGGTTCTGCCGCCGAGCGACAGGGCCTCGAGGCCCTGTCCGCGGCCGCCACGCAGAATCGCTTCGCTTTCCACCAGCTCGCCGTTGACCATCACCAGGCCATGGTGGTCGCCGAGCCGGTGTCTTTCACCACTCCCGCGGTCGAGCTGCCACCGACGGTGACCTCTGTCTCGTCGGGACCCTCGCCCACCAACGCAACGAACAGCGCGTTCCCCCCGGCTGCGATGGCGTCGCCCTCTATCTCCATCTCCTCGGCGAATAATAATAATACTGACAACATCAACAACAACAATAATAGTAATAATAATATCAACTTCCTTCTGAACCCCACCCAGTCGCTCTCCCCGTCGATAGACCCCAGCATCCAGATCACGGGGGAACACCGCCGCAATCCGTCCTATACACCCAGATCCATCACGCCACGGGGGACCGCAATCGTCTCTGGCTACCGACTAGATCCAGATCCCGAGACGCATCGTGAGATAGCCTTTCTTCTCCGCCATTTTTCCGAAGCTCCGGGCCTATGGTAACCTTTCACCCGTTCTCTCTCTCTCTCTCTCTCTCTCTCTCTCTCTCTCTCAACTAATGAGGTACTAACGAATGAGCAGGATGGATCTATTCGATCTTGGAACGTACTTTGCCTCATACGTTCCTGTGAAGGCAGCCAAGAACCCGCTGCTCAAGTACGCTGCGTGCGCCTATGCGGCCAAGCAATTAGGCCGGGTGAAAGGCGCCAGGGGCTCTGTCGGAGGTGTTTCGTCATGGCAGGCGTTCATGGAGACATGGCCCGACACGGAGAAAAGGGACTGGTGCTGGTGCGGCGCCAAGTACTACGAAAAAGCCATCCAGCTGCTGATGAAAGAGTTGCAGCCGGACGCGGAGGGTCCGCCGCCGCCGAGCACCCCGGAGGCGTTCGGCCAGTGGCAGGCGAGCAAGGTGCGCGATGGCGATGATGACGACGACGATGACGGTGATGGTGATTCCGAACCGACACCGCGCAAGCGGCAGCGCTTCGTTGTCGACAGTCGGTTGTCTAATGGGGTGCATTCGGACGAGGTGCTGGCGGCCACCGCCATCTTGTCCGTGTATGAGTTTCTAGACGCGACCGGACCGGCTTGGAGCCGCCACTTGAGCGGGGTCAAGTCGCTGCTGGACGTCGCCGAGGTGGGTATGATGCCACTGGAGCAACGGGCGTCGACGAAGAAGTCCGGCCTGTCCAAGGCGAGGAAGGCGACGTTCTGGAATTTCGCCCGACAGGACTATCTCGCTGCATGTAAGTTTCTTTTTCATTACCTATCATTTCTCTCTCTTTTTTTTTGGCATCAGAGTTTAGATGCTTACTATCTAGTCATCAACAAAACCCAGACGAGACTCAACACCGACGACCTTGTCCTGTGGACTGAAGCAGGCCTTCAGATCGACAATCTAGGCTTCGTGCGGCCCAGCAACAGCTACGCAACGGGCTACCCGGAGGGCGACGGCGTGATGAAAGAGGATCTGATCTCCAACGCCCTGATCTGGATCCTCTCCAAGATCGTCAACCTGATCAGCGCGAGCGCAGACCGTACTCTCTCGCCCCAAGTCTTCCGTGACCGCCGGTACCGCCTCGAAGCAGAATTAAATGCCTGGTACGCCGGCCTACCCGATACCTTCCAGCCATGTGCGCGCGTGGAGCCTCCTTCGACGAACAACAATCCCACCACAACTACCTCTACTCTTGGTGATGTCTCCCCCTTTACCGAAATCTGGTACAGCGTGACCATGTGCGGTTCCACAATGCAGCACTACCACCTCGGCCGCATCCTCCTCTTACTACATAACCCGGACCTTAAAGGTAATGTTCCGAACAGGCAGTATTCCGGCACTCTTCGCTACCACAGCTACGAGATCGTAGGCATTTCGCTCGGCCGCCCGGACGGCGCCGTGCGGATCAACTCCCTCCAGCCGCTCTTTGTCAGCGGGCAGTGTCTTCGCGAGCGGCGCGAGAGGCATGTCGTCTTGAACCTTTTACGTGGCATTGAGGCTGATCTTGGCTGGGCGACGGGGTATCGTGTTTCACAGCTGTTGGAGGAGTGGAGAGCATGAATATACCTTGTATATACCTATATTCTATGTATCCCTCCCTCATAGACATAGGTGCTCTAGTATTGATATATGTACAGATTATATTAAGTAAGTAGTGGCCCCACTCTCACATCCGTACGTCTCTTGAGTTCTTCAAAATCCCGGACCTTAGCCTGCTGCCGTTCACGTAGTCGCTTCTGCGCCTCCATCTCGCCGAACTGCTTCTTCCCGCCGAACTTGAGCTTGGTGATCATATCCGCCGCCTGGCCGCGGTTGATCTCGCCCGCGGCCAGGTCGGCGGCGGGGCGGATGTGCGCCTTGTTGAGAAGCTTGAGCTGCGCGGCCGTGGCGGGGGCCTTGCGCCAGGGCAGCCGGGTCGAGATGCGGTGGCTCTGGAACCTCTTGCTTGCAAAGGTGTCGGCAGCGTGCACGGCTGCCTCGAGGTCGGCGCCCCGGGCGATAACGCGGGGCCGAGTGTGTTTCGATTCGCCGCCGGTTGGGTCGTGGTATTTCAGCACCAGGCGCACCGCAAAGCTGTTGGGGTCGGGGTCAGTAGACTTGTTGGTAGACTTGCTGGTAGGCTCGTTTTCCGTCTCTCGCTCGATAGTGATCCAGCCGGCGGACTCGGAGAGGATGTACTTGTCCGGCCCGATGCGAACCCATGCATGTGGGCTGATGGACCTGATGTGCTGCTCGGAGATGCTGTCGCTGAGCAGGTCAAAGACGCTGTCGTATTTGGTGAAGGTAAGACTGACGTCTTCAGGCTCGTTGCGGGTGCCTTCCTCTACTGCCGTCATTTCTCTATCATTATTGAAAAGCACTCGATTTGGCGACTCGCTGAGATCTTTCCCGCTTGATTTGTCGAGGACCTCGTCGGGATGTAGGCCAAACAGCGTGGGCGTAGACAGAACGCCTGTCCGCAGACTGGCCACCATGTCGATAACGTGGCAGTCTTTCTTCCCAGGATACAGCCGGAGGCCTCGCCCGATCATCTGGATCAACAGATTCTTTGATCTCGTCGGGCGCGCAAGCAGCACGCAATCGATATTGGGGATGTCTGTGCCCTCCGTAAATAGGCCGCAATTTAGAAGCACCGGATACTCGCCTTCCTTGAAGGCACGCAGCTCCTCCGCCCGGGTCTCCTTGGGCGTTGTGGCCGTGATGAACCGCGCGTCGATACCGTGTGCGCGGAACGTGTCCGTCAGTCCTCTGACGTGCGCTATGTCGACGCAGAAGACCAAGGTCGACTTGCGCTCGTGCGCGTTCGCCAGCCATGCGCGGACGGTGATGTTGTTCGTGAGCTCAGTGTTGACAGCCTCGGAGAGCGGCCCGACGGCGAAATCGCCGAATTTGTCCTTCTTGACCTTGGAAAGATCCGCCTCAGACCGGACAGTGGTAAACACGGCATCCGCCAGCCAGTTCTCGTCGATCATGTCGATGTAATCCTTGTGGAACACTATCTGATCGATCGCTGCCCCAAGCTTGAGCCCGTCGAAGCGTGAAAAGGTGGCAGACACGCCAACCAGGATGGGGGAATTGTCGGATAGACTGTCCAGTCCAAAATGGGCCAAAGCCTTTCGGTACGATGCCGCCACGATATGGTGCGCCTCGTCGACTAGCACGAGCTTGAAGCGAGCCGGATCAAATTTTTCCATTCGATCCTTGGACACCAAGCTCTGGATCGAGGCGATCGTGATATCGGCTCGTCCCGAGGCCTTGCTGTTGCCCATTTCAATCTCCACGGTGCGATCTGGATATGCCAGTCGGCAATGACGAGCAGCCTGCTCCACAAGCTCTCGGCGGTGGACAATGATCAACGTCTGGAGCGCGGTGCTATTGGGTGGCAGGATATAATCAATCAACTGCGTGAATATGACCTGCCAAACATGAAATACCTTAGTTTATAGTACTTCTCAGATGACATGAGACGAAATGGGTAAACGAACCGTCTTGCCTGCACCCGTTGCCAGCGAGATCCCTAGCCGCTTGTGGCCCTGACTCACGTAACTGAGCACAGCCTGGATACATTCTTTCTGGTAATCACGAAGACGGACTCCCGTCGACGCGGGTATATTGGCGGTCGGTTGCGATTCAGGGAGCGTCGAGTTGGCACGTAGTTGCAAGTGCAGGGGTTGGCGAAGGCCCCGAAGGCTCCATTGCAAGTCTCGGCGTCCTCGTAGAGCACGTATGAGGATATGAATACCCCGTGTCCGTCGCAGAAACTCCATATAGTGCCATGGAGCTGTTTACTGGGAGTAGCAGATTCGCAATTCATGTGATATTTATTTTGCCCATAGCTACCGCATAATCACGTGATGCGTACCCAGATATATCTGATATATCTGAAATTTAACTATAAGCTACTCCGTATACCTACGAACAATACGAACAACTATTGCAGTATGCTACAATCTTAGTAGTAGCATTTCTTACTCTACAGAGAGGAGGCTGAGATACACTGGATAAAATCAAGCAGAGTTTATGCCAGGTGAGTCTTGATGTCCAACCACTTAAGGCGTGCTACTGTCGACATATCACTTGGAACGAAAAAATGGAGGGATACTACATACGGAAGTCAGCAGTTCTGTATGCTACTTCAACCGATCGAATACGGGGAACCCCTCATCTGGATCTTGAGGTGCAAGGTTGGAAAGATCTAGCCGGCGATACCACCGCGGGGAAAAGGGTTCGTTCCCATGTGGCTAAAATTGGTCTTCGGCCGAAGATTGTCGGAAATCCACTGGGGACTTCCTTCTTTTGGGGAACATGCCATGTGTTGTGCGTCTGGAATCTAGAATAGTCTGGAATATAGACAGTCACATGTAAGTGAGGTCAGTCAGTATGAGGCTATCCAAACCACCAGGCTAAGTAAGTAACCCCCACAACCTAGCCGAGGTCGGTTTCCCCATCTCGCTAGATTAGAGCCAAACAAAACGCAAACAGGAATTAATTGAGGGCTCCGCCGTTCTCTTCGCTTACAGAGTATACCTACATAAGTGTGATGCGGGGAATGTGAGATGATTAGCTAGAGTAGTATAAGAGTTGTATAAGAGTTGTAATAGTGGTGGTGGTGGAGGAGTAGTATATAATCCACACGTGATATGTTATAGAGCTCAGCTTACTATTAGAACTCAGTCAGAACTATATACAGAGTAGTACTCATCATGGTTAAGGGAGGATAACTCAGTACCAGATACTCCGTAACTGTAGCTATAAGTAAACAATGGGTATCTCTAACACAGGCACCTCGAGAGGTTAAGAAGTAACTAACTAACTAGTAGTCGTTGTCTGGTTATTAACCGATTCTGCCTTTGAATCTAAAGAATGTAGCAGGAATTAGTAGTATTTAATTATATTAATTAACTGCTCTATAGCTCCAAGTAACCAAAGTACTGTACTCCATACTCCGTTAGGTACTAACCTACCTATACTCGGTAATATCGTATGTAACAAACACAATACCGTTACTGGCTAGTACAAAGTTACCAAACGCAACTAACGCTCGGCAGGAACTGGAAACTCGATCTAGACCTACTCGGGACTAGCCAGGTCACCTTCTGAAAAGAACTCATGCAACCTTCCATCCTGAAACACAACAATAATAATCATCCATGCTGGATGGACCACTTTAGCTCATCTCCACCAGGTCCTCGTGGACTCTGGACTCTGTTTGCTACGGAGTGCTGCTAAGGCAGTGCTAGCTCAGTCTGGAGATAACCTGCCTCTATTTCTGGTCTTTCCCCTCGCTGTCGTTACTCCATCCTTAGTTATATATTGCAGACTCGCAAGTTTCACTCCTGTCAGAGCTGCCGAGCTTCCGAGTAAGACACAAAGGATTGATTAAGGACAGGGATATTCTTGCAGGCGAGAAGAAACCACCTAGTCACTACATACCACCTGCGGAGTGTTCTCTGTGTGCCCTATGCGGAGTCTTTAGTACGTGATTACGTGGTTGACCGCCGGGAAAAGATTTCGTCTGCCGACGACTCTTTCCTCAAGCAGGAGATGATCAGCAGCAGAGCAAAACAAAGTTGTCGTTGTTGAGGGTTCCCAGGCCATCCTTCTGGAAAGACTTGCGACGCCGCGCCGAGCTCAGCTTTTCCCGCTGAAGAACCAAAACGCTCGCTCGGGTCGCGACCATGTTGATCCTTCCATTTACTATACTGGGCTAGGGCCTAGGCACAGATACTCTTGGAAGTACGTATTCTTCATTCAGCTCTCCATAGGAGTACTCCTAAGTAGTAAGTACTACTACTGCATCAATGCAAAGAACTTGGTACATCGTAATTCCCTTGGCTTGACGCCACAACGTGCACGCCAAAGTCTCACGTTGAACGCCCAGATACTTATTCTATACTCATTCGAGTGTATGCTACCAGGATCAACTAGTGAAGTAGTTACCTCCCCTCCTAACTACTAACTAACCACCTAGGTCATAGCGGCTGTGAACAGCACGTTTCGCCATGGTTTCACCGTTATCCGCCAGCTTTAAAATTAAGCATTATAGCGCTCACTGGCTCAGGGTCCCCCTGGAATCTTCGAGGAGTCGATGAAGTCATCGTCTCCTCTGTGCACGGCGGACGTAGCTCGACATTCGGACAGGAGTGGGAGTAGTTCGTTGATAGCCACGAACTATACGTATGTCTGTACGTACTCGGGGGACCCTCTCCCCAACAAAAACCGTAGCCTTGTTTTTTAGGACTCGAGTGGGTGTCTTGGGAGTCCTCAATGACCAGTTTGATTGATGCCATACTTGCCTATTGTCTAATAGTAATTTCAAGCTTGGTAGTATTTTTCTTCTTCAACGCCAGCTAGTTAGTACTTACTTGATTGCTCTTCTTAACTAGGAAGAGAGTGCATGGACTATGTTGAGTAGTATGATCATGGTATTGTCTAGTCTATGCTTCAAAATAATGATCGATATCAGGACATGAGGAAACCCCTGTGTGACCCCCAGGCTTCAGAGGGAACATGTGTTAAAAAATCGTGTAAGGAAAAATACACAAAAAAAGAGAGAGAGAAAAGAAAGCCGACCCGATGCACCAGTCAGATGGAGATTCCAGGCGCCAGAGAAGAAGAGTGTGTAATGGCCATGAGAGATAGCAGCAATCCGAGTGCTTTTTTTTGGTTCAGATGCCTAGGATGGGTGTTTAAGGAAAAATGGCGAAAGAGTCCGATCCTCGTGTCTTCTGTGGACAGGAGTGATGGAAGTGTGAAGTGTTGGTGGCAAGGTACTAGCTATGCCGTATGGTATACAGGCCCGCATCATTTTTTAGATGCACGGGAGGGGGGGGCAACGCCCCCCGATGGGAGACTCCCTTTTTCTTTGGGAGGAAGGAATGTGTTAAGAGGTCCGTTATTTCTGGCCTCTTGTGGATAAAAAGTGAGTGAGAATGTTTCGGAGGAGGTAGTATATTGTTGTCATAGTTGGGTGAGATTACTCGATCCGCGGGTATGGTGACTTCGAGCATAGGTCTTCTGAGGATCCCACTCTCGCCCTTGTTGCGAGGAACTCGGGGGCCGAGGCGTTGAGAAACTCATCGTCGGGCTAGTGTAATTGGCTTCGTATCCGTAATTGCGCGAACTTGACCGCTTCATGTCTCCTATCTGCGCGCCCGCCCCAGGAGTGGGTGACCGCACCGCCATGGGTTCGGGTGTTTTCAGAGAACCCAGCCCCGAGCTGTTGAGCATCTCATAGGATCGGGCGTCCGTGAAGTTGCGCGCATCGGCAGAAACAAACTCGTGGTGATGTTTGGTAACGTTGCCTCTCAACAGTTCCGCCCATCCGACGAACATGGAAGGCCGCAAAAACAAAATGAAGTTCCAGAATCCGACAAATGCCAGGAGGACCATACAAGCTATTATGGCGGCCTCGTTGGGTCCGATGTCAGCCGCGAGGGACATACAGGCGTCACGATCGCCCTTTTCCTCGACCAAGCACTCGAGCCAGGGAACCGCTTTCGCGAGGTTTTCGGCATTATCCGCCTCGGAGTTGTCCACGTCGATGAAAGTGATGGCAAAGTAGATCGCATTGCCGATGATGATCAGGACTAGCGCGATGCCTCGCCACTGGAGCTGCAGGACCCGTCGGACCCGGCGATACGCCTGGCGGGCTGTGAGGGTCCGAACACTGTTGGAGTAGGATGGCAGAGCCGAGCTGCTGGTGGTGGGGTTCTTGTCAAAGACCGACTTGATGTAGACATAGATGCAATACACCATCGTTGTCAGCTGCATCACCAGGGCGATGGAAGCAAAGACAATAATGGGGATCCAGTAGTCGTGCAAGCTCGCGTGTTCGTTGATGGAACAGACTTGGCCAAACCGATACGACACCCCAGTCAAGTCAAGCATGATAGCCAGACCGATTATAGGGATTAGCCATCCGGAGATGAACGCTCCCCACATGAACCAGCTGCCCAGGACGACCTCCCAGCAGACCTGGAGGTGGAGCGCAACTGTCCGAATCAAACCTGTATAGCATCGTCAATCTCCAAGAAGCCCCATTGATTTCGGAATGTGTGTCCACCTACTCCAGACAACCGCACACCACCCTCCAAACAAGAGCAAGGCACCGGTGAAAGCGCAAGACAAGTCGGAGTACATATCATTCGGCGTGATGTCGTTGTAACATTGAGAGGGGTTTGTACCCAAAGGAATGATGAACGCGACATCCATGAAGCAGATGCCGAGCGTGAAGCAGATGCTCATATAATGGCGATGGGTGTACTTGACCGGAACGACTGCATACGTAACTAGCAGGAATACGCATAGAGGTAGAACGCCGACCGCGATCCAGCTCGCGATCTTCACTTTGTCTGCTACGTCTGTACAACAAGGGCTTAGTTTTGGACCATCGGGATGTGCGTTGCGTAGAAAGAGGCAGCAAAACACCTACCTGACGCATATCTCCAATCCGCCAATGGGCAAGGAAGACAACAGGAGACAGTACCATAGTCCTCACAGTATCGACCATCGACGACTACAATAATCAAAAGTGAGCGGTGGCAGTGCAACAGATTCGGCGTGGGTCTAGACTTACATCCTCCGGTGGTGGGAAACAGGCTCTCCTGCAGGAAGGGCTCGGGACAGAGCCCGTTGAGTGACGTGTTGGTGGTCATCTGGTCGCAGTCTCACTCTCGTTTGATTGTCGGAATTGTCTCGGAGCAGTCTATAATTCGATTGCGACAGGAGAAGAGGGGGGGGGAAGCGGATGGTCAAGTCATATCCCTCGAGATGTCTCCCTCCACAGATGCGATTTTGAGGGCGCAGGCGCCACAGCGAGACTGACTCGCAGTCGCGCAAAGCAGATCGGTGAGTGCTGTAAGGACCGATGTCGACCGCGACATGCCATGCGGAGGAAAAGAGAGAAAGCCAAAGGGCAAGAGGAGAAGGAGGCGGACGACAGATTTCTCAAATATAGATCACAGGGCCGGGGAGAGAGGCCCGCTTGGATCCCCTCCCCCCAGCAGCAGCAGCACGAGTGTGTTCCAATATCCACCACCCAATCCACTACTGAGAGCTGCATGCACGGTAACCTTTCCTAACCTTGTTAGGTTGTTTTCCCCTGCACTGGGCGTCAGGGGGGGGAGGGGGGGGAGGGAATCACAGAGGGTGGATTCCACTGTCCAGGGCTCCCCTCCCAGTCGTCAGTAGCGGGATCTGTGGCAGGAGGCGGATGGGCCATGGCAGATGGCGACTGGCAGAAGAGGAAAATTACCGGTCTCGCTGCGGGGCAGTACCTGGGGCCTATCAGTCACAGTTTAGGGTAGTGTCCGGCCGTCGGTTGCAGACCAGGTAGGGTTCCTGTGCATGTCACAGAGCAAATAATATGGGAGTTACTGCATGTGTAGTTGGCTTGAGCCATGAAGTTTTCTTTGCCCCGCGAATTGTCTGTTGAGCGTCGAGACGGCGGGTACCTGGCCGTGGCCTGGTGGAGCCCAGCAGCGAGAGCGTCTGGAGCCTTCCTCCTACTCCGTAAGGTTGAGGCGTGAGATCTTTCGGGTTTCCACTATTTCGTAACTATATGCCAATCATTCCCGCCAATGGCTACTGGAGCCTGCGTATTGCCTGGTTGCGCGACTGTGAGGGTTAACTAGTTGGTAGGTTAACGTGGAAGCTGACAAGTGAGACCACTCATTTCCACCCCAACAGACGGCCCTTCAGACTCGTATATCCCATATAATCAAGCAAAATGAATAGAAATCATCATAGACTATCATAATTAGTGCATTGACCCCTCGGTAAGATCGGTGGGACTTCTGGTTGACGCCTTGTTGGAGGCTTGGAGCTTCGATTAACGGGCGACATTCCAAGTGTGGAAGGACGTACGAAGAGAGCAGGGGCTTGGTTTTTCCGGTATTCGAAATACCGTGTTGTGAAAGATTATTACACGATTACCGCCTTTCCTGTCCTGTCTTCTTTACAACGATGGCGCTGCAATGATTTTTGGTGCTAGAATTTCTCTCCAACAGTTTGACAGCGATAGCCTGCAAGGCAGAATACAACGTGTGTGCCCCTGGTCTTATGAGATAGTCCTGTGGCGACCTCGGTGTCTTGATTTGAATCCTCGACGCGTCGAAACATCGCGAATCTAGAAACAACCGAGAACAACAGTCTCCATTGGGCTGGATAGATTAAATCTAGCTGACCTGGTACGCTACTTATTCTACTACATACAGATTACAGGACACAAAAGTACGGACTACCCAGCTAATTAACCATCCTAGTCAATTCAACGACCAGTTATGTCATCAGATAACCATTTCGCACTTCCAATTAAAGACAATGCGTCTGCTCCACCGGAATCCACCTCATAATACGGAGTACTATGTGGTATACTAGTGCCCTCCGTAGGTAGTCCGTACGGAGTCTTCTTGTGAGCGCAACGGTCAGCTTGAGAAGAGCCTGGATGTTTCATTACCACATATTGAATCTAGGAGTGTACCTGCATAAGCCACGATAAACTCCGTTCTGAGTTATTCTGCTTACAATAAACAGGATATCCATCATTGTCGCATGGAATCTAGTTTCAACAATAATAGCAATCGTGGAGCCATCGGATTACCCGCTACTGACAACGCCGGGAAGAGACCCAAAGGACCGGGTCCTTAATACCGAGTTCTAAGAAACTACTACTACTACATAGTTATAACCATAGACACTTGCGTGACTAATCGCAAGAATCTTCAAGAACCTTCAACCCATGTCATACACACAGCCACTGTCGAAAAAACCTCCGACTGAGCACTGGGGCAACCTTGCCTGTTGGAGTGGTGTGACACAAGTACCACCAGTGCAGGGCCACGAACTACAACGACAAGACCTAGTCAGTAGTTATGTAGTACTCTGGAACTATCATTGTCTAGATTCTCTACCACTACTACGGAGTACATAGACTACTACCCAGAACGGTGGCGCACAGCAAGAAACACCGAGTAAAGGCGCAATTTTCCTAGCCTACTACCTAGTTAGTATCCAGGTTTAGAAAACTGTACAGGGTCCTGTTGGTCTGACAGCATCGCCGTGCGTGCTGACTGGTCCACAGAGTCTTTAGGGCTGCCCCCCCCCCTGGATCCCAAATTACCTGCCATTGGTACCCACATCCCGTGTGTGTCACTTTTCAGTCACTGCAGTGTGTAGCGTGTAGTATGAGTTTGTCCTCCGGATGTACACCGTAGTACGGAGTACTACATACGGAGTCCGTACCATCCACAATCAGCATCTGTGTGATGGTCCAGGCCTCTATCCTGGCGTCTGTCACGCTAGCCGTATTTTAGCACCTTGGCGGCCTTGACAATGGAGATCGAGTGTTGTATTGGGAGTTTTCTTCTTATTCTAGCAGTTATTGGATTTGGATATCTTTCGAGAGGCTCTCGACCAGCTGCTACCTTCCATTTCACTGACAGCTAGAGTTGAGAGAAGAGAAAGTCGAGCTCGGTCGTGCCATCTGTGGCGAGATGACGCGTGGTATCACCAACCTGCAGGACCCTCTGGACTCGCTTGAAGATATCGGATGAATGCAGAATCTTGGCAATACAGGCGTGTGCATGCAGGATGTCAGCACCAGGAAGCGGGCAGTCGATATGACTTCGAAATCGAATTATGCGTTCGCCATTCTGGTTGGGCTGTGGTAGGGCAGGGGTGAAGAAACTCTGGAATCCGGGGAACAACAGAATGCGATATTGGTTAGATACGACCTAGAGGAATCAGCAAGATACATGTATAATATAAAGGCACGTACCGTGGGCTCAAATGCCATATTGAATTTTCCCAGGGCATCTTCTAAAGGATCCATCAGGGTCATCAGGTTTGTGGCGTCATTTATCTCAGATGGCCCAATCTTGAGACGCGGAAATAGTCGGTAGAGGGTCGCCCAGATTTGGGAAATTCTGTCTTCCTGGACCAGGTCAGACAATATCAAAAATGTCGTTAGCTAGAAGGAGCTCACAGATGACTTATCGTGCCACTTTCCAATAGAGAGCGGGAGGATATGTGCCAGTCGAGTTGACGCAAGTAATCCCCCCAGGCAGTATTTGGAGACGTCTCTCACCCCTGTGACCATACATTTTGAATCATCTCGTTGCAGACATAGCTTCTTCAAGCGTGGTTGATCGTTTAGAGAGGAAGACTCTAACATCATCTGATAAATGTCACCCTCAAGCTCCTCGCTATCAACAAAGAGGGCTGGGGTCACTGCGTGTCTGCTGTTTGCCTGAACTAATAGAAGTTTTAGTATGGCAAAGAACAGCCCTTTGCTTACTTAGGGGACGTACCAGGAAGAAGAATAGTGGTGTATAGGTGATAGGCCAGCGAATGCAATACTTCATCCGCAGCATTAGCAATGAATGGGTACTAGGGCCTGCTGGCCTTCCCAAGGCAGATGGTCGATAAATGCAGTGAGAATACTCTGTGTGTAGTCGTCCAACCTGCGTGGCATGTATGCCTCGATCCTTCTGCAGGCAGTTTGTTCTTGCTGGATTGTGGACACCAGTTCTTCGTCGCTAGAGATCCAGGAGAGCACGCTTTCCTCTGGGGACAGAGAAGAGTTCATCTCCAGAAATCGGAAGGTTGTGAAAAGAAACAGAACAGGACCGGAGGCAAGTTTTGAAGGAGTGTAAGCATTGGCGGCAGAGAGCAGAGCAGTCAATCTAGCAGGTGGAAAGTGAGAGAAGTGTTTGAGTTGGATGGCTAAAGCATGACCTCAGCCTTGGAACCACGAAACATCGCGACCTCGTCTGACGATGATTCACCGCTACAAGAAGCCTTCAGGATCAAAATTAGGTAGATAGTCTCTGATTCCTATTACTTTGTACTTGTACTATGGCTATGGAATAGATTGATGCAGTGATAGATGATCTCCAAAACTCGTAACAGTTGATCAAAAGCTATAAAAACCAGCATCATGCCTACGTAACTATATCTACTCAATATCCTCTCACTGGGTCATCATTTCGTCTGGATAGAACTATATATAGCCTCAGAAATATACTGCATATGTGAGCTTAAAGTAGGTAACTAAAAACTAAGGCAGGTACTTGAGCTGTGTGGCTCGTTTTCGATTGCACAAACACGTGTATATAACAAGTAGTGTAGTTATATACAAATGCAAAACAGTAACATGACAGACAAATACCCATTACAGAACAGGCAGTCATAGTTGAGTAATTCCTCCTCTTCTGAAGTCTGGGGTAACTAGTAGTAATCTGTTATCTTTGTGTTGCTCGACCGGGCTCGTTCTCGCTGCGTGTTTGGTTCTTGCGCTGTGCCGCCTGTGCTGCGCCTCGACCCAATGGCCGTGACGGACGAGGCGTTCCTGTTGATCGCTTCAGGAATTGGCTCTGCTAAGCGCCTGGTGCACTTTCTTTTCCGTACGATCTGCAAATCAAATGGCTTTATCACAGATGTGGTTGGATGTTGGTAATTGGATCTATCGTCGACTGTTCAGCTGCAGAGATAGACGTAATATAGTAGGCATCCATCTACTAGGTAGGTAGCTAGAGCGATTGCTCATGTGACCGTCCGTCGAATCACCTGCCAACCTTAACCCGTCTTCGTCTCATCCAAAGAATCTGCTTGACACGCGTCGGAATTGGATTCAATCACCGTACCCCCCCGGGGTTCGTCCTTTTCGCCGTTCAGGACTGCTGCTGCCTTGTCTTCAGTGGCGGTGAAGAATCACGCTCAATTCTTGGATCGAAGCCCTGGGATAGAATTAAGATCTGAACTGGAGAGGAATGTTCTGTGGCAGGGGTGCCCATGACCGTGTCTATTGAATCACTAACCATGTCGATATGTAGTAGGGGTACCTGCTTCGACTCACCGCTGATTAAGATTCACCGACATGAACAAGGGTTCTGCGTACTGCAGAGAAGACATCCTGCACGATGTCAAGAATCCACGCGGCAGCCTCTGTGACGATGATGACTCTCCTTCGGGATCAATCCGAGGAAAGAGACTTTTTTCCATGCAGATATCCTTGAATATCCACTCTCAGGTTATTCCGCTTACACCCAGACCCAGCTATGGAGCATAACCCGTTCTTCAACCCGCGATCTTACACACGAAAAATGGCTACAACCTGCGTTCTTCATCACACAGATCTCTCCGCTCTCTCCCCCCCACTTTCTCCCAACAATTCAAAGCACTTTCCCTCGAAAATTTCAATAGGAACTGGCCGGAATGACAAATTCCTTCGCTTCCCCGATCCGTTCTCTACTCTGTACAAGAAGAAGATGTACGGAGAACGGAGTATACAGGGTTCGGGCTGGATACCTTCACAGGCAACTGCGGCTTGATAGGCTTGTATAATTACAACGTAATGCACGGAGTGCTTGGTTCATGGGCTGGGACTTGTTGTCATCGACATGATTGGTTATATGGTCGAAAGGTAAGGAAAGAAGACTAGACATCTCAACATAAACTTAGGTTTCATTGAAGAAGTGTGCGCGGCAATGGCCATGGTATCACTAGTCTGAGCCACTGCGGAATACCTATTTATAAGAAGCCGCCCTGGCTTTCAGATTGGCTCATTCATCTCCGCAACCTCTTCGATGCTCTCGTCGACCTCGTCGAGCGCGTCGTTTCTGAAGCCTGAATAATAATGTTTTCCTTCTCCTCCTCCTTCTCGACCTTTATCTCATCATCCTCGGCTGGCCGCTTGATAGCTATTGCCGTGGTGACTTTCATGTCGAGTTCGAGATGATCCTTTTCCTCCTTGACGTCAATGTCAACCTTCATCTTCTTGGAGGCAGACAGTCGATCTGAAAAGGTCTTCAGGTCTGCAGTAAACAGTACGCTATGCGCCCAGCCGGCTTCCTTGCCCCAGAGTTTGCGGAAATGATTCCCCACCGCATCGTAGGTAGCCTTGGTCAGCGACTTGTGTGCCCCGCGGCCGAATTTGTAGTCTCGGACGGCGATTTGCCATACTGAACAGTTAGCCGGACTTGAAAAGGGCAGAGAAAGGAACGGAGGAGTTCTCACCATGGGTATCGACAGGGACGGACTCACCCCATCCCAATCCCATCAGGCAGACACAGTCAGCAACCTTTGGCCCAACTCCCTGGAGTTCCAACAGTTTCTCATGCGCTTCCCGGTACCCGTCTCTGCCTTCAGGTTTCATCTCGCCTCCCGGCGCTGCCTCGACGCCGAGCGAAGGAGATTCCGGGTTTCGAAGAGAATCCAGCCATCCTTGTTCCCTCTCCTGGGAGACCATTACAGCAGTCTTGTAGATGAACTTGGCCCGGTAGCCGAACCCGAGACTTCGCAGGCTTGCTTCGACGCCCTCTCCCGTTAATGCTTCGGGACACGGGAAATCATGATACGCGCGATCGTCAACTGTGCCAATCGGCGGGCCGTAATGAATGCATAGCTTCTCTACCATCTGCGAGATACGGGCGATGTTGTTGTTGCTACTGCATATAAATGATATCAGGGCTTCCCAGGCGTCCTGGCGTAGGATGCGAATCCCAGTAAACTGGGGTGCCTTCTTCTTGAAATTCGGGTCCTGACTCGACCACTGCGAGTACAGATCCGTGAGGTTCGACGAGAGATTGAAGTAATGCTTGATCAGCGACAGCGTTTCGTCTGGTCCCTCGCCATCCTTTCCTGGTGTCTTCTTGGGTGGTGATTCGAGTGCTCTCGTCTTCGCAGGCTCATAGGCACGGTAGTAGAGATACGTCGAATCCTGTCTCAGGGACAGCAAGCGGCCGTGCAACACACATCGCCATTCGTCACTGTCAGGAACGTTGTGCCATCTACCATCCTCGGATTAACTATCAGTAGCTGGAAAAACGTCATTAGGGGATTGACCTACCTGAATGATTGGCCGCAACGCAACGTCGTATTAATGCATAGTTCGCTCAAACTAACAGGCAGTTTGCGCCATTCCGAGAATGCCACTATACCAGACATTACGGACAATCCATCGCCCTGCTAGTGAATGGAAGAAGAAGTCCTCCTAAATACCTCCAGGGCTTTGTAGGAGTCCTATTCTGCCGGCAGCAAAACAGGGGCGGTCAGAGCTCCGCACCACCCAGATGCGCTAGCCGCTTCGGTTTAGCCGCCGCCGTCCTTGACGCCCTCTAGCTTTTGCTTCGCAGCTGGACAGTTCTTGGGCAGTTTGGTCTTGTCTCTCTTCAGTGGTGAATTATTGCCATCTTTCGCGTCGGCTGAGTTTCGAATTTTTATATCGCAACTTGGTTTCGAGCCACCCAGGCCCTTTCACTGTTCTCGAAGGCCTGTCTTGACCGTTTCCCTGGTTGTCTTACTCGCCCATTATCAGAGAAAAGGGCCATCGGAATCCAGGATGAACGGAGACAGTTACGCTTCCAGAGGTAAGAGATAAAGCGCCTATGAGTGTAGTTTTTGTTTTCTATGCGATATTGGGAGACTAACTGACGCTGTTTCCCCACTTAGAACCTGGACGCCCCAGGGATTACTACGTGAGTATCAATCGCGTGAATGAAGAAGCGACGCGTGTTCGACGACAGTGGCTGACTGATTTTGCGTGTGTTTTTGCAGCGAGATGAGCGACGCGAACGTGGTGGCGAACGTGGTGGTGAGCGTGGCAGCGAACGTACCGGCGAACGGGGCGAGGCGCGTGAGAGAGGAGAGCGACGACGCTCGCGGTCGCCTCATCACGGTCCCAGGACTTCCCGACGGGAGCAAGAAGTGGATTCGTATTCGTCCAGTCGTGACTACCGCGCTCGAGAACGTGAAGATCGCTATTCCAGTAGACGGGAGGAGCGCGAGTGGGATCGCGGAGACAGAGGAGATCGCCGGAGACGTGACTTTGACGGGGAGCGGCCACCTCGTCGTGAGAGGGACTTGCTAGAGGAGAGACCTAGACGGGAGGGCAAAGATCGAGACCGCGAGCGCGATCGGGGTGACCGCGGTGACCGTGGAGATCGTGGGGATCGAGGTGATCGGGGTGATCGGGAACGGCGCGAACGGCGCAGGAGTGCGACCCCGTCTCGAAAGAGAGAGCCCACGCCTGATTTGACAAACGTCCTGTCTGTCTTGGAACGGAAGCGCCGTCTGACACAGTGGGATATCAAACCTCCTGGCTATGAGAATGTCACTGCAGAACAAGCCAAGCTCTCTGGTGAGACTGGCCCTGACTGGACCAAGCGATTAGTAGTCACTAACTTGCAATAAATAGGCATGTTCCCTCTTCCTGGTGCGCCTAGACAGCAGCCCGTCGACCCGAGTCGCCTTCAAGCTTTCATCAGCCAGCCAACAACCAGCTCCGCCGACACCTCGGCTCTTAAACCTTCGAATTCGCGTCAGGCCAGGCGCCTGTTTGTGCACAATCTGCCGCCGAATGTCAGCCAGGAGGCTCTGTTGTCATTTTTCAATCTTCAGTTGAACGGTCTGAATGTGATCCAGAGCATCGATCCTTGTATTTCAGCACAGATTTCCGAAGATCGGACCTTTGCCCTTCTTGAATTCAAGACCCCCGAGGATACTACTGTTGCACTTGCATTCGACGGAATTGCCATGGAAGAACATACTGAGACAGCCAATGGAACAACCAAGGGACTCGAAGTGCGGCGACCCAAGGATTATATTGCCCCTGGAGACAACGAGCAAGAGTATCAGGAGGGTGTTCTGCTTAATGACGTTCCGGATTCCCCTAACAAGATCTGCGTCTCGAATATCCCTCACTACATTCCCGAGGAGCCGGTCACTATGCTTCTCAAGTCATTTGGCGAACTCAAGTCTTTCATTTTGGTCAAGGACAGATCTACTGAAGAATCAAGGGTAGGTAGATGCCTTCTCTTCTTCGCTTTCGCCCATTGCTGACATGTTCCAAAGGGAATCGCTTTCTGCGAATATGCTGATCCCTCGGCTACTGCCATCGCAGTTGAAGGTCTCAACGGGATGGAGCTGGGTGACCGTCATCTCAAGATTGTTCGTGCCAGCGTCGGAGCCACCCAGGCAACGGGTTTGGACATGGGAGTCAACGCCATGTCGATGTTTGCCAAGACTACCTCTAACGACCTGGAGACCACTCGGGTCCTGCAGCTGTTGAACATGGTGACACCCGAGGAGCTCTTGGATAATGATGATTACGAAGGTTAGCCCATTCCCCTGCAACTTGACTAATAACCTTGGCTGGTATCGCTGATTGTTTCCTACTAGAAATCTGCGATGATGTGCGTGATGAGTGCTCCAAGTACGGCCAGGTCGTGGACCTGAAGGTTCCCCGTCCTACCGGTGGGAGCAGACAGTCCGCTGGTGTGGGCAAGATATTTGTTCGATTCGATTCAGTTGAATCGGCTACAAACGCACTGAAAGCGCTTGCCGGGCGCAAGTTTTCTGACCGAACCGTTGTGACCACATACTTCTCTGAGGTAAGTTATCGCCCTAGTTACCTACTATACAATCTGTTCTAACGACTTTTGAACAGGAGAACTACAATGTCAATGCCTGGTGATCGGCTGTTCACCGGGTCCATCGCTTCGTCTCATCCAGACGCCGCCAATATATGGAGGACACACGTCAGCAGCTCATTGGGAATCCAAAACATGTGTTGTCCATCTTTCTTGCGGGAGTTAAGCCAAATGTATCATAGTGAAAAGACATCACCCTGTCCACGTAATGCCTCGACAAATTGTCACATCAATTCAACAGATATAAACCTACCTGTAGTCCTTTCGTACTCCGTATTCGAAGCCAAGAGAATAGCATTTTGTCCAGGCATTTAATTTGCATCCACTTGACGTCATTACCGGAACGGCTCTAGTCTAGAAAGGAGGGCGCAATTGAAAGAGCTAGTGAATCTTCATATCAGCTCCCCTTGTCGCTTTTTTGGGGTATCTATTGGAATCGGTGTAACGTCCAGTCGGTCTCGAACTCCTGAACCAAGACCAGTTGGAATTGATATAGAAACCGGGTGACGGCCCTCGGGTCCTTGCGGGTCTCTTTTTTTTCCCCTTGTACCTTTGGTTTTTCCCTCTCCTAGAAGAGAGCCTCAAAAAAAAAAACTTAACTTTGGGACCCTTTCTTGTCTCCACATATCGTGTGACACCATTGCACTTCAGTCTCCATCACCGCACTTAATCACGATGACGTCTCAGCAAAAGGCGGGTCAGTCGGAGGATCTTGATCTGTTCGGAGGGCAAAGGTTAGCCGTCACAATAACGATTGCATTGAATGAGAATGAGCATGTGTTTATTGATTGTTCGTGTAGGTCCTGGTCTCCGGCCGACTGGACCTCCTCCGACGACAGCGTCCGCGGCGGCACCTCCTATTCCACGATGACATGTACCCCGTTCTCACCGACGGCCACCTTCCACGGGAACCTCGACATCCGTACGCTGGGAGGCGCGGGTTTCGCCTCGCAGCGGACCGTGGGCGACGAGCAGACATGGGACCTATCGGCATACGACGGCTTGGTGCTGGAGATCGACCAAACGGACGGGAAACGGTACGCCCTCGTGGTTAAAGATGAGATCCTGCCTCCTGGACCGGACGGACGGGAGCAGAGCACCGTCAGCTGGGAGTACGAGTTCCAGGTTGGGCACAACAACGAGACAAATTCCGAGACGAAGAGCAGGGTTATTATCCGGTGGAAGGATCTCAAACCGACGTATCGGGGCAAGGAAAAGACCGACGCACAACCTTTGGATCTGGAACGAGTGAAGCGATTTGGGATCATGATGCGAAGGTACGAGTCACGTGGCTAGTCACAACAAAATATAACTACGAAGTACTACATACGAAAGCTAACTCACTCAACAGCTTCTTTGGAAAGCAAGAGGGTGACTTTTCCCTCTCCATCGCTTCAATTGCAGCTTACAAGTCGACACCGGAAACCACCACCGCCGCTACCACCACTACGACGACTACCTCGTCTTCTACATCCGCGAAAAAAGCAACCGGCCCTTCTTCGCAGTCTGAGAAACCGTCCGCCAGCCCGACGAAGAGTAAAGACTGGGCATGCGGACTGTGTATAGTTTCCTAGGTAGTGTTTGTTTGTTTGTTTTTTTTTTGTGTCGACCAGTCGTGCTTTCGAACCGTGTGCTGGACACGAGTGCACCTCCCCGGAGGAAGTGCGAAACATTATATCCTAATCCTAGCATATAATATATATCGACTACCTAATTATGACTATTTACCCTTTTTGGTCCCATCAAACTTGTTTGTAAAGTGGTTAATTGATTATTATCTATTCATGTCTAGTATATACAGCATCAGACAGGAGGGTGGGTAGATAAAGAGTTGAAATGCCGGACATCATTTTGTACATACCAAGCCGGAGACGCTCAACTCCAATATCTAGAAGATAAACATAAAATAAGAAAAAAAAGGCAACAAAAAAACACAAGAGAGGTTAGGGTTTCTTCTTCACGTGGCTGCCTCCTAGATCAGAGAACGAAGGCGATGTCTCGTCACCCTCGAACATGTGCCAGAGCCGGCGTAGAGATATCCCGCTACTAAAGAAGTAGATGCCCACCAGCCACGCGGCGAAGATGTTGGCTAGGTGGTGTAGGAGGTAGGCGTACGAGACGCCATAGACGGCAGAGTAGACGGCAATCAAGAAACAGAGGATCGAAGTGACGTGTTTGAACCTAAAGATAAGTAAGAAAGTAAGAAAAAATCGTGGGAAGAAACACCAGGTCATACCTAGTGGTCACTCGGGGAATCATGGTGCCGCTCGTCATGGTCTCGACTAGAAGGATAAAAGGCATGATCGAGAGGACGTTATGATGGGACGAAAACGGCGTGAACCAGTGGACAACCAGGTTGTGTGCCCAGACGAGGAGGACAAGGACATTGATGGGCAAAACCCAGAGCATCAGGATGAGGATCGAGTGGGCGTAATTCGAAAAGTTGAAGTGAGCGGTAGAGCGCTATGAAACCATTAGTTTTGCAAAAATTGAAAAAGGTATCACCGCAAGCTATTTCCTACCGTTTCTCTGGTGTGCCACTGGGCGCGCATACAGGTCGTCAATTGCACAATACACGCGACCATGTAGGCAAACTGGTAGGGAATGGCAGTTGAGACAAGGACAAGCAGGATTGCCGTGTTGATCATCCGTCGTTTAGGGGTTGAAGAGGAGAATATAGGCAGGTTCCTGCTAATTAGTATGTGGAACGGATGAAAGGTTTTTCTTGAAAAAAAAAAGGAAAAAAAAACTTACCCCCTGTCATCGCGCCGGATATAACCCGATCTGCTCCGCAGAAAGCCATACAGGGATGAAAGAACGAAGAGCAGAAACAGGGCGACGTAGTTGAGAATGACGCAGACCCCGACGCTGATCAGCCCAAAGACCGGCACCAAAAACCAGAAGAATGCATCTTGGGAGCCCAGGAGGAGATCGTTCTTGGTAAAGTCGACAGGGGTCTCGGTGGCGTTTGCGTGCCAGTGGAATGGGTCATCGCTCGCGGGGAGAGTGGTCGAGGTGGCCAGCGAGGACGCAAACAGGGACATGGCAAGAAGCAACAAGGGGAGGGATGAGCGCAGCGCGCTGTCCAGGCCTTCTCCGAAGGTGATAAAATACCCCGTTTCGTCATACACCTGGAACTGCTTGCGCAGGACGAGTGCCACCACCAGCAGCGGGAAGGCGGCGAAGATGGTGCGGTATCGCATGACGAGTTCGCCGAGACTGGCCGTGATGTCGACAGTTAGCTCGATGTCGACCGCGGAGCCGCTGCTGGGGTCGGTCCACAGTTGGAATGAAACGCCTCCCATTGCCGCCTGGTCACGGAGCGGCGGGGGCATGAAGGGCGCTATGCCATGCAGATTGACGTTCACTTCGTTGACATTGACAAAAAACTTGGATTCGTGGGGTTCCGGGATCGACTGTCGTAGCAGCGGTGCGAACAGCGAAGGCTCCTGCTGCTTGCCGGCATTGCGCATGACCACCTTGAGCTTGTAGTCCAGGAGACTCGAGTGCAGCGCGGGGATTTTGACTTCGGTCAGCATCGGGCGGTTCGCGGGCAGCCGCATCTTGACTCCGGCACTGAGTAGACCGCCCAGGCCGACCCGGGCGCGGATCACCGAATCCGAACTGTCAGAGAACTCGGCAATCATCCAACCCTTGGTTGGGGCAGTTGCCCGGTCGACCACCGCCACAAATTGGTGTTCCGCCAGATCCTCCAGGTCATACTGGAGGTAGGAGAACGGCTGCACATGTTCGAACGGATGTTTGGACGTCCGGGTCGAGGCCGGCAGGTGAATACGGTCATCAGCGGCCGTCTTGCAGGCCAGGCGCGTGGAACCCGCGTTGTTGTTGCCTCCAGTCAGATCCATATTCAGAGAGAACACCGAACCGAATTTGTTATTGTTATTGTTATTGTTATTGTTATTGTTATTATTATTGTTGTTGTTGTTGCTGTTGTGAGGGGGGGACACGCTGCAAAAGAGCACGTCCAGATTGCCATTATCAGCATCATCCAGCGACTGGTCAGTCAACAAGGTGAACTTTTTTCCGGACACACCCTGGGGCGGAATGGGCATCAAGTACACGTCGGGATTTGGACGGCGGCCAAGTTCCCGGAAAACGAGCCGTTCGCCTTGCGAGAGGATGGTGTTTGAGTTGTCTTCCAAAGTGAGGAGAGTAGTGGGTTCTTTCTGTGACAGACTTCTCTCGGCCACGGATTCCAACCCGGTCAGATACCATTTCTTGAGGATGCGCATCCGTTCAGCGCGCGGCTTGGTCTGGCTAGGTCGGCGGACGTCCACGATATCGAACAAGGACTTGATGATGGCTTTACGGAACTGGTCGCACCAGGTGATGGAGAGGTGGTCCATACCGATCCACACATCCGGGATGGTAGAAGTGAACACGGTGAAGCCATGGGTGTTCGGAACGAGGGAGGCAATGTTTGCATAATCAGATGGAACCACGGTGTCGCGGGAACCGCCAGCAATGGAGATGAGAGTGACATGCCATAGCGGGTTGTCGTTGGCCCAAGTCTGCGAGTAGGCTTCACGCCAGTAGTCGTTGATCTGCTTGTATGTCTGGACGACGTCTGAGTCGAAGGAGACGGGGGGTTTGGCGTGCGGCGCGGACATGGTGATGATAGTGTTGACCGAGTTGGCCTGGTAGTTGGACATGGTCAAGGATGCGCGGGCGACAATACCACCCATCGAATGGCCGATCAAGATGACAGAACTGGGGTCGGGGAGGCTTGTGTCACGGCGTGATCGACGGGGGTCGTGGTAGAGCGAGAGGATATAGGCGATGGCCTCGTTGACGTACTCAGCCTGGTCCAGCAGCGTCTGACCGTGGAAGGCGGCCATGTCCTCGTTGAAGTCGATCATGAAGAAATCCAAACTGCGGGTACCGGTCTTCCGGCGGTCCTGGTCGTAGCGGACGACATCGTAATAATGTCTCGAGGCCTCGGCGGCCAATGATCGTACCTGTCGATAGCTGCCAGCATTTCCGGGGAGGAAAAGCACCGGGGCGCCATTGAGCTGTCCATTAGCCAAAGAACCTTTTTTTTTTTTTTAAGCAATAAAAATTTGATCTAGCCCTACCCCAATGTTCTCCTGCGTGTACGGGTCCACGCCCTCCTCGCGATACAAGAAGAGGTTGTATTTGCTTGCAAAACGCGTATGTTCCGTATCGAAGCCGCGCATCCGGATGAAGGTCGGACTCATCACCGGGATGCCACAACCCGCATCACCGACATTGCGGCCGTTAAAGGAGCGAAGGACGGACAGGAGGAAGCCGACGGTGACCAGGGTTGTAAGCGCGGCCAGAATGGAACAGATCCAGGGACTTCGTAGCCGAGACAGTCGCAATCGATGACGGTCCGGCGACGGCTCGATGGCCAGACGGTGGTGGTGGTGGTGATGATTATGAGCCAGGGGCATCATGGCAGCAGAAGCTGCTGCCACCGCCGTCGCCGACGACGATGATCTGGAGTCGCTGGCCGCGTGCGCCGAGGGAGCCCTCCACGTGCTGGAATTGCGCGAACGGGGCGTCGAAGCGCCGTTGTCTCTGCGGAGGTCAATACTGGTACCTGTGCGTGCTACCGGCGGATCCGAGTTGGCGGTTGTATTGCTGTTATTGTTATTGCTGCCGTTGGTATTCCCGACCGTATTGCTGCTGCTGCTGTTGTTGGTACTGTTATTGGCGGTGTTGCCATGGCTGTCTGCTGCCACGAAGGAGGCTTCAGTGTCCTCGACAGGCGAGCCAGACAAGCGTCTGTGCATTGGAGAACGCGGCAGAGAGCACTCATCCAGTGCGCGAGCGCGAATCGAAGAGATCGAATCTTTTGCAACAGGCGGCAAGGGAGAATGAGGAATGCCGGTGTTTCTCGCTTCGTTTGTTTTGTGTCTGCCTGTCCTGTCCACGGGGGCGAGCGAGTCGACCGGAGGGGGGGGGGAGGGAGAGGGAGGGAGCGAAAGAGCGACAGCCAACAGCGAGTAGCGTGTGGTGATTAATTGATTAATTAATTAATTGACTCAACTGCAGAAAAGAAAAATCCAAAAAAAAAAGATGGAGCAGGTTAAAACTCGAACTGGCAAGCCAGAGGCTACAGTCGACCTCTCGCGTGCAGGAGGAAGTGAAGCCGTCCGTTTGTCTCTGGGACTTTCGTTTTGGGGGGAAACCCAGAAACGGCACGGGGCAGTCTTGGCGGTGGCTATGAAGGGTGGATATATTGATCTTCTGGACCCTGGCTTTAGTATTCCCCTATTCTAATTCAATAGTATTGATTTGTGAGAGAAGTGTATTGGGAGTAACTATTCGATGATGACTACTCGGGTTGGTTGAGCGGTGGTGTAAGAATTCTATGGCAGAGATGAACAAGTACTAGACATGACCGCGGAACACGATGTTGTTCAATTTATTGAGTCTATTCCTTCCGGCCTGATTTTTCTGCTGCTTATAGTATTGTCTGATTAATACCAGACAGTATCTCTAGGGCACTTCGCAGGACTGTTCAGAGCGACCCAGTATCCCACTGTCTGTTCAACTGGTCGACAAAAGACAACACATTCGATCGACAGCCAGCTGCGTCCACCCGGTGGATAACGGGTGGCAGGCTAGCAACGACAGCCCGCACGTTGCTGCTGCCAGATCCACTAGGTAGAGATCGGATGTCTCAACGCGTCTTGTGTGAGATGAATAGGACATATCTGGTCCGCTGATTCTCGCCCTCGACCTGTCTCTGTTAGGATTCAGATCTCACTGCGAGACTAAGGGTGTGCACAAACCGAGACCCGAGAAACTGTCTTTGTTTTTCATCTGGTTATCGAATTACCAATGCTCCTATCATCGGAGACGCCTCTTAGTCGAGGACTCTAGGACAAATGTTAGAAACAATGCTGGTTCAATTATGAGGATGACATACATCTCTTCACGACTCGTCCCGTTTGGACGGTCGAGGCCGGGCGTTTGGCCTGGGCGAACCAACTCGTGAGGTCGACGCCCTTACTCGCCGTGATCTTCCTCACTCGCTTCTGCGGCAAAGAGGAGGAGGAGGAGGAGGAAGAAGGAGAGGCAGAGCAGACCGTCTTCTTCGGCTGCAGGACCTTTTTTAAAGGCAGCCTGCTTTTCTTTGCCGCCTTTCTCTGCGCGGCATCATAGCCCTTATGGAAGGGCGTCATATCCTGCAGCTTGATGTCGCTGCAGGCGGGGCCTGGCACCTTCTGCCTGGTGCCTCTGGGCTTTCTATCGACATAGATGCCCATCTTCTCGTCGAAGATGGGCAAGCCCATGCTGAAGGGCATCGGGCGATCCTTCTCCCTGATCCGGTTGTTGGTAGAGGATTTCATGGTGACGAGATAGCTGTTTGGATGCTTTGATAATGAGGAATGTAGAATGTAGATGTTAGATGAAGTATGGAGGGGAGAGTTGGGGAGGAGAGGAGGAGGAGCGAGAGAGAAGTTAAAGAGGTTTTTCAAGAGGAATTGAAGTGAGTTGAAGTGAGAGTTGAGTTGGATGGATTAGGCAGGAAGGCAGCAGTAGCAATGATGAAGGACAATTGTCACAGTTCTGCCTGCTCAATACAAGATTGTATAAGTGAATGGCATAGAAGGATCTATAATAGAGTAATTAAAGACTAATTGAGTCTACCTATTATCTAAATCCCATGAATCTTAGACAATCTAACCAAGGGTATGGCTGTAAATACTGCAGATTCCAACTCATCCAGCTTATCTACAGACTGAGTAATATCTAAAGCCTTGATTTGAGCATGAAAATGAAAATCTATTATAATCTTCTATACATTAAGAGTAATGATAGACCAGCTGTTCAACTATAAGTATGGTCTATCCATGCATACGGAGTCCAGCTCTGCAGCGAAGCCACAAGATATACCACATACTCCATGAAATAACCAGTACATCATCTGCCATACAGTCATGACTCACAGACTATTGCATTAGATACCTGAATCAGCATAGTAGATTTACTGTCCGTGGCAGAGAATGAAAATTTGTAGCTTGATCCGTGGCACTTTCCCAGGCAGGCACGAACGAACTCACTATCTTCTACTCAACCACGTTAGATTCATCAACAGTACTATCTATACTATCTCTACCTTCTTGACTATTGTTTTCTTCCTCTATTATCCTCATTATGGCCGATCGTAACCAGCATAACCCGTTTGGAAGTCAGAATCCGTACGCCAGTGTTTGTTATGGCGGCCAGTATCCCCAGGCCCAACAAGGACAAGAATACTATCCTGTATGAATCTTGAGCAGAATATTTCAAGCGAGATACTGATGAAATTTGTTCTAGCCACCCTCTTATGATGACCAGCAGTACCATCCATACAATCCTACGTCAAGCGGTCAGGGGTACCTGTCGTATGGACCAGGCAATCCTCAGCCGGAACAGCCTCAACAGCCTTGCCAACCTCAGCAGTTTCCACCTCAGCAGTTTCCACCTCAGCAGTTTCCACCTCAGCAGTCTTATCAGCCTCAGTCTCAACAGCCTCAGAATCTCTACGGACAGAACGCATCGTACTATGGCGACACCAAAACACAGCAACAAGGGCAGAATGCATCGTCCTACGACCCAAACATACAACAAGGAGGACAGAATGCATCGCACTACGCCCCAAACACACAAAGACAAGAAGAACCTAACATGACTGGTCCCCAAGGAAAGAAAGGACTAGGTTCGTCGCTCGTCGGTGCTGCGGGTGGAGGGTTTCTCGGTCATAAGCTCGGGGGAGGAGTGCTGGGCACTGCTGGGGCGGCGATTGCTGGAGCTGTCGGTGCGAACGCGGTTCGCAAGCTGTACGTCACGACGAGAGAGTGGAAGTACGTGGAGCAGAACTGACCATTACAGGAACAAGAAGTATAAGAAGCACAGAAAGTACCATCGACGAGACAGTTCCAGTTCTAGTTCAGGCTCGAGTTCAAGCTCCAGCTCATCCTCCAGTGATTAGTTGGCTGGTCCAGGCAGTATGTAGTACACTCGCTAATTCTATAACTATTCTAAAATCCTAGCACATGCCGAGGTATACATCATTATGATAGAAGAGTAGAGAATGACATCAACACTGTTTGCCACTTCGGCTTCTCTTCGGACAGACTCGTGGAAACCATAGCATTGTCCGATATACTCTGGGATACTTACTTTTCTGGATTGTTCTGCCGGATAGCTAACTGATTGCGTCTTCTAGAACGGAGTAACTACAGACGGAGTATTACTAGCTCGTCACGTAGGTAGAGTTCTTAGGATGAAATTCAATTACGATTTCTCCCTCAGATACCTCAAAGCTCCCTTGATCTGTCTATATCTATAGTCTTCTGGCTACTCAATTTGAGTACGAGTACTCCGAGTATACATTCTCTCCATCTAATTAGGGTAGTTACTCCGTACTCCATACTCGTACGTAACTCTTTTTATATGATCAATCGAACGTACCGAAGCAAGGTGCGTACTCATAACTGGCGTACACCTCCGTACATGCAAAAAAGCAAAAGAGTCGGGCCCCACTCGCCACTGTCTGGGGGATAAGACAATCCGGAGAATAGGGGCGATCCTGATAACTACCTAGTAGTGATAACGTACCTACCTTAGTTATGGGGTCTTTGAATGTATACTACATATCCGTCTAATCTTGTATCATACTCTGTACTCGTTAGTAGCTGCAGCAGTCCAAAGTAGGACCACGACATGAAGTGTTGGATGAGCGGTGTGCCTGTTTTATTACTCTGTAGGAATGATCTGTTACTCGTACATGCCAGGGCCACGTTTCAGCTCGTCGAGGAGTATGTAGTGGAAATAGCGTGAGGGTGGTGTACTCTGTAGACGAGCAACTGCTTTTTTTTTTTTTTTTTTTTTTTACCAAGCGAGAGAAAACTCAGGGATATCCATCATCCAGTAATTTGTCACTTTGTAAGCAAGCCTAAGATTCTCCTTTTCTCTTCTCTCTCTCTTTTATCTTTTTTTCTTCTAAATTTATCCACGGCAGCCATACGGAGGAGACGGTCGAATAACAGCTCGTCCGATCTCAGGGACCATGGGATTCCAGAACGCCCGAGTTCTTCAAAGTTATGTACTCCGTAGTACGGAGTAGGCTGGATCAAAGAACGGCTGCGCCACGGAGTTGTCGGTGGCAAACAGGCCCCGGATTTGATGGATGATCAAGGGATACTACATAGTGTTGAAAGTAAAAAGAAATTAGAAAATAAAACAATAAAATATCTTTTAATACGGAGTAGTAATAATAATAATAATAATAATAATAATAATACTAGTACAGAAGTAGATGTCGTGGAAGACTAGGTACTGAAATCATAGAGGTACTCCGTACCTGGAACAGCACCTTACTTTGTAGGTACCTAGTAGTCCATATAATTGTAGTATAAAATACTCTGTACTAAATAATGAAATAATAATAATCAGTCAACTTTCATTCTCTACGAGATAACCCTAGTAAAGGTACCTACCTGAAGTACCCCTCCTACAGAGTTTTCCAATCGACAAACTTGCAAAGGCTGAAAATTCTTATCACCAATCACAGCCCGCACAGACAACCGCTGCTCCTATCGCACCACACTAGTTACACATCAAGACTAGTGCGGGACCGGACGTCGGCGAAAAATTAAAAAATAAAATTTTTTTTCTCTTATGGAGGGTTGGTTGTTGGGCGGCAAAAAAAAAGAGGCCACAAAGGAACGATAAATATCTTCCCCTCCTCCTCCTCCCCTCCCGCTGCTCCCTCTCCTCTGCATCTCCCCTTTTTCCTTTGGCAAAAGAGGTCTGGTCCTCTCTTTCTTTTTTAATTTAAGCCAAAAAAATCTTGTTTCGTTGTCTCTTCATAGACAATAGATTTTTTTTTCTTCTATTTCTCGTCCTGCGTCTTTTTCTCGCTGACGCCAGACTTCCTGTGGGCCACCACCTCTTGATACCCGAATAGACCGCTTCTTCGCCTTAATACCCTCCTGCTTTTAAAAGCCAAAAATTTCCATCCAAAATGCCCGCCGTCGACATTGCTTCTGTTCCCGCCGTCTCCGGCAAGGAGGCCGCTCAGGCCGTCGCCGTCCTCGAGGATCTGATCAAGAACCTCAACATCTCCAAGACCCAGGATGAGATCATTGCTGCCTCGAGCGACATTGCCTCGCTCTTCAGCGGTCCCATCTCCGAGCAGACCCTGCCCCTCAAGGCCGTCGACACCTTCAAGAAGCAGCTCGGCAACAAGAAGGATGCCAACGCCCGTGAGCGTGCGCTGGACGCCATCCGCGCCATCGCCGCCAACACCTCGGTCGCCCCCGGCGTTGAGCCTCACCTGGTCTCTCTCCTGCGCCCCGTCCTGGCCGCCGTTGGCGACAAGATGATCCCCGTCAAGAACGCCGCTCAGGCTGCCGCTCTGGCTATCGCCAAGGCCGTCAACGGCAACGCCGTCAAGGCCGTTCTGCCCCCGATCCTCGACTCCCTCTCCAACGCCCAGAAGTGGCAGGAGAAGATGACCGCCCTCGACTGCCTCGGTGCCTTGGTCGAGTCCGCCCCCGCCCAGCTGTCCTACCGTGTGCCCACCCTGATCCCCGTCGTTTCCGAAGCCATGTGGGACACCAAGCCCGAGATCAAGAAGGCCGCCTACAGCACCATGGAGAAGGTCTGCGGCCTCATCGTCAACAAGGATATCGAGCGCTTCATCCCCGAGCTCATCAAGTGTATCGCCAAGCCCGAGAACGTCTCCGAGACCGTTCACTTGCTCGGTGCCACCACTTTCGTCTCCGACGTCACCGGCCCGACCCTCGCCATCATGGTGCCCCTGCTTGACCGTGGTCTCGTCGAGCGTGAGACCGCCATCAAGCGTAAGTCGGCCGTCATCGTCGACAACATGTGCAAGCTCGTCGAGGACCCTCAGATCGTCGCCCCCTTCCTGCCCAAGCTCATGCCCGCCCTCACCAAGAACTTCGACACCCTCCCCGACCCGGAGGCCCGTGAGAAGACCAAGCAGGCCTTGGACACCCTCACCCGTGTCGGTGACGTCAAGGACGGCAAGATCCCCGAGATCTCCACCGCCGGTGACATCGCCACCGTCTCCGCCATCTTCAAGGAGATCCTCGAGCCCAAGTTCAAGTCCCAGATCGACCAGTGCGCCGCCGTCATCGAGTACGTCGCCGCCATCGCCGGTCAGCTCGTCGACGAGAAGGACAGCGAGGTCACCAGCTGGACCCAGAACGCTGTTCCCTACATCACCGCCATCGTCGGTGAGTCCGAGGCCCAGTCCGTCGCCGAGACCCTCCGCAAGCGCGCCTCCCCCGGCGCCGCCGAGGACGATGCCGTCCTCTCCGACGAGGAGGAGGGTGAGGATCTGTGCAAGTGCACCTTCAGCTTGGCCTACGGTGCCAAGATCCTGCTTAACCAGACCTACCTGCGCCTGAAGCGTGGTCAGCGTTACGGTCTCCTCGGCCCCAACGGTTCCGGCAAGACCACCCTCATGCGCGCCATCAACAACGAGCAGCTCGAGGGTTTCCCCAAGAAGAGCGAGGTCAAGACCGTCTACGTCGAGCACGACCTCGACTCCGCCGATACCGAGCAGACCGTCATCGGCTGGACCTGCAAGAAGCTGGCCGACGTCGGTGTCGTCATCACCCGCGAGGATGTCGAGTCCCAGCTCCTCTCCTTCGGTTTCCTCCAGGAGCAGTTCGAGAGCCCCATCACCTCCCTCTCCGGTGGTTGGAAGATGAAGCTCGCCCTGGCCCGTGCCGTCTTCGAGAAGCCCGACATCCTGCTGCTCGACGAGCCCACCAACCACTTGGACGTCAAGAACGTGGCCTGGCTTGAGAACTACCTCTGCACCTCCCCCTGCACCTCCATCATCGTCTCCCACGACAGCAAGTTCCTGGACAACGTCATCCAGCACGTCATCCACTACGAGCGCTTCAAGCTTAAGCGTTACCGTGGTACCCTGAGCGAGTTCGTCAAGCGTGTGCCCTCGGCCCGCTCCTACTACGAGCTCAGCGCCTCCGAGATCGAGTTCAAGTTCCCCGAGCCCGGTTTCCTCGAGGGTGTCAAGACCAAGGCCAAGGCCATCATCCGTGTCTCCAACATGTCGTTCCAGTACCCGGGTACCCCCAAGCCTCAGATCACCGACATCTCCTTCCAGGTCTCGCTGGGTTCCCGTATTGCCGTCATCGGTCCCAACGGTGCCGGTAAGTCGACCCTGGTCAACGTCCTGACCGGTGAGTTGGTCCCCACCGCCGGTGATGTCTACCAGCACGAGAACATCCGTATCGCCTACATCAAGCAGCACGCCTTTGCCCACATCGATAACCACCTGGACAAGACCCCCTCCGAGTACATCCAGTGGCGTTTCCAGACCGGTGAGGACCGTGAGACCATGGACCGTGCCAACAAGATCGTCACCGAGGACGACGAGAAGGCCATGGACAAGATCTACAAGATCGACGGCACCATGCGTCGCGTCATCGGCATCCACTCCCGTCGTAAGTTCAAGAACAGCTACGAGTACGAATGTTCGTTCGCCCTGGGTGAGAACATCGGCATGAAGAGCGAGAAGTGGATCCCCATGATGACCGCCGACAACGCCTGGATCCCCCGTAACGAGATCCTCCAGTCCCACTCCAAGATGGTTGCCGAGGTCGATCAGAAGGAGGCCCTCGCCAGCGGTCAGTTCCGCCCCCTGATCCGTAAGGAGGTCGAGCAGCACTGCGCCAACTTCGGTCTCGACGCCGAACTCGTCTCCCACTCCCGCATGCGCGGTCTCTCCGGTGGCCAGCGTGTCAAGGTCGTCCTCGCCGCCTGCTCGTGGCAGCGCCCCCACGTCATCGTCCTCGACGAGCCTACCAACTACCTCGACCGTGACTCCCTCGGTGCCCTCTCCAAGGCCATCAAGACCTTCGAGGGTGGTGTCGTCATCATCACCCACTCTCGTGAATTCACTGAGAACCTCACCGAGGAAGTCTGGGCCGTCATGGACGGCAAGATGACCCCCTCCGGCCACAACTGGGTCCAGGGTCAGGGTTCCGGCCCTCGTCTGACTGAGAAGGGCGAGGAGGAGGACCGTGTCGACGCCTACGGCAACAAGGTTGTCGTTGAGAAGAAGAAGAAGCTAACCGCTTCGGAGCTTCGTAAAAAGAAGAAGGAGCGTATGGCTCGTCGCAAGCGTGGTGAGGAAGTTTTCTCGGATGAGGATGACTGAATATGAGGTTTTTCGTGGATGAGGATATTGATGACCAAAATGGAAAGCGGTGAAGGCGGTGTGCAGCCGGCAAAAAAAAAAAAACCACAACCGTACAAAAAGATTCGAAACTTGCTTTTGTCTTTTACACAATTGCATGGTGTTTATGAATAGGTTATGAATTTCTTTTAGATGATAACAAAACATGATAATGTTTTTTCAAGTCTTCAATATGAGTCTCTTCTATGTAGTGGGTGTTCGACGTTGTAGTCGACAGCAAGAACCCCGACCCCCGATCTTCATCCCTGTATGAGACTTGTCTCGTCATGATCAGGACTACTAGCTATGAGGTAGATAATACGGAACTTCTAATTACAAGTCATATTATACCTATTTGTAATGTACAGGGCGGATTGTTTCTTTGCAAGGCTTCTTCTAGGCGTTGATACGGCGACAGCCAAGGATTCAACGACAGCGACACCCTCTCCTTGTATAGAGGATGATTCTCGCATATAATCTAGGCATTGGGCAGTAACGCTAGTAGAGAAATGATTCCTCTGTCAATTCTGCGTCAATTCTTACTTTGATTCCTAGGCCGACTCTATCTAGCTGGTGTGATAATTAGTTCAGCCGTGCTATAGCTTCATCTTACCATTACCACTTCTGACACTAAAGCCAAACAACTGACATGCCTAGGCTATTAAATACTTGAAAAAAATTAGGCAAAATGTTAATTCACACTTTGGCAGTATCTTCACTGGTAATCCGACAGGACAATGTGGCCCAGGGATGAGCTCAGCAGAGTAGGCACCTTCCTAGACAGGCATCAGTGGGTCTTGCCTAATTAGGCCACCGCGTTGCCTTTTCTCTTGCCTCGCGCGTCTTCCTCTCTCTTCCGTACACTCACCCAAAAGGCTTCATCCCCTGGGCATCAAAACAAATGACGGGCTGATTTCAGTACAAAGTGAGTAACTTATAAGATAGTAGTAGCTACATGATTACTAGTATCTAACAATGCTATCAGGTCCTGCGAGAGTGGCGGCAGCAGCGCCGCGAGATCTGCGAAGAGGTCCTGAGGCTTTTTGTCTACCTGTTTCCCAACTTCTACCTGACTCCCTCTCATTTCACCTCATGCAAAAGAGTAAGTAAATCATAACACAGCCTTCAGGTATAGAGTTTCCTTGTCTAACGGTTATCCAGTCCTCAGGGGATTGAGACGATAGAGTGCCCATCCCCAATAGAACCCGAGCAGACAGCGCCTGTTCTACCTCCCGGTCAGCTCTTCCTTATACTCTGAACCCCAGTGGAGAACCGAGTCACTACGAGAAATACGGCAGCAGCGCCGTACAGAGCGAGGAATTGTCGAGGAGGCCGAACAGGCAATCGACAAGACCCAAGGTATTCTCGACGAACTGGAGCGAAAGCTCTAGAAAGAGCAAAGTAGCCATTGAGCCATTATTACGGAGTTGAAGGCTCTGGAGGCCCTGGCTGAACCCTCAATTGAGAGACAGGAGATTCAATCAAATGCAACAGCTGTCATATCCAGGAATGCGACGACAGTACTGCCAGTACCCATCTTTATGCTCTGGATCTTCGGGTCCTATTATATCGCCTCTGCCGCGTGTGTCACACTACGATTCAAGTCGTCAGGCAGTCAACCTTGCAGAACGTCGAGTCCAGGAGGACCGACGGAATGGTGTGCCTGTCATTTGCGTTCACTGCGGTAAGCAGGAGAACCCAAATATAAAGACAAGATTACCTTTCGGGGAAGAGAGTATGGGTCCGGTTTGTAACAATTCAAATTCTAAGAATGGGTAAGTACACTCCAAATAAGAATTATAAGACTGTTCTAACTTCTGAACTCGAAGTAGCGAGAAAGTCCTGAGCGACTCCAGTTCGAAAACCTCGGATCGTCTTCAAAGACGCATTTCCTTTTAGGAAATAAACAAACTTGGCCAAGAGGACACAGGTCCCAGTGGAAACGTCCTGGGAATTCCTCTTTAAATGCCAATTTTCATCAAAAACGACCTTTAAACAGTCAAAAATGACCACCAAAATTGAAAAGAAACGTGAGAACGATGAGCAGCACCAGGTATTGGTGCAGGCTTGCAAACGGCGTAATCTCCGGGTTGTTTCCGACTCGGACGATGAAGCTGAAGAGAAGGGCGGCAAAGGCCTTTCCAAGGCTCCAGTAGGAGCTTCTGTGAAAGGAGAAGGCGAGGCCTCAGGAGAGGCTGAGCTTTTGGAACTGGAAGCCCTAGAGACGAATGGGGAAGACTCGGAGATCGATGCCATGTTGGAAAATAGTCTCCCTGTAGACGAATTCGTCGGTGACGAAGCCTTCATTAGAGGGCCTGATGATTTCGACGAAGATATAAGTGACGAAGCAGTAGCTAATTCACTTATAATCGCTTCTCCTATGGTCCCTGACACCAGTGGTGTATTTGCAGGTGTCCTGCAGAATATCATTGTGTATCTGAAGGACTATGCAATCAAGAATAATGTCATGCACATGGTAGATACAGAGAAGGCCATCACCTATGGTTTTACAACTGAAAAAACGAGCAGCAGCAGGAAATTAGTGAAAGCTGAAAGCGTGAGAATCGCAAGGCTCGATGATCATTTCATATAGCTGAGGGACTGATAATGGTAATGCCTATGATACTATGTAACTAATGAACTATTTTGAAGACCACTCGACCAAAATATGAGCTCACTATTAATAGTGGTATATGTACTGGTGTTCATATCAATGAATCCAAAAAACAGAGTATTTGATAGGTCAGGTAAAGGTTCCTTGTCTACTAGGTAGTTACTCTGTTCCAGCCTCGGAAAGAGAGCTTGATATATAAGACCACAATTCCTTTTATTATAACTACTACGTAACATCTACAATGAATCATCATCAATTCTCTCTCGGATCAGTGGGGACCAGCCCCCATTCCTTTTATTGAAAAAAAGAAAGTAGACTAAAGTGCAGGTCGGGCTTGAAGTCCAGGGCGATTTCACGCGGGAAAGGGGGTAGACAGCGAGCTACTCTCGAGGGCTGCCAGCTCCTCAAGGATAGCCCGCTGTCTATCCTCCTCCTCCTCGATCTTTTGATCGAGTTCCTTGAGTTTGTCCTTGGCCTTTTTCATCTTCTTTTTTTTACAATCTAATAAGAAATATTAGATAATCTTGTCGCTATATATCTGCAGACTATCTTGGAAGTTACTTACTTTGTACTCTTCTTCATGGGCCCTCTTCTCCTCCAAGATAGCGCTCTCGATGGCCTATATACAGTTAGACTTGGATAACATACTCCAGACATAATAGGCATTACATGCGCATATGAGAGCTACCCTCGCGAGAGCCACATCGTACAGGTGAATCTATGCAGTATGCATTACTGATAGAAATTAGTGGGATTGTCCTGGCTCTCTTATACTCTGTAGAGCCTCTCCAACTAGTATGATGTACTGCTCAAGTCAGGGACTGTAGAATTTGAGTAAGTATTCAATCTGATTACAAGCTGACATTCACTAGGGACCTAACTTGAGGTAGATGGGTACCTAGATATTCTCACCCGTGGTAGTCACTCCTTCCTTCCTCGTGCTATAAGAGATCCTTCCCCCTCAACTCCCTCTCGACTCTCCTACCTCCTCATACCATCTCACAAGAACTTCAAGATGTCTGCATATACAACTACATATCTAGCAGTCTATCAAGTCCTCGAAGATGATCATCCCTTCAATTGGTCTTTAATACTAAGCAATCATTGATAAGATATAGCAAACATCCCCTTCCATACATAACTCAATCTCTGTGAACAACTTTTCCCTTCTCAGCGTCGTCGTGGGCATGGATAGCAGCAGCGGTGTCTGCGTCATGGGTGACATCAAGCTGGCGACCAAGTCTCTCCGGTCCGAAGAACGTAATGATAATCACATAGGCATAGACGCATCCCATGAAGATGCAAATCACCTTTCCATAATTGTAACGATCGGAAACAGTCTCGGTCGAGGGTAATGGGAAGCGCGAGCCGATGGTGGACTCGATGGTCGAGCTGGCGGACGAGATGAGATTACCCAGCTGGTAGGAGGTACCGACGACAAAGGTACGAATGGGGCCCGGAGACAGTTCCATGAGATGGATGGGGATGACCCCCCACGCGCCCTGGACGCAGAACTGCTCGAAAAACGCCGCGGCCATGACATTCTTGCTGGTCACAAAGGTGTATGGGTATAGCAGGGCGCCGCCGACGATGGAGATGGCGATGATGGAGAACCGACGACCGAAGATCTGACTGGCCCAGCCGCAGAGCGTGCCGCCGGTCAGAGCGCCGAGGTTGGCCACCACCTGGGTTACTGTTACTGCGGTGGCGGAGAAGTCGAATTGGTTCTCGAGCATTGTGGGGTAGAGATCTTGCGAGCCATGGGACTAGTAGTGAGTAGTGAGTAGTGAGTAGTGTAGTAGATAAGAAAATGTTCGATAGAATTGATGCTTACCATAAAGTTAAATCCAGCCATGAGAAGAACGAGATAGATCAAGAGCATCCAGTGACGTTTGAGGGAAACCTTCCCCTCGCGTAGGAAAGAGGAAGCGATGTTGCCATGGATGCCCTCTCTGTATTCCTGTCGCTGGCGGAAGGACCGCGTTTCCGGCAGACACAGGCGATAGATGATGATGAGAACAGGGGGACAGGCGGCAAACCAGTAAAAAGGTCGCCATCCGTGCGAAGTGGTGTTGACCAGGGCACGCGAAAAGGCCGCCGCCAGCAGATAGCCAAAGGAGTATCCCTGCTGCAGCAAGCCCGAGATGATCCCGCGGGCCATCTCGGGGCAGTCTTCCAGCGCGGTGGCGGCGGCATTCCCGTACAACCCACCCATGGCGACGCCGAAGAGGGCGCGGCAGGCGAGGAACTGATTGTAGGTCTGCGCGAAGCCCGTACCGAGCTCGAGGATGATGAACAGGACATTGTTCACGATAAACGGCCACTTGCGGCCCCAGCGGTCCGAGGCAACCCCGAAGATGATGGCGCCCGCGGACCGCAGCATGAGCACCAGGGTGATGCCCCAGGTGATGTCGGTCGTGGTCTTGTTGAAGGTGTCTGCAAGCTCCGACACGGTCAGGGAGACGGTGAAGAAATCAAAGGCGTCCCACGTCCAGCCGCAAAACGCCACGCCAAAGAACAACCACTGTTCCTTGTTCAGCAACGCCAACGCCTTGAACGGGTTGGGAGCTGGGTTCATCGGCGGCATCAGCGTTGGAATCCGCGTCGCCAAATACCGTCCAACCCCCATGTTCTCCTCCTCCTCTGCCTCCATTCCCGCCGGCTCTTCGGCCGGAGGGACGGCCGCAGGGACGGGCTGTCTTGCCTCACTGTCGTCCATGGCAAGGAGGTAGGTAATATTGACAAGGAAGGAAATTATTTCGAATGATGGACCTTTTCTTCTAGCCGTCTTACGTGGGTATAAATACACAAGCCCACCCACCAGCAACAATGACAATATTGAGTGGCTGAAACAAAGCGAAAAAAAAGCAGGGAAAACTAGAGCCACAGCCAGCGGTTTAAATAATCATAAAATCTCGATTCGTTGCAAGAAACCCCGACGGACACGAGGTCATTGTTCTACCCCGCTTTGGGGGAGAAAGAAAAAGAGAGATCAACCAGGGTTGCAATTCGTTCTATGGGCCGATTCTGTGATGATCTTCCCGGATACAGCCCGACTGCTCAGTGCTCAAGCCGATAACCACGGGGATACGGAGTACCTACTAACATACCTAAGGTATCTAGGTAGTTATCTACCTAGTAGGTACTAGGTACTACTAGTTCACTACCTGGCACTGAGTACTCTGTACTACTCGGTAGAAACTACTAGTTATATTGTTTCTTTGTTCTCGCAGTGATAGGGTCTGCCAAACTCAAAGTCGTTACATCATACAGGATAAGGCTGGAAGAGTGTACTGCATACAGCTAGGAGCAGCTAAGTAATTACTATCGCTCTACCACCCCACTTAATTAACTACTCCATACGGAGGATTGCTTGACTCCATATCCTGTAGGGCCACTCAGTGGAACCAGCAATGACCGGGGTTGAGAATTCTGCTTGTCACCTGAGTCGGTGCATGGACTGGGGTCTTGAGATCAACTGACGAGGATGTTCTCAATCTCTCTCTCTATATAATCTACTCTAATAATCTACTCTAATAATCTACTCTATATATAATCTATCTCTCTATATCATATAATCAGTACTAGTATCGTTAAGTTCCGCCAATGCGCCTCTCCCGCCTTAGTAATTCATACTAGTTCAGTAGCTAACAGTAGGACAGTACTACATTATAACCAAGTTACTCCATACTCTGTATAACCAAGTATACCAGGTTAACTACCTAGGTAGTTGATAATAATACCTACACTTATGGAGTACTCTGCACCAGTGCAGATAACTAGTATCAGCGACATCGGGGTCTAGAATGCAATCTACCTAATCCTCCACAGCGCCACTATACCTGTTCTCGGAATCACGTCGGGGTTTTTTCGGCTTCCTGCGAGTGACGCTATAAGAACTCTACTCGTAGTGCTAATAAACATATTATTATCTATGGACAATAGTAGCGAGAATTCTAAACACCTACCCACTAGGTGCTATACTTAGTACGGAGTATACTAGTGTTGGTTCAGAGACTTGATGAGAGCGATCAAGAACAAGCTATGATTATGATTTTATGTAGGCCGTTGGTACCCTTGAACTGACGGTGAAGACTCCTTCTCACCCCCGGCATTCTCAAACAACCCGGGATCAAACCCATCGCCCAATGTTATGGCCAAATTCGGCTTTTCGTCAAATAAGTGCCAATTGAAGATAGGTCGATTCGTCTTGGGATGCAGCGTTATGTCAGGAACCAGGCTGTATACCCGCCGCCATAACCGCTGCATGAACCGACGCGTGATTTGATGCGGACGCCCATCGACGTACTTCCCAAAGGTTGGCCCCTTTTGGGGTCCATCCACCAGGAATTGGGGGCTGAGGATTCCCCCGGCGGAAGGGCCCGGATTGTCTTTGTCTTCTTCTATTTGTTTCTTCCGTTTGACCGGCGGCGCCCACTGTGATGTCCCAGTGACCAGACCTTTCAACACATCCAGATCGGATTCGGGAAGCGGCGGTAGAACGCTATCAAGCGCGCCCTGGTACCATCGTTTCCGGATGTTCCTCTTCCGAGACCAAGCCAGGGGCCTGCCCCAGACATTTTGCTTCGGTATAACAGGCCTCAGATCTTTGATCTGCAGTCTGGGACTGACCTGTGCCACATGCTGGCTATTCAACTGCGACCGGAGTAGCCCGACCAGGATCGGTGGGGGCGCCCAGCCATCATCAAACATCCCCGGTTGATTGATGACCTCCTTCACAGCCATCGTGTCGACGGGCGTGTCGGGTGTCAAAAACGCGGTCACAAGTTCCCACCTCCGTTTCCCTGTTCGCCCATACGACATGAAAAGCACCTTTTCAAGCGGTTTTGTGTATCCTTCGTTGGCACGTTTCAGAAACGACAGCCTTTGTTTGGTTGCTCTCTCGAGCGCCACCTGGCGTGGCGGATCTAGAAGTAGCTTGAGCTTGGATTTCGGTTCAGCATGATGTCGATATCGTTGAAGAACCATCTCGTGCATGTACTTTCGAGCCACAGGGTCCGGGAGATAGGAGCATTCGCGGAGGAGGGCCCGTAACAGACTGCGCCATCGTTCCGAAGGGACAAACGGTTTCATGGTTGGTTCGCGAGGAAATTCCGACCGTAAGAAAATTAGACAAATACAAAGAGTCCTACCGTAACCCCCCTCCAGGCCGATGCTGAGCTGTCGGGGCGTGACGCTGTCAATAATGACATAATGAAGCGTTGAGGAAGAAGAGAGCAGAATAGAAAAAATCGGGTCGAGGGCCCGAAGCGGCGATAGTCAATGTTTCCCTTTCGGGGCGAGAGTTACGCGAAAAACCGCTAGGCGGAAAACGCGAGGAAACCCCGCGAGTCTCGCTCGCACCACCGTCTTCTACCTATCCCGATCGTCTGCAGACTTTCAGGCGGAGATTTTACAGGCCGAAGAGTATTATTGACACTTCTTGCATTGTGAACCGCTGTTTGTTTGAGGCTCTTGCATTGGCGGGCGCCCTTGGATCATCCCACGAGGCTCCTTCGCGCGTTGACCAGCCACGCGCTTTCTCTGACCTCCTTCCGCGCGACTCTCTCGCCGTCTGCGCAGAGAATAAGCGGTATTATCTCTCCTCCCCACCAACGCAACGCGAGGGCTTGATGCGGCCAGATTGTGTCATAGTCATGGGCTGTGCTGTCTGCTAATATCGACAGAAACGAAGAGAAAAAAAAAAGAAAGAGAAAAAGCCCGGCATCCTCCCTACGTTTTGTATGTGTACACGTTCGGTATCGAGAGGACCAATAAGGTGACTTTGAATCAGCCTCATGGCTTCGAACGGCCATCATACATCGCGTCCTAGTTTATCCATGTCATATTCCCAGGGCAGTATGGGGTCTGGGAATGGTCTTACCCTGTCACAGTCCCACATGGGATCGTTCAACGCTTCTCAATCGGCGGCCTCGACTCCGCGGGCAACCCCTACGCCGAAGGCGTCCCAGCAATCGAACATGTCGTTCAGCTTTGCGAACGGAATGCCTCAGTCTAGAGTCGGCTACGGGGCTTATGAGGAAGCAAATGGGTTTGGGCAAATGGCGCCGTATCCACAAGAATACAGGCCTCAAATATACAGGGTCTGTCCTACGTCTTTGGGTAGTCAGTAACGACGAAATAGCTGTACTGACTTTCTTTCTTTCTTTTTTTTTTCATGTCTAGGCCGTCTACTCCAATGTGTCAGTTTATGAGATGGAAGTCAACGGGGTCGCTGTCATGAAACGACGCTCCGACTCGTGGCTCAATGCTACTCAGATCCTCAAGGTGGCCGGTGTTGTCAAAGCGCGACGGACGAAAACGTTGGAGAAAGAAATTGCTGCCGGCGAGCATGAAAAGGTTCAAGGCGGATACGGGAAATACCAGGGCACTTGGGTCAACTATCAACGAGGTGTGGAGCTTTGCCGCGAATACCATGTCGAGGAATTGCTGCGGCCACTGTTGGAATATGACATGGGTCCCGATGGGGCGAGCGGATCGGGACAGGCCAATCTGGATACCCCGACTAAGGAGCAAGCAATGGCTGCTCAACGCAAGCGACTCGTCAATGGTATGGACAGCCGCGGAATCATCCAGCCCCAGCAGGGAACGTTCTTCCAGAACATTTCTCGCACTGCTGCAACCGCCGTCAATGCGATGAGCAAGGCCCGTTTCGAGTCCCCAGCGGCAAAGGGTGTCGACGGCCGACGATCCAGCATGATGCGAAAACCTTCTCACCAGATGAGTAGCCAAGAGTCTCAGATTGCCGCCATGAGCAGTCAACCCAGCATGTACAGCGTCACGTCTGACAGTGGGTTCGGAAGTAATATCCAGAACAGTGGGATCTTCCACTCCCACGACGGTGGGAGCATCGACCACGAAGATCCGATAGAGCCGCCTCGCAAACGGTTTCGCTCATCTTCAAACCACGGGCGTTCGTTCGGTCTGCCTCGCGAACCGTCAAGCCTCTCCATGCATGAGCCAACACCGACGGAACCTAACGATTCATTCTACCAAGACATGGATGGCACGGCTTCCGCGGTGGATGGACCCGGGCGCGGTATCGAGGCTCTGGGGCCTGCAGCAACGCCGGAACGGTTCCAGAAGATGAAACTGATCATGACCTTGTTCTTGGACAAGCGTACCAAAGATTTCTCGAATCATCCTGCCCTTATGCAGCTCACTGGTGACGACCTGGAGATCCCGCTCGATGAATATCGCAACAACGCCCTGCATTGGGCAGCCATGCTGGCTCGCATGCCGCTGGTCCACGCGCTTGTTGAAAAGGGGGTGAGTATCTTTCGTTTGAACGGTGCAGGTGAGACCGCATTGCAGAAGTCGGTGGGGACGAGAAACAACCTTGACTACCGGAGTTTTCCGCGTTTGCTGCAGGTGCTTTCTCCAACCATCGACATGGTTGATTACAGCGGGCGTACAGTTCTCCATCATATCGCAGTGATGGCAGCTACTGGTGGGGGAGGCCATGTCTCCGCAAAACACTACCTGGAATCCTTGTTGGAGTTTATAGTCCGACACGGAGGCACTGCTATCCCCCAGCCATCGTCAAACAGCATAGCCGGGGATGGGACACAGGCTACTGAGGTGATTACTCTCGGCCGCTTCATCTCTGAGATTGTTAATCTGCGAGACGATCAAGGCGACACCGCGCTTAACCTCGCAGGGCGCGCACGCTCTGTCCTTGTCCCCCAACTTCTGGAAGTGGGCGCAGACCCCCACATACCTAACCACACGGGACTGAGGCCTGCAGACTATGGCGTGGGTGTCGACATGGTGAACGGCAATTCCCAGTCCCAGACCAACGGCAACCGGAGTGATTCATTCATGGACCAGCTGGCCAAGACGAAGAAAGAGATTTTAGATGGTATGCCCCTGACATGTGATTCACAAAAGTATTAAATCTAACTTTCGACCAGCAACTCTTTCTCAGATCGGCGCCATAGTTGAGGAAACACTTGGCGGTCTTGACCGTGAGCTCGCATCAAACCTCACGAAAAAGCAGGAGAAATTCGACCATTGGCATACGAAGATTCGCGAAAGCGCCAAGGCCAGACAGATCGAACAGAAGCAGCTCGATGATCTCAAACGAAAGTCCACAGACCGGGTCGAGTTGGACCGGCGCATCAAAAACCTGGAGCGCTCGGCAGAAGGCCTAATGGGTGTTCTCAAAGACACACTCAAGGATCGATTTGACCCGTCCAAGACGGTTCTGGTGGGTGATGCAGACAAAGACTCAGGCGTCGATTTGACGGAATTCGAAACGATCTTCTCGGCGGACTTTGACCCCAGCCGTGGGTTTTCTGAGCAGCAAATAGAGTATCTGAGGTCGTTACCATCTGTCAACATCCTTGAAGCTCGGGTCAAACCGTACCAGGAATTCAACACTGAGATCATGGCCGAAGTGGAACGTCTCAGATCAAAGAACGTGGTGTTGGGTCAGAACTATCGGCGGATGGTCATGGCTTGTACAGGCTGGAGTGCCGAGCAGGTCGACGAGGCCGCCGAGGGCCTGACACAGTGTGTCAAGGAACTAAATGATAACCCCGTCCCCGAAGACGAGGCGATTGAAATTCTAATGAGAGACCGTGGGCAGGATTGGTGATTTATCTTGCCTTGCCTAGGTTTTTTTTTTTTCTTTTTTGTTTTTTATTTAGGAGTGCACTGCATACAGCCGTATGAACTTGACTCCCATGTCTATACGAACAAGCGCCTCATGTTTCATACTCTCCAAGCTCATTTTTTTTCTCTGTTCGACTTCTAGCGTTTACAGGATTTTTCTTTCTTTTCTTCTCTTTTTTGGTCCTTTCGTTTGGTGTGTCAGATACCCTGCAGACAACGATATCAAAGTCTTGTCTTGTCCTTGCATTGATGGACCACCTGTACAAATTTCCAGATTCAGTACCTAAATTACAGCATGCCGTGGGCCAGCGATGCATTTGCGATGCATTTGCAATAGATATTTTAAAAGTATGAGCATACTAGGGCACTCGCGTCTAAGAATGAATGAATTATCTACTATATAAGTGAAAGTCGAGCAGAAGAAAGTTTACCTAGCTAGCTAGTTGCTCTCTCTTGAGAGGTGCGCATGCTGTCTAAGAATCTCATTCAGCCCCTCCCGCTGCACGCACTCATCAAAATGGAAGCTGTGCGCGAGGGCGTCGAGGTCCGCCTCGTCCATTCCACGGAAGAGCTCAGCAAAGTCGTCAGAAAACGAGGCAGCGAGGAAAGTCTGGAAGACGGCGCGGAGCAGATGGCGCTCCGTGTTCCAGGGAGTGGGATAGGTTTCGCGCCCTGCAATGGGGTTGACTTTATCGATCCATTCGATGAGTGGTTTCAGGGCCGCCTTGGGACCCTCGGAGGGCCGGCGACCCCACGCGTCGAGCCAGAGCAGATTCTTCTTCTCCAGGAAGGACTGGATGGTTTGGTTCCATTTGCTGTGCGGGCTCGTGTGCAGCATCCCCTGCAGGCCGACGTCCTTGTACAGCCAGATGGACCAGGAGATCTGGTACTTGTCGTAGATCCGCAGCTGCTCGCCCAGCAGGTTGTACCGCTCCTGGTTGATCGAGGCGGCGTCCCCGTCGATCTGCGGGTTGGCGTACACGGGGCCAAACTCGCCGTTCCAGATCGGCGTCTTGTGCTCGTTCATGAAATCGACTTTGCGGAGGTACTGCCGCTCGAGAGTCGCCTTTTGCGTCTCTGTCCCTGTGTATCTTTCTCCAAAGGGGAATCCCATTGCCTTTTTTTGTTAGCTTTAGGCACTTCTTTTTTTTTTTTTCATATATGACAAGGTAAATACCGCATAGTCGTGGATGGAGTAGACACAGTTGGGCAAAACTTTGTCGAACCCTCTCCACTCCATAGCAAACGTGTTTCCATCCAGCCAGAGAATATGATCGGGGTCAACCTCCCGGATCTCCTTTTCAACCCGCTCGTAGAAAGCCGGCAAGCGCACGTGTTGCGGGTCGCAGGGTTCATTGAGCGGGTTGTACCCAGCAACCCAGGGGTTCCCCTTGTACCGAGCTGCAATCTGCTTCCACAGCCAGACGGTGCGATCCTGGTGGTCTTTGTACTCCCAGAATGCCGCGTAGTTGGTCGGGTTGTCCGAGTGCCAGTCCGGGTTCTGACCACCTGGAGCGGTGTGCATGTCGAGAATAGTATAGATCTTGTGTTTGGCGCACTGTTCGCTGTCAGGAGGAAGCTGGTAGAGGAGAGAGAGAAAGAGACCCGATTCGGGATTCACTCACAATCTCAACCACCCGGTCAAGGTGCTTGAACCCAGACTCCTTCAGCACTCGCGGGTTCATATCATCTTCAAAGTGACGGAAGTTGAACGGGATCCGGATGCAGTTCAACTCCAGATCTGCGAAGAACTTGGCATCGGCGTCTGTGAAGAAGTACTCCAGCCACCTGTCGAAGAAGAACTCGTACTTTTCCTTGCCTAGCACCTCACACATCGACGCGCGGTGTTGTGACTCGTGGCCCGGGTATCCGGTGATGAAGTTCTCCATGCTGTAATTGTAATATCTTGTGAGACTTGCCCAACCTCCCAGAACAAGGCCAGGTACCTACTTCATCCAGCCTCCGATGGCTGCTCCACGCAGAACAATCGTGTCTCCATTCCCATCCACGATCTTGTCGCCCTGAACTTTGAGAATACCCGTTGCCATGATGTGTGTAGCACTGGGAACTGGATCTATGTATCTTTAACCAACAGGGTCTCCTGACTGACTGCTGGTGTATGACAGACTAAGAAAGACACATCCCTCTGCATTTAAATACTGTCTTTCTCAAGCCCAGAAACCGGGACTTCGGGTAAATATCAGCGGGGTATGAGCTCTCTCTCTTCGATCTCAGTCGCGGAAAATTGTCAGCCTTGTAGAAGGCATTTAGCCTGATGAGACAACGGCCCATTTCTGTTCGGAATCTCGCCGGCACAAGTGACGTGGCTGTGTTTCTGCTCACTGGGAAGGGAGTCAGTCCCTTAATAGCGGAGGTTCTCCGGAGTGAAGCAATTCGTACTAACAATGGGCAGGTGAGTGTCATTATATCCCTGGTGCGTGGATATCAGCCATTACATACTGAAAATCGCCAGGGATCAACCCCGCAGGAGTCAAATGCCACGCACCTTATCAACCCCACCATCGCGGAATTTTCTGGACGATTATCGATCACAAAAAAAAGGGCTTTTTGCCATGATCACTCCATCTCGAGGACCAGGCAAAGTACGACGCGGTGGAATACGTGCTGTATGATGCATTGAGGGCTTGGTGAGTGTCTGATTCTGTCAGAGTCGTCCGAGGCAAGCTAATAATCAGGCAGTCAGTGTACGAGAAGAGACAGTCACGGCCCCCTCCCCCCCCCCACGAACTCGCTTCAAAACGGTCTATTCTATTATCATCTCTATTGAATTAGATACAGCCGATAAAAATGGCTGCCGATAGCGTATCTGTACATCCCACGACCCTGGATGCGATGTTCGATCTGTCTTCGCCGTCCAGGGAGCAATACGACCCTGTTCGTCTGACATCCGCTCAGGCGCTCGCAGTCCTGCAGCTGTCTCTTGCGAAGGAGGTTTTTGGACATAACGACGCAGAACAGAGCGCGCTGGGACAGGTGTCTAGCAAGGATGTATCATACACTGCATTCGTCACGGAGAAGGTCAAAGCAGTCTTCCTGGCTCAGACCGATGATCTCACGGTAGAGGCAAAACGCTCGCAACTGCTGCATATCGGTCTAGCAGCGCTCTTCAGCTTCCTACAGTCCAATGTGACTGGCCCTCCGCTGGAATTTTCACCGGCAGAAACTGTCTTGCCGCCGGTCCTGCGGACCACCGCTTCGGCCTTGAGAGGAATTAGAGACCAGGTTATTCGAGAGCTTTCTGTCGATGGAGAAGCAGCCTATAAGCTCACGCCCAATGTTGAGCTCTTCTCTGTAGCGAAGGCTATCTTAGTTGATGCCGATGTCCTAGTTCAGGACAACAGCCCTCTGTTGGCAAGGGTGGCGAGGATGCGAGTCAACTTTCTCCATCAGAAGATGCTCTCGGAAGTCACGACGACTTTGCAGGACGCCATATACGTGGATCTGGATGTGCTTGCTAAAACCATGCTTCCGTCTCAGTCACCATCGACTACAGAGGAGAAAGGGAGGTTTCTCCTTGAAAGAGCAACTATTCACACACATCATGGCTTTGACGCAAAGGCCCGAGCTGACCTTGAGCGGGCGGCAGCAGTGAAAGGATTTGAGTTCGCACTGACAGGAAGACTGGGGAAACGGACCAAGTTCCAGGAACGCGACGTGAGCCAGCTGGTCGTGCTGGCCCAAAGTGCGGAGAGTCCACCCAAGGAGACAACAGAGAGTCAGTCGCAAGAATCCTCTGGGCCCAAGAAACTAGATCTCAACGATGACACCCTGCTGGAGGCCATTTCCTTTACAAAGGAAGACAGCCAGAATACCAAGGAGAAATCAGTCACTGTGCAAGAAGAGTCGTCCCTGCCATCTGCGCTGGCCTCTCTGGATCCTGGGAACCAACCGTTACTTGACCCCGTCGACTCTGCGATCCTTCTTGCTCTAGCCTCGGCTATCACAAACACGTCTCCCGAACATGGTTTGACGCGCGAGGAGACGCTTCCGTATGCGACCCGTGTTCTGGAGGGCGGCAGTTCCAACTGGCAGATCTATACCCAAGCTCTCCTAGTTCGAAGCCGAGTGGAAGGCTTTCGATCTCGGACCGTCGAGCGGAGTGTTCTACAAATGCAAGCACTTGTCGACCAGGTGATTGCAGACACTGCCACGCTCGACACTGAGGTGGATGCTTCCAAAGACGAGCAACCTACAACCTTCCTGCCCAGACCTGAGAAATCGGAGTCAGCGCCAGCCGACCAAAGACTCGAATACATCTGGCTGCTGAACTTCTCCACTCGCTGGAGTCTTGAGGCTGAACTAGCCCAGAGATGGGTGGATCTCGGCGGGCTGCGGACTGCCCTCGAGATCTACGAACGCCTGCATATGTGGGCCGAAGTCGCACTCTGCTATGCCGCCACGGAGCGAGAGGACAAAGCCAGGAGTCTCGTCCGCAGGCAGCTCTACGAGCCTACTAATAAAGACGAAGAGAATGATGATGACACGTACGAGGGACCCGAGCTGGCCCTCCTGCCTGCGAACGCACCCCGTCTTTTCTGCATCCTGGGAGATATCGACAAAGACCCGGCCTTGTACGAGCGTGCGTGGGACGTGTCCAAAAACCGCTACGCTCGTGCGCAGCGGTCTCTTGCCCGCCACTGGCTCATGACCAAGCCCCCACAGCCAGAGAAGGCCGAAGAGGCGTATCTCAAGAGTCTGCACATCAACCGTTTGAACCACGGTGCCTGGTTTGCGCTGGGATGTGTCCAGCTGGAACTCCAAAAGTGGGAAGAGGCGATCCAATCATTCACCCGAACCGTCCAGCTTGAAGACACCGACGCCGAAGCCTGGAGTAATCTTGCAGCTGCCATGCTACGGGTTTCGGAGTCGGAGCCTAGTGAAACTGCTGCTACTACGGAGCCAACCCCCTCGTCCGCCGATGATGATGAGCAGCAACCCGATGAAGGCACCGAAGAGCCCAAGGAAGAGCCGTACAAGCGTAAGCGCGAGGCCCTGGCTGCGCTCCAGCGCGCCGCCCAGATCAAGCACTCCGACTCCCGCATCTGGGACAACCTTCTCACGGTGGCGGCGTCCATCCCGCCGCCGTACACGCCGCTCCGGGAAATTGTCAACGCGCAGCGGCGCGTGATCGAGATCGTCGGGGCGAAAAAGGGCGAGAAATGCATCGACCTGCGCATCCTCGGCATGCTGGTCGACCACCTGGTGACCAACTACGAATACGAGAACCTTCTCATCCCGATGGAGACAGAGACCGGCGATGGCTCCACGACGCGTATTCTCCGCAGCGGCACAACCCCGGGCCAGATCATCTCGCTGCTCGACGACCGCGTCGTCCCGCTTATCACGCACTCGGCACCGCTGTGGCTGCTGGTCGGCCGGGTAGAGCTCTTCCGCGGACGGCCCTCCAAGGCCCTCGAAGCCCACGAGAAGGCATGGCGCGCCGTCGTTGCCTCGTCGACGCAGGGCGCCTTCCAGATGGGCGAGGAGAAGAAATGGACCGAGATCGTTGCCGCCACGGAACGGCTCGTGCGCAACGGCTACGCAAAGTACGGGCCCATGGAGAAGGAATCTCAGGACGGCGGTCATCCAGGTTCAGTTGCCGAGGGCGAGGCAGAGCTCGTCGCCAAGGACTGGAGGTTCAAGGCTCGCAGTGCCGTCCGCGGCATCATGGGTAAGGGTAAGGAGTTCTGGGAGGATAGCGATGGATGGGCACGTTTGAAGGCACTGCAGTCGGAAGTCTCGGGGGGGCAATAATGCATGGAATGCATTCTAGATCTGCCAATCGTCTAGTATACTTTATACAGAGTTTACTGATGAGAAAAAAAATCTACTCAAAACATTTACTATCCATGTTATCTTAGTTAATGTTTGGAAATTTCTACTTTTCCGATAAAACTTTTCTATCTCTATTCTATCTCCGCTCGACCTTTCTTTTGAGCATTCCGCAGAAGCTTTCAAAAAGTACGCTGTCTCTGCCCTTTAGCCATCTCACTAGAACGCGAACGCCGTTTTCCTCAAGGGCATCGTGTTTCAGGTGAATTTTGAACCCCAGTGCCGCCGTATCTTCGTCAATTTCGTGCTTTTGACCATCAGCGGCCAAAGCCTGCATCTTTCGCCGCGCCTGCCGAGACCATACATTCTCCATAGCAAAACCAACACCCACCGACATGCTGTTTCGCCAATTCCATTGAATGGGAAGTTTACTGAGCTCCAGGTCAATGGCTTGACCGACAGAATCAATGGACTCTTCCGGAATATCAAAGCTGAACTCTGAGGGAAAGGGGAGGAGATGCTTCGGAAAGCCGGAAATTCCCCGGGCCACATTCTATCAAAGAAGAAAAGGTCGGTTAGAACAATTCGAAATAATAAATGCGGCCAACCGTACCATTGTTGGTCTTAGATCACCCCATGACCATGCCACAGCCCATCGGCGTGTCTTGAACCCTTGTACGAATTCCGTCACGGCATAGTTTTGGATGCCGTGTTTCAGTAACTTCTCAACGATCATAGAGACACTGCTAAGCTTTCCAAGCATAGTGGAATACCAGAGAACTCTCTCGCGCAAGCGCAGACTATCCTCGATCATGCGGGACACAAATTCCACTTCGCCTCCCTGGGTAACCATTTCGACTTCTGCCCCAGTGCATGCCTGTCCCATGTAAGCGAAAAGTCTTGAACAGGAGAAAACGGAGATATATCACGTACAGAGAATGGTGATCTCTCTTTTGCTTTCGCAGAGGCAACCATCTCATCTTGTGATGCATAGAAAGGAGGATTGCACATGGTGAAATCAAGGCTGATGACACGCTTAGCTTGAAGGTATTCCTTATGGATATGGACGGGGGATGAACGGTTTGAGTACCTTTCAATATCTGCCAACTTCCCATCCAGTGAAATGAGGGTGTCCGTAGGGTCGTTTTTCACCACACGAATTCGTGACTCTAATTTATTCTGGGAGATATTCTTCTTCGCATTTGCAAAGTTGGCATCGTCGATGTCTATTTTAGTGAGTAGGTGGCCTTGATGTATCACTCATTCCCTGTGACATAATACTCACCAGTCGCCGCAAACTTCCATCGTGGCCGTAGAGAACAGCCGAGTAGAGGATAGATACTACAGCACCCCGTCCCTCTATAAGGTCAGTGTTGTTTGAGGTATTGTCCCAGCGCGTTACCATACATATCAAGGCCAAGCACATCCCTATCGGGATCATACCCATCACGATACTCGTCTCCCGTGGTGTCAAGAAGATCTTGCAGCCAGAGAATGTAGTTGAGTCTAATGACCAGGTGAGATGAGAAATATTTAAAAGACTTTGGCCAAGGTTCGGGTGGCTTATCATACCTATTTGGTACCTAAAATTTATCAGTCAAAGGAAAAATGGAAGGCTATAAAATATATATATAGGGAAGCAGTGCATACAGGCGGGCATAGCCTGTCGTCTGGGAGGTCAACTTTGATTCCAAAATCCCGTTCTAGAAGACTTTTCGTCAATTGCCTGTCCCAGCCTATTAGCTAAATAGTACCCAGTACCCAGTCGGGAACGTGAAAAGATCTACCTGACGGCATCCGGGTCATTGAAATCTAACTGCCCATTAGGCTTGAGGCTGGAACTTGTTAATCGCCTCTTCAATGACCAAAGCGTATACTTACTATTTGGCGAATTCTGCAGACTGCAACGCTAGAGCTGGGAAATCCACCTCATTCTTGTATATGTTTCGGCTCGAGTTCATGATCGCCGAGGCCGTCTGTTGAGACTTATCGACTCACTTCGATCGACCGACACGGTTTCAGAACGACCAAGTCCCCTGGCGTGGTTCGCAGTCCTAGATCTGACGTGCGCCGGTGTGGATCAAAATGGCGGGGCTGATCCGTGGATAAGAGGGATGCCCAAAACCACGGCCGCAGAAAGGGAGCTCCCATTGGAAAGAAAGCGACAGGGTAGACGCAGTTCGACAGGGACACGAACTGTAGATCGCTGGAAACGCCTTCCTGCACAAAAACTGCAGCAGAAGACAAAATCCCGGTGGAGAGACAGACTCGTGATGTCATTAGCGCGGGACATCGAACGGCCCGATGGGGTTAGACGGAGAGAAGGAGCTCCGTAGCGGTGTTGGGTTGCTCTTTCCTCTTGGGTTTTGGGAATAATACAGAATACCACCGTTGCTCTTTCCTCCTACAATATCAGACATTTTATTGATTTGGTTTTTTTTTATGTTGAAGACTGCTCTCTGTCGAGCCAGCGTACATAATGAATGCGTTCTCCAAGATAAAGGACCAGCTGGAGGAGTCGTTGAAGGGTAGCTTCCTGCCCCTCCTCCTTCATCCTAGAGCGCTACATCTTGGACTGACAAAGGGTGATGGTACTACCTAATGATGGTTTGGAGCAGATTTAGATGAAGCCAGGGTGCAGGCGTCCCATATGAAACACAAATTCGGCAAGTTTTTCAACGTGATCAATCCGAACCACCGCCATGACGAGGCCCACGAACAGGCAACGGACGACAAGCGAAGCGCCATTGCTGAGTCCCATCGCTTCAATTCGTTTGCTCCGATTCACGAAGGTAACAGGGTGAAGTGGTATGTTGATGGGTTGGACTATCTGTGGGCGGTGTCTGTGGCATTAGAGAACGCCAAAGAGACGATCTACATTGCCGACTGGTGGCTGTCACCAGAGCTGTTTTTACGACGCCCACCGTTTTTCAATCAGGAATGGCGACTCGATCAGGTGCTCAAGCGCCGGGCAGAAGCCGGTGTCAAGATCTATGTCATCGTGTACAAGGAGGTGAGGGTAGGAGAAGTTGGATTAATCTCCTCTATCTGATAACTCGTGTGCAGGTAAACCAAGCGCTTACATGCAATTCGGCTCATACCAAGCATGCCTTAACCAACCTCTGTCCGGAAGGGACCCCTGGATATGGTAACATACGAGTGCTGCGCCATCCTGACCATAATATCTTTGAAAATGCAGCGGATATGACGTTCTACTGGGTAAAAAACCATCCCCCGCGAGACTGCTGCTATAGAAAGATAGCTAACATGGTTTCCATAACCAGGCACATCATGAGAAATTTATCGTGATCGATTATGCTCTCGCTTTTATTGGTGGCATCGATCTGTGCTTTGGTAGATGGGACGCCAATCAGCATCCCTTGGCTGACGTTCACCCTTTGAATATCCAAGGAGACATCTTTCCCGGGCAAGAATTTAACAACAATCGAATCATGGATTTTCAAAGTGTTCATCAGTGGCAGCAAAATGAATTGAGCAAAGCGGACTACGGCCGGATGCCATGGCACGACGTCGCCATGGGTCTCATGGGGGATTGCGTATATGATATCGCAGAACATTTTGTCCTGAGATGGAATCTTGTCAAACGAGACAAGCACAAGCGATCCCATGAAGTGGACTGGCTCATGCTCGAGGGTCGCTTGGGTGATGATGAGGACCTGGTTGGCGTCCAGCGTCCGAAACACCCATGTGGCGATTATATCCAGCACCCGCTTTCTCCCTTGAGCACCAAACCTACCGGTATCCAAGGGTCGGTGAAAGCACAGATAGTCCGCAGTAGCTCTGATTGGAGCAGCGGCATTCTAGTCGAGCATAGCATTCTGAATGCTTATTGTGAGGTGATCCGAAACGCTAAGCATTACGTCTACATCGAGAACCAGTTTTTCAGTAGGTTTTCTTGTCATTCTACTCAGGAATCTCTCTATTGACAAGGACTAGTCACTGCTACGGGGGATCAGCAATCCCCCATTCATAATACGATTGGAGGCGCTATTGCCGAGGCCTGTGTTAAAGCGGGTAAGGAAGGCCGGAAATTCAGGGTCATAATCGTGATCCCGGCAATCCCAGGATTTGCGGGAGACTTGAGAGATTCTGCTGCTACCGGCACTCGTGCAATAATGGACTATCAATACAAGTCAATTTTGCGCGGTGAGAACTCAATCATGGGTCAAATCGCAGCGCAAGGAGTGAACCCAAGAGGTAAGTACAGAACATTTGCTTTTGATCGGTAGTGTTTGGAAATTAAAGAAAAGAAACCCTCTAGACCATATCTTCTTTTTCAATCTCCGTGCTTTCGATCGAATCAACAGGACCCCAGATTTGCTTGAGCAAGAGAATTCATCGGGGGTGAAATACCAGGATATCCAGCGAGGAATCGCAGAGTCCATCATGACTGAGAGTATCCATCCTTCTATAGGCGATGAGGGTGACAAGAATGAAAAGAGCTACGATGATGGGGACCAAGAGAAACAGCGGCACGTTGACCAGATGCGAAAATTTGAAGCATACCGCGAAGAGAGAGCCGTGGATGTCGTCACCAGCAAAGACAGCGTTGCGCATACTACAATGCTGAATGGTGGCAAATTGTCAGATGAGCCTTGGGAAGGCGATTTAGAGAACGAGAAGGAGAACTTCGTTCAAGAGGAACTCTACGTTCATAGCAAGGTGTGCATTGTGGATGACAGAATCGTCATCTGTGGGAGTGCCAATATTAATGACAGGGTAATCCTTCCTTTTCTTTCCTCTTGTTTTGCCAGATGCCCTTTCAATTTCATCCAATAATATTAACGGGAAATATAGTCTCAACTCGGTTACCATGACAGCGAACTTGCTATTGTCATGGAGGATCAGGATCTCATTGACAGCACTATGGAAGGCAAGCCGTACAAGGCGGGCCGGCATGCGGCCACCTTGCGACGACAGCTGTGGAGGGAGCATCTTGGCCTGTTGCCTGCTCAAGATCTCGACGCTACGCATTCTCCCAATGCGCAGCCTCCGGACGTATGTCTGAACGAAGTGCTGGAGGGACCCGAAGACGCCTTCGTTGCTGACCCCCTTGGTGATGACCTCTGGAACACCTGGACCAGCCAAGCGACCACCAACACAGAGATCTTCCGTTTCTTGTTCCGAGCGGACCCAGATGATGGGATCAAAACGTTTGCAGACTACGAAAGCTTTCGGCCCCGTGGTGTTAAGAACAAGCAGGGCCATTTATTCGACCCATTCCTCCCATCCAATATTGTTAGAGAAAAGCTCGACCTGATCAAAGGCCATCTAGTCTGGATGCCTCTTGAGTTTCTAAAAGATGCCGAGATGGCGGAGCCGGGCTTATCAGTGAACCAATTTACAGAGGCAGGTTTCCCCTTCACCCAGTTTCGTTGAGCATATCACTAACTGATGGTAGAGCATTTATACATGAGGTTATGCTTCGAGATAATTTTGGATACCTTGCACATTTCCCCTCGAATTCAACTCAGCCATTCCATCATCCTAGAATATAATATATACTCTCCAAAGTTCAGACATTTCAACTCTTTCTCATTGGAAAACATGATATCTCCCCTTGCATGATTTATATATTATAACTGTGGTATATAGTTCTAAAAGCATATAAGCCGTGTAGCCGTAAAACGGGTATTTATAACATCGAACGATGCCTCGGGGCGACTGACCAAGTAATTCAGTAGTTATCGGACAAGTCCATATGCTCCTTCCTTGCAATTTACGAAAATAAACCCAGCCTGCAGTACATATCAATTCTGCAGAAGGAGCCGCCTGATCTCAGTTGTGTAACAATCGGGAATGATCGGTTGTGTTTAGAAGCAGCTAGGGACAGCTGTAGCTTAGACCTCAACTATATGTTAGCTATACGTAATATTTACTTCGCGCAGAGTATCAATGTACTTGAAGGAGGGGGGGAAAGCAATCTATTAGTTACTTTTTATCTATTATACGTTTTGAGTCCCTCGAGTGGGCCACATAGAACTCCTGGAAATCCTGGGAAGCAACAAGCCAGACAACGGTGAAAAGACCGATGCAAAGAAAGACCATGAAGAAGCAAGGGGCAAACTGAAGATCTGAAGAAGAAGACAAGATAGAGACCAACCAAATTCGAGTGTAGCGAAGAAGAAACACAAGGATAATAACAAGAGAAAGAGAAGAAAAGGGAGCGGAGAGCTTTCCCCTTCAGCCGTGATGTCGTATCTGGAAATGAATAGAGCACCGTGGTATAAACCGACCACACCAAGCAGAGTGAGGAGGCCCAATCGCTGAAACTCCACTGAACGCTGAAGAAAGGAAACGAATAGTGTGACGTCAAGAAGAGATGGAAGTCGGGGTATGCAAGTAGGCCAGTAAGATTGCCGTTGGGCTTCCCTAGGGAACCCTGTAGTCTTCCCCTTCCAAGCATACGTGGAATACAAGGTGGATATTCTACTCGATGACTTGTCAGTTCCGGCAGATAGGAGAATACTTGATGGGCTAATTGACGCTTACTTCTTGAAGTGTAGCATTGCTAGTCACACATAAAAAGCACCGTCTCTAGGACTTGGCGGTGTGGCACGACTGACAACGACAATGGCCACAGATCTTGCACCGCCAGATTGCCACAAATGGACCCGAGTTGCAGTCAGAGCACCGCCAGGTGAGGATGTTGCCATTTGTAGCCTGGATGATGGCGAAAGAGTGACCAGAGCATTGGTTTGCCATCTTGGAAAGGTTGCGGGACTAAGGAGTTCATCAGCCGATCCCTTGCCCTGCGGAACGGGGGAAATGTTGTCACTCACCGAATCGGATGACGAGGAAAATGCAAGGGCGATCTTTCCCTGGTGTTTGGCTCCCGGACGGAGTATAGGGTTATCTGCGCTGCGGTCCCAATGGGCTGGAACCCGAGAACGTCAAGAGGGCAAGACAAAGAGTGAGAAGACACGCGACAGAGGCCTTGATATAGCAACCAGAAAGGGTAGCTAGTTAAGGGGCCGGGATCAGGTTTGCGAAGCAACTCAAGTGTGCCCTTCTCTTGATTTTCTCTCGGAAGGAGAGAAAGAGGATCTCAGGTGATTGAGGAAACAGCAGCTGGTGGTGACTGAGAGATGGATATGAAGAGGAGGCGACGGAGCATCCTATATAGCAATGATGACTCTCCCATCTAGAAAAGCAAGTCGACGATGACAACCATAGCACAGAGTACACAAGAACCAGGATCAACTAATGCATTATCCCGCGAGAGCAAATAGACGTCTTTCTCCTGACCCTGGGCCTGTTCGGAACGTCCCCAGCTGCACTGAGCCGTATCGGATTTGGCAGCGGTGGAGGAGGCGATGGTGATTGCCGTTGGCGAAGCGCGTAGCGAGTTGCTCCGTATGAGGTGTCAGAGAGCCTCAGCGCTGTCAGCAGTCACAATCACCAAGAGAATGGCCATTGTGGTCTGGTTATCTGCTTTTTTGGGAGATTCTAGGCCTAGTCCCAGGGCCCCGTAGTGTGTTTCCAGATCCATGGGCCGCGAGTCCCGACAGTGGAGTGCATGCGGTGGAGGACGATGGAGGGAGGAGTTTAAAGCCAGGGGCGTCGATTGACTTCATCGACATCGCAGGCAGGCCGATCCGGGAATCTCGTTGGAAGCACGAAGATCGATCAGAGAAGCTGTTTGCTGCACCCGCGGGGGGGGGTAGCTTTTGGCTTCCGCAGGGAAAAGCCGAACAAAAGCGAACCTTTCCTTTTTCTGCCTCCCCCCTGTCAATACTTCGTACTTTGGCCTGCGCTCTCTGCTTCTGGGGGGATTTTGACAGGCTAGGAGATGCAATTCCAAGGCTCCAGGGGCGTCAGCCACCTGCTGCTGAGAGTTGAGCAGGAGGAAGGGGGCCAACCTACTCGTCACAAAAGCTGCTCCTCCACCTTGACGCGTCCAGACCAGGAAGGAAGCCTGCCATCCTCCCAATCGGGGTCGTTCCCCTTGGCGCAGATCCTGGCCGATCGGGCGATCCGCAGACCCAACGACCAGGTACGGTGTTCTCCTACACGCACGGTATGTGACGATGTGGCTCCCCTGAGATGGTTGGAAAAGCAACTGACTGACGATAGCGATCAGCTATCCTCTCCTCCCGATCGTGGCCAAACGAAGGACCCGATCCTACGGTGTACGGACTCAACCTCGGAGGACGAAGAAGCTCGGCGATAACTATCGCGGCCAGGCTACACCCTGTTGTCTAGTGGACAAATGCCATTCATCCCCTGTCACCAATAACACACCTCCCCGGCAGGAATGGTAATTTTAGCTCCTCGTGATGTGGACCGCTGGCACACCCGGCGTCAAAGCAGTGAGCACTAGGCGGCCAAGGTTCCCCCTGAAGGGCGGATAGTGGAATACCACTGGCACGGATCAAAGTGTCCGTTCATCTCAAGCTAGGACCGTCTCATCCACATGGCAGGCGCCATGGGAGTCTGGACACTCTCATACGAAGTATGTAGTATACTCCTTCCTACATACTAACTTACTACTCACAAAAGTACGGGGTACGGAATACAAAGCACCAGGGGAAACAATAGTGCGTCGATCCCAGCGTACTTTGGTCGGAGAGAAATGAATAGGGACCTCAGCAACCTAACTACTAGTGACTTACTAACTCAGCACATCTAACTAGTTACCTAGGTAGTCGGTTCAGTTCAGTTAGCTAGTTACTGAATAAGTAACTAAGCCCTTAGTCATTCACTAACCAGCTAACTATCGAGTATTGATTGACTCGCGAAGTCTCACCATGTCGACCGTCTCACCGCTAGCACATAGGCAGACTGTCACTTTGTTTAGCTCTACTCGCGATCTTCGTCAACTGCCCCGTCGTCTATCGATCCCATTCTGACTCTGTACTCCGTACGGCGTAAGAGTCCTGGCTAAAGCCAATTATAGCCTTCGCGGCAAGGACTAGCAAACTTTTCCTAAACTACTGTGGAGATGGGATTTTTGTTTGGACCTTCAATAATCCCAGACTAACGGACTCCATAGTGATAGGGTGCAGATTGATCATTGCAGCCTACCTTCTTCGTACATTTGCATACTCGTCTCGTTCTCCTTCTTTTTTTGATTTGATAATTCTACAGCTCTCGCCCACTATCGACCCTGCAACTCCACCACACCCCAAAATGCCACCACCATGAGACAAGCAGCTCCTCCATCGCGCGTCGAAGCGAAATGATACCGATTGCTGTAAAACTCAATCGGCCATCCCATCCATTCGGATCAGCGCCACGCCAATGTGTGAGGACATCCATACTCACTGCCTACGCAACTTCGACAAGCGGAGCCGTAACCATTCTCCGTATGGAGTAGGGAGAAAAGAGCCCCCGCCCCCCTTCTCGAGTTCCTCTCGAGTCTCGACCGAGTTTCTTCTCAGTTCCATGTACCTCGCTTCGTATATCACATCGCAGACTGCCGGTGTCACCATACATCAAACCCTATCCGTCTCAACATCCATCATCCATGCTCGGTCTTCATCTTGCACCACTGGCTCTTCGATCGTATCTTCATCGAGATGATCGAGCGAGACCGCGCAAGAGACTGACCGCTCCCAAGCAACGCATATCTATTTTAAAAATCACTCGCCCAATGACGGTGTACATTCTATCAAGCTTGATACAGAAGTAAAATTCAGAAGGAAAAAGTTTCCATTCGTTCTATAGTAGAATTCTACAGGGTTTTTTCTTGGATGTCCGAGATGTTCTCTTGCACCACTTCCACCGCCGAGGCATGGAATGCAGTAAAAAAAATTACAACCCTAGAAAGTGGTGCCTTCGTTCCTCGTCAAGAACCTTGCAGCCCTTCCCCATCCCCTCCGCACCGAGAAGACACTGCCGATAAAAGCGGTGTTAATCAGATTAGAGGATCAGGAAAAGAGCGAACAGGGTTCTGTCATTTGGTTTACCAACGCTCCGTTAAGGACAATCTCTGGAGAGACGGAAGATGCCCTTGCAGAACCCAGAGTGGACTGCATCGTTGGGGGGGTTTAAGAAACGAGAAACGGAGAAAAAAAACTGGAAGTAAACGTGGAACTGGAACTGTTAGGGCAAGCTGCCTCTGCGCAGCTGTTCTCTGTAGCGGAGTCAGGTTGATGGACCTCGCTTCGCTAGAAACAGAAACATGGCACGCTCTCTCAATCAAATTGCAAGATAAGACTCGCAGAATATAATCGACGGTGAAGCATGGTCTCAAGATCGTAAATTGTCATTTCTTCTGGACCTAGATTGGCACTTATCGCATGAAAAGTATACAAGGCACCAGATCTGTACCATAAATAATACTAGAATGTAAGTCATCACAATAGGTATCATCATAACAATCAAAAAAAAAAAAAAAAGGCCATGACCATGTTGCGGTGGTACTCGGCAATACCTTGCATGACAAGGAAATACCAGAAAAGTGGGGATCATCCAATCGTTTATATGAAGGAAATTTCAGGTCATGATGGCTGTCATTGGTTTGGCGAGATGGAGCTGGCTAGATTCCACCCAATAAACCTCTTCACGCTAACATACAGTTTTCATTCAGTCATTCAGGTGGAACAAGGCTGAGACGCTTTTTGAGATGGTCAGTCAGTTGCCTCGACAGTCAACCGAAAAGGGTAAGGGTCTTCCAACCTTTCACCGTAGTGATGACGTCGAATGCTTTCAGCGAGCAAGCTCGAAATGTCGATCACAATTAGTTTTTTGGACCTTCTGATCATTCGCTGAGATATCGGGAACGTATTGGTCACGACGATGTAGTCAATACATTCGCATGTTTCCATTTCATCCAAGGACTCATCGTTAAACAGTCCGTGTGTAGCGATGCAATACACTTTTTTGGCACCACCCCTCTTCACCACGGTCTCTGCCGCGGCGATCCAGGACTTGCTCTTGTCGATCATATCATCGACAAGGAACACTGTCCGGTTTCGGACTTCTCCCACGAACGTAATCGTCTTTTCTTGTTCGATAGGCCGTCCAACCTGGTGAGTTTCATCATCAGATGAATCAGCGGCATCAAAAGACCCGCCAAGGGCGTGCTCGGGCTGGAAGGACGATGTGGTCGAGATGAGAGAATTGATCATCGAGTCCGGGATCATCTCCGTCTCTTGAGTTAATGGCCCCGGCGTCGTGCCCTCCGAAGTAGGCATGGAGGGGATGTTAGCATCTGGGTAATCGTCATCGACAAGATGTCCTTGGACAAGTCGTCCGGTGATCACGTCACGGACGCGCACGTCAGTATACTCGTGCACCGCTTCCAGCTCCGATGGACGGCGAGCCGCAGGCGGAGTCTCAGGCCGTAAATCAGCTTCCGGGGTGTAGACTGGCTCGAAGTTGCTGTTCGAGTCTTGCTCCTCCGGAGCAACCTCGTTCTGGTCCTTGGCAGGCCGGCGACTCGGGTCTTGCTCGATCGAATCGAAGAAAACCATGCTATCAGTCATAGCCATAGGGATAGGGGCCTTTGAGCGTCGTCGGTCCGTGGTAACAATGCCAAAGTTCAACTTCAGGTTGTCCGCAAGCGATGTTACTCGCTTGGTACCGCCGGCGTTCTTGCTGACAACGACAGCATCCCTCCAGCCAGGAACATTCATGCGAATCCAGCGAGCGATGAATGGCTCGGCGAAAAGGTTATCGACCGGCTTACCGAAGAAACCTTGCATCTGAGAGGCCTATGTACAATGATAGATCAGCATCAAGATGGTAATGATGACCTGTCAAAATACGGGAATCACCGACATGCAAATCAAGGGTGATGACATGATCCACCCCAGCGATGCTCAGCAAATTCGCAATCATGCGAGCCGTTATCGCACCACGGTGGCTTTTCTTCTTGGATTGGCGGGAATATGGGAAGTACCTCGTCCGGTGTCAGCATCCAATGTGCGTCTGTTCAAAAACGAGATAGGCACCCTACGGCATAACCGCTGCCCGACGAAAAGAGCAAGTCAGCCAGCCGTACAGAAAGGGGTACTATGCATAATCCAAATTGAACACACCTGTGATAGACTTTGCAGAACCCCCTTTGCAGGCAGAGATCATAATGAGAAGTTCCATGACGCTATCATTGATCTTCGAGCTGCCGCTCTGGACGATATAGACATCCTGATTTCGCACCGAAACACCAATATTGACGCTGGTCTCGCCGTTGGCAAACTTGCCGAGATTTGCCTTAGCTGGCACGGCGCCTAGACGCTCGCAGATGGTCTCTGCAAGGGCAGGATGCGATGTCCCAGAGAAAATCTGCACACCTCGCATTGTGATGGCGGTAGAAGGAGATAAAGTATTATAATGTGATATACGACATCGAGAAGAAAATAATATAAAAGAGAAGGGAAATGGGCAGCTGCTATCCAGCTGCAACCATATGATGTCGTACAGAGAGGGGCAGGTTGTTGAATGAAACGGAAAAAAGGAAGAAAAAAAAAGTCGAAGGGAAAATGGGTGCGTCTCGAGCTTCTCTCGCGTCCCGTAGAAACATCACTTGTGCGAGAAAAAAAGTCCCCACCGATAACGATGATAGATAATCACCAGCTTGATAACCCCGCGGTCTCGATGGGGTGTCTTGCGACTATTCAAGAACAAACACAATGTCGACGAAATTCCCTGAGGTCCAGGGAGGGGGCTCCCTGATCCTTGCCTGGCAGATCAGAGACAAACATGTGCTGGTCGTTGGTGGCGGAGAGGTATAGTCGTACATGATTCCTATTGTTTCATTTAAACCGGGACCACAATACTAAGACATGTGATGTCCCAGGTCGCTGCTGGTCGTATCCTCAATGTTCTCAATGCCGATGCGAAGGTTACTGTCGTCTGTCCTGCTGCCGGGCTGAACGAAGAGGTGGCGTACCGTGTTTCACAGAAACAAGTCATACACGTTGATCGGACTTTCGAGCCTCAAGATCTCGAGGGGGTCGATATGGTCCTCTGTGCAATTGACGACCCTGCTGCATCGACCCGTGTCTGGCAACTCTGCAAGGAAAAGAAAATTCCCGCAAACATTGCCGATGTGCCCCCGGAATGTGATTTCTACTTTGGCAGCATGTATCGTGACGGTCCGCTGCAGGTGATGGTGAGCACAAATGGGAATGGACCGAAGCTGGCCAGTATCGTGCGCAAGAAAATCGCAGAAACTCTGCCGGATAATATGGGAACGGCTATCGAGAACACGGGCAAGCTACGCCGGAAGTTAAGGCATGTAGCCCCGAATATTGAGGAAGGGCCAAAGCGGATGAAATGGTAAGTTGAAGTCACTTGCGGGTTATTGACTCAGGTTGCATCCAGTACATTAGGCTGACAGAGGTTGATACAGGATGTCGGGGATTTGCGAGTCATGGAGTCTGGAAGAACTGGTCAAGATGGATGAGCAGGACATGGACAATGTGCTCACTTATTACGCCTCAGGAAAGGTTCCAACGTATGCTGAGGTTCAAGTTAAGCGTGATGTACAATCATAGGACAAGTTCCAGTATTCATTACCATGCTCTGGCATTTGATACAATAAGTATAAGGGAATATATAGTCACAGAGCATAATCGTAGTGAGGGTACCCGGTACAGTGAAAGCATCTAAATATATAACTTCAACTTAGCCGAGTATCAAAATAGAGTCAGGTCACATAAAATGAATTTCGATAAGAAAATACAATAGTTAATTCCTGCTAACTCTACACCCAATCCTACAAGATAAAGAGAAGACAATACTGCCGCTCTTTTTTTTGGAAAAAGGATAGAAAAAATATATCCAAAGAAACACATTCAAGGGGAATCGCAACGGCCAATCAATCTCCAAGACAAAAATGTAAACAAGCCCGTCACTCAACGGCCACGGCTGTATCTACGTGAGGATGTGCTGGGCTGAGAGAATGAACTCCGAGGGCTGACGGGGCCTTCTGGCAACGGGGTAGACGGCATCCCCAATTTCGCCTCGCCGATGCGGCGGAACAAGGTCTGCAGAGCAGCGCGGATCTCTGGGTTGAGATCACGACCCAGAAGGTCGACACCAAGCGGGTAGAAGGTCTCGATATGTTTCTCAAAGCCTTCGTGAGGGAAAGCGGTGTACCCTTCAAGAACATCCACGACAACAGGCCTCCAGGCCACCATGTTCCGGTGTTGCGTTTCTTCATCCAGAAGGACAAAGCTCCGAATAATATCCACGCAAAGGCTAGACAGAATTTATCAAAAATGTGTACGGAGGCTGCAAGGGCAAGGGGTATCACTTACGGAATCAGCGCAGCCTCCGTCTCCGCACGGCTGCTCTTTCTCTCTTCTCGTCCATCATGGTACATACGGAAAAGAATACGGACGTAAGTGGCGGCGCTCCCACTCTCTTGCTTGAGTAGATTGGGTGGTTGCTTCATAAAGCCCTGCCGCCAAAGCTGCATTCGAAGATCCTTGTCCTCGTTGAATTTCTTTGCAAACTGATAACTCTTTTTCAAGAGACTCATGAGCCTTAGCAGCTCATTACTAGGGATCTCCGCATAAACGTTGTCATTCGAGAAGAGTTCATGAACCGTCTCGATCATCAGTAGTTGCAGAACACAATTGGTAATAATTCGGTTGAAGAACCGGCGCCGAGCCATGGTGACCGCAGCGGGTTGCTGCTGTTGAAGATCCTCTTGGGGTCGATAATCCTCCAATTCCGCAGCGGACTGAGAAGACTCCAAGGGGGCTGCCGGCATGTCACCTTCTTCATGATCTGGCGTGGCAGCAATTTGGGTGCCGTTCGTCTCCAGCGTAGTAGGGGGAGGTTGCAGGCCTTCTCCTGTGACAGTGGTTTCGGCTGTCTCGGCCGAAGAATCATCGTGGGAGGTTGTCTCTCCGTTTACATGCTTGGCTGGGTCGACAGCCTTGGAAGGTATCGATGCGGCAGCTGTGAACAGCTCATACGCAGTGGTCTTGGCAAAGAGTTCCACGAAAGCGCCAACGATCTTAGTCCAATGCTCCTGCTTGAACTTTGTGACGTTTTGGAGAATCAACTGCTGGAGGCAGTTGCTGCCGATTCGAGCGATCGTATCGTTCTCCTGGCAGATACAAAGAGTAAGAAGTTCGAGGAAGCGCCCGAGCATGTACTCTAGAGCATCAAAGTAATGGGTAAAGAGCGTAATCATGTTCCTCAATGCCTGGATCATTGTTGTGGACAGCCATACCGATAGCTCCTCATGGTTTGGCACTTTCGACATCTCCGACTTGGACTGGAGCACGACGAAAATTGGATATAGCAGTTGCCGCCAGAGAACGTCCCAGAATTCCCGGGGAAAGTCTCCGCCATAGCGAATCAATGTATCGAAAAGGTATGTGAGTGCACTGTGGTTAAATTAGTCCGAAGTTTCATTCAAAATCCATTTCAGAAAAACGGGAAAAGGATAATCATACCGCGAGCGAACCTCAAGATCATCCCCGGTCATCAGCACATCCTGGAAGGCAATCAAAACCGGATACCAGAATTGCTCCTCCTGAGATTGTCGACTAAGCTGCTTCGAGAGGTTCGAACCTGTGTCCTCCTGAAAGGTTCCCGGGGGGGCGTTGCGATGGGATAATGGGCATTCAGGGGTTTTCAGCATCTTGTTAACCGTTGACTTTAGTGTCTCGATAGCCTGCAATGATTTCTTCTGGAATCTAAGATTCTTGCAGAACTCGGTTAGGCAGACGATGAGGTCAGGGAAAGCCCCTTCTCTGATGATGACGCCAAAGCGAGTATTGTAAATTTGTGTCACATGTTCCAGAGCCATATTGACAATGCCCTCTGTGAGTTGCTTAGCGTCTGGGAAGGGGGGAAATGGGGACAGGCCAAGAGACTTACCATAGGGTTCTCGGGCAGCGATGGTGAAGACACCGAACATCGTTTTCCAACCGGACCGAATATTCTCACCACGAGCCTGGATCATCTGGATGAGACATCGCAAGATCATATCCTTCACTGTGGCCGTGGTGCTGTTTGCCATGACATGCTCGAACGGCTTCAGGAAATCCTTTTGGAATTTGAAACCGGGAAGCTCTCCAATCTCTAAAAACCGCATCGAAAGCTGGCGAAGCGAGTCCAATGCAAAGAATACGACATTGGTGTTCGAATCACACCCAACTTGGTTGAAATGTTGTCCAAGGACTTCCCAGATCTTCGACCATTCTATCCTCACTCGAGTCATGTTGTAGTAGCTGATTTCCACAAGCTTCTGGAGACTGTATGTTCGGGGAGATTCGCTTTGTCCTGAAGATTGAATTTCTTGCCAGCTAACCTCGCTCAGGGCCCGGACAAAATCGATGATTGCCTCGTGGGAGAGATTCGCAGTATTAGTGAATATGCGATCCACTCCACGAATCATTTCCGCCGATCTACTTTCCATCGCAGCCTCTGTGCGGAAGGCTGCAGGACCACCAATTGACCGTGGCCGAGGGCGTCTTGATGCTTGGATAGACCTACGAGAGGAATCGGAGGTTCCCTGTGGTGAAATTCGAGGTCGTGAAACATCGGGTAATGCGCCCTCATCAACGCCATCGGTCAAGAGCTGAAGCCGGTCAAGTTGGCTGACACATGTGAGGACTTCTCTCCAGGAGGATTTGAGGTGGTTGCCTTCTGTGAGAGCGACATCCAGCAGTGCCTTCAATGCCTCGACGTTTTTGGGCATCATCTCTCTGATGTTCCCAAGGTTTGTAAACTTTGCCAGGGCGGTCACAAAGGCAACCCGAGGAGTCTCAAGGTCAAATGCACAACTAATGCGTATGGCCATTTTGATGCCGTCCATGCAGAGTTTGATGGTCTCAAGGTTTTGTGTGTCCTGCACCGGAGCGGACAAGCCAGAGAGGAAGGACATCCAAGTGACATTGAACATAGAGCCCACATGCCGTGCTGAGGTTGCCGGTATGAAGCGGGACAACGCTTCCTTGACGGCTGTCCTCCTCTGTGCCCGGATCAAGCTTCGGTACAGCTGCTCGGTTTTGTTTGCCATTTCTTCGGAAGCCTGAGCGTACTTTTCGCCTTGCACATCTCTGCCAACTGTTGCGAAAACTTGTCCGGCCCGGGATGCTAGACCGGCAGGCGCAGAGGTCTGAATCCCAAGATTTGCCGCATTTTCGCGCTCGGTATCCAGTACAATTTCATTATTTGCGATCTCATCAAAAATGGAGCCGAGATACTCATCAGGCAGATCCTGATTATCATTGATTCCTCTGTTGTTTTTGATGAAATCTTCCTTCCTCATGCGGCGACCTTTCATTTTAACGCTGTGCTGATCTGTGTTTAACATGATGACAGAGTATGCGAGAACATACGCTGTATCAGCATTGGCAAACGCATTGGGGTTCTGTGTCACGTATCGCTCCGCAAATTTGAGCATGAAACGGTCAATCTTCTGGGCTTCGCCGGGAAGACGGAAATGCTGTAGGAATTGGCGAAGAGCATCAACGAACCGCCGTTTAGAGAAGTCCATCTGGTCAACAAAAGCATGCATGATTGCAATATTCTCAGGTTCGCCTTCACCGAGGTATTCACCAATAGTCGCTTTATCCAGGCGATCGTTTCGGAGCAGGAAGAGAGCGATGTCTTCAGGTGAATTGGATCGAATAAACCCTTCTTGTAGGAAGATTTTGATCCCACGCTTGGCTTTGAAGTTGAACTGTTGAATTGCATTCATAAGTGCGGTTTTTCTCTGTTTGACTCTCTCTATTTGGCTTGGGTCGTCTTCCGCTATCGGGGTAGAAACGCCCGTGCCACTATTTTCTGTACTATCTATCCGAGGAGAGATCGCAGCAGAGGCAGCGGTTGTTTCAAGAGACTCCCGATTATACTCCATGGATTGTTGAACAGAGATGTTCGGAATAGAGATGGACTGATCGACTAAGCGCTGCGAGGCCCAGTTATCCATGGAGTGCAGCAGACCCACCAAACACTCGAGGGCGTGATGTTTCAGCGTGTACTCTGTAGGAACATTTGACACATTCAAAGTAGGGGTAGTGGTAAGGTTGGCAGTACATAGGGATGGAGGTAAAGTGCCACGCTGATGCCATTCTGTTCCACTGGTTGATGCCTTGGTTTGGCTCTCCTGGTATTGCTGCTGCTGGAGGAGAGTCACGTTGACTGGAACACTTGAATAACGTGATAATTGTTCAATGATGTGCTGAAAGATGTTCTCCAGGGCTGTGCGGTCGCAGTCATAGTTGAGGTAAAGCTCCACTAAAGCGCGTGGATCCTCAGACAGTCTTTCAAGGACCTCCATGAAGTATATTTTTTGGAAAGCGGGAGCATTTCGCTTCTCGAGAACTGCTAGATAGATCTCCTTCATGAAAACCTCAAGTTCCTTCTTCATCATGACTCTCATATGCTTCAGCATCAACCAGAAGATCTCACAGCAGACCTCGAAAACCTTCGGCACAGAGCTCGAGCCATTACGGCTGAGACTCAGGCATAGATGAGGCCGCACTGCCTGGAGGAGGGTAATGGCATCTGAATTGCTGGAGCTGTTTCTGATCGTGGCCAAGGGCGAGGTGAGAACGGCAACGTAGTTGTTGATGAGATGATGGACAAGGTGCAAAGATAACAATTTCGACCTCATATTTTGAGATTTTATGTCCTGCTGCTGGTCGTGGCTGAGAATTTTGTGGCTCAGTTTGCACAGGGCCCGGAAGACCAAAAACGCATCCTTAACATAGATCTCATCAACCTCGTCATCCGCTGCAGCATCTGCATCTTCCTTGTCCTCAGCGCCTCCTGTGGTAGATGGCGACGATGACTGGCCGAGTTTAGCACGAGTGACCATGGTCGGCGCATTGTCGTTTAACGCAGCGTCATCTTTGGAAGACTCAAAGCTCTGCAAGGTCAGCTTTTCGGTGGGTTCTGTTGCCACCGGTTGATCAGTTGGCGTGAGAGAAGCCACCTCAGACATCTCGTCCTGGTCAGTCGGTTGTGATGTATCAACTGCATCCAGAGTCGCAGTATCCGAGGCACTACCCTGTAACTTTTCACCATCCCGCAGCCGCATGTCTTTGAGATCAATCCGGGTGCGGACCCGATCGAACACGGTACCGACCATCTGAGTCAGTGATCCTTGCGCAATTTGTTGGTTTTGACTGGACTTGGAATAAATAAAGATGTTGTAAATTTGGCGGACCGCTTTCAAGAGACCCGCACCATGGACAACAATCTTGTCATTGAGAACGGCGGCCAGGAGCGACTTGATGATTTGCTGTTGGATCTCGATCGGAGTCGCCTCATTCTCAAAGCAATCACAGATTGAATCTATGGCGCGCTCAATCAGCGGCGGCTGTTCATGGGCAGCTTCATCCCCCGAGGTTCCCGCTGGCTGATTTGACGGGAAAGCGAAGTAGGAATATGTGATCAGTTTTCCAATACAATCCAAGGCCGTCACTTGCAAAGGAATGCTGAAGGTCTTGGTTGCCAGCTGCAGAGGGCGAAAGATCACTTCCGGGTCAATCCCATGGCGGTCTGGTTGTTTGATATTGGCCAGTGCCTTCTTGACAGCCTCCTCCAACTCCCGGTTTCTGCGAGCTTCTTTTGATGCGCCAATGGTGTCCAACGCCGTGACAATAAAAACAGTCGAGCTCAGGGGAACCGAGCGTGTCGTCGCAAATGTCGCCGTGGTTGAACGGGAATCCGAACGCAGTCTCGCGTCCGGAGCCAGCTCATCCTGCGCAGGTACCGATTCGCCTTGTGTTTCTTTCCCCTCTCCAGCGGTCTCTTCTCCAGCATTGTTCTCCACCACCCCATTTTCAGGGCCAGATTCCAGCTCTGGTGTCTTTGCTGATTCTTCATTCTCGGCCGTACCCTCGTGGGAGCCCGAGACCTGCTCCGTCAATTCTGAGGGTGGCGCATCTGCCGTTGCAGTAGAATCGTCGGCGTTGTCGCTGTTCGGCGAATCACCAATTTGAATCTTCTGCCATCCGGTCTGTCCTGGAAGCTCGGGTTTGTCCGCCTTTAGAGCTTGGGTTGAGTCGGCTTCCGTTCCTGCTTCAGCATTGTTGTTGTTGTCGTCTCCCTGGGACGCCGCTGCAGGCATCTGCTCCGGCTCACTCGGAGCGCCATTCTCGATGTCCGCCATGGATCGAGGCCTCCCGTCAAGGTAAATGAGGGCACGCAAAGAAACGTGTCCTCATCTATTGCAAGAAAAACAGAAAAAAAATGAGGGAAAGTGGTAACGGAATGGCCATGAAAACAACTGCCTGTCCGGGGAACTTCACTATGGCGCGGGAGCTGATGCGTGGCCTCCCGATAGGCTTAGTCATTGGCCGACAATCTACAGGCGACGAGGCATCCCACTTGTGCAGTGGTTAGTCAGCAAACAAACCGATGCTTACATAACAGGCCACGGGAGGAAGCCGGATGGAGAGACCCGATCGCTCACCGGAAAGCTCAACAGAAAAGTTTCCGGAGCAGCAGCCTCACCTCCTCTGATACCAGGACCTCACCACGGCTCATCGTTCGAGTCTCCCTTCTATCTCCTCTCCGTTGTTCTGCGCCGTGGGGCTTTGATCGTTCCGTAATCGCAGCATTGCAGGCAATATGGTTGCCTCCGCCGTCCGAATGCGCGCCCCCAGCGCCATGTTGTCCAGAGGCGCCTCCTGCTTGAGGTCCCAGGCTGGCCTCGCCGCCCGGTATGCTCTCTTAATTGTTTCAACCAGAAAGCAAGTGAGATTATGTGTTTCTGATGGGTGTTTCTAGCCCTCAATTGCCCGCCTTTGCCGCTCTTTCCCGCTACTACGCGTCCAAGTGTATGTCTTCAATGTCCGCATACCATGAGAGAAAATTGTTCAATGCTAATTTAGCTCATTATATAGCTTTCCCTCCCCACCAGATCATCAGTATGCCTGCCCTGTCGCCGACAATGCTTGCTGGAAACATCGGGGCGTGGCAAAAGAAGGCTGGTGATGCCCTCCAGCCCGGTGATGTGCTCGTGGAGATTGAGACCGATAAAGCTCAGATGGACTTTGAGTTCCAAGAAGAAGGTGTCCTGGCCAAGGTGCTGAAGGAGACTGGCGAGAAGGAGGTTCCCGTTGGCACGGTATGTGATTATTATTACGATATATTTCGGCCACACAGGAGGAGAGTCCATTGTTGACTGACGACGTGTTAAATTTTAGCCCATCGCTGTGCTGGTCGAGGAAGGTGCCGACGTTTCCGCCTTCGAGTCCTTCACCGCGGAGGACGCTGGCGGTGACAAGGCCCCTGCGCAAGCCGAGAAGAGCCAGGAGGCCGAGTCCAAGCCTGCCGACAATGCTGCCCCCGAGGCTCCCGCCCCTGAGCCCACCGCCGAGGAGCCCGAGACTTCCGGCGAGCGGCTGCAGCCCAGTCTTGACCGCGAGGCTGCCATCAGCCCTGCCGCCAAGGCTCTGGCTCTGGAGAAGGGTGTCCCGATCAAGGCTCTCAAGGGTACCGGACGTGGTGGTCAGATCACCAAGGAGGATGTTGAGAAATACAAGCCCAGCGCCCCTGCTGCCGCCGCCGGACCGACCTACGAGGATATCCCCCTCAGCTCGATGCGCAAGACCATTGCCAGCCGGCTCCAGCAGTCCGCTCGGGAGAGCCCCCACTTCTTCGTTTCCACCACTCTGTCTGTTAGCAAGCTCCTCAAGCTTCGCCAGGCACTCAATGCCTCCGCCGAGGGCAAGTACAAGATCTCTGTCAATGACTTCCTGATCAAGGCCTGCGCTACTGCTCTGCAGAAGGTTCCTGCTGTCAACTCCAGCTGGCGCGAGGAGAACGGCCAGACGGTGATCCGTCAGCACAACACTGTTGACATCAGCGTTGCCGTTGCCACCCCCTCGGGTCTCATTACCCCCATTGTCAAGAACGTCCAGGGTCTGGGCCTGTCCGGCATCTCCAACCAGGTCAAGGACCTTGGCAAGCGTGCTCGTGACAACAAGCTGAAGCCCGATGAGTACCAGGGCGGTACTTTCACCATCAGCAACATGGGCATGAACCCCGCTGTTGAGCGCTTCACCGCCGTCATCAACCCTCCCCAGGCTGGTATCCTCGCCGTCGGGACCGTCCGCAAGGTTGCCGTCCCTGTCGAGACCGAGGAGGGCACCGCTGTTGAGTGGGATGACCAGATCATCGTCACTGGCAGCTTTGACCACCGGGTTGTTGATGGTGCTGTCGGTGCCGAATGGATCAAGGAGTTGAAGAAGGTTGTTGAGAACCCGCTGGAGCTCCTCCTGTAAACACCCTACATTGTCATGGCTTCCTGGGACATTTGGCGAACTCTCCGGGTGTAACTATTTACCAACGGGAGCCTTCCGTGCCTTCCAATGTCTTAATATGTACTAAAACACTTCTTGCCCCTGGGAACCTCATCCGGCCCGTTCATCATTTAGCAATTTCCTTTCTGAATTAATTTCTTATGTTCTAGAAATCCTATGACAGAGAGATCTCTACAGCGTACAATTAGTGGCAGTCGAGTCCAGGCAACTCAAGTATAACTAACAGTAAACAGACAGTCTATGTAGTCTAATTCTAAAACCATAACTCGAGTCTCGGAGAGCTTGAGCTGCGTCCCTCAATAGTTGGTTAGTTAATGGGTGCTACCCTGGTCCTTGGCGTAACACACGTGCCTTGGACTCCACCCTTGCCCGATCGATGACGTGATGTCGTCATTCCCAGGCCAGGAAGCTGCCCTGAACGTCTGCGACCTGCCCACGCATAAGTACAGCAGCCACTCTCCTCCCGGCCCAGGATTTCTGTCCTTGTATTTTGCTCTTATACTAAATTAATTATCTGCCAGGCAACCACACCGTCTTTCACAACCCTCTCTGATCTAGTCTATCCTCTCCCTCTTGCTTGTAAGTCATGTGATCTACACAGGGCGATGGCGCGATGCAGCCAGGCTCTACCCACTCGGCGTTTTAGTCAAGGCGTTACTATCAGGTATTCGCTTCCGAGATTATATCTAACACGCTCGTACAGGTTTCGCAAGGAAGCATAATCCTACCTAGTATCTCTTTACTCACCATGTCGTACGCTGAAGCTGCGGCCAAAGGCCCCAAACAGTCTCCTGAAGATGTGAGTATTTCCATTTAATGACCAGATCATGATTGCCCAGACGTATGCTGATAGTATAAATCCAGGCGTAAGTTCCACGGTTGTTTTTCTTTTTTTTTTCTTTTTTTTTCTTCTGCAAGGACATGGCTGACATGTTGTTGCCAGTCGTGCCCCTCCACCGGCCAAGGTTCAATCCGAGGAGTCTGGAAGCACTACATCCCTCATCGATGTCGACCAGCCGCATGTCGCGAGCGTGGACTCGAGCTTCCTCGAGCAGGATGTCAAAACCACTACCCAGGCGGAGAGACTGGAGCGTGAGGCCGCGCAAGAGGCGGAGCGACTCGAGGACAAGGCCAAGGACAAGGCACGCAAGGCTCGGGCCAGAGCCAAAGACGACAAGGACAGCTTTTTCCGCAACTCGGACAACCCTGTCGTCATCGGGAATGCAGTGCTCCTCACATTGGCGGGCGCCGGGCTCGGATTCGGCGCTTACCACAAACACACGAAGGGTCAGCTGTCCTGGGAGCTGGTCGGGCTGTGGTCTGGGGTTGTAGGGGCAGTCGGGGTGGCAGACTATTTCGTTAGCAAGTCAGTTGCGCTCTAGTGATTTTGAGTACGGAGTACCCCTTCAAGAACCCCCATGCTAATCGTGCATTCTTCTAGGTGGTTTTTCCAAAACAAGTACCCTCCTAAATAGTGGGCAGATTGTTTGGCTGTTCTGATACGTGGAAGTCAATTATTTTGTATGGGAATTTTTATGCTGTATACTCTTCTCTCAGCTTTTTGGTTTGCATGATGTGTTTCGGCGAAAGGAGTCGCTTTGGAAGGTGGTGTCTCGCAATTATTTATATCTAAGATATGACCAAGCAAGTAATGATCTCACCCAATCCAATGAATCGGATTTCAGTAGCTCGATAGCAGACAAATCCATGACATTCATCAAGATGACTCGTAGGGTAGAAGTGCATGATTTCTTCGATCCAGTAATCTACGTCGTGATATCACCGAGGCGGTGAGCGACGTTAAACCATCGGACATGTGGCCTGGAGTCGAGAGTTATCACAACGCCCACCGAGCTTGATCCCCAGATTCCACAGATAATGCGAGATATATAGAACGAGACCCCGTTCTTGAAATTTCTCAGAATCCAATAATATCCTCGATCATCGCTGGAATATCTTCACAATGGTCTGTCGGTTCTCATCCTGAAGAAGACCGTTGGTAGATCAAAACACTAGCTAACCTCAAGGTTGTGCAGAACTCTCTCTTCAACTCGGCTCTCAAGCAGTCATCTGCAATTCGTCGAGACATCGACACATTTGCACAGTCACCAGCTACAACACCGACGGCCTTACAAGGTAAGAAATCTCCCGTGGGCTTGGTCTATGGCGGGGCTAATGAAAACAGGCCAGATAGCAGCGTCTCTTGCTTCCCTCTCACGAACGATCGACGACTACTCGGCTCTATCGAAAAAAGAACTGATACCCGCCAAACAAGAGAAGGCATTCGAGCGAGTAAAGAACTTCCGGACCGAACTCTCAGACTACCGACAACAGTTTGAACGACTCAAGAAAGAGCGGGAAGAGACGGTGAGTTTTCACTCTACCCTCCTCGTCAACTTTCTTCTTTTTGGCTCATACAAGATAATAGCAATCCGTGACGAATCGCAACGAACTGTTCGGTCGACGCCCTCACCACACAGCCACCCCGGAAAACCCCTACGCACAACCCTCGCAGCCTCCGACCACCTCGGCCTTTGCGCCCTCTGCCGGCTCCCGGATGAGCTTTGGCGCCTCCCCAGCAGACTACACGCGCGAGGAGCACGCGCTCCGCGAACAGTCCTTCTTCGCCTCGACCAACACCCAGCTCGATGAGTTCCTGGACCGCGGCCGCGCGGTCCTCACCGATCTAGGCCATCAGCGCGAAATGCTCAAGGGCACCCAGCGGCGCCTGTACAGCGTCGCGAACACCCTAGGGATCAGCGGGGATACCATCCGCCGTGTTAACCGGCGGGCGAAGCAGGATAAGTGGATATTCTGGGGCGGGGTGTTGGCATTCTTCTTTTTCTGCTGGGCGGTGCTGCACTTCTTGAGATGAACAGGCTACCATCATGGCGGGTCATCAAGATATTTTGTAGACCTGCTTCACTTCTTTATTTCTGTTTTTTTTTTTGGTTCGTTTCTTGAGAGCAGTCAGCGCCGGCGTCACGGATCTATTGGAGCTCTTCTCCTGGCTTGAGTCATTTAGAGCTAGAAAGGTTGAAATCAAATGTATATGCTGGAATCTATTACTCACGAAATCTCCCCAAACTCTACCTCCTTATTATGTGCATACTTGATCCGCTTCCAATCCCGCACGGATATCATTTTCATGTCATCTCTCAGAAAGTCATACTCCACGACAACGGCGCTAAGCATCTACATTTATAACCCGCAGTAGGCGACGTGCTCGTACAGACATTCCCACAGGCCAGTCGGTCCTCTGCACCTGGTGGCTTCGAACTGCAGAACGCAGCGTGGTTTACTTTAAATAGACTGCTACATAGCAAATAGGCTTTTGAACTCGAGAAAAATGCAAGAAAGTGTGCGGTCTTCAAGCTGGAGCTCCGAACAGTCTATCTGTATACTCAAGACCAAGGCCTATATTCAACGACGGAGTGACCGGAGACCTATTCCCCATCAAGATGCTTGTGTATATGCGCCTATCTGGGAACAGACTAGACCCTGCGTAACCCCCTCGCTTTCCCGGGGAAATGCAGGTTCAGGAAGTGGCTTGACGGCAGCCCCCTGCTTTTAACTTCTACACATGGCGAAGGACTGTATATTGCCGCAGGATAAACTATTATGTCCGCAGATCCGACGGCTGAGCAATCTTGGGACGACATTCAGTAATTTATTAAGTCAAGAGACAGCTTATCTGATAGGCTGGTTGTTAGGAACTTGATACTGTAAAGTCTGTAGAGCTGCTCAGAGCATGTTTATACTACTCTATAGTAACTAGGTATTTGGTAGTTTAGGGTATTTTTGTTCATACTAATAGATTTACATGATCTATGTGGTTGACGTGATTTAAAAACATCAAAATAAGACAAAGCATTTGTATCTAGAACTAAGCTCAATCCAAAAGATGATCAACCAGTCAAGCTTTGACGGTGCTATCAACAGAGCTCTGTCCGGGCTCATCCTGCTTATCCAAGTCTTCTTTTTCCTCCACTGCCACCCACTTTCGGAAATAAATCGCCAGAAGACTGCTGAGCGAGATCTGGAGCCCCTGGAAAATCACCATTGGTATCTGGATTTTGGCCTGTTGTAGCGATGATAATCCCACAAACATGAGATTTGATAGAGGAACACCCATCGCCGGAGTCTTTGCGGGGACGCAATATGCCACCGCGATCGTATCTCGTTTGGAAAGCCATGGCATAGAAGTTGCCAGACAAATAGCCAGCCAAATCAGGAAGTAGACGATTGAAATGAACACAATGAACACTATGTTATTTCCTTTGACACTTGAAAAGGCATTTGATCCGAATGCTTGATCAAACGTCTGCCAGATAATTACCAGGAGGGAGAGCGATCCAAGCTTGCTCAGCATCCACTGGATTGAGCGCTTCCTTATTCTTTTTGGGAAGCAATATTGGAGACACTGGCCGACAACCTGCAAATTACGGTAGTTAGTGGCCTGGTAGCGTCAAGCATAGCATGTCCATGTTCAGGATTAGAAGGGAAGTCGTACCATAGGCATAAAGACCGAGATACCAAGCTGCTTGAAGACGCGTCGGTAGATCTCGCCGTAGTTGCCCGAACTCTCTGGAAGGAAGTCCGTGTACCAGGCGTGAGGTGCGATGTACATCTGTACCAGTAGTGGCGTGATGAAGGGTCCCAGGAAGTTTCCAAGTGCGGACTGGACCACTGTCAGAGCGTCATTTCCATGTGCCTTTCGAGTCATGACAATGTTGGATGAGATGGCAGTCGGGACACATCCAGTGAATATCAAACCAACCAGCAAACCGCCATCCATAAAGTGTGGATTGGTGGCACATGCAGAGACTATGCCAAATATCACAGCTGATGTCATAAGGAAACATTGTATCTGTATAAATAGATGCACCTGCCAGCGTGAAATGCCCTTAATTAGGGCCTGTGTTGGAAGTGTACAACCCGTCGCGAAAAATATGATTGCGACACAAAGGTAGGTGACAACAACCTGTTTGATATGCAGCTGAGATGATGGGACCTGAACTTGAGAAGCAATAAGGATGACAACTCCAAGGCCCAGAAGAAACCACTGATCCAGAGCAAGTCTTCCGAGTTTTCCAAAGAACTTGCGACATCTAGATTGTCGGGATCCGGGAGTTAAGTCTTCTTCCAACGATGCCATTGATATCTGCAGAGATCCCGTTCTTATGACTCGAAGATAAGGGAGGCTTGTGGGCAAAACATAGATGGGTTATTGACACCGGTTCAGATATAAACCCATTCAGTGACGGTTGCAAGGTTCCTAGCAGGAGATAATTATCAGCTGCAAATCCTAGCTAGCATTACCACTCCCTCTGAGAATGCTTGCATGCAATGAGTCAGTGCCACTAGTAAAACAGGGGGGTAATTCTGTTCTGCCGCCCGACAAGACTGTGGATGAGGCCGGAGTCGCCACACGGGAATTCTGAGCATTATATGAAGCCGTTTTGTGAGGACCTGCGGTCTCTAGACCTGGTATGATGACGACCATCAGATCGGCAGATCGCTCGTCTGATAGTCAGCTCTACCAACATCTTAGATCAGGAAGCTTGGTCAGCCCAGAGAATTGCACTCACAAGAACCATCTCACGGACAAAGAGCAATCGAGGACGTCTCCCGGCCGTGTGCCGACGGCTCATCGTTCTAGCAGACCCACTGGAACTACTATCTGCCGATCCCAGGTAGTCGAGATGATAGCTTCTGATAAGAAAAGACGTCAAGGAGGAAGTTGACGGATTCTATGCCAAGACAAGATGAACATGGTGCTGCAGCATCACAAAGTAAAAGCCAGCAATCTCAGAGGGTAGATGGTTGTGTTCATTGCCTCTGTACGTACCTCAAGGAAATAAACTGGAAGGGAGAAAGACAAGGGTGCTTCAGAGATCCAGGCTAGACAAGATCAACTCGAAAAGAGTTCTGGGCGATATTTGGGTCCTGCCGAAAGAGGAAGGGACGAAGGGATGGGCATAATCTGACAGAAGACCTGAATGATAGTACTTATTAGCATATTTTTTCAAGTATAGGGAAGGAAAGAGTCACCGAGTCTCTTTTTTCTAACCAAATCTCTTATATTCCTTTCGCCAAAGCCCTTATTCAATACATGATCATGAAGGCTTCAGTTAGGTAACTTTCAATTTTCCTGAAGGTTCATAGTGACTCTCACGTTCACTAAAGATTTAGCCTTACAGCCCTCACATTCATCAAGGCTCTTTCTCTGGCACTATATAAAGATGTCTTTTGCTAGAGTAACACGATCGTTCATCTATACTCCTAAACACCTCCCCCCTATTCTTTCATTGAGCTGGCAGATACATAAGAAGCAATTATCTTTTATAAACAATCAACAGTCCTTTTATACCATCATGGAGACTGGAGAGTCTCAGGGCCCTGCTATGGCTCTGGGCATCAACAGTTCTGATGACCATCATGAAATCAGCAATTTGGAGAACCTCACCAATGCTCACGCTTCCATGATCAAAGAGTCCTTGGTGGCTCAGATCCCTGCTAGTTCAGATGAATTCCAGTTCCCTCCCGGCACTTTTTTTACCGCTGCGACTCGCCAGGTCGGTTTGGACATGAGGAACGTCTACCGCAAGGCACTTATCAAGAATGGTATTGTTGCTATTGAGCTGAAATTCGATGATCCCGCCAGTCAGTTCCTAGTCGACCTCGTTGCAGCTATGCAGTTCAAAGCCGACAAACACTCTGACACCCAAGGCGTGCTCTGGGACGTCAAGTTGAATGATGCAGGCGTCCTCAGTACCGGAACCGGCAAGGCCGCCCGCAGCATTTCCCACTCTCTTAACGAATTCGACTGGCATACCGATGGGGCGTTCGAGACTAAGCCAACTCGATTCTTTGGTTTGCATATCATTCACCCCGACAAAATGGGTGGAGGCGTCTTCCGGGTTGCGAGGGCCGAGGAACTGGTTGCTCTCCTCTCCCCCAGGACCGTGGCGACCTTGAACAATTCCTGGTTCACCCTCCGTGTGCCTCCTGAATTCCACAAGGGAGTCAGCACCGTTCAGGGCAAGGTCTTGGAGATTGATCCGGTCTCAGGCGATGCCCTTGTTCGCTATCGCCGCGATATCTTTCTTGACCCCCCCAGCTCCAACGAGGAGGCTTCCGCTGCCGTTAGAGAGCTGATGGGTCGTTTGGGCGACGCCGAAGCCATCGGAGAGGCGATTCCTGCGATTGTTTTCAAGGAGAACGTTGTTATTCTGATGGACAACGCCCGTTTTCTCCACTCCAGGACCGAGATCAAAGATCCACGCCGCTGGTTGAGACGCATTCGTTTCCATGACTCTGTTTAAACGGCACATCGAACAGCACGTTGCGCAGCAGGTTACATGGCAAGTTAAGCAGCTAGATTGCAATCTTCCAGGCCAGGATAAATAAGTTCACCATTGAGATGTCCCTGTTGTCTTTTGCATACATAGCTTCTTAGTGGGATAGTGGAAGGGCGACTAACCCGGCTACCTTAGTCTGCAGTCCTCAGGGAAGGCTTAGTATTTCGGAATGACATTACAGAATTGGCTTTTTATTTAGGAACCAAAAAATACAGTAGGACTGTAGCGTAGGCCTTTGAAGATATATAACTAGTGTGTATATCTGCTTGAGAAGTAAGATGTGTGAAGTGTAATAGTTAGTGGGCATTGGGCGTCCAAAGAGACAATAAATTGTTCCCATTGTAATAAAGACATTTTCTTTATGACCAGTTGACCATGTAACACAGTTATCTTCATTGATCAGTCCAACTAGGAGGACAATGAAGCCGCCCGCTCTCTCGACGATCAAAAAAGAGCGGTTGGGAGAAGGTTGAGGTCGCCGGCCATGTGACTTGCGGAAATCGGCATTTAGCCCCAAAATCCTCTCCGGCTTCTTCCCTTCTCTCTTCTCTTCCCCATCTTCCCGCGTTTTGTTGCATCTTCCAATCCCTCCTTCATCTCTTTCCCTTTATCTCAATTCATCAGTGACAATGTTTGCTGCTCGTCAGACTTTCGGCCTTTTCCAGAAGCGGGCTTTCTCCGCTTCTGCCAGCCAGGTATGCAGCTGCGCGATAGTTGTTTCGGCTTGTTGTTGTCCTTACAACACGCCGAATGCTCGCCGATCCTCCGTGATGAATTCAAGTACTTACCATGCTCTCTTCTACAATAGGCTTCTAAGGTTGCTGTTCTCGGTGCTGCTGGTGGCATTGGTCAGCCCCTTTCCCTGCTCCTGAAGCTCAACCCCCGTGTTTCCGAGCTCGCTCTCTACGACATCCGCGGTGGCCCCGGTAGGTATCCCCAACCATTTTTTCCCATCCCCCGAAACAATGGTTTACAACGTAATCAACTTGATTTAGATCGAGCTAATTGGTTTTCTTCTCTCTTATAGGTGTTGCCGCTGATCTGAGCCACATCAACACCAACAGCACCGTCACCGGCTATGAGGCCACTCCTGCTGGCCTGAAGGCTGCCCTCACCGGTGCCGAGATCGTCCTCATCCCTGCCGGTGTTCCCCGCAAGCCCGGCATGACCCGTGATGGTATGGAAAGAGCACTGTCGTCTTGCTAGTAAAGACCTGGTTGGACTGACATGCGCACTCCATAGACCTCTTCAACACCAACGCCTCCATCGTCCGTGACCTTGCCAAGGCCGCTGCTGAGGCTTCCCCCGATGCCAACATCCTTGTCATCTCCAACCCCGTAAGTTTTTATGAAGCTCCATGCGCGACTACCTTGCTGATGCATTACCGGGGCAGGTGAACTCTACCGTTCCCATCGTCTCCGAGGTCTTCAAGGCCAAGGGCGTCTACAACCCCAAGCGCCTCTTCGGTGTCACCACCCTGGACGTCGTCCGCGCTTCTCGCTTCATCTCCCAGGTCAAGGAGACTGACCCCGCTAACGAGGCTGTCCCCGTTGTCGGTGGTCACTCCGGTGTCACCATCGTTCCCCTCCTCTCCCAGTCCAACCACCCCGACATTGAGGGCGAGACCCGTGATGCCCTCGTGAACCGCATTCAGTTCGGTGGTGACGAGGTCGTCAAGGCCAAGGATGGTGCCGGTTCCGCCACTCTCTCCATGGCCATGGCTGGTGCTCGCTTCGCCGAGTCCCTCCTCAAGGCCGCCCAGGGCGAGAAGGGTATCGTCGAGCCTACCTTCGTTGAGTCCCCTCTCTACAAGGACCAGGGTGTCGACTTCTTCGCTTCCCGCGTTGAGCTCGGCCCCAACGGTGTTGAGAAGATCCACGAGGTCGGCAAGGTTTCTCCCTATGAGGAGAAGCTCGTCGAGGCTGCCCTCGCTGACCTCAAGAAGAACATCCAGAAGGGTACGTTTCAAGGTTTCCTGATTGCTTTCTACTCTCTCGCAATAGCTAACTCTTCTTTCTTCTAGGCCGTGACTTTGTCGCCCAGAACCCTTAAATCGGCTGATTCCAAAATGATACGCCCATAGCCCTGTTGCTCTTTGTATAACAGTCATATTTCCCTCCTCATTTGCGCTAGACTTCTACCCGTTCTTCGTCTCACTCTGTGATGCATTCGAGGAACCAGCTGTGGGCATTCAAAAGAAATTGAAGATATGAAGCGTCAAACTGTTTTCATAATAGCAAACTCATGTCGAGAATGATGAGCTTTCTCATGAAGATAAATGACGCAAGATGTAATCTTAAAAAAAAACAAAACCATGCATGAGATTATATTCATCTTTAAACATAGATTCCCAACTTTAGTATTTTGTATATTATAAGTAGGATATACACACCACTTGCTTGGATTTTAAATTTAAATGAACCAACTACAGCTACACACGGTGCTATTGAACTCGCACTGGAGAATTCTGGTGACAAGTGATGATGTATAGTTACTATATACTTCACTTTAATCTTGCCATGGCTATCATGTCCTATATATCCATAGCCAGCGTAAAGAATCATGAAGAAGGAAAAGGAAACCTCGAAATAGAAGTCGTCTTATGCACCATCCGAATCCATAATGCCAGTGAAGTAAGCGAAAAGGGGAAAAAGAAAAACTGGGAGAGAAAAAAGCAGCAGAAGAGAGGGAGAGAGGCAGAAACTTCCAAAAGAAAAGGAGAAGAACAAGAATATTTGGGCGCCCAGGTTTTCGAGGGGTTAAGTATAACTCCTCATCGCGTCGATGTAGCCCGTTCCGCCGCGTAGGTCGTTGTCAAACGTTTCTGCAACCTCGAGAACGCGCTTGATATGTTGCATTGACAGCGGGGTCTTTTCGTTGACGGCTAGGGCTTGGGCGGTTCGAACGGAGTTTTTGATCTGTGATAGACCATTAGACCGGGTGAAAACGTAGCAGGGAGAGAAAGGAGAATGAATACTTACTTGGCGGCCGTTTAGGGCATGGCGAGAGAGCGCGTCGAAATCCTTTTCGGTAAATTTGGCGGTCTGCACACCCTCCATAGATTGGACTTTCTCCAGGAACATCTTCCAGATGCTTCGTTTCGCCTTAGTGGTCAGGTCTCCGTAGCGGAGGGCAACGTGGATACGGGATTGGAAGGCATCATCGAAAGTCTCGACCCGGTTGGTGGTCAGGAAGAGGATGCCCTGGAAGTACTCAAGGAGGCGGAGGAAGATGCTGACCAGTGCATTTCGGTGGATGTCCTGGATGGTGCGCTTCTCGAGGAAGATGTCCGCTTCGTCGAGCAAAAGGACGGCACCCCAGGAGTGTGCGATATCGAGGATCTTATTCAGTTCGCCTTCTAAGGTCCGCGAATCGGTACCCAGCTCGCCAGCGCTGACCATATACAGAGGTCGCTTGAGCAATTCCGCGATACCCTCGGCAGTGAGTGTTTTGCCAGTACCCGGGGGCCCATGCAGGACCGCCACGAGACCTTTGCCTTTGCCCTGGATCACATCGTCAATGTTCTGTGCAGCGTTAAACGTGTGAGATTCCACAAGCGCCTTCACGATGGACTTTTGGTTGTCGGGGAGGACCAGTGAATCAAACGCATCTTCGTTCCAGTCAATCTCACTGACGCCAGAAACGCTGAACTCAAGCCACAACTTTTCACTGAATGCAAATCCCAACACTACAGGACTGGCAATCAGGAGTTCTTCCTCGCTGAACTCCGGTACGGATGTGCTTGAGGCTTCACTCTCGATTGTGTCCAGATTTTCTTTTTGGATTTCGTTGCCGTTCTCATCTAACTCGACCTGAATGACATGAGCCTTTCCCTCCTTGTCCTGAACAACCTTGTATTTGAACTTGGGAGTGTCTGAATCACGGCGGCGATGATGAGCGTTCCCGTTTTCCGACTCGGAGTCAGACATGGCACAGCAGCAGTCCTCGTCATCTTCGTCCATTTCCGAATCGTCTAGGAGATCGGGATCTTTAGGGCGGACCGTGCTGATGGGATAGTTGGGATTGATGCGACGGTGAATGGCTGGATCGATCATAACCCGGCCATTGATGTTGACCTTGATGATAGATCGCTTCTTCTTGAAGAAAGCCATGCCCTTGTGGAACCGATAGCTCATGCCTCTGAGAGCCACGAACTTCTTACCACGCTCGATCAACTTGGTCCTGATCCCTTCCGCTTCCCGATGGTACTTGAGGGGATAACAAGCAAGACTGGTGATCTTGCGGGCACCCTTGAATGATTCCACATCGGCAGCCATGGTTCCCATACCGAACGACTTGCCATCGTATTCCAGGTAGCGGCCTTCGATGCTGTACCACTGACCTTTCATGAAAGAAGATTCCTTTGTGGCATATTCGATCTTGAAAGCCCGGGGTTCGTCCGCGTTACCATAAGTCGGTGTGTATGCGATGGTGTTGGGTTTAAACAAAGCCCATAGTAGATCAAACGTGATCATACTAGCGTCGAGCAAAGGGTACAGGGTCTTCTTCGTTTCAGCGTAGTCCTCGTCAAGATACTTGATTAAAATCTTGAGATGTGCTGCTTTCGTGGCCGCAGCCTTCTTGCTCTTCTTTTTCTTCTCCGTCTTGGACAATTGTTTCAGCTCTTTCATGTACTGACGGGTTTCCTCGAGGTACAAGAAGAGCATGTTGGGATCTACCGCCGCGGTCTCCTGGACTAAGCTGACTCCTTTGACGCCGTCCATGACCTTGGACAGGGCATCGCGGAGGTGCTTGCTCTTGATATCCACTACCGTTTCCACGTACTTGTTCTCCCAGTCAAATCTTCGTCGGACTGTAAAGATGTACTGATCCCACTCATCGGCACCCGGATCATCGACCGTCTCGGTCAGCTTATAGTTATGGATCGTGTTATCCCATACTTGAATATAGGTCGACGAGGTTTATCTTAGCACTCTCACAAAGGGAAAAGTATCGAAGCACGACAGATAAAGAAAAACTCACGTTGGTCAACTCGCTTAAAGGCAACCTTGGAGGCCTTTTTCCTCCTAGCCTTGGCCTTTTGGCCCTTCTGCCCGTCTCCATGCCCGTCATGGTGGGATCGTCTGGTGCTTTTTCGATTTGATGACCGCCCTTTCTGCCTGCGCGCACTCGCCCTTTTGAGCTTCAGGGCCGCTAGCTTCTCTTTGGCCAGCAAAATATCCATATCATCTGAGCTGGAGGCATCTTCCTCCTCCTCCTCCTGCTGATCTTCGGTGGATTCATCCTTGATGCGTTGCTGTCGTGCTTTCCGCTTGGCCTTGAGCCTCGCATGTTCTTTCCTCAACGTCTTTTCGTCGAGCGAGGAATCGCTAGCTTCTCTGTCCTCACTCTCCGAGTCCGACTCGGTCTCTTCCTTGTGCAACCGGGTCTTCTTCTTGCTCTTCAGATCTTTCTTCGCCTTGGTCTTTTGCTTCTGTTTCCGCCTCTGTTTGGTATTCTTGTTGGGCTCCGACTCCGACTCGGAGGACGCCTCGTCTTCTGACTCCGAAACACTGGCAGTTGAACTCTCTGATGCTGAATTCGCCTCGGAGGAGCTATCTGCGCCGCTAGGGCTGCCGGCGTGTTTCCGGCCCTTGCGACCCTTCCGATCGCGTTTCCGGCCCCCAGAACCAGGCTCCTTCCCGGGGTGCTTCTTGCAGACGGCAGCTTTCTTGCTGCTGGTAGTCGATTTGTCTGTCACCTGCACGCTGGGTTTGGCGTCGGTCTTGGTCTCGACTGTGGAGGGATCAACCTCGAGCTTCGACTCGGTCGCGGGATCTGTGGGGACATCCACCATGGTTACGGCGGCTGTAGTGGTAGTAGTAGTGTCTGTATCTGTCAGCTCGTCGCCAGTAGTGACCCGCTGTGGAGCTTCATCGGGCGGAGTTGAGGACGGAGTCAAGACCGCCGGGCTCTTTGGGGGGGAGATTGTCGACATTGGTCGAAGGTCGGAACAGTGGACAGGCTACAAAATCGACGGATAGAGAAGATCCGTTTTTAAACCAGGGGGAAGGAGAGCAGACGGGGAGAGTGCGAAACAAGTTACCTGGGTGCGGTTGGAGAGAGCCCGACAGGGGGGTGGACAAATAAAAGCGCCTGGTAGAGAAAGCACAGCAGGCCAGACTCAGGTCGATCTGACGTGTCCAGAGCGATCAGTCTGCCACGGAAGGTGTCTCGCTCGACGCCTTGCTTGGATGAGAAGCAAACGCCGAATAGTTGGGAAGGACGCTGGTTTTCTTCGTACAGAGTACGGAGCACAGCGAGCGAGTGTACAGGATGCGTTGGGGGCCTGCCGAGAATCGCTGTTGCTGCGCTGTTCACGCTCTGGCGGTGTGACGAGAAGGGGGGACGGGGTATCAACGCCTACAAAATCTCAAAGAAAGGAGGTTTGGGAGGAAGAGGAGAAGGGCAAGGCTGTTCATTTATGACTCTAGCCACCTTCTGTGCATTGCCAACGCGACTGATGCCTGGAATCCAGGCGAACTCTCTCCAGCCCCGCAAGCTGATGCCTACAGAGTGATCGAACATTCTCCAGCTCCAGCTCCAGTTCCAAGTTCCCCAGGCCGTGATGCAGCTGCCTACGTCTAAAAATCGAAAAAACCAATGCCAATCAATCACCCGTCGCGTGAGTCACGGCAGACTTAACTAGGCAGTCAGTTAGGCTGACACAGGTCTGGGACTCCCGGCTGATCTTCACAGAGGCTCTGTTCTGTCTAGCGGCGAGCAGCCGTTCTAACTGACATCTCATCCCCTCAGAATTTACGGAGCAATAGCTATAGAATACATGGAAAGAAAGAGAGAAGGTCATCCGGTCACCGACTTTTCGTCTCTGTCGCGATTGGAAAAGGGATGCAAGACCGGACAGCCTCACTTTTCGTCCCCGTTTTTGCTAGGCCTCGCTCCAAGTCCCAACTTCCTGGTAACCTCATGCAGCTCTGATAGGTGAGCATCACTGTCTCGCCGATCATCTAGTTACACAACAACAAACGCATGAAGAATGCCTGTTCCGCACATGGGGACTGATGGCCAGATGGCCTCTCTGTCTTTCCCCCATTTGCAGTTATGATATACTTACTGGTCCTGGTTGGCGAAATTGATTAAATGAAACGTCATGGGGAGAAGAATGGACCCCATGGATGGAGAGACCCAGGTGAATGTCAGAACTAGCCTGTCACAGCTAGGCCAGGTACCAGGGATTCGGCATCCCTGCAGTTAGTATTGATGAGCCCGAGAACCAACCGTCTAGGTCTAAAATATTGGTGCGCCAGACTAGAGTGAATCACCGGTCTTCCAGTATCCCCAACAATGCACGCCACTAGCCTCGCCAACAGGAAAGTCAACGGATCACCGGGCTAGTTGGTCAGATTCGGAACCTCCAGAGAGATGGGCCTTGTCTGTTCCGTGCCGTAAGGTTCCCGTGTCGATGTTCCTTATTTTGCGCTGATTGAGCTTTCTACAGGCTCCGAGACCTTGCTCCAGCCACCGGTGGAATCTCAGACGAACAGGGATACTAGAAATACCGTGTGAATCAGCAGAGTCTATTTCAGTGTGAGGGCATCAATTATATCACTTATGATTTGTAAGAGGGCCAACCTTTCGCGTGCCATTGAATATCTCATATTTAATGGAAAGAGAATCATATTTCATGCCTCCTGTCACTCAACATAGAAACATTGTCAAGTCTGCATGTAGTCCTAGTAACTGGTCTGGTGTTCACTTGCCTCTGTCCCGTGACTCAACCTCATTGCTATTCCGACTGACCTCTCACTATGACAGATTGCAAATATGAGCAGCTTCCTCGGCCTCCAGCTGCATCATTAGCCTGGATGGTTATCAAGAGTATAATTGCTACGAACAGAAGCCAGCATCTCTTGTCTATTGATACCGAAACATAGTTGTAAATGCCTACGGAGTGATTAACCTGAAGGCTAGGCAGATCAGTGGGTATGTCTAATTCAAACAATGAGACTTTTGCTTCGAAAAATGAGTAACATTTATCTACTACCAGATCCAAGGCTAGCCATGTTTAATCATCAATTGACCACCATGAGATTCTGCATTCGATCCATGTATAAGAAACGGGAAAGGCAGAAAAAAGGATCGAAATGAGAAAGATTCAATGATCAAAAGTCTTGCGAGAGCTCATGCTGGAGCCTATGGTGACTAGACTTGTCCATCATCAGGAAGAGGCTGCCTACTGATGGCTGATATAAATAATCGTCAGTGAATGATATCTTTGCTTCACTCTCTACCCTTCTTCACTTACGCAAAGCCAAAGTCACGGTTGCATCAATCTTCTCTACATTTACCGAGAGCCTCTTCCACATTTGCAGCTTCGAGTTATCCTCCTGCAAACACTTTGAACAGGATACTGAACCAAACAATTAATGTCAGATTTCACACCCGTCAACAAGACTTCCAGCGAACCTGCTAGCGGACGCGACACCATGGACTCATCTGCGATTAAGAATGAGCATAGCTCCGAGGTGAGTAGCCACCTATTTGGCATGAGAAAGGCAGAGTCCTCTATAACTTGGAACTATCTTAGAGCGCCGACGAGGATACTGTCAAGACTCCTATCGAGGCTCCTGCCGTGGCTCCCAAAAAGCGAGGCCGGAAGAAGAAGGAAGACAACGGTGATGAACAGGAAAGTCCGTCCAAGATGAAAAAGACAACCAAGGCCAGCAAGGAGGGCACGCCCAAGAAGATGACCCTGCCTCCAACCCCTGCAACGTACGAGGAGGCCGGCGAAGCAGACCGTCTCCTCCTGCACATGAAGGATGTGGAGAACAAGCCCTGGGGCGAGATCAACGCCGCCTGGGAAGCGATCACCGGCATCAACGTCGGAAAGTCAACTCTCGGAGTGCGCTATATGCGTCTCAAAGCAAACTTCACCGTTTGGTCCAAGGACGATGTAAGTGCATACGATTCTACTTTCATACGGTGTAGGTTCCAGACTTCCCTGAAGAACCTCGTTTTGACAACGTATTCTTTCCACAGGAAGAGAAACTCGTTGCTGCCAAAAAGGAAATCGAAGAGAAGTTCGAGGTCGAGAAATGGAGTCGCATTGCCGACTTGATCGTGGCCAATGGAGGCACCAAGTACAGCACTGCTGCCATTCAGAAGAAGATCAAGGATCTTTCCAAGAAAGCAACTTCCTCTAGCGACGAGTAATTGGCTACGCTGCTTATGGTGTTTTGATCTCTTTTTCTCCCCCCCTTTTCTACTATGGTATTGTTTCCATGCACTGTGGATTGTTTGGTGACGAGCGGCGTTGCAAAGGAGTGCTAGGTAGTCGTTTAGTATGATTTCAAGGATGGGTTTCTAGCCACATACACAAACTAGCTATACCAAGTGATAGACTATTGCGATCTGAAGGCTGAAACCGAACTGATACGGTTACTACCTAAACGACCCATTCTCGCCATAGCGGATATTTTCAAGGGATAGGCTGAGCCAAAAGACGGGAGCCTGTACATTGTCTCCTTCCAGACTATCCTCACTGCACATTTGAATATCTAGGCACTAGTTGGTCGTTGCTGCATGTCGACCTGGCTCAGTGCCTGAGAAGGACAGAGTAGAAAAGAAAGAACCGAATGAATCTAACACTAATCATGGCACATTATCTTGTTGAAATACTCTTGGTCTGTTTATCTGGAGGCAGACTACAATAGTACAAGTAACTATATCCTTGGAACGATTGATAAATTGTAATTTGTTCTGTTCATAATCCGTACAACATGACTTGATCCCTCTGTAGGTGAAGAAAAAAAAAGAAAGAAAGAAAAAAGGAAAAAAAGAAAAAACTCATATGACACTGATCTCCTGCGGTTCCCAATCATTCGCGGACCCCGCCAGGAATCCCGAGGCGGCAATGCCGAGATCTCCTCCGCCCTGATTCAACATGGACGTCGAGTCGTCGCTCGCCGAGCGCGTCACGATCACAGGGCGGATTTTCGCACCGACAAAGCCGCGCCGGTCACGGCCTGTGCGGCCGCGGCCGAGCCAGTTGTGCTTGAGCGCCTTGCTGAGCAGCTCAACCTTCTCCTGTGCATCGTCAGCGGTCTGTACGCTGGCCAACACGCTGACGCACTGTAGCATGCGGCCGACGGTTTCGGTGATGAGCTGCGAGGAGTCTTTAGGCGGCGTGTGGACGGCGGAGGAGTGGTGGTGGATCAGAGGGGGTCGTTGAGAGGGAGAAGAGAAGGACTGGAAGATGAGTTGCTGCTGCTGCTGCTGTTGGGTTTCGGGGTTGGAGGAGGTGTTGGATGCAGCCCGGCTGCGATTGCTGACGGAGTCGGAAGAGTAGCTGCCGACCATCGTACTGCCGCTGGCGGCAGTCGTGGCTGTCGGAACGGTGTTGAGAAGAGTAGAGGATTGCGAGCTGTAGCTGCCGAAGCCGGCGTCTAGCGAGGCGGCGGTGCCCGGGCGGTCGCCCTTGTTCTGGTTCTTACCCGCCATGCTGATGTTCTTGACGCTTGAATTGATGTTATCTAGGCTGAGGCGCGAGAAGGTCGCCCTGAGTCCCTCGTATCGCGAGAGCACGACGGTGTTGCGGAAGGCGATTAGGACTAGGTTGCGGATCTCGAGCTCGCCACCCAGGGAGGCATCGGCAGTGTTCTCCGCGTGCAGGCCGTTCCAGAACTCCTTAGCCTCGCGAGCGTTCATGACAGAGCCGCATCCCTTGAACTCGAGGTCCAGGGGCAGGAAGACCGCCTGGATGAAGGGCAGGATGGTGCCAAACACGAGTATCCAGATCTGCACCAGATGAGGAACTAGCTTCTCATCAGGTATTCCCGCTAGCGTATGATTCATCGAGGCGAATCCAGTCTCAAGCAACTCACGCAGGTCGTCGACCATGGCGTTGGGCTGGCGCTTCTGCACACACCGCTGCACGTGGACAATGACCAGCTTGTTGAGATCCTCGATGGCGATACGGACGTCCTCGCCGTCGAAGATGACCAGCAGTTTCGCCTTGAGGAAATCCCACGCGTCGTCCGGCGTCATGTTGTTTAGCCCGAACCCCTGCAGGGTCTCGCGCAGCGCCGCTTCGCCCAGCATGCCGGACGAGCTCCCGAGGGAAGAGGGTCCATGAAATCCGCCGGAGCCTGCGGCGTTGCTCGTCGAGTGGAAATCAACCTGCTCAGACTCAGCTAGAGCTTTTTCTTCCTTTTTCTTCGCCCGTGCGCCATGTAGAAGATCCAAGCCGCCCACAGACTTTCCGAAAGTGGTTGTGGTGGCTCCTGGCGAGGACGGAGTGAAGGAATAGAGCGACTGCGGAGCGCTGGGATCGGACGGTTTCGAGTTGCTCGACGCGGATGATAAAGGCAGGTTGTAATGGTCGTCGCGATCCTTGAGCTTCAGTTTCTGTCGAGATAGGAAATGGTGCTTGTGTGCCTTTTCTTTATCCTTGTCTTTGTCCTTGTCTTTATCCTTTTCTCGCTCGCTGCCCGTCTGCCGATCTGCAGGCACGATCGTACTGGCAGAAGCATTCGATAGGTTGTACATGGACGAGTTGTTGGACGGCAGGGTGTCGGCCAAGCTGGTGGTCGAGGCGCTGACGATGCGGCTGGCGAACCCCCCCATCTTGCTTGGCGAGGGGAGACCCTTTTCCTTGCTATATCCATCCTTGTCGCGACTGATACCGATGTGCTTGGGCTTGGAGAAGAGTTTCTTCTTGGTCAACTTCTCCGTCTTGGGTTGTTTGGTAGGCTCCAACTCTGGGATCGCCATTGCTTGCGAGTTCGGACTGCGGGGGAAAACCACGTTCGCCGCCGCCGTCGCCGTGTACGCCTGTCCTCCGACAATCCCATTCTGATATGACTGACCCGCGAACCCTCCGGGCCCTGGCGCGGCGAGTAATGGCTGCGGTAGGGGCGGCGGCGGCGAGGCGCTGGGCCCCCGACGGACACCTCGCAGCACCAGGTCATCCTGGCTAGGGACTGGGATCGGCCGCTTCGACGGATGGTGAGCCGACGATAACGACTGTTGTTGCTGTTGCTGTTGCTGCTGCTGCTGTTGCAGCATCGCCGCCTGGGCAGCGATTCTCGACGCGGAGAGACTGTTCACGGCATCGGAGGAGGAGGCGGTCGGCAGTGAGGGTTCAAAGAAGCCCTGCGAATGGTGTCGGGAGCGGTGTCGGATGCTTTCCGACGAGGGCACGATCCGACTCGATGCCTTGCGGCTGGGCAGTTCATTGTGCGGCATGAAGGTTGTGTTCGAGGGTGGCGGAGGAGGGAGGGAGACGTCGTTGCTGCGGGAGACCGCGAGCTGCTGCTGCTGCTGCTGCTGAGCGGCGGCGGTAATTGTCGTAGGGGGGATTGTTCGAGAGACAGTAGTCACGTTCGATGTCGCAGAGGCATCACTTCCAGAGGAGCCTGGGCGTGTAGACTCTCCGTGCGAGAGGGAGTGTAACAACAGCTGGGGAGAAGCAGCAGTCCGGCTGCCCATGGTCAAGTTGGTCTACGCCTGGCGAATGGTAGGGGAAGCAAGGTCAGGCCATGATGGAACGCCAAGCAGAGGAGAGCATCTTGAATAAAAGCAGCTACTATTTGTGCAGCAGGAGCTCGGAGTCTATTGCTTTGTTTATTCTGTATGTTTTTTCTCGCTTTCCACCAGCCTCAGCTGACTGACTCTGGCTGGTGAAACAGTCGATCGCCCCGCAACTTGTCCTGGTTGAGTTGAGACTCTCTTCTCGGCTATCGCGACGTGAATTTCGACCAACTGTTTCTTATCTTCACTGCATCTTCCCCTCTCAAACTAGCCAGGCCGGGTCCTACTCAAACACACACGCGCCCTTGCATCGTCATGGCTTCCAGCAAGGCTTCCCTTCACGCTGCCTACACGGCTCCTTGCCCCCCCACCGCACACACTTTTGCCGCGCCGCTCTCGTCCGCTCCCACCAAGACGCAGGACGTGCAGGCCAAAACCGCCTATCTCGCCGAGCTGAGGAGCAAGGTGACCGTGTTACAGGGCGACATCAATGTCTTCTTGACGGAGCGCATGGAGGAGGACAAGACGGCTGCCGAGGCGCAGGGGCGGACGGTTTCAGAGCAGGAAGCCAAGGAAGAGGAGAATTACGGCGAAGAGGTGGTCGAGGAGGAATAAAGAGTAGTCTACTATCGTCTGAATAGAGGGGATTGGGGATCTGGAATGCAAAAGAAGAAAGACGTCAATGAATGACTATCTCTATCGACAGTCTTTTCGCTGGGTATCACATCGCAGACATTCGACTGAGCACGACAATATCAACAGTCTAACAGGGATGGAAAAGCAGAAGAGAGAGAGAGAGAGAGAGAGAGAGAGAGGGAGGGAGGGAGGGAGAGGAAGAACTTGAAACCAAAAAAAAGGAAAGAAAACACGAATCAATGACTCCGAATTCGACTCGCACACCCAAGATGGACAATTGTATTACTGGGACAAGTCAGTGATGGGAAAACGTTGGGGATCAAAAGAAAAAGAAAAAGACAAAAAAGACATACTCTGGAAAAATATTGATGACGCTGCTGCCCAAACGCTTGTGGCAGACGCCGCAGATCCTCTGCTCGGTGATGGTGACATGTCGCGATCGGGTCGCCCGCCTGTCAGGACCTTCGCCCGTGAGCAGCTGGGCCTGCGTCTTGACATTCTGCACCTGTTCCAGCTGCGCGACGATCCGGCTCTCGTTGAAAACCGAGTTGGCCGCCCGGATCCGACCCGTGAAGTAAAACTCCAGCTCCCGCACGGGCAGTGTCTCGGGGATCAACTCCAGCGCCGAGTTCGCTGGCAGCCGCGACCCGTGCCGCGCCAGAATGTCTAACGCAGGCCCGTACTGGGGCTCATGGCCGTGTGGCGGCGACAGATACAGTGACAACAGGGTCAGGTAGATTGATGGCTGGGCCTCGGCGGCGTCCGTCGGCGCCGTGCGTTGCGAGGGAATCACTTGCGCAGCGCCGATATCTTCTGCCAGGTGCACCTGGTTGCAGTATCTACACACGTCCGTTAGTAGTCAATGCATAACTCTGTTTGTTTCACCCGGTCAAGTGTACATACTCTTCTGCCTTGCTATAGTCCTCCAATTTAAAGACATAAATCTCCAGTGCCTGCCGGTGTTGCCCCATCTTACTGAATACAATCGCCCGCGGCTCGTAGCACTCGGGATCTACCATCGGTTATTAGTATGGGTTAACCATATTCCCCAGAGAGGAAGAAAGAAACAACTCACCATCTCGATCAAGCCGGTCAAGCATCTTCGCCGGGGAATATTGCGAGCTGGTCTTGAGCATTTCTAGGAACTTCCCCCGCCACTCGGCATACTCGGTCTCGCCCGTAAATTTCGTTTCTCCGGACTTGTGGCCATGCAGACAGTCCAGATACAGCACGAGCAACCGCTGGTGCAGCGCTGGGGTCATGTCATTCAGCTCCCCGATGACGTGTTCCAGGTATCGCACGGCCAGGAGCCGGTCGATGCCCTCGAGGAATTCCAGCACGCGCTGGCGAGGGAGGGTCTCCGCGTTTTCAGTGTCGGCCAGGAAAATCTCCATGCCCATGTCCGGGTCCGCGCGGAGGGGCCATTCGGCGAACTCGAGGATGAGGTCGATCTGGTCGGGGGCGAGATTCTGCAGGTATCCAACAGTCCGCTTGGGGCCACGGAGTTGCGACGAGACAGTATCGTCCTTTGCCTCCCCCTCGTCCTCCTTGTCCTCACCATCGGTTTCCTCGGCCTGTCCAAACTTGCGCAAGAGCTCCAGCGCCTGGCGATGCATCTTCTTCCCGTATAGGAACTCGATTAGGTCGTTGTGGCGGCCTGTCTCGTCCAGCTTCTCCATGACGACGTTCGGGTCGCAGAAGTTGGCGATGCGGAACAACGAGCCTGCGAGCGAGGGCGTCGCGTACATGTGTGCGCGGAACAGCGTCGTGTCAACAAGCCGCGCCTTCTCCAGCAGCATGTCGCTCAGATCGTAGTCGGTGTCATCGGGCGAGATACCCAGCAGCCTCATCACCGAAACAGCCAATTCATCATCTGTCGTCACATTCATCTGCATATACTCTGTTTTAAGCGAGCCGTCGGGGTTCAGAACCCGCTGGAATCGCCGGCGAACACCGGCCAGATACCCTTGTAGCCGCCAGACGGCGGTTTTCAAATCCTTGCCCACTGAAATGGTTTATACGTCAGAAATTAGTCAATCTGGAAAAGTAAGAGACAACTTACCAAGACGCTTCTCACCGGGCAGTTCCACGGTATTTTTCCCACGAATACTCCCTGCATCGCTACCATCATCTGCTTTTGCCCTGAGGAGAGAGGCTACCGACGGAGCCTGCGCAATAACTTTGGGGGACGAACTACCGTCCGAGCCGTTGGCATCAGCATTGTTATGGGTGCCGTTCAATTGTTTCGATTGCCCATCGGTTGGCGAGCCGGTTTCTGATTCGGTGGCAGTGTCGTCTTCGATAGACAAGTCTCCAGCAATTAATCGTGGGTAGAGACGGATCACAACTTCTGGTGGCGCCGAAATCTCAGTAAACAGGTCGAGCGAATCCTGGTATTTGCGTTGAGCAAAGAGATTCTGTGCCTTTTCTAGCTTGATCTGGCGCAAGCGGCTGGGTTTGTCACGTAATAGTGCGTCCTCAAGCATGTCGAGCAAACTGATCGCTTCATCGAGGTAGCCCTTCTCCACCAGTGCATCTATCTGTGTGTCGTAACTCAAGGCTTCCATCCGCCAGACGACCCGGTCACTCGCCACCAAGAAACCTTTGCCCGCGTGGGCCAGGCTGATGTTGGGCTGCGGGATATGCATCAACGTCGCTGCGGGCAACGAGACCGACTGGAGCAACGAAAGAGTCTCGGGGTTGCGAACCTCGAGCACTCCCTTGGAGGAGTCATGCAGGGCCAGCAGAAATGGATAGGAGTACCCGACATCCACTGGCGCATGGCTCCAGGGGACCTGCCGGCGGCCCAACGAGTTGCCCTCCAGGTCGATGAAATGGGTGTTGATATCCTTGGCCAGCAGTACTTGGCCCTCCTTCAAGCGGGTAGCCAGCGGTTTCGGCGCAGAACCTCCGATCCCAATATAGCTCATGCTGGCGACACCCACGCCCGACAACCGGCTGCCTCCAGCGTCCTGGCCCGGCAGGCCGCCGATGCTGCCCGGCCCCGCCAGATCCGTCACGGCCCCCGTCTGGATATCTATCATGACGAAGCTGGAGCTCAGCCCGGCCACGAGCTTCGTCCCAGACACCCACGCCAGCGACTTGACGCCGCTGACGACCGTCATCTCCCTCGTCTCGCTCTCCAATTCCATATCCCGCCAGGACCAGAAGAGAATTCTGCGCTTCACCGCGACGGCAAGCCGCGACACAATCGAGGGAACCCCCGTCTCGACATCATTGACGATGTTGGACGTCACCGCGAACGTCGACGCGCCCTTTGTGCGCACCAACTGCTCCTGCAGCTCGTACGTCTGTAGATCGTGAATCGACACGTACCCACCCGCCAGCGAGATCAGCAGCTTCGACTCCTTGATATACGCCAGCTGTTCGATTTTGTACCGCGAGAACCGCTCAATTTCGCGCAGCAGGTCCGTCTTGGCCTTCACATCGCCGCCGCCGTCGGTGTGTGTCTCGGCGTTCCCATTCTCTCTCCCCTCGCCGTCGTCAATATGCTCTTCCCCTCCTCCTCCTCCTCCATCTTTATACCCTTCCTTCTCGTTCACACGGTAAATTCGTAGACTCCCATTATTCAACCCCGCAAGCACACGGTCCCCGTACGCCAGCACAGACTCGATCCGCGATTTATCCCGTGGCTTGAGCTCTATGAGCGGCCGGGCCGTAAACGCAGACAACATCTTCGGCGTGACTCACTGGTTCTGCCTCCCCCGCCCGGTGCGACACGGGCGAAAAGCAAAAGGAGAGGTTATGACGTGGAGGCGGGATTGAGGCCTAGATTCGCGACGTGGTTTCTCTCGCTCGCATACGCTGCGCTCTGCGCGCTCAGCTCGTCGTCTTCGTCGTCGTCTCCGGCCCGACTGCAGGCTACCAAGACGTTCATAGCCGTTCACGCTTCCTGCGTGTGCTGGTTCGCGCAGCTGGCCATGGCTGCTGCGGCTTGGTGGTTCAAGTCACCGACAATACCGCCGGCTGTTGCTTCATGTGTTGTCGCTTAGTCAGAGATTAGTCATGTCACCATAACCACCATAGCCATCATCTCCGAAGTACCTATGAAGTATCTAGGTAATAAGCATGGCCCGGTTACGAGGATTCTTGAAAAGGTCGGTAAAATGTCTGGATTATCAAGTAAAAGTCGGTCCCGCCAGAGCAACCAGCTGGTCCTATGTAACTAATATGTAACTATGGAAGAATCAATCCTGAAGTGTCACCTCCCATCACAACTCTCCTCGTTTTGCCTGAATCCCAGATCTGTACCGAATCGATTGAAAGGTTTTTTTTTTATCAAGGCAAAGCCATATCAAAACCACAAGTACCAAGCCATTCATAGTTCACCAATAGGTCCGGTCCAGTCGTCTGCGCTCCAGAGTAATGACCATCTCCAGTATGCACAAGGCAAACGAAGTTAGTCGATGACAGCAGAGCAACAATTATCAGACATTGGCGGAAATATGGCAAGCAAGAGGTCTGTAGGGACGGCTTGCAGGAGCGATGAAGCACGCTAGCTGTAAACAATGAAGAGCGGCGAGGTGGTTGGGGGGTAGTCAAAAGAGCATTTGGATCGGAAAATGGGGGAATCATAGGTAACGGTGAGAGAAACCCTTTTTTAGTGGGCAGCAGTGGCACCGGTTGGGAACTCCTGGTGTTTGGCCGAAGTGCCCTTGGCGCGCCAAGTGGACACAGCAGGAATATCGGCTTTGAAGCGCTGCTCTTCGGTACCGTAGGCACGAGGAGTCAGTTTGATGAGGGTGTGGAGCGGCACCTCCATCCAAGGGCTTTTCTCCTGGGGGACGTTCAGGAAATATGAGTAGATGCAACGCAGCACGGCCTGGTGGGTGACGATAATGACGTTCTCGCTGCGTTCCAGCTCCATGATGATGGGTTCCAGGCGGATCACGACATCCCGGTAAGACTCGCCCCCGCGGTAGCGATAGTTGTACTTATCTTCGTCGCGAGCGATAAAATCATCGGGATACATTTTGGCGATCTCTTCATAAGTGAGACCATCACACACACCGGAATCGAGCTCGTCCAGAGCCTTCCACTCAAGCTTTTCAAACCCAGTCTCCTGTTCGAGAGGCTTGGCGGTCTGAATGGTGCGACGCAGGGTAGAGGTCCAGATGACAATCTTGGTGTTGGGGGGCACGCCCGACTTCTTCAGCAGGCCGGGCAGAGCACGCGAGTACGCCTGGCCACGCTCGGACAGCATTGAATCACCTCCAATTTTTCCGGTCAGGTTAAACTCGGACTCTCCGTGCTGCGCAATTTGGAGTCAGAAAGCAGCGAAGCCAGATAACAGGCAAGACAAGGGGCACTTACACGTGACAGCCAGATGGAGCGAGGCTTGATGTGAAGGTTCTGGATATAATACACCAGTCTGCTCGAAAGATAGTCCTTGATCTGATTGATGATCACCGTGGAACTGACGTTGATGAGTTTGACGTAGGTGTAGGACTTTTCGGAGCCACCGATAGTCTCGTAGGCCATTTCATAATTGCGGATGCGGTTACGAAAGTCCTGGGCCGCGACCTCGGGATCCTGGCCCTTGTAGTCAGGCGAGGTGGTTTTGACCTCCAGGATATTATTCATGATCAGTTCCTCGTCATCACAAATGGATTCCACGAAGAGAGTTTCGACACCGGCAGCAAGACAACGTTCGTGAATCCAGCGACGTCTGTCTTGAGTAGAGTTAGTGGCATCCAAGATCGCCACGATACCGTCTTCTTGCTTGAACCAACGCAGCATGTCAGAAACCGCAGCTTCGGCCGCGGCACGTCGCATGCGTTCGCCCTCCGGGTTACGAGGGTCGAAAAAGGTTGCATTTGGCTGAGGGGTATCCTGGCGGCGGTAGGTGCCCACATTGAAGATGCGAGCAGGGATACCAACCCAAGCCAGGTAACGTAAAGCTACGATGACCCGGTAAGCCAACGAGACGACATTCAAGTTCCCACAGGGATACACGTACCTTTGCCAGCGATCAGACTCTTGCCTCTGGCCGGGAGGCCGACCATGACAACACAGACCTTGGTGTCATCGGACTGGGGGACAGACCACCACACGTTAGCAAATGATCTAGATGAATGCTCACGAGGAGCTTTGGCTTTGTTCTTTTTAGAGAAAAGACGCTTGAGACGGTCCATTTTAAGATGACACAGCTCAGCAATCAGGGTGAATATGAGGCAGTAAGAGAGGGATCAAAGGACAAGCGAAAAAAAAAAAAAAAGACGCCGAAAAACAGAGAAACAAGAAATCGATGCTCAGAAGAGTAGAAGAGTAGAGAGAGTCGAAAACGGGTACAGTAACGGAAAAGAAGAGGTGTAGGGGATGGAAGCAGGATGAAGATAGAGGTGTTGGCAGGAGAAGAGGAGAAGGAACAGAGGAGAGTTACAATCACACTGGGCCGCATTTTGAACCCTGAAGATAAAGTGAATTCAAAGTCAAACAAGACACTGTTGTCTGATAATGTTGTGTCTTAAGAAGCCGATGATGATATCGCCTGGAATATGATAGAGAGAGGGGTTGTTGCTTAGTCGGCAGCGCACACAGGGTGGTTAATCTGGTTGCCCAGCAGTTCTGCCTTTGCTCTTTCTCATTTGACAGCATTCACAGCCAGACTAGACACACCCAGAAGGGCATAAAGCACAGGCTGAACAATGCCCATTAAAGAGAAGACCAGAGATGACACAACGCAGTCATAGGATGAGAGAGCTGGCTGAGAGCTCCGGCGATAGGTATTTTTTGTCCCCAACACCACCGGCAAACCCGATTCTCACCCGTCGGATAGCTTCTAGAATTTTTTTTTCTCTTCGAACACCGAAATCGAGATACCAGACGAGAAATAAGAACGATTGCGAGAGCCCCGGATAGAAAAATTGGACGCAAGAAGATGAACCGGAACGTCCCCAGGGGTTGATCGGGAACGTCCCCGCCGCAGGCCCCGCAAAAACCTCCAGGGCTGCAGAGGACTGGCCCGATAGCCGGCGTCTGAACGCTGGGAAGGCTAGAAGTTGGGTGGCCTGGCTGTGATCGCCCTCCAGGATGCTTGGTTGCTAGCAGCGTGTGTCATGATTGTCCGATGTATGCATATGCCCCGGAGCAGTCGTGGTACTCCGTGCTCCTCCGTATACAGCCGGGGTGGCAATTCCGGAGGCCCCCCACGTGCACAGCTCGATTCGAAGCGAGAAACAATCGTGTCTTTGTATTCAGAGACATCGTCTGAGGACTCTCGTCGCCAGACTCGCCACACACACCGCTTTTTCCAGGCAAGAATGGTCTAATCCAGGCTCTAGGCCTGGGTGGTGTCCATACAGTCGCCGGTGGGCGTCCGGCGTGGGGTTGGAAGCGAGCCTCGTGACAAACAAGCATCAGGAGTGCCAATCAATGTCGCCATTGTCTCTCCGCGGTATTCCTGGTTCTCTTTGATGGGAGCCCACCGGGATAGGGGTTGTGGTTGGAGGCAAATCTTTTTCCGGGCGATATCATCGGCTATCCGCAGCGATCCCCAGTGCTGGAAAGCAGCCCCTCTGGAAGGAAACAAGAAGGAAACAAGAAGGAAACAAGAGAAGGAGATAAAGAGAAAGACACGGTGACGCGATTGAAGATAATAAGAAAGAAATGGTATTGTCGGGGTTTTGGGGGAATAAATGACTGGAAAAAGCAAATAGGAGGGGAACAACACAATCAATCCATCAACTACTCAAGGAACCAAAGAAAAAACGAGGCAGAGACTCCAAGAAAACACTCACACTGGCAAAATAGCTCTTATTCCCAGGCTCTGGCCGGTTTGAGCTGCCGGCCGCCATCGTGCTCAGCGGCCCACGCTTGGGACGATCAGGCCGGGGGAGAAGGGCCGGAAGACGGTAGGGGGAGGAGGGGGAGCGATGGGCATAAATCAAGGACCCATGGGCCATGAATTAGATGTTGAATGGCAATCAGTTAAAAGATACCAGTAATAATATCTAAAAGTTATTCGTTGAGTCACTCAACTATTCGCCTGATGGGTAAAGCCACTGCGGCCCAATGAATGCGGTGAAGAACTCACGTCATCTTATCAGCTACGCCTACAGTAGTATCTAGATAGAGACAAGATATTGACTAGTAGTTTTGTTCTATTGGATCATGATTTAGAAATCATCTAAATGGACTTTTTATCTATGGCTGAACATGCTGAACTTTTGATACCCCTGAAATGCAACCTAGTCGTCGCCTTCGTATGCTGTCTGTCTGCGTAAGCTGGTCGTGGTCGGACGTGGCAGTCTGCTATCCTTCGCGAAGAGTTCGCTCGAGTGAGGTCCTGTCATTGGATTCAAGTTCTTATCCACTGTTTTGACCCATCAGAGCTGTTCTATTGAGCCATGGCAGTCACGGCGTGAATTCTCTGGTCAGATATATTCGACAAGTCGGATAGCTTGCGTTGGAGATGGGCTTTTTCTTTTTTCTGTCGTTGTTCTGGTTCCGATATGCGAAGACTAGGCGCTGGCAACGGCTTCATCGGCGGCAGGCTCTTGGGCAGCTTGGGAAGCGGCCCACCGGGCTCGTTCCTCGGGCTTCCAGGTCTCGCCGCGGGCCCTCTGCACGCGGATCTTGCCACCCCAGGGGCCGTCCTGGCCGTTGAAGGTCTGCAGGGCTGTTTGGGCCTCTTCGGCAGTGCTGAAATCGACAAAGAGATAGTAGTGGTCGCCGGGCTCGAACCGCTTGGACGGGTGTGGAGTGAAGAGCTTGGTGACATTCGTACTGCAAAAGTTAGATACTAGTATTTTAGCAAAGGAAATGTATAAAACTTACACATCAAGTCCCTGGAAGAAGTTGACCATGTTGCTCTGGAGGGCTTCCTGATCCTGCAGACGAGGCAGGCCACCGACATACACGCGCTTGCTCTGGTCGCCAAGGGCCTTGGCCGGGCTGGACGGCTCGGTGCGCTCGCCACGCTGCCACCGGTCGAAGTTCAGCGGGGAGCTCTTCTCGCCACGGGGAGAGCCCTCCGTTCGCGGCTGCTGGGAACGCTCGGCGGATGTCTTTGCCACGCCCGGCTTGATCTTCAGAGGGCGACCTTGCAGCTCCTTGCCGTCCAGTTCGACCATGGCGCGCTCTGCTTCCTCCTTGGACTCGAGGTCCACGAAACAGTAGGACGGGTTACGGCCGGTGAATGGGTCCATGGCAATGTCAATACGCTCGCTATAAAATTAGCCGGGTTTCGTCAAAAAAAGAAAAAATAGATAAAAATCCCAAGGGCTTGTACATGTTATATCCCGTGGCTGTAAACAGCGCCTGCACATCATCTGCCTTGGCCGTGTACGGCATGTTGCCCACGTACAGGCGTCTGCCCTCCGAGATGGCCTGGGGCACCTGGGTGCCGGTTTTGCTGAACGCAGAGCGCGAGGTGTTGGTTTTCACACTGGGCGATCCGGGGCTCTGCGCACTGGGGCTCTCGTCCGACTTAACCCGCCAGTTGGGCGAGTTGAAGGCCCGCCCTGTCGTCCGGACGCCATTCTGGAAGGGCGATTTCACCGGGGCTATCACATCAGCTTGCCCTTTTTTCTCTCCATGGATCTTCCCTTCTCCCAGCAACGAGCCTCCAAGCAGGGGATTTCTCCTACACACTTTGTTCTTCCGGTCTGGGACGGTCTGCGGCGTCAACCATGGTGGGAATCGAGAATATCCTGAGACTCGATCAGCTACATTCCCCTATGAGTTCATTCAAACCAACTTACAAGAGTTCACGAAGCAACGACGAGCGCTGAGCAGTAGTGATAGTGGGCAGTCGAGCCAAGCAGTCTTCACGCCCTCTGCGAGATTTTGCAAGCGGTGAACACCGAGTCAAACCAAACAAACCTGCAGCAGGAGAAAACCACCAGCTTATCGAATGCGATTGATAATAATATAACTAAATTATTAACCTTGGTTTCCTTTTTCCTGCGTCCCTGTGCCCTGGATGAAAAATTTCTTGCTGGGCCGTTTCATTGGCCCTGAATTGTTTGCTCGCCCACTAGCGAACCACACGCGAGTCCTGCGTCCCACTGCCACCAAAATTAAATAATTACGACCTCATCGGTTTCCCCTCTTCTCTTCCCCTTCAAGTCAGCATCCCCCTGCCGATTCCTTCACAGCTCGAGAGCCACCATGGTGAACACACTCGATTGTGAATCAGGATGAAGCTGTTCTTGATCAGACACGCAGAGTGTCCGCAGAATGTGGGGAAAGCAGCGTACATGAAGACTACCTTACCTCCTAACCTCACTGCTCGAGGAAGCACCATGACCAGCTGAAGATTGATGAAACTAACAGTCATAGAGCGGGAGCGGACGGTACAAGCCTCACGTATGAAGGTGAGAGCCAGGCCAGCGCGCTAGCACGGCATTTCCGCGACCGGCTTGTGCGCTTCACGCACGTCTTCACCTCTGATCTGGACCGTGCCCGGCAGACGGCCGAGGGGATCTGCCAGCAGCAGCTTGGGGGAGGGATCTCGCCGATCCCTGTAGCTACTGCCGCGCTGCGAGAGCAGCAGTCTGGGTTGGACAATGGGAGGTGGTGGCGGGCACCGTCCACGTACGAGGAGCCGTTGGAGTCGATGCAGGCACGCGCCAACGGCTTTGTTTGGGAGAAGATCATCCCGCCCTTGCTGGGAGGATCTTCTTCACCATCACAAGAAGATGAAGCCATTATTGCCGTCATTGCGCATGGCGTCATCCTACAGGTCCTGTGGGCGTGTATCGTCGACCTGTTCGAGACCAAGGACATTCGGTCTGGGCCTAACGTGCAGCAGCCCGGCATGCACGGTGACCCTCTTCTCCCCGTCTGGTCGAACACGGGCTATCTCGAGCTTGAGATCTCTCCTTCGGGGCTCAACAGCGCGAGGGTCCCACTGGTCTCGGGAACAGCGACCACCGCTGCACCCCTCGTCGGCTGGACATTGACCATCCACGCCGTCGACTGTACCGTTCACCTTGACGGAGGACGCTCAGGGATCGCCCCGTTGAATCCCGCCCACGAGTCGCGGCAGCAATCGCTGGACGACTTCTACCGATTGGTTGGGTCAACCTAGGGTAAGCTTATATTTTTTTTCATCTTTTTATCGCCTCGTTTTCATTGTTTTTTCTCCAATCTTCCTCTTCTCTTTCCTTCATGATGAAGCAAACTCACACAGACCTGTTCCGAGTATCCATGCGGAATCACAAGTTCGTTCAATCGCTGTCTGACATCTTAATTCTATCCTTGTTTCCATTCATCTCATGTCAATTCGTTGACTCGGCTAATGATTGAATCTAGGATTCTGCCATGCAATACACAGAATAGAATAGAATAGTTGAAGATAATGAATTCGATTGCAATGCAAGTCTATGGTATATACTTAATTCATAAAATCATGATCTCATAACATCAAATAACGGGAAATGCTACACAAGATGCCTGTTAGCTCCGCCTGGTTCTTCCTCGCGCTGGTAAAGGATCTCCGGCGCGACATCCTGCCTCAGGAGATACCGCCGGATAAAATAGGGGATCTGGCGCAGACCGTAGGCAGCGTGGAAGTGCGAGGGTACGGAAAACACCTGGTCGAGCTCCTCGAGGGTCTTGCCCTTGGTCTCTGGCATGAACATGAGGACCAGCCACCAGCCCACGACGTTCCAGCCGGCGTACCAGCTGAAAGCGCCCTGCGGGGACAGCGCGTTCTGCAACGAGGGCCAGGTGATGGCCAAGGTGAAGTTGAAGAACCAGGTCGTCGCCGTTGCGAGCGCCATCCCGTACGACCGCACGTAAAGCGGGTATGCCTCAGCTGAGTAAGTGAAGGGAACCGGCCCTTCGCCGGGCGAGTAGACGACGCCGAACGCGTAGAGGCCCAATGCCACGCAGGTGATGCGCGCCGTATGGTCCGTCTCGGGGATCCAGAAACTGAACCCGGTGAAAAACATGGCCAGAGCCATCAGCGGGAATGTCGTCAGCAGCAGGTTGCGTCGGCCGAACGTATCGATCGTATATACTGCCGGAATCGCGAACAGCCAGTTGACTATGCCCCAGCCGAGAGAGGCTGTCAGAGCCGATGCCACGGAGAAATTGGCCTCGAGGAAGATCTCGGACGAGTAGTATGCAATCACGTTGACCCCGCAGATCTATTCGGTATTTTAGCCCTGTGGTTGATCGATCTTTCTGTTGAGGTAGGGGGGGGGGGAAAGGGTAGGAGTTGGCAAACCTGTTGCATGAACATCACCAACTCCGACGCCACCAAGGCCCGCCGGTTTCGAGGCACTGCAATCAGCTCGATCAACTTGTTCTGTCCCAGTTTCATGCTGTTCTCCGCCTCAAGCAAGGTGTGCATGTAGTAGAGATCGCGCGCTGCTTGAATCTTGTGATGGCGCAGACTGCACATTGACTGGTACGCCTTGTCGTAGCGATCCTGACTGATGTACCAGCGCGGGGACTCCGGACAAGCAAACACAAAACAGCAGACCACAAGAGCTGGAACCATGGCCGAGGCCATCATCAGACGCCAGTTAAGGCCCACAATGCCAGATTGGTCGGGGACTTCAAAGAACGCCAGGTCTGCAGCATAACCGAGCATAATACCTGAGGGGAAAGGGTCAGAAATGAGGAGGACCTAGGGGTGAGGTGATAATAGATAGATATACCAAACGCAGTCCACATTTGCCATTGCATGACCAGAGCGCCTCGAATTGCTGGCGGAGCGGTTTCAGCCACATAAACAGGCACCGTGGCAGACTTGGGGCCGATACCGAGGCCAAGGGCAAAACGTGCAATGAACATGTGCCACCAGGTGCTGACGAACCCTTGCCAAAGACAGGCGATGGCTGAAAGGCAGCAGGTGATGAAAATGGTGCCGCGGCGACCGAACCAGTGATTGAAGGGCACTGTCAGCCAGCACCCGACGAAGGCGCAACACAGGTACGGTGCGCCGTTCAGTAGACCCACGAGCCAGGAGGATCTCGAGTCAGTTCCACCGATGCCGAACTGCTGCTTGTACCAAACCTGCGCGCCGTTGACGACCGCCTCATCTGGCGGAGGTTAGTAAATCAATATGCGATGCATATTTAGTTGTGACACTCATCATCGAGACTCACCCATTCCTTGGACCGCAGCCGAGAGCGAGCACAGCATTATAACCACGTACATTAGCCATGGCTGGGACCACCGGCTTTGAAATTCCTTGTGCAGAACGTCATATTCGTGCGCTGTTAATCCCGAGACCTGGTCATACTTCTCCGGGGCTTGCGCCAGGACGGCGCCCAGCTCGAAGGCACGAATATCATCCACATCGCCGACGAAATGGCGCAGCGCGAAGTTGATACCTTGCCGCCGCAATTCCTCGTGCGTGTATCCAGCGAGTGGGTTGGCAAGCTTGGCGTTGATGTTGCGTCGAGCACGCTCGGCGGCCGTGAGCAGGGTGCGTCGGGCCACAAACTGATTCCCGCTGTCTTGAGGGACTAATTCCGAGGTTTCTGCATGGTAGGCAGCCGGCGGTTCCTCGAGGAATCCAGGATGCTCTTTTTTGGACATTTTGCATGCTGGTATGACGTAGTGTCCCGGTATCACAGTCTCACAGGCGGGAGATATCGATTCGAGCAGCAGCACGGGATTATAGTAGTAGTATTGCAGTTGATCGCGGTAGATCAATTGTCGACAAAGATATTGCTGGATATGGCGACGTAACAGAATCAAGAGGATTCAAGAGATGCGAAGACTGCCTTGGATAATCTGATAATCTTATTTGGGTACGACGACCGATCAGACGTGGTCAAACAAAGAACACGCGGTGCTGGAGCGGGCGAGTCACAACCATGGCTCGCAACAAATAAAGCACGAGAGACACGGCTGGCTGATGTTTATTTTTAATCCTTCAAAAGCAAGATGCAGGGCAGGGCAGGCCAAGGCCTGGCAAGGCAAGCATCGCCCATTAAGTAGTAGTTAGTAGTAGGTATTTTCTCACCGACTCGGTAAGGCAAAGAAAGGCTCAGCAACGCCCGGCTTAGCCTGCGTCTGAACCTCAACCACATACAGACTATACCTTGCACGAGAAACTGCATAGCCAATGTGTGCCAACCCATCAGCCCAGGATGGGCGAGGGTAACAGATCAGCCTGTCGTTTCTCTCGCCTCGGAGCGGTATTTCTCTCGAACAGGGTGATTGGGTTGCTTTACCGGGCTGAAACGATTTTCCTTCTGATTTCCCTATTATTCCCTAGCTTTCCCCATTTCTTTTTATTTTCCCTCCTTCTCTCTCCACGTCATCTTTTCTTTTCCAAGGTTGTTGACAACTAAACCGAGAGCTAGCGAGGAGGCCGGGAAGCTCAAACAAATTGCCCGACTGGGTATGCACTGTCAGACTCTGAATCCTCCTCTCTATCTTTTTGAGGCTGAGGATCAGACGAAGCGTGGGATCCCGGATAGAACGGCTGCTCTGGACGTGATCGGATAGGTACTGGGCACTGCTGAGCCCCCAATAGGCGAAGGTCTCCTGAATGACCCGTAGGATAATTTGGTCGGGTATCGACGATCGTCATGCGGGGTCGATGACAGCTGATGACATCGATAGCAGTGGACAGCTGCGGTCTCCTCGGAGGTCGTAAAAATGGGCATCTAAATTGTTCTGTACCCCAACTGCTAGCCATCGAAAATAGTATAGTTAATTAGCAACGCAGAGACAGTCGTATGGTTTAAAGGGTTCAGAACTTCAAAGTCGATTTCGAGTCTTGAACTGTGACCTCACGTCATCCTTCATCCAAGAAATAAATACTTACCGGCTTTTGGAAGTAAATAGCTCCTATTCTAGATAGGCCAGCAGCATCGCAAACAGGTAAGGTAGCATAGCTAGGTAGGTTTCTGGACTCTTTCAACCTCTCCGGCGTCACCTACCACGGTGTTGTCAACAGAGACATTGTCACAGGCCGCACCGGCAGTGTCCTCGACTAGATGCGTTGATCGTTATTCATTCTCAAATTCATACGGGATGGTATAGCTTTACCGGGGCACCCGGTCACTTTTTTTCCATGAGGCGAGGATTCCACTACCTGGCGGAATCTTTTCCGGAGAATGTTTCTAGAGACCAGGGAGGAAAGCCCTCATCAAACCTTCCCCGATTTCCAGAGAGAAACGGCCTCCTAGGTTGTCCTTCTTTCTCGCAATATCCTCCTGATTCCGGCAAGGGGCAGACGGGTGATGGATTGGCGGAAAAATCCCCGCCGCGCTTGTTGTTGTCGTTACTGTCATCGTAGTAGTTGTTATTATTTTCGGAGACAAGATCAATCATGGCAGTTATCATGATGATGATGAAAATGGAGATGCTTCTGATGTCTTGAATGTAAAGTTCCCACACAGGCGAAACTTATGAGTTCATCCTCCAGTGCCTTTTTCGCAAAAGGGAACTCCTCCCTAAAGTGGTTAGGGCTAGCTCTGGATATCATATGACAAGGCAGCAACAATTCTGCTTATAGTATTCATTATAGTGTCTGTGAGTTTATTCTACTACATCCCTTGTCCTCCATCTGATTCTTATAGTCTGTCGGCATTGAAGTAATGGAACAGGATACCGGTAGAGATCTCTAGGCGGCAGTTGTCTGAAAGGTCGCCAAGTTGATACAAAACGACAAGCAGGCAGAACAGGACCAGGGTCTTATACCAAGATATAGAGCTAAGAAATAAAGAGCATTCCTTATCCAAGCTCAGATCTAACTATATCATCAATGCAGGACCCATTGAAACAGCGAAAACGGGATCATGGACTTGCCGATGACTGTCAAGGTTCACTGGAGACGTTCAAGAGAATATCTCAAGGTATTATCTGCCGCCTGGGTCCGGGAGCACTAAGCCTGGACACGGACGAAAAGGAGGCGGTCTAGCCAGACAAGAGAGTGCGAATACCAGGGCGGGCATTGCTTTCGAAGCCGCAGCTGTTATCATAAATGATGGCAAGCAAGTATCCGTTAAGATCAGCGCTGGCAAGGGGATTCTATAGCGGTCCCACGAGTAGGAGAGTATCAAACTAGTACTTCAGTTTTAGATACTTTGCTACTATGGTACTCGTCACAACTCAGCTGTATCACAGCCAGCCCGGATGGGCAATCTGGCTAGAGACGAATCTGGTGAAGTTCGATTGTTTTCGGTCCGAAATTGTAGTGGCTTGATCTAAGACAGCTGCTGGGCTACTCTCAGAAACTTTGCTTGAACAGAAGGAACAAATCATAATTTTCACGATGTGTCTTTAAGATTCGTTTCTCATTTATTCGTGACATCGTCAGATCAGTTCGTAATTTACACATTTTGCCTTCCTACTTCTCCTCTTCTGGCTGCTCTTCTGCATCTCTTTCTCTGTCCGCCATCTGAATCATAACCTGATGCTTATCCCAAGACTCCTCCCAGATCTCCGGCGAATTCTGCAGTGTGTCCAAGGCGGGGGCAAAAAATTGCGCCTTCATCTCCTTCATCGATTTGACGTACAGCTCGTAATTCTCAATTACGCGGTTCAGGATGTCCCATAGCGCGATGAGAAGGCGTGAGACCTCTGATCGGTCGACATTGACCTCTTCATCTTCAAGGACGAGCTGTCGATTGCTTGTGCGGAGGAAACCAGTGTACACGTATTCGTCGTAGAGTTCCAGGAAGACGGATAACAGGCGTCGTTCAAGGGGACGGGGTTTTTTGAGGTGTCTTTTTATAAATAAAAATATATCATTTAGTACATTAAAAAAATCTCGGAGCGTGAGTAAGGTGATCTTACATCATAACCACTTGCGCCATACGCTGATAGCGAGTATAAGCCGAAATGTCGTTATCCTTTTCGATTTCGGACAAGATATATCTTACCCGAACTGCAACGTCAACCTGCTCCTGGAGCTGCAGATCGATGATGGCAAGGTACTTAATGATTTCGGTAGCGAGGATTTTGATCTCACTCAAGTCCTTCTCTTCAGCCAGGAAGAACCGGATCGGCACCCGTGTCTCCTGCTGGAAGATGATATAGTTCATCCGGATTACCATGTTTGTCATGGCAGTGAACCGTCTTCTTATGGGCAGCTTCAGACGAGGATTAGCGAGAAGGAAGCGCACTTCGTCAAGCAACACATGGAGATGGGAGGCTCGGATGCTATTGTATAGCCAGGATGGAGAATCGATTTCCTCCTCAATATCCGGGGAAGGAGTCTGATTTTGGCTTCCACGTGTCGTCGCAGTTTCGGTGGCATCGGCCCCTGGGGACTTCTCGCCCATTTCAGGCTGCAGAACGGCTTCCTTCTTTACAGTGAGCGTCTGGGGGGTCTCGGAGAGAGCTGGATCAGCCGTCTGGGGCGGGAAATCCGGGAACGAGGCGACCCTACTATCGATGTCCCTGAAGCGGATGACCTCTTCGGCAACCTTGGAGATGGCATAGTTATATGCGGCCTCGTGTTCCTTGTCCATCAGCTGCACGTTATTCTCGCATGACTCGTAATAGTCGGGGAACGGCTCGACCTGTTCGTCGTCTGCCTCACGCTTCAGGTCTCCAGTGCTGAGTGAGAGCTCTGTCAGTGTGGTTTCACCTCCAGAGCTCATTGCTGCCTCGTTTTCAAATGAACTTTCTTGGGAAGCCATCGGAGCAGGCGCGTTTTCGTCTCTGGTAGAGGGGCCTGGATTCGTACTTCTAATGGAAATGCCACCGTCATCAGAATCAGCGTCAACCGGGCTTGTGTCCTTCGTAGGGCTTTGAGCAACGGTGCTGTTGGACTCGGTGGCCTCCCTGTGGTCTTGGGTATTTGTGATCTCGGCAAGCACAATGGTTTCGAGAGATTTGAATAGAAGGCTAGAAATTGTTGATTTTTCAGAAGTCTTTGGCTTGTTGTCGCCCTATACAATATGTATACCTGGTTAGGAATAATCTTTCTGGGATAAAGGATCTGCGCAGCACTAGGGAGGTAAACGCTTACCTCCTCTGGCTGAGATATCTTTGCTTCTGGTTCCATTATGGACTTTTTATGGCCTATTTAGCCCCAGAGGTGAAGAGGGAAAGACAATCTTAGATAAAAAAGAATTAGATCAATATGGGAGTATGTGTAAGATACATATAAGAAGTAGGGTCGATGAGGAAAAGTGCAGATATAAAGAAAAATAGTGGCTGGCTCTCACTTTAGGGAAATATAGTAATATAGGCATCTATTCACTTTATTTGCTGAGATGATGGCCTTAATATTCTAGGATAGCCCTCTTAGTATGAACTAAGTGAATAATAGTTTCTTTACTCTACTAGTAAGCTTAAAATGCTATTCACATCTTACAAGCTTTGAATTGAGGCCATCTTTACCCGGGTATGTATGCCTATGCAGGTCTAGCAAGATGAAGATTCAAGGTCAATCAGCAACCAGAGGTTTCATCTGTTGCTATATTTTACATCATTTGAGGTCAGCTCAGATGTTATATGCGTTGAAGGCCTAATATAGGTTTTAAATTAGCATATTTCGGTGCGAGTGGAAGGAAAGTAGGGGTTGATCTTCACTTGCAGTATTCATTTTCAAGTACTAATTTTGATACAGCCTCGACCACCTGGACAATGTGAAAAGATAAAAGAAGGATATATACTGTTTGAGTATAGAGTACAAATTTCTACAGGGTCTTATATCTCTACAAGATAAAAGCATGAAAGTTTTACAATAGTGGTGGCATTGCAACAGCTACCCAAAGTATAGAAAGAAGTCTTGAATTTACAGCAGGTCGATCAAAGAACGCTCATGGTAATACGAAATAGCGATCCAAGCCAATCGAACCAAGCAGCCTTGCCTTCCCTTAGGGATTGATTGATTAGCAAAGCAGAGCGTACGAAGGAACGACGCAAAACGCTTCGATCCAACAACGCTGAGCTTTTCAGCCAAGAGCCCAGAGGTTAAGAAGGTCTAAGTAGATCTTCGCACAGTGACTAATCGGCACGTCATTGGCAGGAGCGTGACAACTTAAAGTAGTGCGTGGAGGAGCAGGAGAAAGGCTCAACTTGTATCATATAGAGGAGAATTGAAGTACCTGAGAAATTATCAATCATCTTTCTTCGATAGACTCTCACGTTTCAACGTCTCTGCGTCTTCCTCGTCGTCATCGGGTAAAGGAACATCCATGACATGTTCTCCGACTTTCTCCAAAGTCCTCCGACTCCATGCTCTTAAGGCTTTGTAAACAGTCTGCAGGTTTTGTTAGATACTCAGCGGAAAGAGATCATAGTCCATAGACCTACCACAAGGAAGGCTCCAACGCCGATCAAAATAACCAGCCATGTAACAGACGAGACCCGGCTCCGTCCAGTATTTCTGCCGCTACTGACCAGGCCAGTACTGCGCAGACCCCACCAGTGCCATGACGACAAGGCGAATAGAGCTTTAATAAAAGACAGGACTCCTAAGGAGGCCAACCCCTTGGTGAAATGAAGAAGCCAGCGATTAAAACTGCCCGTAGCCACAACATCAAACTCTAGGTCGGGTTCCCAAAAGTCTAAGTCATAAAAGGATTCCATGTGGGTGAAATAGAGATGGATAATGGGGTCAGCAACGAAACCGAGCAAGAAAACAGTTGAAATCAAAACAAGAAAGGTTAGTCCGAACTGGGTCCAGATGCTACTAATCCAGCGAGCCCATCTAAGGCGTTCGAGACGATACTGAAATCCACAGGTCGGGCAGTGCCAGTAGTTTCTCGACCGGTAATCAGAGTCGGCATGCCGCCAGTATCTAAGACAGCCTTCATGAACATATCGAGATGACCCCTTGCACTTGCACGGTCGTAGCAGTCGCCCCAAATCCGGATCTGATGACATATAAATAACGCGTGGGTTGTGCTGCAGAAATCCAGGCAAGTTCTCTGACGGGGGTTCATAGGTCGGGAGAACCACCTCCAAACAAATACGGCACGTTCGAGGAGGGTAGTAACGCTTCTCGGAGGTCTCATCGGGTGTCGCCTGCGTACCCGACTGATGCATGTCCTCCACAACATGAGATACCTCGTCCGTGTCTGGCTCACTCATGGCCGATGCTTCAGACGGCCACTGCCAGCGAGGCTCATTTATATCCACAAACAGTAATGAACTCGACAGTCTCACCAGATAACATTGCTGGTGACTGCGATTCAACAGGCCGGATTACATGCACAAGTGACCTTTGCCAGTTCAGCACGCTGAAGTAACAGGCCCAGGGAAAGAAGAAAAGTCTGGGAAACAGAGAACAACGAGACCTTTTGTGGATAGAAAGAGCTCCACGCTGACCAAGCCCAAAACGGACACTAGCCGCTCGCCTAGCGTCACCGCCTTTGCTCTGTAGGCGCGTGGCTTGGCACTGCTCTGGGCGATACCGCGTCAACACCTTGTCGCCTGGAAGCTCAACCAGCTCCAGCCAGCCGTTGCAACCCTCGCATCCATCTGACCACCACCGAGTCTGCTGCCGAAGACTTGTTGTTACTGTTGTGTTTCTGAATACATTTTAAGAGAAAATCATATCTCCCAGATCGTCTCCATGGCGGACCGCTATTCTTTCTCCCTGACCACCTTCTCGCCCAGGTAGGTTGGAGCTCCCCCGCTTGTAGGAGAAGAGGTTTATGTTAACGATAGTCTATAGCGGCAAGCTGGTTCAGATTGGTATTTTTTATCTGGAGGTTGTTGAAGATTCACCATGATGCTAATTTGCCTAGAATATGCCTTGAACGCTGTCAACCAGGGTGTGACTGCCCTGGGCATCAAAGGTACCGAGATCCAATCTGACTCCCAACACTGGCGAACCTGGCGGGCTTTCAGCTAACTGTTCTTCTTTCCTTTCCTTTCTCGACGATTAGCTACGAATGGAATTGTTCTTGCAACCGAGAAAAAGTCATCCTCACCGCTCATCGACCCGCCATCGCTCTCGAAGATCTCTCTCATCACCCCTGACATTGGCATGGTCTATGCGGGTATGGGCCCGGACTACCGTGTGCTCGTAGACAAGGCCCGCAAGGTTTCCCACACCGGCTACAAGCGGATCTATAACGAGTACCCCCCCACCCGGATATTGGTGCAAGATGTTGCCCGTGTGGTACAGGAAGCCACCCAGTCTGGTGGTGTTCGGCCCTACGGTGTGAGTCTGTTGGTTGCCGGCTGGGATGAAGGCATCGAACCTGAAAGCGGAGAGAGCCAGCTCGGGAGCACAGGCGAGGAACCGAAGAAGACCCCCGGTAAGACCGGCGGTATCCTCAAGGGAGGCCCCAGTCTGTATCAGGTCGACCCCAGCGGCAGTTACTACCCCTGGAAGGCCACGGCCATTGGAAAACATGCTACAAGCGCCAAGACCTTCCTCGAAAAGCGTTATACTGAAGGACTCGAGCTGGAAGACGCCATTCACATTGCCCTCTTGACTCTCAAGGAGACAATTGAGGGCGAAATGAACGGTGACACGATAGAAATTGGTATGTCTAGAACTACACATACATACGTATATGTATTGCACTCGAGACTAATCGATCTAGGTATTGTGGGACCGCCGGCCGATCATCTGCTGGGAGTCGAGGGTGTGGAAGGCGCCAAAGGCCCCCGGTTCAGGAAATTGAGCAAAGAGGAGATTGAAGATTATCTCACCAATCTATGATTTATTTACGTCGCCACAGATATTCGTTTGCACGTTATTTGAGCCTTGTAGTATAATAGATCATGGCAAGTCTTGCGAGGCAATCTTTCTCTGGTAGACAACCATCGCTGCAAGGATAACTATCTGATCACCACTGCTGGTACCACGAGCTCCTCTTGATCATTCTGGAGAAGTTCTAGATGCCCCTCCCTTGTAAACCCATCACCTCAAACCATGCCGAGGTTTTCTGCTCCTTGTTATCTCCTATGCGTATATATATATGTCCCCGCTACTTCACGCTCCATGCCGAGGGACTCCAGTGCAGCCTACAAGATCACAGTGAGAATCTCTATGGTTCCTTCTGCTCATTGGAAAGGGCCTAACTTTATATGGAAGCCTTATTCAACAGTATCGCATCTGAGAAACAGAAACCAGACCAATGATTTGCTGAAACTCCTATTGACTTCTCTCGTCCAGCTCGGCGTAACCTGATGATCAAGTCTAGAGAAGTCTAAGCTTCACGCCAAAGAGCTTCCTCCACGGAGTATACAATAGTTATGGATCTCATTTGATGTAAGAACAGCCTGCTTGACATTACCCCGCATAGGCCTTGCAGCTGTTTAATGGGTTATATCAGACGTTGCAAAGCTACGCTTAGCTGAAGCCGACCGCATTAACTAGTGTCGACCTGTCGACTTCCGAACAACCAGCAACAACCCCTTGACCCAACTCCTGATAATACGCCTGATGAGATCGATCGTGGTCCCAATAATGCACGGGGTAAGTTGCTGCCGTTCGAGTAACTGGTATACGGAGTACGCGTTATTTCTCTAATGATCTCAGTTCCGCCGATCTAGAGCCTAGGGTAACAGAGAATCGAAGCTGCTCTCCACTCCGCCCCCTACTGGTACTGTCTGTCTTCCAGGATACGAACCTTTTTCTTTGTACAACCCGACGACCCTCAGAGGCTCATTTTCGTTTGTCTACTGGTTCTTGGTCTCTGGTAAAACGATTGACAACCAGACCAGACCAATCTAGAAAGCTCATGGACAATGGCAGAGCAGCGCTCGAAGCCTGAAGTCGTTGTTACCCAACTTACCCACCGTGGAACGGCATTAACTATCTTCTTCTCCACTGGACAGCGCCCACTTTTCAAGCAGACCCCGTTGGTTCGGAGTAGGCTACTAGCCTCATAATACACACCTTTAGGGACATGTGAGAGGATAGTTAAGAACAGGATAGGATTGCGGAGATGGGACAGAAGAACCTCCTCATCCCCCCCTCCTCCCCTAGGCTGCTGGTTCGCTTGCCCTCTCTTTTGTGCGAGGTTTGTTTTTGAATCTGACAGCAAGTGCAGCGCCATCCCCGCGGTCAGAACTGCAGGCGACCTGTGCGATCTGTGCCAGAGAACAAGCTTGTCAGTCGCCCAATTGGTGCTTTTCTTTTGGAGAGGACCGATGGAGGGTACGATGTGCGACCTCAAGGCACAAAATTGACCTACCTGTGCATATCCCTCCCCCCCCCCCACTGGAGGCCTTTCAAGTGAGCTCTCTGACCCCGCCCCCTTCCTCCCCGACGTCTGCTCCCCTGCGATTGCTGCTTCCCGCAGCTGCTGTCATGTCGGTGAAGGTTGAGGTACAGGAGGAATTTGGCAGCCAGCCACTACTGCCAAGGAGTCGCCGTACCTGGCAGAGAGGGCCTTAGGAGAAGGGAGATCGGCGTGGTCTATCTTTCAATACTATAGCCCACATCCTCGACTCGCGGCAGTCTCTTTGAAAGCATCCTCGGCGATCTCCACACTTGTTTGCATTGAAAAGAGTAATAGAAGATCACTCTATCTTGCTAATAATAACCCCAGGCCAGTGTTCGGCTGTCAGGCTCAAATTCCAGTCGGAAAGCACGACTCTGCAGACGGAAAAAAGACGAAGATATCGACCATTCTTTCCCCCCCCCTTCCGTTCTCGCAAGAATGAACCATGTCGTCCACCCAAGATCCCCTCGACGGTATATCGGGTGAGCTTGCACATGACGGGGATGTAATGAAGATAGTTCTCATAGTCTTCATCTCCATCTCGTGGTATAACGTGACGGAGCTTGTGGTTCTCGTCCTGTCTACGTTTCGGCGCTGGCGAGGGCTCTATTTCTGGTGTCTCCTTTTGTCTGGCTGCCTGGGTGTCGGGCTATATTCTCTCGGCTTCATGCTCAAGTTCTTCACCCAGGCCAACTCGACATTCTCAGTCACGGTCCTTACCGTCGGCTGGTGGGCCATGGTCACCGGCCAGTCCGTTGTGCTCTACTCGCGGCTCCATCTAGTCCTACGCGACGAGGGTATCCTGCGGCGCGTGCTAATCATGATCATCGTGGACTTCTTCCTCCTGCACGTCCCTACCACAATCCTGACCTACGGCTCGAACGTCAAGAACCGATCAGGCCTGTTTGTCGAGGGCTACAACATCATGGAGAAGATTCAGATGACCGGGTTCACCATCCAAGAGGCCATCATCTCAGCTCTCTACGTCTCCGAGACGGTCAAGCTGCTGCGGCTGGGCTCTGATCATACCAAACGCAGGATCATGTACCAGCTTGTTGGAATCAACGTTGCCATGTTTGTTATGGACCTCGTGCTTCTGGGGCTCGAATACGCAAGTTACTATGCCGTCCAGATCACCCTCAAGGGCGTCATTTACAGCGTCAAGCTCAAACTCGAGTTTGCCGTCCTGGGAAGACTCGTCGATGTCGTCCACGGCGACAGACAGTCCGGCGCATTAGGCAACAGTCTCCGCCTGGCCTCGTTCCCGTATTCCAGCGACCAGGCCCCCGGGGCTCCCTTGAACACGCTGCCGGTCCCGACCTTTTATAGCGCGCCAGTGACGGACATGGACACACCAGACTCCCGGCTGAATCACGAAGACCAGATGGATGAGTCGGACGGGAAGATGCTAACGATGAGGCATTTCTCGACCTGGGTCGAAGATTAGACCGGAAGGTTGCAAATAATGGCTGAGATGACGAAATGTGTAGTATGTTAATATATTATATCCAGGATGCATATACAGCACAATCAAAACATAGCATCAAAAAAATATAAAATGACCGGACTGATGTACGGAGTAGTACGGAGTACTAATAACTAGTTTATAGGTATTTGAATAGTTAACTAATCTTTTGCTGAGGCTAATCGTATGATCTACCCACAGAAAGGTGCATAAGCACTCTTATTCGACAACGATAAGCACGTACATACAACCACCTATTTTTTTCTCTAGAAGAAACTTGCTTGTATGGTCTGATGTTGGCTCGAGACCCTTCTTCTGGCCCTCCCATCTCTTGAAAGCCTGGCACTAACGTGGCCCCAGTGGCACCCCTTAGTTACTACATGGAAGCCCACGCCTTAGGGCTCCCACTGGCACTTGTGGGCTTTCTGCCTCATCCCCCTCCTTTTTTTTTCCCTTTCCCCCAGTTGGTCCCCCGGACATGAGCCTTAAGGGTGTTGACCCAGGGATGGATGGCTATTAAGCTACCACTAACTGCTAGTCAAGTACTCTTGGCTAACTGATTCAAACTGTTGTTATTGAGCCTCAATTCCGATTTTAATTGTTTCTCTTTCTATCGTTTCATACCTTCTACAGGGGATGTTCGCTATCGACACGAGAGAACCCTGGCAAAACAAATCCATTGAGTCCATTGAATGCTTCGATATAACTAAACCTCCTCACGATAAATATGCATACGGCGGTGGCCTTTTGATCGAGGACCGCATGGTCGATTAGCAAGATTTGATTTGAATTTTTTCTCTTTTTGGCTCTTTCTCGTGTGCTGTCTTTCGTTTTGTGAGTGCAAGGTACGGACTCTACGGAGTAAATTTAGATTAATTCCTCCCAATCTCCCCCTCCCCGCTTGAAAGGTCCGATTGAGTCCGATAGATTATCGGATTTTTTTCCCCTTGCTCACTCACCCCTCCTCCATCCCTCCCTCCCTCCTCCTTTCTCCCCGCATGTCCGTTCTTATCTTTGTGGTCCCGGTGCTGTACAGAGTACGTACAACAGGCGATTTCACGGACACAAGTGTGGGAAGAGAGAAAGAGAAGATCAGCTCACGCATGATTCATAGTGGCTTCTGAGTGGGATTCGCTCGCCGCATCGAGACTGAATATGTGGGAACAGGATCGCGCCGCCGGTTTCTCGGATCGTATCGCTTCCCGGAGCTTCCTGCCTCGTGCACCGTGTGTAAACCTGTCCGGCGACCAGCAGCGTGCTGATACCACCGCAGCCACCGGGGCCTTGACGTCTTCCGAGAGGAGGAGGGAGGAAAAGAGGGAGGAAAAGAGGGAGCAAAAGAAGGAGGAAAGTAAGAAGCAAAGGCAACAGACGGAGAAAGAGGGGGAGAAGAAGGAAGAGGAGAAGGAGCAGAGAAAGGAATCGGCAAAGCCCGTCGCCGTCGTTATCACTAGGATGGTGTCCGTCCACACCATGCCGTCGCTATCAAGTGCCTCGCCATCGTCACCTTCGGTGTCATCGGCCTCTCTTGACACGCGCGCGTATGTCGGGCTGGAGGGCAGCCGCAATCTGCTTGAAGATGACGGGACGGGAACGCTGGTCGTGCCGCGAACCGCACAGTTCGGTCATATTTATACCTGTCTCTTCCACATCCTGGACTGCCACGAGACCTTTGACTGTGCCGACGAATGGAAAACGCATGTCCTTAGTCACTTTCGGACGCACTCGCCCCCGAACACCGCCCGGTGTCCGCTGTGCCCGGACGAGCGGTTCCTCAGCGGCATGCGCCACAGCGCCTGGGACCGCATGATGAACCATGTGCTTATTGCGCACTACCACCAGGGTCAGACCCTAGCCCGTAGCCGGCCGGACTTTGAGCTGATGCAGTATTTGTACCGGCTGAAAATCATCAGTGATGATCAATTCAAGGCAATGCAGTTGCCGCCGGCCCCCTCCAGCCCGGCATATCACCGCTCCCAGGACTCAGTCCGGGCGAGTATCGGATCGGCCGACGAGCCATATTGTGCTCCGTACAGCCGCCGGCGAGAAGAGCGGATGCGAGGTCGACGACGAGGAATCAGTTGTGTATGATTTCCAACACCAAAAAAAAAGCAACGACCTTGACCGCTGCCCTGCTCGAATGAGCTGTTTTTTTACATCTTCAGTCCCGCCTGGTTTCCTTCTTCTCTTGTATCAATGTTTGCAGACGGGATGCTGCCGATACCCCTATATTTTATCCTCGATGTGCCCTTGATGAATGTCCATGTATCAGATACGTTTTCATGCCCCCCAGTTGATGATTCCACCAAAAAGAATATGCTTTGTGTACGACATGCAGATTTGACTTACTTTCTTACTACCTTCCCTCCGAAAATTCCCACAAGCAGTATGCTTAATTCTAGCTGAAGAGGCGATGATTGATGAGAAGGAAACACATAGGTATGTATCCCAGGATACCACTTCGTAGACCGGAGACATGGATAGGGACTGCCTAAGGTCGGTGAGCACCTGGCAAGCAACAGAGAACAGAGAAGCACGGGATACCTTGGCTATCACTTCACACACCCCGCCAGCCTGCACAATCTGACAGGTCGAATATGATACTGAGCAGTAGCTCCTAGCTTTGAAACTAGAGGGAGTTACTCCGTAGTAATATGGTAGACTGGAGTACAGAGTAGCCAAAGATGGTATCCTGAGCCAGCTCCCTCCTTGGCCATGAACGTATCATCTTCGTTGGATCATAAGACTTGAAATCATATCGTCAACTGTCTCTTGAATATTCTCATGCCGAAATCTAGGAGCATCTGATCTTTTTTTGAGTATATCGATAACCTCCTAATCAAACAGAGCAAACATCACCCATTGAACTCACCACTCAGTATGATGCTTAGACAGGGTATCAGACAATAAATTTATATTTAAAAAAAACTAGTTCTATATCCCTATTAACTTATTAAAATAAAGTAATTAATTATATTTTCTGTGCCTGAGATAAGGCTGATAGTGTCACTGTTGCACTTGCGCTTCTGCAAACGCCCCACGAAAAGCCATCGTTTCCGCTCTGCCACTCCTCTCGCTTGCCCATCCTTTCACCCCCTCACTTTAGACGCGCGCTCCCCGCCCACAGTCTGCGAGAGAGATGGAGAGACTCTCAATAAATGATCCCCCGCCCGGGCCTCAGCATGGTAATAATGCCCAGCAGGGCCAGCAGGGCCAACAGCCACCGCAAGTGGGAGTGTCCCAGGGCCCCCCGCAATTACCGCCGCAGATGTTCACAACCGCCGCTCAGCTGTTAGATTTAACAGATAGTATGTCTTGTTCTTGGATTATTTCTTATTTTCCCCCTCGATTGGAGCAGCGGCTGACTGTAAATCAGAGAAGCTAGTCCTCGTGCTCCGTGATGGACGGAAGCTGATCGGTGTGTTAAGAAGCTGGGATCAATTCGGTATGGCTAAAACAATTTATTCGTCTGGACGACGACGTGTCTAACAAATCTTGACAGCCAACCTTGTCCTCCAAGATACAATCGAACGGTTATATGCTGGAAATCTCTACGCCGATATCCCTCGTGGGATCTTCCTTGTTCGTGGCGAGAATGTGCTGCTTCTGGGCGAAATCGTATGCTTTCCGTTCCTCTTGAGGGGGGGTTGGTTTAAAGCTAATGGCTCCGTCTAGGATCTCGACAAGGAAGACGATATCCCCGCGCACCTTCAAAAGGCCCCGTTCCAGGAGGTCTTTGACCTGAAGAAGAAAGAAGACAACGAACGCAAACGGTCCGATAAGAAGCGTAACAACCAGCTGCAGGGTCTTGGCTTCGAAGCTGAGCACAGCGGAGAGATCCTCTTCTAGTCAGCAGACCGAACCGTTTCATCGAGACCCTTGGCTCGGGACCTGCTCTTTGTTTGAGCCACGCCCGCGGCGATTTCACCCGTTTCGCCACCCTGAGATGGGCGCTGCGGTCTGCAGAGCGAGCGGAACTACATATTGGTCTCGCTCTTGAGCGTTTGCAAGCAGTTACAAGCAAATAAAGAAGGGGTAGAGGGGGTAGAAGGGGGGGGGGGTAGGTGGAAAGGTATTCACACTACGTGAAAAATTTAGAGGGATCTCTCGGGTTATTGTGTGTCCCAGTCGACCTCGATCCGTGAGCATCATCAATATGTTGGACAGATGATAGGGTGGAGGCTGCCAAGTTCGAAATCTCCTTGTCCTCGGCCCATGCAGACTCACACCCCATCCTCTTCCTCCCAGTCAGTCATCGTTTCTCCCTGTCTCCAAACGAAGTGCTTCCAGAGACGTAGCGAGTCCTTGGGGCAAAGGCGTCAGGAATCATCAGACGGGCCGGCGAATTTCTGCTAGATATCTGGTCGGTCTTATTGCATATTATTTATGAGAAAAATTCACTATATTATTTGACACTACCTACTCGCTATCGTCTTATTGCAATTGTTGTAGTTATCATTGTTTCTTGGAAGTCTTTCGTCTATCGATAGGCCCGCCAAGACTTTTGTACTGTTTGCCAAAAAAAATATTCTGCCCCAGAGAAAAAAAAGTCCTCCGCGGTGCTGGTCCATCACCAACTGCAAAACCCCGATTCCTCAGCTGCCTGCTGGTCGATTGCGCGTCATGGCGACCCTGGCCGAGAGGCTCGAGAAGATCAAGTCTCCCAAGCTGCAGAATCAGCACCATGTGCGTCCTTGAACCTGGCCATCCCCCCAAACTCGTGTCCCCGCTCTGCCGCTAACTGAGAGCTCTCTCATAACAGACCGCTGTGGTGCTCTCCGCCGTCGAGGATACGCTCCGTGACCAGAAGGCCGACTTTTCGGCGACGGCGTACTTTGCCGCGCTGCTTGCGTTGCTCTCCCAGTCCATCTCCGTCTCGCAGGGGATCGTCAACAAGGATCTCGCAACCTCGGTGGTCTACCTGCTCGATCTGACGACCGCCTACGTGCCGGAGCCGATTCTTCGATCGAAATTCTCGCAGATCCTCACCAGTCTCGCGCCAGCTCTCTCGCTCCCGGATGTCGAAGCCCCGCTGCTGCGGCCGTCGATCGGCTGCCTCGAGTCCCTGCTGGTCGCCCAGGATGCCGCCGCCTGGAACCTCCCACACACCCAGGTTGGTCCGCGCCGGGCGATCGCCGGCCTGCTGAGTCTGTCCGTCGACCACCGTCCGAAAGTGCGCAAGAGGGCGCAGGACGCCCTGATCAAGGTGCTCAAGACCCCGCCGCCGAGCCCGTCGCTCGACCACCCGGCCGCAGACATGTGTGCAGAGACTGCCCTGCGCACGCTCCACGACAGCATTGCGGCGGCCGCCAAATCCAAGAAAGGCCGCCACGATAGCCGGGAGAGCCACGAGCCGCTTGTCATTCACTCGCTGCAGCTGGTGAAGACGATCGCGACCGCGTCGGGCGGCTGGCCGAGCAAGAAGATTGAGCCTCTGTGCGAGCTGCTCATGAATGCATCCCGGTCCAGCAACGAATACATCACGATGGGTGCCTTTGAGGTGTTTGAGGTCATCTTCGAAGGCATGGCCGACGAATTTTCCTCCTCTAAGCTGCCCCGCCTCTTGGACGCCATCTCGGAGCTGAAGCCGGCCCAGAACGACTCGCAGCTGCTCCCCCCGTGGATCGCCGTCTTGTCGCGCGGGTATGATGTGTCCGCGCAGATCAGCCCCGAGGATACCTTTGAGAAACTGCCGGAGCTTTTCAATCTGGTTGCTGCCTTCTTGGCGTCTCCCTCGAGCAACATCCGCGTCTCTGCATCCGAGTGTCTGATCTCCTTCCTGGCCAACTGCATCCCGGACAACGTCATCGTCGAGCCCTCCGTCTACGACGAGAAGACGCTGGAGAAGTTGGCTCGGTCAGCGACTGATTTACTCTCCGTCAAGTACCAGGCCGCGTGGGTGGAGGTGTTCAACGTTTGCTCCGCCATGTTCGACAACTTCAAGTGGCAGTCCAGCCCATTCCTGCTGGATATTGTAAGAACGGTCGGAGAGCTGCGCAGCAATGAGTCGTTCCACGGCAAGAAGGAAGCCGATCTGGTGCTGGGTAGTGCAATCAACGCCATGGGCCCTGCGGCCGTGTTGGAGTTGCTCCCGCTCAACATCATCCAGCAAAAGTCGGGCCAGCCGGGTCGTGTCTGGCTCCTCCCGATTCTGCGGGACTATGTCTCCAATACGAACCTCGGCCATTTCCGTACCGAGTTTGTCCCACTCAGCGAGGCCCTCTACCAGAAGGTCATGGACTACGGTTCCGCCGAGAAGAGCGTCGAGGTGAAGATCTTTGAAACCCTTGTCCAGCAGACCTGGGCGGTCCTGCCGGGCTACTGTGAGCTGCCGTTGGATCTGGTGGAGGCTTTTGACCAGAGCTTTGCCGAGTTGCTTTCCAATGTCCTTTACAAACAGACTGAGCTGCGCGCCGACATCTGCCGATCGCTACAGAATCTTGTCGAGTCCAACCAGGCCATCCTCTCACTGGAAACCGAGGGGGATGACTTGCTGGTGCAGCGGCGGATCTCCAAGGATGCAGCAAAGAAGAACATCGCTCATCTCTCTACATTCGCAAGCAACCTGTTGGCCGTTTTGTTCAACGTATACAGTCAGACACTCCCTCACTACCGGGGCTACATCCTTCAGTGCATCAATGCCTACCTCAGCATTACCCCCGAGAAGGTAAGACCCCCTCGCCAGAAAAAAAAGAAAGAGAAAAAGAAATGTTTGAGTGAAATGGTCTAATTAGTTACTATAGGAACTGAGCGAAACGTTCATTCGCGTTACCTCGATGCTCGAGTCATCTCTTACCTCCGAGTTGGAGGCCGCCAAGAATGGAAACCAGCAAAAAGATCCTTCCGACAAGATGCCACCGACATCACACACCTTGATGGATCTTGTCATTGCGATGTCCATCTACCTGCCTCGGACCAGCTTTTCCAGTCTGTTTGCGCTTGCTGCCGTGGTCTTGAACAATGACAAGTCGGACCAACAATTGGTCAAGAAGGCCTACAAGCTGATCCCCCGTCTCGCCACCACAGAGACTGGACGTGCGGCGCTTCTGGAACGCAACGCGGAGCTACAGACTCTTATGCTCACTACGGCGGACAAGGCTCCTTCGTCTGCCCGTCGAGACCGGCTGCTGGCCATCTACGAGCTCGTCACCTACCTCCCCACCTCTGACCTGCACTTCATCCCTTCCATCCTCTCCGAGGTGGTCCTTGGCTGCAAGGAGAGCAACGAGAAGACGCGGACGGCCTCTTTCGAGTTGCTTGTCCACCTTGCCAAGCGGACGACCGATGCGGAAAAGAACCCTCCAGGCACCAAGATCCGGAACTCCATGGTGCCGCATATGCCGGACAATTCGCCCGACGCCCCGGCGACCATTGAGGAGTTCTTCACCATGGTCTCTGCCGGTCTGGCCGGCAGCTCACCGCACATGGTCGCTGCTTCGGTGACAGCGCTGTCGCGCCTCTTCTTCGATTTCCACGCCCAGCTGGAGGCGAACATCGTCTCCGACCTGGTACAGACAGTCGGCTTGTTCCTCACGAGCAACAATCGCGAAATCGTCCGGTCTGTGCTAGGCTTCGTCAAGGTGGCTGTGGTCGTGCTACCGGAGGAGGCGCTGCGTTCGCGCCTCAACTCACTGGTCCCTAATCTAATGGTCTGGAACAAGGAACACAAGGGCCGTCTCCGCAGCAAGGTCAAGAGCATCCTGGACCGGCTGATCCGCCGCTTCGGCGCGCCACTGATTGAGGAGCTGGTCGGCGAGGCGGACCGCAAGCTGGTGGTCAACATCCGCAAGCAGCGTGAGCGCCGCAAGCGCAAGAAGAAGGAAGGCGAGGAAGAAGGCGACGAAGAGAACAACAACAAGGATGACGACGAAGAGGCCGGCGAGGGTCGTAAACAGTTCAGCAACGCCTTCGACAAGGCTGTGTACGGGTCCGACTTCTCCGATTCCGACGACGACGACGACGATGCTAGCGAAATCGACATCGACGAGGACGGCACCATGCACACGCGAAGCAAGCAAGGCGGCAAGGGCGGCAAGGGCAAGGGCGGCGCGTCCTCCTCCAAGCGCGAACAGAAACAGTACATCCGCGAACTTTCTCCAGAGGATAACCCGCTTGACCTGCTCGCTCCGGACGCCCTAGCCAGCATCTCGACGACGAAGCCGAGCGTGCGGTTCCTCAACGCCGGCCCGGGCGCCAAGAACAGAAAACCGCACCAGCGGCCCGCCAAGTTCGGCCCCGACGGAAGACTTGTTCTCGGCGACGACAACGACACTGCCATGAGTGGTGGGTTGGGTGGTACTGGCGGTGCTGGAGCTGGTGCCGATGCTGGTGCCGGTGAAGCTGCGGGTGTCGACGCCTACCTCGCTGCCGTGAGCGGGCCGGACGCCGTCCGACGCGGCCAAAAGGGGAAATTGAAGATGTCGCAGGCTCAGAAGAAGAAGGGCAGCGACGCGATGGATCTCGACGAGGATGACAACGAACAAGCCGCGGCGATCCAGGGAGCCCGCTCTGGGAACGGCACCGGAAATCATCAGCGCCGCGGTCTGGGCATGCCCAAGTCCCATGGGCCCAGTCGCGTTGAGAAACGGAGAAATATGGCCAAGCCGGGTGGGAAGAGAAGAAGGTAGTCTTTTTTCTCGTTTTTTTTTTTTCCTTTCTTTCTTTCCTTCTTTCTTTCTCTTCTTTCCTTCTTTCTTGCTCCTGATCTGCATGAGATGACAGAAATGAATCTGCATTATTCCTCCAGTTTGTTACTTAGGTGCTTATAACTATACCTATGGAGTCAGTCCCATGAACAAAAGCAAATTATATCTATTCAAGATTAAAAATATTCATATAAGTAGTAAATGAATTTCTAAATAATAATAATAATAATAATATAATAAGATAACAAGAAACCGGGTATCGAATCCCATACAAGTAGTGCACAATACATCCATTTTCCAGCCTTGATGATGGTGAGAGATATCAACTAGCATAAAGGCAAGCAACTACGCCTGATGACCGGTCAACTCCTTTATCATAGATGCAAAAAGAAAAAGAGAGAAGTTTAAAAAAGAAAAGAAAAAATCATTTCACATCCAGCATTATCGTACTGAGACTAGGATTCAACCAGGTAACTTTCGAGCTTTGCTCAGCCATCGCTGCCACCATTTACCCACGCCGAGAACGGCGGTCTGGCCATCGTCGCGACGCTCGGTGCCGTCCGGGTTTCCGAGGACGGCGGCAAACACCCAAAAGCAAGCTGTGGTCCAGGTGGCGAGGACCAAGGGAATGCAGAGAAAGGCGGAGAGAAGCAGGACGAGCAGCAGGCCGCCCGGGGACAGGTCCCCAAGCGAGGTGGATGTGCAGGAGTGGCGGCGGTAAACGGTTTGGGTGGAGGGTGTGGAACGCCCCGGTTTCCGTGCATAGACGACTCGTTCGTGGGTATGCAAGGCTGGGGCTAGCAACTCGCAGAGCTGCGCGGTGAGAGATGGTGATGATGATGATGACGATGGTGGGGAGAAGGGCGTCCATGAGCAGAGGCGAAGGGGGAAGATAAGGATGGCGAGGATGAGGGCAAATATTGTGTAGAGGGCGGCGAATAGTGAGATGATGGGGACGAAGACGGAGAGTCGGAACTAAGCAATTAGTATGGCATTGAGGCAGAATAATTGTGAAAGATAGGCAAAGAGAAGAACGTACTATCATCGACAAGGCGCCCTCGTTGGCGACAGACGGCGACTCATCGTCATGGATTGCTCGCTTGTCCATGCGCGGGATACTGTACGGACGGTTCTCGCCCGACATATAGGAGGAACGGTCTGTCCAGCTGCCGCGGACGAGGCGCTCTTCTTTGCGCAAGGCACTGCTGTTGTTCGAGGGCAGAGCCAGGATGGGGCCGCCAGGGCCAGACGTCTCTGGCGACAGCGGGGACGGGGTGGAAACCGACTGCGACGGCTCCTTGGGGTGGAAGATGATGATGGACGTCCCGGAGGAGTCCGAGATTCGCTGTTTCGACTCGGAGGGTGGTCGCGAGTCGACCACAGGCGGATCCTGTTGCCTAGGAGGGTGGTGGTGCGACGTATCCAGGGTCACCGGTTCCGCTTTGCTAGTGTAATTGTTGCTCCTGCTCTTAGGATTGCTATCGCCGTCGTCATCGTGAGAAGCCGCCGCCCAACGATCATTCTCCCGGTCTGACATTGCCGGCTGCTCCAGGGCGAGCCGGACCAAGAAAAAAAAAGGAAAAAGAAAAAGAAAAGAAAAAAGAAGGGCCCCAAAGCAGGGGAGCTAGGTCATGTAAGGAGGGAAATTCACAGAGGCTCAACCCGCTGCGGAGGATACACAAGGGTTACACGGCGGCAGTGCAGACAGGACGACAGGAACAGCGTCACCGCATGGCGTCGAGGGCAGGAAGTATATAACGTGGGCATCTGATCCGCGTCAAGTCGGGTGTGGGTGTTGGTCCGGCGGAGGAGGAGGGGGGGGAGGAATCGATGGCGGTGAAATGGTGGCAGCGAGAGGGAAAGGAGGGTTCTCTCTCTCTCTCTCTCAGTCTCTCTCAGTCTCTCAGACTATCGGCGAAGAGGAGAGTAACGGATGGGAGAGAGGCCCAAGACACCCGGAGGAAGAGGGTACGACGGTACCCGGGGCTGGGCAAGAGGAGGGAGGGAACCACGGCGGAGACTGAGGAGAGAGAGAGCGAAAGCAAAAAAGGTCAGCGGGAGGGAAAGCCAACGCTGCCGGTGCTGCTGCTGCGGTGCTTTGCTCGCGCCAAGGGCTCGGCATCTGGGCCTCTCTTGGCGCAAGCAAAAAAATCCTCTCCTCGAGACGCATGGTATGGCGCATGGCAGCGTGTGGGCGCCATTGGGCGGGCAGTGGAACAGCAGACGACGGGCGCAGGATCGATGGGCGCCCTACAGGGAGCGAGCGGTGTTTGGGGACTTGCTTTGGTCCCTTTTATCGCGGAGAATGTGAGGCTCTGGGTACCCTGGGTACGGAGTAAGAAAGGGAGCTGAGGCCGGAAGATGCGAGCCGATGGCCAGCGTACGGCGTACGGCGGTGACGATACGGCGTGCCAAGCTGCCAAGCCTTGACGGGGAATTTCTGCTGGAGCCGGTGCTGCTGATTGGATGTCTGGCGCCCCCGTGATCCACGCTTAGTGAACTCTGTGGTCTTGGCAATACGCCCAACAATGTACTGGTATTGACATGACAGTATTCCGTTTATTGATCGACCTGACCCTGGTTGAAGGGAGATACACAGGAAGGAAACAAGACAGTCCTGAGGGAAAATAGGATCGAATGTGATCTGAATTTCTGTTCGATATTCCTACCAGGCCATGTCTCTCTCAAGGCTACTGCACGGTCAGTTCTGCCGAGACATTGGCAGCGCCACGAGACGTAATCAAACACGAGCCTTGCTCGGCTGGAGACATACTACAATAATTACAACCCTTTCAATGTTCATCCTACAGAGTGATATCAGTTTATTCATTTCTACGTATAACTATGTATCTATAGACCTTGTCAGGTATAAGCCTATGAATGTAAGGTTATCTTGATAACTATTATTATGATTATATGAAGTATATATGGAGTACCTTTGTATATACTTCATGTAAATCGCAGAGATCTATCCAGGGTCTAATTTTCAGTCTCCTGTCAATAATCAAACACAGACCAGCTCACGTCAGGCCCAATCAGGCCCTGTCAAAATGGCCATGGAACCCCTCGGCGGATATCAAAACACCGACGACTTGCGGAGTTCAGGACGCCTAGTCTCACTTAACTTCGTTAAACCTACTGCGTGGTACGTAACTCGCTACAGATCATGGCGATCATTCTCGGCAGGTAAGAGATACTCAGACCAGCCAAGTATCCGGCAAGTATCCATTACGTAACATCAGCTAGGGAGGAATGGTTACCTAAACTAGGAGTAAAGGACTCTGGGAGAAAATCATGCTGACAATACATTCCCAACATCAACGTCGAGACTGGTATACGCTTGTGATTCGGTCACTCTGTCACCGCTACTGTTGATCTGCCAAGGGTCTTGATGTTGAGTGATTGAATAGAAGGTCTTTGTGCAGATATACTGTACTGTATACTGTTAACAGCATGAGATCTCCAACCCATGTACTACATATGATACTTGATGCTCGAGACCAATCCCTCTTAATATTTCCTTTCAAGGGTGTTTTGACTCTCACTACACGATTCGACTAGATTGAACATAAGGCAGCTGTCTGACATGGTTGTGATACAAAAAGGCTTTCCGTTGTCTATCTCTTCTTCTACATTGTATCTTCTGGTTGAATGGATAAATTATAGAAGATGTACTCTTTATTAATATTTATTTCATATAAACTACTGGGAAAAAAATTATGGTGAGGGCAAAACCTGACCTGCTCCCACAAGAGTCAAGATAATACTAACTCTATGTAAATGCCCTGGCATACAGAGTATCAATAAAATATAGTATATTAATACTATATTCTGATCGGGGATGACAACAGAGGTGTAGACTAAGTCATACAATAGACCTAGCTCATAAGAAACAATCATTAAGAGTATATAAAATAAAACCTGTCAATAATATTTATAGTTATATCTTTATTCTCTAGGCTTTGTAATGAGAAATCGCGAAAGGTGAAACTTGAGGGAAATGTAAGAGGGAGGGGGTACCTGGCACCCTCGGTATGATAAGGTATAGCGGAACGATCTGCTTACGGCAAATTCGAGGGAAACGGAGAGTCTATGGTGGGTATCTGAGAGAATAGGAACAAACTGCTTAGCCTTCTAGAGTCTAACAATGAAGGCCTATCTATCTGCTGGATATTGGGATTCCTGAGCGGGGTAAAGCTGACAGGAAATGAACCAGTTCTGTGCTCTTCTTCTGGTGATATGCCTGAATATATATATATAAAAAAGTATAAGAAGTCATCTATGCACTGTGATAAAGAGGAGAGGTTTAAATGTGGTTGAAATCAGTCTGACGTACTGGAGGGTTGTACTGCTGTAGTTGAATGGCGCGATGAGGAGCAATAAATAGCAAGGAACATAAGAAATGAATCAACTAGCAATCCAGTCCACTGAAGAGCTGAATAAGAGGCAGAAATAGTTATATAATCCTATAGAGGTGCGCAGATTGTTCCTTCATTTCTAATCATAAGCATAGAGCGAGTTAAGGCAATATACTACATACATAGTATATAGTTAGGGTTATGCTAATATAGACATGTCATTAGGGTTAAAGAGGGTTGACTATTTATTTGTTCACTATTCTATACTAAGCATATATGGTTTCATATTCTATTCTAATAAATTATGTCTAATCAAATTGCATTCTATACTTACTTAGGTACCTAATATATATACACTCACTGGTAAACAATCCTATACTTGGACAAAAGTACCAAGTACCGAGTATCAAGTATCGCTAACGTGCAAGCATGGCCAAGCTCACGGGGCATGAATGCCGGTCAAGCTGCAAGGAGCGACCAACACCGCAGCCGAGTTACCGAAGTGACTCTCTTCTCCCCCCTGCTTCTTCTGCTCGGAATGACAGCTATGCGAGGGATGTATCACAGGACATCTGGGAAGGATTAACTATGCATGGAGTATTTTCTTGTTGGAGTAGAGGTAATCATAGTAAAAACACTGGTAGTCCTTGCACCCTGATATCCGGTGTTTGCAGTGTTTGTAATGTTTACAGTGCTCTGTATAGGACAGATATGATGGATCACTGGTGATCAGTAACACTTGATTATCAGATGATACGAGTCTATTTGCCAATCAGAAGCGATAGAATCGGGGATCTGAGCTTCATAGAATATATAATGTTAGATGACGTACAGATAACTACTATACAGTACCTACTACATAGTACCTCCTACTCCATACATAGAGTAACTATCATGCACTTACTAGAGACTCCGTACTCCGTACTTATGAGTCTCTACCTACTATTCTGTGTTTTGGCAATTCACACAGCCATATACTGTAGAGAATCCGTACTCTGGACAGAAGGGGCAGAAACCCGCCGTGTAACCCGAGGGTGCGGCCAAATCTAAAGTATGGAGTATACCTAAATAGTCCTCGCTCCGGACTGCGTACTGACGATGGGCGTGGGCGCATCGGCAGGCCAGGGATCCAGCACCCTGCCGGAAACATGGATCTCCATGCCTGGACATGACCAAATGATTAGTTAATCTAGCCTTGATGATGAGAAATTACGACATGATTACTGTAGTTCTTAGCACACAAATACACACACACACATAAACACACACACACACACATATATATATATATATATATATATATATATACTTATAACATTGATAGTATAATATTCCCTTGTACAGAGTACTCTGTATCGGCGAGGAATCAGAATCCGCCCCACTGCATGATGCATCAGATCATTCAAACAGCGTCTGACTCCACCGGCTGGAATCCTCGGAATTGTGGCTGGTGCTGTACGTGGCGAGTACAGCGTAGACTTATGCAGTAGACTAACTAAGCTAGGTATGTAGGAAACTTCCACGCCGTAACTTAACTACGCCATACTAACCTAAAGGCTAACTAAAGCCTAGGTACTTGGTACTTAATTAGTTACCGTGTCCACTGTCTAAGGTAGCCAAGGTATGTAATAATTAGGCCTAGTGTGTAATGCCTCCTAGTAATCCTTATATCCCTACCTATGTAGAACAAGCATCTCCCTGGAATTAAATACCCTGGAGTAAAGACAATATGTCTAGATACTCTGATGAATCATATTTATCACTAGTGGCCTGGACAGCACATACTTGGAGGTGAGTCTGCCGGGAACATGCAGTCTTGACGCCCAGCTGCAGATGCAGCATTCAGTGGGGAGCATGGTACAAAGTTAAAACTAAAATAAATAAATAAATAATATGTAGTAGCTAAATACCAAAAAGAAAAGAGGGGAACCAAATGAAGAGACAAGGAAAAAAAAAACAAAAAAAAAAAAACAGGCAGGAAAAAAAAAGAAACAAAAAAAAGGAAACGCTAGGGAGGGGGGGGGTCGGATCTGGCTAGCTGCGTCAGGATGGGAAGTGGAACCGACAGTCGTAGGTAGGGCCCGGAACTGAACGCGTTGGGGAGGCATTGGAAGATTTAGGGGCTGTCGCAGTGGGTAGGTTTTTTTTTTTTCTTTTCTTTTTTCCTTTTTTTTTTTATTTGGTGGACCCCAGCACTGACTGCTGGCGGCAGCTGACAAAGCAGGCAAGCTTACTACAGACTCAATTAACTAAAACTACGGCACGGGGAAAGGTCCATGGCCCGGCTGCAGCTCCTCGGCGAGTCACAACCGGGCGGTGCGTGCTGGGAGTGTCCACTACTGCCCACCGTCCAGTGCCCACACCCATAAGCATCACCCCCCCCCTCCCCGTGATGGGGCATGGCACCCTTCACCCTGGGTCTGCCTGCGTACCACTATTGTTGCTAATTATCGCCTCGCCCCGCCTGCCAGCCCAACGCTGCCTAGCTCATCCACGCGAGCACCCCATATTCTCGGCAATCGTGGACTGGGCAGCCATCGATCGAGTTTTTTTTTTTTTTTTTTTTTAGCATCATGAAGTCCTTAGTCTATGTCTAGATTTTTTTTTTATATCGTAATACTACCCCCCTTCGCTGTCTTCCCATGGGAAGTTTCTAAAACTGTAGGTCACGATAGATCGTATGGTCAGTGCTACCCGGAAAATTGCTGTAGAATACCCGCGCGCGCGCACCCACTCCAGATCGTCCCCACCCGCTAGGCCGTTCCTGGCTGAGGCCTGCCCGTCTGGCGCTGTCTGCTGCTTGGCGCCCTCTGCTGCTGTTCCGTCCGGCGCTGCTCGTTGACTTGCTCGAGAGCTGCACAACCACTAGCGCCGCTTGGCAAAATTCGCCGTCGACCGCCAGCCCCTCGAACCCCGTTTTCCCTCTCCTTCCCTCTCCTTCCTCTCCTGCTTGCTTTGTCTGCTGCCACGCCTGTCAACTTCTTCCCCCCTGCTGCGAAGGGCCCCGAAAAGCCTTGCCTCCCCCCTCTTACTGCCCATTGCTCGCGTCGCACCTCTTCTTGTCTTGTCTTCCCTTTTTTTGCCCTTCTTTCTTTCTCGCTCTTTCTTTCCTTTTCCTCCCTTTTCCTTTCCTTCCTCCCCCCTGGTGGTCGGCTTGCGGGCCGCCGGGACAAGCTTGCAACTCAGCAACGTGTACGTGTCACTACTGTCCAGTGGTTCACAACAAATTCCTCCTCCCCCCCTCCTTTCCCCTCCTCAAAGTGCTAGATCTTGGGTTGAGCAACTTTGTGTCGTCGGGTAGTAGAAGACGCGTGTGATCAGCTTGAGCAATCGCGGCAGGTAGAGCGAGAGAAAGAGAAGGGAGTGCGGCTCCAACCAACCCGTATACCGCCCTTGTTCATCGCATTTTTCAAATCGGGGTTGTAGCCTTTGCCTCTGTTCTAAAAGATTGAAAAGAGTCTCGCGGTCAGAGTCATGGCGCACACCCAACCTTCCCCCACCGGGGGCGTCGCAACTCATCATGGCCATATCGCTGCCCACCCTCAGGTCAACGGGCATCTTCCGTTGCAGTCGCAGGCTCAAAAGGGCCCTCCCCTTACGACCGCGCAGAAGATCGCAGCGCTCAACGAACAGGTTTGGCTGCAGATTGGTATGTGTTCTTCCCCCCCCCCCCCTTTCCTGTCAGATGATGGATTTCTTCTTTCTGGGTAAACAACTGACAGCCGCGTCTAGGTAGTTTGATGGAATTGATGGGTGATCTCGATGGCGCCATGAATGCATACGAGCAAGCCCTGCGTCACAACCAGTGGTCTATCCCCGCGATGAACGCCATCTCCTGCATCCTACGGACCAAGGAGCAATTTCCTAAGGCCGTCGAGTATCTCCAGAACATCCTGAAGCTGGACCCGACGAGTGGTGAGACCTGGGGAAGCTTAGGTATGTTGGCAATCACATCTTCCGTGGTTTTATTTGTCGCAAGTCTCTGATCTGATGTTTTTACCCTAGGCCATTGCCATCTGATGATGGATAATCTGCAAGAAGCCTATACTTCCTACCAGCAGGCCCTCTATCACTTGCGTGATCCCAAGGTGGGTGTTGTAAAATAACCTTCGTATGACCATTATCTCACGTGCTGCGTAGGAACCGCGGCTTTGGTACGGCATCGGTATCCTGTACGACCGTTACGGGTCTCTGGATCACGCCGAGGAGGCCTTCTCTCAGGTCATGCGTATGGCGCCTGATTTCGAAAAGGCAAATGAGATCTACTTCCGCCTTGGAATCATCTACAAGCAACAGCAGAAGTTCAGAGAGAGTTTGGAGGTACGCCGATGAGCCTCGCACCGTTTTTTTTTTAACGCTCCCCGAAACTAACCCCGTTCAAAGTGCTTCAAATACATCGTCAACGATCCTCCACGACCGCTCACTGAAGAAGATATCTGGTTCCAGATCGGCCATGTCCATGAGCAGCAGAAGGATGTAAGTTCGGAATGAATCTGGCGGTGTAGAGGGTGTATTTACTGACTTTTTGTTTGTATAGTTTGATTCCGCTCAGGCAGCCTACCGACGGGTTCTTGAACGCGATCCCAACCATGCCAAGGTCCTACAGCAGTTGGGTTGGCTTTACCACCAACAGAGCACCAGCTATGCCAGCCAGGAGAAGGCTATTGAGTATCTCGAGAAGTCGGTCAGCGCAGACAACAATGATGCCCAGAGCTGGTACCTGTTGGGCCGATGCTACATGTCTCAAGCCAAGTATCCCAAGGCCTACGAGGCGTACCAACAGGCCGTCTACCGTGACGGGCGTAATCCAACATTCTGGTGCTCGATTGGTGTGCTGTACTACCAGATTAACCAGTATCGTGACGCTCTTGACGCATACTCTCGCGCCATTCGCTTGAACCCCTACATCTCCGAGGTGTGGTACGATCTCGGTACACTGGTGAGTGCCCATATTCTCCATTATTGGGATCTGTAATTCAAGCTGACAACTTTTTTTTTTCCAGTACGAGTCGTGCAACAACCAAATCGCGGATGCATTGGATGCCTATGGACGCGCCGCTGACCTGGATCCCACCAACGTCCACATCAAAGCACGTCTGCAACTATTGCAGAGTCAATTGGCGGGCTCCGGTCAGAGTAACGGCCCGGCTCCCCAACCGCAAGATGTGCATCCCCAGGCATACCAGGCTCCCGGTGTCGGTGCCCCCCCGGCTCCTCAGTGGGGTGCCCCCGCGCCCACTGGCGGTCCCCCTGTTCAGCCGCCTGCTCCCCCGCGGCAAATCGCCGACTGGAACCGAGGTATCAACGACCTGCAGTCCCAGCCCCAGGCCTCGAACGGCTTTGATCATCGGGATGGTCCTCGGGGTCCCGCCTCGGCTGCGCAGCAGCCCAGCCCACGTCAGGAGCAAGGCAGACCGTTCCCGGAGCCTGCGCGCGGCCAACCTGCTCCTCGGTCGCCGAAGCCGAGCTTGGGTGGACCAAGTGCCTACCCATCTTCTCATACCTTGCCTCAGCTGTCCAACCCTCAACCGCCATCGCATGACCGGGGCTCCAGCAGTGGCGCCGGTGCTTTCCCATCCTCCAACAGAGGTCCCTTGCCTCCCGCGCCTGCTCCTGGCGTTCCGAACGGCGCCCCGGCCAGTGGTGCGACTCTGCCCCCGTATCCTCGTCCCTTCACCCCCCCGACTGAAATCAGACCGATCCGTGATGAGCGACCATCCTCCCCAGGCTCTACCTACCCTCATCAGCAGTATCATCATGGGCCTACTGTGCAGCCTGGCGGTAATAATGGCATAGCCAGCGGCGCACCCCCTCCGGCATCCGCCGCCACTGCCGCGGAAGCCGCCGCCCGCGAGCGCGAAGATCGTCCCTCCTCGGCAATGAAGCGGGGCCGGGATTGGGACAATGAGTCCGGCCCGTCGAAGAAGATTGCCAGTGAGGAGAATCGGGCCCGGCTGGACGACCAGCTGGCCCGTCGTGTGACCCCGCCGAACCGCATGCCCTCTCCCGGAGACATTCAACGTCGCAGCTCCTCGGAGGCCCGTCGCGAGGAGCAGCGCCGTGCCAACGAAAACTACCACCCTTCCGAAGCCGCCCACCACCCCCCGGCCCTCCCACCTATCCAGCACATGCAGCAGCACCCCTCCAGTTCCAGCCTTCCCCCGATGGTTGAGAACCCTGCCTCGGCTGCCAACGGCTCTGCTTCTGCCGCTGGTGGTCCGTCATCGACCTCGGCGCAGGTCAAGGAAGAGCCCGCCCGGGCGGAACAGCAGGTTGCGCACGAACCCGCTGCGCGCAAGATGGATGTAGATGAAAACTACGACGATGATGGTGACGATGACAAGCGCACCAACAATGTTGCCAAAGGTAGCCCCCACGGCAGTGGGACCGGCAACGTCGGTAGCAATGGCAATGCTGTCGCATCGCAGTCCAAATCGGAATCTTCCGCCTAGGTTTCGCGAGAATAAATGAAGGATGTTGACATAACATTGGCAATACAATGAAATATGGAATCTTGTCTTGTCTTTTATGAAAAGAAACTTGTTCTTTTTTTTCTCTTCTTCTTCTTCTTCTTCGCATCCCAGTCCCCATATGACACATTCTCTCCTGTATCCTGACCTCCCCCCTATATATCCCGGCCTCTTTGTCTTCCAAGATCATCCTACTACTATTACTACTACAACTACAACAACAACTACTCCTAGTACTCCTACTCTTACTACTCCTACTACTACTACCACTATTCCTGTTTCCGCTGGATTTTGACCTGTACTGTATGATCCGATTCTCCTTGTCTGGTTTTTGAGTCCGATCAAAAGCCTGTTCAGCGAGGTTTATCTTCTTCCTTCGCTGTGAATCTTTTTTTGATCTTACTCTTTACCCTTCTGATGTTAGCTCAATGATCATTCTATTAAATTGCGACTAGTATCTAGTAATTGTAAGATTTTTCTTATAACCAAGTGACGGAGTACTAGGCAATTACGAACTCCATACTTAGTCATTATCGGTTATACAAAGTACCCTTTGGCGAGGAAATTTTCTCGGAGGAACTGATGCCTGAGGCATAAAGTTTCTCGAAACGGCCTCTCGAGCGAGGTGGGCCACTATTCCTAAAGAAGTATGCGACGCCAAGACTTCGCTTAGGTCAGCCCACATTCGTTAAGCGGTGCAAAATACACCTCCGGCAAATTCAGAGATAGCACTCTCACCACCTCGACGACTAACGACAACACAGGTCCAAGATGTATGTGCACGAATTGCGAATGGAATTTCCAAATTCAAACGGAATACTGATCGTCCTCTTTTTCTTTATAGGAGTCACCGGAAGTACGAAGCGCCTCGGCACGGTTCGTCAACCTTTTTCTTTTCCTACGACAACGTCGACTGCGATCGGTCAATACTGATTTTTTTCTTCTTCATACAGGCTCTCTTGCCTACTTGCCCCGCAAGCGCGCCGCCCGTCACCGCGGTAAGGTCAAGAGGTAGGTTTTTTCTCTTTGGAAGTCGCAAAGGAGTCGAAAGAAGAATGGAAAAAAAAATTGTGAAGCATATACTGAGAGCGCGATAGCTTCCCCAAGGATGACCCCAAGAAGCCCGTCCACCTGACGGCCTCCATGGGCTACAAGGCCGGTATGACCACTGTCGTCCGTGACCTTGACCGTCCTGGTGCCAAGATGCACAAGAAGGAGATTGTTGAGGCTGTTACCGTCATTGAGACTCCTCCTGTACGTTCCCAAGGCTATGCTTTAATCCCTGGTACACAAAAAATAAAAAAGAAAGGAAGAAAGAAAAAGAAAAACTAATGTTGTAGCTTGTTGCTGTTGGTGTTGTCGGATACATCGAGACCCCCCGTGGTCTCCGCTCGCTGACCACCGTGTGGGCCGAGCACCTGAGCGACGAGGTTAAGCGTCGGTTCTACAAGAACTGGTACAAGAGCAAGAAGAAGGCGTTCACCAAGTACGCCAAGAAGCACGCTGACAGCGCTGCCTCGGTGTCGCGCGAGCTGGAGCGCATCAAGAAGTACTGCACTGTTGTGCGCCTGCTCGCCCACACCCAGATCCGCAAGACGGCCCTCAAGCAGAAGAAGGCGCACCTGATGGAGATCCAGGTCAACGGCGGCTCCGTCGCCGACAAGGTTGACTTCGCCCGCAACCTGTTCGAGAAGACCATCGACATCGACAGCATCTTCGAGAAGGACGAGATGATCGACGTCATTGCCGTCACCAAGGGTCACGGCTTCCAGGGTGTCACCAGCCGTTGGGGCACCAAGAAGCTTCCCCGTAAGACTCACAAGGGTCTCCGCAAGGTCGCCTGTATTGGTGCCTGGCACCCGGCCCACGTCCAGTGGACCGTCGCCCGTGCCGGTCAGATGGGTTACCACCACCGCACCTCGTGCAACCACAAGGTCTTCCGCATTGGCAAGGCCTCCGATGAGGGCAACGCCTCCACCGAGTACGATGTTTCCAAGAAGCAGATTACTCCGTAAGTTCCATCACTTTCCCACCCCGGCTCTTAAGCTCTAAAAAAAAAAATTTTTTTGTGGCTGTTCTCTAATGGTTTTGCAGTATGGGTGGCTTCGTCCGCTACGGTGAGGTCAAGAACGACTTCGTGATCCTCAAGGGCTCCGTTCCGGGTGTCAAGAAGCGCGTCATGACCCTGCGCAAGACCCTCTACCCCCAGACCAGCCGCCGTGCTACCGAGAAGGTCGAGCTCAAGTGGATCGATACCTCGTCCAAGTTCGGCCACGGTGCCTTCCAGACCGCCGAGGAGAAGCGCGCCTTCATGGGTACCCTCAAGAAGGACCTTGTTACTTCTGCTTAAGTTTCTTTTTTCAGGCGGGGATGCCTCGGTGTAGCGCGTTAAATAAAAGCTCGTTCAAATTCCTTGCTTGTAACTTGTAGATTGTAATAATACCTAGATAGTAGATATTCGTCGACCTAGGACTCCGTACTTGACTTGCGGTCTACTGAAATCTCTACCACTTACCTCCTATTAAGTACTACTTATCTACTTCTCTACTTGTCTGCTTATATCTACTTTGTTATAAATTATTATACTCGTACTCTTATTCTTATTCTTCTTGTTGTATTTTCTGCCTACTGTGCGCGTCTACGAGCCATTGCGTCATGGACCGCCTTCCAACCTCCCTCCGTCGCATGCAGCGACTCCCTCGAATTCAACCCCTCCAACCCCTACGCCCACGCCCACTCCAACTATTACAGACCCGATACCAACTACCCATCCAGCCATCTCCTACCTGCAGCCTCCTCCGCACCATGTCCGACGACGCATACCTTTCCTTCCTCGACAAGGCGAACAAAGACCTCGACGCGGGGCGACAGACGCAGACGCAGCCGCAGACACAGTCCCAGGGAGACGGTCGCACGAAATCCCTCGATGTCGCAGCTAGCGAGATCCCCGCCCCTCTTATGGGCGTAGAGGTCTATTATGTTTCTGAAACGGATGAGCCGTTCGAGCCCGTTGTGTTGGCGTGGGAGGGTGCAAAGCGGGGAGTGTGGCCTGGAACCAGTAATCACATATCCAAAGATATATATATATATAGGCTATGTGTCTTGCTAACTGAGCTAATAGAACAATTCGCCTCGTTGATTTCAAGTAACGAACCCCCCGTCGAAACGATGTCACCTGCCTCGTTCGATCCGCGCGATCAATACGCAAGTGTCTTCAAGGCTGTACGGGCTGCGGTCGGCGGGTCGGAAGTTGACCAGGCGGGAGTCGACGTCAAGGTATATCGGGTCGAGGTTGGGTCGTCGACGGTCGAGTATTGGGTTGTTGCGTTGGATGCGGGCGGGAGGCTTGTTGGGTTGAAGGCCCAGGGGGTTGAGACGTAACTTACTCCGAGATATAGTAATATGTTTCTGTTCTGATACTGCTGTTCTATGGTGGATAGTGCAATCCTGGAAAATCTGGCTATAAAGTAATATACTCTTCTATATGAGGTTTCTATCACTTCACTATCGAGTTATAAGTCTGACTTTGTACCAAGCTCAGTGGATTATCCTATCCCTACAAAGAGTGTCTGGTGAGATGGCATGGATGTATATAGTACGGTCCATACAAGACATTCATTGTTCTTTATATTGTGGTATGTTATAGGGAATTGTCTTCAACAGTCCAAAAGGCACCCATCTATTGAACTGGCTAGATAGATATATAGAAAGAGTATACTATCTCGACTGGCTGCGTTGACATCGACATATAACCTAGGTAGATATATATACTAAGACAAGTGATGTTTCAGCTTGTCTTGGTTGGTAGATAAAACTAGACCTGGGCACGTTAGATCAGCCACTATATATATAGTAGACGTTTCTCTGATATTACTTGAGGTGACCTTGGTCTTTGCTGTCAAATTCACGCTTGATATAGCAGTTATGTGACTATACCTGGTAGTTGACTATATCAGGGTAACCCAAACAATCTGTATATTAGCAGGTATACTAACATTACTGCAGTAATAATCATGTAGTAGTTACTCCGTATCTATTCTCTAAGATTTATAGCCGATCTTATCCCGAGTTGATGAAACAGCGGTCTCCAACTAGTCGACAGATCTCCGAACCATCTCGTAGGGCTTTCGGACAATAGACCTACCAACAGTTCACAGTTCCAGCTTCCTACTCGACATCACCTAAATTAATATAGGACAGACTCCGTTGTCATCTGGCGAACCGTGGCACAAACACCGACCCACCAGATGAGACCAATTGCTGCAGGATTATTTATACCTGGCGTGGACGATCCACGGACGAGCAACCACTGGGTCAGGCACAGCCTCTGGGATCAGCATTAAACAGGATGTGATTTACGGCAAGTAACTCACCTCACTTAGTTATCGAGTAGTCTTCCGTACCAAGTACTCCGTATGGAAATAGCTAGAGACAATCCTGGACGCCTGGAGGCTGGCATGCAGAAGTTTCATCAATGGCGTCATATCTTGGCAGTAGAGAATGCTTAATACCTTGTTTTTAACTCTGTGTAACTAAAGACTCTCGAGTAGAGCTCTACTTTAATAGATAATTTATTAGATACTTAGTTATGATTATAAACTGAACATATTTAAATATCATTAGTTCTTAGTATACACTCAGCACTGTATAGATTAATAGATATTCACTGGTCCTAGTTGACCCCTTTTACACTGCCCCAGGACCCATTTTGAGGACACGCGTCCTGGAATGGTCACTTATCTGAGGCTGGTGGTGGCCAGTCAGCCAGTTGCAAGGGTATCCAATATTCAATACCATGACAATACTACACTAGAAATAAACTAGAGCTAGAACAAGTACCGAAGTCTAGTTAAAGATGGAGTGATTTGTGCAGGTATTGGATTCTTCCTCTCATTCCTTGAACCCGGCAACAGGATTCAGGAATGACAACAGGAATACCATAAGAATACATACCATTATCATCCTTGCCATAGAATACTACCAATTAAAAGAAAACAAGTGCTAATTAATTATTAGTCAGTTTGTATGAGTGCATAATAAGAAAAAATAACCCTCTTCTCTAGTAACTTCAAGTAAATTTCTGCTCCACTTGGCCACCGTCCAACACGGGGCGCTTCCAGGCCAAATTGACCCCCCCAGCATTCCTTGTATGGCGCGTAGAACATGTCTGGACCAGAGACCAGTATTCTCTGCCGTTAGCCTTTGGCCTCTAGTGATTTGCTCTTCTGCTTTTATGGCTTTCTTGCTAACTGTCGACCCTGTCCGAACCTCCTAACCCTGCCTGTCTTTTTGTGGCCGACTCCTTCACCTCCTCCTCCTCCACTACCACCACGACGACCACCACCGCCAACTCCTCCTTCTCCTCCTTTCAGGGTCTCTCGATCGTCAACGCCACCTCCAGGGACTTTTTTTCGCCCGTTGTCCCGTCCGCTCATTACTGCTTGTCTCTTGCATTCCCCCCCCCTCCTCGTCGCCAGTGTTATTTTGTCTCTCGTCTTCGATTCATTCTGCCTGTCGGTCCTTACCGTGGGATCCTGCTTGCCCTGTTTCAGCTATTTCCAAAACACTCGCCGAATATAATACACCTCTCAACCTATCCCATCTTCGGTACGGCGGCCTTTTTGTTTCCTGCTCCCCCCTCTTCTGGGTTTGTTGGATTGACATGACATAGGGGCGGTACCTAGCAGCAAGTCAGTAGCACGGGCAGCGGTCGTTGCGCCGATCACCACGCGCCAACAAACGCAACTCACTTCAGAGTGGATTCGGTTTCTGCCTTCCTGATTCTTCTTTCGATTGTCTTTGAATAGAGGAATTTTTCTTTTTCGCTATTCCTCGTTGCTGTCGGGAAATACTAGCTGGACGATTTGAGTGTCCGATCTCAGGAGAGACGGATCGCTCCTTCTTCCCTCCCCATCTGTAACCATGTCCGGCTTTCCTCAGGACTCCTCCAGCCTACCGGTTCGCAACACGCCGCACATCCGCCTCAACTCCGGCCAACATGATCCCTTTGCCGACTCCGAGGATACGTACAGCCCCGGCGGCCTGTCCGCGCCGCCCTCCCGTTCCCTGACCCCGTCGCAATCGCCTCCCGTCGGGGGTGAGGCCCTGTCTCCGGGCCTCTACAGCTCGCACGCCCCCGAATCCTCCGAACTTCTCATACCCCCTTCGTCTCGCAGCCACCGCAGTCGAGATGAATACTCAATGCCCCAATCTCCAGACCAATCCGGCTTCTCTTCGCGTCGCACAAGTTGGAGCTCCGAGGCCGGCAGCCGCGACAGCCGTGGCTATCCCTCGAATCCCTTCGACGACTCCCGCGCCCCCTCACGCGCGGGGAGCGATGACTACGATGTCAATACCCAGACTGTCTCGGAAAAGTACAACATCATGCCCACAGAGGGCCTGCTATTGTTTCCCGAGGATGTCGAGAAGGACGACTACCTGCATAACCCGGACCCCAATGACAAGGATCGTGACTGCGACATCTTCAACCGCCGTGGTATCATCAACGTCGGTGGCTTGTCCATTCTGACACTCGGTATACTGTGCTTGTTCATCGGCTACCCGGTGATGTACGTTGCTTCGCTCCTGATATCTTGCTCCCTCTCTCCCCCCTCTCTTTTTCGTTCTTCTCATTGATATCTTTAGATCCTTTGTACAAAGCCTGGAAAAGACAACTACGACAACCTGCACAGCTGGAGACACCCTTTGTCTGGATGTGGGTAAACGGTCCCTCCTCAAGAACCTTCGTACCGGTCTCATCGACCCGGACACACCGGATTCCGCCAAGACTAAGACGGCGCACGACGGCAAGGAATGGAAGTTGGTGGTGAGTATAGATAGATATTTGATGATGAAAACAGAGAGAATCCCGGCTCACGATCGCAACAGTTTTCCGACGAGTTCAACACGGCCGGCCGGTCCTTTTATTCAGATGATGACGCGTACTTCCAGGCGGTTGACCTGTGGTACGGTGTCACCGAGGATCTTGAAGTCAGTTTTCCGTTCGTATTCGTTGCTGTGATTTCGATGATCGCTGACCTCTCCTCTAGTGGTACGATCCCGATGCCGTTACGACAAAAGATGGCGTGTTGGAAATCCGGTTCGACCACTTTGAAAACCACGACCTGGACTATCGCTCCGGGATGGTACAAAGCTGGAACCAGCTGTGCTTTACCGGCGGCCGCCTAGAGGCCAGTATTTCCCTACCTGGTGCCGGTAACGTCTCTGGTTTCTGGCCCGGTTTCTGGTCCATGGGCAACCTGGGCCGTCCCGGATACGCCGCGACGACCGAAGGCATGTGGCCCTACAGTTACCACGACGAGTGTGACGTTGGAATCACGCCCAACCAGAGCTCCACCGACGGGATCAGCTGGCTGCCGGGCATGCGCCTGCCGGCTTGCACCTGCAATTCCACCGAACATCCGTCGCCGGGAAAATCCCGCAGCGCCCCGGAAATCGATGTCATTGAAGCCAGCGTCATCAGCCTGAACAATGACGACGATGACGTGATTGGTGTCGTTTCCCAGAGTTTGCAGATGGCGCCCTTTGACACCTGGTACATGCCAAACTACGGTATGTATAATCCTTCTCTTCCAACCGTTTCTTTTTTGTTCTCCAGTGCTGACGGACGGACAGACTTTACGGCAGTTTATGATGACCAGATCACCGAGATCAACACCTACCGCGGCGGTCCGTACCAGCAGGCGATGTCAGGCCTAACGAATCTCAACAACAAGTGGTACAACGGCACCGAGTACCAGATCTATGCGTACGAATACGCACCAGGGGCTAAGGGCAACGTGACCTGGTTCGTCGGAGAGAACCCTGTCTGGATGATGGATGGGCGCGCGCTGAGCCCCAATGGCAACCTCGGCCAGCGGCTGATTCCGATGGAGCCGATGGCCATCGTGATGAACCTGGGCATGAGTAGCAGTTTCGCGACGGTCGCCTCGGACATCAATGACTACACTCCTGGGTACATGCGGTTCGACTACGTGCGCATATACCAGGACCCGGATTCTGAGAGCGTAACCTGCGACCCGTCGGGGTATGAGACGACCGCGTACATTAAAAAATACCCTGCGGCCTACGACGACTACAACTACACGACGTGGGCAGAGGCGGGATACGACTGGCCCACCAACTCATATGTTGACGGGTGTTGATAATAGAAGCCTTTCTGAAAAAACAAAAGAAAAAAATTGGTCTACTTCTCCCAGGAGGCCGGTTGTCTGTCAACTGTATGGTTAGCGGCATGTTTGGCGTTTGGGTGCTTCGATCGTCCTCTCTTTGAGGCTGGAGGTTGAAGCTTGTTGATATCCCTGTTTTGTTTATTTTCTTTCTTTCTTTTTTTCTTTCATCCATCTTATCATCTCATTTCATCATCTCATTTCATCATCTCATTTCATCATCTCATTTCATCATTTCAATTATTTCATTCTTTACTATTTTACTTCCTGTTGCATTCTGTATGAGATAGAGCAAGATCGGCGCAATGGAACAATAGAGTTGTCGTACGGCTGATATTCTACTCCGTAGTTACGTAGTAACTAACTTGGATAACTAATTAAAGTCTAGTCTTCCCTTACAGTACTTCAACTCCTAGACATCTAACCCAACCAGCAATACACACACCTTTCAGGAGTATTTTCATCATGGACAGTAAGTAGTAATATTTTAGCCAAAATGGAATACACACCGTTAACGCAAGAAGACCACCTCCGCGAAGAGCGCCACATGGCTCTCTCCATCCTCACAGACCGCGAACTCCTCCTCCGACACTCACTTACAGCCCATGAAGTGAGAAACGATACATAACAATTACCTATATTAATATAAATTGAGAGATATTCTTCTGACCATGCTATGCTATGCTACAGACCCTCCCGCAAACCCGCCGAAGATTCACCGCAAAGATGTTATCGCCCGACGACGCCGTGGCGGAAGCCCAGATCGCCAACGAGCGGTTCCTCGTTCATTCGCGGTCTTCTTCGTCGTCGACCTCTGCCTCCAGTTCGAGCGCTGGGTCGAGTTTACTTTCGAGAGCGGTGGTGGATGTGCATGAGATGGGGGATGCGGGGTGGAGGAGACCGGATATGAAGAGCAAGAAGTGACTCACTTTACACATTACTTGAAGCCTAGGAAGTATTTTACGAAAGAAATTTGGATTTAATGTAGTATACAGGGGTATCAGTATCATGGTTGCGACAGAATAGATTCTGCATCGCCCACCTGCTTGCGCTCGGAAACCTCCCTGTTGCGCATCCGCGCCCGGATGGCTTGGGCATTCATCAGCGTCAATCCTTGAGACGGCCGGACCGGCCCCGTGTCGGTGTAGAACGGGTGGAGGCGGTGGGAGGTCGAGAACCGGACTCGTCCATCTCTCATGACTGGTAATTGTCATTGCAACGGTTCTGAACTTGACGACAGTCGGTTCAGGTGGAGGTACACGTCCGTGCCATACCTATCAGCATTAGAATTAGCATTCCATTCCATTTCATTGATTCAATCTTCAGACGTACCCCTCCATGCTGATTAGTTTGAGGTCCCCCCCAAAGTACCGTGCGTACAGCCGACTGATGGGCAGCCCGTAGCCGAAGCCCGCCATGGGCGCCTTGAAGTCGCTTTTGTCAAAGTCCGGGTCCAGGTTCGGCGTCTGCTCGACGGTCGTGTACATGTACGTCCAGACGAGCGGGATGGCGGACCGGGGGATCCCGCCCCCTTCGTCTGAGATCTTGATCGTGATGTCTTCCTTGCCTTCGGCGACAATCACCTTGGTGACGGGAAAGGCATCCTTATCCGCGCCATGGGTCTCCACCACGGCCCGCAGGGAGTTCTTCAGGGTCTCGAAGAGCATGTGCGACAGGTGGCCTGGCACGTACATGAAGTTGAGGTCCTCCTTGCAGATAAGCTGCACCTGGGGCGCCTCAAACAAGCCGTAGTAGTCCTCGCACACGAACCGAGCATTTTCAATCGCCTCCGAGGCCACCTCGTGCACGTTCGTCTTAGTGCAGATGATCCCTACGTAGTGTGGATGTCGCGCGCGCGTCTGTTCCGTCAATGCGATATGTTGGCCGATCAGCATTCGAATCCCGATGCGGGACATGTAGAACCGATCGAGGAAGTTCTGGATCGTTGGGTCAATCTGCAGACGCTGCCGTCGGCGCTTCCATTCCAGGATCCCCTGCGCGACAGAGGTCACCACACCGTCATGCCGCCGTTTGATCTGCTTCAACGTCGTGGAGAAGCGCTCGTTGTAATCGTTCAGCTCGGGAGGCCAGTTTCCCTGCTCGTCGGATGGGTAGAAGTATCGTCGAGTCGCCGTGCCTTTGCCATGGCCGTTGCCATTTCCATTCTTCATCGACGTAGGGAAAGATCGGTATTGGCCTTCTCGAACACTCGGGTTCTGTGTTGTTTCGGAGAGGATCCGTGAAGCCCCGCCATTCATCCGTCCTGATCGCAATAGACGTGTTTTGACTTCTTGAGAAAGGGTGGGACGAGGCAAATTGATAATTTCCTGTAAAGCAACATCGTCAATGTGAGGGGAAGGGATCGGCACACGTGATGCATCACATGAGAGGAGGGAGAGAGAGGGGGGGGGGGGGGGGGGGGGGGGGGGGGGGGGAAGGAAGAGAGAGTAGGCAGGGAAGGTGCTCGCTCATACCTCGAATGATTGTGCGTACCAATCCTGCACTTTCTTGATGGAGGGCATCTCACTGAGCCCATCTGGCAACTCCCCGAGGTCTTGTACACGATGGGCGAGACGGATCGGTAGCTCTTCAGAGAGAAATTGTGAAGCGCGGAACAAAGTGCCTGTAAAAGGAGATACTGATTAGCTATCTTTGCCAGAAATGTGGATTTAATTGTACTCACCTGTTGATGGCCTATCCCCAAATTGAACCATCTGCCGCAACGAGACACCAGTGGCGGGGAAGCTGGCATAGTGTCTGATGGTGTCCATCAGTCTCTCGGAGGGTTTCCACATGGTGTCCGAAGGAAAAAAGAATTCAGGCCACACGGCCTGAAACCAACGGGATGGAACCCGCGAGCAATTTGTTTGCAGTATCTCGGTGGTGTTTTAACCAGCAGCAGCGCAAGGTGAGTGTGTGCGCTAGAGTGCCGAGGTTGCCAGGTCACTTCACTTCGCGGTAGGCGTTCTCACGAAACAAGAAGGTCGTCTAAGAGCAGTGAGAAGGAGAAGGAAGGAAGAAACACATTGACTCAATCGCAGATGATCACAAGATCAGCCGAGGGCAAGAAAAACGACCGGTTCACCGCGAGGCAATTCCTGGGGTCCTCCAGTGTCTGCTCTGTGACTCGTTCCGGTGCGGAGCGCCAAACGGGGCGGGGAGTCACGTGTCGAGAGAGCCTTCCGTTCGGGCGGCCGAGAAAGAACCGGGCGATTGCAGGAGAGAGAGCGAGAGGAGCTCGACGGCCTCGAGGCCACGACTGCTGCAACAAGTTAATTAAGCTCGATAAATGGTCGAGCCATGCAGTCCGAGCAACTGATGATTGAATACCACCTCCTCCGACCGGCAGTAGTCAGACCATCAGCCCCTCGCGTGGGTGATTGCCGTTTCCGATATACGGCAGAAAGATGGTCTCCTTTCCCCGGATCTTCCCTTTGGCCCGAGGATGATGTCTTCCAGGAGTTTGCTGTCTACTTCGCTTGCAGCGTTCCACCTTCGATTCCTTTTCAATAGTACTGTGTGTGCCAAAGAACGCGAGGCTTGTTGATGGTTTGGAGGAAGAGTGGAGGCCACTTCTCCAACCTTGCTGTCGCCTTCCATCAAAAAAAAGGGATTCCTGACATGAGAAACGGGCCATCTGAGGATAATTATTATTGCTTCATTATCTCAGAACAATTCATGTTCTTGTCCGGAAAGGAGCCTCGGGCGGAAGTGGACATCAACTTTGAGGCAGTCCATCGCCGGATTCTCAAGATATCCCCCAAAGCCATTCATTGATCGATGTCAATGATGGGATTAGACGGGAAAGACCACATACTCAGAGTATACCTTCTCATAATCACCAATCTCTTTCCTTTCTCTGTATTGTCGTAATGAAATGGCATGTTCGTCGGCCCACCCAGCACCAGCACCAAGCCCGGTGGAAACTCCGCCCCTCCGGCCGACCCAATGTCTCCGTACTTTTGTCACAGTGTCGTGCAGAATTAATATTATTAGTCCTCTGACCCCTCCTCGAGCGTGAGAACCAGTGGCTCCTGGGACCGCCAACGCGCCATCCTCAATGGCTGCACTCGCGACAGGCCGCTTGTCGCGATCTCTGCCGCCCGAAGCCTTTTTGGCAGTGGAGTCTGTTGACACTTGTCTAGCCCACAGACAGCTGGTAGGGGACGACGCTCGTCCCTCTAGCTAGTAGCTGCTGCTGCTGCTGCTGCTTACCCTTCTGCGTTTCGCCATGGGGATTCGCTTTGTGTGGCTGGTTCGTCGCATGGCACCGCTCGCCGCGCTTTGAATCTATCGTATATAGATAGACAACAAAAGGGCTGGCTTTCCCCAAGCAATGTCTGACAGGCCTAGCTTTGTTGCAGTCGCATGCTCCGCTGGTGGCTCCTCCTGTAAGAATTATACCCCGTATATAATTTTTTTTTATTCTCTCACCCCTGCTCTTTTTTTCCCAAACGGCCGCCCTTTCTGAGCTGAGCCTCTCCGGTGCTCGTCCAAAAGTACCGTCGGTCGGGGGGCAGAGGGAAGAGATGGTCTTTCGATGATGCAACGACGTGCATTGGTCGAGCTCGAGCTACCTCCCGGTTCGCTTTTTTTCCTGTGTATAGCGGCCCTTTTCGCTAATCAGCAGAAGTTGATAGAGACACATCTGATCCACGAGGCGTAAGTTGTTTTTCTGTGTGTTCCTGTTCCCAGCGCGTCGGCTCTGGGCTGGCTGATGTGAAAGTGCAGCCCAAGGGGAAAAAAAACATTGCCCCTCGTGCGGTTGTGCGAAAAGTGACGCTCCACCCCCAAAACGGCAATCAGAGGTCGGAGACGACCTTGCCCAAAAGGGATTGTTCCTGGAGATTGTTCTTCGTTCCCCCTCCTCTACCCCTCCATCGCAGTCTCATCTCTCACTTTCCACCTTCACCACCCTCGCCGAGACCACCCTTCGCCCCCCTCGAGCTTCGATCCTCGTTCTGCCTTCGATGTTGTCTTGCTTGGTGAGCAGTTCCGTATTCTGATCGATTCGTCCAGAAGATGTCGCGTCGCCGTCTGTCGCACAGCGAAACACCGGCAACCTCGATGAACACGTCCGCAGCCTACCCGACTGCTTCGGCCATGCAGAACGACTTCCACTACCCGCGTCGAGGCCCAATCGAAGGTCCCAATGGACGCCGCTTGGTCCGTCGAGTCACCTGGCGATCCTCGACCTACAAACTGATGGCTTCATTGTGGGTGCTCGGCGTGCTGTACATCGTCTGGCTTATCCGGGACCTGTTCTTTCTGCCCTTTTCTTCGTCGGCTATCGACTCCGTCTCGCTCAACGCTGCAGATGAGTATGTGACATATTCTTTTTGTGTGAGAGATCTCCCACAGCTGTGAACAACCACTAATCCTATCTGCTTGGGGGCGGTGCTAGTCATTTGGCCCGCTATCTGGGGCGTCAAGAGTGCGGCGTCTCCTCCAAAGATCTTTACAACCCTCCCGAAGCAGGCAATGAGGATGCATTGCGCGAGCTGTACTGCCAGCTTGGAGACTCCTTGCTGAATGCTATGAGCAATGGCGGCCGGTACGGCTTTGATGCCGCTTACATGTCCCAAGGTAAGAATAGTTAACAA